CGGAACGACGGGAAAGCAGCATGGGGGGGGGGGGGGGCGGATGATGAGTGTACATCGAGCAAAGCAAAGAGGAACAGTCGATTCTCTCCTCAAATAGACCTTCAACTCACCGTCCTAGTCTTTATCCATTCATTCCAATCACTCTATTCAATTTGGACTAGGTTGGCTGTCCCGGTTCGTGTCTCTGACTTGTTCCTCGGCCTTTCGTTCAGTTGTCCTGTGAATCCGGAACGCAACCAGGATCAACGGACGAGCAGATCTCTTAGCCGAATTTCACCCTCGCTACGGCAGGGCTCTATCTGGACTTGAAGAGATGTTGACGTCTCCCACCCCCGTCTTCCTCATTTGACCCTCCGTCGTCATCTTAGTCACTCGTCTTGTTTGTCTTGGAAACGGCACTTCTCCGGTCGGCTTTGCGTTGAACTCCGAAACCTATCAAGCCCCGAAAATCGCCTTCATCAGGTATTTCGAGGCTTCCTCCCTGCCCGGACTCTCAAGCATCCTGTACACCCGATTGCCACTCTTGTTGCCTAGCCAGTTGCCTCTGTCATGAGGCACCTCACCATCCGAGTTCCTCCTCCGTCTGGCTCGTTTGTCGCCCACCGTCATGCCTCTAGTCCACTGGCCGGCCGTTTCGATTCGGATATCCTCGGGACTGCGCGCGCTCGCTTTCCAAGATGGATCGTCGTGCGTCAGCACATACCAGACGCACAGCGGATCATGCAGGGCCAGAGCGGCGCCTTCGCCCTCGTGGCCGATGTGCAGCCGTTCCATCTTGTCTAGCATGGGGGTCATGAAAGCCGTCATCCACGCCGCGAGCGGCGAGCCGGCTTCGAGATGAGGCTTGGCAGAGGTGTTGAACTCGCCGCGGCTTAGCATGTGGTATTCCGTAATGTCCAGACTCATGAGTGTGAGCTTCAGCTGTTTGGACAGACGCGCAGGGTATTGCAAGAGGTGGAAGCTGCGTTCCCCTTCTGTGGCAATAGGCATTGTGCTCGCTGGGATGGGTGACGATAGCGCATACACACGAGCAGCAGCATAGGGATCCGCATAGACGTTGAATTCCGATACAGGCGTGACGTTGCCGATCCCGTCGACTGTGCCACCCATGGTGACAACTTCCTTGCATCGCACAAAGGTCTCTGGATCTTCGGCCGCGGCCAGAGCAAAGTTGGTGAGCGGGCCGATGGCAATCAGGGTGATCGTATCCGGTTCATTCTCCCGTAGCAGCCGAAGGATCTCCTTATGGGCAGGCTCGAGGGAAGGGACGAATGCATTTGTGTCTTCCTCGAGATCGACTTCAGGCTTGGCCTTCTCGGTGATGAAATGGTCCGGTGGAGGTTGCTCGAACAGCTTGTTCCAACTCTCCTCGGGCGAGAAATGGGGATGACTTGTATGTGTTCCGGCCAATCCATCGGTACCATGAAAATAATCAGCGCTCTCGATGCGATCCTGCAGGGGTTCGTCTGCGCCGATGGCCACGATCGGCTTGAATTTGGTGAGCCCTTCGAATCCGACTGGTCTGCCCTGCTCCTTGCGCCATGCAATTTCCTTCTCCAGGACATGGAAGATGGCGACGACGTTGCGTAAGCAGGAGCGTACATCAACATTGCCAAAGGTAATCGAGATGAGCAGCACCTCGAGGTCGTCGGCGCTAGCGGCGAGGGCGAGCAAGATGGCTAGGACATCGTCGACCCCGGGGTCGGTGTCAATGATGATGCGATTCTTGGGCGCCATGGTTTTCTCTTGAAAAGCCTCACTTCAATGGTAATCTTACTTGAAAAGATCCGCTAATGCAAAAGCACTGATGATGACTGGGTGATTGACGATGCAGGCTTAGTGACAGGAGAGCAAACCGATAGACAAGCCGAATTGTGATTCACTGCAGAAAGAGGCAATTGGAGTCGAAGCGTAGTGTGGCCTAGTGGCTCATCATGGATATTGGCAAGGAGTAATAAAGAAGTAAAAACTGCACTGGGGTCACGTGGGATTCACCGCGCGCGTGCCGCTTTTATTCGCACTCACCTTCGCACTCACAATATGATCTCCTCGTACATGGACCCAAGTATCGTAGACGAATCTTTGCCCGGGTTCGATCTCTTCGCAGATTACGGAGATTGATAATCTACAGATATTCAGTGACGAGGAACATCAGATTATGCTCACCCAAGATTCCGGTTAAAGCGTGAAGTAATTGATTGAACGTGATACGGCATCCTCGGACGCTGTAAGGGATGTTTATCGAAGTGCGCAAATGGTCAGGCATCCGTGAGTCCGTGACTGCAGCGCCTTCTACAGTTGACCAGAGCACACTAATTGTTCACCTCCTGCCAGCTTTCCCAGCTACTATATATCCGGCAAGGAAGAGCAAAATATCCTGCTGCTTCGCATTTGTTGAAAGCGCCCGCGTCCGAACACGCCGAGTGATCTCATTAAAATTGATCTTTTCGGCACCAAAAACCAATCTTCGTACGTATCAGAATAAGATTTATGAATTTTAGCTTCACTGGGTGAGAGATGAGGACTTGGACGCAGCCCCCTTTGGCGATGTCCGGTTTAACGCGGCTTGGGTGAGGATGAAAGATGCGAGTCTTGGCATCAGCATATGGACTACTACGAGGTAAGGCTGCGACAACTGTGTGTCCCTGGCTTGAGCCACGATCGCAATGCTTCATCGGGGAATGTGCTTGCGTGTCCTTGAGGTCATTGATTTTCTAAATCTGTACTGCCCGGATCCTTTGTCCAGAATGCAGAAACATGCCGAGACATTGTCCCAACCTACGTTCTACCCCTGGGAACGTAACCGCTTATGCAAGTCAAATATCACACGTACTTCCTTCATCGTGGCCCCTGGCCCCTGCCCTCGAGATGGCGTGCCGGATAGCTCTCTGCGCGGCAAAGATCGAGACAAGCCGCCTAATGAGACAAATTGTCTCCGAAACATCCTGTAGCGGATCGCGTTTGTCTGCTTTCGTCTGACCAGCCCTCATGGTCGTCCTGCGTGGTCTCGTTTCACATTCTTATACCATCGACGCGTGCTTCGGGCATAGTGTGCTCTTTCTCCTTCCCAAATAAGACCACTGCCATGGATTCTCAGACTTCTCAGTAGACTTTCTTCTTCTCGTCCACGCTCAGTTGACCGGGTCCCATGTTAACCAGTAGCAACAGACCACCCATGATTGACAGAATTTGGAAAAAGTCGTACTTGGCAAAGTCCTTGTGAGGGTGGTTCTTGTGCAGCTGCAGAATATCAAGGGTCAGTACAGTCGACCAACAGAAAACTCCCACAATTCCACTTACCGTCCAGAAATTGTTGACGAGCACGTTGAAGACACTGAGCAGGACAACCAGGATGACGGCGCTGAGCTTCGCCTTGAACCCCACCACGACCATCACGCAGGCCACGAACCCAATCATGCTCACCAGGACTCTCCCGACGCTCCATTCACCGGCAAAAACGAACCCGATGAAGAGGAAAATCAGCAGGACTCGCCCCCCAAGCTGGATGTACATCTTCTTGTCCTTCTCGTCAATTGTAGGTAAACCGGCAAACACCCTCTTCTTCACGAAGCTGTCTCCGAGCACCATGAGCAGACCTCCGATCACGGACAGGTTGCGCAGGAAGAAATTGAGATCGAAGATGAGGCCGTAGCCGAGAGCTTGGACAACCACGACTGACAACAGGCCGGCCACTGCATACTCGCCGTAGCGGCGCATGATGACCAGTGTTGAGCAGACCGACATAGTGATGACATTAAAGATGAGGAACAGGTGGGTGATGCCCCAGGGGACTAGTGTACGTCCGTCAGTATCTGCAGTTCCTTGATTTTCTTCTCGGGTTCACCCACTATGTCTGAATTCTCTCAAGAACGTGAGCTGATCGCCCCACTGTGTCACAATTCTGACTGCGTCCTCGAGGAATGTCACAACGATGAGGAATCTACCGATGGCGGGCAGGTATCTGTACGTATGACCTCTTCGAGTAAGCTTCCGGCCTGTTTTCCAAAAAATTGCCCATACAGCTTTTGCAGCCTCATGGAAGGTGAAATGAGTGTATCCTCACGGTTTCAGGGGCTCGCCCATGGTGTTCAACCAGTCTTCGATCTTGCTCGTCTGTTCTCGGATCTGGTCGAGCGGACTCGGGTCGTTGGTGGCATTGTCGCTCCGTTGGGAGCCGAATTGATTGTTCAGGCCCAAGTTGTAGCCTGCGGTGCCTCTTATTTGCGCCATGGTGACGCTGGGGAGGAAGTAAATGGTGGCAGTTGTCTGCTTCTTGGGTTCAGGTGAGGGAGGGTTCGATCGCGGTCAGGAAGTGGTTCGGTCGAGAGTGAAGAAAGCGGGTAGCAACCGAGTAATGCAGGACGGATTTGATGGCGAGAAGGGTGGTGTGTCTTTTTCAGCGCAGCAACTGCCCAAAGTTCTTCCCAAAGTTTCCCACGCAGGGGAGTAAGATTATATTCACCCGTGGGCAAGTGAAGCAACCGTGTGTCAATCTGCAACCGAGTTCGGGTTTTCGGTGGAGGCACAGCACAAGCACAAGCACAAAATACTCGGTACTGCCTCTCTGGTATTCTTAACACGCTGGCTACTAGTCGTGGTGCGAGGTGGGTGCGAGTGGGTGCGAGCCTGCGAGGTGTGCTATTCTCAACCCAGCCAATCACGCTGTCTGGAACCCCTGGATTTTGGTTCTGACTAAGTCCACAATCCCCTTCTTGGTGGCTGCTTGGTGGCTGCTTGGTGCTTCAGTCCCCTTTACCATTTTATCCCCTCCTCGCACTGATACTCGCGAGGTACTCGTACAGGTACTGCCCCTTTCGCATCCCGTCCCACAGCTTCTCTTCTCACCGCTGGACATGTTGGTCGCGCTCAGCCGCAGAGTGTGTTTTCTAGAATAAGCGCCGCTACTCGGTCGCGTCGCTTCTACATGACTTGCATGTCATACGAGTACACAAGTCCCCAAGGGTTCTATCTTAGGGATCGTCCCGGTGGCGCAATAGCTTTTCTCTCCATACTTTTCTGAGCAGCACACTTTTTCTCCCTTTTTCCACATGGAGAAATTTGGACCTCGTGGGGTTCCATTCGGAATCTGATGACTTGATCTCCGCTTTTGCCTTTGACCTTTGACCTTAGTGATATCCATGCCCATGCTAATGCTCCGTAAATAATGCTCCACGCGGGCAAGTCTTGAATTCAAAAGAGAAACGAAAGCAGAAGAAAAGAAAATCCCACACAAACAAACAACGCGCCTCGCCTCTCACTTGACCATGCACTATTGGCAACAACACGGCGCCACATCCGCGTCGGAACGCTTCGGAGCGAAGCCCTTCTCTCACATCTTGTATGACCCGGTCAAGCCTCCCATTCGGCATCCTTGAACGTCGGATCTGTCACCGGCTCGATGGATTGGAATCGATTCGGGTTCTCCACGCCTGGTTTGATCCCATTCGATCGACTGCCGTTGATGACGGGGTGGTTGTTTGCCACAGGTCTGGCAACCGAAGAACTTGCTTCACTGCTGGTGTCATTTATATCCTTCTTCGCCTTCTTCTTGCCTTTCTTGTTGGTCACCGACTCCCATTTCTCTTCTTGTGCAAGCTCGTTTGCCCACTTGTCTTGCTCCTCCTCGTTGACTTCATCAGCCCAACTTGGTCGGCTACCAAGGACGGGCCTAGCGAGTTTCTCTCGGTCTGATGCTCCCAACGCATGAGTTTCCCCTTCGCCAACGTCTTGTTTGACTGAGTTGATGGTGGCACTATCTGGGACAGAGTTGGTGACGTTCGACAGCGGTTCTGCCTTGACAGACTCATTTACGGTGACAGTGGGTAGCTCTGGCTTTTCAAAGGTTTCGAGGAGAGGCGCAACTTCGGTGGTCTGGGCTGACTTCTCTGGGGCCGGCTTCGCAGTCTGCCAGGCATTCTGCTTCGCCGTGAACGAATTTGCCTTGGTTTGGTTCGAGCTTCCTTCGGCCATTCTGGCAGTCCGCAATTGTGCTTGTTTCTTTTGCTCGTGGATGAGGTCAGACGCCTCTCTCAAAGCCTTCTGCTCCGCTGCCTTGGCCTGTCTCTGTCTCTGTTTCTTGGTCAAGGCAGGTTGGAAGGCGGCTTTCGAGGAGCCCGCTGATGCCCTTGGACCCTCACTCTTGACATCTGTCAACCTCAGAATACCAGGTTTGGCTGCTGGGGTCTCTAGCATGTCCGACACGTCACCAGCCCGCGAGGTGGGCGCAGTCGACACGGGACCGGTGGAGGGAGATCCAATGGGAGAGAGGTCGTCGTCTGCATCACGGCCGGTGGTGGAAGAGGTCTCGGTGGAAAGTCCTGAAGCTTCCAGGCCATTTTGTTTCCCAGTCGAGTCCTTGGCGACAGCGCGTCGCTCTTTCTTGGTTGCTCCCTGCGACTTGGCGGGCTCCAATTTGGTGCCAGCCTGCGCTTTGGCGAGCTGTTGAGCGAATTCTTTGTTGCTCAACTCGTCCTCCTCATCTCGGGGCAGAGTGACTCGTTGGCCCTCAGCAGTCTGGGCAACCACCTTGTCCTCAATGGAAGGGGAGATGAGCTTCCTTCTCTTGTTGGCCTTAGCTTCAGGAGCACTGGTCGGGGTAGACGTGCCGCTGTTGCTGGTCTCCAGTCGACTGGCATGTGTCCGCTTCGCTTTCTGCCGCTTAGCAGCATGCCTCTCCGACTCTTGTGGCGGTTGTGGTCCTCGTGTAAAAGCCTGGCCAGTAAGTTTATTGAACAGGTCCGGATTGTAGTATCGGGTGAGGGCTGCGGTCAACGCAAATAGGGCGACCCAAGAGGCGGCGGTGGACCACATCTTGGGGGGTGCCAGAGTGATGGGATCAATAGTTTGTGTCTGAATGTCTGGTGGCGAGGTACCAGATGATTTTCCTTACGTTCGACAATGTCCTTAATCTTCTCTTGTGAAGTCGTGAAAGAAGGGTTGAAAAGGCCGTTGGACAATGAAGAGGTGGTGCTCGTAGGAGGCGTGGCGAAGCAAGGGATGAGGGAGTTGGGTGATTTCGCGCCGGAAGCGAGGCGGTTTGTCGCCAAATTCCGACAGACTTGGATCAAAAGTGGGGAGGAAAAGAAAGACGCGTATGGATCTGTGAAGGGGGAGGGATGCTAGAGAGAGCTCGAAAGTAGTTGCATTTGCTGTTCACGGGCGCAGATGACTGGAAGGTGGTGTCGAGATGTCTCAGGAGAGTGGATGGGGTCGAGGATCGAAATGCAGCGCAATTTAGAACCAGGCTTAAAGATCCGGGGTCAAGCCGGACTGGCTGTTAGTGGCTCAGACTCAGATTGAACCACACCACCCCAGTGACCACTGACCACCTAGCGAGCTACCTAGGTAGGCAGTGGCCACACCAACCCGCGGCCACCGTGACATCTTGGCGAGGCTTTGAGGAACCCCAATATCACCCAGGCTGCGCGATACGAGGTACTCGGTACTCCGTAATCATCCAGGCCCTGAACCTCAACCTCACTTTCCTTTTTTAATCGACAGAATTGCCGCGGTTGTCACGATCACGGATGCCAATACTCAGGTAGTTGCCGACGCCCGATAAATCCATCGTGCAGCAGCCGACTCTTTGCCTCGTCGGCCTTGCGAAAGAGACGCATCCGCAGCTGTCGCTTCTATCCTCAATGCTGACTCTACAAATAGGCCTAGACAAATGTTTCTTTCCATTGAACGTTCTTCGCTCATGGGAATAGTCGAAGTGAGCTTGTATCTGGCAAAAATTCAAACTCTGACAAAAGCAAGTCTCCGCCCCAGTCCCAGACAGAGTAGTCTTCTATAGGACGAGAAAGCTTCGGTTTTCCAATGTCGGTATCATACTGGCCGCCGCTCAGATCATTTGCTTGCTCCGCTCTTAAAGGGCAGTGCTCAGTATTTGCTTGGTCGGCTGGGCCACTTGCTGCAGCTTGTCCTTGGAGATCTGGGACTGCGTTTCCTCCAGATACACCGGGTGCCCCTGGCGCCGTGCTAAACAAATAGCTGCTCAAATTCAGATGAGCTGCCACTCCTCGCATGCGTTCCCAGAGATATTTGGAGTGGTATGTGGTCCCAGCTAGAGCGCGAAGAAGGTTCATGGCGACCAGGGAACTCTGCCGGGCTTTGAGATGAGCCTCTTCCGTTATGATGATCTCCTTTCCATTGGCAGAGGGATTTCCACGTTTCGAAGAACCGAATGTGGTCGCAAAAAGCAGGACATCCAAAGCTGTGATGAGAAAATGATTGAACAGGGCCTGGTGGAAGCGGAACTCCTTTGTGGAATTATCCAACCCTACCAATATTTCCACTGTGTTTGCGGCCACGTCCACAGACGTGGTCCAAATATCTGGCGGTGCTGCATCACGGAGAGTTGTGCAGAGAAAGGATCGGGAGATGAGGGTTCGAAGATGGTTTGCACGTAAGGAGAGGGTTGTGCGCACCAAATGGAGAGCTGCCGTCGCCCTCTCGTTCGCGCTGGTATGTTCCAAGTCGCTAGAGGTGTGTTGTGTCCATTGTTCAAGTTGGTATTGGAAAAATGCATATCTCTCTCGCCAATTATGCAATAGCTGAGGTCCAGTATCTCTACCATCACAGAATAGATCATCAGTGGCTTGCTTTCCGATCCGTGAGTACTCGGCCATGGCTATCAAGAAGACTGCACCAAGCTGATACACGCTATCAGTTAGCCGCTTAGAGCGATCACAGAGGAAGAGCTGCCAAGTTTGGGACTTACAGGTCGGGGAAATGTTGGCTCGAGGCGGAGCTCTTGAGCAGCATTTGCTACTCCCAACCCGTAGCTGAGCTGGCGTTCAAGAACGTAAATTGTCCAGATGGTGTTGACGACCCAGGAACGAGTTGAGGCATCGGGGAATGAGCGAATGAGCACAATCTCCCGGTTCAGCCCGAGCTCCAGAATGATTCGTGTGACGTTCCCTAGGAAGCGCCATCCGCGACGCCATATTCCACGACGTAGATAGAAAATGCACTGGACACAAGTCAATCTTCTTCAGTGGTGAATTCTGTGGAAAGGGCCCTTACCACCAAAGTCATTGATACCAAATCTTTCAGGTCCACGGTATCGCTCCAGAGCATTGACTCTACCTCTGAATGAACGCTTTGGAAGAGCCTCAAAGCCATGGTACTGTGCGTATCTCCCTCTGTAAGCAGCCCCGTCGCTAAAACCAGCTTTAGAATAACCAGATCACTTCGGCGTAGTTCTAGTGTAGGGAACCCGGGTGGTCTTTGATTTGAGTACGGTGCCCGGGCACCAGTGAAGCATTCCGCTATTCGCATGATGTGGGCCGTGTCGACAATGGGATACATGAGCCCTTCCAGAACCCCATACGATTCTATGGTTTGCATAATCTGGTTGTCGTCCAGCTCTTCCAGTGGGTGGAGCAAGCTCGAAGGAGAGAGCACCTGAGGCAGGGGCATGTGTGACGCTGAGCTTGGAGAACCAGAGGCATCGCTCTGGCTCATGTCACTCCAATCCCCGTCAACGATCTCGCCCTGGATTATCCAGAAAGGAGATGGCGTCGATGTTGACGGTGAGGCAGGTTGTGTCATTGGCTTGTTAGAGCCGTGGAACTTTTGGACCCCAGGATCAATTACATTTATGCAGAATAGTGAGCTCGTTTGGCTGTGGAGCAATGGTAGTCCCCTTTTATAAGCTGTCTCGAAGCCGTGTTCCCTTGAACTCGGTGGGCTAGGCAGGTTTTGAGCGCCCGTCAGCATTGCCATTTGTCCTGTCAAGAGGTCTAGCTTCCGGCCTTGCTGCTCAAGGAGCGCTAACAGCGCTGCATAACAGCGGTCTTCATTGTCCCTGATGAAGTGAGTTCTTGCTGGACGATCGATAGCTGCTAGGGAGGGTGGGATTCAGTCAGCGTACTCTTGCTGCCGCTCTTCCACTAGGAAGCTGGGCAGATGCTGTGCACTGTAGTGGCAAGTTAATGGGTCACGCGCGGCGCAGTACGCACACGGAAGGCGGCCATCACAACGAACTTTGGCGGCTTTGCATCGATTGCAGGCATGCGTTGTATAAGGATCTCGCTTTCGACGAGTAGTGGGATGTTGTGTCCCCCTCTTAGCAATTCTGCCACCAGTCTTCGCGCTGATGGTAGAGCGAGATTCAGATGGAGCAGGCATCGTTTCAACGATTCGTACCGTACATAATGAAGACTGTGCTCGAAATTGGCACAGACTCAAGACGACGTGAGAATACCTCCCTTCCTAGGTAAGTAGATAGCTGATTTAAAATCAGGAGGAACGTGATTTCCTAGCGCGGAATAGGGGCGTGCCAAGCGTCAAAGTCTGGGGGTGCGGAGTTCCTCCGTGTGGGGGAAATATCAGTTCTAGGTGCGAGATTCTAGTGAGGCTCACTAAGGCTGCCACTCAGTGGCCGGATCCTATTCGGTGAACCCCGTCATGTTCTGGTCGGAGGGTAAATCGAGTCTCACTCCTACGGGTCCAGCGGTTAATAAACAGAGGATGTCACATGCTTAGCATTTGTACACCATTGTATGGACTGGAGGAGATTCATCTTCGGGATTCAGAGGCACAAAATCCTCTTTATTACGCCGAGCAATGTCGCCGGACAGTCGTCAACCATACTCATGCTTCTCCACGCCACGAAATTGTCGGGACGTACCAAGACGCAGCCATCCTCGTTGACTTCGCGGCGATGATACCAGTCATTATAGACGGCTTCATATTCCAGACCAAACCCGACCGCAAATACCGCCACATCCAAGCCCAGGTTTTCTTTGACTCTGGCAGCAGCAACCCGCCACATGTCTCCGCCATGGCCAATAAAGAGTGCGAATCGGCCTTTGCCGCTCAGATCCAATGTGGACACCGGTTTCTGTGGAATGCTCGTGTTCAGCCAGGCATGTGGCAGTCTGACCCCAGGGTATGTATGGGGCTCGTAATACAAGACCGGATCTAAAGGTGGCTTCGGAGGCGTTCCTGCGTCGTCGAGAAAGATGGCAGACGACTCATATCGCTGTCCCATATCGGATCCCTGCGCAAGAAATTCGTGACATGTATAATCAATCGAATGGATGAGTTGCTGCCGGCGAGCTCGGCCACGTTCGGATACTTCATCCAGTATGGCCAATTGTTGCTTCCGTTCCTGCAAGGACGGGTTGAGAAACCCAAGAGATTCAAAGATAGGTATATGTTCCCTCAGAGAAGAATTCGCCCTGGGTTTGGAGCCGTTAGCTGCAGACGTCTTTACATTGTCGAACCGTGCGAGGAGCATACCGGTCAACCACTCCAGCTCCTACTGGTGCCCGCTCGACAGAATAGCTGTCCAGCAGCGATCTCCCTGCAAGTCCTGCCTCTCGTTAGCAGGTGGATCTCGCTTCGACCCCCCCCGAAACTCCGTATTCAGCTGCCTGGGAATTGAAACCTACCCTTTTCGACCAGAGCAACCTTCCATGCTAAGTTGGCGGCATCTTGGATGCAGGTATTCGATCCGAGCCCATTCATCGGAGGGTGTCGATGCACCGCATCACCTAGGCAAAATCTGTCCGGTTAGTAATGTTCGTTAGGGTTGACGGAAGTATGAGTCTTACACCTGGCCTTTGCTGTAGCACTCCGCTACAGTCTCATTGATGAACCACTTGTCTATTCGCAAGATGTCGACGGGTATTGACACATCGCCGAGTACTGACTTGGCCTGGTCCTCGACCTGTTTTTTCTCAGGCATGAAATCCGCGGGACAGGTTGGCTTGTACATCATGATCACCAACCATTCGTACCATGGCTTGACCATTCTGACGATTGACCACGCAGCAAAATCAGGCTGCTCCACATCAGGTTGAATAACATAGTGCAGATTCCCGACTCGGGACTTCATTATGTCCGACAGATCAGCTCGGAGCAAAACATTCAGTGCGATCCCTTGGCTCGGTTTGATAGACATTGGTAATCCGAGCTGCTGGACGACGGTGCTTTTGGCACCATCTGCCCCATAAAGATACTTGCATCTGATTTTTTGAATTATGCCGTAGATCCGATCCTCGACTTCTGCAAGGACCGAGCCTGGTGCTGAAGTGTCAAATCGGGTAAGTCGAGTGCTAAAGCGACAAGGGAATCCATGTTGAGTGGCATATCTGAGCAGAATTGGCTCCACAAGGGTCTGAGGGAACTCCAGATGCGTACAAGGGCTGTGAAGTTCGAAATCGCCCTGCGTGAAGCATTGTTCCCGTCAGGCATGGCATATACTTTGAGAAAAAGTAAGATATTGGTAACGCACCCCTCGCTTAGGTCCACTGCCCCATGAATTAATCCGACCGAATTCTCTCCCTTTCATCGTGCTGCACCAGCGCGTAAGTCCTTTCTCAGGGCCAGCGTAACCAAGCTTCAGGAACTCGTTTTCGAGATCCATGTCCAAGTCGCGAATGCATTCTGAGGAAATTACCAAAAACAGGATTTTAGAGAATAGAGCTTTCGATGAGACAGATCGCCAACTTACCCATCGCAGGCTGATTTATGATATGAGCTCGAGGTGTATTCGCTGAAGATGGAGAAGAGCTTATAATCAATCCTTTCAATCCTATTTTCCAACATATGCTACCGGTTAGACGATCCGGGATGCGAATCCGGGGCCCAATTCAGCCCTTTCGTTGAGACACTTACCATGCTTCCCCAGGAAACAAGCTAGTGACGCCCCAGCAGGGCCTGCTCCGACAATCAAGTGGTCAACCTCCAATATATCAATGCCCATTCTGTGATGTTGACGGGTCGCTGTGTCTGTCATGGTCTTCAAGATATTCGCAACCGAAGCTATGCACAAGTTCGAGGATGATAATGAAGCTTCAAAGCAATAAATCAAACTTCATTACCAACCCGTGAATATAGGGACGTCTTGCAGAATTCAATATGTTGGCAGTGCCGTTGGGCAGTCTCGGACCACTCCTGTTTCCTCGATTACTAGACGCTGACGAGCTATGGTACTCCCTTCGGAGAAACCCCCCTGTTCGCTCAGTTGTCGGTAGTTCCTCATTCAAGAATATGAGAGCTCTTGGCCGAGCTGAGATGTCGGTCTTCGAGCGTCACGTACAATGCGGGCACCTCATCCAAGTCCATGTCGGAACCTTCCGAAGTTCCACGGATTCCGATTACCAATAAAAGGCCAAGGGAGATGGTGGGATCTTTTCCGCCTCGATTACCAAATCGCCAGCTCCTGATAATCACAGCCTCACCTACTTTGCCGACACCCATGACTGGAGATAGGAACTGAGTAAAAAAAGAGACAGAAAACTCGGTAATTTCCACACATGCTAGCCATATATCAACATGCTGAGATTCTCTCAACCTCATCACTTAAACAAACAAAAACAACTAGCAACTCTTGGCCAGCGACCATATCTGCACCTCTCCCGAACTTCGAAACATGTCGCCAAACATTGCAGATAGCCTCATTGCAGCGGTAGCCGAGCGACGATCGGTCTACAAGCTCTCCGGAGAGACCACCATCTCCAAGGAAAGGCTAGAAGATATCGTCCAGAAAGTCCTCCTAGCCACTCCATCAGCCTTTAACACGCAAAGCACACGCATCGTTGTCCTGCTGGGAAGCGAGCACCGAAAACTATGGGACATCGTCCGGGCCGGTGTGAAGCCCCTCGTTGCAGCGGAACAGGCAGAGGCCACCGAAGCCAAAATTACTGGATTCCAGGGAGCTTACGGCACTATCCTCTTCTTCGAGGATCCAACACCGTTTGAACCACTTCAAGCGTTTAAGATGTACGCCGATAAGTTCCCAAGCTGGCGTGAACAGACTAGTGGCATGCATCAATTGCTCGTCTGGACGGCACTGGAAGCAGAGGGGCTGGGAGCGAACGTGCAGCACTATAATCCCCTCATTGACGAAAAGGTGCAGGAGACCTGGTCCGAGAAAATCCCGCGTCATTGGCAGCTGTTGTCCCAGATGGTCATTGGGAAGCCAGTGGGAGACCTACCGCCGGCGAAGGAAAAGAAGCCTGTTGATGAGAGATTCTCTATCATTGGATGAGCCTGAGAAGTGGTCCATTAGATATCTTATGCCTGCATAAACAAATTCCTGAACGGCAGATCTAGAAGAAAAGTTAGAAAGGAACTCGTCAAAAGAGATGCTGAATGGTATGGTGCACCTGCCTAGTCCCTAAGTCATGCGACTTTCCACATACTTGTAGTAGCCGGACGCATTCCTCAGAATGATGATCCATGATCAAGAGCGACTCTGTCTAAGCTTTACGGCCCGGTTCTGCCCCGGACCCGTCATACATGGTTCTCCTCCCTTGCATTACCTCAATCCATTCTGGTGTGCTCATGGCCTTCTCGCCATATTCTTTCAATGCATCCGGAATAATGCCGCCGCGCCCGACGTCTTGCAGTCTCGCTATCATCACAACGAGATGGGCATCCAGAGCCGTGGGTCTCTGTTGCCCAAACATCCAAGGACCGGCTTCTGGTCGGAGGAATGATGCTACCTCTTCCAGGTATGTGGTAGCCTTACTCACTTCGCTCTGAATTTTTTCTGGCTGCAGTGCATCGACTTTGTCCCGTTTTAGACTATTGACCCCCTTACGATTAGCCTCGAGCGCTCCGGGATTTCCGACAACCTCAGCACCGATTCGGTGAGTACCAAGGGATGGGAGGCAAGACAACACAATCAATACCGTTTAAGATGAGCACTTACATCATGAGCTTATACTCCAACGCTTTGCGATACTCTTCACTGATATCGCTTTTGGCCAGTCGTTTCAGCGCGGTGTCCGCAAAACCAGAAGCAAGTTTCGGACTCTTCAGGAAGGAGAGGGTGAAGAAGTTAAGGTCATGCATCTTCTTTAGGGACTTTTGAATGGTTTCTGCATGAGCTTCCGGCATAAGAGCAGGATAGCGTTCCGAAACGTAAGCGCTGATAGCAGTCGTTTGCGCAAGTGGAAAGGGGAATGCAGCATGACTTCCCAGCACCGGTACCTGGTAGATCGTAGATATGCATTAGAATCCTCGGGTGACACCACTGTTTGCCACCTTTCTTCTTCATCTGAGGCATACCTGGCCATTCGGGTTCACCTTCAGCAGGTACTCCTCGCTGAACTGCTCTTCACTGAAGATATCGACATTTTGTTCTCTCACATCCATTTTGACGGCGGGATCGGCGGGCTCACCACGAATGCGCATCAAATACCGCATCATGATGGAGCAGATGGAATAGTAATTGTGGTATAGGGTATATGGTGTCCCATCCGGAGATGTTTTCGTATCCGCAGCCATTCTGTGTGTCTTCAAATGTGAATATCAAAGTTTCGTATCCTTGGCGACCAAGACAGATGTCGGTCCAGCCTGGAGGGCCTGGCTGATGAAAGTATAAATGATCTAGCGAGGAGTAAGATGGCAGAGGGCGGAATCTTCGTTGTATTGGTACAAGAAATGTATCATGTGCTTCACCAATTGTAAGGTTTCATTTATTAATATGCCAAATTATTAATATCAAGGTAGTTCCGAACATACGGAACGTGGACTAAGTACTCGGTACAATTATCGAATGCTTTCCGCACCACAAGGCGCAGCCTTGTCATGACCCCATGGGGTTCCAGACCAGCGGGGAAAGTCGTCAATAGCAGCACAACCCTGCCTCCCTCCCCATCCAACATTATGTTCTCGATACTTTCGCGCTATCTTATCAAAGCTTTTATTATTAAGCTGATGCTAACGGAACATCCGGGTGTAACGCGCTGGTTAAGGTGAAGGTCAGCGTGGTGGCCTGAAGTTGATCACGAAGTGCGGAAAAGCAGTGCCTCGACCTGCACATTAAAAATGCATCTTACTCAAAACCAACGTTCCCTCAATAGCAGAGCCTACCACAAATCGACACCGGCGATCCTCTTGAAGTTTGCTCGAAGGATCACAGGACATCATGTTTGAGACAGCACTATCTGGAAATAGTTCTGCAAATGTCATGCAGACTCTCTGGTCAATCCCTTTTGCTTGGAAACTGACATTGCCAATATTGGCTGTTGTCTTCTACGTATGTTCCCGGCGCCCGCCATAAACAATTCAAACCATTCCGATTAAGTCTTTGCCCGTGTCTTTGCTAACGAGGCACTTATCAAGATTTTGATACTGATTGTGTACCGACTGTGGTTGCACCCGCTTGCAAAATACCCTGGACCACTGCTAGCCAGACTCACTAACTGGTATGCCGTGTACCATGCATACAAAGGAGACCGACATCTGGATATGTACTATGCACATCAAAAATATGGTGAGCAGGCCAGGGGAGCTGAGGAGCTTCTGCTTACGAGGTCGACTCCGCTAGGCAAATTTGTACGGCTCGCTCCCAACCTGGTTACAGTCAACGATGCAGCCGCCATAAAGGGTATGTCTGTTGAAGAATGGAGCATTCACATTCACACTCACAAGGGCGGGATGCCGACTGACAATATCATAGAAATTTATGGAGTCAATCAGAATGTCAGAAAATCCGTCTTCTACCAACCAGCCATTGAGCATTCAGGGATAGAAAGCACATTCAACGCTCGTGATAGACAGCTCCACGCCCAAAAAAGACGTATTTTAGCCCCGGCCTTCACAGAACCCGCGTTGGCGGCTATGGAGGACTACATGCAATCTCACATCCGCCGATTGTTCCATGCAGCCTCTGGAGAGGAAATCTTCCAGAGCGAGGCGCAATGTTGGACAGCCGACATGGGGAAATGGGGCAACTACTTGACGTTCGACGTCATGGCAGATCTAGTATTTGGAAAAGACTTTGGTATGCTTGCTGGCGATGAAAGCAGAGAACTGCCTGAGATTATCGACGGGGCTGTGCACCGTGAACTGATTGTATGGAGCTTCCTATCTCCCAATAGAGGGGTTAGACTAACTCGCGCTGCACTGCCATAGGCCGGCTCAAGTCCCTTTGTCAACAGATGGGGACTAGACAAGATACTCTTTCCAGACATTGTCAAACGAGGATCAAAACTGATCAAGTACGCAAAGCAACAGGCCGAGATCCGGCTCAAGGCCGATCCAAACCGGAAGGACTTCTTCTGGTATCTGAGCAACGCCAAAGAGAAGGATGGCCGTCTATCTTATTCTGATCCGCGAGAGATCTTCTCCGAGGCCAGGACATTGATTATTGGAGGTACGAAATGCACAAAGGCTAGCGAAAGGTGAATGTAAACTTTAACAGACATGCTGACTGCCTCTCTTCGGCGCCGCAAACAGGTTCGGATACTACTGCCACCCAGCTTGCGGCCAACTTCTTCTACATCACTCAAAATCCCAAGACACTGGCGAAGCTCACCGCGGAGGTGCGTTCCACCTTCCCCAATGTCGACGCCATTCGACTAGGACCCGCATTGGACTCGTGTCGCTATCTGCGCGCCGTGGTCGACGAGACTCTTCGCATTAGCCCCAGTCTTCCAGGAATACTGCCGCGCGAAGTCCTCCCTGGCGGCCTCAGCGTCTGTGGCGAGCATTTCCCTCCAGGCGTCGATCTAGCCGTCCCAATTTATACTGTGCATCACAATACCACGATCTACCCATGCCCGCACAAACACATCCCAGAGCGCTGGCTGCCCGATCAAACGAGCGAGGAAGCAGTCAAGCAATGCCATGAGGCGCTGACTCCGTTCTCCTACGGAAGCAGGATGTGCATTGGCTGGCGCCTGGCGTTGATGGAGCTGCGGCTCACAATTGCCCGTGCGGTGTGGATGTTCGAGTTGGAGTATCTGGGAGGAGGACGGGAAGACCGTTTACGCGGGCCTGACTCGGAGGGAGTTGAATACCAGCTCTTGGATCACATGGCAGCAGGACGAAACGGACCGATCATCCGCTTCAGGAAGAGAGAGGCGTTTTGAACCCGGGAATAAGCATGATGCAGCACCTGCCGATGAATGACCAGAAGGACGCTGGGGATGAAGGCCGACTATTGCACGACAACCATGCCGTACGTGAAACGGGGTTCTAATGAGATTGGAGGTAGTTTATCTGTCGCCCCGAATATATGAGTTGCTCTGAAGATAAGTGGTTTGTCAGCCTGCTGAATTCTATCTTAGGTGAGAAATCAAGATATGTAACAGCGCTCCCTTGATACGAATTTGCAGTGCATACCTGACCTCGGTGGCGAACAAGTTACGGCGCCTGTGGCCGGATCTCACACACCTTAGACTACATATGCTTTCGACCAGCCTTCCAATTTAACAATGCCAACCCCCATCAGCACTCCAGATTGCTCCCGTGACAAAAGTGCTCTCGTCGCTCAAGAGAAACGCGATGATGCCTGCGATCTCTTCTGGTTTGCCCTTTCTCTGGAACGCTTGGGCACTCATGTCTGCCTTTTGGACCTTTTGTGCTTCTTCGACGGCTGTCACCATGGGCGTGTCGATGAAGCCCGGGGCCACTCCGTTGATTCGGATGTTGTTCTTGCCTTCTTCCTTGGCGGCGGCTCGAGTCAGGCCCGCCACGGCATGCTTGCTCGCGGTGTAAATGCTGCTCTTGACCTGGCCAAGCAGGGCGAGCACGCTGGCGGCGTTGACGATCGACGCACCCGACTTCATGACCCGGAGCTCCTCGCGCATGCAGTTGAAGACGCCTTTGGCGTTGATGTTGAAGATCAAGTCCCACTCGTCGTCGGTCTCGTCGCGAAGCTCCAGGGTCACGGCATGTCGACCTATGACCCCGGCCAGATTGGCGGCACCGTCGAGCTTGCCAAATTCCTGCACCGTCCTGTCCACAAAGGTCCGCACCTGCGAACGGTCCGTGACATCGACCACAGTGTAGATGACCTTGGTCCCCAGCGCCTCGATGGACTTAGCGGCGGCCTCTAGTTGTTTGGCATTAATGTCGGCTAGCGACAGACTGGCACCCCTGCTGGCCAGCAACTTGGCTGTGGCGAGGGCAATTCCAGAGGCGGCTCCGGTGAGGGCAATGACTTTTCCTTCGAAAGAGCTCATCTCGACTAAAGGCCTGAAACGTTTGGGATGAGACAATCTGGCCCCTTTCACTGCCCGCACCGTGCTACCATGCCCTTATATCCATGCTAATGCCCGCGGCCTCTCCAACCTAGTGGCTGGGGAATGCCGGTTAAGCTCAGAACCCCGCGTCCGAGCCTGGGAGGACTCCGGGAAGACTTTGGACGAATACCAATCCACAGGGGAATGGACGCCTCGCGAACGTGACGGTTTCCTCGGTAGAGCGGCTCGAGCGTTGGGGAGTCAGAAGAATTGAGAGGTTGAAACTGTGGAATCTGATCGCGTGCTGTCACGCCTGAGTCATACCTACATACCTAGGTAGGTAGCTATTAGGTAGGGCACCATAGTGACATTCAACTGCGATGGGCGCCGGCTTTTCCCCATCTCCAGCAGTTAGGCTTTTCCTCGTCTTGCCCCGACCTTTTGATGCAGCATTGAGTTCAGCCAGCACTGAAGTCCACTGCAGTTTCTCAAAGGCCAATCAAAATTGACCCGGATTCGACCCGAGGCCAACCCGGAGTCGGAGTGAGGGCTTCACGGGCCTCTTCCCTATGACCAGCGTTTCTCTAAACTGATAATTCACCGCCATCCAGACTGTCGCCAGCAATCGACAGCGTGGCTCAAGCCGGCGGGAAGACTCCACGAGTGTCGCCATCCTCTTGATGTGACGGTCTGAAAACCAGACATTCAGCGAGTCACTCGGCGAAACGGCCACACGACAGCCGGGGGAAGTCTGAGGTACCACCCAGGTACGAGCTCAGTCCGAAGCGAGCAGGTACTCCACGGTGTCTGATTGCCCAGCGTCGGATATTCGGACCGTCGGCACGTGAGCGTCTATTCAGCAGCAAGGCTGGAAAGACGAAGGCCTCAGTCGCCTTTTGCTCTACACCCTGCTCGCCGCTCGGTAGGGAGCAGCAATCCAGACAGAATGTCCGATTGTGCTGAGAAGGTGCATCGGCGTCGCCAGCATGCCACCCTGGCCTGTTACATGTGCCGCAAGCGCAAGATCAAGTGCCCGAGGCAGCTTCCTCACTGCATGATATGCAAAGAAACCTCGCAAGAATGCGTTTACCCTGCAAAGCCAATGCGGCCAGGCCCAAAGATAGGCAGTACCCATGCTGCCACCCAAAGGCGACAGCGTAAGTTCTTAGTTCGTCTGCTGTTCGAAAAGGTACTGACGCTACGGCTCCAGCGGGGATGGACGGTCTAGAGAAAAATCCACAAGAGCGACGAGCCGTGAGGATCGAACCACGAAAGATGACACAGGCCAACACGTTCGATGATAGCTCTCCATCCTCGGCACAGTCCCAATCGTCACAAGGTCCTTCTCGACTGGACAGTGTGACGAGCCTTTCATTCATTCTCCACCCCACCGTTGGGAATTGCTCGCCAGACCAGACTGAAGCCGCTCAACATTTTGAAGACACAGATAGTGGTTACACCGATGCACTTATGACGAGCTGCAAAGCCTTGGGCTTGACTCTACTACAATTGAACACACTGTAAGCTGGCTTCAACTCGAACTCTCGTTCTCCCCGTCAAGATCTTTGGGGATGCAGTTTGAAATAACAAGCGTATAGACTCCCACGATACTTTGAAACATTCACGTCCTTCCAGCTCTTTCGGTTGTCGGTACTACGAGCAAAACTGAGGCAGATCCCCACCGCCACTCAAAGAACCGCACTTTTGGCAGCGATGCTGGCGTTTGGGCTCAAGGGACTTGACAGAGACGATCTGGAAAACATCGTGCAAGAACGAATTCTCCCAGACTCAACCGACGTTCCAAGCATCCATTTCCGGGCGCTGGGGATCAAACACATGGAACAAGCCATCGCAGAACTCAGCGACGAACCCTTGACCCTTCCTCTCCTGCAGGCACTGATCTTAAATACCCACTGTCTGCTTGTTCAACATGTGAGAGGCAAGGCGTGGAGGTACCTGGGGACTTGTATCAGAACCGCCTATGAACTGAATCTTCATCTCATCGATGCGGGCAAGCAAAGTCATGAAAGTATCGTAAATGCAGAAAAATGGTGCATTGAGGAAGAATGGCGTCGGGCCTGGTGGGCCATCTGGGAGATGGATGTGTTCGCCAGTGTCATTCGTCGATGCCCGGCGGGGATTGACTGGAGTCAGAACGAGACGTTTCTGCCGGCAGAAGATGAGAGATGGTATCGCGGTGAACCCCAGCAGAGTTGTTTCTTGGACATCAACGTGACTGCCCGATGGAAAACACTGGCCGCTACTAAAAACCGATCCCCAATTGCATGGTTCATCGTCCTCAATTCCCTCATGAAAGACGCACAAACCATTTCCAGTCCAAACAGCATCGAAAGACCTCTCTCCTCAGACCCTGGGCTATCGGAAGGAACGGCTGAGGGCGTGATTGACGAGCACCAGCGACTGCTCCTTCAGAAGAAAACCGCGGCCACAAAGCGTCTCAGTACCATCTCCAATGCTCTCTACTGTGCGGTCATGGCTCTTCCTGAAGAACTCAAGTATCACGGTCAGCATCTCAATTTTGGGGGCTTGGATCTGCAGCGGCCGGGTGCCGTTGCGCAACGTCTCGCTCACAGCTTCATCTACAGTATCTATCTCATGACTCAACTGACAAAACTCATGATATTGAAGTATCATGTATTCCGCTCAGGGATGAAATGGACTCTTCTTCGCGACTGCAAAACTTCAGGCCACCGTGCCGCTGGTCTTGACGACCCCGTGGGATCCCCTTACCGCTCCGCATCAGCAGAACCACAACATCTATTACAATACTTCGAGGCGGCGGATAATGTGATAAGCATGATTCGAAGCTCTGCAGAAGATCACTACAAGCATATTAACCCGTTCCTCGCCAGCACGGCATGGCTGGCGGGGGCTGTCCAGCTGCTGCGTCGGAGCCGGCTATCAGACGACGACCCGGACCGAGATCTAGTCACCTCGAATTTTGAACTGGTGCGTCTGGCGTACGAGAAGAACGTGAAGTTCTGGAACGTGTCACAGGTTCCCTTGCGCAATTGGGAGGCGCTCGAAAGCGGACTCGAGAGCATCAAGAGCAATCCAGGAGACGGGGACAAATTGCACGATGAGGCATCGTGCGTTTTCGTTCCCGGCAACACGGGCCTGCCACGGGTGCCACAGAGACTGTTACACGCTGAAGAGATGTCAAACACTACCGGCGACTGCGGTGGTGTCAATGATGTTTTGAGGTACCCTACAGGCGACGGCGGTGTCAGAGACGGCATGACGGAAAGACCCTCTGGCATTTACCACAACGGGGGCCTTTCCACCCTGTCGCCTCCGCAGTACCAGCACCAGCAACATGCGCCGTTCTTGTCAAATCCACACCCCCTGTACGGAGGAGCGCCGCCACCACCGCCGGCTCTGTTGGGACAAAACCCGCATCATGAGCCCCATCTCAGCATCGGGATGACCTCGTTGACTACGAATGTTGGACCGGAGGGCGTGACTTCGTTTCCGAGCACCGATGTCCCAGTTGCTCCGTTCTCGCCGACGTGTCTAGACGCTATGCCGTTTGCGTTGGATCGGGACATGAACATGGATTTCTCTAGTTACCTCGACGAGATGTTCTCCGGCCCGTACTTGCCATGAGAAACGAAATGTGGAGAACTCGCTATATGGGCAAGGAGCAGGTTGGCGAGTGATTCCAAAAGGAGTGCCGATTGAACTGCTATATCATCCAGCCTACAGATCGCCATCGGGACCTCATGTCCTACTTCTTCGCATCGGCCTCCATTCCGTGCCTGATCCAGGCCTCGTTTGTTTTCAGATAGGTGTTGAAGGCCTGCTTGTCCTTGGACAAGGCGTCCAAGTTGACTTTCTTAGGCGTGTTGTACCCCTTCTGCACGGCCGGCCGCTGAGCCATGCGCTGCTGCCACTCTCGGACGTGAGGGAACTCGTCGATCTCGACGCCGGCGAATCCTATATTCAAGGACCTGGATTAGAATTTACTGGCGAGGCACAGAGGAAGGTTCGCAGAAAAAGCAAAGACACACGTACCGAGAATGTTGGCCCACGAGGAGATGGCAATGTCGGCAATGGTGGGCTTGTCCCCGACCAGGTACTGAGACTGCGAGTCTTGGAAATGCTTGTCGAGCGTGCGATACAGTCGACGGGTCTCGTTGATGTATCGGTCCTTGGAGTACTGCTCGGGCAGATCTGACAGGTTATATCGCAGGAAGTGGTTTGCCTGGCCCTGCATGGGGCCGATGCCCGCGTTCTGGAAGAAGAGCTGCACAGAGATTGCGGGTTAGAGGCTCGGATTTGACAGAGCAGAAGAACAACAGCGACTGCCAGGGGAAGCGAGGCCCATACCCAGTTGTTGGTCTGGTAGAATTCCTTGGTTCCCCTCGGGTACGAGATCTTGTTATCCGTGTCGTACCGATCCACGAGGTATTGCTGGATGCTGCCGGACTCAAACAGCTTTATGGGCGTGCCGTCCTCCAACGTGTCGGTCAGGGCCGGGATGCGCCCGTTGGGATTGATGTCGAGGAACCACGGCTCCTTGTGCTGGATGGCCGGCAGGTTGACGTGGACCATGTCGTAGTCGAGCCCGAGCTCCTCGAGAGTGATGGCCACCTTGTGTCCATTGGGCGAAAACGCCGTGTAGAAGACAATCTTGTTCTTGTTCTCGGCCATGGCTTTTTTGGAAAACAGGCCTCCTTCGTCTTCGAAACTGGTTTGGAGGTGAATTCTAGGAACAGGTTAGGGAAATGGATACTCGGGTTGGGTTTAAAAAGGCCGTTGTGACGGCTCCATGGGCACAGCGCTCATTTGTAATCTGGTCCCATGGTCCGCGTCTTCTTGTCCTCGTGAATCCCATATTGACAGGTGAGGGGGCCCGTGAAATAACAAATCCAAGTTCTCGTTCTGCTGTGTGCAAACTCTAGACTCGAGATTTAAGCCTTTTTGAAATGCGTTCTAGACTCACACGAACCCATTGTTCGGCGGGCCATCTCTGGGCGGATTTCGGGGAGTTTACACTGTGTTTCGCGATGTTCCATCTCGTAAGCATCATAGTAGATGCATGCTCCAGATTTGTAGCTCCTGACCGCATAAACGCTTCTCGGTGTGCAGGACGTTCTAGGAAAGTACTGGGGATACGCTCCTGCAATGTATTTATAATGAAAGAAAAGGTCCAACTGTATTATGGTACTGATACTCTTGATGTGCTGGTGGCCGGACTTCTTCTTCCTCTTTTGAATCTCTTTTCTATCCCTTTTCGCTCGGTCAAATATATCTCATCCTGCCGTCCATCTTCGAAGAGCCGTGCAATTTACTTTGTTACTTAGGTCTTAGATAACAAGCAGGAAAAGACATGTCGACCACTACCTCCACCACCACGTCCTCAGCCGGCAAGGTACGCATGTGCCTGTTGATCCCGCGCAAGAAGGGCATGAGCGCCGCCGACTTTCACGCCCACTGGGCCAACGTGCATGGACCGCTGGTGACTGAGTTGTGAGTTTATCTCCCCCATGACCAACCACCATCGCCCTGGCGGCTAGAGATCGATCCCTTGCGATGCAGAAGCAGAAAGCAACTGGATTTACGTCCAGGGGTCAGGGCCTTTTTGCGAGAAAAGCAGTTATTTACTATTTGTGGGGTCTCGAACTGATCACGAAAGGGGCCTGGGGTTAGACTGATGAAATACGGCGTGTCGGACTATACACAGGTATATATCTGAACCCTTCACTCCACCATGTCCCGGAGGCCAGTTGTTGGACGCCAGAGCCGATGCTCTATACGTGACGAGATGATGATTGACTCACGAGTTGGGATATGGCCAAACAGTTCCACCGAATCCCGCACCGCGACGAGGCGATTGGTGTGCCGCCTCAGTACGACGGCATCGCCGACTTTACGTTCGACCGGTACGTTTCTTTTTGCTTGTCTTTTTCATCTGTCTATCTGTGCAATCTCGTCCGTGTGCTCTGTCCCTGGAGTCTTATTTTCCTGTTGAATTTGTTTGAAAAAGGGAGAGGAACACCATGGCTGACTCTGAGGCTCAAACCCAGCTACGAGGACATGGAAGCCTTCTACAAAGACCCGTTCTACCTGGAGCACATCCGGCCGGACGAGTTGAGATTCATTGATGTCGACAACATCGTCTTCAGCGTGGGCAGGGACGTCAAGGTCATCGAGGGAGGAAAAAATGTCCATTCAACCCCGACGGGCTATTAGGCGTCGTCAGTCCTGTTCCACCCTGTCCTGACCTCCAGGGACTGTATCTACAGTAGATATCATAAGGGGATGGGAAATCAACCTCTTCAAGCGCGATTGAGGGGGGCGAATGAATAATCCATTTCTCCTGCTGCGAGAAAAAGCACCTTTTCCCGGTGTCTTCTCTCCCGCCCCGTCCCGTCGTGTCTCTTTCTGTCCAACTGCATATGGCACATTTGGCGCGAGAGACGATCCTTCAAGATCCCCTAACATCTAAATGGGCGGGCCGTGTTCTCATTTCCCACTTCCCCCAAACCAATCCTCGATGGGCGGGCAAACATTGCCGCCAAACGAGCCCGAGTCGAGGAACATGTACTTATAGTCGCGGCGTGCAAAGTACCACTTGCCCTCCACCTTTGCGTACCGGTCCTTGTAGATTGCAAAGTTGTTGTAGTACGTCTCGTTAGGGCCCTTGGCCACCTCGCGCATGATGAAGCGGCCCGTTGCATGGGTGCTGTCTTGGAACTCAACCACGCCGGAATGGACCAGCTGCACGAAGAAATCCCACGGCGCCAGCAGCTTCTCCAGCATATCGACGATGGGCGACACGCCCGACTCGGACATGGCGAACGGCTCGCTCAACGTCCATACGGCAGTCCCGGAGGTGTCGGGGATCCAGAGCTGCGCGAACGCGGCCGAGTCCGGCGGGCTGCACGCGTTGGCGAAGCGGGCGACCAGGTCCCGAATGCTCGATTCGTCGGCGAGGCGCTGCACCAGGTTGCTGGCGTCGGGGCTTGACATGGTCGCGGTCGCCGAGTTTGTGACACTTTTTGACAAGTCAAGTCAAGCGACCTTATGAGGACGACCACGAGGGAGCGAGGTGGAGAATGTAGTGATTATGTATATATATATCACAGGCTTGGGAGACAGGGGCGACCGCGCACTTCGGCTGGTCTGCGGCATGATTTCGTGCGGAATCGTTGTCGTATTGGGAGGCCACCGAACGGTGGCGGATTGGGGCAACTTTCACCCCGGAAAATCCATAGCAACTACAGCTCCGGTCCGTCCGCAAAGACTCCAGATAGCACTCTAACTCCCGGTCCATTGGCGTGCCTTCTGAAGAGGAAGAGGCAGATGTGAAGAGGCGGAGCGAGTCTCCACTAAGCAAGTAATCCGCGTGGGACACTAACTATAAAGAGCCCCTGTTTTCTAAGCCATACCAAAAGGAGGAAACCACGTAATGTGCTCTATTAGTACTACATGCTCTGCTTTGTACAGCCATGAATCTCAATTATTAATGGTACGGGTGAAGAATTAATGGCGCATATACTCACCCGACCCCTTAACCTCTGTTGCGAAATAGGTAGTTATTTGGATTCATGATGACATCTAACCATTTGAGTATTGGTTAGACTCAAGTGTAGTGACTGATTTTGTTCAGATAGTTCCGATACAATTATCTGAATATTTGGAGACCAACATCTACAGCACGCTCGGCTCTCGCCTATCTGAGCACGGAAGTGAAGCGCTAGGCTTTGTGCCATTCGCCCGGCAGGTACAAGGCAGGCAGGAGCATCATGCATAAGACCAACCTTTGCCCAAGCCGAGCCGTCCACCCCAGGCTTCCAGACGCTCGTCAATGCCTTGTCGATGGTGGATGACACATGTCACTACTCTTTATGAGACACAGTCATTTCCAGGGTTTGGCTTTCCCCCACCTTCGACTCCGAGGTGTGTTGATGGACTTGGACTTGCTCGTGCACTCTTTCGTGGAGGCGATCCCGAGCCTCGCCTTTGACAAAAATGTAGTCAATCTCTTCGAGTGTTTTCTTCGCGGTCTGAGATTCAGTCAGCTTAGGCCATGGATCACGTCTCTTGGACCAGGTTTCTGCTCACCTCGGGAACGAAAAAGTAGACCCAGGGAATGCTCAAAGCTTGTAGCAGGATGAAGAGCAGGAAAATCTTCCAACCCGTGTGTTCAACGGCAGTGGGGGTGATCTGGACAATGATAAAAGTACAAAGCCATTCTGAGAAGGGGCCTATGGCGGCGCCGATGTGCCGGAGTCGAAGAGGCGTGATCTCGGGTGCATAGATCCACGGAACTGTGCACCAGGTCATTCCAACCGTGATCTGGAACAGAACCAACATGGCCAGAGCAAGATTCGAGTAATTGTCCCCTTTTTTGGCAATTCCCACCGTGAACAGGACCAGTGAGATGAGCTGTACTACCGACCCGATAAGAAGAGTTGGTCTTCTGCCAAAAGAATCAATGTAACTGTAATATGAAGAAAATGGGGTTAGCATCCTGCTGCGAGCTAGTTTGGGAAACCATTGGACCCACAAAATCGTTGGCAGCGTGCCAATCCAGAGACCCATTTGAATAAACCCAGCAGCCAGACTGGCAGTGGAGCTGGACAAGCCCACGTTCTGCTCCAGGATGATGGTCACGAAGAAGACGACAGCGTTGACGCCGCTGAATTGCTGAAAGAACTGGATGAAAAAGCACAGAAGCAGCCGCCTCATGGGCTTTAGCTCTGTCTTGTCGCTGAGTATGCCTTTCAGGGTGATGGAACCTTGTTGTCGTTCTAGTTCTAGGGATTCTTCCATCTCGTTCTTGATAAATTGTACTTGATCGTAGTCTTCAGTCGTGTCCATGAGTCTCGCGAGCACAGTGACGGCCTCGTCCTTCCGATCGTGAGAGTAGAGCCACCGTGGAGTTTCAGGGAGGAACGGCATGGTGACCATAGTAATGAGGGCGAAGACGATTTGAAAGGCAATAGGGAAACGCCAGACCACCTAAGAGAATCTTTGATTAGCAATGAGGAAAAAGCCCGTTGACTCAGATAGAACTCACCTCGCCCTCAAGATTGTTAATCGTTCCATAGTCAAGCCAGTAGGCAAAAACAATTCCGAAGATAACGATGGAAAGCTGAACGGCTACCATCCGGCCTCTTCGGTGGCTTCGTGCTGTCTCCGAGACGTATACTGGGATGGTCGAAGTGTTCAGGCCTTAACACCCACCCAACGAACCACAGGTCAATTTCTGGCTTCAATTGAAGTGGGAGATCACGGTAACTCACCATTCCCAAGGCCAGAAATCAGGCGACCAGCGATCAGCTGTCCAGAACCGTAGGTGGCAGTCTGAATGATGGCACCAACAATCATGATGGCATTGCCCACAAGGATGGTGTTCCGCCTGCCGAATTTGTTGCCCCAGATCGCCGCTGAGATGCAGCCGGCGAGACAGCCGACGTTGTAAAGGGCCACGATCGTGCCGAGGAATGAGGCATTGGGGTTGCCGATGGCCTCGAGAAAACTTGGTTGAGACACCAGACCACCCAGAACGCCCTGGTGACTCTGGTCAGCAGACTCGTCGTGGCCGACAAACAAGTCTTGTCTTGCCGGGGTCATACCTGATCATAGCCAAAAAGCAGGTAGCAAGATCCTGACGACAAAGTGATGGCCCATATCAAGGCCGAGCCACGTAGATTGTTCAGCATGTCTGAATATTCTTTGTCCTTAGGGGAACTTGAACAGTGTCCCCAATCTATCGACCAGGGCGATGCACTCTTTTAAACCAAGACAATAGTCAAGAAAATAACCTAGCTTCATGCAATCCCCATAAAACGCTAAGGTTCTTAAAGTCTCCTCAAAGTCCATACCCCATGGGGGGCTATGCGGATGGACCCCGGGTCGACCCCGGGTCGATTCCTTTGCTCGCCACAGTCGCCAGCGACGCCTGTGAGACGGGTGACCAAACCGTGGCAGTAGTACCTCGAGGAAATGAACAGTACATACGTAAAACTCAGAGATTAGAGCTTAGACGGCTTGCCCTCCAGCGCCAGTCGTCCGGAAATACCCCAAGCAAGCAAATCCTTTCGTTGAACCATTTTCCACAGGTTCATGTTGGCGTGGGAGTGGACGCTACCGCCAATTCCAACGCCCATGTCTGGAATACCGGGGTCATACCGGGGCAAGGCATGGCGCGTCCTTCAGATCTCTGACCATGGCCGAGCTGGAGTAAAGAGTATAGGAATGAAGTCTATACAGCTATCCGTGTTAGAGGATGAAGGCGCTGGAAGCATCGAGCGAGTGATGGTGACGAAATTTTTGTGAGCAGGTGGAGAAGAGCGCAAAGACTGGGAGCACGCGACCTGGCGATGCAGAGCTACGTTCGAGCAGTGGGGATGGGTCTGGTGTTGCTATACGGCAGCGAAGGGTTCGGAACAGACGGCAGGACAGGTGTGATGGATGTGAAGCAGACCGTCATTGATTCAGAAGAAAATGTGCTGTTGGTAGTGGTGGATGTATTAGAGCAGAGAAGCTCTTGGAAGGCCAATTCGGCACAGCTGCACCCCAGACTGGGTTCCCGGCATTCACCAGTCACTGGCAATCTTCTTCTTCTCTTTAATGTTGTTTGGCTCGTTTAAATTAGACCTCTTTGATGCCATTCCCGGGTCTCGAAATCTACCAGCACTGCTGCCCAACCACATGCTTGTACCTTGCGTTAGTCAAGCTCTGGTACGATGTTCTTGTTTACAGAGGACATAAGGGTGACCGAGAGTAGGTTAAGACATTGGAGAACGGTGCAAAATCAGGAGAAAATGTAACATTCGTGTTCAATCAGTCTCCCAAATCCATTCTCCCAATCTGGGTCCTGTATTGCGATCGTAAACGCCTTGCTCTAGCAGAACGCCTTAGTCTGTCGTAAAGCGTAAAGAAAACATCAATCAACTCTCAAAAATCAACGCTCATCTGCACATGTTTGCACAGACCCATTCAGGGCTGGCCAGTTCCTCAACAACAACTTTCGTCCTTCTTGACGTATCGGAGGGAGGAGTCATAGCCACCTGTGGCTATGGAAAAGAGGCATCCGCGGCTGCCTGAATGTTCACCATTCCATCGGCTGGTTCGATGGGACAACATAATGAAACTGCCATGAGTCCCTTCTCTTTGGGACGAATAGATCTCCAGCAATCCGTGATACTGGATGCACAGCTGGTGGCGGTTTGATGATTGGATCCGACAGATGCTTGATCCGTGCTGGACTGTCACTCTCGCTCTGCACCTGGCCGTGGTGGATGCTTGGGTGGACACTTTGTGTCTCGCTGCTGCTAAGACCGTCATCTTCATCTTCAGCATCACTAGAGTAAACCAGATCTTGCATGTCCACCTGCTCTGAAGACCGCGTTTTAGCCAGCGTCGGCCTCGGTTCCGTCTGTTTTCGCGGTCGACCAATAACGCATAATGGAAAGCGCATTTCAGGTTCCGCAGCAGGTCTTCTGCGTGCTTCCATGACTGCAGCACTGGGAGGAGGAAGCAACATCCAGGCAGCTTCGGCCCTTGTAGCAGGCAGCTGGGATACAACCGGAGGATGTAGATCATTCACTTCGGGATGCCTGACCCGATTGTAGTCGTATCGCTCACTCTCATTTGTGGGCGCACGCTTCCGTCTATGCGCCGATGGCTCTCCGCCCTCTTCTTGGTCCTCGGGATCCTCATGATGCATCCCTGAAGTCGCCCGGTTCCATATTCTCGTAACTCTCTCTGTGAACCCAGGTAAAATCTCATCCTCTCGGTCATATCTTTTCCAGTTCCATTTGGGCGGATGTAAGGTCGTGCGGAGAGAATGTTTCAGGTCCTCCATAGCACTGGACAGTCTTCTTTCTCGCGGTGGTCTTTCTTGAATCGCCGCAGACTTGTCGCGACTAGCATCTGCATCCTCAACCTCGTCTGCGGTGGAAGATGTTCTTGCTGAGGATTCAGTGGGCGAGTCTGTGAGTGTCGTCGATGGTCTTGCAGACGGCTGTACTGGCTCAGACGTTGGTGGAGGGGTTTCCATCGGTGCGGGTGTAGTGTCTGAGGTGGGCGGCTCTGTGTGCACTTTCTTTTGCAACTTCTGCAGCAGCGTATCTTTCTTCCAGCCTTTAGGCGGGCCAGGGCCCAGCATCAGTTCTTCTGCCCATGCTTCATTTGTCTGAAAAGGCCCAGGCTGCGTGACAATGCCTGGTTGAGTGACGACAATCTCTGCTTTCGCTTGTGCTTGCTCTTTCGCTTCCCTCCTCCTTTTCCGCCGGTGTTTGTAGCCTAGCCAGGGCGAGCAAGAGACGTAGTAGAAGACGGCAGACTGGACTCCACGAAGGAACCAGTTGCCCGGTTCGGCGGTGTATGGAGCGGGCGCCATGGTCAGCGTTGAGCGTACAGCGCTCCCTTTGAATTGAGATGTTGCAGTCGTCTTCGCCGGCCCATGGTACCGTTTGCGGTGACTGCAAACAGTGAAGGAGTTGACGGCGGTAGGCGGGGAAGTTGAGCTGAATCACAAGTGCGCGGCAAGTGCGAAGCAAGCCGTGTAAGAATTACACATCAGGTCGTCAGTCAAATCACTCCTCGATCTGCAGACACGGTGACGACGTGGTGGAGGCTGTGGTCCTGCTTGAGGGTCTCATAGGCCAGTGAGGGCGGCCAATGATACCATGACAACAAAGGGGAAGCTTGAGAGCATTGCACGTGACAGGATCACCATTGGCCTATATTAGCGACTTCGTTCTGGTAGCTTTATGCACCACCGGAGGATTCTACGGGTCTGAGTACGGTAAGGCATAGAGATTTTTGCGCTTTGTTCATCTGCGCTTCAAACCTCGAGGTCTACTTCAAGTTGGTCTGATTCAAATTCGACGGTATTCACCTTCTCCTAGGACTAAACCCTTGGATTCCGAAAAAGGATGAAAATCATACAAATTGTATTGTTCAACAAATACAAGACCGTCATCTATGACCAAACTCCCTGGCTATGCAAGAGAGATCCCAACAAATAGCTTCTCACGCGAAGGTGAAATCACCCCTCCAACGCCTCGAATAATCATCAACTCATCTTCTGAAACTCCGAATCAAAGTCCGAACCCGCCTGTCCTGGATCTGCCCATACATCATGTTCCTCTGTCAAAGTTGCTAGACCTGGATGGTAAACCTCAGCCTGGTAGCCCAACTCGAGTTGTGGCGCAGACTCATAGGCAATTGTCCTCGGGATTTCATGTGCCGACTCCGCACCGCCTTCATAATACACGAGCTGGTAATTAGGGTCCAGTTGTCCCAGACGAGGGTCGAGCATGTCGTGCTGAACGGGCACCGCGACAGGCTGGGGCGCAGGGTACGTCGTCAGCAGCTCATGGTGCTCAGCATGCGGCAGCGCCACCAAGCCCATTGTCGTCTGATATGGAGAAAAAGCATCCTCTAGCCTTCGATAGGTGATATCGGGTACATGCTCGTACGGCCCAACGGCAGCTGCAGCTTGATAATAGTCTCCCACCATACCATTGGAACTGACCATGATGGGAGCCGGTGCGTATGGATTGCTCATTTCATATCCTGACAAGTGATGCTGTGCTGGTATCACGCGGTGGTAGACGGCTGGCCTCTCCTCGAATGGTGTGGAGGATGCACTTCTGCTCTCGAAACGCCGGACGCTGCGACTGCGCTTGGAGCTCTTGACTGAACCTTCCCACTCGGGATCGCTGTCACTGACGTCGCCTTCGGTTCTTGTCCTCTTCCCTGCCTTGTTTGGTGCAAACTTGTAGTTGGGGTGCGCTGCGGCATGGTTGTCGCGTTCAACAATGGCATAACGCTCGTACAGATCTCGGACTTCTTTTGGTTCCAGCGGCCAACTTGCGCCCGTCACCTGCGACACTACCTGGTGGTTGTTCTCTTTGCAGAATTGCTTCACTCGCTCTGCATACGCAGATCGGTACAGCATGAACGAGTTCATCGGTCTGGATATATATCCTTTTTTCCTTTCTACCTCTGCCAACCGTTCTTCCACTGGCCGGTTGACCCAAAGTGCCATATCCCGGACTGGCGTCGTATAATCCTTTGTCAGGATGCTGAGTGGTTGCTCGACGACAGGTCCTCCCTTTTTGTTGCTCGCTTTCTTTCTGAGATTCTTCCGCGACTTCGGTGACAGAGAAGCACGTGATGATTCGGTTCCTTCAGGGCTCGACGGGGTCCCGATGGTCCGACCGCTGCGTGTCAGGATGCCAATGTTTTGCGGAGGAGTGTGAGATGGAACGGATCTTGCCATAGTCTACCTCGGTCAGTACGTCTCACTAGCATCTTTCAGTGAGTTCCAACTTACTTGCTGGGGTGTGTAGTAAACCGGAGTTGGTGCTGTATGATATAGGGACGGGTCATCGTAAGAACCCTGAAACAGGTAAGCATCTCTCTGCTAGTTTTGTATGCTGAAGGACTTACATATGTTTGTTGGGAGCTAATGTCTGACATGATTGATGCCGGGGGCATTGGCGGCGTGAATGGCTCGGGCTTCACAACAACGGGCGCTCTCGGTCGGTTATTGTCGCCCTGGCTGTAATGGCCGTCGCTTGAATGAGGAGGCGACGGCGGGCGTCCCGTGACAGAGTCTTCAGCCATTAGGTCGATAAGCTCTTCCGAATGGAAATGAACTTATGAAAGTCGGTCCGAAGATCGAAGTGCTCCTTTCCTCTTGTCGCAAACAGGGATGCCACGAGATGGTTTGCCGACTAGAGCAGAGGTTTGGGAATCTGTGACAGGGAGTCTTCCTGCTCGTGACTTGGGGAGTCTCCTGACTGCTTTGGGGGTGTCACTTTGTTGTCTGAGCCGATGTTCCAGATACTATATGTAGCTGACAGCACCGTCCAACGCAAGCCTCGTCGGATTTGCTATCTGTCGCTCTCCGTGGAAGCGTCAAGCCGCACAATGGAGAGAGCGCTTTATCTCAGTGGCGATGCTTTGATGGCAAAGACAATTGACGAAAGATGCCCGTTGTCCTTGATGAGACTATGTCCAGGTGCAGATCAGTCTTTATCAATTGTTGCAGCAACCCGTCCGCTTGAACGGGAAGAGTATCAGAGGATTTGCAGTGCTCAAAGAGCAAGTGTCGGTATGGTGCAGGATGGTTGGAGTCTGATAGTTGCGGTGAATATGTTGGCAGCCTTCCCAGGCTGATTTTGATGACACTAGAAGCAGCTGGCTTTGTCTCAATTACCCGCAAGATGATGGATGGCAATCTCAAGACCGAGACACTGACGACCAGCCAAGTGAGAACCTTTGTTGATGCAAGAAAAATGGCAGGAGAAAGACTCTGAAGAGGAAACATATCAATCAACTGCAAGAGTCTCGACCATGTTGATTTGGATGCGACTATGGTCGCTTTCAGCTGCAGTTGCCGCATCCGGACTCACGGCCAAAAAGGCGCTTTCTTACAACGATCTCTTTTGTTTCCGGATCGATGAAAGCAAAGGGAAAGGAGAACAGCGAACTCCACAAGCTGCTTCATCCACGAAACCAGGTTATTGGGAGTCGTGAGCGGTGAAATGGGGGATTCCACGCCTCTGGGCCTCTTCCTGCAGTCCCGCCATGAAGCGCATCCGGCCCTGCAGCCTTCTGAGGGCTTCGGGAATTGCCGCTGAAGGCGTAGTTCCAGCTATCAACCATGTCGAGAGCTTATATTGACCTGGGCAAGGTCAATTGGAGCAAGCAGCTTCGCAAACGCCCTGATTGACGACGGAACAAACAAGCCAGCTAGAGCAGCTTTGCGCTTAGTATGGTCAGAGGGGGACGAACGTTTACTCCACCATCCCTTGCGAATAGAATGCACGGACCAGCCCCAGTCACATTCCTCATGCGCTCCCAGCCGTCGCTTGCAGTTCCGACCAGAGTTATCCTCTCTCCATGATCTCTCTGCTGCGAACATTCAATTTGGGGCGGGTCCTGATGCCGACTGAGCGGTGATTTGCCGACAGTTGACTCTCACTGACTGGCTACCGACGGGGTTGTCTGTACGACGAACGACTTATATGACAGCGGCCACAGACATGATCTCCATGGACCAGCTGTGGCATTCCATAATCTCCGATACGCCGCTAACAAAATCACCGCCACTACCACATCTTGTTCAAAATTATCCGCTGCTTGGACTTGTCGCCGTTTCCCTCTTGCTGCCCGAGGCTCTCTTTCTACGAACCTCTTGAGATCGATCAGATAGCAGAACTTTAATGTCCGTTTAGACTCATGGTGTCCAGCATACCAAGTCGCTACAACGGATGCGATATGTCAATAGCGACACAGCCCACCCGGAGCCGGCCCGCTACTGTTTGTCCCATGCCTCGGTCAGGATTTCGATCACAATTAACGTTTCTGCCACTTCTCGATCTCTGTCCAGTCCCAAGTACAGCTTTCCTATCCCTCGGTTTCAGTCGCTTGATCCGGCCAATCGCGTGTGGAGAGGGGAGACAAGTCCCCTGAGTTCGAATTTGTCATGGTCTAAGACCGTGTTCATCATTCGCAGGGGTTCAACTCCCACCCAGTGATACGCAATGCTAGTCCGCATGCTCTTGCTGTCGGCGTTGGCACCATATCTATTCCTCTCAGCTGTTCCTTCCCATCTGGCATTTCGTTTCTTGCGCCATTGCGGCATGCATGGGATCCACCAGTACCGGACTGTGGCATGATTCGCACCCACAGGAAAACCTTGTCCTCATCCAATTGTACTCGAACTTTCCCGTCTTCAGTGTTGTGCGAACTTGGTACACCTGGGTATCCTGTCGATGCTATGGGTGCACATCTTAGTTGGCCAACCTCTCCCCTTGCATGGTACGTTTCGTCCGCCATTCCGCAAGTCTAACATTCTAACCTACCATAGACGCTTCGCTCGACACTGCTTTTTACCAACCTACGTCACTGCGCTCGAGATACGCTCGCGATCAGACAATCACATCAGTTTGGCCAGTGTCCTCCAGATAACAATGCCCAATTATATCCTCAGTGCGACCACCGGGAGCCGTCACTCGGCTGGGCTCAGCAATACGAAGGACCAAGGGGCATGCCTCTACTCCCTTACGTGCGCTACCTGGAGCCTCCTTTAGAATCTTGCTCAAACATACCCCATAAATTTTGCCTTTCTGGGCGGCGGATGATGTGCTGTTTGAACTGGGGATCCCGAAGTCCTATATCAAATAGGCTGGTTTCAGGTCCAAGATGCATTGCGTTGGGACAAAAATGATTTGCTGGGGAACTGGTGGGCCAAAAGCCAAAAACTGCCGCGCGGATTGCGGGAATCGTGCCCATCAATGGGGACAGGGAGGGGATGTGGAGAGGAAGAAGCAACGACTTCAAACCTTCGCTCCTGTGGACGGAACAAAAATCGGATCTCGAAGCAGCAAAAAGTAAGTTATCTGATGGGTATCCCGCATATCCACTATCTTTCTTCCCACTAACATCCCCCCCTTGCCTCAAGGCATGTTATATCCCCGTGTCCAGTCTGTCTTTGGCAAAACCCCTTCATCCATTTCGAATAGTCGCACCTTTCCTCTGAATACTGAAGCGCCGTCTAGGAAAGAAATACCCTTGAGTCCAGACCTCGCCAGCCATGACTACGCTGCCACGGCTGTATTTCTCGCCCATCCAATTGCTGTTGTAGAAGTCCTGTGATCCCTTCCGAGGGGGAGATATATCGAGGCATCACCGTCCCAGTGAAATAGCCCTGATCCTCTCGCAAGTACAATTACCTATGCCTCTTCTAGACCCAAAGGCAGGTAGGTGAAGAGCAAGAAGAGGTGATGTTCGCACTTGCAAGATGCGCTTTAATCATGCCTCGCTGGGAAGCAAGTTATCCTAGCCAGCACACCCTGACCTAGTACTTCTAGAATTATAGGTGTGTCGACTGAGGAAAGGTCCACGCAGAGTCGCATCGAGAAAAGACTGACCGCCACAATGTCCACTCCTGACACTTCCCCTCCTTTTCACCCCGGCGAAGACGAAGTCCACATCCTTGGCGGGCTGAGCCAGCCCTTGCTGTGGGTATAGGCGTGTACATGGGTAGCGGATCCGATCTGCTATCCACTTTGCCATCTCGAACACAGGGTCTTTTCCTTCACACCTCCCACAGCCAGAGATCGGAGAAGAGGACGTCGATTGTTGTTTCTCGCGCGTCTGCAGTCGAGGTCCAAAGGGATCACGATACCCTTCCCCCGGTCTTTCATGCAAGCGTGTCGGCGCCCTGATGGATGTTAGACATGGCTGTGTCATTCGAGTAAAACGCACTTTTGTCTCGCTGTTGGCCAAAGCAACCTGAGCATGACCGGCCACAGTTGGGCTGCTATTGAGGGTCTCAGACCTCTTATAGCCCCCCTGAATCGAGTTGGTGCGCTCCGATGAATGGATTACCTTTCTGGGTACAATTGTTGCAGGAATCCGCCGGTGGGAAGAATGGCCACAACTCGTCCGGGCACAAGCAAACTTTCATTCTAGGTGCAGTAGCACAGGAGACCACTCGTCCAGAAGTTCGGGACACCACTCCCAGGTCTTATCACAGAACTGCTTCGCCGCCGGCTCAAGCTCTAACGAATCATCCTCTTGCAATGCGACTCTGGACTTTGCAACAGAAATCTCCTGCATGCGCAGATAGCGGGCCAATGGCGGGAAAGGCGATGGACCCTGACGACACAGGAAGTGTTGTATTCGTGATACAATGCCTTCCTGCACAATTTTAGTAACATACCAAGCCTCGTCGTACGTGTTTGTGAAGTTTCCTCCGAGTTGAACCCTATCCAACTTGCAGAAGTTATGAATCTTTTGGAACGCTGACACTATTGAAGCTTGTTGCCAAGTGTGGTCGTCGTTGAGGTCAAGGGTTGACACGACAGGTACAAAGTCATCATCATCCATAGAGCGGCTTCGCACTATCATCAAGTCGGCAAGTTCAAGGGCTCGCAGCGTATTGCTATGCGATTGCAGGAAGCGGATGAATGGCTCCTCCAACGTCATGAGTCCCCGCAGTTTGAGGCACGACAGTCGGGGAAAGTGACATTTGTAGAGAGCCTCCCTGGATATGCACTCGAGAAACTGGTATGTACGGTCCACAGGAAGCTCGTCGAAATCAAGAGAGAGCATCCCGAGATTTCCACATAGTCTAAGGAAACGACGCAATGCCGGCAACACGACCATAGGATCGTGGTAAGGGTCAGGATGTAAGCTCGACTTGTAAAGTCCAAGGTGCAACGCTCGTAGCCGTTCGAGTCTCAATGGTGTGCTTGGCAGAGCATTCAACCTGAGAAACGTTCCCCATGGCAGGTCATCCCCATGTACGGTTGTAAGGTGCGACTGGGCGGTCGCTTCAAAGAGGGAGACAAACGCACATCCTTTATGGAAGCCAGCCGCCGGGAGCCCCGTTCGGCTTTCAATGTAGCCTTGAGGAGGAGAGAAAGGATCATATTCATCCCGTATCGTTGCTATCGACGTCAGACGGGTGAATCTGCGCGTCAGGCGAAACAATTCCTGAAATTCATCAAGGTCGTAAAAAGCTTCTTGGGCAGCGGTCTCCTCCAGATAGCATTGATACATCTTCTCCGTAGTAAGACTTTCCTGATCAAGATTTTGAGATGACAGATGAGATGCCACAAATGCCTTTGTTGTGACTTCGTTGAAGAACTCCTCCCTTGTGTAATCGGATTCGATGAGCCCAACGTGGTAGACGATATGGCGCACATGAGCTGCAAAGCGTTTTCTCCGAGCTATTCTCAGAGCACGGCCAAAGCTCTGTGTATTAGGGCTAATATGCACAGTGTTGTAGAGAACGGGTGTTGCTATGCCGTTGGAATATCTATTGATCTGGCGCACGCTCTTGAGGTCATCTCGTCCCAGTCGGCAGAGTATGTCCTGCTGAAGCTCAAAGGGCAGCGTGTACCATATATTAGTGCTCATCATGGAGGTAGGAAGCCGTTATCTCGCGTATACTTTTGACTTGCCTAAAACTTATGATCAAAATGTTGAGGTCGATGATTTGACAACTCCGAGAATTCAGCGGCTTGATTTGAGATGAGGATATGAAGTGGAAGAGGACCTACGAAGAGGACCTACGCCAAGAACTTTAACCAAGCAGGAGCCGAGTCCTTGACCGTATTTTCCAAAGCTAGAGATACGGAGAGACTGTCGATCGACGAGCGTAGCTTGTTGTGCTTGTCCATTGGCAGGCACGAGGCCAGGGATGTCGACGTCTTCCCATCTCTCCAACCTCTTCATTCTTGAGTCTTTCAACTAGGAGTCGATGATGACTGCTGAAGATGCTGCTTTCCCGCTTACATAGGTCATAAGGTATTATACCTTGAAAAGCACAAACCTCTGTATGAGGTACGTTCCCTCAATGGCCTCCGATAGAAACCTGTGGTCCAGATTCTGACTGACGCGGCGAACACAACCGGGACAAGACTTGATTCCGAAGGCTCGAGCTGGCTAGGCCCACGGAGAGCAAGAGGACCGGCTTCCGCAGGGAGCCACTTCGTATTGGACCTTCGTGCACTGGTCGCCCTACAGGGTTCCGGGATGCCCCTCGATCAATGGTTTCAAGGCAAAGGAGTATGCAACACTCCCTCTATATGGCATGATAGAGTGCGATCCGCTTCCAGACGCTTATCTATGTGCCTGTGACGAACACCCCAACCCTTGGTTAGCGTCGAGGCTCAGCCTATGCAGGTGCATTTTGAGACAACAAGGCAGACAGTGTACAGGAAAACAGGGGCTGTTCAGCTCGTTCTTTGCAACATAACAATTCGGACCTTGTAAGCGGAATCCACATTTGGCCCCCATCTTGCCAAAAGACGTCAACAACTCGCTTGCTTGACTGCGGGATGGGAGAATCTAGAGCGGAATGAAGCGGCTATGTGAAACACTTCAAGCCCCTTAACCGGGAACTTCGCCCACCTTTTCTCCCTTTCCTTCCTTGCTGACCTTCCACATATACACTTTTCTGTATGAGCTACTGCAGGAGTGATAGACGCTAAAGCTTCCGGAAATCACTAGCCAAACACGACTTGAGGCGTTTATGCATGCAACGGGTCTGCGCGGCAGGCACACGGGCCGTTTCGCCGGGCTGCTTGCGCCTCTCAGTTGAACAAACTCAAACACCTCCTTCCCATGAACGGTTCTGAGCCCTTGCTCTCGGACATCTGAGCCTCAGCACTTCGAGCATGATAGTGTTGCTATGTTACCCTCGTTGGGTTGTTCCACACTGCCACCGCCGGCACTTGAAAGGATACCCTTGTATGCCTCTGCTCCACTTCAAGCATGCAAACTCCGAGACGTCTGTTCACGTATCAGCCTCACTGCCTCAACTTGAGCAATTGCCAGCTAGTTGAATCCTACTTCGATGCGGATTGCAATATGACGCGCCCAACAATGTGGCCGACACGACAATCCGTACATCCTATCCTTCTCAAGGCTGACTCTATTTGGTTTCGAACTCTCTACATCGAAACTCGAGACCTGGAACCCCTCGCAGAGTCACACTACGGCAACATAACATCCTCAGCTCACAATGATCCCGGTCCATATTCCAGGGTTCAATTGGTGCTGGATGGCCGCATTCCTCCCAGAAAGTGAGTCGCTCGCCTTTCTGTCGAAATGAGCAAACCTATATAGCTCCCGATGCGCCCAGAGTTGGACTTCTTCTTTTCGAGATCATTGAGTGCTCGTTTTATTTACAGCGAGTTGAAATATTTCTTTCAACATCTCGATCCCTGGAGATTTGTCCTCAGTGGCCACACCAGCAATCATGGAACCAACACAGCCTGAGGTCCACTTGCAGATTCGTGAACATGACGAGCTCCTCGATGTCATTGATAGCTTGCGGTCCCAAGGCATCGACCGCTACATCAACCTCCCTGAGTTGATTGTCTGCGGTGACCAGAGCGCTGGAAAATCAAGTGTCTTAGAGGCCATTTCGGGAGGTCTGCGCTTTCCCACCAAAGACACCTTGTGCACTCGATTTGCCACCGAGCTCATACTAAGAAGGGATGCAAGTTCACAAGTCAAGATTGCGATCATCCCAGACCCAGACTCAGGGCGCACCCAAGCAGAAGAAGAAGCTCTTGCAAAATTCGCTCCGCCGACAACATCACTCGACGATTTTCCAGCAATTATTGACGCTGCAGCCACAGCAATGGGAATTGATGGCTCCAGGAAAGCTTTCAGCAGAGATACTCTAAGGATAGAGCTCTCTGGACCTACTCAACCCCATCTGACCCTCGTTGATCTGCCCGGACTTTACCATGCCGGCGACAAGCATCAGTCTAGTGATGACGCGCCGCTCATCAAGAACCTCGTGAGGCACTACATGGCAAAGGACAGGGGAATTATTCTCGCTGTGGTCTCGGCCCAAAATAACTATAGCAACCAGGTCGTGACGAAGTATGCGAAAAAGATGGATCCTTTTGGCCATCGTACACTAGGTATCATTACGAAGCCAGATACACTCGATCCTGGCTCCACCAATCAAAAGGAGTATCAAGAACGCGTGTTGACAGATGATGGCGAGCTCAAACTCGGTTGGCATATGCTGAGAAACCGGGATTACAGCAGCAGGCACTGTTCGGCCGCAGAAAGAGACTATGCAGAGGAAGCCTTTTTCCAACAAGAAGGTTGGAACGCACTGCCGAAAGGGAGGGTTGGCGTCAAGAGCCTCAGAACGCGACTAAGCAGAATTCTGCTCTCACACATATCCAAGGAGCTTCCTCAACTGTTGACCGATGTCCAGAGTGGGATCTCGGAGTGTGAGAGTCGACTTCAAAAATTTGGCTCATCCAGGCATACAGTCGCGCTGCAGCGGAAATACCTGCGTGATGCCAGTAAAAGGTTCAGCGAGCTGATGAAAGACTCGGTCGACGGCGACTATTCGGAGCCTTTCTTTCACGATTCCCGCGATGAGGCAGGCTACAAGAGACGACTTCGAGCAGTCATCCAGAATATCATGGGCGAATTTGCCGAAGAAATGCGTCTAAGGGGCCATTCTGTCCGCCTCGTGGATAGCAGATCAGATCACCATGGCCCAAATGAACAGAGCTATGTCTATGTCAAACCGCGGGACGAATTTCTCGAGTATGTCAAAATTCGAATGAGGATCAACCGCGGAACGGAATTGCCAGGGATCTTCAACCCAGGCATCATCGGCGAGCTCTTCCGCGATCAATCCAAAGGCTGGGAAGCAATTATCCACCGTGTCCGAGAGAGGTTGATGCGTGCCACGGAGGATACTATCACTCTTGCACTTAAGCAAGTCACGGATCCGAGAACAGCAGATGCAATCTGGGTACATCTCATCAAGTCAAGACTGGGAGTTATCGGCAAAGCGTTCCACGAGAAAACGGACGAAGTGCTCAGGCCGCATAAAAAAGGCCATCCCACGACACTCAACCATTACTTCATTGAAAACCTACAGAAGAAACGACGACAGGAGTCGCGCAGGTTGATGACCGAGAAGCTTGCCAACTTCTTTGGTAAGCGCCCTGAAGGGGAAGGAGGCTCTGACCAATTTTACGACGGACAATTTAACATGCGAGCCCTCCTCGACGCCCTTGTGATGCAGACAGAAGTCGACTTTGAGCGGTTCGCGTGCCGCGAGGCCACAAACGCGATGGAGGCATACTACAAGGTTCGTGGAAATCCCCGTGTGCTAGCTCGGAGCTGACCAGATATTTTAGGTTGCACTGAAAACTGTCATCGATGCATTTAACATGTATGCTGTCGAGGGCGTCCTATTGAAGGAGCTGCCAGAAATCCTGGCCTCCGAAGTGGTAGACAAACTAGATGACGAGGCCGTATGGGCAGTAGCGGCAGAGTCTGCTGAATCTGTTGCCGAGCGAGCCGACCTCGAACGGAAACTTTCGATTTTTCAACGGTCATTGAAGACGCTGCAGAGATTGAAAATCGCAAAGATTTCTGGTACGTGGACATCCACCCTTTCTCTTACGCCGTATTCTTCATCTGTACTCATGGCGATTCGATAGAACCCATTTTGGAGCAGAAATACACCGACCCTTCAGCTCTTGACGCGAGCGACAATTTCGGCGGCACCCTCGCCGTTGACCCTGGAACTCCCAGGGAAAGGGTTAGACCAGCCAGCCAGGCCCTGACTTCTCCGGACTCTGCTATCGGAATGAATGACGAGGACGATGAGGAAGACGTTACCAAGCCTAGAAAGGGTTTCCACCGACCACATACGTCTCCACGGAGGAGCCTGGCGACAGCGGGGAGGTCTCTGCTCCATCCGGGGCCTTCTATACCAGCAGACCCTCACACAGCAGGAAACAAGTCGCCAATGGCAGAGCAAACGTATCCGGCAACCTTATTGGGAGATGACACCAACAATGCAGGAAGTGGCAGCCCTGACCATGGTAGCGGCAGTAACGGTCAGGCAAGACGTGTAAGCATCCGATCTCTCTCATGATGATAGGGCTGGGGGCTACACAAATGATTCTCTACGGTCTCTACAGAGAATGGCTTGGTGAAATCAGGCGTGGGCTGTTTTCTTTGAATTTTGGACTCTGAATTGCCGTGGTGGACTGTACAATAACCATGCTGAAGGTTTCTTATCCGTCGAGGTCGCCTACAACGAAGTACTCATTTTCAACTCCTGGTATATTTGTTTGTGGCACACGTAGACAATTACGACCTTCGTAAGCTAAGTGATGGTGGTGGTGGCACAGGGGGACAAGGCTGGACCAAAAAGGGGCGTTGAGTCTGCCTGCTGGTCGTGCACAAAAATCCCACTCCGAAAGCTCCTATTGTCCTGATTGGCGGAAACCCCTCCCTTCCGCTTTCGACGCGTTTTCGCGGGAGGCCATCTCCCCCGCGTCGAATTCTACATTGACAGCGCCACCTCATACTCGGTACGGAGTAAGGAGTACGGTGTAGTCTATATATCTCCTTCCATCATCCTCACCTCTTGGATGAAAAGTTGCCTACAGCTGGCTCGCTTAAGGACTCGTGCGCCTGGAAGTGCTTCGGTCCCGGATCACCAGAGGAAAGATCAGAGATACACTCTATGTGATTCCAAATGCATGGAGAGCTTGGGAACAAGCTCGTAAGTGTTTCATACCCGCTCCCTTTGAAACCTGGCCCTGTGAGGAATCAGTCCTGACCACGCTCTTCTCACCTTAGGTCCAACACGCAAAACGCACCCTCACCCTCCCCGCCCTACCTCCCTACCAAACCGAGCTCGTGCGCAGCGTGGTGCGCGAAGTGCGCGACCTGGACCGCGACGTCTCTCGCATATTAGAGCCATTCACCACCACGACCTACGATGACGAGGGCAACGCGTCGTCACAAAACACGTTCAACCCGACGGAACATCCCGAGACGGCGTGCGCGCTGCTCGTCGACCACCTGAGCATGAGGAGGGATAAGAGGTGTCTGCTGGCGTACCACCGCGTGAGGGCGGAGAAGTTGGAGGGGATGGTCTGGGAGGGCCAGGATTTGGAAGTTGACCACGAAGCGGGTGCTGGCAGTGCCTCAAACACCAATACCAACACCAATGTCCGCGGCGGCGAGGACACCTCCGCGGGAGCAGCTACCCATAACGCGCTCTCACCTGAAGAATCCTCCTACTTCCACGCCTATTCGGACTTCCTCTCCCAATACAAGGGCCAATGGACCGACATTGACCTGACGGCTTCGCTGGACCCGCCCCGCGACCTTTTCATTGATGTCCGTGTCCTAAAGGACGCAGGAGAGATCCAGACGGAGTACGGGGCGATTAATTTGACCAAGAACTCCCAGTTTTTTGTCCGCAAGGGCGATGTGGAGAGGTTGATTCAGGGGGGGTTCTTGAAGAGGTTGAGTTGAGTTGAGACAGAGTATCATATGGGCAGGGAGGGATGGGGACGAGGAGATGGGAGTGAGAATGTTGATTAGATACTCCGACGATCGATAGAACGGGACAGTGTGAAGAGGCCCAGCCATGACACGAGGAATGATTATAGGGGGCCTAGGGAAATGATTGCTTGTGAGCTGATAAACGTGGCAACGTGAGCTGCAATGCTATTCCATACTGTTGGCTGAATTATCTGCCAACGCTATCACCTTTGCATTAAAGGACTGGTTTGAACTCAGGCACTCCCTTTGATACTCGTACATCACCGGAAACTGCAGCTCCATGACCATTGACCGCCGCTGATGATGATCATCCTCATCGTCAACAACAACATTGTAAAATGTCGCATAAGTGGAGAAGCTTATCGTCTGCCGTCTCGTTTCCTGGTGTTTCTCCTGCCTTTTCTCTCAAATCAAGTCGCCCGCCAAAGGGATAATACCTAGACCGGCCGCAATCGCCATCAAAATCTCCCACTTCAACACACCAGCCGCAGCCGCAACGTTGTGTGTAGTTGAAGCCGTAGGCGTAGTAGTGGTGTTTGTCCCATTCGCGTTGTTTCCCCCACTGCTCGAACTAGCGTTCATCTGTGTGAAATTGCCGCAATTCAACCTAGTTCCATTCGCACTGTGCACCACCACACTCCGATTTCCGAAGAACGCAACATTGCTTGGATTGGTACTCAGGTACAGGTCGAGGTACATGGCCTGAAAGGTGCCGACGGCTTGAGAGTCCTGGGAGGCGGAAGAGGTAAGTTGGGAGGAGATGTTGCCGTGCTTCCCCGAGAGGTCGCCTGGTTGGCAGGTCCAAGGAGCGGTGGCGTCGCAGGCGGGGGTCTCTTGTCGCCCGAAAGGTGAGAGGTGGCCGCCGGTGGCGGTGCAGTTTCCAGATGCAGGGACGGGGTATTCATGGATATGGTAATCTGGCATGGAAGAGTTAGTCGTAGATTTACAGTGAAACTCCGGGGGGAACATGGCGAGTGTGAGAAAAGGGTGGGATTGCCCCCCCACTACACTGTAGCCTGTGTGAACTCACTGAAAGGGCCTTGCGTGACGAGAGGGAAGTTGAAGAAGTTGACGTTGAAATTGACACCGGTGCCATTGTCATTGGACACCCCCGTGATCTGGCCTTGAACAGGTTTATCGGCTTGCAGAACCGCTTGGAATGTGGAGCGGAGAGGGTTGTTCTGAGTCACCGGGGCGTCGGTGCTGTTGCTTGTCTCTTGTGCAATGACGGGGAGAACGAGGGCGATGATGGAGAAGAGCATGCCGAAGAGATACATTGTGCTGGATGGCACAAGCAGATATCAGCGGGTAAAAAAAGGCTGTACTAACTCTAGGGGACTTCGAAGTAAGCCAGCAGGAGGAGGACTAATGAAGCTTTCGAGTGTTGATGGAGAGGGGCGTGGTACGAACGAGGAGAATAGAGCAATCGACAGATGATGGTAATAGAGAGGAGAGGAGGATGGCTTCTTTTTGTCTCTGGTCAAAGTAGTTGGGGGCACGGAGTTGAAGTGAGTGAAAAGACAATTGAGCCCAGCAACCGGCAGGAATCTGGTTTGCAGGCAACTTGGGCATGTCACTTGAAATACCATTTGCCCCTCAGCAATGCCGGCAACCATTCACTGTAGCAATCATGTCATGCTTTCCGAATTGACGCGACGAACATCACGACTGAGCCATGAGCAATGCGGAAGAAGGATATGTGCAGCGTGCCCGGGAGATGCAAAGTGACAGATTGACGCCAGGTATGTGAGAGATCGCCGCTCCGAAGTCACACACACGGTCCGGTTGCCAGTACACCTCACTCATCATTCAAACTGCGACTTGGAGACGCAGAGTGTTGAGACTTTCATTCATGATGCTGAGGTTGTTTGACCAGTACAGTGTTCGTTGATATAGGGACGTTCGTTCGTGGGTACAGTGAGAGAACAGCTCTGTTGTTCCTGCCGCCTCCACATAGACTGCGCAGGCTCGGTATTGATCTCCCTTCTATTCACTCGAAAACCCCTTGCTGGACCCTCTACCCGAAGACTTTATCTTCACATGGCCGTCCGAACCGCACACTTGAAAGGATAGATCTGCGCCTTGCTCACATCCCAAGCACCCCCTTTCGTGTACGCATCAGTCTCCAAAAACTCCCTGACCTCTTGCTCGGTATTTGCCTTTATTAACATGGCACTGCCCGTCATATCCGGTGTCTCTCCCTCGCCGGGCTGTTTCGAAAGGGTTGCCCCGCCAAAGACCACGATGCCGGCCTCGATCTTGGGTACCAGCGCTTTGAGGTGCTGGGGCCGGACTGCTAGTCGTTTGTCAAGTGCGTTGGCATGGTCGGGGACAATGACTAGCCATTCATTTGTAGGGGTCGCTGATGAAGACATGCTTCGGACGGATCTGAGGTTTCGTGGAGTAGTCAACGGTTTCTGAAGTAGAGCTCGAGCTGTCTGCGGGGATGGTGCACAGAACCGGGAAGGTGTGATATATACACTTTTTAGAGAGTGCAGCTGACGACGACCACAAAACAATGTCGACATGAAGCTGAGAAATCAGGCGAGGCAGGATACTGGCCACGGGTATCAGCGGAATAAGTGGTCGATAGAACCAAGCACCACAAGTGTGATACCGAGGAAATCCGGGAAAACTTCGCTATTATTACCCAGCTCGCCAGGAGTGCAGGTTAGTATGTCGGGTCGAACTCTTCTCCACACCGCAGGGCCTGAGGCAGGGCCTGAGGCAAGTCACCAGTCAATCCTGTGGGGAGCAGGAGACTTCAGCCTTCTCACTCGCTTTCTTGTCTACCCAGCGAGCAGGTATCTTGGTACAACTCCTCTGGCGCTTCTTTTCTCTGCCTCGACTCACCATGCATCGGAACAGCCCCTTTCCAGCACCATCCTCCTACACAGCTCTCCGGGACTCCAACCCCGAAGTGCAGCTTCATCTCGCTTCATTTCCCCAGTTCCTCCTCAATTGTCAGATTAGCTCCTTGCCAACAATTCGCGAAAACATTCACCCAGCTTGGAATCAGCCTACGAAAATTCTTAGGAGACATGTTACACGCCCTCGACGCCCTCGACGCCCACATGGTTGACTCTAGCCGTCCATGATCGTCTTCCCCCGCTTTTTGAAAACGCCATGCTGGATATCCATGGATCTTGCTGTACAGTCAGGCATTAACTCCTCCGGTTGGTCCCGACACTCCATCTATAGCATCGCTCTAGGTTGATCTTTGGCCAGAAGCGCAGCTGCAACCTTCCTTCGTTGTATCTTCCCAGTGGCTGTCTTGGGTATCTCTTTCAAGATCCAGACCTGGTATCTCAGTCAGCGTGGTCCCAACATGCGTCAGTCAGATGGGAATACTCATACCCTGCTCGGCTTTTTGAACGTGGCTGTCTTGCTAGCAACGTAATCCGTGATGCCCTTCTCGGTAACCATCTTGCCTGGCTTAGGGACAAGCGCCACTCCAACTTCTTGACCGTATAGTTCTGAAGGTATACCGAAAGTGACCCCTTCTGCCACGTCCGGGTTGGAAGAAATCACAAAATCCAGTTCGATTGGGCTGATCTTCTCCCCTCCTCTGTTGATCAACTCTTTGATCCTTCCTGTGATATAGACATAGCCATCTTCATCTTTCTTGCCCTGGTCGCCAGTGCGGAAGAATCCCCCTTTAGTGAATGCTTCTTTGGTTGCTTTCTCGTTGTTGATGTAGCCTTTTGTGACATTCTCACCCCGTATGCAGATTTCACCTTCCTGACCTTGGGGCACTTCGTCGCCTTGCTCGTCAAGAATCTTGACTTCGACTCCTTGGCCAATTCCCACACTGCCGGGCTTTCGTTTTCCGCGATGCGGGAGCTGGTTGGAGCACATCTGATGAGCTGCCTCCGTCATGGCATAGGCTTCAAGTACTGGCGCTTGAAATGTCCGTTCAAGCTCACTGAAAGTTTTCGGGGACAATGCAGACGAGCATGAGCGGATGAATCTGATCTTCGGCATTGGATTAGGCGGAGGATTCTTTAACAGAATCTGATGGATCGTCGGCACAGCCGTGTACCAGTTCGCTTTGTGCTGAATGAAGTCGACCCAGAAGGATCGAGCAGAGAAATGGTCGGGAACAATGGCGGATCCACCAGCACTCAGAGGACCTAGAAAACCAGCGAGAAGACCATGTACGTGGAAAAGAGGCATGACCAACATCGTCCGATCTTGAGCAGTAAGTTCATAGGTGTTTCGAATGTTCTGCATAGTTCTTGTCAGATTGCGATGCGTCAACGGGACAGCTTTCGGGCGGCCAGTGGTTCCACTGGTGTGCAAGACCAGTGCGACATCCTCCGGCTGAGCCTGAGCGACCGGCTGAGACTGTCGCTGTGCCAGTTTGCCCTGCTCTTTCACGTCCAGTATCAGCTTCGTTCCATCCACGTAACACTCCGCAATAGCAGCATGATATTTCCTGGCAGCCTTGACCGCAGGCCCGTCCTTAGCATATGCTCCACGAGGCAATATGATCGCGGCTGAAGACAGATCTTCAATGTAGAACTCGAACTCGCTTTGCTTGTAGGTCGGGTTCAGAGGGGCGGCAATCGCTCGCTGGAAAGAGGTTGCAAGAAAAGAAACGATGAACTCGTAGCTGTTGGGTAGGGCTATTGAGACGGCGTCAGTTTGTCGGATACCCAGCCCAGCAAGTTGCTTCTGAAAGGCTGAGACATCCTGCGCCAATTGCTTGAAAGAGATAGTCAAAGCATTGGGTTTCGTGGGGACGATGACTGCTATGGTGGAAGACGTCTGGGGAAAGGAGGTGGAAAGGGTGGCTGCTACCATGGCTAGACGGACTGCGACGAAGACGTAGGTAGAGAAAGGATAGGCAATGGCAAGACTGAGATGAATTCTAGAAAAACAATATGGGTATCTCAATAGCAAAGTACAATCTCCTTTTCAGGGCGTATCAAAAAGTCAACGAAAGCCAGCAGAAAAAAGAAGTCTGAGATGGAAAAATGACGTGATGCGATCCGACGTCCACAGATAAGAAGAAGACCAGCCTGACACATTAATTCGCGGGCTCCATCTAGATATTAGTCTCTCACCGGACATGATGGAAAAGACGTGTGGGCCAGAACGCCTCGATTTTATATCGGGTGATAGGATAAGGCCATGGAAATGGTAGCGGGAGCTTTGAATTCAGCTTGGAGAAATTGAAGTCATCCGAGGAGGACACGACACGAAAATCCCTACGCCGCGTAGATGCGCCCGATGTCAAGCGATTGGTGAATCGATGGAGCCCCCTGGCAAGCCGCTTCCGATGCAGGCAGGGCTTCCAGGCTTCAAGGCTAGGGGCACCAGGCCTACCAATAGGGCCCAGCGGCGCCTAAGCGTCGGCACCGGTTGAGGAGGCCCTTGTGGGTGCCACCCAGGTGCCTGTTGCTTGCTAAGTCGCTTCCCTTCCCCCGAGAACTGCCCGTCGGTGTCTCAATCACGAGACCGCAATGTTAGGGTTTCCGCGCTAGTCACTTTCAAAGTCACTGCGCTGCGTCTCGTCTCAAATCAGCCAGTCTCAGCAAAAGCACATGTGAGAACATGTCGAACAATGCGCCGACACCCGCGCGGGGAGGCCTGTCGCTCTATGCGAACCTCCTCGACCCGAACAATGCTGGTCCTGGCACCATCTCCAGTGCGCCTGTCTCCTACAGGCCGGTCGAAAGCTCTCCCGAACAGGATGAGGCTGTCAAGAGACAGCAAGCACTCGCTGGTACATTTCTACGTCGTAAGGACCTGAAGGTTTGCTGAATGGATCTGCTCACGTTTTGCGCCATGCTCTCGAGTGATTTACAGCCTCCCTGAGATTCCAGCCTACCAAGAGACCTCAGATCGCTGCTCAAAAGGCAAAAGCAAAAGCTATCGCCAGTAAATTCGCGGTCCCAACAAATGCCAGTCCTACACCCTCCACAGCTGAAGGCGCTGCGACCGCTGTCACCGAAAATTCAGTGCCTCAGCCTCCTGCGCCCAAGACCACCCTCGCAGACTGGACAGCTACCGCGTCAGATGACGATGATGTGAATAATTTCTACACGGGGAAGCGCCAACGCGGAGGCCGGAAGAAACGCAAAAAGAACAAGGCAGCGGCAGAAGTGACTCAGAACTGGGATGACATCTACGACCCGAGTAGACCGAACAATTATGAAGAATACAAGCACAGCGAGGAAAAGATCCGCGAAGTCAGGGAGTGGAAGGATCTCCTGTACAGACACCGCATGAGGCAGAGGAGCTACAGTGAATCTGAAGATGATGACTACCGCCGCCCCATGAATAGTAAGAAGGGACCTGTATTGGTTTGGGACTTGCTGATATGTCGACAGAACAATTTGCACCGCCTTCCATGTCTTTTGCCCCTCCACCGAACCTCAACGACGAAAGCCCTCCTCCACCGCCGCCACCTGTTGACATGCCAGACGATGCAACCGGTGAGGACGCGTACTTGAGACGATTGCGCATGAGTCAGGGCCAGCAAAATCAGCCGGTTGTTCCATCAACCCCAGTAGAAAACCCACCGTCGGCTCAGATCACCAGGGCACCTGTACGGTACAACCTACATGCTGCACCAGAAGATGTCTCAGTATCCGAGCCAAATCTGGAAGGGCTTGCAGAACCCGAGCCTGGTGTTAATGAAAATGGCGATGGCGGTGGCGATGGCGGTGGCGATGAACCACGATCGAAACGTCCTGGTCAAGTAGGCTTTGCCGAACGGCTAATGGCCAAATATGGTTGGAGTAAGGGTCAAGGTCTTGGAGTTCATGGCACTGGAATCATCAATCCCTTATACGCCAAGGCCGACAAACGGAAGAAGAAATCCGATGCAGAAGGCGGTGGCTTCGTTGCACCAGCAAGCACGGGTAAGATTCTTGGGGGTCACAAATCCAAGACCGCCCAAGCGGAAGAAGAGGGCAAGTTCGGAGCGATGTCTGAGGTGATTCGACTTGAAGGCATGTTGAACGGCCTGGATCTTGACGACGAGCTCACGCAGGGGGAGGGTGGGCTGATGCAAGAGATTGGAGAGGAGTGTGGAGACAAGTACGGCAGTGTCGAGAGAGTCTACATTCATCGGTCGGAAAGTGAAGAGGACGAAGCATTGGTGTTTGTGCAGTTTGTGAGCCAGCTGAGCGCCTTGCGGGCTGTCAATGCGTTGGAGGGAAGAATCTTCAACGGCAATCCCATCAAGGCGAGATTCTGGCCCAAGGAGAAATTCGACAAAGATGAATATGTCTGATGGCATGATGTCTATGTACTCAAGGAGATGACTGCCTACCTAGGTAGGTCGGTACTGTATGCATTGGCGCAATAAGCGGGCGAGGCGGGTTTGAAGCATTGATTGGCCTGAGTCCGAGTATTGGACACAGAGCCAGACGCGCTCAGGGGCCACGGGACGCGAGCAAGCCAATTGCATCATCGCAGAATTAATTGTTCTCTGCCTGTAAACCACCTGCCCTTAAGCCTGCCCTTCTACAACCAGAAACCAGTTCAGTTCCATACTCCTTTCTCCTCTACTCCCGTGGAATCCCCTCAACTCCGCTCAAAATGTCAGGGCGCAATACTATAGATCAAGCATTTGCCAACAACTCCCAATTACGGAAGAGAATCTTTGACGCCATAGGTAAGCAGACGATGAAGACCATTGATCTAGTGTTACTGACCTGCCGCAGACGCAACTCCGCAGTATGCACCCCTTTTCGAGGACATTGCTTCCTATCATCTCAATGCCCACGGTCTAAACGGCTCTGCCCACGACGAACCGGCCTCCAAGAAACGCAAACTCCCCGACGGCTCCTCTCTCCCACTCGCCGCTCCAGCGCAGAGAGGTGCAGGTGGTCAACCGCGCGAGGTGATTCTCGAAGCAAGAGATATCTCATTCTCACTGCCCCAACGCAAAAAATTGCACCTGGGGATAGCGCAATATGGCACGGATATTAACGATGCCGGGACAAAATTTGCCATCTATACCAGGAATCCCGCCACAAATGAAGTCGACATGGAAGTGCCCTTGGACCAAGTCACCTACGCCCTGAGACTGCCCATACCAGAGAAAGCTGCGAAACAATACAACTTCGTCCTGCTCCTGAAGACATCGGAATCCAGCAGCAACAACACTGAAGCCATCATCTGGGCGGTCAATGATGGCCCGCTCAAGTCGTGCCACGTGCCCAGCCATGACCTTGCGAAAATCGCTCCGGGTCCCGATGACATCCTCGAAAGCGCGCTTGACTATCTCCTCCAGAAGAGCGGCGGCACAGGTCTCACATTGCCGACCGCCGAGGAGTTCTCCAGCGCCAAACCTGAATCCCACCGGAAAGGCGACAAGGCGTACCACGTGAAAGCCTTTCGGGGAAGCAAGGACGGATACCTCTTCTTCCTGAGCAATGGCATTTTCTTCGGGTTCAAGAAACCGCTCTCGTTCTTTGCTTTTGAAGATGTCGAAAGCATCTCCTACACGTCCGTGCTGCAGAGGACCTTCAACTTGAATATCGTTTACCGAGCCGCCAGCGCAGCGGATGGACTCAATGGCGATGCAATACAGGAGGTTGAATTTTCGATGTTGGACCAGGCGGATTTTCCGGGTATTGACACCTACGTCAAGCGCCATGGTTTGCAGGATGCCAGTCTTGCGGAGTCGAGGCGAGCAAAGAAGCTGGCGCAAGGCAAGGGTGGTGCAGTAGTACAGAATGGTGACGGAGGCAATGCGGAAGGCGATGAAGTAGATACCCGCACTGAGCTGGAGAAAGCCCAGCAACAGATGGACGACGAGGAGGATGAGGAAGAGGAGGACTACGATCCCGGCAGCGAGGGGGAGAGTGAAGGCAGTGGTGGCGAATCGGACGAAGACGAGTATGATCGCGAGTATGAACGGGAGAGGAAGAAGATGAAGGGCCGGGACTTGGTCAAGGAAGAATTGGGCAGCGAGGCGGAGGACGTGAGTGTGACTGAGGACGAGGATGGAGATGAAGAGGGAGAGGAAGAGGAAGAGGAAGAGGAAGCGCGTGGCGACGAAGACGAAGACGACCATTATGACGAAGACGAAGACAACCAGCACGACGAAGAAGACGTCCCGAGCCATGATAAACATACGGCCGTGTCAGGGACCTCGACTGCAGGACCTCAAGCTCATGGTGCCGCCTGGGGGTATGAAGAGGGCATGCCCGACCCTGACGACGAGGATCAATTGTGAAACCTAACTGACGATGCCGATGGTCATCCGTCCAATATATGAACCTACATGAATCCTGGCCTTGTCACCACCTGCAGGGCTAGCAATAAATCTGACCCTGTCGCCGCCAGAAGCTTGCTTGTTGAGAGCATGCATGCCCCGGACGGAGTCCCGAGTATATCTACGCATCCATCTATATATACGCTCATGTATCATCATGTACGATGTCCCCTAACAAAATCCCCGTTCAAGCCCGAATTTCAAGCAGACTGGAGAGACAGAGGATTTGAGCGGATGATATATATAATTAAATACACCAAGGACGTCGAGATGAGACTCAGGCCAACGGCCCACCTGTCTACTCTATGCCTATATCCATCCGTGTCTCGTGGGTCTCAGTCGCCAAGTTTTTTATATCGACTGTTTGTACATGAGCCACAGCAAGGAAGAACAGGCGCTTGTATACAAAAGGAACCATCTACAATCTACAATCTACAACAAGGTCCAAGTTCCCCGGCACCGACGACCACCTCCTAAAAATAGAAAAAGGGCTCAACCAGATCAAAGCACTAATCACCACAGCCCGACCAAACGCAACCTTTCCCTCAACACCAGCGCCAGCGCAGCTTGCATCCCTACAGCGAATGCGAGGACGAAACACACCGTACGCGGCTTGCGCGGATGGACCCAGCCGACGTGGCCCTCGAGGGCGCTCACGGCGAAGAGCATAAAGTTGAAAAAGCCGTGGAACAGCGCTGGGTCGCGCAGGATGAGCCACAAGGTGGGGTTCATCGAGATCGAGGTCGTGGAGCGGCCTAGTGTGTGATGGTGGTGGTGGTGGTGGTGGTAGTGGTTGAGGTGGTGGTCGCGTATGAGCATGTTGACTCCAATCAGCGCTGCGGTCGTGGCGTGTCCGGTAATACCTAGCACCACTCTCTCAACGGCTGTCAGGAGGACGAATGTGGTGTCTTGTCGGCTGTCCTTCGCACCGCTACCCTTACGCCCACGAGCTGCAGCGAATAAGAAGGCGATGTTTTCCGCAGTGGCGAAACCCAGCGCTGCTGAGACAGCAATGGTGATATTGTCACGCTCCGTACTAACTCCTTTTCCAGTGTGTGAAGATCGCTGCTGCTGCGCAAGAGCAAGCATGGCCGTGCGTATGGCAATGTACTTGATCCCTTCCTCCACCAGGCCGGCAGCCAGAAACGAGAAGAGCAGCATGAAAACCCAATACCCACGACGACGGGCCATTTCGTGCCGTCTTCGCCGGTGAGCTTCATCGAGGGCCTTGATGTCATCTTCGGTTGTTTTCATGGTCTCGGCCAGATACGACATCGCGGTGGTGTGGCCGTGGAAGCAGAGCAAAGCAAGCAGGTAGGCCAGAACGGATTGCACAGCCATTGCGACGGTTATGCCCACGGTGCCCGTGAGGATGTAGGTCCAGATGAGGATGCGAAGGTCTATTCGCTGTTGGTGGTGGCCATGGCGGCTTCTTTCGAGAGAGTAGAGGTAGATGGTGGGTAAGCATGTTAGGAGCAGGCTGGCGAGAAGGGGGAAGTTATCCTGTACGGTGGCTGAGGAGGGTTTTCTTGGAGGCAGCTGGACCTCCTGCGCGTTTTGTCGGCTTGTTGCATTCTTGCTAGAGTCATCCTTTCTCTGAAGGTTTGGTGTGATTGAGCGCTTGTGGAGGAATTGTGTCGACATATCACTCCGGTCTCCCAGGGCAGTCCATGATATTCTCCTTCGCTGGAGTCAGGCTTGTCCGGATATTTATGAAAGACAGACCAGCCATAGAGAAGGTTTGCGAAACACCAAGCGACCTGCCCTCTTGCAAGGTAACAGTTGATGGGCCACACCTCCATCGTATTCGCGATCGTGATCGTATTCGTGTACGGCCCGTCGTTGACTTGTGCAACTCACATCGTGATGGTTGCGGGTCTGCTAGCGTTGATCCATCAACCTTCGTGCCGAAGAGATGAGATCCGTCGTCAATCCATCGGCCGTTTGATTGAGGGTCATCTCCGATATCTCCTCGACCAGAAGTCTCCCAAAGTCCTTGGCCCACCAGACGCGACGCCCGAGTTTCTCAACCAACGCGCCCCAGCACATCAACACCAGCAGTGCAACATGATCATTACCCTTGATGGCATTGACGTACTCCTCGCCGGCCATATTCAGCCATCCCAGGATGTAACCCTGATAATCGTCGTCATCCTGGCCGACGCCGACGCATTTGGCAAAGCATTCTTCAAGCAGACTTATCGCCTTCTTGCACGCTTCGAAGTGTGCGACCTGCTGGACCCGATGCTCGTAGGACTCACCGACAGTCGAGATGATTCTTCGCTCGTTGGCTGTATTTAGTTTCGACATGGCCGCAGCTGTTTCAGAGTCGAACGGCAACCGGGGCAAGTTTTCGAACAGTGTAAGTTTCTGGACGTAGGAATTCTGGGCCAAGTATTGCTCCGCGTTGGCGCCTAGAACAGTGCCGCATCCGCGGAGCAATTCGAAGTGAGTCAGTGTGTTGAGCACCATACTGTCGCCATCGCCTTGAGATGCGTCACCCGCCAGCTCTGACATGAACTGGGACGAGGCCAGTGCGAGAACCATTAGCATTAGTGAAAAGCAAAGGACAATCTCATAGCTTTCTGGGTTCGTCTCTTGGTGCTGAAGGTGACGACGGAAGTTGTTCAATGCAACGGTCTGATATTCGACGGCCGCCCTGAGGTATTTCGCACGGCCGGTTCCAGAGGAGGAAGAGCAGCAGCTGGCAGCCTCGAAGGCGGAGAGGGCGAAGAGACCCGCGCACAGGAAATCGTGTTGCAGCGACCAGCGCGGCACCGCCGTCTGCCAGATGTAGTCATCTCCGGCCACCTTGCTGTACAAGCTCTTGTAGGTCACTGTCGACCACCGATGCATGAGTTGAAGCTCCAGCACGCGAACCTCGTTTGGGAACAGAGGCTCCTCCAGCGGCTGCAGCTCGGGACTGGGCCCAGCTGGTTGTATTGGGGGGCCATGGCCTGATGACAGATCCTGGGGTTGCTGTAGACCTGGGCCTGGGCTTGTGTACTCGCATGTCGTTGCTCTGAGCTCACAGCGGCCGCAAGGGGGTCCCGCCTCGTTGCATTTCACATGGGCGACTTTGCACGCTAGACAGCCGCGCCGTGATTTTTGGTGCGACCGTCGTGGAGGCATTCAGGCCTTTGATTACAGAGTTCGAGTCAAACAGCGAAAACCAAGCAAGGCTAATGACTGGTGGTGGAAAGGGTAGAAGTCTAGGAAGTAAAGTAATGAAACGTCTCTGCGAGAGCCGAAAACGAGGATACGAATACGATCACGAGGTGAAGCCGCTACGAGGCAACCAATCAGTCCATGCAATTTATATATCAAGGAGCAACCCTGATGCCGCCGCGATTTACTCCTCCTCTAATGTCATTGTACATTCAGCAATAGTGCCGTGAAAGAAACCAGTCGTGAGAATAAGTATCCCTTCATTGCCTGCCTGCGCTGCATCAACAACCTAACAACACCCCAAAAAAGAAATCCTCCTACTTCCGACCAACGAACTCCTCCTTTTGCCAACCATGCCAGTGTTTTGGGTATCTCGATCAACAGCCCTGTCAAGTCTGCATCTCAAGCTTCGTCTGTCGAAGCTCGACATCGGACGCCCATCTCAGCCGCCCAAGACCCTGACCAAAGCCTGGCAGCATTCAGCCCTCGAACAATATCCACTCGCCATGAGCAGCATTCCGCTGTTGACGCGAAAGCCTCTGAGTCAAGCCAAAGTCGCCCGAATCTTTCTTACCCTTCGCTCAACTTTTCAACCCTGGGTGCTTCTCGCGCCGTCAAGATCACTGTGATTGCTTCTTTGCTGGTCTTTGGGACGTTGGAGACAATCTTTTGGACGCAGACCTTGTGGCGGCACTTCAGTTCGACTCCTTCCTCTCCTGGTACCTGTTCGTCGCTAAGTCAGCGATCAGAATCTCAGGAAGGTGGCGGGTAGAAGCTGTTTCGGCTGGGATCTGAGACATGGCACTGTGCAGCATCTCCCACCAGGTAAATTCATCACATCCAACGCCACTAGTTGGATAATGAAGGCTCGAAGGTGATCCAAGTAGCACCTCGAGACATGAGTCACGTCTAAATGTATGCCTTATTCACCGGCGGCTGAAGCTTTGCCCTTCTTCCTATTGTTCTCGATCCTTTCTAGCAGCTCCGCGACTCGGAATGGCTTGGGCAAGATATCGTCGACACCGGCCTCGAAAGCAGCCTCGATCTGCTCAGCCCGAACGTTCGCGGTGATGGCAATGATTTGGATGTGTCGCTTCAACTTCCCCTTGTGTTCCAGCTCCCTTATGCGCCGAGTACAGGTCAAGCCATCCAACACTGGCATCTCCACGTCCATCAATATACAGTCGATGTCAACGTCCAGATTAGACGATGGAGTTTCGATTTTCTGGATGGGCCGGTAGTCGTGCCACGCCCTTGTCCGAGGCAGGAAGTCTAGGGCTTCAATCCCATGATTCGCGTTATATACTGTGCAGCCTCCCCGTTCAAGCTGTTTGGTGAGCACCTGTGCATTAATGATGTTGTCTTCGACGAGAAGAACCGACGGGGGCCTCTCGGTTGGAGTCACGCTGGAAGATGCTCTCCTGGCTGGTATCTCCGCATTGCACGAGGAAGTACGACGCAGTGACCTTTGTGATGGGGATGAATGGTGGAGGGTCTGCACATAATCGGCCGGAGCAGCTGCGCGATGTGCTTGCACATAGAACGCGAATGTACTTCCTTTCCCCGGCTCGGTAATGACACCAATCTGGCCTCCCATATTTTCCGTCAGTTCGCGTGAGATGAAAAGCCCAAGACCCGAGCCGCCATATTTAATATGTGTCTTCTTCGTCCCTTGTTGAAATCGGTGAAAGAGTCTGGCCATCTCCTCTTGTTCCAACCCCTTCCCTGTATCAGACACTGAGAAAAGAAGATTAATTGGTTCGCCATCACCATCCGGCTGCGGAGACGCCCTAGGAAGATGCTGTCGTCTCTTCGTGGGGAACCAAACAATCTTGTCTATGCGCGGCGGGTTGTCGCCCACAAATGCTGATATTCGTATGGTGATCTTGCGGACGGCCTCGAGCTTAGTGAACTTGATTGCATTTGTCAACAAGTTGATGAAGATCTGCGTCAGCCGGACAGGATCCACGGATACCCAATCCACGTTCAAACGTTCAAACGTGTCGTCTGCAACGCTCTCGACCGTAATAGAATGGGTGTCCACTTCTGCTCGAAACATCCTCAACACTGACTCCACCATCACATGTGGTTGGATTGCAACTGGGGTGATCGAAAGCAGTTGAGAGTCCAACTTCGAGAGCGTCAGGACATCGTCGACAATCCGTTTCTGGTGCGAAGCACAAAGCAATATCGTCTTTGCATGTTCGACATTTGCCTTGACCAGTTGCTGCGTCACATCTGGTGACTGATCTGAAGAGGCCCAGTCGCTTAGAGACGCCGTGATCTCATCTGCAAGTTGGGTAATTGCTGAGAGGGGGTTCCTCATCTCATGAGAGACGAAGTCAATAAATGCCTCTTGTAATTTTCGTGCCTCGGTCGCCTCGACAGCGAGGCGACTCTGGACTTCTTCAGCCCACTTGGTTTTGCTGATATCCGTGACACAACAGACAATACTCTTGACTTTTCCGTCTTCAAGGGCTGGAAAAGCATGTGCCATCACCCAACAAGATTCTTCACTGGGATTGGCGTTTCTAGCAGTGGCAGGGGGTCGCCATGTCCTTCGCAGTCGAAATTCCTGACTGACAGGCCGAAGTTCATTGACTAATTCGTGCCACAATTTCAACGTACGTGCCTTCTCATCCGGGTGGAGAGATTCAGCAAAAGAAAACTCGTATTTGTCTTCGAGGGAGTGCCCGGTCAACTCGTAGTACTCTATACTCATTTGTTAGCCGGGATCGAAGCAATACACAGTAGAAACCACAGTAATCTCGTGGAGAAGATGAGAAACTTACGTCGGTTTGCCCAGATGATGTTCCCAGCAGGACTAAGACGAATCATCCCCACGGGGCCATGTTCCGCAATCTCTCGGATCTGCCGCTCGCTCTCTTGCAGCTGTAGAGTGAGTCTTTCGGCGCGCTCATGCGCCTCTTCACGGTCGACGGCAAATGCAATGGTGGCAGATGCTTGTCGACATAAGGATTGGATAAAGGCCTCATCTTCTGTCTGATAGTGTCTCCTGGGATTAAGGCCAAAGACTACCACACCCAACAGCCTGCTGCTGACAGAGACAGGCATGAGAGCCATGGAGATTGGAGTATCGCCATAGCCAAGCCAATCGAATCCTTCCAGGAGTGGTCCAGGAAGAGTGTTGTCCAAATGATGAAGCACAATCGGCTTATTCGTGGCTTTCAGGCGGCGGTAATAGAACAGAAATCCAGTCGACCCTTCATAAATATCCACATGTTTGGGCACCAGAGGATGTCCATCCAGCGGTAAGCCCAGCGATTGTTGCAAGGTCAGCTTGCAGGAGGCAGGATCATCTTCCGCAGAATATGCAAAAGCCATGGGAAAGTCTTGTGGATTCTCTCGTAGTGCTTGGAAAAGGTGCTCCCAAACCGATCCATTGGGATCTGTTGGTGGTGCGCTGATTGAGTAAAGCAATTTTGATCTCCTTTCTCTTACCTTTTCATTGGTAACCTCAATGGCCCGGTTGTAAAAGCCGTTTACTTTGCCCTGCTCGTCGAGGATAGGCAGGAGGGTGCCGCTCCAGAAAGTTTCTTCAAGACGCCCGTCGTGCTGTTGAGGGAACAATGTCACCTCCATGCTTGGCATGGCGCGATTGCTATCTTGCATCGCCGCAAAGAGGCTTTCCAAAGTTGACCATGACTGCTCCCATATGTCCTTGAAGGGCCTTCCTTGTATGCCGGAACGATTGTTAAGCCTCTGGCATACATCGTTGTAGGCCGACAAATTGAAACAAGCAGAGAACGAGGGTCCCCAGTAGATCACAGCAGGAGAGTTGTCAGCCAGCACAAGGCTGACGACTGTCCTCAGAGAAATCGGCCAGCCTTCGAGAGGACCAAAATCGGTCGAACTCCAGTCCACCCCGGTCAAGAACCAATGCACATTCTCATTTTGAGGGAGGGAGCTAGTCCAGCATTTAGTGTCTGTTTCTGCTTTTAGTGAAGTGCGTGATAGGTGCTGCGGAAGCTCTGCCTTCTGGCGCGCAGCTTGGGGTATGCATGGTTTCCAATGCCCAGTTGACTTGTCCAAAACCGCTCTTGAAAACTGGGCGTTGTTTGATGAATTTGAGTCAATTTGGATCGACAGCTGTTCTTTGCCGTCTTTATCAATAAACGACGATATACCCAGCTGTTCTAGGGTCCATTGATGAGGCTGTAGTTTTGAAGAAATCAACGATTCTCCCGCGTCCATTCTCGGGAGCCACCTTGACCAAGCTTCACCATCTTAAATAATCAGGCTCTTAATTGGAAGCAAAGGGGGCGAGGGCTATCCGTCCTATGTTCAGCGTTATCTCAATTGAGTAAGAGCAGGATACAAGCCGCAATTGCAAGTCCGAAGGAATGCAAAGGTAATCGTACTCAGAGCTGGAAAATAATAAAGTGCCGTAGCAATGATTGGCAAAAGCAGAATGGTGAGAATGAAAGACCCAAATCTTCAGCCGTGGCAAGATTCAAGAGTAGCCCGTGACCATTACCTTGTAAGGTTTTTCTTTCGGGAAGCCTCGTTTCCTTCAACGGCAGAGTGAAGAAGACGATGTCATCGCGATCTGCCGCATGGCCATGTCCATAAGCCAATTAGTTGGTGGAAAGGCATCATCTCGCTTCGGTATGGGCCCGTGTCGACGAGATGGAGCCGCCTTGATGGCTGGAGGAAGGGAGACCTAAGCATTGATCGTCGCTTATAATACGGAGTAGGGAGAAGTCGAATTGCTTAGCTTCGAGCTCGATCAACTGGAGCTTGAAGTAACCCGCGCCACAGTTTTAGCCAAGTGCCCTCCCTTCCGCCCATAGCAGTGGCCCGCGAACTTTGCAGTTCAACGCCTAGGGCTGCATGAAAATTTCACGGTGATAACGGCTCCATTTTTGAAAAGCATATTTTTGCACGCTGTGTTTATCGATCGCGAGATCTCTGTCCACATTAGCCTGCGAACTCTCGGCTTCCGCAATAGTCGCTACGCCCGATGCTCCGTACAGGTCCGCGGCATAACCCATCTCAGGGGAGCAGTGTCACTGGTAGCAATCCTGATAATGTTCCAACAGCTACTTGTGAAATAGCAGCACGTTTGTGGGCCAAAGATTGAGATTTAGGACCCCTCCAAGTGAGCATGGGTAATAAAACAAATGTGAGTTCCTTGTAACCCCTGTCTGCGAGGCTGTGTAAGCACACGCCTCCGGATGCTATGAGGATGGACGCTCCAAGAATTTGTGAAGAGAGACCACATGCTATCTCAACGCGGGGAAACCTGATTAAGTGGGGGTAGGGCAGGAGCGATAACTGTCCGGGATGCCCAAGTGTTCTTGGTGACCCAGCGAGATATTTGGACAGCAGCCCGAGGACTCATGTACGTTACTCTCCTTCGGCCGCCGGTCCAGGAACATAAACAGCTACTCTCCTCAACGGTTCAATGCAGCTTATGCCACAGCAAAGTCTGTTGTCAGTAATGCAGTATTTGTCAAGAGCGACAGCCGCGTCCAGCCTTGCGACGGAGCCCGAAATGGCAGGCAACGGCATTGTTCGTCAGTTCTCATCAGTATCACACTCATGACCACCTGCTACCTCACGGCACGGTCGACCAATCGAGGCCGAGGATGTGCTGACAGTTTGGAGGCCATCCTCCTTCGAGAAGCCGCCGCAGATATAAATGCTGACATCTCTCGGAATCCCAGTGGGACGTGCGCTGACCTTCGAAACTGTAGAAGGGAAATCACTACAATATTTGTACCCTAAGCCGTGAACGGGGGCGCTTTGGCTTCTCATAACTACAAACAGTGTACTCGAATCCGAGTGAAGCTCAAGTCCATCATTGACATCAGGCCACCAAGTACAAGCCGCTTGTTGTAACTCCGTCGCTCCATACCCTGGTTCTGAAAAACCAAGGCCACGCCCGAGTCGAGATCATGGCAGCAGGAAGCCAACGAGCTGTCGCATACCATTCTGGCAATATCTTCACGGCAAGCGATCATGGGGCCCGCGCCGAGGCATTCATAGTCTCAGCAAGTGGTGAATTTGCAGCAGTGGGAACCAACGATGACATTCTAGACATGGCACACCGCGAGAAACTTCCCACGTTCGATCTGCAGTCGCGATTTGTGATGCCCGGTATTCACGATGCACATGTCCATATTCTGGTCGCAGGTCTCTCACGTCTCTCTAATGTGAAGCCCGGGCTGGATGCGACCGTGTCCAACATCGCTGAAAGGCTCAAGTCGCCGTCATGCGCCTGTGAACACGCACACGCATACGGCGACTGGATAGTCGGGGACATTTATCACATTGAGAATTTCGATCGAGAAGCGCTGGATCATGAATTCCCCGAGACGCCAGTGCTGTTGCGAGGAGGGGGAGGCCACGCGATGTTCCTTAATACCGCTGCTTTGAAAAGGTCGGGTTACAGTCTCACAGAACCTGATGCACCACACAGCAAGTATTTCCGACGGCCGGATGGGACTTTGACTGGTGAAGTGACCGAGCTGGCCATGACGAAGGCTGCGCTGGCATTTCCAAGGCCAGAGATGGCACATATCAAACGAAGTATTCTCCATGCAGTGAAACTGCTTCACTCGGTCGGGGTAACTAGCTTTCAAGAAGCAGCTTCAAATACACTCATCCTCAAAGCACTCGGGGAGCTGGATGCTGCTGGGGAACTGAAGATGGACGTGCAAACGCACATCGTGTATAAGCCGGAGCAGTTGGCCGAAGAAAGCTTCGAAACCCTGCACGAAACACTTGATCAGGCGGAAGAATTTCAGTCACAGCATATACAGACCAATTTTGTCAAATTCATGTTGGATGGCCTCCCGCTTCACCCCTACTACACGCATGCAGGCCTCACAGAGTCCGGAGAAATCGACGAGAGCAAGATACAGATCGACGACCTGGCCGAAGCTGTTTCAAAGATGGACGCGAGAGGAATGACGTGTAAGATTCACTGCACAGGATTTGGCAGCACCCGGCGAGCCCTGGATGTATACGAAGCTGTGAGGAAGAGTAACAGTCACGGACCCAGGCATGAAATTGCACATTGCAGCGGAGTGCATGATGGTATGTTTCCTTCTGAGATCGGCTAGAAAACTGTTAAACGCAGACAGATGATTATCCACGCTTCCAGCAGCTGAACGTCACGGCCGAGATGTCTCCATCCATGTTTTTCGTCCATCCGCTCACGGCTATGTCCGGTGGCCTGATGGACTGGGACTGGGGCAAGATGATCAGAAGCGGAGCTCATCTGACGGTCGGAAGCGATTGGACTTTCCAAGACCCGGCGGTCCTGCCTGCATGTGCTCTCATTATGGACAGTGTCGGTGCTGCGCTACCAGCACAGAACGCGGGACCGAGTACAGCTGCCGAGCTTATCTGCAAGATGCTGACCGTGGCGGGTGCAGTGGCGACTGGGCGAGAGAACATGTCTGGGACCATTGAGGTTGGAAAGAAAGCCAACTTCATCATGGTTGACCGTGATTTGAGCAAGGGTGAATTTGAGGGCGCTCAGGTCTTGTCCACTTGGTTTGAAGGGGAGAGAGTCTATGAGTCCCCTTGACGAGAGTCGCAATCCATATGGGCACCGGGCAGTCTCTGGTGTGAGCTAGGTATGGGTGTATGCGAACCGAAGCTCATCTTGTCCCTGGATAACAAAGCTGACTAGACTCGTCATACTGCCTTGTTCCTGCGCGAATTGTATAAAAGACTCTGAGAAGCTGCCGCACGCGATGTTCATTAGTGTCGCAGTGGCAGGTATATAGAACTGCGTCATAGTATCAAAGACATTTAGGCTGATCTAGTCCCACTACAACTCGGACTCTCACTTCAGCCCACAATGTCCACGGCTGGGAGGCGACCGATGCCTTGATCACGGATCCCTGGTCGGTCACGGCCGACATCATGAAGAGTTACACGGTGCCACTGGCCGTGGCTGTCTTTGCGACCGGTATCTGGATTCTTCTTTCCAGGCCAGACGCAGGGTTCGATCCGCAAAAGGTGCTTGCAAAGGGTCGCGCAATCACTTCTCGGTCCTGGGAGTTTGGGACGTTGACAGAGGCTCTCCTCGAGTTCTACGATCGCGAGCTGACAGTCTTTGGACCGGACCCTTTCCCTCACGGACGTATTCCTAAGGTCGCGGATCCGTCGAAAGTCCAGGGTCTTGTGTATGCGAGTGCTGTGATATGGACCAATGGCTCGGATCTACTGGTTGATGGCGAAGGTGAGCTGTCCATACCTGTTTGATAATACAGGGGCCACCCAGGGGCGGGAGGATGCTGCTACTGAGGTATGAATCCCAGGCTTACAATAGGCCAGGCTCGCCCTCGGATCCTGCGTCTCTGGGCACAGCCGCTTTGCTTCTATCTCATCACAATGGCACCTATCTCGAGGCTGCAAAGCGGCAGGCCGAATACCTGGTGAAAAAGGCCACGAGGTTCCCTGTTCATGTCATGTACTCGGCCATCTCGCACCGCGATGAGCCTCCCCAACTGTGGGGCGATTTCGTCTACATGGTGCCTCCATTCCTTGCGTACTACGGCGTGGCATTGCAGGACATGCAGCTCTTGGAAATGGCCGTGCAGCAGTGTCAGCTCTACGACGCCGTGTTGAGGACAAGCATCTCGCTGGAGGACAGGCAAACTTGTCATGGCCTGTGGAGGCATATCGTCTCAGAACCTCCACAGTTGGAGCCGGGAATATGCTGTTCAGATCCAGATGTATGGCTCACCAGTAATGCATGGGCTGTAGCAGGGATGACTCGAGTCCTGGCCACAATTCTGAAGTGGCAGCCTCCCCCAGACAGTCCGATAACGGGGTCCCAATACGTTGAATTCAGGGCACGGAGCACAAAGGCTCTGACGAATATCATTGATGATATGCTGAAATGCACCATGGAGCAGAGCCCGGATGAGAAGTCGGGTCTTCTGAAGAACTATCTGGATGGACCGTCACATCGATCTTCTGCCTGGGCTTATGGAGAGGCTGCCGGCACTGCACTGACGGCTTCCGCAGTCTATAGGCTGGCGGTCCTCCTACCAGAGGTCTATGGGGTTTCGCGCTTTCTCGACTGGGCTGAACAGAACCATCGCGCAGTCGCCAGACATATCAGCCACGACGGAAGAGTTGATCCTGTGGCGGATGTCGGACATGTCCCCAGTAAACGTCCTGTCAATCAGACCAGTGAGGGGCAGAGTATGGTGATCCTGATGTACAGTGCGTGGCGCGACTGCGTGACTGCCAGGGTCTGCAGCCGCCGTCTGCACCTCTGGGATTCCATGTCGAGGAGACTGACACTGTGGTGGTAGACAGAAGGGAGGGAATGAAGGTTGATAGCTTCACCATGTGAGACGGAGGCCTCGGGACATGTGATGGACAAGGCTGTCACCCTCAATAGGTTGGGGATCGCGAGAAGGTGGGGGGATCGGAGTGGAAAGGCCAAATGCCAAGGCGAGGGGCAGGCCCCCCAATGAGCCTAGCCACCCATAGCTGCCACGCTGCCCAGTTAGTTAATCCAGGTGCTGCTCATGGCGTCGTCTGGGCCTCCAGAGCCCCAGGCTAGCCCGGGACGGACGGGGTTTGTGCGAGCTCGGGGCCTCTCGCTAGGCCCTCTGATTAGCCAGCGCCCTGTGCTTCCAGTGCCAGCCGCGCGGGGCAAGATGTTCTCTAAGCACTGCCTGCGTATTACCGCATGCCCGCCATTTCCATTATCATACTGAGTCCGTGCCTGTGCATCCCACCACATCCATTGTGCATGCATGCGTAGCCAAATCGCAGTTAATAACCGTCCACCAACAAACCGAGCATCCGTCAACTGCGACACTTGATACCCGTTTAACGCCTGTCCTAGCGACCTTGTGAACGCCGACCGACGATCACGAAGACTCTGCACGCAGACATCTCTCTCTCGTGCGCGCCCGCTGCACCGTCTGGCTTGCTGCCCCTCCCCAGATTACCAATTTTTGGCCTCTGATGAACACCACCGACCATGTCTGATTCACCCATTACGTCCGCGCCCGTGGGGGCTCAAGAGAAGCCGATCCTGGACAAGCTGCTCCTGGTCAGAGACAAGTTGCTGCTCCTCAAGCAAGACAAAAGCACCTATGTCAAATCCTCTGATGTCCTTCCCTTATACGAGGAGGTCATCGAGCAGGTCTCGATCCTCAACTCGGTCCGCGGGCCCGAGCACTTACTGCAAAACCGAGTCGACACAGTCCTCGACGACTGTCTCCAGCTCGTTTCTCTCTTCTTCATGGCTGTGGGACGGAACAACGAGGCGCCTGCGCTGTACGCCATGACCGGGAACATTACGCGCCTGTGCCAGCACCTCAAAGAAGCGGCCTTTTATAGCAAGAGAGATTTGACCAGTTTGGAACACACCCTTGAAAAGATGCAGACTACTCTCGAGCACGGCAAAGAGAAGTACTCCCATCACCTGTTGACCCGCATCCAATATCGCCTCGAAGTCTGCAGAGAAATGCTGCAGGAGTTGCGCGACTTCCTCTCGACACTCTCCCCGGAGATGACCCCAATATGGGAAAAGCTGGTCTCCATTCTCCGGGCTATTGCGGCGTTGAACACAAGGAGCAAGGTACATACTCTGATCTCCCGCGCTGTGACATCCAATACTAAATCTTTTGCAGTTCAGTCAGAAAGATTTAAATGAACTGCGAGAGCAGCTTTTGCAGATCAAAGCAACCATGAAAGACGGCGAACTCCCAAGTGAACAAGGGGAAGTCAAGGGCGGGCAAGACTTGGTGGTGCCGCTCCTCGAAAGGTGCCTCAAATTTACGGATATAGTCGAACAAAAGTACGGTGCCTGTGCTCTCTTCGTCTGGAACTTCTTTTAACCCGCTAACCTCGTTTGAACCAGGCAAGGCAAGATAGACGAGCGATTCCAGGACACTTATGATAAACTCATCGAGATTCGCAACCAGCTCGATCGACTGACCATGACCCAAGCTTGGTCCCTCCGCGAAACCGACCTGTTCATGTGGCAGAGGAAGCTGGATCGCATCGACGATTCGAGACGAGATGGTAACTTCTTCGACGCCGAGGGTCATCCTGCAGACCTCCATGCGCAAAGAGTGAGATTGACACACATGCATACGAAACCCGTTTTCCAAACCACCCATTACTGACCCGCTGCGTGGCAGACACTACTGTATCTGATTCGGCGAGGGTATGCCTTTATATATCAGTTACTGGTCGCATCCGAGCCCGTGTCGGAAGCTCTCCTCCCCATATACAATCAGCTCCTCACGCTGCGCAAATGTCTGGTCGAGGTCAAGAAGGCCGGAGGGGTCTCCAACCCACGAGAACTGTACCCTTACAGTATGAAGCTCAACTCGATCGACAACATGCGCGTCGACGGCAAGTTCCAGATTGGAAATGATATTCCCGAAGGGCAAGGCAGTGTCAACGATCTTCTGGCCGAGTGCTACGACCTGGCGTATGAATTGAGGACCGCGGCCGAGGAAGAAGCAGAGGACGAGTAAAGGGGGAGGACCGCATGCGATTAGGGTGTTCATATTTCAGTCCGGGCTTGATTCGAGACCGAATCTCTCGGAATGTTTTTATTCCCAGACTGACTTCTTCTGCGGGATGGGGAAATCTTTTTGAGTCAATGACCCCAAGGGAGACACTTTTGTCAGGGGACTAGCCTCGCATGTCGCGGGCCAATCCCTAGTACAGCTAAACTCTGCTTGAACTTGAAACTGGGGGGAGTTGATTGTACAGAGTAAATTTACCTCGTACAGTTTGCTGGCTCTCCGAGCCTTGCTTGAAGTAGCTTCTCATCGATCCAAGCTAAATTAACCACTACAAGGACGTGGAAGAAGCCGCGCATAATGCGTTCTATGACGACTGGTTATCACAGGACGGGCCCGAGAAAATGGCTCGATGGGTCTCATAAGACGAAATAATTACTGATGTCATTCTTGGGGGATATGCGGCAGACTTGGGCTCAAGTGCGTCGTCAAGATGGTCAAATGACTCGTCTGACGTAAACGCAGGTCTTCGGTTTGGGCCGCCGAATCACTCGCGTCGCTCCCATACGGAGACCGACTTCCATTCCAATCAGAAAGTCATATCTGGGGCTTATTTGAGCGCCGGCGTCAAGTGACTAACCGTTTCAGGCTAGAATACTGTCCATCGCTACTGTCCACGTATCCACAATTTCTGCGGCAAAAGCACAAACCGCCAAAGGTTTCTCCTGCCACTTACCTAGGAGTCGTTGACACAGTCAAGCCCACGCGCCGCCAGCAAGCCAGCGTTCTCCCCGCCCTCATGCCCAACGCATGTGGTCCAGATCAAGCACCGCGTGACCGCCTCTGGGCGTTTGCGCTTATCGGAAAGCCAGGCCGCTTTCGACCTAGCGAGCTAGACTTGCTGATACAAGTCTCCTGGAAACAAATTCCGTGAGGCCTTCGCTGGGACACTGGATATTGGATCCGGGAACACCAAAAAAGCAATGTCTCAGCGTCTGAGACCCATCACGCCAGCGAACCCCGCGCCCGATGAGTCCGGCGGGCCGTCCATCCCAACACGTGGGCGGAGCATCACCCGCAACGCCAGGAGCAACGCTACCGCAGCGTGCCTGGCATGTAAGGCTAAGAGAAGAAAAGTATGGGACTCAATCATGTCTTCACCTGTCGACGCAGCTGCCATGGCTGACATTCCAGTAGTGCAGTGGCCCGCCCGGACCCTGCAATGCGTGTATCTCCTCCAAGACCGAGTGTGTGTTCCGAGAAGATCTCGATGGAAGACGAAAGGAGGCCATCAAGCGGAAAATGGAGGAGGGGACAGAGCATCACCGCGATCTCTTGAGTGGACTGCTCCGGTCCATTCGATCGAGTGACGAAGATGAAGTTCAGCATCTCATCCGGCTGATTCGAGATGATGCACCACTGTCAACCGTGAGTCAACTCGTTCGCTTAATGCGCCCAGAGATAAATGCAGAAAACCCAGAAAACCCCCTGAGGGGAAGAGCATCCCTTCTGGGGACCATGGTCTTGTAACTTCCTTTTCCGAGCAGATGACACTGACTGTAGTTGGGTTTCAGATCCACGCCTTCATCGACGAGAGTGTCAGGAAGCTTCGTGAAAACAGTCCAAGAACCGATGACACGATTGATGGCCTTCTCCGGCTCCGAGCTGAAGCGTCCAGTCTGGCAGAGCAGATTCCACCGAGTAGAGCGCGAAGGAAGACCATGAGCGTCGAGCAGATGACCGACGAGCCTCTGTTCCAACTCACGGCAAGACCCTGGACGACAATCACAGACGATGACTATCTGGTCTCACATCTCGTCTCCCTCTATTTCACTTGGTGGAACACCTTCATGCATCCTCTTCACGAACCTTTCCTGATCGAAGCCATGGTAGCGGGCGACACCATGAGTCCGCTTTGCTCTCCTTTTCTGGTGAACGCCTTGCTAGCGCTGTCTTGCAGTTACTCCGACTTACCGGGGGCTTTCGCTGACCCTGACGATCCGGATACTTGGGGGGAACACTTCTATGACGAAGCGAAGCGCCTGTGGGACCGCGAGGAAGGGCGCGCTTCCATGACCAACCTGCAAGGCCTGTACCTCTTGATGCTGTATCAGAACATGCGCGGAAAAGACCAACTTGGCTGGTCGACCATGTCGCAAGTTGTCCACATGTACCAAGACATGGGCCTCCACAACCAGATCAAGATACCACGTGACTGCCCAACCGAGTCTGCGGACAAGATGAAAATCGCCATGTTGAATGTCTCCTGGTCGGTATTTATCTGCAATACGTGAGTGCATTGGTAGATCGACTTATCGGTCTTGTCTGCTCACTGAACAGGATATTTGCTATTTTCCTTCTCAAACACCCTACGCTCCGACCGCCGACAGTGGCGCGCCCCTTTACGGGCGAAGACCTCCAGAGGTCGGTGGAGTGGAAACCATATCCCCGCGCAGAGAGAGCCGATATACTGTATGGAGAGGCACTCGTGAATGCTTATTGCGACTTGGCTGAGATAGCATATGAGGTAGCATTCAGTGTGCCCTTCACTGACTTGGGAGACGAGAATGCACCCCTGCAGCTGATGGCGAGGTTGCGAGGGTGGCACGATAACCTTCCTACGACTTTGCAAGCCAACTCGGCGACGCCGGGGCCATTGTTTGAGCTACAGTGAGCACGTTCTTACCCCGATGACTGTGTGCAAGTCGATGTCGATGGTCGGCTAATCAGATCAGCACTATCTACTATTCGTGTTCTCTCACCTTGAGTGAGCTTTCTGGCCACGATACTTCACCGGGGCCCACGCCTGGTCCGGCTTCTTTTCCCATAGCGTCGACTGTGGGCATGACTGCTCGTAGCACCTCCCTTCTCTTGATTCGTCACATGTTGCCATTGTATCGACAATTTCGCCAAACATACGGCTCCATTCGTGTGATGGCGGGCAGTTGCCAGACGGCGGCAATCGCGTACTTCATTCTGCTCAAAGCGATGTGCGACCCGTCGTTGCAATCGGAGGAGAACGAAGAAGCGCTCAGGGAGAATGAAGAAGCCCTCGTTGACCTGACGATGTACTTGATGGTGGGTGCACGACGCTGGCTGGTGTATGCCGGTGTGCTGCGGATGGTTCGACCGACGGCGCAGTCGATGGGTGTCCAGCTCCCTCCGAAATTGAACGGGATACTGGACGAGTTCGACAAGACGGTGTGGACGGTGGGGGCGCACAGACGAATCCGAAGCGTCTATCCGAATCTCGCTCTGGTCAAGAAGAACTCGAGAGATGGCGAGGACATCACGATGGGCGAGTTGCTGGCAAGATGGGAAGCAGTGTTGGCGGATGGCCAGCCGGAAAATCGTGAAGATAACTAGGGAGGCAACTTGCAGGAGCGACGCTGGAGGGTCTCCGGCAGTAATATTCCTCGTACGAATAAGAACAGGGGGAAAGGTCCAACCAGCTGTGCCTCGCAGCAAATGGTGAGCGGAAAAGACTTCCTGAAGTGGCTCCCTCGAAGCACTAAGGGCCACTTCCCAGATTTGAGGCTTCACCCGCCGTGAGACCAGCCCTTGAATCGGTCTCCATCGATGATGGAAGGCTTCCCTGATGAGACTGCGGCGCAGATACAGCAGGGCGGGGTGTATCAAGGGGTTATATATCTTCTGACCGGCGTCGAACAGAGAGCGACGGTTGGATGGTAGAACGGAAAAGGAATCCGGCGGTGTGGCCAATGCGCAGGCGATATTTCGATCTCGAGGGCTGTGCACGTGACTGATTCAAAGCTTGAGCTGGATGGCCACGAATGGTATTAAAATATGATCAGCATGGAGACAAAGGGAGATCTAGGTTCCCTATCGAGATCGATTAGAAGGAGCTGCTACGTTTGTTGCCACATGGAGCATAATTAGTGTCACTCAGCCTCACGGTCACCATCACCGTCGCTATATGACCCTCCTATCGATGCCTTTGGGCCATCATACGAAAATCGTTCCACTCCGTGGTCCCTAGGTAGATCCGAAGCTTAAGAATCGAATCTTTAGAGTCTGTGCATTTTCGCTTAAAGGTGTTCTTCAATATGAGCCCCGACTTGTCGTACCAGACAACACACTGTTCTCTGACGCCGAGATAATATAATTATACCTACCTAGCTGCCTAGTTAGGTATACTACACCTTACTGCGTACTGCAGGACCACACCCAAAGATCAAGGCCAAGCGATCCATAGCGAGCTCGGTATCTACGAGTTCATCTGATCACCATTTGTTAGCCAACAAAAAAAGCCACTCGGACATTTGTCATCGATTCCCTTTCACACAGCGTCATAGGAGTGTTATTACCACAAATAAGAATGGTCTGTGCCAAACTCAACGACCTAGGTAGTTGATCTTCTCCGTGGAGAGCTGGTATTTTTGCGGCTCGCCCGGATGTTAATTCTTCTCCTATCCTACTGTTGAATACGAAAGGTATTGGATGGCATGCGATACGGTTGTCGCTTTGGTATCTTGACCCATTCGCCACAATGGTGGGTTACCAGACGAGGTTATGGACGTTTAGAACGAGCCGTAAATTACTTCCAACTTGATGGGCTGCCTCACTGGAGCTGACTTCTGTCGATGGCCGCAGGTGCAATCCGCAGGGTTCTGTGACCGCACTCAATGCACGCCAAAACGCAGGCTCGAGTTGAAATAGGCCAATAGTGCTCGTGCCTCGACTGATCGAGACAATGCACTACAGTTGGCGCTTTGTGTAAGACGTGTCCAGTGCTGGCCTTTTCGGAAGCTGTGTTGATCCTTCAGTGTCCACGAATAGATGGGTACTCGCGTACTTGCAGATAGTGCATGCCAGGATTCACAGAGACTGCAGCGACATTCTTTTGCCCACCATTAGTCGAGACCGGATGGAATAAACAGTAATAGGTCTTGAATAGAGGAGGAATAGATAGGAGGAGTGCAAGGCCACCAATAGGGCCAGAGCTGTTTATGTTTACAACTCCCTACAGCATGCCAAGCCTCGGTCCAACTTCGGGACGGCCATTGGCATTATTTTCCTTTCCTTTGCTTTCTCCATTTTCCCCTCCGAAGCTCGGAGATACGCATTCGCTGTCTGCTTCTTCCCTCGGACAGCACTTTCCCACAATGACTGCCCTGTCACAACGTCTGCTGTCTGCGCGAGTGAGATGTCCCCTGGACTTGGGCTCTTGCTCCAGAACACGGCCATCATATCATCGTGGCTATGCAACCCTGCAACAGTCGCAGCCGCCTATGCGGCGACGAGCTGCTGTTCCCCCTTACCAGAAAATTCTGAAGACGTTTGAAGATGTCAGAGATATTCTTCCCCGCCGGAAGCTGGCCCTCGCGGAGAAAATCCTGTATTCTCATCTCGACAACCCCTCCGAGTCTCTGTTGACCGGCACCGACAATGGCGAGAACATTCGGGGCAAAGCCAACCTCAAGCTCAAGCCCGACCGTGTCGCAATGCAGGATGCGTCCGCACAGATGGCTATCCTCCAATTCATGACATGCAACCTTCCCAGCACCGCCGTACCTGCGAGTATCCATTGCGACCATATGATTGTGGGAGAGAAGGGTGCAGACGTGGATCTCCCTAATTCCATTGCGGGCAACAAGGAGGTGTTTGACTTTCTGGAATCTGCTGCAAAGAGATACGGAATTGAATTCTGGCCTCCTGGGGCAGGTATTATACATCAGTCGGTTTTGGAAAACTATGCTGCTCCTGGCTTGATGATGCTGGGTACGGACAGTCATACGCCTAATGCTGGGGGATTGGGTGCTATTGCAATTGGTGTGGGCGGAGCTGATGCAGTTGATGCACTTGTTGATGCCCCATGGGAGCTCAAAGCTCCCAAGATTCTGGGAGTGCGGCTAGAAGGCAAGCTCAGCGGCTGGACTTCGCCGAAAGATGTGATTCTACATTTAGCGGGCAAGCTCACCGTTCGTGGTGGGACTGGATCCATCATCGAATATTATGGGCCTGGAGTGGACACATTGAGTTGCACAGGCATGGCCACAATTTGCAATATGGGGGCTGAAGTAGGGGCTACAACGTCGATTTTCCCCTTCACCGAGAGTCATATCCCTTATTTGCAAGCCACGGGACGTGACGCTATTGTCGACGCGGTCAAGGGCATCGCATATGGCTCGGAAAAACACAACTTCTTGCGGGCTGACCAAGGCGCGGAATACGACCAAGAAATCACAATCAATCTAGCCACACTCGAGCCGCACATCAATGGTCCTTTCACGCCTGATCTATCCACACCCCTGTCAAAGTTCAAAGATGCAGTAAAGACCAACAAGTGGCCTGACAGCTTTTCCGCCGGCTTGATTGGCAGTTGCACGAACAGCTCATACGAGGACATGACCCGTGCTCAGGACTTGGTCAAACAGGCACAGGCTGCGGGCTTGAAACCCAAGTCTGATTTCTTCATAACGCCCGGAAGTGAACAGGTACGCGCGACCTTGGAGGAAAGTAAGACACTCGAAACCTTCACACAGGCTGGTGGCACCGTCTTGGCCAACGCCTGCGGACCGTGCATCGGACAATGGAAGAGGACCGACGGTGTCAAGAAAGGCGAAGACAACGCCATCATCTGCTCCTACAACCGTAATTTCCCGGGTCGGAATGACGGTAACCCCCGTACGATGAGTTTCCTTGCTTCGCCAGAAATCGTCACTGCTATTTCATACTCTGGATCAACATCTTTCAATCCAATAGTCGATGAAATCCCCTTGCCCTCTGGGGAGAAGTTCAAGTTCGAGCCTCCGAAGGGCGCACAGCTTCCAGGGTCGGGCTTTGCCATAGGCAATCCTGCATTCTACCCTTCCCCTGCTGAACCAGATCAAAGTGTGGAAGTGGTTGTCGACCCTGAGTCTGATCGACTGGCTATCTTGGAGCCGTTCGAGCCATTCCCAGAAGGTGAACTGAAGGGCCTGAAAGTGCTCTACAAGGTCAAGGGCCAATGCACCACAGACACCATTTCAGCGGCCGGGCCATGGCTCAAGTACAAGGGACACCTTCCAAACATTGCTGAAAACACTCTCATTGGTGCTGTGAACGCTGCGACCGGCGAGACCAATGTTGCATACGACAGTGATGGGTCCACATCGTCTATTCCAGAACTCGCAAAGAAATGGAAGGCGAAGGGACAAAATTGGCTGGTCGTTGCCGAGGACAATTACGGCGAGGGATCCGCTCGGGAGCATGCAGCGCTCCAGCCACGTTATCTCGGAGGGCAGATCATTCTGGCAAAGAGCTTCGCACGCATCCACGAAACGAATCTCAAGAAACAGGGAGTGGTGCCCTTGACCTTTGCCAACAAAGAGGACTATGACCGCATAGATGCCTGCGACCACGTCGACACAGAGGGGCTGTGGGATGTTCTGAAGAACGACGGTCAAGGCGAAATCAACTTGAAGGTCGCAAAGAAGAATGGCGAAACCTTCACGATCCCCGTCAACCATACTCTGAGCAAGGATCAATGTGCCTTCATCCTTGCCGGATCTGCACTGAACCTGCTTGCAAAGCGGCAGAAGCTGGATTGAATGTAACGGCAAGCTTTTGTTCTGCAGGTAAAAAGAACATTCTCCCCCGGCCGTGCGGAGCCTCGTCGCTGGCGGAGGCCGGTCTTGGCGCCATGGGATTCTGTGATTGGCCACATCGAGTACCACGTAAGGAAATTGAGGCTCTCTGCCTTTATCCAATGTGGTGTCCGACGATATGCTCGTGCCACTGATCCGCCAAAGATGGGATTGTCGATTCCGTATGGCAACGCTGAGGCCGATGCGTTCTGAAACAATTGAACTTTTTGTTTTGGTCCTGGAACGCCCGCAGCCTTGTTTGGATATCAACGCGTCCATGGCAACCAAGAAGAACAACGTTCTTATGCTGCGTATATAAGCATAGGTCAACTTGGTCGTGACAATGGCAGGGAAAATTGACAGACAACAAACTGGAAGCCATGTTATCATCCCTTGTCATTGCAGCAATCTTCCTCTGGGCCCGGTTGGCGAATGCCTGGGGCACGCTGGGCCATGAGACGATAGCATGGATTGCTCAATCTTATGTCTCATCTACCACAAAGGCAGCAGTCCAATCGATTCTAGACTCGACGACGTCGGACTATATGGCCAATGTCTCTACTTGGGCTGATTCATACCGGTACACCAGTGAGGGCGGCTGGTCTGCACCACTTCATTTCATCGATGCGAACGACAACCCTCCAGAGTCCTGTTCAGTGGACTTCAGTCGTGATTGTGGCGATGCCGGATGCTCGGTCTCGGCCATTGTGAACTATACATCGATCCTGTTGGATGACAACGCCAAGTCTTCGACCTTACTCGACGCCATGCGATTTATCATTCATTTCGTCGGAGACCTGCATCAACCTCTTCATGACGAGGGCCTCGATGTCGGAGGGAACACCATCAACGTCACCTACGATGGAGACAAGACCAATCTGCACCATATTTGGGACACGGAGATCGTGGAGCAGTTGGCAGATGGTCAGGACGCTGAGGCATTCGGGAAGAATCTCACCGCAGCGATCAAGGCGGGCGACTACGGTTGGGATGCCAGCAGTTGGCTGGATGGTATCAGTGTGAATGACACGCAAACCACGGCTATGAGTTGGGCGAGTGAGGCGAATGGCTATGTGTGCACCGACGTCCTCGCTTCAGGGATTGATGCGGTTGAAGAAGGGGATCTGAGCGGCACCTATTACAAGGCCCATTATGACGTGGCGAGGATCCAGATTGCGCGGGCTGGCTATAGGTTGGGGGCCTGGCTGAACTTGATATACACTGGTCAGACAAGTGGTTGATGTGAGTCGAACCCAAACATTTGAAATAGAGCAGGGTATCTGCCATGTCAGCTCCGGCAACACAGACTTGATGTGATAGACGTCTCTGAGTAAAGATAAAGATGGTGGACGGCCTTCTCCACGCTTACCAAATGCTGAGCCTCTATAGCTGACCGACAGGGGGGACCGTGGCTGGCCGTTGGCTCTCTGGCGAGACTGGCGCCGTACTATGGGGCCCTTTATGATGGTAGCTGGAGACTCTGTTTGGAGAAGAGAAGTTCAGTGGATGATTTCTTGTCATCATGCAGCAGGGTATCGTTCAATATTTCCCAATAGGTTATGTTTGCTAGTCAGCACGGTTTGGTTTGCTGTATCCAAATGATACGGCAGTAAAGCTGATCCAGGGACGCAATATCCCGATTCCCTACTCAGCCAGGGTCGATCCCTTCCAGATTAGAGACCGAGTACCCGGCGAGCTGGGGGGGTATTATGAGGAAAGCCACGTAGCCGGCGCTTGGATCGTTGCGCAATTGAAGATATCGCGAGTTTCTGCGAGGAAAGGTCATCATCGTGGACACATCAACATGCAGGGGTAGGCATGTTTGATCGTCAGGCAGCCTCCTCCTTCATGTCAACCTGCATGGGGCTAGGAGCCACAACTCAGCACGAGCTTCCTCGCACTTCTTCTCCTTCATCATCAGCAGGGAGCATGACTGCATGGCTCCCGATCCTACTCGTCCTTCCGCCAACAACATTCAGGTTGCTTCGCCATGATCATGGCCTTAGCCCCCACATGGGCTGTTAACACAGGTTGTGCTGTTCTCTCGGGATCGACGACGTCCTAAGAAGGTTGCCGGTGGATGTACAGAAGGGCGAGGAGCCGGGACGCGTCAACGCCTGGATGCTCGTGTGCCGTACTTTGCTAGGCGCGGGCTGGGGGCCGCGAATGGATTGGTCTTGTCGGATGCGGCGCAGACTTGAGCTGAAACCTTCATCAAACTGCCAGTGGAGGCGGGGAGGCTTCGGTGGAATGTGGACTCGGTTCCGGCAATGCGGGCAAGGCAGAAGGCATCCTCATTGTCCTAAGGCTACGAGGATGGTGTTCGATCAGCTCCCGGTCAAATGCAGGGGGCCCGTATTCGCGGGGCGGAGACGCATTGGCATAGAAAGAAGTGGAGGATTCGATTAGGCGGACACTTTATTTTTGACGCAGCTCGATCTATACAGGCGGGAGATGATGATGATCATGATGGTCGTGTACACTTGTACGTATGTACCGATGCCGCGAGAGGAGTTGCGTGGGCCGAAAGGAGTAAGGCGAATATGCAATGTAGGGAGACGTAACTGGCGATGGTCAGGGTTCAGAGGCTGTGTTTTCTTTCAGTTTGGGTTAAATCTGCGAGACTAATTCCCTGACGATCTTGTGCAGAGATGGAAAGAGCTAATATCCGAGTAGAGACTGAGGTATACGAGGTATATCTACCTACTAAGCACGTATTCTATATAGATGGGCCAGACCTTGACAGCACCCAGCCACCATTGACACATGCTACTCAATATCCAACACAGACTCTGAGACTCACTCATATCGGTCGCTGTCACTGACTGATCCCCCTTCAGCCTCCTCCAAGAACAAGGCTCTTGAACACCCCTGGACCCCCTGTTCTCAGCCCCCTTTTGGGGATTTTGCTCCCCTATTCAGTCCCTATCCACTGCTTCCCTGCTTCCCCTGCTGCCCGTTTGGGGGCCTTGACAGGCAAGGAGGAAGATAGGCGAGGGCTAATTTTGGGAGGAAGTTGTTCTGGCTTTTTTATTACTGCTGTGCCTCGTGGCGTCATTGATGAATTCCCCGTAGCCATCATTTTATACGCTGATCGAGGCAAGTCCAACACGAGTACGAAGCCAAATCCGGCAGCAGCTCGTCTTCTCACTCACTCACTCACTCACTCACTCACGCACCCACGCACCACCACCACCACCATCACCATCACCATCAAGCTTCACCCCCACCTCAAAAGCCTTACACACGCATCCACTCACCTATATACTGTACCCAGTACTCGTCGGACCCCCTCGTCGCCAAACTCACCACCACCACCACCACCACCACCAAACATCTGTGTCTGTCTTTGATGTGTCTTCCACACCGTCGTCGCAGACCACCCGCCGCCCACGATCCACCGTCAGCACTTTACTTAGCCTGAACCTCCCTCTCCCGTCCAATCCTGTCTGCCGTGTGCCATCACTTTTTGCCTGCATACCTGCATACCTGGCACGTCCTACGAACTGCGGCGCAACCCAGCCTTTTAGAACTAGGCACGCACCCGTCCGAGTTAGCAACGAGCCGAATCCTCGGTTACAACACCCCCAAATAAACGCCACAATCCTGATCCTTCCCGCGGTAGTCTCTTTTCCTCCCCAGCGGCCATGCCGGCCTACGCTTCGCAGCCCATCCGCAACATCCTCATCATCGGCTCGACAGGCGTCATAGGCACCTACATCACGCGGGCGATTGTCGACGCAAGAGAAAATTTCGACCGAATATGCGTCTTGACCAGTGAGAAGACCCTGGTAGAAAAGGTGCAGGATATCGCGGCGTTGGAGGCATGGGGGGTAGAAATATTTACAGGCAGGTTGGAGAATGAGACGGCGGTGAAGAGGGCATATGAAGGTATGTTACACGCGTCCACCCTTCCCGAGACCTGCAGGCCTGCTGCATGCATGGCACACATTCCACCGCGAGCCTCACTGACGTGCACCGACCCGCTCTACAGGCATTGACACCATTGTCTCCTGCGTCGGCCGTGGGGGCATTGAAAAGCAGATCAACCTGATTACCTGGGCCGAGCAGGTGGGCGTGCGCCGCTTCTTCACTTCTGAATATGGCACCGACATCGAATACTGGCCCGAGTCTGTTCACGAGCCGCCGCACCAGCTCAAATTGAAAGTGCGGGCGCATATGGCGACCATGAAGAGGCTGGAACACACATACTTGGTCACAGGCCCTTACAGCGACCTATACTTCGGGACCATGAAGGCTCGACCAGAGTTGGGCCAATTTGATGTCAAGGAGAAGAAGGCCGTCTTGCTAGGAGATGGTAACGGGCCCGTCAGTTTTACGGCCATGGCTGAGTATGTTTCTACCACGGCCCCTATCTCCCAGACTCCAACGTGCTAAATTGTGTCGCGTCGCAGTGTCGGCAAATTCGTCGTCGCAGCACTCATGAATCCCAACGCATCTCGAAATACAACTCTAATAGTCCACTCCTTCACCGCCACACCGCACGAAATTCTCGAGGAATACGAACGACAGACAGATAGTAAATGGGAGAAATCATACACCACGCTCGATCGGTTAAAACAAATTGAAAAGGAGGAATACCAGATCTACTCGCCGCTGGCGACCGTGGTCACATTACGGCGGATATGGACGGAAGGCGGTACCTTGTACAAATATTACGACGAAACGATCCTGGGTCAGATTGAAACCGAGACGCTGGAGAGCCAAGTGGCGGCGAACATTCGCAAGCAAGAAGAGGGCGAGGGCCATTTCCCGAGTCTAATGCGGAAGTTGAGCCTGTATTAATACGACGGTCAAGCCTCGAAGTGCCGAGCGAGGACGAGCGAGTCCTCTGGTGGTGAACGTGTCGTTGAACATTCTATTTTTGGACACGGCATATGGATATGGTCAATGGTGCCCTGGGCCACGGCGCAAGCATCGCTCATGTGCCTCTGGCGCGGACGGCAAGAATCTGCGGACGGACAGAGAGGTTGCTATTGAAGACCCCGGGCTCCAGAGCCTATGCCCTATTCAATTCTGTGTTGTCAGTGATACAAAGTGTGTATACATATACCCAATTCGATGTTCAAATTTGCAGCAAAAGAATACGGCCGTTTATGCTGGACCGAATAGCTCGACTGGTACTTGAAGCCGAAAACGGCCCGCGCCTTGCATAGCCGAGGCACGAGCAAGCCTCGACCTTGTATCTAACACGCCCTTGTCTCTGACTTGTCAGTGAGGTTAGGGACCTAGGTAGGTAGCTGATTCGCAGGAAGGGCGTCGAAGGGTCGCCTGCGGACTGCTCACAGCCCTATACAGGGGAACACACGGGAATATGTCGACCCGCCATTTGCCCATTCAGTCGATCAATACTACACTCCAGTCCCATGTGGGTATCAGGATAGAGCAAGGGATGCTGGATATAGGATATAGGATATAAGCCAGGCTCTACCCGGCCCGTGTTTTGTCAACGTAGTATCTAGCTCCATACTCCGTGATGATAAAGTGGGAACCTTGTCGTCGTTAGGGCGCAACCAATGACATACAACCTTTTCTCCAATGTACCTCGCCTATATCCATATCTTCCTCCTCGATTGTGGCAGTGTACCTGGGCTGCTCTCTCTCTCTTCTAGACATCATTTCATTGACGATATAGGCGTACATACATAAGGTCGATCTGTCCCTCTGTCTATTTGGCTAATCCCTCGCTATATTTTTTGGGTTACATTGTGCTTTGCTACCTGGGTAGTAGATTCCGGTGGAAGAAGCTTCCCCGGCGATAAGGGCAGAAGATATAGAAAGAGAAGGAGAAAGAGAAGTCCGTTTCGAAAGGACCCTCTGCTCTACATATCCTGTTTCTTTTTTTCCCCTTCTAATCACGAGACTTCTTTGCACCAAATTCCATATTGGCAAGCGAGGCTGCGCCATATTCCCCGAACGAACTTGAGCGAAATCAAAGGGCTTTCTCAACTAACCCCTTGCGACACGACTTTTCGACAAAACGCTCTGAGTGGTTTTTGGCGAGCTGGATGCTGCGTGATCGGTGCAGTTGCTGAGACCTCTGCCTCGAAACGCGGACTGCGACTATTCTGTTCTATCCAAGCTGAGTCGGTCATGGTTCGTTGATGTTTGGGGCATTGCGACTCTTTGGGACAAGACCATCTACGCAGGCAAGCACCCGCCATAACGTGTCTTTGTCGAGACGGAGTCGGGCGTCGACAGCACTTGCCTTGGGGAGCGGGTCCTCCAGTCGCTCGCTGACGATTTGGAAGACAAGATTTACTGCGGCAGGTTCATTCGGTCGGTTGAGCACTTTTATAAAGGCAAACCGCAACTCGGTCTCAACCTTCTGTCACATTCCGTTCATCAGACGCAAACGACGACACCCTCCATCACCCAGATCATCACTCTTTCGAACCTTCACCATGGCCACGAACGGGACCGCTATCCCTCTCTTCACCCCCGGCCGCCTCCCTCCTGGGAAGGACAAGCATCACATCGTCGTCCTCGAGGGCATCCACGCTAAAATGCCCAGTTTCGACTTCCCGCACACCATCGACGTGTACCCACGCACATCGCCCTCCGCAGTGGCCGAGCGTATCAAGGACGCCACCATCGTCATCGCCTGCGTAGTGCCAGTGACGCCGAGCGACATGGACAACGCACCCTATCTGGGCGTGCTGGCCGTCATGGCCGTGGGGATCCAGTGGGTGGACAAGCAGGACTGCGCCCGTCGGGGCGTCACCGTGACAAGGTGTACCGCCGGCAACGTCGACGCTGTCACCGAGCACTTCCTCGGCCTGTACTTCGCCGCCCGCAAGCGCGTCGTGCAGGTCCACAACACTATGACCACTACCAACGATTGGATCGACAAGGGCACCCTCACGAAACTCTGGCCGTCCGGCCCGCCCCTGGGCTGTCGGCAGGAAACGCTGGGCATCATGGGCTACGGCACGCTGGGGACCCGGATCGAGAAGCTCGCGAAGGCTGTCGGCTTCGGCGAGGTGTTGGTCAGCGAAAGGAAGAACGCCTCGACCGTCCGCCCGGGCAGGGTGTCTTTTGATGAAGTCCTTCAGAGGGCTACCGTGGTCGGCGTGTGTCTGCCCAAGGATCACGACACGATCGACCTGATCGGCGAGAAGGAACTGCGCACCATGCGTAAGGATGCCCTGATTATCAACGTCGCGCGTGGCGGCATCGTCAACGAACACGCCCTCGCCCGGGCGCTGAGAGAAGGCTGGATCGCTGGCGCCGCGACTGATGTTCTGGAAACGGAGCCCGCGGGCCCAGGCACGAGTGCGCTGATCCCGGACGTGGCCAAGGGCGAAGAGGAGGTGCCGAATTTGACCATTTGTGAGTGATTGACCCTGTTTTCCTCTCCCCTGTCTTCTCTTGGACTTCCGACTCTCAGTCTTTTCTTTCTCGTCTTGTACAACGTCTTATAATCAATGCTAAATGTGATTCCTTGTTCAGCATCCCACATCGCCTGGTTCACGCAGTCCACGATCGAAAACTACCAGCGCCTGCTCAAGGAAGGCATCGAGGGCTGGGTCAACGGGACGCTGCAGGAGGCGACGGACAAAGTCAACAAGGTCGTCGTGGTGCATAATGGGCGCATATGGACCGAGTAATCACTCTGCATCTTTTTTACTCCGAATGGTCTCCTCTCGGTCCGCACGCATGAGCGATATCTGCTAAGAGCGAGAGGGCCCTTTGATACTACCATCCTCCCCCTATTCAGATACAGGTTATGTGCTATCTGATGAATCCAGACGGAGCTAGGTGATGCTGTGCTGTGCTGTGCTGTGCAGTGCCCAGCACTCTCGAATGTTCGGGCTAGAAGAGCACAAGCGGTGTGGGGAGGACGTGATGATGGTAATGATACTGCTGATGGTAACTAGCTGACGATGATGACCGCGCAGGGGTTTAAGACGGCCTATAGCTGGAATTCCTCGGGAGGTCGATCAACAGTAGCAGCAGCAGCAGCAGCAGCAGCAGCAGCAGCAGCAACGGTCATTTTCGAGGCATCGCGCTTCAATCGCGCGTGGTTCAGGTGCTAGATGATAGATACTAGAAACTGCCTAGGTAGGCAGTGGACACCCGAATACAAAATACAACGACGAGATCCAAGGCTGAGCCGAGCGGGCGAGCGAATTCAGGAAACCGCAGACGGGATCTCAGCTTGGAGAAGGATTTTCTTCTTCTTCTCTCTCATCATTATGATGATTCAAGCTCCAGCACTGTAGAAGCACCGCAGCATTTTGTCTCTGTCTCTGTCTCCGTCTTCATCTTCATCTTCATCTGTCTTCAATCAAGCGTACAGTTAATGCTCCTTTGATCCGCGTCTGGAGAGTCCTCCTCAAGCATCGCCATAAAGCCGCCTTCTGCGCGAGGCTCTTGGAGAGGGCTCCCGGGCATGTCATGACTTGTCCAACCCACACTGCGATTAAAACGGGTTTGCTCTGTCGGTATTGGTACTCATACAAAATCCGCCAAACTCTCAGTGGCGTGCGTGCTCGTGAGGAGTGTGCCGAGCAAAAAGACATCCAAATGCTTTTGCACTTCATTTTACATCTTGCATCTCAACGTCTCTCGTGACTGCTGGTGGGGGAGCATTGTCCGTCCCCTGCTCCTGCTCTTGTTGGGATCCCGGATTCGGATAAATTCTCGTCTTCACTCCGTTCTCGTTTCTGGTCGGTTCTGGAGGTCCAGCGGCTCCACTACTTTCGATATCGGTTTGCTTGCCTCCTTGAAGCTCATTTCTAGCTGGGCCGGGGAAGTGCGCCTGTGCCTGAGCTTGGCCTTGGGGCTGGGACTGCTTGCTCGGTGTCGGTACTGGTTCTGTGGAACTCATATTCCTCAACTGTTCTGGGCTGGGTCGAAGATTTTCAACAGGTGGAAGAATGGGCGTCCCGCTGACAGTCCGCTTTTCGCCAGGATATGGAGCAGGCGAGGGAAGTTTAGTTCCGCTGATACCGGCGGGAGACAATGTCGGCTGAAATGACGTCGACGTAGTCGGCGATGAGGCGGGATTCGAATTCTGAGGACTGGCGGCCGAGAGTGGTGGGAGTGGGCCAGGAGTTTGTTGCTTCTTGGGCGAAAGGCCCGAGAGTGGGTAAGTCGGAGCTCTGGAAATGGGTGTCTGAGCAGATTGAGACGGATGTTGGGAAGTTGGCCGAGGAGTACCCTGCAACTGTGAGGATGCGCCGTTGGCAGGGGTATAGATACTATTCGCGGCCTGTTGATGAAACTGGGCAGGCTTCTGAGGAATCCCTGCCACTGGCCCGACGTCCATGTTTCCCTGCGTGGGCGACATCGTGGGGCGATTGATCACAGGAGAAGGGAGACGTCCGCTATTCGACATTGGCTGTGTGCCCGAGTTTTGTGGTGGATGTTTGGGCATAGGCGAGGGCGCCAATGGCCTCTGCCCTGCAGAGTTTTGGTATGGATATTGAGGGTTGTTGTAAATGAATTGATAGTTCCCTTGACCCTGAGACGGCGGGCTTCTAGCCGTACCATTGCTCATCCCCGGAGGATAAGGCTGTATGGGACGGCTGGTGTAGCCCTGCTGATGCCGAGGATTCGTTGATGCCAGCTCGTGTTGAGCAGGACCAGACATTGGCTGAGTTGGAGCGACACGGGGCTGAGGACTGGCGCCATTCATCTGCCCGGATTGGAGGGGCCGAGAGGGACTGGCTAACTGGTTTGGTGGTGAATATTGATGACCATTTGTCATTGCCCCTTGACTGGACGACTGAGCAATGTGTTGGGTAGGGACCTCGACGGCAACGGCCTTGGACGTGGCAGGAACAGGACTTGGTGGGACTGGAGAGGATGATGCCCCCACACGGAACTTGAGAGAAATCTTGGGCTTCTTCGCATCTTCTTCTTTGCGTCTGCAATCTTTACAGATGAAGTGAAAGTCATCCTTCTCTGCGGCCGATTTGGAGATGCCCAGGCATTTGCTATGTTGCCAGACGTTGCACCTCTCACACGAAATACTGTGAGATCCATCGTCCTACACAGAAATTAGTCAACAACGGGGATAATTGGAAGGACAGCTCTCACGAAGTTCTTGCCGTGTTTTCCGCAACCGGAGCAGTCGAAGGTCCAGTCCTCCTCAGCCTCGAGTTCCTCGAGCTCCTTCTTGTTCCGCTCCATTCGTTGCTTGAGGGCTCGATCAGATCCTCTGGCTTCGCCTTCCTCAATACGTTTCTGTTCGAGCTCGTCTCTGGCAAGCTCTTCTTCCTTGAGCAGTCGCTTGAGCTCGCGATCCTTGATTCGTTGTTCTCGGGTCATCATGCGGTATTGTCTTTCTTGCTCCATCTTCTCTTGTCTTTCTTGCTCACGGCGGGCGGCGGCTAGATCAGCGTGTCGCTTCTTTTCGGCCTCAGCTTGTTCGGCTTCTTTCTTTTCTCGCTCTTGCTTATCCGCTAACCGACTTGACCGCTTGGCGCCGACCATTCTCTCCATCATCAGTAGTTCCCGCTCACGGCGCTCTATCTTACGACGTTGTCTCTCCTCGGCGGCTTCAATAACAGGTATGACCTCCTCCACCAGCCGTTCTCGTAGAGCTTTCTCATTTGGGTCTTTCGATTTCTTAAGTGTTTCACATAGCTCCTGATAATCGCCAAGGGTGATGCAGAGGCATTCCCACTTGAAACCATCAAAGGTGTCGATTTCCCAGGGCTCACGCTTGTTCTCTTCAACGAGTTCTATCTCCTCGGTGTTCTCCTCATTCTCCTCGTCGGCATCGCTGACCGCCGCGGCGGCTTCGGCTTCTAACTTTCGCCTCTTGCTCTCACGTCGTCTAGCAGCGATGGCTTTCTTGGAGTTTGCTTTAGGTTTTGCCTTCGGAGCTCGGGGCAACGGAGGCTCAGTTCGTCGGTAGAAGCGGTTGTCGTCGAGAAGGTAGTATTGGCGGTCATGGCGGTCGTAGCCAAACTCTTCAATGCGCTATTGGGTAAGATATGAGAATTACTGTCGTGCACATGCATTGCTGTTGAAACTCACCCATTCAGTCTGATCATTCTCGCGAGGATGCTCCGTCATCTTCTCCCTTATACGGTCGGGGTTCCAAAATGTCCATATTGAGAGCTGATGCAGGATCCTAATCTTTGTGAATATGTCAAAGTCTCGAAACCGCTTGGGCTCTTCCGCATCACCGTAAGGGTTCAGATGGGGAGCCTTGGCTAGGTACTGCCGACGAGTGTATTCATCCCAGATGTCGTAACTGTGTATGATTAGTGATTTGTACAGTGCGGCGGGCTAGTGTCGACAAACTTTAGACCCCTATGAGATGAGATCCATTTGAGAAGGGTGAGGCCGATTTCCTCCAATTTTTCCGAATAGCCCGGCTTCAGGCACTCGTTCTCAAAATCCTGCAAAGCGATAATTAGCCATCCCGTGCATCAAAAATACTCCGCCGCAACCATGTCTGTATCGATTGGTATGGGCAGGTCGTGTGTAGGGCATACCTCGATGTCAAAGTCTTCGTCGATTTTGATAACCTTGCCAAAGAAGAAGATGAACTGCATGACGGAGGCAAATTCCCACATATTCCGTATCCTCTGGAGGAGGGACGGCTCTTGTTTCTTCTCTTCAACCTCAGAGACCTCCATCTCATCTCTGGTACGTTTTCGCGGCATCGTGGAGGGAGCTGCGCGCGAGGAGAGGAGGTGTTGGAGGCCAGAAGAAAGATTTCAGGAGGCTATGACGCTGTCTGCTCCCATTTAGGGGAGCGCTTGAGTATATCGACGCGCTGGACCGGGGGAGTGGTTGAATATTGGTTGCTGGAAACGAGGCGACTGAACAGGTTCTTTTTGGACTGGGGAACGCGGGAATGCCAGTGAAGGCGAGGCGCGCGACTTCTAGAGGCACCGCATGAGGCACTGCGGAGAGGCCAAGAACTACGGAAAATCTATTGTTCCGGCTTCCGAAGTCAAATACGACCACCTTCTTTTTCGGGCGGGGGTGACGAGGGACAGAGCACCAAAGACGAAGGCTGAAGAAGCCCAATTTGAGTGTCGACAAAATTTGTATCAAGACACTCATTGTATTCTCCCCGGTGGTCAATTGATCAAACCATTGACGCTCTTTACGTGTGGCCGAAAATGAGATGCACATATCCGGGTTGAAGGAGATGCGGTGACCATCATCAGATACCAGACCATCACGAAGAAAGAAAACAATGGCATCTGCTGCACCTGGCCAGCAGCAGCCATCACATGAGGACCTCCCAGAGTCCGTGTTCAAAAAGAGTTACAACTTTCCGCCTTTCTTCAGCCCCCAGCCTACCTCCTTGACCCGGCAAGCCCAACTGAAAAAATGGTCCGAGTTCATCCAGCGCTATTGCCGACATTACCGTCTTTTCCAACTCTCCGTCATTGACGCCCTTCAAAGCCCGCTGTTCTACAACTCAAAGTTGAAAAAGGGTCTCAGCCTCAAAGATGCTAAGGCTGTGATAGATCACATGGCCAGCAAGGACGGTGACGAGAGAGCTGAATGGCGCGGCCCTGAAAAGTCAGTGGCCTGGATTTGGTGGCGGAAACCCGAAGAATGGGCGACTTTGATTGTTAACTGGGTCGAAGAAACCGGTCAGAAGGGCACGGTCCTGACGCTTTATGAATTGGTCCAGGGTGAAACGACAGAGAATCAGGAGTTCTACGGACTGGACATGGAAGTGCTGCAAAGGAGCCTTAGCACGTTGGTCAAGAAGGGGAAGGCACAGGTATTTGGAACAGAGGATCAGCAAGGTGTTAAATTCTTTTGAAAGGTGTTCACTCAGACATGGCGTTCCATTCTGGCTATGGTTCCAAAGCAAGAATCATTCATTCGGGTCATCAGCCTACATGATCATATCTCGGTAGTCTATAACTCGTAACGTTTCGTTGGCTGTATCTCCTGGGACATTGCAGTCTCCAACAGCCAGTCTGACCTCACGATTCTCGGTACCTTGCGACTACCCTCGGCCATCTCTTTGAAGCGTGAACACAGACCTTCATTGCCCTTCCCGTTGTCACTAAGCAAATATACATCGTGGTTGTCATCGCGTCCGGACGGCACTATGGTTCCTTTACGGTTCTTCCACAACATACATCGCCCACCGTTGGCTTCCACAATGGCTTTGAACGTGTCAAAGCCGCCAGGGATATTCTCCACACAGTAGATACACCGGCCTTGAAGAAGTTGGTTCGCATTCTTCTTCGCCCGCTGCCGAGACTTGTCTAGAGATAGCTGAAACCTCTTCTCATTTTCTTTGTCATGCAGTTTGTACTTCTCCGGATCCAGTAACTTGTCCTCGTCGAGACAAGCATCAATAAAGTCTGTCGAGATGACCAACGGCGCGTAAGCAAGAGCAATCACGAATTTCTGCGTCCGGACAATGTTGGGAGCGGCAAGATGTGTGGCTTTGCTGGGGTCGGTAATAACAAGGATCCCGAGGCTGCGAAGTTGTTTCTAGAAGTAATATTAGCGGAACGAGTACAGATGTGAATGCAAAATACACTGACCTTGTCACGATCTTCGGCTTTGCCATTTGTCGCCCACTTCTTGTACCCAGAAACCACAAGACGGAGTACAGGAGCATCGTCGTGTTTGACCTTCTTCGCATCGCTATCATCTGACATGTCGAAAATGTCTACTTCTTCGATCGGTCTTTTTTGACCCACTTGAACACGATCAGGGTCTGATTTCCGTCGCCCGCCATAGACCACGCCGCCCTTTCGCTTGCTCTCCTTGGTGAAAAGGAGGATATCCTCGGCTTGCACTTGCAAACGAGACACTGCAACTTCCTTGGACTTGCGACTGTTTGTTGTTGACGGCGTCACTTTCTCCGGGGTGATGTTCTCCTTGCCCAGTGCGGTGAACCTGGGAGCCGCCGGGGTTCGGAACTTTTGCACTGGACTCCTGAGCCCAGATTTGGCACCCTGCTCGCTCTTATTCCTTTTCACAGACGATGGCTGTTTGATATCCTCTGTCCCTTTATCCGCTCGATGCTTTCCCCCAGTATCGGCGGCATCCGTCATCTCGGTGTCGTCGTCAGGGAAGAATTGTTGTCGAAGGACACTGCGGTCCAATTGAGTGTAGCCAACAACATCGCTCAGGTTTGTGCGCTGGGGAAAGTGGGTGTATCTCGTGTCGGTTATGCTTTGCAACTTCCACCGTGCATAGCTCTCTTCCAACCAGAGGTGGTTGACAATGTGGACTCCCCATTCCTTTGCAGCGGCGCACTTCTCACTCTGGTCGTGGGCCGTAATGAGATGTGTATTGTCCTGCTTGAGGGTTTTGGTGCATTTGGCACCAGTGGCGGTGATCATATTCTCAAGATACGTTCTCGCTTCGCCACTGTAGTTTGAGAGACTTATGATGAGTCCTGGGAATCCTGGCAGGCCATTCTTTGCCACGGGATAGTGTAGCATGCGGCGAATTGGCGACGTCCACTCGTCGGTTTGAATCAAGAAATAGAGCCAAGACAAATTTCCGACATCTTTCCCTGCTCTTGAGGCCGTCTTGTAATCCTTTCCCTCCCGATACTTGCAGATATACATGTCGGCTTTCGACACCGAGTCTGTGACTGTCCCCCCGCCAGCAGTTATGAGATCATCCAACGTCTCGCGAAGATATTGGCTGATGCCCAAGTCATCGGCTAGCATGATAGCTTTCTTCTTGAAAACATTTTGCAACTTCCGCGGTGGATTGGGATTTTGTTTCAATTGAACAGGGTCGGGATGTGCAGCTCCATCCACTTGATTCTTTCGCTTTGCGGTGGGAGTCCTGCCCTCGCCTGGTCTCAAGAGCTCTGGAGACGGAAGCTGATAAGGTGTTTCGTCAATCTTTCTTCCCAATTTCAGACAATCGTCCACCCAATGCGGCAGGACCACTTTGACAACAAGTTTCTTCTTTGCTGCAATTTCGACAGGTTCGGAATCCATAGACAGAGCAATGATGTGAGTTATTTGGTTTGTGAGCTTAGGAGACCATAAGCCCCCCATAGCTAGTATTCCTCCTGCTATGGCCTCGGCGTCACTGTGCGGCAAATTGCCAACACAAGCGACGACATCGGACATGAAATAGCGAGGGTCTGGGCTGTATTGACGTGGATTGACGAGTTTGTTCTTCGCGAGTGAATGTTGGACCCAGGTGGGCTTGATGACAGGGATCAGAGCATCGCAGCAGGAGCTGTAGTCAGGGAAGTCGGACGTGGCAGAAATAACGTGGGTTATGCCTCGAAGATTCAGACGTTCTGGATACTGGTCCATGACAACCTCGCCATCGTGCAGTCTCAGGTCGGCCGCCAACTGCGTCTGTTAGCGGACACTACAGCCTGCACTCGTGGGACGGCGGTGTAGTACATACAGTCTCGGCTTCTTTCTCCGAAATGTCAGCAGAGCGCACGATCGCAAAGCTGCACTGGGCGAATAGCCCTCGTTCGTTATCTGCGACCACATCCTGATCGTTCTCCATGTCCGCTAGAGCAGATGTGGTTGCGCCAAAAAGTGTACGAAAGATGACAGCACAGGTGTTCGAAAGGAAAACGTTCATGAATTAAGGATAGTGTACATGATTCCTGAGTGAGAATGCAAAAGTATGCGCCTGGTTCTGGCTTGTGGCAGTTACAAACGGTGATGGCGCACTTGACGCGCTCGCGCGCTTCTCAAGACGCGCCTCGTTTTTTGTCAGACCGAAATCAATGAAACTGCGCCGAGTCACGTGCACGTCAGGCTGGCAGGCAGGGCTGACTGACAGCCTCGTCACTTTTTGTTCTTGGTCTGTGTCCCTCGCACCTGCTTGTCTGCAATTAAAAGTGGGCGCTAGTGTATCATCTTGAGCTCTCAAGTAAGGCACATTCTTACGGACGAGGCGCTACAGCTTACCGACAGATCTGAGGACGAATATGCGTACTCGGAATTCGTAGCCCTGGAAGGTGCCGGGCCCGAGTCGCTGCAAGAACCTCGGCACTTCCCTCAGAGGGCGTCTTCGAGTCCCAAGGATGCGGGATTGGGAGCTGTTTTCTGATGTCGACGGCACGCCATATAACCCAGCCCTAGAACCGTGTCTGAAAAAAGTTTCATGTCAATGGCTAGATACATCTTCATGTTATCATAGTGCCATCGCTGGGATCCTGAAAGAAGACCCGATCCCCTCCTGAAAATGTCGTCCTTCCACATCGTCGAACACACCATTCCCTGTCAACATATCCGAGAGTTCCCCCGAGCCACAGCTGTCTCACAGGAGGATGTACTACACCTGGCGGTAAAGCAATATATACCAAAAGACAACCCGAATCCGCAACCCGGAGATGTCACGATATTAGGGGCACACGCAAATGGTTTCCCCAAGGAGCTGTACGAGCCACTGTGGGACGATATACATGCTCGGTCAAAAAGACATGGCTTTCGTATAAGGAGTATATGGATTGCCGATGTTGCACAGCAGGGACAGAGCAGTGTACTGAATGAGCGACTGCTTGGAAACGATCCGGGCTGGCATGACCACCCAAGAGATCTGCTACACCTGATCAATCTCAAGCGAGACCAGATGCCGCGGCCCATTATAGGTATCGGCCACTCGATGGGCGGAAACCACTTGTATATCTCACGCTCTTTGAGGTCGACCTGTACTGACTCTCGCGCAGGGTCAATCTAGCATACATTCACCCCCGTCTCCTCACCACTCTAGTCCTCATCGACCCTGTGATCCAGATCTACTCATCCGTCCCACCAACAGCAGGGCCCAGCCCAGCCAAACTATCCACGTTCCGCCGCGATGTCTGGCCCTCGCGTGAGGAAGCAGCAAAGTCATTCAAAAAGAGCAAATTTTATCAAGCATGGGATCCTCGTGTGCTCGATCGGTGGGTGAAATACGGCCTGCGAGACATGCCCACGTTGCTCCATCCCGAGGAATCGAAAAACAAAGATGGCCCGCCCCAAGTGACGTTGACGACTCCGGTCCCACAAGAGGTCTTCACTTTTTTGCGCCCCAATTACGAGGGAAATGGATACAACGGCCGGCCCATAAATCGCAAAACCCACCCGGACTTAAATCCGGCCTTGCCGATGATCTATCCATTCTATCGCTCCGAAGGACCCCAAACGTTCTTCCGCCTCGAAGAGCTCCGGCCCTCCGTGCTTTACATCTTTGGCGGGAAATCCGACGTCGGCACGCCCGATGCTTGCAAGGCGAAAATGGATCATACGGGCGTCGGCGCCGGAGGCAGCGGAGGTGCACCTGCGGGGAGGGTGCGAAGTGTGCTCTTCGACGACATTGGTCATCTCATCGCCATGGAGGCAGTGGACCGGACGGCGGATTCTTCCTGCGAGTGGATCGGAAGTGAGATGAAGATCTGGCGCGAGGACGAGGAAGAGCACAACCGAACCTGGAATAAGAAGACCCTCGTGGAGAAGCAGAGCCTGGATGAGGAGTGGAAGAAGATGATCGGAGGGCCATACGAGAGGAAACCAAAGGGTGCAAAGTTGTGAAACGAGTCGCTTTCCCGGTGGATCTGTTATTGTCTGTGCCATTTGAGTCGACAAGATACAGACCTTTGACGAATGCACACTTGCAGGGCTGCGACACATCGTCCTCGAACCAGGTAGAGTCGGTACATGATTGCTTACATGCCAGATCTAGAATCTATACGTGATAAATACTTTGGGATAGAGAAAGTACGCACGGACAATACACCACACTGACATGGCCCATTCTCAGTATTGGAATAGTATCTCTATATATGTACGAAGATCTTAGATGTAGACACGGTATACGTGCGTGCTGGGGGTGTCCCGAATCGTCAAATCATCAATGGCTCACTCAGATGCTCATCCTGCGCCTCGCGCACTGTCGTCTCGGTCCAGAGGCATCACCACATCTGCCAGACACCGTGACTGTCATGGCCTCCCCTGCAGAAGACACCGCCTCGGCCTCGCTGCAGGTGCTCGCCAACAGCAACGGCTCCGTCTCTTCTTCCTCGGCGAGATGCACGCCATCATACCTCCCCTCGGGCATGCGGCCCCTCCGATAGCCCAGCCCCTCGGTCTCCTCGATGATGTCGAGGTGCCTGATGCTGCCGTCATCGGCGCCGACACCGGCCGCACCCGCGAGTAGTCCGTGGACGCCATCGTCGGGATCCCTGACTCCGTAGATGACGCGCAGGTTGCCCAGGCGCTCGGCGATCTCGTCGCCGGTGAGCAGACAGCCGGTGTCGCCGAGCTTGTCGACGATGGGCCGCAGCAAGCGGGCCATGGCCAGGTGGCTCGTGTCCTTGATGATGGCCTTGTCCGCGAGCAGGATCACCGCGAGCAGCACCAGGCCCTGAGCCACGGGGATCGCGCCCAGGATCGAGCCCGCGTACCGCCACGTCACGTCGAGGACCTGCGCCGGGGCAGGGCCAAACCCCGTCACGTTCATTCGGGGCCCGTTGGAGTCGAGCGCCGCGATGGCCCCCGCGGTGAATTTCATGACCAGCCGCGCCATTTCGTCCGCCGTGACGTTGCCCGGCGGGCTCCATTGGCTGGATGCAGGATACGGCACAATCTGTATGCTGGACTCGGAGGAACCTGATGACGAGCTGTTGCTGTTGTTCCCTTGCTCTTCCAGTAACGTGCCGGACCACCCGATCGCCCCGGCCAGGAGCTGCGCTTGCGTGTCCGGGATCTGGTACCGGTTGGGGTTGACGTACAAATCGACATTGTCCACGTGCGAGACGTTGGAGAAGCAGCTCCAGAATCGCGGTTTCGGCACACTGGTCGTGATATTGTCCGCGGTCTGAAGGGCGTAGATCTGAAGACACCGCGGGCCGCAGTCGCTCGCCAAATTCGACATCCATGTCGTCGCGCCCGTCGCCACGTTGGGGATCCACCAGGTATGCTCGTCCCCGTTGACATCGACCCAAGTCACGTCGAAGGCGATCGAGGCGTTGTCCGTCTGGAAGCCCGCGTAGCCCCCGTACGTGATTGGGAACGACTGGCACGTCGCTGTGGCGTTGACCGTGCGCTCGGAAATGACTGCCAGTGACAGGGCGAGCGGCGAGCGGTCGACGAACCGATACCAGTAGAGGCTTCCGTCGGTGTAGATTGCCTGCTCGTAGCCAAAGTATCTGTCGAATGGAATCTTGAAGACGTTGAAGTCTTGGCCGCTGATACCCCATTCGTTTGCGGCCGCGGTTTCGGCGAGGAGAGAGCTGCCGTCTGATTCATTGTTGCCGTAGAGAGCATCGGTTCGAGAGTTGCCGATGTAAGAGACATCCGCGATGCTGACGTTCCCAAAGGCCAGGCTAACAAAGTTGGAGCTCACGTCGATCGAATAGGTCAATCCGAGCAAGGCGGTGAAAATCTGAACAGCGATGTTGATAGCCAACCACGCCACGGCGAGGACCTGCGTCTTGTTCGGTAGTCGCCTCCCGCGCGTCCGTCCAGCCCAGATCAGGCGGAACACCTTGGACTGGCTATCAAAGTTCATGACCAGTTCAAAATCCTGGAGCGTGCGGTAGCCCGAGGCCAGGAAGCGCCAACGCATCATCTGCGCGTAGCCACTCAGGGAGGACGCAAGATTGAGGCCCAAGCACAACGACAAACCGGTCACCAGGGCGTTGAAGACTTGTTTCCGCGTGTTGCTCAGACCTTGGACTATGGTGGAAAAGCCGTACAAGCAGCCGGCCAGCGCGGCGCATATCAGAGCAGTGATGAGCCATTGGAAACTGCTGTTGATAAGCAGTCTCCGTCGCTGCCGTCGATAGTCAAAATAGCGGACAGTGCTGGAAGCGGGCAGGTGTGAGCCATATTTCTCGGGCAGTGTATGCTCCCACGGCGCTGCTACCGCCGGGACATTGAAGTGTGAAACAGCAAAGTCACGGACAGATGAGGCGACCCTATACAGTGAACTGCCGGTTCTTTGACGTCCTATGATCGCTTCAGCCTCTTGTCGGTTCACGTTAGGCCTGATCGCACTTACTGGGAGGTCGACTTCCGTCAAGGGTGCCGTAGGGGATATGACCGGTCGATTTGCTCGAAATTTTCCGACTGCTCACTCTGGCCCGCTGCTTCTTCGAGGATTTTTCCGCACCATTGTCGCTGGGCGAGCTTCCTGGCAAACTATCGAACGCAGAATCGGGGATAATGTTGGAAAATTGCAAGGGCTCCTCGGAGATCGGACTGGCGGTCAACTGGGAGCCCCCAAAGGGATTGAACTTGGCATATCGAGAGGTGGGCATGCTGGTGTTTCTAAGTAATTAAAAGGGAATCAATCCTCCATCCTGCTTAGTACTTTGTAAGTAGTGGGCGGAAGAAGCGCTTCGATGATAAAGATAGTCAATGAGCGAGAACAGAGGTTTACCCAGGGTAGATAGAAGTTTGTTGGGAGGAAGGATGTAGGATCTAGTTCGATCCAAAGGAATAGTTGGAGACGACAGAGGAAAGCGGTGGATGCAATACTCGTAAGCAGACGGGTTACCAGACGCGGCCTCTGCTGGTCCTTTGGCTCCCTCACACCTCGACGTGACGAGGCAAAGAGCTGGCGCTTGCATGCGCTCGTTGGGGGCCAGATTCAAAAGCTGGAGAATCTAGGAGCGTTGCGCTAGCTATCCATATGCCTGGACCAGGAAGGATCGCGCCGTGTCTGAGATGGAGTTTTCGTGTAAGTGTAAGCACGGATTATACAGCACCGACCCACAAGGCTTGAGTCTTGACCTTCGAATGCAACGAAAGCCTCACACGGTACCAAGTACTTGATACTCCATATGCATTCATAGTGTGTTCCATAGGTAGAAAAGGTACTGCCTGGGTTGAATGTGGAGCCCTGAAGGGCTTAGACACAATAAAATGCATCTCTGTGCAAGAGCCTCATGTCATATGAAGACACTCGTAAGTAAAAATGACGGCGCACACGGAGTCGGCCGCTCCTGATCATCTCGCTTGAATTATGGTCGATGTGTCGAACGGGTCGCAATGGTGGTTCCACCAATATCTCCTGTATTATTGTTTACTCGACACAAGTTCTTGATTTCCAGCCGAAGGATTTGGGTGGCGTACAGGGATGGAACGAGGCGCGCAAGTGGTAACTTAACGATTTCGAGACCAGGAGGCGAAAGTCCAATCCTTCAAGCCAAGGATCTCGGGAGAGACCCGCTAGGCAAATACTAGCAGCCAAAAAATGGGGGCCAACTTCGAGCCATAACCGGCAATCAATCAGGGTCATCCGAATTTGGATAACGGGCGCGGAATGGCCAGCCATTCAGGTGTGTAAGTGGCCGGTACCTCTAAGTGACTGAATGCTTGTCGAACACAACCTACCTCGACAGCTCACCTCTTGACACTCGGCAGGCTTCTGGAAGCAAAGACGCCATCGAAAATGAACGGCATTGTCACCGTGTGCACGCTTTGACGTTGCTAAAAGAATGCCGGCATCGAGGACCGGCACGGTCTCTTCTATGCAGCAATGTGCAAAGTCGTCCGTTCGGGGTGCTCTCCTTTACAGATCTTCAAGTCTGCATTCGCAGTACCAAAAGTGATACTAAAGCCGCATCGCCAGGAGCAACTGCTGTTGCAAGAGCAGGACGACCAGTCCGTTTTCGATGGTTGATTGGGGCGTCTCCGACAAGAGGCACAGCTGAGGCCAAATGGGATCGCTCACTCGAGATACTCGAGGTCTCCCGTTCACTATTATCTCCTTGTTCAGGACTGCAGCGGCGAGCGAAATAGCTCCTATTCCTAGCCAGACGAGGCAAAGGCTTCTTCACCACAAGCTGAATATGGCTGGCCGTGAGGTAGACTGGATATAGTGTTGCAAGAAAGCCACATGGGAGGAAGCCATAGAGCAAGTATCACGTTCTCCTCATTCTGATCACATGTAGAGGGGGTCATAGTACTCCAAGAAGCCAGTGCCAAATGAGCGCCCCTTCTGAATGACCTGTACACGCAGCATGAGGTTCTGGAACCCGAAGCATCAGGCCCGCTCTATCCTGACTCCAAGAGTCCTCGACTTTCGACCCATACTTCGGGTTCATATTTTCAAGCAGCATAATTTCTTTCGCAATCGACCATAGGATGTGGAAAACAGGGCTTCCCGTTTGCTCAGCCGTACTTAAGTCACATGCCGGTTAGCTAGTACCAACGTGGGTGACCAGTTGGGAATCCTGACTGTTGATTGTTTTTTTGATGGTTTTATAATACTTTTTGTGTCCTCCCAGTGACGGAACTGTCGGTAGGAACTAGAATTCTCGGAGTTGCGAGCTTGAGGGGGGGTGTTCTGCTGGATGAGTGAGTGACCGGAAATGCTAGGCCTTGTTGTATTTGGTGTGGGCTGGAGGTTGGGAAGCATCAGGTATTCAGCCCGCTAATCGTTCCACTTAAGGAGAGACCATGAGACTAGGTACATATCGATGGTAAAGATGTACGGTGCCACGTTCAATATGTTCTTAGTCGGCCTCGATCATCCTGTGTAATTGGCTCATCTGAGGCACAGTTTTGTCAGTGCAGCATCGTACAAAGCTACCCCGTTGAATCGGGGTCTGAAACGGTGTGCCCTGGAGGGAATCACCATCTTATCACCAGCTATGCTGCGAAAGCGTAGCTCCCAAGAATCGCATACAAGGACCAAAGGTTCGCATGTTGTCGCTTCTCAAGTTTTTCAGCAACCACGCTGGCATTTCTCATAGCAGAGTTGCTGGATATGCATTTCAATTGCTGGACCACCCAGTCCCGAACCTTTGTCTCTGGACTTGCAAACATGGCAGCCACATAGAACGGAAAGAGAAGTGTGTAACAGTGTAATCTTCGAAGGGGCGAAGAATGGGTCAGCTTTTGCGTGAATTGTGGCCCCGTGGCACAGATCTCTTTCGCCATGGTGTCGATTATATGAGAAGCGAACGCCACATTCAACCCGTTGGGATGAACACCAATGCTGCCTGAGATGACGCTCACATATGTCGTGCGGATGAGGTTGTTCAGCAGGATCCGCATGATACGGATGACGTTGCAAGTCTGCGCGGTAAAGTAGTCTGGATAGACGTCGTAGTACTGTTCCAGTATACCAGAAGAGGCCTCCAGCACCGTGATCCTGTGAGAGATCCAAGCTGGTGGCAGGTCCCTGGCAAGGGAACCAAACTCGCTATCCAGCCTCTTTGCTTGCATTATGATTTCAGAGGACGCTAGAAGGCCTTCCTTTACTGCTCCGCGAAAGTCGGTATACTTCATCACCAGACCAGAGACCCGCCATTTGGGGTCTTTCGCGTCGACATATGGTTGTAAATCAGAGCGGAGTCTGATCAACGCAGGCGGAATCGGAAAGTCACCTGCGACACAGCTTATAAGCATATTGGTGAATAGCCGAACCGACAGCCGTAGACCGGTGTAAGTTTCCAGCTGCTGTGGGCGGCGCAGTTTAACAAGAGCCAAAGCACCCTTGACGTGGCTCATCCATGATTCAGATGAGATGGGATTGCGATTGGTTATCTTTTCAAACAGGTCGAGAAAGAGTACCGCCAACAGTGTTGAGTCAGACGCAAGGGACTCTGTAGTAGCCACAGCACTTTTGACCAGCGAAAGCGCGGACAAATACATCTCCCGGGAAGCCTTGAGTGCAGATGCAGCGTCATACTGAAAAGAAAAGAAAGCCAAGCTCACAGCATCAACACTGGCTGCTAACTGCTTTTCCAGCGGAGCTTGTCGACCAATCCGTTCGAGGACATCATAGGTTTTGGTGAATCCAAGGACGTAATGAGAGAAGAAGGCCGCCCTCGCTCTGTCAACAAGTGGGGTGTCGATACTACTTGCTATTGGTGTTGCGGGCATGCCTTGAGCTTTACGCATGACTGTCTGGCTCTCATCTCGGATTCTTAATTGATCGGGGTCGCGGTAGCCCGAGCACATTAGGCCGGCTCTCACACATTGGCTACAAGCATCTTTGCGAAGATCGCACTGGTAAGCTAGTTAGCTGCAAGACCTCATCTCATCCGCACGCAAGGACCTTACGCGAAGTTTCCTCCGTCTGCAATGAGCGCAGGCCCGAGATGGCTTCCCGTTGAACACCATGATCGATGGAGCTTGCAGAGTGGAAAGGGAATGAGATTCGGCGTCGACCGTGACCTGGCCTTTTTCTCCATCGTCAGAGCAGGTGAATGTTAACGGTGCCCAGACATGCACGAAGAAGTACTTCTCGCGCTGATGCCTGCCATGGACTTCGTTGCAATGGCCAGTCGGATTTAATTGGCTTTTCGGCAAAACTGTGTCGCCGTCAAGCGGCCTTTCCTAAAATAGCAGGTCTTCCGTCACCATGGCCATAAGGCTGTTACGGCCGTTGTCTTTGTTTCCTCATCCTCTTTGTGATCTACTTTGCTCGGTCTCTGGGCTGTTCGAGCGGTCGAACGGGTCAACTTCTTCGAGAGCCTGGTAGATTTTGCTGAAGATACGACATCTTGCAATGCACTTGCCCAGAATGTTAGAATCAGTTCGGCTGCTTGACCTACATAAACCTGATGACCCCGTCCTGAATAAAAAGGACATCAAGTTTTCCTACTCCTGAAAGGCATCCTGACAACAGAATTCACTTGCTCTTTTCCTTTTCAGAAGCTTCTTTGCAGACTCAGACCCAAGCTGCCATGGCCTTTGCGTATAAGTGAGTGCTGCTTGTCGGCGCGACGGCAGGGATTGGCGCTGCAATGGCAGATCACCTCGTTCAGAAAGGCATCAAGGTTATCGCGGTCGGACGTAGGCAAGAGCGGCTTGACACGTTCGTCCAAAAACACGGCAAGGAAAGGGCCGGCGCTTTCAGATTCGACATCCGAGACCGGGAAAATATGGGCAAGTTTGTGCAAGACGTTACAGAGACCTACCCAGATCTGGATTGCGTCTTTCTCAATGCCGGCGTTCAGAGCCCAATCAATTTTGCCCATCCAGAAAAGGTCAATCTTGCAGCTTTCCACTCGGAAGTGGCAGTCACTTTCTCATCTTTTGTGGATCTTACAGTCAAATTTCTACCTTTCCTGATGAACAAGAAAACAAAGACCAGCCTGATATTGTGAGTATGTCGACCAAGGAGTGGGTCCATGCGAATTAATAGGGCTAGTACCGGTTCAAATCTAGCAATCATTCCTGCCTCTCCCTTACCTGCCTACTCCGCTTCAAAAGCGGCACTGAGTGCCTTTGTTCTCTGCCTTCGCGACCAACTACGGAACTCCTCAGTTCGGATCATCGAGCTATATCCACCTCCTGTTCAAAGTGGGTAACTTTTTAACAACACCTGACAGAGTAACTCACAGCTGGAAGCTGAGCTACATGATTACATGGGTGCTGAAAAGGGACGAGCACTAGGAATGCCAATCGACCAGTTTACGGAGGCTGCGTTTGAGGGACTCGCCTCAGGAAGTAATCAAATTGTCATCGGAACGGTTGGCCCAGCAGAAATCTTCAACGACATCATTGCCAAGCGGAGGGCGCTTTCTCAGGATCTGGGAAAGACGTTGAGGGGAGAAAATTAAAGAGAGAACGAAACATGACCTACATAAAGGCCTGCCAGGTCAAGCATATCGATCTGATGGTTGTCACACACAGATTTCTGCGCTCCACGCGGCTCATCTCGCCTTGGGAACGAGTATCAACATGAGCAGTACTGGCTCTGCAAAGCCGTTAAGGTGGAGATCGCAAAGAGTGAAAAGGCCGCTACCAGGACAAAAGCAATCGACTTAGTTCAGGCTGTTCAGCTGAAGGAGCCAGCGAACAGAGCGTCTATTTGGAAGACCGAAATATATTATAACAACAGCTTCTCACAAGATGGCCGGCTTGTATGTTGAATAATTCAAGCCCATTTAGAGCTTATCAACAGCCATCTTACGACGCCTAAACCTGTAAAGCTGTTTCGGTCGTCCCTGCTTTCGAAGATCTTGAGTGGCGGGCTGGCGGGGTTGTGCACTATCCATGGTTTAGGAAGGCTGGAAAGGCCGTTGGGTTTTAGATCGGGAACGATTTTGCGCAACGCTCGTCGATCTGCTCCTCTGACGGTGTAGTATCAGCCATCATTTCGAACCCTCTGGGTCTCTGATAACCATCGGGAAATCCATCAACAACCAAAAGGTACTATTCTCCTCATTACCAATGCTGTTTTCTGATTATGATCTGTTGTACATCCCTTCCAGACGTTTCTACCACGCACCAAGTCTTTTGTCACCGGTCACCTTGATCTTCGTTGCGTCAGCCTGGCTTGCGATCGCTCTTAGGGGATTGGTAATAAAGTCTACGTCCGGAATGGGAGATTTGGCCTTCCCCGTCACGTGCAGGGGTGCCATAATCACGTCAGAGATCCGTCTCTGCGTTATCTAAGCAAAGGCGAGCAACTCCCTAGAAAGGTACTGCAAGCACCGGATTGGGTAGCTTTGAGTGCCTCAACATATAGTCTATGACCCGGGGTACTGAAGCCAGAGTATAGGTATTCACAGTAGTGTGCGAGGCTTCAAACATATATAGACTCATGGACTCATGCTTAGAATACCCCGTCTCTGGCTCATAACAACTCGGAGATTCATCTTCGCAAGTAGTAGGATTTGACCTCTCGCAGCTCTATCTTTCTATACCAAAGAACCACACCAAAAAGAAAAACAGAGGCTCCATCATGACGCCTTCCAGTAACTCCAAGGTCCCCAGGCCAGGCCATTGGGCTGTTTCTGAGTTCGGCGGCCCCTCGGTGCTCAAATGGGAACAATTTCCTTCTCTCCCAGTACCTACCCCGTCGACGGCGCGGGTCCGGATCTTGATCTGTGGCATTTCTGGGGCCGATAACATTATGCGCGCGGGCGGCTACACCCGGAATCCGCTGGCGGCGCGACCAGGATTTACACCGGGGTACGAAATCGTTGGCGTGATCGAGGAATTTGGCGAGGGGACGGAGGACCGCCAGGGCTTCCAAGTTGGCGACGTAATTGCTTCGATTTGCATCGTCGGAGGATATGGCACCCATACGATCGTGCCGTTGGATGACATGCTCAAGTTGAGAAGGGACGACGATCTGGTCGCTGCCGCTGCCCTGCCGTTGAACTATATGACGGCGTATGGGATGTTGAAGAAGAGCGCGTTTCCTATCAACGAAAAGACCGAGTCGGTTCTGATTGGTTCAGTGGCCGGCGGTGTTGGAACAGCTGTCGTCCAACTTATCCGCCTTCTTCATCCCACTGTGACGATCATTGGAACCGCCTCGCCGGAGAAATTTGCATATTTGGAGTCGCTCGGTGTGAGACCCGTTGACAGAAACACGCCGCCTGAGCAACTTCCTGCGGCGGTCAGGGCGGTCAACGGAGGCCGTGGAGTCGACATCGCCTATGAAATGGTGGGCTCGCCAATCAGCATGGATGCATTTCTCTCTTCCACAAAAGAAAGAGACGGAAAGATGATCGCCATTGGATTTATGGCCAACGTCAAGTCCGATGGAAGTGGCTTGGAAGCCACGATATTCGATCCTCTCAAGTACTGTGCCGACCGATCCGACAGGGCAAGCTTCTTCAGCGTCACAAACCACTACTGGAAGGCACAGAGAGAAGTCTTTAAGAACGATTTTGAAAACGAGCTTCTGCGTCCGGTCCGTTCCAAGAGCCTGGTTCCCGTCGTCAGCAAGCTATGGAGACTTGAGGACGCCGTGGAGATCAATGAGCTGCTTGCTACTGGCCGAGGTGTCATGGGCAAACATGAGATGGTTGTGGATGAGGGTGTTTGGGACGAGTATACTGCCAACAGGGCAGAGTGAGATATGCGGCATTAGACCTGGTCCAATAATCTCTCGTTTGTAACCCCTTGAATTCTCGCAGAGCCGCAAAAAGAGAAGCCCTTTCTCTCCAGATATAGACCTGCAAAGAATTCTTTAGATGACCATGCAAGACTGTGCACTTGAAAAGCCACTTGGATACCGTACCGAGAACGAAGACTCTCGTCATCGCAGCAGAATCACAAACTTGAGCATGTGAGGTTCGAGAGGTTGCTGAGAACACCTAACGGTGGAAAGCAACAACGCCTGTGTAGTATAACACAGAGTGAGTACGATGATACGTCAACCATGTTTACAGCTCCGAGCCACGTTTAGATCATGTAGAGGGCATCGAGTAGGACCAGTGATGGCAACGTTGAGTGTCCGTGATGGCGATGACCATGGACACTCGGAGGCTGGATTCGAGTTCCATTGCATCCCCCAAACTCTTGGCATATTTGTCGTCTTTTACCCCGCGCGCCTGGCGGACATTGACCGCATGCATGCAACGCAGCCTCGTCCCGCAGTCAACAAACGCAGGGACATATCTGCACCCCACGACAACCCACTGCCAACCGCTATATGCGAGGCTCCTCGTTGCTCCTACAAAAGCTCCTGCGTAGGATCTCTCAGCTCACTTCGCAGCTAAACAGTCTCTCCCCTTCCGGTGCAAACATGGACCCATCGCTCCGTTCCCACTACCTTGCAGACAATCCTCCCACCGTTGTCCGATTGGAGATCGCCCCTCATTTCGCCGCTCTTTCGCCTAAACAAAAGAGATATGCTCATCATCTGAGTCGTGCTGCTTTCCATGGCACTCGGGTAACGCTAGCACAAGTGTCGCCGGAATCTCCAGTCATCTACGACCTCATCCTTGCTCTACATCGTGCCTGTAACGGGGACTACAAGAAACTCTCCGCCGATGCCTCGGTGTCGTCCTCCGACATCACACTGTGGCTCGAGTACGCCGCCCAGTTCTTCGGGAATTGCGGCAATTACAAGGGATTTGGAGACTCCAAGTTCATACCCAGAATTTCACCTGGAGACTTGAAGAAGCTCTGTGATGTTAACGACGAATGCAAAAGCCTCCATGAAAAGGCCACGAAGACGGGAGGAGGTATATATGAGACCAAGGAATCGGCTCTTATGCACTTCGGGTACCCAGAAGCGGGCCATATGACGGCTTACTATCCAGACTCACCGAGGATCACCAAGGAGGAGATTTCTATCGTTGGGGACGTGCTGGAAGAGAAGAAGCTGCTGATAGAAAACACCAGACTGCGCAAACTCGATTCTGGAGATTTTGAGTTGCTCATTGCATCTGGCGTGTCCAACCCGCCTGCGGCAGAGCGAGATCTTGGAGAAGTTTCTTCGATCGATTTGACAGGGAAACTCGCTGGCAAGAAGTTGCATCTTCGTTTCGGTGATTATCAGGAGGAGATGGCCAAGATCGCCCTTGAGGTCAAGAAAGCGAGAAAGTATGCTGCCAATGAGATTGAAGAAAAGATGCTTGATGAGTACGCCAGGTCGTTTGGAACTGGCAGCATTCAAGGATTTGTGGAATCGCAGCGGTATTGGATCAAAAACAAAAAGCCCATGATCGAGACAGATCTAGGGTTTGTCGAGACTTATCGAGACCCTCATGGTGTGCGCGGTGAATGGGAAGGCTTTGTTGCCATGGTGAATCAAGAGCGGACGCGTGCTTTTGGTAAACTTGTCGACGCAGCACCAAGCATGATTCCGAAGCTACCGTGGAGCAAGGAGTTCGAGAAAGACAAGTTTTTAAGCCCCGACTTCACTTCTTTGGAGGTCCTGAGTTTCGCTGGGAGCGGCATACCGGCAGGTATCAACATCCCGAACTACGACTTCATCAGACAGAACGAGGGCTTCAAGAATGTGAGCCTCGGAAATGTCCTCAGCGCCAAAGCCCCCAATGAGCCGATCCCATTCGTTCGCAAAGAAGACGACGAGCTCTTCCGCAAATACCGCGACCCTGCTTTTGAGGTGCAAGTCGGCATCCATGAACTTCTCGGTCACGGTTGCGGCAAGTTACTCCAGGAAACAGCTCCTGGTGAGTATAACTTCGATATCAAGAACCCACCGGTCAGCCCGGTAGACAAGAAACCAATCACCTCATACTACAAACCCGGTCAGACCTGGTCTAGCGTCTTTGGATCGATTGCTTCATCGTACGAAGAGTGCCGCGCTGAATGCGTTGCTATGGCTCTCTCCTGCGAGTTTGAGCTTTTGAAAATCTTTGGCTTCGGCGATGGAAAGGAAGATATCAACAGTGAGGCTGGACATGTTCTTTACGCGGCGTATCTCCAAATGGCACGTGCCGGAGTGGCGGCATTGGAATACTGGGACCCGAAGTCTCGGAAATGGGGCCAGATCCACATGCAAGCTCGTTTCGCTATCCTGCGTACATTCATGGATGCTGGGGGAAATTTCTGCGCGCTCAAATCTCCCAACGGTGATATCAAGAATCCGGACGACCTTGAAATCCACCTGGATCGGAACAAGATTCTGTCGCACGGACGGCCGGCGGTCGAGGCTTTGTTACAGAAGCTCCACATCTACAAGTCGACTGCTGACTTTGAGGCCGGAAAGAAGATGTACGACGACGTCACGAATGTAGACGACTGGTGGGCCGAGAAAGTCAGACCGATTGTGCTTAAGAAAAAGACTCCACGCAAGGTGTTTGTGCAGGCCAACACTGTGTTGGATGAGGAGAGCGGAGACGTGAAGCTGGTGGAGTACGAGCCCACGATAGAGGGGATGGTTCAGAGTTACTTTGAACGTAATGTCTAGATCCACTTGCAAGGCCAGCATATGCCGGCGCTACCCATTGGTAATGAGAACGCGTGACGACGAGGAGTATGTGTATGGCATTGGCGATCAGCAGATCCAGCACCTTCGGAATTGCTCAAGCCCTCTTCCAAAGAATAGCTTACGTGTAGATCAGCCTAAAGAAAAGCATTCATATGATCCAATTCCACTTTCGCAAAAATGTCACTATATGCACCGCAACATGACCCAGCAAGATCTCAGGAGACGGTAATGCTCGAGGACCCACTGCTCTGATACCCCTCGGTCGCGACAATCTGGTAGTTGAAGGTCCCCAGGTGCATGCCCAGCTTAGCCCACGCGGCGAAGTGGTTCGACGTCGTGACGGTGCCGCCGACGCGTTTGGCGGTGCGGACGGACCAATACTGCGTGAATGTGGCCGTGCCTTGGATGGATGCTGCGCGATTGAGTTAGCCACTGCTGTAAGACTCGGTTCTGCTTTTCCGGGGAAGTCACTCGTTGCGGGTGAGGCTGGCGCAGGACCAAGAACTGAGGAGAGGGGGGATTCAGGCTTACGAGCATTGACGCGCTGGGCGGTGTAGATGTTGTACGTGCCGCCGTCGCTCTGGACCTGGCCTTTGTACGTCAAGCCGCTGCTGGCAGGGTTGTATGTGCCGTAGGACTCGAGGATGTAGTACTCGACCAAGGGACCGGTGGTCCAGCCGTAGACAGAGAGATAGGGCATTGCCAATGGGGCTGAAGGAGCCGTTGTAGTTGATGGTCCTAAGAAGACATAAGGGTAAAAGCCTCGATTCAGATCTCAAAAGTAGAAGACTGATATGAGAGAAGAGGAAAAGAAGAACGTCAAGGGCCAAAACGTTCCGGGCACTGCCGGGCATCCATCCCTTGCCGGCCACGAAGTTGCCACAGTTTGTCCACTGCGTGGTATAGGAGCCACCGGCGCCGTTGTTGTAGCTGACGGTGCCGCCTCCGTCGGTGTAGAAGGAATAGAAATAGCCATTATTGGTGCCCTCGCCGGGCGACGTGCGTTCGACCAGCGCTTTCGACGGTGCGAAGCTGTTTCTTTCACTGAGATGGCCTGACGGTGCACTGTAGACACCAAGCGCCGCCGTTGTCAGTGCAAGAAAGAGCGTGGAGAGGGATACCATCCATGAGTTGCTGGATCAGCAGAAATTGAAAATGCCGACGGTCTGAATTCCTTCTTTTTTTTTCTTGTTTAAGTCTTCACGAGGACGACATCCCGCCTGGTAGAAAGGGTCAATTCTCTCCTTCTTCCTCGCTCAGATCCTGGTCGCTGGGTAAAATAGAAGCATGGATGTGTGAATGTGGAAATTCCATCGACCAGGCTGGCTGACTGGCCTGGATTACTGCATTGCTGTGCATTAACGAAACATGCGCATTGAGAACAGATCTGGACCCGAGGAAATTAAGATCGTCGCAGGACTAAATAGGGTCGATCACCTTTGGACCTGCCCAATTTATCCCAAGGACCTTCCTCTGTACTCCGTACAGTCGGTATGATCCTTCAGTCCGGGCCCTGGCTTGCGAGTCTGATGGGATTGAATGTGCAAGGACACGCACTCTCATTTTAGTCGTGGTAATGTGTAGATATTCTCTTGGTTTTGGAAATCCGGTGCTGCAGGGGGTTTCTGTGCCACTGTTTCATATCCCTGTTAGATTGTCGGTCCTGTGGTGTTCTGTAGAAACTGATTCAGCAGCTGCATGTGAAGAACTGATCAGCTAGAAGGGGCAGCTCGAAGAAGCTGTGGGCGTATTCTATACCGAGTACTTGACCAGCATCGTTCGAAGCCTACCTTGTATATTTCGACGCTTGGGTTTCTCCTTCGACAGGGATAGCGCGAAGCCTCTCGTTGTCAACATCCTTTCCCACAGAACTGACTCTCACGAAAGCTTTTAGACAGTACTACTGACAAGGGAAGTCCCTGGGTTTTCAATTGATAAGAAAGCGTGCGTTGATATCGATGAAGCTTGAAATTGTCCAGGTTGGCTGTGGCATGCAAGTTTCCCCTCGTATGGAGCTGTCGCCAATCATATATATTATTAGGCTAAAAAATCGATCTCATGGAGCCTTGCGTAACCTTGAGGAGAAATGAAGAGAGACATAAGGAAAATGCCGTGGGCAAGTACACTCAATCAGGGAGAGATGTTGTTTCAAGCAAGGAGATGGTCAGCTTAATAGGGTCACTGGGGGTTATCAGCCTTGGCTGAAGGGGTGCGCCACATGCCATTAGTTGCCCTGCATTTTCTGGGTGTTTCCTCCGTTAATTCCTTACCAGCATAGGACAAACTCACTAGATGCAGTTCAGCCCCAGAGGGCGAGCGCAGGTCCCTCGGGTCGGAACTGCAACTGACTAGGTAGGACCAGAGGGAATACGCACTGACCGCAAAGTTAGCATCCTGACTGTGAAGTGTAGCTGGGTCCCGACAAGGCTCAGCCCCCACCCTCCCCCTCTACTCATATAGACTAAAAGTGCAGTGCAGCTCTCTGCCTGAGCGCGACATGCTCAGGGGCAGGAGCCTTTTTACGAGCGACATGAAGGAGCGGGTGCCTGAGTGAGTGAGTGAGTGAGTGAGTGAACGCGCCAGATCGAGAAAATATTGCACATCATTGACCCGCCATTGACCTTTGATTGCATCTTCTTGATTTACCTGTTACGCACGTAACTCCAAAAGCCAAGCAGAGGAGCGTCTCATTGCATACCTACCTAGGTAGGTACCTAGTCATAAGAGCAGAACAATGGGCAGAGTTTGCCCAAAGTATAAACTTGGGGCTTCGCGACCCGCGGACCTTCTGCGGTCGGGTTTCGGGGCCGAAGGGAGATTTGCCAGAACCACCACCTCGTACAAACTGGGAAACAGGGAAGGACAATATGCAGGCAGGCAGACACTTTTTGCAAACCAGTGGTGGTCTCCGATATAGGAGCTGTGGCTTGTGAAGCAGAGAAAAGCTCTCCCTTCAGGACGTTCTCTTGTCAGGATTTGTGTGTGTGACACGGACGGCTCAATACTCGGCGACAAAATATATATGGCATCCTGATCTATTTTACCCTCCAGCAAGGAGAAAGAAGAAGACAACCCCAAAACCCCCCCAATATGGCGCCGACGGTGCCCTTGAAAGTCCTCATCGTTGGCGGAGGGGTTGCAGGCCCAGCGCTCGCATTCTGGCTCGCCCGCCTCGGCGCGCACATCACTCTGATCGAGCGGTCTCCCCAGATGCGTGCGTCCGGGCAGCAAGTCGACATCCGTGCGCAGGGCGTGGCCATGATGCGGAAAATGGGCATCGAGGCCGCAGTGCGGGCTGCATCCGTGCATGAACCAGGCGCCCAGATCATCGACACCAAGGGTCGAGTCCATGCCTTCTTCCCAGCGACGCAGACGGGAACGGGCCGGCAGAGTTTCACGTCCGAGTACGAGATCATGCGTGGCGACCTGGTTAGGATCCTGTACAAGCTCACCGAGGGTCGGCAGAACGTCCGCCATCTGTTCAACACCACAGTCGATAGTTTCACGCAGGACGACGAGAGCGTCCCCGATGGCAACGTGCACGTGAGCTTCCGGGATGGCCGTAAGGAAGACTTTGATCTCGTCGTCGGCGCCGATGGTGCGGGTTCAAAGACGCGCAGGATAATGCTGGGCCCAGACGCGCCCGAGCCGCGGCATCCTATGGGAGGGTATATCGGATACTTCAGCATCCGCTCGACGCCCGCAGACTCGGACAGGGCGACCTTCTGCCCCTTGCCGGGTCCTCGTGTGGGCCGGATTATCGCGACGAGAAAGGACTGCCCGGAGCTCACCCGCGTGTACATGTTGGTGCTCGGCAAGGACGCCGCCATCGACGCAGCCTACAAATCTGGCGATCTGGCCGAGTTGAAGAAGGCGTGGGCGGATATGTTTCAGGGAGGCGCGTGGGAGTGTGGTCGATTCATGGACGCTTTGCGCCACGCCCCCGAGGCAGACGACCTGTACTGCTCGCCGTTCGAGGAAGTTCGGCTTCCCCCGGGGTCCTGGTCGAAGGGTCGAGTGGTGCTGATCGGCGACGCTGCCCACTCCCAGACGGCCGGAGGCCTCGGGTCGACCTGGGGCCTCATCGGAGCCTACGTCCTGGCCGGCGAGATCGCGACCCTGTACAAGAAAGACAACTCCTTACCGACGGCAGCTGTGGTGCAGGCGGCCAAGACGTACGAGGAGAAATTCCGACCCGCAGCCACGGCGACGCACGGGGGCTCCGAGGGATGGGGACTCCTGGTGTTTCCCCGGTCCAGTATCGGCATCTGGTTCCTGCTTCTGCTCGCCAGGTTAGCGGCCTACTTTCGACTCGATCAGAAGGTGGGCTTGTTCGGCGATACGTGGGAATGGCCTCTTCCAGAGTATCCGGCCTTGGAAAAGGGCACGGATTAGAAGCCTGAAAAGGGGGTGGGAAGGCCGAGTTTGCTGCTGCGGCGTGAGCAAACTGCTAAGGGGCAGAAAATCCTATGCCAATGTACATTATCAAACTTTGCTTGTGTTTTGATACCCTCCTCATCTCCAATGTAGGCATCGTTTTCTGCGCCGAAGAGGTTTGCTCTAGAGCCTGTAGAGAAGCAATTGACCGATCTTCGTAGATGTTTGGCTGCTGCCTCCTGCTGGGTTTGGTGGTCAACGCCAAACCCAAACACTAGGGTTCAAGCTGTTGGGCGCCTCTTCAGCGATGCACCTCCGATGCTACCATTGAGTGGCCTGACACACAGGATGGTGTTGACGTGTGGACAGAGGTGGGAGCCTTATGGTCCTCAATATACCTAGGTAGCTGCTCAAACGTTAGGAACCGACCCACATAGCACGGTGGTAGATTTCCGCGCCTCTTACAGAGTCCTTCTCCTGATCTTTCACCATTCTGCAAAGACGTTGTTTTTCCACAGGAGCTAGGACTGCAACGTCCATCCAACCTTCAAATATTTTACATTACCCTAGGATCCAGGGTTCCCTAGCATGAAGTGGGCGACAGTGTGTGCTTGAAACGTGGTGGCGAAACGTCTGGCCCCTGGATTGCTTGAAATGCCCCAAAATCTTAAGCGCGACAACGTCTCGTCAAACGCCAAGGTCGTTACACGATGGAGCTATCTTTGCACTTGCACTTTTTTCAGATCTCGTCAAGGATAGATCTGGCGTGTGGAGAGGCATGGTACTGAGGACTCTGCAAAATTGCAGGATGTGGTTATCATAGTATATATATGGCGGTAGGAGGAACCTCTCCTTGAGGATGTGTAGATTTGTTAATTTTTCTCTTCTTCGAGCTGGGTTCTCTCCTCGAGGCCGTTCTTTTGCCGCACGCCTGTTGATCGGGCTTCCATTCGTTCATTGCATTGCCTGGTGCAGATATTCTCTGTTGAATTTCAGTTGTATACCACCTTCCTTTCCATAGCATCATGGTGTCGCTTCTTTATGCTTTGTTCTTGGGCAGCGCGTCGTTGTGTGCTGCCCTTCCTGTCGCCGAGAAGCGCGCCGTGACGGCGCTGGACCAGGCTTCCTTTGAGGAAGCTCAGCAGCGAGACGATACGGCCACGAGAGCCTTTTCGTCGATCCCAATCAAGGTATTCATTGGCCCCATAGTCGGAAGCTGTGTGAACGGCGAGTTGACTTGACCGATCGCCTAGACCTCGGATGGACAGTGTCTCTTCGTCGACGAGTTGTCGGGAGATTTCCGCGCCAATTTGACACCGATCCAAGTCGGTGCCTGCAACGGCAGCATTGCACAACAATGGGACATCATCACCGCCGGCAAGCATGACAACGTGCCGGGATCCATGCTGATTGTTAGCACCTTGGTAAGTGATTCATGGACATTGCAGCAGAAACTGGTTTAACTCCTGAGCCTCACAGACACAAGCTTGCTTCAACTTCGACCCCCGACGTGCTGCTGGGAATCAGGTCCTTCTGTTCTCCTGCGGTGGACGTGCCGATGGCAGTAAGTCTCGCGATCCCAAGCCACCATAGCCGTTACTTATTGACACCATGGGTTAGGTGGCTCTGTGACCAACTCCCAGCTTTTCCCCTTCAATGGCAGTGCTGGCCCTCTTTCATTGACCCCTGAGAATGCACCTGGAGACTGTTTGACCGTGAATGGAGCGCTCATCGACATAGCCGCCTGCAACGCGGCTGATCCTAATCAATCCTTCACTTTCGACGATGCTGGTGCTGCTGTCAGCACTACTGTGGACGCTGCATCCCCTACCGTTGTGACTGCTTCTGCGCCAACTTCGACTGCACCTGCCTTAACCACTACTGTGGCGGCCGTCTCAACCTCTGTAGCGCTAGTTTCAACCACACCATCACCTACCGTTGCAGCAAGCACGGCATCGACTGCATCGGCCTCTATAATCTCCGTTTCTCGCGCTGGCAGTGTCCTTAACCCCTCCGCGGCCGCAGAAGCAAATCCTCGCGACGACACGGCCACACGCGCCTTCTCGTCCGTCTCGATCAAATCGGCCTCGGGCCTGTGTCTCTTCATCGACCCCACGGCCGGCGACTTCCGAGAGAATCTGATACCGATCGTACTCCAGCCATGTGATGGAAGCCCCAACCAGAGCTGGGACTTCATCACCGCGGGAGTCCACAATAACCAACCAAATTCCACATTGATCGTGAGCACCCTGACAGAGGGGTGCTTGAATTTCGATCCCAGGAGGGCTGCCGGAGATACAGTGATTATGTTCAGTTGTGGAGGACGGGCGGATGGCAGTGGTCTAGTCACCAATAGTCAGCTTTTCACCTTCACGGCGGGCGAGACCAGCTTGACACTCCAGCCGGAGAATGGTGATGGGACCGTGTGCCTGGTGGCAGATGCAGCGGGAAGGCTGGATCAGGCGACTTGTAGCGACGATCCAAGCCAGGTATTCACCATCGGCTAAAGAGAGGATTGCATGCCTTGAGATACCATCCTCGCGTGTTTCGGTGGGAAAAGGATTTCTGTAAAACTAGTAATGTCTCCTCCAAGATTCCTGACACCCGGGCATTTGCCGCCTGCCAAGCGCCTATCAAAGGGGCATCAACGATATGCTGTAAATGAGTCACTTTGCTTCTGCACAGTCATTATGACTCTAGGATGGAAGCCCAACCAGTCATTCAGGAATCCTTCTCAAGCGCAAGCGATCCAGTAGGCTGGGAGCCACTCCAGATAGCGGGGAAATTGTCTGAGAGGCATTGCATGTACCGAGTAAGCCTGTGCGTCCCCTTTTCCGCTTAGCGAAGCAGGCCGAGACCCACGAGGCTGAGCACCAGACTGGGGCGGTGCATGGGGAACAGTCACTTGAATTCCCACGAAAGACACCTTTTCCTGCTGATATAGTTCAATGCGTGAGAATCAAATACTCGGAAATCGCCTTCTGATCACTCACGCACTGACTGGTACGGCCGCCAACCATTTTCCAAAGAAGCATTAAGCCAAGGTCGACACCTCCGCCTGATTGGAAATAAACGAGATGCTCACGCTTGACGGCTCGACCCTCGAAGGCGGCGGCCAGCTTGTCCGAGTGGCCCTCTCGCTTTCAGCGATCTGCGAGGTCCCCGTGCACATCTACAACATCCGCGCCGGCAGAGGAGCGCATTCGTTCCAAAAGCAGGCTCGCGACAGTCGAAGAAACCAGGGCGGACGGGCTAGCCAAGGAAATACTGCGACTGCAAAGCAACAGAAGCCTGGGGGTGGGCTTAAGGAAAGCCACCTGGCGGCACTGAGATGGTTGGCCCTTGAGTGTCATGCGAAGGTTGACGGTGCAGAGATTGGCAGCCAAGAACTTACGTTCAGGCCTACTCGACGGAAAGGCGGGCACCAGACTACGAGACGGAGCAAGGCGGAAGGAAATGGGAGCAAAGAAGTCGAAGTGATCGAGCTGAAGAACCCCGGAAGCGTCTGGCTCATCTGGCAGGCGATTTTCCCGTACATTGTCTTCTCGATGCTCCGCCATCGTGGGTCCGAACGGTCAGAAACACCGCCTTTTCGCATACGTCTCAAAGGCGGGACGAATGTTCCGAAATCGCCGTCGAGCGAATATATGCAGCAGGTACTACTCCCATTGTGCGAGCGCATCGGGCTGCCCAAGGTCGACATCCAGGTCCTCAGGCGTGGATGGACGACGGGTGCAGCGGAGATCGGAGAAGTTGAGATAGCCGTCTTCGATCCGAAACAATCTTGGGGAGACAGCGAGGAGATGAGACCTAAGGCTGATGGGTTGATTAAGAAAGAGAAGGGAAAATCCAGAGAGCATGACGTCCAGGATGGTGGAGGTTTCGTCCTCGACCCTTTCCAGCTCACGACCTCTGGACCGATTACCGTAACCTCCATCTCAATGACCATCCTCGCGGGCTCTTCTCAGACACACTCGCTCGTTCAATCCCAGCTGCTCCAATCCCTCCGCGCCATACCGGCATTCTCGTCCCTCTCCCTTCCCGTTCAATTACACTCTTCCTCGGCAGATTCGGGCGACGAGCGCCGCCTCTATATTCTCCTGGTTGCTCACACCTTTGCAGGCCACACGCTTGGCAGAGACTACCTCAGCCCCGGCCGGAAGGTGACGAACGAAAAAGAACGTCAGCGTACTGTAGACGAGGCAGTGGGGAATGTGGTGCGAGCCTTTGCCAGAGAGTGCACACGGGGAAGCTGTGTGGATGAATTTGCGGAGGACCAGCTTGTCATTTTCCAGGCTCTTGCGGATGGCGCGTCGAGCGTTGACGTAGGAAAGTCCGGCCAGTGCAGGAACATGGCCGGAGGGGCGGAAGCAGGGAGTCTACATACGAGAACTGTGCGCTGGGTATGTCGCGAGATGCTGGGGACGGTGTTTGATGGGCAGGGCAGATGTGAAGGACGCGGGATGAAGAGGGAGGAAGGAGATTTTCACGGGCTGAGGGACGAGTTGGAAGTATTAAGTATCGCAGAAGACCATGACGAGAAAGACTAAGTCCTCGGTCTTCCAAGTGTGTATGACTCTCAGCTGCCATCAACTGTACCGCAGCTGATTCCTGTTGCGTTGCGTGGCTTCGCACAGCATGCAGTGAATCTTGTCCATGTAGACATCTCCTCCCGGCCACCGTGCCGCCTGCAAGGAATGTATAATACAACCAACGGCCGCAAGACACAGTATCAGTGAGCCCTTGGCGTTAGGAATAGGCACCAGGGCTTGAGACCTGTTCCACTCGCCTCGTTGCGCTCAGCCACCCTAAAACTCCATGCATCGTGTTAAATGTCCAGTTCTTCATCAACCAAGCAGGTCCATCAATGTGAGCCACAGAAAGGAGAAGGATCAGTCATCGAAGACAACCTTGGTGCCTCGAGATTATTGAAAAGGAGACTCTGATTGTCTTTTTCCGGACTTGAAAGGATGTTGCAGTTGCGCAGAAGGCTTTCGACGTACCCGTTCAACTTGTGGCTTCTCGTTAGTCTCTGCTCTCAGATGCTTTCGACCTTGGTGTTTGACGGAGTGACCGTTCTGTCTGACCTCCTGATCATCCTGGATCGCTTGACGACTGTCTCGTGTGATTTTTCGCTCTCGATGGCGCTGTCCTGATGATGACACCGTCTCAAGTGGTTCCTAACCCTGAGCACTGGCGCCACCACGACCTCTTCCGCCCCTGGCTGCGCGCTCAGCGAGAAGCTTCTTCTTCATCTCCTTATGCGCTAGGCGCGTGGCCTTGTCATACTTACCCTTGCCGAGAAGCGGAAGGCCGGGGATCTTGCCCGTGGCATTAGGATCTGGTTTCGGCTTAGTAGAGACCAGCTTTGACTTTGGCCCTCGAGCTTTGACAAGATTCTTGCGTTCCTTCTTGGGCTTCTTGACCTTCCAAGGTTTCAATTTATTGCCGCTCGCCGGGCTTGATTTTGCCTTTGGATTGCCCTCGCCGTCGTCAAATTGACCAAATGAGATGAAGTCGGCTGAAAGCTCTTCTTTTGCGGCGGCCATCACACCCGGGGCAGGAACATTGGCAGATTCTTCAGCCGTTTCCGGGGCCTCAGTAGACTCGGCGGCATTGGAACTCTCTTTGGCTGCTTTCTTTGCCTTCTTCAAGGCCTTCCTCTCGGCCTTGGACATCTCCTTTGTGATCGCCTCCGCATCCTCATCTGTCTGCCCCATCGAAGTGACAGCGGATTTCGCATTCGCGCTTTGCGGCTGTGCCTCATCTTCGGCGTCGGTGCCTTGAGGCTTCTTTTCGACTGGCACCTCAGCGAGTTCCAACGCCGTGGAATCCAAGGCAATGTCAATTTTATCCTCCTTGCTTTTCTTGCTTTTCTTCTCCTTTTTCTCCTTTTTTCCCTTTTCCTTTTTGGACTTCTTGCCCTCTTCCACGGCAACTTTGTCTTCAGCCAGAACACTTGAAGGTTTGATAGCGGGGGAAGAGACATTTTTCTCGTTCTCAATTTGTTTCGGTTCTTCCTGATCGGCCAACTTCTGGCTCAAGGCCTCCGAAGGGGCAGTCAAGGTTGACAAGGGCATGTCTAGACCAATGGCTTTCATCTTCTTGGCCTTCTTGTCCCGTCTGCGCTGCTCCTTGTCAATCATTTTCTGCCATTGCTCCTCAGTCTTGGGTGCCGCAAGACGCTCCCGTTCGAGTTTCTCATGAGGAATCTTTCGGAACTTTTTGTTTGCGCCTTTCCAAACATCAGGGTGTAAAGAACCTGGCTCGGCGTATTTGCACTTGAGGATGTGGCCGAACATCAGGTAGTTGTCCATAGTCTCCGCCACGATCTTTGCGATTTCGTCGGAAGCGAATTCGATAAAAGCAAAGTGTTTGGACGCGCCAGTGCGTTTGTTTCGAGACAAGCGCAGTTGGGTGATGTCTCCAAATTGGGAGAAGTAAGCTCTCATCTCCTTCTCGTAAAAGCCATGAGGAATGCGGCCAACATAGACAGTTCCAGGACCATCATCGTTGCCTTTCGCTTTAGCTTTCTCCAACTTCTTTTGAGTCTTTTTATACTTCGGCAAAGGAGGAATCGTTCCAAAATCGAGGCCTTCGTCATCTTGCTTGTCCTCTGTGTCACTGTCAAATCCAGCAAGGAGAGCAGCAGCATTGTCATCCGCCTCGACTTCGGCAGCATCCTCCTGGTCATCCTCGCTTGCAAAGCCACCGAACCCATCTTCAAGTTCATGGTCGACGGTACGTTCTGCTTCCGCCTGCATTGAAGTGGAAATTGGTTTGTGTGAGGTTGCAGTTTCTAAATTCTCCGCCCCAGTATGCTCAATCACACCATTGACACCATCAGCAGTGAGTGTTTCTCCATTGTTATTGGTTTTGTCCTTCTTGCCTTTCTTTGACTTTTTCTTGACTGGTTCCGCTACCTCTTCGGCAGATTTGTTCCCTTCAACTTTATTTGCAGTATCTGCTGGCACTGGCGGCTCGTCGTCGTTCATGAAGTCGGACGCTCGTTTACGTGACTTCTTCGACTTGGCTACCGCAACATTGTCTGACTGTAGGGTGTCTTGCTTGCCTTCGGTCGAGACTTTCGGCGTCTTGCTTGGCTCAGTGATCGTAGCGTCGGCCTTGAGCTCTGATTCAGAGGCATCGTTTTTGGTGATGTTTGATTTCTTGCTCTTCTTCAGAGGTTGGTCGGTCGCACCTGACGACTCTACACGTGATCAGTCAACAACACTGTTGCGAAAAATCTCAACTGATCATACCTTTGCGTTTCTTTGTTCCCATGACTGGAGCGATGTCAAGCACAATGAATCAGTGTTGTAGCTGCCGATTGTCTTCACAAGTTTCTCGCACCAGACCTCGAGGGTTCAATCGCAGCGTCCAAAAATTTTCTCCAAATTTTGCTTGGCATGGAGAGCCAAGCAAAGCCATTAAATGGAGACAATGGGCCAAAGAGGGAACTTATCCGAAGGCGATTGTGCCTCACTGCAGCAATGCGTCTCTCCTCTGGGTACCAAGCGCGGAGTAAGACAACACGCGACCAGAACAACATAGGACTAACAATTGACTACGTGTGGGCACCAGAGCTAGGCAGACAGCTGTCTCTTTCCAGCACTCTCCTCTGCACGACAAGTTCCCATCCTCGTCTCTTCTGCCATCAAGATCACAACTTCACGTACCATAGATATGAATCATACATTTTCGGCTCATTGCTATTTCAACTTGAGCCGGGGAATGACTCTACCTTGCACGACCTTGGGTCGTGGAAAGGCTTTTGATTCCAGACGATGTCTTTCGCGTCCGGACCATTTTTCGTCAGAAGAGTCGAGCAACTGGAAAGTCATATTGTTTTCGCGGTCGAAATGCCCAGTAGACACGGGAATAGATGGCCAACCATGCTGGTAAGCTTGGCGGCGGCGGAACGAGTATGTTGGGAGATCTCATCTTTGTGGAGACCTAAGAATATACGTTCGAGACAAGTGGCCAGGCCATCAAAGGTCTCTGAAACTGCGCGAAACCCCCAAAGCGACCATGTCAAGACCCCACCAACGGCGAGCCTGAAGTCTTACTCACACCATGAATCAATAATCTGCCAGTCGCGCGATGTTGTGATGGGCAACGTGGCTGCCGCCACCGGCCTTGTGACCGTCGCCTCTGCGCATGGGCCACTCCAATCATAGGACCGAACAGAAATCGCCAAAATGGATCGGGCTGGCGAAGGGTAAGAGCGGTATACGCGTCCATGCACTCATCTACTCCAATGGGCACTCCGTGAGCATGGTCGAGTAAAGCACGAGAGGCGAGAGGCGTCCACAACGGGAGCAGTAAGTCAATCGACAGAATAGGATAATGCGATGAGCAACTTGGCCCAGAGATGGAGTGCAGGTATCACAGCTTCAAATGTGGTTGGACGATGGTAGGCATGCAGCCTCAGGGTTCCCACCTACAGGAAGCCTTGCTGTGACATGTTGGCAATAGTGACCCTCATGAGGGCGCCCGGTCTTGATGGATCAGCATATTTGGTTATGAACAAACCCATTCGGTGGCAGGGGACAGGGAACTCCATCCCGATTGCCTTCGGGTATTGAGATCATGAGCGCGAGCCGACAACTATTGTCATACCAGCTTTTCTTGCTTTTGTATCAAGTACCAAAATTACTTCCTCTACATATGGATTGCTACTTTCTTTACGTCGACAACGCCATTCTGAAGCATCCGAAGTTTGGGGCCGGAATAATCGCGATTAAAGGAGATCGGAGCGGATGGATAAGTGTCGCATAAAAACGACTTTCATGTTAATCCAGTAGTTCACAAGTATACTTTAGTATTGATCACGCAACGGTGACGCAGTTAATGAGAGGATGCGGAGAATGTCGGAGACACACAAGGGACCCAGGCATAAAGGTATGTCAATGGAATAGGTGCCAGTCGAGAAAGCCAGCAACTCGAACGCTTACCTACCTAGCCCAGGTACCCTAACAAAGCTACATCATCCAATGGGTGCCAGTTATCATGAGACACTGGCTTCTGGGACATGGTGGAAAAGAAAGAGCGCCGCACCACCGGGGTCTGGGTGGCTGAGCACTGATGGAACTGCCTGAGCCATCATTATTATTGCACGATCTCTCCTGAGTCTTTGGTAAGCTGGCAAGGCTTCTGAAACGTCGTCGTCATAAGCTCACTCTGGGCCTCTTATGCCCAACTTGTGCTTGGTTGGGCTGGGAAGTTCGACCAGCCTTGGTGGAATGCTGGGACGGCCGTATGAGCTTACGGCCCCTTGCCACTTACTCTGGGACAAAGTCCCTCATATCAATCCACCCACATATTTGTAGTCACGAGCTAGACTGGCATTAACAGCGCCTCGAGATAGAATGCCAGGTCCTCAATAATAAAAGAAGAGCGTTGAACAATATTGCTGTCAATCCTGTGAGAATGCTAATGGCCGGGGACTATCACGAGCTATTGAAGCACTCGAAGATGATTAGGGGATTTCTCTTTGGATGGCTGATTGGGTCGGTGACCGAGAAGGGTCATCTGAGGGACTCGAAGCGAAGATGCACATCCTCAAGAAAGGGCAGGTATCATACTCCACGACTTCGGCCGGAGGAGCAGCTCAGCGACTGCGGGGCTTCCTCTGCCTCTTCATATGCCCAAGACACACAGTTCCATTAACTTCTCAGTGGTCAGAGATGTTTGAGTTTAAAGTACTCGGATTATCAAGCTGCAGGGCGTCAAATCTCCATCGTGCGAACAAGTACGAGGTACAGCCAAGGGACTGTATTACCCGCAGACGACGCTGGAGAGGATTGTTCTTATGCTATTCTAATGGAAAAGAGCGATAGAGTTTGTATACTCCGACCTCAGCGAAAGAGCTAATAGTTATCGCTGTAGTACAAGTATTCCATACCGAGAGCAAGATGTCACCAGCACAACGGAGACGGGGAAAAGCACTTGACCAACCCCCAGAACAGGCATCAGGCTTGCCTCCCGTGGAGCCGACTTGACGCCTATTCGCCCCATGACCAAAGCCGAACAATCCGCGTCCTTATGCCTCGTGCGTCATTCGACCAGGATCCTGCTAATGCCAACCTTGGAAAACACCTCAGCTCTCGTAAGTTGTGGACCAGCCGTCCTCCCGCCAGCCCATGACGGGGGTTGGTGGCTCCTAGACCCTTTGCCTGAGAAATGTCCCGCTAGAAGTTACCTGTTGATTGGAAATACACGTCTCCCACGCACCAACCCGATCAAACTCGACCCATCTGACAGGCAAGCATCAGGCTGACCTAAACCAAATGCTTCATTCCTGTTCGCGAGCGAGTTTGGGAGACGCCGCCCCAACCACCCCTGTCCGCCCTAGACGGATCAGCCGGACCCTTCTCTAGCACATTTTCGGCCTCGAGCAATGTTCCGAGTGCACGGAGATGCTTTGCCTGAGCGAGTAATAAAACATATGGCTCGTTGCCGTCCTTTCGTACGATTCGACGGAGCAACATGGGGGGTGGGCGAAACCGCCTTTTCTGTCTGGCTGATCTTCCCTATGACTGTTGCTTATGTGGATTGGTAACCGGCCGTGAGGCGCTTTTAATCACCCTTCCGACCTCCCCTCCCACGCTTCTTATGATTAGATCTCCGACTTTCCAAAGTCTTGCCCTCTTGCAGTCCTTCGACCAAGCATAAGACATCTGCCTTGGCACGGTTTCCGAGATCGAGAACAATATCGAAACGTACCAAGAAGAGAACACTCGATAACAATTACTGGAACACGTGCATCCCAAGCACCTTGCCCGGCCGATACTTGCCAGACCAGCCATGGCGCCAGTAATATGGGGGCTCGACTTAAAAGACATCCATTGGAGGAAGTTTGGGAGCGACTATATGTGGAAGAATAAAGACTACCACATGAGACGGACCAAGTTTGTGATCTATCAGCTTGCTATGATATGCATGGTTGTATCCGAATCAATAGGCACCGCTGCCTTGACGGGTGAGCATCTGGACTTGTCTCGATCCGATTGAAGACATTTCTGACTCTCCGGATAACAGACTATGTGAAGCAACAGTCTAGGATTGAGAGCTTACACTCCTCGGCGTCTGTGCACAACGACGACTTCGTCGGCGTTGCTTCATACAATATCTTCTGTGGTGTGGCGGTCGCCACCGTCTTTGGGGCTGCGTTTTTCTTCGATCTCTTCTTCCCAGAGCGCTTCGAACCAAGGAACATTCGATGGTCATGGAGGCTCAGTGCAGTTTTCGTGACGTTGTGTACGATTGGTGATGCATTGGCATTCACAGTCGTTGTGGCAACCGGCAAGTCCTGGATTTCGGCCGACACCGAGGACCAAGAACAGATTGCTCAAGAAAAGATCAATCCGCCGTTGGTCTATCGACACAACGGTAGAGCCATTGCCGCGACGGTATTCTTGTGGCTCGGCTTGTGTGCAACGGTGGCTAGGTGAGCTGACCCAGCGACCCTCCTGCAAGAGGAAGACGCTAACATATAGCAGCTGTATCATCTTGTGGCTCTACTACCAGCATCACGACACCTATGGACCAAAATCCCACACTGCCCGCATGCGGGATGAGGTTGACAAGACCATTTTGATCAACGAGCGAGCCCGAACTGGCATGAGCTCGCGAGAGCAGATGGCGGAGCAGATGGCTTTTCAATCAATGTAAGCGCTTGTGACTACGTTGAAGTGAATTGGACCACGATTCTAATGTCTTCGCCAGCCCGTACAAGCCTTGAAAGCCTCGCTCTTTCCCCATCCATGGGGAAAAAATTACAATCTTAGCCAGCAATCAGCAGGGCCCGACCGGGTCTCTCTCATTCTTCTCACAAGTGAAGCAGGGGCAACATTTGGGAGTCTCTGCCGGAACTCGCGCCCTTGTAGAGGGAGACAATCGTCGAGCCCACAGTGGTCGTGCGCCGCGACGATCCAAAAGACGTACCGCTTTGTTTCTAAGTGGTATCCACATAATACGTCAAGCATTTAGCATCTGTGATGGCGTTGTGCGGAGAGGCGCAATCTTGGACGGCGAATGACACAACCAAAGGGTGTTCGCAGGCGCCAAAAGAGGATTCATCAAGCAGGATGGCAGCTTGGGCGGACTGGGAAATTTTGGGGAGCATGAAGGACCGGAGCGGATCGTCCGGGAAGAGGACGACGCGTGGAGTTTGGTGATCATGGACCAGCGGATGGTATTCGTGAGCGTTTCTCCCAGGGGGTTCCCATGGGCACGTATTCATGATGTAGTTTTATGACCGTGAAAGGAAAAAGATTTGCAGTGAGATGATCAGATCTTCCGGCTGTCCCCGGCCTCAGCCTTGCGACTCGTCCGCCTCGGCAGGCCTACCTGCATACAGTCTAGTGCAGCCTTAGGAAAGTCTTGGCGGTTCCTGCTGCCACCAAACTTGAAGCGTACCTAGGTAGCTCATCACCAAAGGCTGAAACGGACCACCAGAATATCTCATCTTCAACAAGCAAAACAAAGAACATCCTTGATGGCAACATGTATTATCATCGAGCCTCATGTTGAGAGATAGAATCTCGTCTCCGAAACGTCGATTGCACTCCTCTCCAACAAAGTGCCTCTCAATGTCCGACAGAAAATTCCAGCTTGGGCCAAGAGGATGATGTACAACCAGAATGGCGTGTTGATGAGAAGCGAAGTGGTTGCAGATTAAGCAACATCAACCTGCACTCGTCTGTCTCTCAAAGCTGCCTTCAACTCCTGCCATCCGAGGGACTTAGAGCCTCCTACAAGCTCAATATTAGTTCTCCTTCTTCTCTACCGCTTGCGAGAATCCATCCACCTCTGCCTTGCAAAGCGAAGAACCTAGTAAACCCCTATGCTCCCTAGACCTTCACATCTGTGCTTCGCTGACGTCGCCTCGTGGCTCTTGTGCTTTCACGCGCAACCGGGGATCAGTGCCCAGATATGATCTGGTGCTCTGGAGAATCCTTTGTCGGACTTGTTCAAGACGCTGCAATCCAGGCGGGAGACTTTCTGGCATATATCGATCATCTGAAAGATATGGAGTCGGAATCACACTTGCCCTGGGCTGTAGTTCGTCTTGGCCCAACGTTTGGTTATCTTGCGGAGTTCCTCCTTGAATCTCTCGGATGCTGGTCACCCGTTGGGCTTCGGCCATGCCGCTTCTTGACCAACCGTCTTCGGATGTGCAAGTGTCGCTAGGGTCTCCACCAGAGATATTGCACGGCGATCTCTCATCACTTCTCTCCGACCTCCAAAGGTTCAGCAACCCACTTCTTGAGGGATTATCCTGCGGCCATATGCACCGTCCTGGATGTTTGCGACACCTGCCACACACAGGTTTGGCGCCGTCACAGCCTTTTCGAGATGCAATGCATTGTGTGCATCGCGACCTGTCTAGGGTACTTTTACCCCTTTTGCGGTCACGACCAGGATGAACGGGCCCAGTGCCTTGCTCAGGGGCTTGAACTTGGTCAGTATAGGCTTGACAGCCGCTATGTCTCGCGGGTTCATGATTTTGATGGACATGCTTACTTTGGTCATCAGGCAAATCTCCCTCTTGGCTGCAATCCTTGCTTTGATGACGACGAGTGCCGGATGGACAAGTCGCCTCACCTTCTGTGATTTTCGAGGGCGCGACTGTTTGCAAAGACTCGCCCATTCCGATTGGTTCGTCGTCGTTATATCTTAGTGTGGCATTGAGAAACTATCGCGCTAAGTGGATTGATCTTCCTTGGCCGCAGTCCATCGAATACCAACGGTGACGAGCTCAAGGCAACCCTTGGATGCCACAATTGGTCGCTCTCGAGTACTCTGAAGCGAGGAGGTCAAGGTTGAGTACCCACGGCAGTGGTTATTACCTCCGGTATAAAGAACGAAAACGCCAAGATGAGGAGGATGAGTGATTCAGGAGGAGAGCCCATCGCAGACCACGAACAGAACCAAGATACTTATGAACCCAGCTATCCTGTGCTCCCCAAGCCACAGGTCTTCGATTTCGCAGCTTCGAGGAACACATTTGGAGCAGAGGATAGGCTCGCAAGCCAAGTGTATGGCTCGTTCTGCGTTCAAAGACATTTCCTCCTGTATGCTTGGAGGAAATGTACCGCACCCACAGCTACGGCCGCTTTTGGTTTAGATTTTGGTGCCCAAAAAAATGGGGATGGTGAATTTTCAGGGCTGGATGCAGCACCAATAGGGAGAGAGTAAACAAGGCAATGCCCAGTAAGGAGAGAGTGCAAGTCAAATCCAGAGCCGGCTATATGGTTGGCTGGAAGGTAGAGCTTGCTTGACATGAGAACACCATACTTGCTGGACGTCACTAGAAGAACGTTTCTACTCGTTAGTGGCTTCTCTGGGGGGAATGGTCTTGACATAGCCCCGTGCGGAAGAGTGCCCAGCGAAGAAGAGCCCGAGCCTCAAGTCGCTGTAGTGAAGGCAGTAAGGACTGGGGTAGACACTGGCAGAAGTGGCTCTGGAATACGCAGTGGGAAGAACTAATTCGCAACCTTGAAAAGACGCAAGGGACAGGGACAGGAGGGCATAACCAGTATACTCCCTGAAGCGTACAACACCCTCAATTAAGCCTCTTGTTCCTCGCAGTACATAGCTAACTAGGGAGCACACTTACTCAGTCCCTCGTGCGACTCAACGCACAAAAAATGATCTCCAACACCTGCAGAGGCAAGGCATCTTTCTCGGCAGCTTTCTCAGCCAACGATATCCCTCAGCTCCTTTGACGCATGAGGCTGCGCCCTTTTGCGGATTGTCACCAAGGGTGGATCCTATCGACACCTGCGACAAGCTGTGATGCAAGCCAAAGGTCACCTCTGACGCGGGCAGCCCGGATTCCCATCACCACCCGCTCTCCCCTTCCCACATGCTATGTAAGTCGCCCACACCCTTGGATTCTACTACGCTCCTTTGAGACATGGCTAACGGACACCTTGCATACAAATAAGCAGAGGACATGGAGCAGGGTCCTAGTAGTGCTAGTTTGCGGTCGCATGATGAAGGACAATGCTTCCGCTTCGACACTTGGATAACTGCGGACTCTTGTGGTTCCATCAAGGAGGCTGCCCATCAGCGCGGCTCGTTATCTCGGGCGCGGATGTGGCCGCAGGCTCGGACAAGTTGCTGGCTTGGGAAGGTTTGCTTTGGACATTCAGGGTGCTGTTGGACGCGTCGGCTCTTGAGATGGATGGACGAAGCTCATGAATGAGTCGTCATTTCGCTCAAGCCAAGGATGCAACTTGCAGCTTATTCTCAGAGTCCTCAAAAGGTTCCTTTACTATGTGGGTCACCAGGAAACCTCATCGTTAATTGACCATTTTGGTCCTGCAGCGGCTATGTCTCCAATGCCGCCAATGTCCGTGCTCATGTCCTTGAATGTCGGATTTACCCTCTATCACAGATCCTTAAATTGAGGACTATCTATATCTATGCGGGACAAAACCTAGCATACCAGACAATCCTTGGCAGCGACAAGACTTCCAGACCTTGCCCGGGAAACAATCGCACAATGTCTACCACCGTGACGACAAACGCTCCGGCGGAGGCAGAGTATGAATACTTCTTCCGCGACGGGACGATGAACAATAGGCGGAAGATCCTCCGCGGCGAGGAGGCCGTCGAAACGTTTGACGAGATCCCGCTGGTCGATGTCAGTGGCATCTTCAGTGACAAATATGAAGAGCGTCTGCTTGCAGCCAAGAAGATTGCCGATGTGTGCAAGACCGTTGGCTTCATGTACATCAAGAACCACGGAATATCGCAAGATTTGATCGACAAGGTATTCGAGCTTTCTCGCAAATACCATGCACAGCCCCTTGCCGTGAAGAAAGAGCAGGATGTCTACAAGTCCCCGACGTTGCGAGGGTATGAGATCCATTACACCAAAACGCCCGACGGCGAAGCAGGTGAGATTAGTCCCACTCTGTTTCCAGCGCCGACAGATGTGTTGATAGTGTCTCGACAGTCAAGAAGGGATCTTTCCTCTACAGCTACGAGCCCGAAAACGATCCGCAACCGCCTTCTCTGACTCCTGAACAGCGCGAGCAATGCATTGGCATCCACAATCAGTGGCCGGCGCAATTCCCAGAGTTCAAGACTACGTTGCTGCAATACCAAGCTACACTTCTGACACTTGCCCGTGCCTTACTGCGAACGTTTGCCCTGGGACTTGGAGCTGATGAGCATTATTTCGACTCGATTGTTACTGCACCTTTCGTCTCGATTATTCTCCAATACTATCCGCCCAGAGCGCCCGGTTCCACGGACCTAGACGGTCTAGGCGCGCACAGCGATTTCGAAAGTATGACCAGTGCTCGACATTCTCCATTCACTGCCTCTACAGCTTTCTGCTATTGTGACTGACACTCTACAGCGTTTACCATATTGAACCAGGACATGGTCGGAGGGCTGGAAATCCTCAACAAAAACGGGATTTATGTCCCAGCCAAGCCCATTCGGGGGACCTTTGTCGTGAACGTGGGAGACTTCCTACAAAGGATCTCCAACGACACATTCGTGTCGACTGTCCACCGAGTCCGCAATGCGTCGGGGGTAGAACGCTACTCGATTCCATTCTTCTTCAGCTTCAACATGGACGCTGCAGTGCCGGTGAGGGAGAGCGCATGACATTTTCCACAGGGCCAAACATTGATGCGAAGTCAAAAGGTCATGCCAGCCTGTACGTCAGAGACCAACCCGGCCAAATACGAGCCAAGAAATTTGCACGAGGTAGGTATCCCAAGGATGAAGGGATGAGGAAAATGTCGCTGACTTTCCAATGACAGTATACGGCCCTGAGACGCAAGCGGCAAAGGGAACAGCACGAGAAGGGCATCCATGACACCCTTGGTTAGCATTGGTAGTTCGATCAAGCTGAGCAGGGGCTAACTTCTCTAGTCGTTGAGATGTAGTGGGTGCTACTAGAGGACAATTCAAGTGCTTCGACAAAAGTCTTAACGATCTCTGGAATCCGCAGGGTGCCTTTGGAGGCAGGAACGTCGGCGGTGAAGCATGTCGACACGACAAGGCTGAACCCGAGTTACTTTGAGAATGGGCGAGAGAAATGCTTCAAGGTCAGATACCAGCCTCCACAAGGCTCGCGGCCCAAGGCACGTTGCATGGCGGAAGAGAAATCATGCGATCCCAAAGACTACCTGTCTCCATAGAAGATAGAGTTCTTCTCGACGATGCCTCATCTGCAAATTAAGACGTAACACAAATTCAATAGCACCAGTTTCGTACCAAAAAATTTCGTCCGATTGTTGACTCAGCGAGAAGTTCTAGCAACCTAGGTAGGTGAGTCAAGGAGGATAATTATCAACCCACCGAGCCCGCTTAGGTAGCCACTGGTGACTATCTACTCACGCACTCCCGTCTAACGTGCCCACACGGCCTACTCCGCGATCGCCCGCAGATCACCACGACTACCATCTCAGACAGGAAAGGAAGCCGTAGAGAGGAAGCGACGGATATATGACCGATCAATATAAGGGACAGCCGAAAACGGGGTATAAACCATTGATATTAGTAAGAGCAGCCCTTTTGATATTTCATATCTCCTCCGGAATCTGGAAACTTGGAAATTTGGGCTGCCACTCCCATCCTTTTTCCTCCTCTTCAGTGGGAAAAGTACAAATCACTCAAAAGATGCATCTCGCAGCTCTATTGGTCATTCCGCTCTTGACCTCCGTCGTGCAGAGCAGCGATGGCACGTTCTTGGACCAGGCTATCAAGTTGATGGAAGAAAGTCCGCTGGTGGACACGCATATTGATCTCCCCCAGATCATCCGAAGCTTGAGTATATAAAAATGTTCTATTCGTGACTCATTGCAAAACACTATTCTGACGGGGGTTATTTATTACCATGCAGACCGTCGACCACTAGATGCGATTCCGCAGCTGAACGGCTCTTTCCCCGGCCACGTCGACATTCCCCGGATGCGACAAGGCCGGCTGGGAGGGGCATTCTGGACCGTGTGGGCGCCCTGCTACGACGTGACGGAGGAAGACCCGGGTTCTGATTTCAACACGCCGACGAACCACCTGCGCGACGCGATGGAGATGCTCGACGTCATCCAGAACATGATCGCCCGGCACCCGGAGCACCTCCAGTACGCCAGGTCGACGGCCGAGGTGTGGAGCGCGTTCCGAGCCGGCAAGATCGCCTCGCTGATCGGCATGGAAGGCACGCATGTGCTGGGCAACTCGCTGGGCGCGCTGCGGCTGTTTGCCCAGCTGGGCGTCCGCTACTTGACGCTGACGCACACCTGTCACAGCGCGTTTGCGTCGTCCGCGGGGCCCGGAACCCCGATCGACCCGGTCCACGCGGGCAACTCGTTGACTGCGCTGGGGAAGGAGCTCGTCCGGGAACTAAACCGCGTGGGCATCCTGGTCGACCTGTCCCACACGTCGGACGCGACCATGCGGCAAGCCATCGAGCTGTCCGAGGCACCGGTCGTCTGGACCCACGCGGGCGCCCGTGCGCTCTGGGACCACCCGCGAAACGTGCCGGACGACATCCTACGCCTGATCGGCGACGGGCCGGGCAAGAAGGACGGCGTGATCCAGTCCATCTTCTTCCCGCCCTTCATTGGGCCGAACCCGGGCGCCAACGTCTCCCGCGTCGCCGACCACATTGAGCATATCGCGGGCATTGTCGGGAGGAATCGCGTGGGCATCGCCTCCGACTTTGACGGCATGTACATCTCGGTCGACGGTCTGGAGGATGCCAGCAAATACCCCAATATAGTAAGTTTCCTTCTCTCCATGTCATACGCGTATCTTTTCCGCCCCTCTGCTTACACAGGCCAAAAAAGGTCGCAGAGCTTCTGTCCAGAGGCTGGACGCCGGAAGAGATGAAGGGCGTCATGGGCGGCAACTTGATGAGGATCATGGACAAGGTGGACGAAGTCAGTGAGCGATTGAAGCATCAGCTGCCGTCCTCGGCCATTTGGGAGAAACGTCAAGACCTTCCCGCAACGAAATGGGGCGGTGGGGGGATCCAGACATACTGGCCCAGAGACGTGAAGGAGGCGGTCGAAAAGATGACGGTGCGCCACGACGAATTGTGACGCAGGACTACAGAGGATTGTAGAGAGATAAACGTCCTCGTCAAAGGCATGTGCTGTATGTGCAAAATAGAGTGGTGCGCAAGGCTGAAGCGAGAATGCAGGGGCGGGGTCTCTACGGAAAAAAAACAGTGTCTTCCCAGATTCACTTCTAGCAAATGAAGGAAGAAAATGTAAACAATGAGCCAATGACAGAAAAGAAATCGGATACCACGATGGAAGATAAACTCGGACAATACGCGACAAAAGATTCTGTTTTATTCTCGAAGCTCCCTTGCCGGGGAAAGACTATAAAACCCTTGGCTCTTCACTGGATGGCCGAGAACTTCGTCGGCACCAGGAAGCTGCTGGCGACTTTCGCGTTGATGGCCCCGTCCTTCTCGCTGGCGGCCCTGGCCTCGATCCACTCCGGGTCGGAGAAGAAGGCGTTCCACTTTTGCTCGCGCTCGGCCAGCGATTCCCACGCCAGCATGTACGTCAGGTCATTGGCGTCGGGGCCAACGAGCGTCGTCCTGTCATCAGCCAGCATATTAGTTTCAGATATGGGTTCTACGGGTCTGGCTTCGCGTCCGCTGGGAGAACGATTTCCTCTTTACGGGCTATGCAGACGTACCAGAACCCCAATTGCTTGATTCCATGCTTCTCCCAGATCCTGAGCGTGTGGTTCTCGAACCGAGCAAGCAGATTTGGCAGCCGTCCAGGAATGGTGGTATAGATGCGGAGTTCGTAGATCATTTTTGCTAAGTGTCTGCGAAACGATTCTCTAGGGAGACGGAGCGCAGATTGGTCGTGAATCTTTTCTTTCCGCTGAGATGGATAGCTCTTTTCAAAGATGTACTATCTCTGCCTCAATGTAAGACTCGGGCTCAGTGATATTAATACTTGCGCATCTATGCGGGGTAAATATCAGCGTACGAGAATCGCACTGCCGGCCGCGCAATGCGGGGATCAGGACCGTTGTCTACCTAGGTAGATTAGAAAGCCTTACTCCAAGTCGCAGGTTCGACAGGGAAATGAGAGCGACGAAACATGATCCCACAGGTCTGGCGGCTCCGTGGGGGGACCCCGCTCGTCGGGGGATTGGTTGTAGAGGACGAGACTAGGGCACGCATCAGTACCCGAGGACATGGCGTCGTTGTCGACACGGGGCGTCGGCGAGAAGGAGATCTCGGATATGAGCAAGCGGATGAACGACACCAGGCACCCGGTGGGTGGCCATTGGACTATGATAGAGGAGGAAAATCAGAGGAAGAGGAATCGGACTCTTTCCCTTGGCCACGGATGGACGCTTGGATAAGCCATGGTAACGCAGCTCAGCAGCACGGAAATAGCAGTAATAGCACAAAAGCTCGTAGATGCTGGACCCAAAGAGTAAGTACTGAAGTCTCGAAGCAAGCACGTTCCCCAGATGCGATGGTGCAACGTGCCAGTGGTATCATCAGCAAGGACACTGTGCAGCAGTTCAGAAGGAGCGTCCGCTGGCCCGACGATCTGCCGGGAGCTGAAAGAGCTGCAGCATCAACATACCAAAACCTATTCCACGGTGAACAATCGTCTTGAAATTGGCGACAGCATGGTCGAGAGGGCTGTCCAAGTGCAATCACATCGGAAGAGAGTTGAAAGAGACAACCACAGCACTGCTCCAAGACACATCCAAGAACAGTGGGAAAGGTAATCGACGATGCGAAATCTCCTGGACTCCCTGACTCCCTGTCATGGGCAGGACAATGGCAGGAACCCATGACCGTGCGCGTGGAGCCTCGAGAATCCAGCAAGTGGCAGCTGCAATGGCGCCGACCACCATCCGCCGCCCACAACAAGTGACTTCCTGGTCTCATCTATTAGCGACACTGTTTCTCAATGTCGGCTTCTGGGGTCTAGACCCTGAACCCGCGGACTGAAGACCTCTTGCTGGATGGGCTGGAAACTCTTTTCTGGACGACAAGGTTTAGCAAACGCTTGACTCTGCCTCCATCAACCACATGGCTTGGCGAGTTCGTGTCCGGTGAGAAATTGGAGCGCCGTGGCATCGTAAACGAGATCCTCGCGGCGTGTGACATGTGGCGTGAGAAACGTTGATTCGACGGTCAACACGAGCGCTGTTGGGAACACTGATAAAGCACAGGTTGATCCCCCGAGCCTGTCGTGTTGTCTCGACCTCAAGATTTTCTTTCGAAATTGTTGTGCTCAGCGAACGGCCGTCGAGAGACCTGACACGATATTAGCATAAGACTGGTCTGGAGAAGATGGGGTCTTCAAATCCACTCCAGCGCCTGGTATCTTACGCACTGCCAGGTGCATTCATGCTTACCAGCGTAGTATGTACGTCGACCGAAGCCCAGACAGCGCACGTTTGTGAAAGACAGACACCATAGTTGATGCACTAACTGAACTTGACTTGACAAGGCCATGTCCAGACAGCCATCTTTCATCCAGGGCTCCTCTTCAGCCAATTCGCCCGCTACAAGGAAAAGGCCTTTGCCAGCCTCTGGGCCATCGGCGGCTTGATCTGTGCGAGAGACACGCCCGCATCTCTCGGTCCCATCCTTGCCCAGAGCCGCGGCGTCATCCTGGACGTCGGTCCAGGTGCGGGACACCAGCTGTTCCGCTTTTCGAACCCGCAGGACATCGAGGCGATATACGGGGCTGAGCCTGGCGTGAGCATGCACGCAGCTCTCGGAAAGCGCGCCGAGGAAGCAGGCCTGGGCGACAAGTACCACGTCTTGGGCTGCGAAGCTCAGCTCGAGTCGCTGGTCCCAGCACTTGCGAAAGCCGGGGTTCTCAAGCCCAGCGATACCCACGGCGGAAGCGGCAACACACCCTTTGACGAGATTGTCTGTATCCGCGTGCTCTGCGGGATCCCTGATGTCGACAAGGTGACAGAGGGGCTTTACAGCCTTCTCAAACCAGGCGGCAGGATGGTGGTGTGCGAACACGTGGTCAATTCCGGTGATGCGACCAAAGGCGGCACGGCAGTGGGTCGCTCGCTCCAGAAGTTCTACATGTGGATTGGGTGGAGCTCCATCATGGGCGGCTGTGAGCTCACCAGGGACACGCTGGCGAGCCTGCACAGAGCAGCACAGCGAGATGGCGGCTGGGACAAGGTCGAGGTGGAGCTCTGCGATCCCTACAGCACGATTCCGCATATCGTGGGGACATTGGTGAAGCGAAGGTGAAGCGAGCTGAGGTTTCTGTGGTCTGTGTTCTATCAATTGTACACGAGGCTATCTTTACTCGGGGGTGATGAAGAGTAGTTGACCCGGTTGATGAAATGAAAGCAGTGAGCCAGACTTCTTGAGACAATATCCAATTGGTTCCTGGGTCGTCGGCCAGGGACGGAGATGGATGAAGAACAGGGCATCTTGCGAGAAGACTATTGCTCCCCTACACCCATCTTAGCGTCTTGCACAATCCATATTACTTGAGGCAAATACAGATGACTGACAGCATGCGGTCCGACAAAGCAAGCCGCAACGCGCATCCCTTAGTTTGACACAGTATCATCGATGTCCCGACAAGGCTCATCAATTATGAGCGACCGCTGCCTCTCCTGGTCCAGGAGCACCAGGCCCGGCAGCTCCTCCATCAGCATGCTGCTCATCTCCATGTTCTGCTACCACCGGTTCTGGCCGTGGCGGCGTTGTTGAAGTTGATGAGGGCGTGTTAACTCTGAAGATGTCGGGATAATTCGCATCGTATTCCTTCTGCACTCGATCATACATGGCATAGAGACTCTCACAGTTCTCTCTCGTCACCGTGCCTCCGGAAGCGACTATTCGTTCCAGCCTGCCGATCTCGCGAAGAACGTCCCTCAACCCACTGGCATGCTGGTAAAGCCTCGCCGGCAACCCCTGACCCTTGATAATCGCCAGCACACCGGTGATGACCCCGTTGACCGCTCCAAGAACCGCAACTGCGTTCTGGTATTGGTTCCCCGCTGCGCCCAGAGCCACAAAGACGGCCGAAAGAGCCGCTTGGACAATCAGCAGCACGTTGATGGACCAGTTGATCATGTGGTACTGGACCATGGCGGCGCGCTCGGCCGAGTGGACGAGCCAGTAGAAACCCTTGGCTGGGATCGTGGTGCCGCGCTCGACGTCCATGAAGCTGCGAAACTCCTCTGTTGTGATGGGATGGTCGGGCATTGCGATATTTGTCGGGGTTGGATGGTCTCAGCCTCAACCCCGGGTTCAAGACGGCTGCGCAAGGCTGTTCCTTTTGAAAGAGCTGGCAAAGATGATACGGTGCTCGTTGAATAAGGATTGTTGAGACTGTATGACACTGATAGCGACGGTGACGTTGACAACTGACAGCACGGTCCTCTGCAAAAGAGTGTTCAAACACACAGTAAGGTGGTGGAGAGCTACTCACACAGTGTTCAAGCAGAATGAGTCTACACGACGCCAGCCTCTGGAACTTATTGGGTAATATTTGGTTATATACCGACCGTGGCCATCCCTCCTGAACGCAGCTGAACCCTCGAGGTCCTAGGACGCAGCACATTTCGCGCCCTAGGATCTCACAAGAACTGTCGCTCCGAGCCTGATCTGCAGTCCACGATGGCTGAGGAGCTGAAATGCAAAGTCCCCGGAAAATGAGTGTCTAGCGTCGAGCTGAAGAAAAAGAACCAATCGCTACAGAAGCCAAGTCAGGCCCATCCGGTCGGGCTTTGCAGCCACCGCCTCGTAATATGTGTCACTCATGGTCAGCGGACCGTTTTCAGACCTTAGAGCCTATCAGCCTCTCCGTTGAATCAGTGGTTTTCCTGTGCTTGGCACAGAGTCGTGGCTAGGGAGTTGTCGAGCCTCCGAAACACGAGGTGAGAATCAACGAGTTAACTCAGTGGGTGATGTGCCTGCCTCGCATTTCGCTGCATACCTACGCATCATCTACCAAACAGTCGAGTTCAAGTTGGGTTTAGGATATGGTACGCCAAAGCTTACTATGTTACAAAGGGGTCTGGGGGACTGTTGGTATACAACCAGAAGAATACTGAGTGTCTAGAAGGGCTAACTCCACATGCCCCATTGGTCCCAGCACGTCCTAATACCAGCAGAGGGTGAGAAGCGCAAGAGTATACATGAAGAGGCTATTGGAATCAACTGTGTATCTTTCATTTCCCGTCCTGGTTTAGGAAATTACCTGTCTGCGCACGTTCGTCGAGGATAAAATATTCAACCCGTCCTTCCAGAAGGCTGCCATGTGGGCCGTGAGGGGATTGACTCTCGGGAAAACGAGCCACTTTGCCGTCGATGCCCTTGAAAAGTTGCTGCGCCATGACGCTGGCGGTTCCAAGGGCTCTGGTGTCTATCCCCGAAACAAGGGAATATCTTCTGGCGTCATTGTGTCGTTCCATATATATATCATCGGTTTCAACTGGCTCCGACGGAACTCGCACCACAACGTCCAGGAGCGGGGGCAGAGGAGGCGTAGGCGGAGCAGTGACATCTGCGGACAAGCACCTTCGACAGTGTCTCGGTCGAGTTCCCATACCTAGGTAACATTGACTGTCCCAGGTAATTATCCCCGTGAAGCAGTGCTGTTTCCTGACTCGGCATTGATTGCATTATCATACCGCAATCATTCTTCCAACTCCCCCAGGGCCTTCAGCTCTGCCTCAAGCTCACTCAAATCGTACCACAATTCTAGACTTTATTCCGAACACGACGTTCAGATGGCCTCGCATGTGAAATAGATATTCGTCCGCGAGCCTGTGCAGATTCTTTGCGCTGCGCTTGGCGGGCAGACATATTCCACGAATGCCAGCTCATATGCAGCGACCGTCTCGTTGTCCGTTTCCACGTCCTGTGAACGCCAAAGGAGACGCGGCACATGGATAGCGAGGTATGTATCTTCCGGAGTCTGTGCGAACGCCTGGCGCCGAAAGGGCCGCAATCTCTGCTTGAAGCCACACATCTACCTCACTGAGCCGGGCGTTGTTCTCCCTCGCCGCTCTGAGGGCTTCGAGGCCGCCACGGAGTTGGAACAAAAGCTCCGAGGTTGATTTTGGAATGGTGGCTACCAGTTGTCCAGACTTTGAAGAGGTGAAGCAGATGCAGATTTTGGGCACCAAGGAGCTGAAACCTGTCCAGTCAATGTCCTCATCCATGCTCATTTCGAGACACTCCTGGAAGGAGCAAAGGCCAGCAGCGGCGGATTCCATGTCGAAAGGCTACTGTCTGGATTTGGGCTGGGTGACAAGGAGTGAGCGCTGCCACTGGCGCGTGCCTCGGCAGCGCATCGAGGCTTTGGGTGATGGCTCGGAGTATTTTCAGAGGTGAGCGATGCGAATGGATGCGGAAGACCATTCTTACTCGGCCGGTATTTCATATATATAGTAAATGGTGTGGCAGAAGTTGTAGTAACAGACGATCGAGTGTCGTCTCACTTCGACGCGGGCGTGATCAACAAGCTTTCAGACCTTGTTGCCGCTAGTGGCATATATTATGACCGGTCCAAAGAAGCGATCAACAGACTCTGGGAAGGTCAGTGTGTGCTCCTTCGCTTGCAGCCAGTGCATTCTTCATGGAAGCGTTATGCCGACTGAGCACTGAGGAGTTCCATACGTCGAGTACTGCCATTGTGGACTAATGCCGCCGGAGTAGGGCATGCTTCATAGAGGAGGGGTCTTGGAGGAGTGCCACAGCGTGAGTCGCAGTGGAAACGACGACGACTAATCATTGCTTTATATGCCAAGCTCTATGAGCGCTGTTCGAATATTGATCTTTTCGCAGTATTGGCCGTCTGTTGGTCATCTTTTTCGGCGACTTGCGGTTGATGAAAAGATATGGCCAACCATGTCGCACTTTTCTGACGGTGGAGCGGTGCTGGAAGCATTTGGTGGCTCTCACTGAGCTTTGAAGTGGCAGCAGCGAAGGTCTTGAAAGAAGACGACATTCGGAGAAATCATTGCTGGGTTTGGATTTCAAAGTAGGCAAGATTTGCAGGCCATCTCTCGGGGCTGAAAAGCTCTGAGACGCTTTCTTAACTCACAAGAGGATTGAAGAAACAAGACCAAACCTGGGGAGTAAACTCCGGAAGGGTCTGTCTGTGGCTGGAAGAAACGATCGAGATGAAGAGGCTCGACAGCGAGATTTATAGGCGGAGAGAAATACCCGCGGAAAGGGCAAACCGCGACAGCACTCCATCAGCCGTGACACCGCTCTTTCGTCTCTGCTTTGACATATATGACAAGAAGGTCTAGGGAGCTCGCGGCCTACCGAGCCTAGTGTCAAAGCTGTGGCTATTGACAATCCACGGCAACGACCGGTGGCAACATAACCTTCACCGCGGGAGTGGGCCAAGGAAGGGACACGACCTCTTGAAGATGGATACAAGAGCAGATTCCTCACCGCATCTCTTCCCCGGAATATTGAAGTCACAACTAAGTATGCGGTGAAGAACAGTACGAAGGAAAGCTGTGATGTCAAGCACATCCGCCCCGCAGACATGTTAGTGAACTAACTGTTTCAGGAAGCTCGCTCCTTTCCCAGACACAAGGCTGAGACCCCTGATGGCCACCGTTGATATGGTGGAAGACGGCGGTGTTTGCTGCTCTGCATTATGCCGTCAGCTCGACGGAGGAATTGGCACAGCGACCTCTTGGCTATTGTCTCGCAGGTGTAACACGACATATCTGCGGTGGACTTTGCCGCTCATTGTGCGTCATGACCTCCGCCTTATGCTGGCACTTTGAGCGGGAAAGAGATACGTCCATGTACATTCTAACACGGGGTTTCAGGTTCCTGCACGTCGCGACTCGCTTTGGTATTTGCAGCTATCACTGCAGGCCCATTGTAGACCAAGGGCCTGAGAAGGTCGATGCCATCCTTCATGATTTTTGGTCTACGGTATCACCCCGGGGGCTTGTGCATCAACCCTTCCTATAGCTTAATGACTGGTGTAACAATCACAAAGCTGGAACATTCTCCCTTCCGTGGCCCCAAGAGTATGTACGGGTCGTGATTACTGACTCAGGTCCATTGGTTCACCATCGGCATTGCCGCCGGTTTCTGTCTTGACCGTCTCCACAAAGTCCTTGCGCCGACTCCCAATGCGTTCATCCTTGAATTTCTGGATCTGCTCTTTAACGTCGGTTGCTACAAACTATAGTCAGCATCATCAAGTTCCAGAAAACGGAATGACATTGATCCTCGCAGAACGCATCAAGTTTTCACAAAAAGGGGACTTACCAGGAATGACGTCTTCGATCTTCAGCGGCACTCTGTTGAATGGGTCGTGAGGGTCACTCAACAAGTGGCTCCGTATCGTGCTCCTGTCAATAACAATCTTCGATACAGGCAGCCTCACAGGGTCTTCCATGAGTGTGAACATCAGCGGATCTAGGAATTCATCGGGGACTTCTCCCAAGTCCGCATCCGCAGCTTCATCCTCTTCCTTGGCCTTGGCAAATTTTTCTATGAGACGTTGCCACCTATTGAGCTCTTCGGGTGCCTTGAGGACAAATTTGCGCATGATGTTGCCGGCGTTGGTGAAGTTTTCGGGCTTGTATGATCGACCATCCCGCGCAACGGCGAGGATGAAGTTTTCCCGTTCGCTCAGATTGAGGTAGACGTCGACGATCTCACTCAGCAGAGCTTTTGGGTTGAAATTATATTCCTGCAAGTTTTCGACTTTGAGAGTCGTGGATTTCGGTCCGACCATCGCATCAAGGTTGTAGTCCAACATGTCCGCCAACCGCTGGACAATTTCGGGCATTGTGAATGCGTCAGCCAGAGCTTCCGTGAAGAGCTTCAACATTGCCACCGTCTCGTTCGTCAGTTGCATATATGATTTTGCCTTGCTCTTTGCCGCTTCCAGTGCTTCCTCCTTTTCTTTTCGTTGCTCCTGATCTAGCGACGTGCCAGCAAGCGAGAGTTCTTTCGAGATGTCGTAAATGGTATGAAACGCCGTAAAAGATTCATCCAGCACGAAAGTCACATCATTCAAGAGGAGGTTAACAAACCTCACAAAGAATTCCATGTTAACTTTTGCCTCTCTCAGCAGATTATCGCGGTACACGGCGTTCGGCCAAACACACTTGATGATCTGGAAAATCTCGAAGCGCACATTGAATTTGTCGAAAAACTGGCCGTGACCGCCCATGAACTCCGCCTCTATAAAGAATTTCATCAAAGAATGCAGCAGGTGCTCAGTCGCAAATGGCATGCTGTTGTATTGATCTGCAAGTATTCCCCTTCCGCCTTGACGCCAGGACCATGTTCCTCGAAAGAGGATGGTGACCAAGGATGCTTTCAGATATGGGTTTTTGATGTATTCAGAGTTGCGCAGAAAGGTGATGCAGAGCATTATCAGCTCGTCCGATTGCGTTGATGAGATGACTTGGGGCATGTTGTACATGATGAATCCAAAATTACTGCTGATAACATCCAGGAAATATTCAGGGAGGTTCTTGAAGGTCTCTGGTTGCTCGGGTGGGAGAGGAAGCGTCATATTCTGCTTAGGAAATTGACGATGGGGGGAAACTTGGCGAAGGATCCATACAGTCACAAAGCGCATGAACTGCATCGAACGAGTCTGCGCAATTTCATCAAGGAGCACGCCCTGAACAGCGTACTTGTAGGACAAGCCCTTGTCGTGCTGATCCTTGTACTTCTTAAGTGCATTCTCGAAGATCGCCAGCTGGGCAGGGTTATTGACGTATTTGTGTCGTTCTGTTTCGAACATCTCAATTTGTTTTGCCATGTGCTTCAGGTCTCTATCCATGTCCTTGAGCATATTTCGGGCGGCTTCGCTACCATAGTAATGCGCGGCCACGGTGAGGAAAAAGCATTCTGAGATGAAGTTGTTGGTGCCTTCGAGCTGGTCCTTGTAAAACTCATCAGAGTGCTCTTGATCAGCGTTGATCTTCGTTTCCTCCTTGATGTCAACCCGAGGGTGCCTTCGAAGATAGTCAATGTCGACGCGGTCCATCTTTGAGAACTGTGCATCCATAAAGGGTTCACACAGCTGGTCCAAGATCGTGGTGATATTGATCATGAAACCATCACTCGAGACCGTCGCTTTATCAACACGCATGGCGCGGCGTTTGTGATTCGCATTCACCACAAGAGCGAACCAATCCAGCACACGTTCTCGAGCTTCCGGAGAGGCGCGCACCAGTGTATTGATGATATCAAATAGTTCGGTCTGATGGGACCTCAAAGACATTTGAAGTGACTGCTGAGAGTTCCGAATCCTTCCTGGGTCCATTGTCTTAGGGCCAGAGAAGTACTGCTTGGTCATTTCCGCTTGCAGTGGCGACAACTGGAAAAAGGGGCCAAGCAGAGTGGCAACCTCCAACTGGGCAGCCGGGACTGACTTATCCACAAACATCTTGGACTCCGTGATTGCAATGGCCACGGGCTTGTATCTAATGAGGTGTCGCAGCATGGCAGTATAGCGTCGATAGTCGGAATCCATGGTCAATTTGGCAAGCCGCCGACTCAGATTCTCAACAGCGCCAACGAATGCACCCTTGATGGTTTCATCCTCGTCGAACCTTGTGATGACTTCCGTGAGGAAATCACCACAAATACCCCCATCCTCGTCTGGATCGGCCAGAAGGTGGTCCGCCAGTGCGGCGACCCCATCGTATTCTGCGCCGAACACGTCGGGTGTCGTGACGGACAATATGCACCAGCTCATGCAGAGTCTTCTAGCCTCTGAGATGATGGTCCATTTCTTGTTCTCGGGTGTCCGATCTTTGACAGCCTTGCTCATTCTCGTGATTCTCTTCCAGCAGCCGAATAGCCAGTCATGCGGAGTTAGTTTTCCCAGATCTGCGCCTGCTTCCATAATTGCCTGCTCTAGCAGATCGGTACTCAGTAGCACTGGTTTGCCTTCTGCCTCCAACTCTTCTCTAAGTTGTGCAAGAACGTGGAGCTGCTGACCGTGCATATCTTTCGTCTGTTCAGGGTTTAGACTGAGACGAAATATATTCCTCAAGGTCCGGTCTTCCCACTGTTCGATGGACTCATTCGGCCTTGAACTCTGTCTTGAACTTGGTCGTTCCAGGCCGTCCATCTCTCGCTTCTGGGGCGTGACATTTGCCGGAGTGATTCGTATCCGGGTTGTAGGTGGAGGGGACGGCTCTTTCGTGACAGTGCCAGATGGTGTTGCCGATTCGGTGGGTGTTGGAAGGGCAGGAGAGTCGACCTGGGGTGTCTCTGGTCGCGACGATGGCGTTGAGTCGGGGCCATCTTGGGAGGGACTTGAGGCTGCGGCGACAGCATCTTGCGACTGCGGCGGCGGCTGTGACTGCTGCAGTTTCGCAAGTCTCTTGTTGCGGATCTAATCCATGTTAGAAGATCTTGATGCGTGAGCATCTCACGCACCTTATCCGAGTCCATAGAAGGGTCCGCCATAGTTGTGGTGTTTGTGGATGACAAAAGCGTCGGAGGGCCGCAGGCGATGTTCAAGTGAGGTTTCGCGAAGGCCGACAATTTGGGGTTCAAGTTGACGTCGACGTTGGTTCGAAGGGACTAGAATCAGTCACCCACAGTGGACCGGAGATAATAATCCTGCAGCCACCGCGGCCTGGCCTAGTGAGCCGCCCCCCGCGCAACTCAGTTTGCTGAAGCGGTCCTCAGCGCTTTGCTGCCTGGGCCTTTGCCTACAGGGGAAGATGGTCTGCTATACAGAGGCAGTAAATGATGGGGGTTTGAAGTAGCACACTCTTTGCTTCCATAAAATAACGAATCTCTGGAATGAGATAGACAGTGGACCGCAGCCAGCCCCCTGGCTGGCCAACAAAGGCACCACCAACACCAAACAAACGATGCACTCCTCTAAGCAAGCACGAAAAACAAGTCATACATTTCCGCTCCGTAACTAGTACTGGCGATTGACTTTCAACTCGTCCAGCCGGCGGCAGCCAGGCATCGCCATGTCCCTAGCCCTCTTTAATCTGTTCTCGTCTGTAAAGAAGAGTCCTGTGGCTTCATTAATCTCGTGCCGCTGCCGTTGTACCTCACTCTCGCATTGATACTTCAATGTTGAGACGTAATCCACTTCAGCCCGTTGGTCCAGTGAACTGAATTGTCTTGACGTGTATCCCTCCACCTCCGCCGGATTCAAGAAATAGTCAATGTGGTACCTAGGCGTCACTCGATGCATCGTGTTTGGCGGAACCGGGGAATCGTATCGAACGTGTGGGCCTGAGTTGGAGGATCCAGTAAAGAGTGATGACAATAACGGAAGAACAAAGAGTAGTAGCAGTGGTAATAGTTGTGTCAACGCTGATAAGCCTGTTGGTGCGGTCTCCGACTGCGCATCTCGCGGCCTCCCTCGCGGTCTGGTGCCGCCCATGCGATGTACTGTGAAACCCGGGCCGCCGCCCATGTTAAAGACGAACTGAGGACCCCCAAAGCCGGCACCTGCTGCTCAGGTGAGTAACATCTTCATGAGACAGTCGAACGCCGGAGGACGTCTTACCAAACTGGAACCCTGGTCCCATGCCACCGCCGAAGAACCTGTTGAACAACTCCTCCGGCGATATCTCATCTTCGTACATGGGTCCTCTCCCAGGCGATCTTGCAAAGCCACTAAAAGGACTGGCTCCCGCGCCTGCGGCACCACTGCTGGAGAAGCGGTTATCGGGATCGCCACCGAACTGATCGTATCTCGACTTCTTGTCCGCGTCTGACAGTATTTGGAATGCGCGCGATACCACTGCTAATCGTCAACATTTTAGCCTCCAGCAACATACAAGTGTTCTCACTCTTGAAAGCCTCATCAGCACCTTCATATCCATTTTTATCGGGATGTGTCAAGAGACTGATTTTGCGGTACGCCTTCTTAATCTCTCCGTCACTTGCTGTTTTCTCGATCGCCAGGATCTCGTAGAAAGCCGTAGGACTACATTTCCGTATTCTTATCACTTCGGCCTTTTGTTGCGGGGTCCATTTTCGCTCTTGGTTTCCTTGATTGTGTTCTCTTGAATGGGCAGAGCCGTTTGCCCTCGCGTTGGAGCCAGAAGCTGATGCGGACATGCCGCAGGATCAAGGGACTCAAGGAACTCAAGGGTTCGTACGCAGCCCTCACTAGGTCAGCGAGTATATAGAGGATCAGAGAAGGCAGCTCAACGAGGCTTTGGCGCGTTCGTTCGAGTTTTGGAGGGGTTTAACTTTTGAGCAAAGGTGGTCAAAAGCGAAGTCGCAAGTCCGCGCCGAATAATGGTGGGTGGGTTACAGTTTGTAACTGGAGGCGCCGTTGCCGAACCGCAGCCAGAAATGACGTTCACTGTGCCTCGTGCTTCTCTTTCAACATCCAAGCTCTCGAGGTCCTCAACCGTCACGCTGCAAACACGAACCTTTCACTCTGGAAGGAAATGCGCTGAAATCCAGCTCAGTGCTGAGGTGTAGATATTAGACATGGCTGACCCTCAAAAAAGAGAGGAAGCGAAAGAGTCTCTCGTCGTCACTGCCAAAAAATGGGGAGGTCTGTAACCACCCACTGTCCTCCAACGTTCGCATGGCGATTGACTACTTTCCCAGCCTACCTGCTTACGCTCCTGACAGAGAATCCCGTTCCCCCAGCTCTACTTGCTACGCTCGTCTTCGCGCAACATGCTCGACCTTTTCAACCACTTCCCATGTTGTTTCCTCCCTTGCTGCTCTTCTCAACTTATCTCAACCTCCAAGGCTTCAAGATTGACAGCGCGGGAACAACTGCTGCACTGAGTGGCGCCTATCTGGTGCTAGCTGGGAGGAGGCGGATGGGCTTCATGAACAAGTTCGGCGCGAGGGGCATCATTCGAGGCGCCACTATGGGATTGTGTCTAGTGAATTTGGTGGGCGGAGGTCTTGCATATGGGTTTGGCAAGAGAAGAGAAGAGGACGACAAGAGAAAACAGCTATGATCAAGCACATGGAATCTATCGCTTAAAGTTTTGCACGATGTGAGGGAATGTGCTGATAATGTCGGAGAGGCCTGAAATCCAACAGTGAAGTGTTTCCTGCCGCGGCTATCCTGCCGTAATGCTTTTATGCACTTGAGATCAAGCGCCGAATACTCTCCAGTCAGGGTACCAGCAACAACAAGATGATCCTCAAGTGGGAAGTGGAATAACTTATGATACATGGAGCCAGAATCCTGAGTTCCTGACGCCAATGGCATATCGAGACAAATGGCTTTTCAGAATGACGGGTTCACGAAGAGTGGGCAAAGAGATCATTCAAGCCTCTGTGGCATGCATTAATCTTCATTCCTGTATTTGCGAACCAATACTGGGAGGATCTCAGAAACACGGTTCCTCCTGGACCGGTCCCAGCATTGGATATTCTGGGTTGGGGCCATGATGGCTGAATGTACTATAGAGCATGGTAAAACCAATGTGAAGCGGAAGTGAATCAATTGATATCGATTTGTACCCAGATACGGTACATCTCACAAGTCTCTCACAGCATATCCGTCGAACCAAAGCTGTCAGCTATCTCGAGTCCCCTTCCTCACTCCTCTCACATGGCCCTCAAACATGAACACAGGCTTGTCTTGTGCATGGCATGTATCTCCGCATTTGACGCACTCAAGATCTATCTTGCCTGACCAGAAAGGTATATTATCCCAGCCAGGCACGGATCAAAGTGTAACACGATATCGGAGAAACTCTCTTTTGAGAAGTGTTCATCAATCTCGGCATGATTTTGACAACATCCGCTATGGAAAACCAGAAGAGGTGGAGCAGGACGAAGCTTCGAAAGTGCCGGGTCTTACTCACCAGCTCACCCTGCCTCAGTTCACTGATGACACGCAGTGTTGAGGAGAATTTGACATTTCGAAATGATCAAAAGATCAGTGAGCCAGCCGAACCATGTGCAGGTGCAGGGGTAGGGGAGGGACATGAATCTATATAAGCTTACCATCTCAGGTTGGTTCCTGAGGAAAGGACCAAAATGGTATATATATGGAGATTGGTCCTGGGGAAAGAGAAAGGAAGAAAAAGGGAAGAGGGGACGGCAAACAGAAAGATGTTTTTATAAAGAATATCTGAGCCTTGCTTGGCGAGATTCTGAGAGGTGCGGCAGCGATGTCTTTAGAGCTTGTAGTTGTTGATATTGTCAGCCAGAAGCGAACCATTCACCACCACGATTCTGCCAGACCTCTGGCAAGAATTAAGCGGAGCTGGATTAGAAAGGCATTGTCATATGATCTCGGCAGCTCGAAAATATGTGGACGCAACGGGGGCGAAGATGCATTCAACAGAGGTATATTGACTGCCTTGGACTAATATGTGAAGAAGAAAATTGAGGAAGCTAAAAGGCTCGGTTGAAATATTGTGATGAGAGTGGAGTTTCCTGCAAGGCTACGGTGCTTGGCAAGGCTGTGGGGTTGAGCCTCGCTACAGCATACCTAGGTACTGAATAGCCACGCCCAGCATGCACCCCATCCAGGATAGGGGTGGAAGAGTACCTAGGTAATCATTTGGCTGTTCTACGCCTCTCGTCGTCTCATCTCACATTCCGAGTTCCCTTGCCTTTCCATGATCAAGCGCGATGATGTTTCGCAGACATTTGGTAATGAAGTTCCATTCCCTTAAGAGCTCCTGGAATTCTGAAGTTTGACTGCTGTTCCCTTCTTGTCTTGGCTGACCTTTTCTTGGATTGCTCTTGAAAGCAACATCGTCCTCATAGCTGAAAGGACGGCATAACACGCCTTTTTCTGGTGCCGGCAGAACCTCTGGTGCCTTCAGCCGGGCAGAGCAGCTCGCCAATTTGCGTCGAGCGTGGCAGGCATCAGCACCTTGTGCGGCAGATCACTTCTCGAGTCTCCATCGACTAGCTCCTTCAACCACCTGTAGCTTCCCGGTAGATGGCGATGGCCTTGTTGCTTCCAACAGTAATAAATCTCTCGGCCTTTTGTCTCTCAACACTGGTCTCGCCCTTAGGTTGCCACTTGACACACCACAGGCCCTTTTCACTCTCGCCGTGCGTCGCAACACAGACTCTTCGCTCGATATCCCAGACCTTGACCTTCCCGTCCAAACTTCCACTTAGGACATACTGGCCGTTGTGGTTCCAATCAAGATCTGTGATCCAAGCTGCATGCCCACTGAGATTGGCTATCTGTTCACCTGATGTAGGATCATAGAGCGAGATGATTCGTGCGTCGCCAGCTGCTGCAAGGAGAGTCGAGCCAGGAGAAAATCTGACGGCGCGGACGGGTTTGATGAGTCCGGGAAGCGAGTGCAGCAGGCGGGATGTAGCCGTAGAGAACAGATAGATGGCTCCAGACTCGTGGCCGCTGGCTATGAATCGGCCGTCTGGTGACTTTTGCTCAGGAAGGACGACGTGTCAGTGTGGTTCTCCTCTTACCGATCGATGCAATCTCTGCCGGGTAACGGGATCCTTACCATGTCCACAGACATCCCGAAACTTCCTTTCGTCTCGAATTCCCTGATCTTCTCGCGGCTCGCGCCATTTGCCAGATCCCATACACTCACTCGTCCGTCGTAAGTTGTGCCAGCCACGAACTTTCCGTCGGGAGTCAAGCATACAGCCCAAATCTCTCCTGCTTTCTTCTTTGGACCGACATCGATCTCCCCGTCGTCCTTCCACTTTCCCTCCTCGTATTTCCATATTCTGACCTCACCGCCAAAGCCAACGCTCACGGCCCTTGTGCCAGTTTCGCGGTCTGTGCTAATGTGGTGGCATCCGAGCTTATGGGCATCTTTGAGGATCTGAGCAATGGGAAAGCCTTCTTCATTTGCAGAGTGGATTTTGATCGAGGACTCGCCCGAGCCCGTAAGGATTTGAGTTTGAGTTACAGCGAGGGCAAAAATGTCTGTGGTATGGGCTGTACAGTGTTATCTTAGTCCGAGATACGAGTGCGCTGCGAAGACGCTGCGAAGATTGAATTACCTTCATCGATCGAATGAAGGGCGAGATATTGTTTCGACTGAACCGAATGTCAGTTGACAGGACTCCCAATAACTGGGATGGGGTCACAAACCATGTCGACTGCGTCGATGCATCATATACCTAGTTCAAAAGGACAGGTCGAGAAGGACAGCACGCAAAATGAGTGTCGAACCGAGATTGAATTCAGCAGAACGAATTGTGCTCTGCCGGAAACACTGTACAAATTCAAAATTATCTTTGAAATGACGTAGTTTTACAATGCTCCGCACGTTGCCAATTCAACGTTGTAGAGCCGCACACAGGTCGGACACCCCCTCTTCCTTTGCCCGTGCCTCAAACTTCACTTGTTTCGTTCAGAATTCACACCACAAAGACAAGGTCGTTCTGAACCACCTCTCCCCTACCCGAAGTCGCGCTAAGCGCAACCGCAAGCTCCTCTCGATGTGGTTGCGAGCAACGCCCTGTTCGTGTTCAACCTTTGATCAAGCTTCATCCCGCGCTCAGCCCATAATTCCGTCTGGAGCCCCAAGTCTTCGTGACTATTCAACTCCCGACGCTATATTCATCGAATGGTTCTTGTTGGCATCGATTCCGGAAGCCGAGGGCATTGAGCAGCTGCGTCTCAGAACCGGGTGTAGCACTCCTCCTTTGACTTGAAGAGCCAGGAATATATGGCCTCAGCAGCTCCCTGGTTTTATATGCTTGTCTTCTTCTTTCGCCGCCCGGACGTCGCATTTCAATCTCTCAGCTTTTGGTCCCCTCTGACGCCTTCGCTGCTTCGCTCGCTTCCGCATCTCTGTGTTTCCAACTTTCGTAAATTTCTGGTGTCTCAGTCAGTATAACTGATCGCCACTTAGCATATCATACTGGCCTGCAACACAATATGGGCACAATGTATGAGCCTTTTTCGGCCTCCCGCAGCCGGGGCATTGGTTGACTGCTTTGACATCCTTCAGAGCTTTCCCAGCCAATTGTCGATGTCTCTTTTTCATATGTGACGTCTTTTTCTTAGGAACTGCCCTCAATATCCCTTCCCAGATGTCTGCAATGAGCCCAGGGATGTTCGTCGTGATTGCGGGTATTGCGAATGATGCTGAGATGAGGTTGCGGAAGGGCCATGTTTGCATCGGCTTGGGGAGTAAGCCTGTGCTCCTTCTAATAAGAATTTGTGACAGTGGAGAGCCGCCATATGAAGCAGCCAAGGCCATATTTGCGGCGAAGCTGCTTCACGTTCAACGGGCTGCGTGGATGATTGCTCTTCAAGAATCTTTCTGAATGAGCTTCACAGACACTGCGCTAGCTGATCACGGTTAGACGCAAACTAGTCAGGGACAATCTATAAAGCAGCGGCATTAACTTCCCGGCGCTGTTTAGCCTGCGTTGAAGTGACAGCCCCTGTCCCTTGGCACGAGACAAAAAGGGGGCCCTTCTTCCAATGCTGGCAAGATCGTCTGGGGAAATTGTTCGTCGCAGGCAGTCGCAACTCCCTCTTTTCTCGTGCACAACTTGAACTCATTGCATCTATCTGTCTTGCCTTCAACTGTGCCTGGACACGAGATCGTCTTGCTCATCGCATTGGAAATCTTGATTTCTGCCTCATCGAACAGACACGATGACCATGGCAATGAACCAACCGAACGCGGTGTTCCCACGTTCACATGTGGGTTTCGATTCTATCACCCAACAAATTGAGAAGAAGTTGTTGAAAAGAGGTTTCCAATTCAACGTCATCTGTGTTGGTAAGTCTGTCAAAACCTACTCGTATGGACTCAACCAGCTCACTGTCCTCAGGCCAAACCGGACTTGGGAAATCGACCCTCATTAACACGATCTTCGCAAGCCACCTCATAGATTCCAAAGGCCGGCTTCGACCCGATGAACCAACACGTTCCACTACTGAAATTCAGACCGTGTCGCATAGTCAGTCGGCCTATCGCAAGCGCGATGGAACAGTTCACTGACAAATTTGCAGTCATCGAAGAGAACGGTGTGAGACTACGGTTGAACATTGTCGATACCCCTGGATATGGTGATTTGGTCAACAACGATCGTTGGTAGGTGTCCTGCGGATCTGTCGCGCTTGTTAGCGACTTTGGCATTTGTGACTGACCGTCTCTAGCTGGGATCCCATTGTGAAATACATCAAAGACCAGCACTCTGCCTACCTGCGAAAAGAGCTCACTGCCCAGCGAGAGCGCTATATCCAAGATACTCGCATCCATTGCTGCCTGTTCTTCATCCAACCTTCCGGCCATGCTCTGAAACCAATTGACATTGTGGTTTTGAAGAAGCTCTCTGACGTCGTCAACGTGGTTCCCGTCATCGCTAAGGCTGATTCCCTCACGCTTGAAGAGCGCAGAGCGTTCAAGGAGCGGATCAAGGAAGAGTTTGCTTTCCACAACCTGAAGATGTACCCCTATGACAACGAAGAGCTGGATGATGAGGAAAGAGCCACCAATGCCACCATCAAGGACATTATCCCTTTTGCAGTTGTCGGCAGCGAGAAGTCAATCATTGTTAACGGCAAGCAAGTTCGCGGTCGACAGAACAAATGGGGAATCATCAACGTCGAGGACGAGAACCACTGCGAATTCGTGTACCTTCGAAACTTCCTGACTCGTACTCACCTGCAAGACCTCATCGAGACGACCAGCCAGATCCACTACGAGACCTTCAGAGCGAAGCAACTGTTGGCATTGAAGGAGAGCAGTGCTGCAAGCGGCATGGCTGGTAGCAGACCAATCAGTCCTGCGGCTGACCGAGAATTGAGCCGGGGCTCGCAGCGCATGACGATGAACGGATATTAGGAGATTTGCACATTGGGAGGTTACAAACAAGGAGATGGTGCTGGGGATGGATTTGACAAAAGCAATGGTTGAGCTTGAGCGATTGCCATATCCTTTTCTTGTCGCCTGGAACGTTATTCTAATGTAGCGTCTATTCAGAGAGCGGGCCTTTCGTCTTTGAGCTGGGGGTATAAAGTAATTCTCATGACTGTTCATTAACGCTGGGGTTCCCGAAATCAAAACTCGGTGCACAGATGGTTGCCTCCGTTGCTGCTTGGGGGAATCAAGTTGAGGCTTCTGTCCCGAGTCCTTTCATCACCCATTCGTCGAGTTCCTGGAACGTGGCATCCAGATCGTCGTTGATGATGACCTTGTCGTTCTTGCCCTCGGTCCTGCAATACTCCATCTCATTCTTGGCCTGTGCTAGACGCTTCTGGATCGCGTCTTCGCTTGTGTCACCACGACCACGCAGTCTCTGCTCCAGGACCTCGATACTGGGCGGTTGGATGAAGCATATCCTTGGGTTCAACTGGCTCTTCTTCAACTGCTTGACGCCTTCCATCTCGATGTCAAATATACATATCCTCTTGCCAGGAGCCGTGGTGCCATCAATGCTCTTGCCTTTTCCCTCGGCCACATCTTGGACGGCCTTCTTCGAGGAGCCGTAGCAGTTACCTCCAAATTTGGCATGCTCCACGAACGCATTGTCTGCGATCATTGACTGGAAGTTTTCGTGGGTTGTGAAGTAGTAATGGACGCCATCTTCCTCGCCCGGTCGGGGCTTTCGAGTGGTGTGGGAGACACTGAAGCCGAAGAGATCGGGGTGTTTCGCGAAGAGTCGCTTTATAAGAGTACTTTTGCCAGTCCCCGAGGGCCCGGAGAATACAATGGGTTTTGGCTCGTCTGTGGGCGCGAGAGGAGACATGACCGCACCACGAGTTATGGACGTGAAGAAAGCTGTCGACTTGTGCGCTGAGCGGTTCTGGAGTTTTGGGAATAGAGAGGTTACTCTGCTTGACATGAAGCGGTCTTTGTATTGAGCGGTGGGAAAGAGGAGAGACTATTAGTGCATGTTCAATGCGGTGAAAAAAAGAGCCAATGGAGTTTATGGATCTGCGGTCTTGGCAGGGGCTCGGCTCGAATCAGGGAAATGGCCTCGATGCCTCCAACTCGTCTCTATTGCGACGTGCAAAAGACACCTAATGTTGATCATCGTACCGTGCAGCCGATCCTCACAATGGAATCGCCAGTAGCGCTCGATCCGTCCGACGAGGCTCCTACTCCATCGCATCAGCCTCAGGGAGACAATACGGGCGATACTCGTGAGGATGTTTCCCACGGTGTTGTCGGACAGTTGCCTGGCAGTGATGGCAAAACGCGTCCAAGGCGCCCACGCGTAAGTTCCCGGTCCAATCTGAAATATTTATTACTATAGACGAACCTGGGGTCATCGGACAGTCTAATGGAAGCCATAGGGTCGTCACGCAAAAGATCCCTTGGCAAAGTCCATAGCGATCAAATGTCAAAGATTAGAAGATTTTGAGGCCCAGCTCAAGGAGCATTTGGCAGATTCGATCCTTGACCGCGAGCACACCACGCTGGAGTTTGCCTTTCCTGTCAGTGCCGCCTTCATGGTGGCTGTGAGGGAGCCTACGAATGGGGGAGATCTCACTGATAGAAAGACGCCATATACGTACAGCCCTTTCAACAAGACCGCAATCACCGTCGTGGACGCTCTGCACAACATTCAAGACCCTGTCGAACGGGCGATTATGCTGAAAGGCATCAGCAAGACCCTCGTCGAAGCCTGTCAAGAAGTAGATGGATATCGCTACAGCTTCCACAATCATTGGATCAGTCGAGAAGCCCAAGCAAGCAGATTCTCATACTGTAAGTCTCGTCACAAAAGCACTCATAGCCCAGAATCTGTCCTTAATGGGCACCTCCTTCTCGTCGCTAATCAAACCCCAGACTGCAATGATTCGGTGCTCAACAAGGGCCGTGCTGCCAATGAGGGTGCCTCCAAGATCAAGGCTGGCACCAAGGTTCGCAAACCAGTCTATGACTGCCACGGCTTGATCTCGGTCAAGTTCTCCGTGACGAAGAACAATCTGGAACTCCACTACAAACACATTCCTCTTCACAAGACCTTTGAAGAAAGAGCCCCGCCTCCGCGCAACGGCTCAAGGCGCAAGCGTCTCCTTGAGATTTTCCATCCTGAAAAGCTCGTGAAACCGAAGAGGAGAAAGTCCAGTGTGCCTAAACCGCCGAAACCCAAGAAATCTGCTACAGAGCCGCCCCGGCCTGTGGAGAGCGTGTCAACCACGCCAGCGAGAGAGAACAGTCTAGCACCCTTGTTCGACTTCCTCGGTAGGGTTGAACCGGACAAAGATTCACCGGACACCTCAGAACCACCGACAGTCGACGTCAACGTCGACACCGTCAAGGATGCCTGGGGCGACGGAAAGATAAACAGGAAGAAAATATACCCCGGCATGTCCATCTGGAACCTTAGAGACCCCCAGATACAAAAGGCGCACCGGAAAGCAAAGAAGACTTCACCTACTCACTCGGTTCCTGGGGCTCTACCACCTCCTGCCACCACGCCGGCTCCAGCAGTTGTGATGCCCCCGAGCAGTAGCCAAACAGTGACACCGATAACCCTGACCGAGTCAGAGCTCCGAGCCAGGCTCCAGCAGGCCGAGCAAAAGATTCGCGACCTCGAAGCTGAAAAACAACGACGGGCAAGAGGACTTACAGAGCCGGCCCGTCCAACTACTCTACAATTCCAGGCACCTCCACTGCCGCTGCCTCCCAACCCAGCCACGCCTTATCCCCCTCCCCCTCCCCCTCCCCCAGCATATTTCCCTCCACCGCAGTTCCAATTTGCTCCCGCTCCCCATCCCATACAGTGGAACTACAGTCCTCATACTTACCCTCCCTATCCTTATACATCACCTGGGCCGCCCAGTCTTCCCTATCCTCATTCTGCATCAGGGAGTGCTCCAGCCGCAACACATCCATATGCGTATTCCAACCCAGGACCACCCAGTCTCCCCTATCCCAACCCTGCACTGGGAAGCGCTCCACACCCGCATGCGTATCACTATCCACCGCAACCTCTGCCTCCCCTTTCGCAGCAACGGCCTCCGTCGAACGCGCCACCGGCGTACGGCTTCGTTCCCAACCCCTTGGACCCCTTGGACCGTATCACCACGAGGGGTGTCAGGTCACATCTTGGTCCTCCTCAGCCTCCTGCAACGCCTGATTCAAGCTCTGGCTCTCGCGTTGAACCACCACGCGTCGAAATGCAACCTACGGCCCAGACTCCTCTATCTTCCACAGAACCTCCGGCTGGGCCAAGTCCTCGTGGACCTTCCGCAACGGCGCCAGAGCCGTCGGACGAAACCACGTCCGTGACAGCTTCCGCAGGACCTGCCCAACCGGCGTCTAGCCGAGAAATAACGCAGGCTTCGACCTCAACCTCAACGACCACGGCCGTGCCGTCAGCGCCAGATCCAGATCCAGATCCAGATCCGAACCAGATCGACGGCCGGGACGGAAAATAAAAGTCTCCATTCGACCACGCTTGTCTCCGACTTTGGACATTACAAGAATAAGAATAAAAATTGCACCCTCAGCACCTCTGGAAGATGCCCATGGCTGGGGCCCAGTGGATGCGCAGTGACATTTCCCCAATGAGGGAGTCGCGGGATCAAAGTATAAGTAGAAGTCCTAGGAACGAGGATGATACTAGGTTCTACAGCGTTACTCGTATCTTCATGGTTTTTTTACCTTCACCCCCTTCCCCGTTTACGGAGCAGGGAGCAGGGAACGGAGGGAGCACATGGCCGATAAACCTTCTTTGCATGCACAGCAAGGCGGGCGGCAGCATCGCGCAGGGCAGCAGCCCGTTTCTTCGGCACGCCAAGCAGGCAATATGCTTTTTGCTTTGGACCGCCCACTCACTCTAGGGCTATATATTTATGACACTATTAATATGTACTTGTACCGCTTTTGTTGTGTTGTAGCTGTACAAATTCTTCCTCTTTCTTCCCTGCATTGTTTGTCCAACGCGGTCTTCTATGAGTCGATGCATATTGTTCGTGTCCATAGGCTTTTTAATGCACAAACACATATACTTCTAGAAGAGAGAGTGTGTGTGGCAGAGTGTGTTTGAGGGATATAGAAATGGACATTGGTCAAGGAAATTTTAAAAACTCGAGCGTCAATCGGCTAGCCAGAGCCGCTTTGAATTAAACAAATAAACCCCAACTAACCAGCTACATGATAATGCCGCCGTAGATACACTCATCTATAGATAACACCGAGGGAAAAGTTTCGTGAGAAACGTTGTCTTTCCAAAACATGACACCTGGGGAAGGGGATATGGGCATGGGCATGAGCATGATCAACGCTAAGGGTAAAGTACATAAGTAATAGATCAGATGGCTGGATACATGAATAATAGGTGGCGCTTCGGCCCTTGAGAGCGTGATGGTGGCTTTTGGAACAGGGTGGGTAATTCAAAATATAGAAGTACAGCATATTGTTGATCCATGTCGTCCTAACTCGTGAACAAACGGCCAGCGTCTCATTCTGTCCAAGATCCAGCTTGGAGCAATACTTCGTAAACCTCTTGCGAGCAGTACTGTGACACCAAGAAAGGGGCTGCTAACAATACAATAGCACAAGAAGGGGGGGGGAAGAAAAGAAAGCAAGGCTCTCAAGGCCATCAAGGCCAAGAAGGGCACATGATCAAGCCAGGATCATGTCAGTCGAGAGGTAGATTTTGATGAGTAGAGGCTCCTCCGGGGAGTGGATGTGCCATATTGGAAGAAAGCGGACGGCAAGACTTTCGATAGTGTGCGAATCTTCGGTAATGGACAGGGAGTCGTAGGGTTCAGGGCTGGTGCTCAAGGTATAGAACCACCAAAAGAGTCGATGTCATGGCGTTGACTGGTACAAGGAATCCATACGGCTGCGGCCGGGGGTGTTGTAGAATGTCACTTGAGCGACCTCGCGATTCTCTGGGCTCCGTCCAGCGGAGACGCACGGTATCATCAGCGGCGTGTCCCGCATTTGAACACTTCGTCAAGAAGGTCGTCGACGACATAAGGATTGTCGAGGGACAAATTTCTGAAGGTCTCGTACTCGAGCGCTTCGCGGATTTCTGCGATGTCTTTCCCGTCCCAAGAAAGTAGATAGTGGCCGCCTGGAAAGGGGAGGTCAAAGCCGAGCTCCTCCCACTTGGCTTTGGTAGCATCTTGCATCAGCAAGCTACGAATGATGTTAGAGGAACGGATGTCGCTCTTCTGGACATCGTCGTCCTCGAAATGGCTCTTGTAGTGGTTGGCAAAATCTTGCACGTCGACGTCCAAGTTGAGGCACAGACCGCAAGCCCAATGCTTCTTTACTCTTCGGCGGTCTACCTGTATGCACTCCTCAGTCATCTGGCATTCACTGTGGTTGGAACTGTGGTGTCTCTTGTAGGTCCGAAGGCGATGCGACTGAAGATTACAGCTAGGGTGCATGCAGCTGAAAGTGGAATCCTTGTCGTGATCTCCAATCAGGTGTTCGGCAAATTCCTTTGGGCTAGTAAAATCTTTCCGACAGTCTTCTACTGGGCATGGAAATCTAGACTTTTGCATCCGATTCCGGTCCCGCAATGAATCCTGCTCGGCGACGAAGGGTGGTCGAATCATAGTAGCCATGAACGAAAGCCCTCCATCGCCTCCACTCGGAGCAACAGTCCCATCCACAACGCTGGCTAGGAGAGGCAAATCATTTGCGCCCGGTATGGCAGGTGGGACGCCACGCTTGGCTTGCTGCAGCTGCGAGTATGCAGTCACATCTTCTGTGTTCTGCAGATCTGGTGCGCAGACTTGCTGATGTTCCTCCCCGGTTGCCAGATAGTCCATGGTCGTGTCCTGATCACAACCGACAGGCGCCCGGAACCTTTCATCTGGCAAGGGCCACTGTGATGACATCGGTGAGATATCACTGGCATATCCAAGACCAGATGTGGGATCGTCATGAACTGGAGTACCGAGATTTCCAGACAACCTGAGACTGGACCGATCGGAGATGAGGCTGGGCACTCGGGACTGAGGGTAGGTATATGATTGCTGTGATAGTCTTGCTCTTATATGCTGCGGAAGAGGTTGAGGCTGGGCAAAATTCATGAATTTGAAGGCCGTATAAAGGTCGTCGTCTTCTGCATCGGCTAGCATATTCAAGGCGTTTCGATAGTTGTTTTGCCGGAGCCTGAGGACCGTGCCCAGGTCCAGACCGGCACCCAGCAGCATTTGAATGTTTTCGACTATATCCGGGCCTTTTTTCAGCTCTTCATCAATGAAGGATCCGTGTCGGCTAACGTTGGCGAGCTGGGACGAAGAAAACGAGAGTGGGTGATCGCGAAACGAGCTGGGCGGAAACTGCCGAGATTGTATGTAGGAATGATTGTTCGAAAGGTAGTCCATTGCAGGTCTTGACCGCAGCGAAGGCGAAAGGTTTTTTCGAAGGCTGAGGGAAACGATTGAATAAGGCTGCGCCCGCGCAGGCTTCCTGAACCTGAAGGGACACGGATCAAGTAGCAAATGGCATGCAATGCGTTGAAAAGAGCGAGAGCACCGCACAAAGCACCACCTGGTGAATTAATAAATGGAAGAATCTTCTTAAGCCTGTCGAACAGGTAGCGAGACAAGAAGAATGGGAAATCAAAGGAAAAAGGGGAGAAGATTTGTTCCTCTTACTCTCTGGTTAAAGGGCATCCATCTTGCGACTCAAGCATGAGCATCCCCACCTCCAACCAGCTCTGTGGATTGTGTGCATAGCACGTCTGCCACGTAGACAAATGGTGGTGGCGCTCGAAGGAAGGGCCGAATCGGAAGCCTGACGGGGTGTCGGGGGTAGACAATCCTAGGGATGATCTTCATGCTCCCAGGTTGCCCGATTTCTTTGGGAGGTTCGTATTGAGGGGTTACCGCTCACTTTTTTTCCCGCGGGAGCCACGCAAGGGGGCATCGATGGAGCATACAGGGCACGACTCGCCTTCGCAACTAGGTATAGCACCTTTCCGCTTCGAGCCGTCGAAAGCGGAGTGGAGACCAGGGGAGCGTATCTCTGCCACGATGCGGCGGAGCAGACTGTAGACCCAGAAGTCGAGAAAGTCATCAACAACCATTCAGACAGCGGGCAGTGAGAGAAAAGAAGGACGGTGCTGGTTTCTCCGCCTTTTCTAACATGTTGGATGCAAGGCACTCGATACATACCCCAAGAGCAGGAGTCAATGGGCTTCTGAGGGGGGTTGCTCTGGTCTGAGATGTCTGTGGGTGAACGATGCCACCGACGCCTCAAATCTTCGCCTCTATCCTTCTTCAGCTGCCCGTCAGTTGCCGTGGGCTTGGATCCCAACAAGCGCGTATGGAGCTTACAAAGAGGCTGCAGGCTTTGGGCCCTGCGCTGCAAGCGCCGTAATCTTACGCAGCTTTGCACCTCACCCAATCGAACAGCCAAGAGTGCTCTCTACCCCTGGGCTTGTCTGCTGAGTTCTCTGAGTTGCGGCAGAATCAGTGATAGTTGCTGCCAATGGAGGCTGCTGTCGATTCAGACTCGTCATGTCAGACTAGGTCCCCGAATCAATTCCCTGTGGCGAGCGCTGTGGTGCCTCCTATAGCTGTGTAAGAGAAAAGTTTGAAAGGGCAGGTGAGGCGGAAACTGTAGTGCGAAAGGATCCGCAGGATCCGCAGAATCACATCTGAACAGTGGATTTGGAGCCGGTAACTGCACGACATATCAGTGACTCCACTGGTGCCACCTCTTCTGTGCCAGAAGAAAGTGCTTCGAACGGGTTTCTCGAAGGACTTTTTCAAAGGCCCCATGTAAATAAAGCAGGTACTCGGGGAAGCCATTCTTTCCATAGCTCTGCCATGAACAACTGGAATTTGGCAGTGACGACACAGCTACTCAAGAGATTGATTGTAGGGTCTGTTAAGACCGTCATGGCGGACCATTTATGAGGGTCTCAATGCCACAATTGGTCAAGGCGTCTTTGAGTTACTTCTTCGGAGCGGAGGAATGAATTGAGACTCCAGGGAGGCAATTGACAGAGAGGGAAACATTTGTCAGTAGGAGGCCTCTTATAGCAGACTCGGAGCAGCAAGATGAAAGCAGCAACTATGTTCCTAAATTCCGTCTTTGCATTTGTGACATCGACAGGCGAAGCACCGAGTACTCGGTACTCTGTACTTGCATTACCTGCTTCCCAAGATGCTCCAGTCTTTGAATCGCTGGATACTTCGTACCAGTGGAATAATCATGGGTGCCCAGGGGCTCCAGCCTAGGTACCTACCCTATGAGTAGGGCCCAGCTGGCTGTCAAAAGCACTAGCCCAAGAACCAGGCGTTGCTAGTTACTCGCCAATCCCAGGAGCCTAAATAAGTGAGCTTGGGCGCCAATTCGGATCCCCAGGATCAGCTGCTGTCTAGGTAGGTGCCTACCTAGTAGTCTCGTAGTTAGCGAGCCCGATGGTCTGCAGGAAAAAAGTTACAAAGCGACCCACCAAGCCAACAGGCTTCCCCTGACAAGAAACGCCCCATCCGCCCGTTCAACGTTTGATAGACAGCTGCCTCGGACCGTCGCGTGTCTGATCGAACCCTAATGATACTTTGGGATTCGATCTTCAAGTGCTTCCCTCAGAAGGTGTAGCTAGGTAGCCTGAACATTGTTATGGGGAAAAAAATTCGATATTGCGAACATAGATACTATGAAATGCAACCCAAAGCACAACGTCCACAATCCCACCGCTGTTGATAGCATAGTAATAATACAGTGTAAAATACAAAATCCATTCCTCAATCTCACATACAAAATCGGGAGCTATGATTACATGACTGGGTATCTTGCATCATGCTGGGAATTTGTTCACGGTTTCTGTGTCATCATAAGGGCGTCGAAGTCGTGATAGGTCGTCGAGTCCAAGAAGTGTTGCACAATGAAAAGCTCAGAGCAGTCGCCAAAGAATCGAACACTAGCATACATCCAACAAAATGAACTTTGGAACATGGACGGCTGGAATCGGATATCGTGCGGTCGAAGAAGCTCAAGAGAGAACTCGGAAAGCATTGGTATGGTAATGATTGAGGGCGCCAGAGTCGCAAGGCGAACGCGGATCAATAGCTCTTGTTGAACTCAACATCGGTTGTATCGAGGAAGGAGGTAGGATCGACATCAAGCCACGAGCCCTCGGGATCAGGGAGGTTGCCAAAGTCGGGTACTGGGATACCAGACGCGTCCCGTTTGCGCTTGCCGGACATCAAGGCAAACACGTCGTTCACGAGCCAATCTGCGACAGATGGATCGGAAATATCAAAGCCTTGATATTTGCCATATTCGAGGGCCAGCCGAATTTCCTCGCAACGGGAGGGCTGCCACGCAAAATCGCAGTTTCCAACCTGGACGCGCACCGCCAGACAGAGTTCTTCCCATTTGCCCTTGGTTGCTTCTTGCGAAAGCAAGCTCAGGATCATGCTCGAGTATTTTATGTCGTGAGGTTGCGCCGCGCCGTCCTTGAAATGGCTCTGATGGTGATCGGCATGGGAGGACACATCTTTGGACAGGTGCATGCAAATAGAACAGCCCCAGTACCTTTTCTTCCTGTCGTAGTTGATCTTGACACAGGCATCGCCCTTCTTGCATGAATTATGGTCCTTGCTGTGATGTCGTGCCCATGTTGCGTGCCGGTATGTTTGCATTTTACAGTTTTGATCATGCTGACAGACGTAGTTCTCATTCTTTTCATGGTCACCTTGTAAGTGTTTTGCCAACTCGACTGAGCGCAGGAATCCCTTCCGGCAACCTGGCTCCGAACAGGGATACTTGATCTGGTCCTTTCTGGCAGACCTTCCGCCAGTTTGCCGATGAGCCTTATCAGTGCTGCCAGCCGATTGTCCACTGTCGTGTGTAGTTTTCCCACCTGCGGTATAATAACTGGCAGAGGCCGGCGCGCCGTAAGAGAGACTGGTATTGCCAACACGAGAAAGACTCGAGACATCCACAAGGGCGTGTGGCTGATACGCCGAGGTGATCCCTGTCGTATTTACATTTGCCCAGTCCTGCCGCTGAGGCTGCTCAAAATTAGGTGCGACGAAGTTCATTGGGGCATGGTTTCCCTGGGTAGTCAGATCCCCAGAGACCATGGCATCCATCTCCCCTGAGACAGAAGGCCAAATAGAGGCTTGAGGTTGTCCTCCAGCAGGGTTTCCAAATCCTGAAGTAAACGAGTCGGCTGTAGAAGTGCTCAGCTCTGTTGAGGCAGACCATTGGGACCGGTTGGACCTGAGGCTAGAGACCCCAGAGGGATAACGCATAGCCGGGCCACGGGATAGTTTCCGTGACTTCGAACCCGGGCGCTTTTGATCCACAAAATCCCATGCACTTTGGAGGACACTTTCGTCTGCATTGGCTATTGTGGCGAGCTGGTTGAAGTTTTTCGGTTTGCAAAGATCCGAAATTTGTTTATGGTCCAATCCGGCCGAAAGGAAGGTCTCCAGTGCTTTGACCACGTCATAAAAATTCGATTGCTGATCGCAAGATGGGCTATGCGGCTCCATACCATGGCCAATCTGACCGGGCGACTCTGTTGCGGGGGAAGACATAAATGCCTGAGCTGGCGATTGCACTGGTGGCCATGCGGAAGGAGGATAACCGTAGACAATTGGACGCATCTTGTAGTTTGTGATTATGACTGAGCCAAGTCTTCAAAGCTGTAGGCACAAGAGAGAGAGAGAGAGACAGACGAATAGTTTGTAGAAGCTGGACTTAACAAATCGCTGTGCCGACCAGAGGCAGACAGAAGAGCATACAAGGAGCGAACGTGCGTGCGGCAAAAGAGAGACAACGGGAATGAAGGCAAGGAAAGGTAGGAGGGAATGAATTCTGCAACATCGGAGGCGAGGTTTCAACGTGCCTTGTATAGTCCTTTCTAACCTGCACGATGCATCAAGGTAATTCATCTCGCAAGGAATCGTGTTTGCCTCATTCCACCATCCAAGCACGGGCGATGAAGAGACCCACTTGCTATACGGCTCTTCGTCGATGCTTTGAGCCATGTTAGCAGGAAATCAAAGACCGGTGTAGCTGAGGGTGGATGGATGGTTTCCATGCAGATCCAAGAGTGGCTCGAGGACTGAGTTGTTCGCTGACATGCATAAAATCTGTTGCCCGAGAAAAGAGGAGAACGATGACATGAAACCCCTAATGCTTGCATTACCCCTGAATGCAGCCACCACCGAATGCCAACCCTGCTCGCCCGTCTGGATCTTTCAAGTGGACAGGATCTGCCTCGTCTTGCCAGGTACCAGGGTCAGGCGAATGATAAGTCATTGAGCCGAAGCTGCGAGCTCCACAGTCTGTAGCTCGACGCTCTGCACGCCCACAGCCATGCTGGACAACGGCTTCCCCCATCGAGCCCTTGAGCGGCAGAACACGAGCGCGGGTGTTTCATGTTGGATCGCTAAACGTCATCAAAATCTTCAGGTTTGCAGGCTTGACAGCTGGTGCCAGAGTCTTCGTGAGACCTTTCTTGTGATCATGAGACCCAGAGACTACCACCCACTATTTTGTCCGCTTAAAGCGTGGGGTAGTGAATCAAACGAGCAATGGATATTATGGAGCACGCCAAAAAGGTAGGCCCATCGAGGTTAAAGACAGGACCACTACTATTATACCCCATGGCTTTGGCCCATCACAGTGCACATGGAGGGTGCCCGAACTGGTCTGTGCCATCGATCTGGTGCGTACAGTCGGCGAGTGTTGAGAAAGAGCAAGATACTACCAGGCGAGCAGGGTGCAGGGTGCCGGCAGAGAGTGGGAGCATCTCCAGCATCCTCTCGTAAGTAGGATGCAGGCACCCATCGGTTGCACGAGCAGGACGCCTACTCGTCCGCCATCTATCGTTTCTGCTCAGGCTTCTCCACTGCGGACCTGCAGATACTCTGCAGCAAAGCTGTTGGGACACAACGCCATGGTGACCCGGATGCTTTACAACCCCGGGCTGATTGGGACTCTCGTCGATCCAACATGTCCGAGGCAACTAGCTCACTTTTCCAGGCAACCCAAACGTGCTGGACTGCATCTTGTTGCGGAGTCAGTATACTTCTCAATTGACATATTACTGGCAGTCCGGTCCGGCACCACCAACAATATTACAGGGCCATGCACGACTTTCCGAGGCCAGAACGATATTCATTCGCACATACCTAGGTATGTAGGCAAGATTGTCGCAGAACGCAAGATTCGCTACTCGTAGAAGTGTGGGCTCGAATCCCTTAGATGCATTTAAGGACGTGGAGTGATTTGGTTTTTTGGAACCGAACGTCGGCACATAGGCCTACGAGCCATTATCGGTTCACTCGCACAGCCAAAATTTCCAAGGTAAGTGCCGAGTACACGCAAGAGCTAGGCGACCTCAGCGTGGTATTCATTCCAACCTGGTGGCACCTACATAACCCGCAGGACTTGACTGCAACCACGCGCGAAGAAGAGAATACATTTATTGTTAACAAGCTGGTGAACCGACTCGTGAGTGGTAATGAGCCACCGTCCGTCGGCCACGTATGAGAGAAGGCAATGTTATAAATGGAGGCAATAATGGCCATGCACCGAGTATACAAGCGGATGAGGATGTATGATGAGAAGCTGCCCACTCCGTACCGAGTACATGTACTTAGGTATTCATGCGCAGAGGCCCAGCGAGGCGGCAGGATTGTGAGCGACAAACACGCCAAGCACGGACACGACTGGTTAGTCGCCTCCGCATTGTTTGTCTTGTTTGCCAGAAACTCGGTCCCAAAAAAAAGTTTTTGGCGATATCCATGCCATGGGGCGACTGACCGCACAGACTTGTCAGCGGTTGAACTCAGATTCGATATGGCAGCAAGCAAGCGCCAAAGTGAGAGTGCAGACTCTAAAGCCTCAAAAAGGGCCAGAGTGGACAAGGTCGGTCCAAAAGTGAAGGGTGCGCGTGCGGAGGACTTTGGAGGCTTCGACCAGGTAACGAACACTTCAACGCAGGATTTGGTAGAGGAAAAGCCCAAGAGATCGAAGGGAAAGTATGGATCTACGACTCAGAGTCCGTCGACCAAAGCGGAAACATATCTAAATGGTATGTGAACGGGCTCACCGCCTTTGTCAGCCCCAAAAACACACATTGGTCTTTACTGACTTGACCTCAACAACCAGGCCAAACCTCGCGCGAAGCCCATGCGAAGCAAAAAGCCCTCGCGCATGACCGCAAGGCAGCCAAACCTAACGCCGACTCCATCGCTCGGTCAAAGAAGATCTGGGAGCGTCTGCGCCGCAAGTCCCACGTCCCCAAGCAAGAACGAGATGAACTGGTCAAAGAACTCTTCCAGATCATATCAGGGCGAGTCAAGGATTTTGTCTTCAAACATGATTCTGTGCGGGTTATTCAATGTGCTTTGAAATATGCGACTCCGGACCAGAGGCGGCAGATCACAACGGAGTTGAAGGGTAGCTACAGAGAACTGGCGGAGTCCAAGTATGCCAAGTTCTTAATAGCAAAGATGGTTGTGGGCGACGATGCCAGTCGAGATGCCGTAGTCGAGGAATTCTACGGCCATGTAAAGAGGTTGATCCGCCACCCAGAAGCAAGTTGGATTGTGGACGACATTTACAGGACCATTGCGACGAAGCAGCAAAGAGCCATCATGCTCCGAGAATGGTACGGGCCCGAGTTCGTCATTTTTGGCAAGTCAAAGACACACGACGCATCAGAAAATGAGCAGGTAACAGCTGAACTTTCTGATATTCTCACTGAACACCCTGAAAAGAGGGGCCCCATCATGTCTCATCTGCGCGAAATGACCAATCAACTTGTTCAAAAGAAGACTACGGGCTTTACCATCCTCCACGACGCCCTGCTGCAGTATTTCTTGAATTGCAAGCCTGGAAGCCCGGAACTTACCGAGTTTTTCTCCATGCTCCGCGACGATGAGGAAGGGGATATCTACAAGAACCTTGCGTTCACAAAGTCGGGCTCTCGATTGCTGTGCCTTTGCCTGGCGCATGGCAACTCCAAGGATCGAAGAGGGATGCTGAAGTTTTTCAAGACGCATATCAAACTCCTGGCGAGCGACCAATACGGGCATAACGTGCTGTTGACCGCATTTGAGGTTGTTGATGATACGGTGATGACTTCGAAGACAATTTTCCCAGAGCTTCTGAGCAAAGACCTTGAGGCTGAGGCAAGGGAGCAGGAGTTGCTCGCGCAGGTCGAACATCTTACTGCGCGTACTCCACTGCTTTATCTCATGGCCCCCGAGGCACCGAAGTGGCTCATCACACATGAGACAGCCGCACTGATTTCGGAGGTTCGTGAGATACGGAAAGAAACATCCAAGAAGGACCCGGAGACACGCCGCATTGAACTGGTGAAGTATATTGCCCAACCTCTTCTCGACCTTATTACGAACCAAGCGCGATATCTCGCACAGTCGACCTTTGGGTGTCAGTTCATCACCGAGACCGTTTTTGGTTGTGCTGGCTTTGGCGAGGTACAGGCTGCGTTAGGTGCGATTGCAGACCTGGCAGCCGAGGCGGTCGAAGGGAAAGAGCAGCAAGAAGAGAATGACAGGATCCTGGGTACGCCAGCAGTAGGCCGCATGCTCAAGGCTCTCGTGCAAGGTGGACGGTTCAACAAAGCGACGAATTCGATTCAGCTGGTCGATCCGCCTTTGAAATTCGACGAGCTGTTATTCCAGAAGATCCAATTGAAGGGTGGGGACGACGAAATCGTGGCCTGGGCAAATGGACCAAATAGTTTTGTTGTTGTTGCCATGTTGGAGGCCGAGAATTTTGAGAAGAAGGAAGATTTGGTGGAGGTGCTGAGAAAGCACACGAGAGAGTTGGACCAGGAGAACAAAGGGGCGGCCATCATTCTAGAGAAGATTGGCGATGATGGTCGGGAGAGGAATGGCAAGCGAGGCAAAGAACTGGATGCGAAAGAAGACGGACTGGAGGCCGAACATGTGAACGTGGATTCGAACCCGGTCGAGAAGAAGAAGGGCAAGAAAGGGAAGAGCCAAGCCAAGCATTAGGGAATTTCAAACCTTTGGGGGCGCGATATGCTACTTGAAACAGAGTGATTGATCCAAAGAAGGCGAGGCTGAGAATCCCTGTCAGGCTGGTTCACATGCTTCGTCTCTGATGTCCACACAGTTGTATGCGATGGTATTCTTGCACCAATGCAACAACCACGTGCCATTAGAATCTTTTACTCGAGGCAGGCTATCAGCTTCTGCTACTGGGTGGTGGGTGGTGGGTGGCTACTGTTTGACAGAATGATTTGTAACCCTCTCACGTCTCCTATGTTCTTGTTTCCCTTTTTGAAGCGATGCCAGCAGGGTATTACAGTTCCCTAGAACGCCGTACCGGCCAATTCAAGTTGGAGATTGGTAAGATACCATGTCCCGGGTTCTGAAGCGATCGTTGACCGGCGCAAAGGTGAGGGAGTGAGCTAAAGAAGAGCGTATGATGCAGCGGCGGCACAGGAAAGCCGTCTAGAGGGTCATCAGTAGCGGCTCAGGCAACTCGTATGACGATCGGTGGTCCCTGGATATCTTGACCAAACTGTGAAGCACAAGAGATGGCGGGCGAGATGGCGAGATGGCGAGATGGGCGGAAGCTTCTCCCGTGCTGTTTCCGGCAACGAGGGCAACGAGGGGCAACGGTCAATGGTTAGTCTTTGTTGGCAACGGGTGCGGAGGGGAACGAGGGACGATCGCGGAGGATCCTTGAACAAGTCTTGTCCCCTGTTCCTGGCTCATCCCGGCCCTTCAAGGCGCTTCTCCAAAAAGAAACATCAACACCGATTGCGCACACAGCGAAACCCGACTGCCGCAATTGCAGTGCATCACTAGTGCGCACCCACAACCCGCAACGCACACCAAGAACCACCGTCCACACACCTCCAACCTACGCCAACTACGCCCGTTGCATCCATTGTCCTTAAAAGTCCTTCTGCCCTGCTCCTCGTCCCCCGCCTCCTGTCTACTGTACCGAGTACCTTGAAGACCTCTACGTCTCCATCGCCATATCACTCTCTGGTCGTCCCGCCTCGATCGCTCTCCTCCCTCTCTGCGGGCCATGTGCGGCCATGGCTTCTCCCTTTGACTTCTCCAACGGCCACCATCCGCAGCTACAGTATATTGATCTGGCTTTTGATAACGAGTCTCTGGACGACTCGGCCTGTGAACTTGTCTACAGAATACAGCCAAAATGGAGGGACAGTCCTGGCAAGATTGAAATCGTCAAATTCACCGACGGCATCACAAACACTGTGGGTTCCTTTGCTTCATCTACCAGGCACGTGCCCCGGGCTCATGGCTGGTGTCTAGCTGCTCAAGATTGCAAAACACGCCCCAGGGCTCTCTGAAGCTGAGATCGACCGCGAGTCTATCCTCCTCCGAGCCTATGGCAATCACACCGAGATCATCATCGACCGCGATCGAGAGGCCCGATCACATGCCTTGTGCGCAGAACGGGGATTGGCCCCTCCCCTGTTCGCAAGATTCAAGAACGGGCTCTTATACAGATTCATCATTGGTCAAGTCTGCACTCCTCGGGACCTGATCAGTGAACCTATATGGCGCGCGGTGGCCAAACGCTTAGGTGAGTGGCATGCGCGCCTGCCCATTGCCGCCGTGGTGGAAGAGGACAAGAAGGAGGCCTCGAATGGCGTCAATGGTCATGCTCCGAGTGGTAGTCTTGCTTCAAGGCGGCCTGTACCAAATATCTGGTCAGTAATGCAGAAATGGGTCCATGCTCTTCCCTGCGACACCCCGAAACAAGAGGCACGCAAGGAACTGCTCCAAAAAGAACTAGATCGCTCGTTCCACGACCTGGACAATGAGCGAGGTCCCGGCTCGTCAGGGTTCGTCTTTGGACATTGCGACCTGTTAAGTGCAAACGTCATCATGCTGCCAACGGACTGTGCCAGTAGAAAGACAGGAGACTCGGGGCAGGTCTCCTTTATTGACTACGAATATGCCACGCCTTGCCCTGCAGCTTTCGATATTGCCAACCATTTTGCCGAATGGGGTGGCTATGACTGTGATTACAACATGCTGCCAACCCGGTTCATGCGCCGCCAATTCCTCCAAGACTACCTCAGGTCGTACAAAGCCCACAGCGACACCCCGGTCGCCAACAACATGCTGGATATTCTGTGCGATGAAGTTGACCGGTACCGGGGCATGCCAGGCTTCTACTGGGGCGTCTGGGCTCTGATTCAGGCGACCATTTCCGAGATCGATTTCGACTATGCTTCGTACGCTGAGGTCCGATTGGGCGAATATTATGCGTGGAGGGCGGAAGAGAGTGGCAGTCGGGCCCAACAGGGGCATGAAATGCCTCTCCGAGAACGAAGGTGGACAGAAGAATGAGGCCTGCTCGGTATTCCCAGGGTTACATGGAGTGGACAAGAGCGATTGATATACGAGGATGTGATGGTGTCATGGTCATCCACTTCCACCACCATCGATCCACAGCCTCACCGTCAGCGTTACCGTCATGGTAAAATATCCCCAAAAGTCGGCTTTGTGACACATTGGTTTTTCTGTCTGTATGTAGTTGAGTTCGGATTGTTCCGGCCGACCGCCAACGATCCTGGAACGTGCTATTAAGTAATCAATAAAAAGGACGAGATTGCTGCAGAGTAAGCACCTCGCCAGTTCCCATCTACTTGAGTCACCCAGTAGGTACCTAGTTACCCAGGTACTTAGCGAGTAGGTAATCACTCGTAGGGCGGGATCCGCTCGTCTTGGGGTCCCCATTTCATAACGCAGGCTGCTTACGTGGTTCTATTCTCGTGTTGTTGCTTTCGCTGCCGGGGACGGCGACATAGCCCAGCAACTATGATAATTTAGTCCTGTTTCCACCGTACATTCTTTCAGCTTCGGGCCCCCCGCTTCTTCTGCTTCAATTTCTCACGGAATAGCTCGCTGTGTCGTCAACCGTGAGTCAGTCAGGCAAAGCTTCGCTGAAAGTCCGTGCAGCCGCCCCTGCTTTTAGAGATCTGACACGAACGACCATCGTTAATACCACTCGTTACCACTCGTTACCAGTACCGACTTAGGTAGGTACGGCTTAACTAGATGTGGGGAAAGGAACTGACCGACGTGCATATAATAGACCTTCCAACCGTCTGCCTCTTCACCGTCTAATTGGGGGAAAATGAACACATGGTCGCTACATGAACGCCGTGCCATTGGAGCGCTTATACTTCAAGGTCTCAGCTGCTCAAAGATTGTATTGCACATATCGGCCACTACTTAGACCAACTGCTGTCTCCTCTGCCGGGTATCAACACGATTCTTCACCTGCTTCGAGGGACGGGTCCCCTCCCAAGGGATCGACGGCCAAATGCCTCTCGCGTCGCCGAACAACGTTTTCATCACATACAACAATCCCACCGAGCTGAAGAGCAGACAGAATCGCCGGACCGTCTCCTCTTTCGCCTCAAAGAGCTACCGCCCAACCTCGAAGCGCATCGTGCTGGACCGGACGCATTATCGTCCGTTTGTGCGACGATCCGGGGGAGAGACACCGCCACCTACAACAGGACCTAAAGCGAAAAGGAAGGTACCCCCGAGCGGCAAGCAGGACGCTGCCTCGACGGATCCAGAAGGGATGGCGTTTCCTCGAGAAGCCCAACCTCGAAACGATTGCGTACTGGGGAGCCCCATGGCGGACCCTTTCACCAGCTACCCTATCAGCTACGCACCCTACATACCCTTTCTGGTAGATTACTGTAAGTCTGAAGGGAGATCCTCATTGCCTTGGACCGGCTTCGGTGACAGCCACGTTGGAACCTTGGTACAAGACACCTGCAGCAAGTCAGGAACTCAAAGTTGGCCTCATCTATGAAGAGAAGGCACTGCTGACAGAATCTCTCGCTCTACAGTCATCCGGTTCCTCACGCCACGGTTCAGTCCTGCGCTTGCAGTCGAGACCAGCCGCTATCTCATTTGGTTCAATGTGGCGATGCAGAATCCCGAGCTGTTCCACGCTCTGATCGCCCTGAGTCAGGTGTACTACAACATCGACGTCAAGGGGTTTGGCAACACCCACTGGACGGCGTTGTATCACCGAGGTGAGGCATTGAAGCAGCTCAGGCACAAGGTTGAGACGGCCAAGAACGCAGACGATGATGCTGCCATCTTGACGGCCTTGTGGTTGATGGATGTCGATGTCAGTCGTAGCCTTTTTGCTTGTGGAGATGGACTGCAACATGCTGACAGTCTAGGTCGCGCACGATGACCTACATGCTTATGCAATGCACAAGCGGGCCAAAGAGAGAATGGTGTCGACCCGAGGTGGGATAAGGAAGCTAAGTGCCGAGCTACAAGACGAGCTGTTAAAGTTTGTGATTCTGTATCTCCTTGTCTCCTCCAGGCCGTTGGTCTAACAGATTGCCTGGCAGGAGCGAATTCTTCTTACCTCTTCTCCTGCACGGGAGGTTCGTGTGCGAACTCACCGACGACGACGACGTGCTAGTCCGATTCAGAGAAGACCGTCCCGTCAAGCCGACACAACTGGGAGGTTTCCAGGGACTGTTCTCGGTGCTAGCCAGTAAAGGTCTCATCACATCCCAGGCTGTTGTGATCCTCCAGCGGATCTTCAGGCAGCTTTCGAGGGAGCCGCAGTTCTTTCGCAGCAGCAGCAGTCAAGGTAAAGCAGGCGACGAGGACGAGGACGAGGACAAAGGCTCGCAACCGCCTGAACCCGTCGACCCAGCGTTCAACGAAATGAGCCGTGTCCTCTGCATTACCGAAGAAGCTGGACCCCAATCACTGCACCACAAGCTCCTCCTCGCCCTGCTGATCTACATCTTCAACTTCCACAACCAACCGCAACTACTACCTCCAGCGAAGACACCATCTTTCTCTTCACCGCCCTCGTCCTCGTCTTCTTCCTCCGGTGGTACAACCACCAAGACGCGCCATCCCTATCTAGAGATCTTATCGAACGTGGCCCTAGAGCTATCACAACCCAGCAACCCAGGCGACCCCAGCTCCGTCACGGAGCGCGAAGTCACGCTGTGGACCGTGGTGGCGATCGGGGCCGCGTCGAGCTTCAGCCCGTGGCGACTCGAGATCCCGTTCATGGGGCATTTGATCGAGTGGATGGAGAAGGACCGAGTTGAAGACGAGGCGATAAACACCAACAGCAGCACCAGCAACAGTAATGCAGGGCTATTTTCGGCAACAGGGGCACGGCCACCTGCAGAGACGAAGGGTCGAGAAGGCGGAAGTGAAGCCCCAACGACAACCCCGACCTCCATATCGCCCGCGCCCACAAGCGGCGGCGGCGGAAGCGCAGAAGGCAAGAATCTGGACAAACTCACGGCGAGTCTGAGAGGATATTACCTCTATGGCGCAGACAAAAAGACGCTGCGGAGTCTACAGAGATGGAGGGCCACTGAGTCGTCATCAACACCGCCACATCATCCTCACTCATGAGCATGGCATGAGCATGGATGGGTGTGCCGGGACGCGAAGCGAAGAAGGGAACACCGCATCGTGCATTTGCATCTGCATTCGGGTTTACATATGCATCCCGCCGCCATCTGTCTCCCTATCCTGGCTCACCCTGACATGATTGGCGATATTTGTCGGATCAACAGTCCAGACTGGTTGAGTTTGTACCAGTTCTAGCCCAGTATCAGGCCATCACAGCACCAGAACAGTACAAGAGCTACCCAGCGACTGACTACCCAGGCACAAGTACGTATGTGGACCAATCCCTGCTTGTACTCCCGTCCCACTACAATGACAACACAATGCGAAGAATACGCGCTCATGTCCGAAGCAAACCCCCAAAATCCACGTATGGGAGGGGAAGGGTGGCAGGTAGTATCAGTTGTGACTCATGTATGAACACACTCCACCTTCCACGCTTGTGTTTGGCGTACTCGTTCCTAAACACATGCGTATGTATATAACATGTCGTCGTGTGCTACTACTTGCTTACCGCGCAGAGAATACTCCATATATACCCGTGTCTAACGAGGGAGCAGGCATTCCAATTTACCTGATAGGCACATAGCCAGGTAGGGAGATCACAAACAAGTTAGAGAGAGAAGAGAGAGGGGTGAAAAGAAACCATTTATACAGCCTCCCCAGACAACACCACACACCAAAACCAAAAACACAATGACGCTGCACGTCCAGCCCCTCTCGCCCACCAACCCAAACGACGCTCTCTACCTCCCCGCCATCACACGGATCCATCTCGCAGCCTGGCTGACGATCCCGCTCATAAGGGCGATCTACTACGGCGCGCCCGAAGCGTATCCGGGATACCTCGACTCGATGCTGGAGCGGGACACGGAGGCGTTTCGCCACGAGGGGAATTGTCGCTTCGCCGTGGTGTTGGATGATACGTTGCCCGTTGACGAAGAAGTGAAAGCGCTCGAGGTACCGAGAGCGGCGGGAGACGACGTCCAACAACAAGGGACTCGGCGGACGGCGGCGGCGGCGGCGGCGGCGGCGGCAAAGGGAAAAGTCATTGCCGCCATCAAGTATTACTTTATCGACACTCCCTCATCATCTGCCACCACAATTGACACGGCACCCTCAGAACAAAATCCCGCTTCTTCTTCCTCCTCAACAGCAACACGAACATGGGCCCCCTATTCGCACGCCCGTCTCGCCTCGCATTTCTGGTCCCAGCTCGTCAACGCGCGGACTCGCCTCACCGCCCTCCTCGGCCCCCACGTCCTCGTGGACAACCTCTACACCGATCCCGCCCACCACCGTCGCGGCGCAGGTTCGCTACTAATGCGCCACGCATGCGAAGAGGCCGACCGGCGCGGGTTGCCGGCCATGCTTGAAGCGTCGCCCAAGGGGATCGGGGTTTACGAGTCTGTCGGGTTTCAGAGGTTCGTCCCGGCCGAAGGAGAAGAAGAAAGCGGAGCAGGGGCAGAGATATGGGTGGATCTCCGGCGGTGGGAAAATGGAGGGGATAAGGGTGTCGAGTTTTCGGAGCAGAGACTCCAAAGGGATGGTGGGAGGAGGGGGGATGGGTGGTATTGTCAGGTTCTCATGGTCAGGCCTGCTGGGACTGCAGGTGGTAGCACCAAAATCGGCCATCAGAAGGAAGTCGAAGTCGAAGTGGCCGAGATGGGAAAGGGTGAGGCAGCCGTCATCTAGCTGTAGAGAACCTGTGGTAACTCGAATGGACACCAGTACCACCCTCGCTGAGCTTCGGGACTAGACCTGGAACGTAGACTCCATCACTTCATATATGTCCCCTCAGCTCGCAATCCCGTTCGTTCTTACTGTATACAAGATGCTCTGGCCTGAAGCTGGTGGACCTATATCAAACCCCGGGTTCTGTCTGTCCATGAACGATTTGCCCATTCACAAGTGCCTTTTGTCCACTTGCATCGGGGGGATCTATTTCGCTCCTTCGCTGCTTCATGGTTTTGGGCGGAAGAGCCCATGTTCTGACCCGCATGTATCCCGGACGCACCTCAAAACATCTCCCACCAAGTACAAGCTTCCGGTGATACAGAGCTTCAAGTCCAAATTGCTACCCCCCGACTCTCTCGAGGCGATGCTGACCGCTTGTCTGATTGTGATCATCATCTTCTCGTAAGGCGTAACTTTATCATGGCCAAGGATACCTTCAATGCACTCATCAGTGAGGGCCTCAACAATCCCATTCGTGTATTTCATGGCAAGTTTCGCCAAATCAATGGCTCCCATGCTCTTCACCCATGGCATTCCATCAACAGGGCCAAAGGAACACGTCACGACATTATCGTTGGGTCTGAGGAGCTGCATGAGTATGTCGTCGGCTTTCTTGTCGTTCTTGACGGACAAGAGCCATGTCACAGGGAGATGAGGCGGGGGATTGATCCGCCGCCATTGCAGCCTCACGTATGCAGCCAGAGCTGCAGCAGATTGTGGATTGTGGGCCCCGTCGACAAGGACTTGGGCGAAGACGATATCGTCTTTATAAGTGTCGCCTTGTAAATGTCCTGTCATTTGGTCTAGATTCTGTGGCACCAGTTCAGGCGGAAGAACGAGCCATTGCAGTCGTCCAGGAAGAGACGATTGTGCCTGGGGGACGAGTATTTCGAGAGATTGCTTCACTGCTTCAGAGCGCCTTCGATCTGTAGAGACAAGGTAATCCCTGGGAAAAATCAACGGTGCTGGTGTCTGTTCCGTGGGGAGGTCCTGTCTACCTGCGTACAACTCACTGAGACGTGCGTCCGCTAATCGAAGGCAGGAGAAAGCGACGTATAGGTTCTGGCCCTGATGCTGCGCCAGGCCCAAACGGAAAATGACCTCTCCAAACTCGCGTCTTCTTTCCTCGACAGAAATATAGACACCTTCTGTTCCGTTTTCTCCCCACCCCAGATCTTTCAATCTGCTTTCAGCCACGTCGAGGACGTTTCTGAGATTGCTCTGGTCAAGGACGACAGGCACTCCTGGCTTGAAGATTCCGACCTTTTCCCTTGTAACAGCTTCGAGCGAGTCGCCCAAGAAGTCGGTATGATCCAGCCCAACCTTGGTCAAGACACTGGCCACCACATCCTCAGGTCTCAGGACATTGGTTGCATCAAGCCGACCGCCGAGCCCACATTCGATGACGGCAACATCTACCTTGGCATCCGTGAATATCTGGAAAGCCGTGGCCGTGAGGATCTCAAACTCGGATGCATCGATGTTTTCCCTGGCGCTCCGGTCGCGGAAGTGTTGCTCGACCTGGAGGTATAGATCTCGTTCGACAACCCTCTTATTGAGGGTGATGCAGTCCCATCGGTCGATGAGGTGAGGAGAGGTAAATCGCCCAACTCGGTACCCCAAGTGACCAAGGAACGTGGTGACCAGGGCGGCGACGCTGCCTTTGCCATTCGTCCCAGCGATGTGGACCGCTTTCCAGGGTAGGGTAGGATACGCGCTGAAAAGCGGGTTGAGCAACTGGGTGATCCGTTTAAGACCGAGGTTGATCATGCTGGCGAAATACAGAGGTTGTGAATGAGCGACACACAGCGGGTCCAAGCGACCAAGATGGGGATGGTGTCAGAAGTAGAATGGATGAATTTATTGATATATGAAGAAATGCAAAATGCGAAGAAATGACTCGTCGTACCCGTATCGTGTGCGTAAGACTGTGTGTCGGAAACTATCATAATGTAGACGTGTGGCTACAAGCAAATAAATGAGAGAGGAGAAAGAGGAAAAGGAAAGGCGAGAAGTCTTTGACAGAGCCACACAGTGCGAGACAGAAGTTGCGATGCTTGAAGCTGAAGACGAAGTCGCAACCCAGGGCCTTGTGGTAAGCGTGAGTGGCCAATAAAATTCCTGCTCGTCCCGTGACGAGGCTGAGAATCTGCGTTGGTGGTAATTCGGAGGAGACTGCCAAACTGCTTCAATCACAACCACCATCATTATTGATATGGAATACTTGATGTCCTATCCTTCACTCTAAGAGTGTCCAGCGCCTCGCTAACATCAATTAGCCAACAGACTGTCCGAGCCCTCCCAGACCCATTACGTCTGTTAGTCCAACTGTACTTACTCACTCGTCGAGACCCAAGTGTCGCCGTATAGATAAATACCGCTCATACCCAAACAGCTTCAATTCTACCCTCATGAAGTTCACCCACGCCCGTAACAGCCTCCAAAAGTTATGCGGACGGAAGAAACTCCCCCTCCGTCGAATCATATCCTTTTCGTCCTGCCAGACAGTCCAACTCGCGTACTTGGCCAAAATGAGCATTGGTCTCATCGGCTGAGTCGATCCCAGCGCCTCATCTAGACTTCTCGTGAGATCGTTCGTCTTCAGTATGAGAAGGATGATGCGCGGCACATGGCCCAGCAGCTGCACGAGTTGCGCAAGGAGGTCTTCGCCAAACACCTCGCCAATCGCTTCCTTCTCAACGTCGTTTCGTATTGAAGTGGTAATCTCTTTGCGAGTCAGCACCCGATAGTCACGGCCCGTGATGGCGGAGGCAAACAAGGGAAACTCTTTTTCACCAATCCCTGCGACCTCGTAGGCGTACTTCCGCATTTTCTCTTCATTTGCATCGATGACCGCGAGCCACAGCTTCGCATAGTCCCTCCTCAACTTGTCATCTGGCATCCGATAGAGCCCATGGTCGTAGAGGATGACGTCGAAATTATAAGGATACCTTCGCTTGGGATTGTGACGAATGGCGATATTTCCTGCGTGTGGATCACAATGCAACGGGGCGCCTTTCGAAAAAATCATGACGTTGAAGATCCGTGCCAGCGTCGCCGACACTTCGGCCCGCGAGATGTTGTGCTCTTTGAAGTAAGGTAGATCATCCACCCTGGCTCCCCTAACATAGTCCATGACCAGAATCCTTTTGTTGGCCGATATCACCAGCGGTATGACGAGTGGGAACCGGGTATGTCGTTCGAAGTACTGCTTCGCATACATTGCGTTCTGCCCTTCCAGCCTGAAATCTAGCTCTTGCGGCAGAGAGAAGTCCATCTCATTACTCAACCACTCCAAGTCGTAGTCGGGGAATGCTCTCTTCAACGTGCGGAAGGTGAATCTTGTCAGGGCCAGATCCAGTGGCACCCACTCTTCGAGGCTGGGATGTTGCACCTTGACCGCCACCCTCTGACCTGTATCCTTCATCACGGCCAAGTGCACCTGCGCCAATGACGCTGCACCAATCGGCTCTCTCGTGAAGTCGTCAAAGTGGTCTTCTATTCGATGGCCCGTGTCTCTGAGGTACATCTCTTCAATGGATTCGTAGGATGAGACGGGGCATTTGTCCTGCAAGGGGATGAAGGTCTCGGTATACTCGGTAGGAAGCAGATATCCCATGGACGAGATGTGTTGGCCCAGCTTTATGAAAATTGACCCATTGGCCTCCATGGCTTTCAGCGCTCGGTCGGCACATCGTTTGTGGCAAGCCTTGAGACTTCTGGTGCGCTCTTCCGGGTCGTCGTGCTGTTCGTTGAGCGTTACACGGTAGCTTGTTCCTGTTAGTCTTTCGTCTGAGAGCCGTGGAGAAAGAAGGAGTCGCCATACTCATTTATACACACCGCCAACGTAGTAACCACCCTTCCGGTCCTCTCTGCAGCGAGCCAGCCATGCTTGATGTCGTCCCCAAAAAATAGTAGACCTGCACCTGTAGATCCACCTGCGGCCGCCCAATACGCAGCCTGGCGCGGCCTCACTAGCTTGACCGGTCTTTGACGAGAGGTGAAGCCCCTGCGTGGTTTGTCGAATGGGTTCTGTAGATGCTTGCAGCGAGGACACGTCCAGGTGGCACGGCCTCTGAGGAAGGCGAGGACGCTTTTGTTGGTTCGCATGAGCGAAATGTGTGGAAGACTACTGACTCGACATAGACGGCAGGATATTGTGGCTTTCGAGCAATAATCGATGCAAGGCAGAGGTCTAATCTCTGGGAACGATGAAGGCCCGTCAAGCTCAGGACCAAGAACGATTGATTGCTCGTGGCATCTGATGATCAGAATTCGGAGGATCGAATCACCGATCACACGACGGCAAAGACGAAGACGAACGAGAAATTTGCGGAGTCGCGTGGAAAGCATGACGTACCCAGCACATGGTTTTTTTCCATCCTTGGGTGGCTTCCAGCATCCTTCTTCCACCAACAATACCTCAAGCAGGCTTGACGAATTGCATGGATTGAGAATAGTATGCGGGCGACGAGTTCTACTGGTTGTTGTGAACGAAGATACCTACATACAGCTTCATGCCCCCCCGTCCTCTAACTTTTCCAACAGCTCTCTGACCAACGTTCTCTTCCCTTCCAGTCTGATCCTCCCCACCATCGCCGGGCGTCGCATGTGTAGATACTCGCTCAAAAAGCTCTTCGTCTGAATCCTCACCCTCTCCCTCCCTTCGTACCCCATCTGCTTGTATAGCAGCTCGCCCTCCGGAGAAGCTTCAATCCAACAGGGCAGCATCAGCGTGTCGGCGACATCATTTCCCCACTGCATCATCATCCGGCCGCACCCTTTGCCCTGATAGTCTGGGTCTGTGAAGAGCAAGAAACAGAGGACGTGACCTTCTGTGCATTCGCGACGGCGGCGAGTGAGGAAGTCCTCCATCAAGAACGCGGCATCAGCTTGCTCCTGCTCGGTTTCGAGGTACGAAAAGGCAGGTTCTTTCGCGCCATTCGTTTGACTTTCGTTCTTCGTTGATTCTTGCTGCTCCTTGGGGGTCACGTAGGTGGGGAAGATCTTCCAATTACTCGCACATACGATTCTTTTCCTCCGCTCCGTCGCAATTGCGTTGCCCTGTTCGTCAAGCACATTCACATCGACCTCGGCGTCCAGATCCTCGATCTTGAGAAACACATCTGCAGGGTCATTCTGCAAGCCGTTCAGGAGCGTCCTCTTCGAGTATGCATAACTTGCAGGAGACTTTCGCCCGAAGAAAACATTGGCCAGCTCGATCTTGCGAAATGACTCGAACATCATGGGGACGATGGCGTCGAGGTCCCGCGGCTCGAGGCGCGAGAGAACGAGATGCATTGTTGGTGGATTGATTGTCTTTGGGTATATGCAAGACTTGTTGGTTGTAACTGTTATTGTTGGGACGCTGATGCTTTTGTTGCTTGTTTGATCGAGTCAAGCATCCACACAATTGTATTATCTTGGGAGAATCGATGCCTTCACCGCTAAGAGATTGTGAGCTTACGCAGTCGCACGGTGTCCCCCCTGTGAGACAGATCCGTTTTCTGTATTGCCTCCCTCGATGACGAGCACAAAAGTTGCTCACGATGGCAACGGAATAGCAGCGCACACCGCAACCCTTAAAGATATCCTGCTGCCTGTGTAGCCACCGGACAAGTGCTTACCTGAAACACTGGTCTGCGTGCAGAAAGTGTGAGTTGCCATATGCGGCAACGTTGGGCATGCAAAGCCACAGGGGACGGGGTAAAAAGCATAAGGACGGAAGAGTGTCGACGCCACAGAGGCACAGCAGCATAGTTGCCAGTAGCAGCTCAGACGTGACAATGCACACACGGAGAGAAAGAGAGGCAAGAGAGGCAAAAGGCACACACTCCAGAGAGATTCTTGTATACCTGGTAGGTACGTTGCCCCTCGGCCTGTCAGCAAGGATCCCTCGAGCCCCTTCAAAAGTTGGGTTCGTCCCGATCATGGTGCGGCGATACGCGCTGTAGATCCGCACATCAAAGCTTGGGTTGAACCTCCTCTCTCCTCTCTTGCTTAAATCAACAGTTCAGTTATCGTTTCTCACATCCACGCAGCGGGTTAGTCAACACCATTGAAATCAAATAAGAGGATATTTCAACGGAAAATGAGGTTGCAAATTCTTTGCATTGGATCGCCTCTCCTATGAAGGCTTTGCTGCCATGATGAGGCCCATAATGGTATGTACCGTTTTCTCTAGTTGTCTGTCTGCATCCAAACCAGAGCGCCTTCAAATGCCCCTTAAAAAAAATACCAGCCATATCGGCGCAAAGGGCCAATACGGTGGTGATCAAGAAGATAAAAACCCTGTTTCCTATTCTCGCCTTCTGCACCGTGGCTAACTAAAATGGGTCGAGCCATATGCTTTTTGTCTTTCATAATTTTCGTTACAATTTCGTCACGCTCGAAACTTAAAGCAGTGTCTGGAGCAACGTCGCTTGTGGCGTTCTCTGTTTACCACTGATGTTGATGTTTTGACGAACAAGCTTCCCGGAAGCACTTTGATTGCGAATTTCGATTGTCGACATGTCAAAAGTCTCTGCACGTGCTTGCTCGGCAAACAGGTGCAAGAGCTCCGTGTGGCGGGTCCGATGAAGGAGTGACATGGTGAGACTCTAGTTCAACCACCATTGGATACCGCTCACACGGCCATTACCGGTGCCGTCGGTGATGGCGTTGAAAAGGATATCAGTGCAGTCAATGGCTCGATCGACGCAGCCCATGCACTTGTCGCCCACGGTGGCCTGGACTGTGGTGCCCGAAGTGGGGTTGTACAAGGTGACCGAGCGACCGCAGTATGGGTTGTCGTTGGACTCGGTTCCCATGAATTCGTAGGGAAGAGCAATCTCATAATCGCTGTTGGTATCGACGTTCCATCCACATGCGCCAAGACCACCATCCCAGTGGGTCACGTCACCCTCGCACGCATCTCCCGAACCCTCGCAGGTACCATCAGTCCCGACCGTGTCCTTAGGTTGAACATTGACCATGGACGGGGCAGCAGAAGAGGAGGGAGCCGGAGCAGATGACGAAGAGGACGGGGCAGGAGCAACAGCCGGAACGACAGCGGGAGAAGTGGCTGGAGAAGCAGCCGGAGCCGGAGCAGAGGACCACGATGAGGACGATGACGGGGCTTCCACGGGAACAACAGCAGCGGTTGCGAGGGTGGATGGAGAATAAGTTGCCGCGGCGAAGACTGCTGCTGGAACAGTGGTGGTAGTGCTGGCAGCAGGAGCAGGAGCCGGAGTAGGATCAGAGGGGTCGACCCAGACGGTGGTGGTTTCTTCGACAGTTACCCACACGATGTCGGTCACGGTGTTGGTATAGATGGCGCGTTTATCGAGCATGGGAACAGCCGCGACCAAAGAAGTCAGCAGCGAAGCCGCGAGGACGATTTGCTTGAGTCCGGCCATTGCGACAGGAGGATGTTTTGAAGTCGATAAGGTTGACTGGAGATCTGGCTCGACAGTGGAGAAAAGGAGTGCCTTTTGGAAGAGCGCTGGTGTTGGAGAGGGGAAGTATCTGGACGACTCTCTCGAGAAAGGCCTGGATATCTTGGTTCTCTGAAAAGAGTGTTGAGCGCTGAGGTGATACTGTCACCGGTGACAAGCCTGTGTCAGGGAAGTAAAGGACTGGTGTTGGAAGAGGGACTAGCCCGTGGTGAATGGTTCAAAGGAAAGGCGGTTCAAAGGATTGGAAGGAGGGAAAGATATTTCCAAGACCAGGGGAGGGAACAAAGAGGGACTGGGTAGATAAAGAGAAAAGACAAATGAGTGACAGGGGAATCGAGAGAAGAGATTTTTTGTTGGTGGGAGCGAATCCTCTTCTGGAGCAAGAAAGAAAAAGCGAGCGATGAACGAGAGAGAGGCAAGAAAGAGTTGTTGGAGAGTGAAGAGAGTCCAGAAAGGTTGCTGTTCAAGTCGTCACCATGCAGCGGGACCCAGACCTTTACAAGATTCCCCATCAGGAGTGAGCAAGGGGGAAAGCCGTTATTGGCCCATCCCTTGATCTAGCATCTGGCCGCCGGCAAGCCCTTTGTTGATGTTTTCCCCCCATCTCCTTGCATTTCCTTTGTGTGTTTGCTAGTCGCCGAGAGCGAGGATCGCGGGTTGGGGACTGCGGACTGCGGACTGGGGACTGCGGGTCGTGGGCCGTGATGAAGACTGCGGTGCTGTAAAGTGCCACTCTGATACAGGGGAGCAGTGGGTGGCATTGACAAGAGCAGGCAAGAGCAAGGCCGGAGCACACCAGGCTGGATACCCTCTGTATGATCCTAGAGGTGCTTGGGTGGTGCTGGAGGCTACTGCTGGGTGACTGTAGGGCCGTGGGAAATTCGGGAGAAACGCCAGGACCTGTCGACCCACTGGGCCCACTGCTCTCCCTCCCTCTCCCTCTCCCTCTCCGAACACAAAGAAGCTTTCAATTATTGTTGTTCGCTCTCGTAGGTGGCGCCCGTTCGAAACGACAGGCCCCTCACCCCCTTCGGTTGAAGCCCAAGAGACCCAGGGGAGACCTACCTAGCTAGGTACCTAGGGTGACCCAGGGACGCCCCTGCTCCCTTTAGGCTTTATGCGCAACCCCCCGTCCCCCAACTGGGCGCCGTCTCGTGCCCCGATTCGCCGCCTGGAAAACGTGTCTTCAGGTACAGCCGAGCCTAGTCCCCAACAGGCCAAGCCGTGATGACATGTTCCCCTGGTCCCTGCCTGTGGGTGCCTGTGGGTGCCTGTGCCTGGCCATTTGCCCTTTTGCTGCCTGGGATCTTCTTTCGCTTGTCAAGCCTCCCGTGGGCCGGCAGACTCTGCAGACTTTGCAGACTCTGCACCCCTGGACCCATGAGCAGCACTGCGCACTCAAATCCCCTCTTACAGCCAGCAATCGTGTTTCAGACCGACGCCTTTTGGGCCATGAAGAGCTGCATTTGTCCTCCTTAAATATCTCCTGTTTCCTGCAACTCGAAAGGAGATGCGTCCACGTCGCCAGCCAGCAAACTTGCTGCCACGCGGCCACTCGCCCACTCGCAGTTTCCAGCGTGATGCGCCGGGACGAGACTGCATCGATTCCTGTCCTTTTTAGCCGATGTTCGATTCGCTAACGGACTTCAACGAGGACACACTACGGAAGCGCTGCCCGCATCGAAAAGAAGAAGAAAAATATTCCAATGCGACTTCAAGATGGCGACAGAGTGGGAACTCTCCCAAGGTACGGCAAATGGCCTTTCAATGGCGGTATGCAGGAACCGCAGCCACTTGCGCAGAGAAAATCCTTTTTGCCTAGCCAGGTACTACTGTATAGGCTTCCGCCCTCGGGACATGCTCACGTCCTGCATCCTGCGTCCCCACCAGCATCCGGACTCCATTCAGCGCGCGGCTGCCAAATGCCAACTGCATTTCTGAGCATTGCTGCTTTGGTCCTGCAGCTGCCCGTGGCGCCGAGTCAAAAGCAACCTGAAGTGCCGTTTTGACGGGTTGAACCCGGGTCTGTTGGGCGGGCCCCCATCCAATACGATGCCCGTTGACTCGAAACCGAGCCGAGTCTGAGAAAAATCCAAAACTCTCCCGAATAGCTGGATTTTCCACGTGCTGACTAGGTATCTGAACTAACCTCTGGCGGGAAGTTCGCTCTTCCCATGTCAACCAGCATGCGCAGTGCCTAGAACGACTACACAATTTTTCATCACGCCTATCAATGTCGCTATAAACCCGAGTACCCTTGGTACATGTTCGTCAGTGCCGGCTCCGGTTTGTTCAGACGTCGCCCTACCATTCGCTCGGTCGCCTCCGTGATGGATTCGTTGGAATCCCCACCTCGATGGAGTCGATATCCACGGAAATGTCAAGGAGGTATGTAGACTCTGGCGCGATCGTTGCTGCTGTTCTGTATCCTACGCAGCCTCAACAGTATGCGCTTGCTTTCCATCCTCCCAAGCCTCTCACGCCACAGTGCATTTCTCTTTTTCCTTTTGTCGACACTATGATCAGGGTCGGGATGCGTTAGCCGAATCAGAAGTGATGGCTCTACAGCGTGAGCGATGCCTTAATCCTAACAGCAGATGTGCCATTTTTCCATTGCACTGCAGGGCCTTGCCGTTTTGATAAGACTCTTCCTCGGCAGAAGAGGGCGTGCACCTTCAAACCCTCGGGATTCGAGCTGCATGGGGTTGCTGAACTGCGTCATGGCAGAAGAATCAGGATTCAGAAACCTGCTTTCTCACGCTGATCTCCTGCGAACGGAGTTTCGGTCGTTATGGATTGGAGGACAGTCTTGTCCATCAGACAGCTCTTCTTGAGACTTCGCCACTCACCGGGGCAAGCCTCGGGGGTCTTGGACCGCAACTGTTGTCGTACGCGGCGAGGGAATGATGCGATGAGACCCGGTAGGCGAGCTTCATAGATGGTGAGGAGAGCTTTTGTTACAAGACCAATGGTAAGCACCGTAGCGGTCAGCTGAGACCAACTCAGGACTGTCGGCATTGCAGGGAAGTTGACTATACAAGTTGATTGCGATGTGGTGGAGTTCTCAAGAATCAGACCTGCAGAAGTGGAAGAAGAAGAGCGAGGAATGCGAGTTAGACGATAGACACACACTCTCTCTCTTCTCCCCGAGGAAAATGCTCTTTGTCGACTGGACCGCCTTGGCCGCGTAAGGGCATTTGTAGTGTCCCAACGCATTGCTGCTGCTGCTCCTCGCAGCTGTGAACTGCAGCGACTTCCCTTGCCTGCCACGATGTGATAATCACGAGCGGCTAGTATAATGAATGTACGCCATGACCAAACGAGCATTCGCACCCTAAAGCAGGGGCGCCATCTCTTCCGCCTGCGTATGACTCGGCGAATATGCGAAGAGACCTGGGAAGGGTACTACGTTATTATAGTATGGAATGGATCGATCCAGTTTTACGTCGCGTCGCTGTCCCACTATAGCTCACACACAGGTCATCAGCGTATATATGTATATGTATGTATATATGTATATGTATGTATATATGTATATGTATGTATATATGTATATGTATGTATATATGTATATGTATGTATAGACATATATATATACAGGTAGATAAAGAGAGAGAGAGAGAGTAGCAAGCACTAATTGTCTCCTATCTATATTGCATGCACTGCACCTTCACCTTTAGGTTATTTATTGGTTATGTCATCTACACATTATTTGACTTGGACTTCCCAAAGCATTTGACTACCAGCTGCCAGCTGCCTAGGAAGGTAGGAAGGAAGGAACATTGCGATACGGATTCCGAGTTGAGCTGATGAGTTGAAAGTGAACCCGAACCTGAACATGTACATGATAGAAGTGATGCGTTTCGTTCATACCTAGATGGTCTCGGGGAAGAAGGTTGAACACTTTGAACAGACATGGCACCCCATGGTATAGTAGTAAGAAAGTGGTTTGCATTGCCGCTGTCAAACGGATTTTGTAACTCTGGACCTCCATGCAGAATATCGAGGTAGTCAGACCAATACCACGCATACTATAAGCGTCCGACCCACCAGCAAACAAGCCCGCTTGAACGCAGCAAAGAAATGCACTGTGGTGAAAACCAAGACACAATACCCACCCTAACTCTCCGGGAGGAGCCGTGTTTATATCTTCCTCATCATCGCGTGATAGTCATCGAGACCATCGTCCAGGCCTTGCTCCTCCCAGGCCGGCCCGTGTCGACCACTGATCGTATCTGTTTCATGATCGTTCGCGTGGCCTGTGACCGAAGAGCCCGTGTATCTACGATCCCTGGAATCGAGCTGACCACTAGAACCGCTGCTGGCACTGGCTTCCGACGCGTCTTCATCCGGGGGCCACGGAGCCAGTTCTGCAACATGACCTTTGGATTGTTGCTGTTGTTGGACCGGCACAGGTTTGGGGAAGCTATTCTTCTCATCCGCAAAGTCCATCGTAAGCACTGCAGAGGTTGGCGTCTCTACCAGGTTCCCGCTTTGCCGTTCAATGTGTTCCACAGAAGGCGACTCCGACCGCGGTTTCCGTTTTCGTCGTGCAATGATGCCCGGTAGACCAAAATGCTGTAGCTTTTCGTCTTCTTCACTTCTTGGGATTTGCTGGTTTGGGGTACTTTCTGCACGTCGTTTGGACCGATTGCCGTGGACGGGATCGACTTGTATTCGGGCCTGCGGCACCAAATTCAGGTAGAGTGGGAACAACGTTCCAAACACAGCAACAGCCAACGGGACACAGTAAGAGTATCTTAGGTCGGATCCTTTGGCAACCGCCCACTGAACAGGTGGGAAGACTGCTCCACCAGATATTGCAGCCGTGATAAGTGCAGACCCGGCCTTTGTATGCCTGCCAAGTCCACGCATTGCGATGGCGAAGATGATGGAGAAAATGCCGGCCTCGAAGAAAAAGGTGAGCATCCCAATGGTGGCCGCAGCATCTCCACCCAGATGCATATTAAGAGCCAAACAGACAATGAGGCCCACATAGAGGCCCATCAAAATCCACCGGGGCTTCAGTACGTAGTTGAGAAAAGCGGCCACAAATCGTCCAACTGCAAAGACGGTGTGGCCCACAGTCTGGAAGTCGAATGGATGGAGATTTGAAGCCGGCTTCACGGCCACAATCAGCCCCTGTATATTGTTCCCGACACATTCTTGCGCACCAACATAGCACCATTGGCTGAAGACGGCGAGCCCAAGCGTCACATATACCACCTTCCACGGGCCAATTTTGGCAGCGTACGCTCCATGACGCTGATCAGCGAGCTCCTCCAACTGTTCGTCGGAAGCTTCGGGAAGCGGAACATAGTAAAAGACAACAGCCAATGCGAAGACAAACAAAGCGATGCCTAGATATGTCCATTGCACATCCACCAGAGAAGGGGCATTGTGCACACTTTTGAACAAAACCTTTGTCGCCAGAAGCGGTGAACAGACTGTGCCGATGGCTTGGAAGGCTTGCGACAAGTTCAATCTGACCTCAGCATACTCAAGCGGTCCGCAAAGAGCGATATAAGGATTGGCCGCAATTTCCAAGCACGAAAGGCCAAACCCGACAATGCAGTTGGAGACCACAAATGCTGAGTATGAAAGTAAGACTGCCGACGGCCAGAAAACCAGGGTCCCGCACCCATAGACAGCCAAGCCTACAATCATAACCGCTTTGAAGCCATATCGTTGGAAGATGAAGTGACCTAGCGTCAAGGGCCCCGCGAAATAGCCCCCGTAGTATGCCGCGTGGAGACCCAAAGCCTTGCCTGGCGAGACTTTAGCCGCAGCCTGAAACTGCGAATTGAGAGTGTCCAGGAGCCCATAGGCGAATCCCCAGAGGAAAAAGATAATTGTGACCACTGCAATCGGCCAAGCACTTTGTCGATTGGAAAGTCTCAACATATTTCGTTTTCCTGACATGTTCACGAATCCGAAATCTGAGACGGCGCTTTTGTCTGTTGCTCTTCGCGAGAGTTTCCCGGCGTTTGACAACGAAGGTCCGGTATGTTCTTCCTTGCTGGGCTCAGCCAGGAAATTCAGGAATCCCATCTTGTCACCCTCCTCATCTCCATAGTATTCCTTGACAATAGGTCTTCTGAAAGCAGCCGGGTTGTTGAGCATTGACACATTGCCTCTGGGCAAATCAGGTCGTGGACCGCTTTCATTCGCTTTGCCCAGGTCAATGCTGTTGCCGGACGTCAGCTCGTCCCCGGCATCTCTGATAAAGCTCGGCAGGAAGCGAGCAAACAAAGGCTTCAAACTGGGCACGCATGCGCAGATGATGCCGATGCAGACTTCAACGGCCGACCACATGAAGCTCAGACTTGCATACCAGGAAAAGTCATTTTCTTCGACGATGCGACTTGGGCTCCCACCTGTGCCATCCACAACCTTTAGACGATTGAGCGAAGCCTGCTGCAGGTATGCAATGCGAACGACGTCGACAACTGCGACAAAGGCACCAAAGGAGAAAGTTGCAATCAAGATGATCTTTTGTTTCCGAGGCAATCGCATTCCGGTCAAGATTGGCATTGGAAGGAACAGAAGAGCGATATCAGTGATGATGTTGAGAGGGGCCGAAGAGAGATACAGTGTGACGATGTCGGTGCAACGGGCATTTTCGGGTGTGGGATAGAGGTAGCCCGCTGCGACTGGCGAACACTGGAATATATTGAAAAAGGTGAGAGCAGTTCCGGCAATGTTGACCACGGCAAGAGTCAACCAGTTGCACCACTTGAAGACGGGATCGACGTCCTTGCTCATAACTGACAGGAAGAAGACGATGATGGAGGTTTTGGTCAGCATGAGCGAAGGGTTGTAGAGGATGGCAAAGGCATATTCAGCCTTCCGTAGCGCACTGAATGCGTCGTCGGGAATGTCTTGCTTGTGTTTCCCAAGGCCAAATCTGACGGCTACGCATATCGACGTCGAAAATCCCACAGCCAAGATCCATGCTGCCAGAATCCACCAGTCGTCTTGTTTGATAGATCTGATCAGCCACGCCCGGGTGTAAAAGCGAGCCGCGACAAAAACCGTGGCCAAAACCGTTATGACAATAGTGACGGCCGAAGTGGCCGGACCTCTGTCTGGAACCATGGACAGGGCAGCGGTCGCTGTTCGACCACGCAATCAATGATGGGTCGGTCGCACTGTGAACCTTGCAAGCACGCTTGATTCGAGCCCGTCATAATCGCAAAAAAGCTCTTCGAGGGACAGAAAAGCCCTGCGACATAATCCTCATCGGCGTCGGGTCGATAACAGAGACCATATCGAGCAGCCAAATGTCCAGACGTATGAAGATGAAGTTGAAAGAGCGCAGGAAGCTAGAGAGATTGTTTGGCTTCTGCCACACGGCATTGCAGATCATGGGCTCATGACCGCCACTCCATCCCGCCCTATGAGGCGGGCCAGCCATTCTTTGCGGAGGGGAAGGAGGGTGGGAAGCCGCCAAAGACATTTCGCCGTCGGGCTGGTCATGGTGGTAAGGAAGGGGTGGAAGAATGACCGACCACGCACGGGATTGGAGCATTCCTCAGCTCCCTCGTTCAAACACCGACAGGGCAACGGCAAGCGGTAGGCCAGAGGGAGGAGGCATGGAGATCTTGTTCGGTTGGGTGTTTTCGCGCCCTTTTCCGTTTGGTGGATGGAGGGTCGAACACGAGAGACTACCTAGGATGGTGACGAGCAGGCTGCAATTGCGGGGAAGTTGACTCGGCGGTTGGATTTAATTAGTGCAAGGTCAGATGTTCTCCAGGCATTGTTCCAGGGGAGCCCCGGCCACCCCCGGCCACCCCCGGCTGCCTGGCGAGCTTTACGAGCCCCAAAGGTCCCTATTTCTCCGCGTCCGGAGAAATTCAACTCAACAAGCAACCACCGTGGCACAAGAACCTTTTCCCAAGCGACTCGTGAGTCACCAAAGCACTCCTCTGGCATCGCAGTTTATTTTGATGACCAGATTATGGGAAGACCAAACAGGCAATGGCTGATATAAGAGAGTTGGGTATCACATTCACTAACTTTTCACCGTCACATCCACCAGAGTTCCAGTAGTAGATCCTCTAGGAGTCCGGGCCGTCATGTGGGAGTGGGTGCCATGACCTCTCAGCAGCACATAGATGCCAGTCTACCTTTGACCCCTGTACGAATCTCCTCGCACACCCGCACCCAGCTGGTGCTCGGGACCGGACACAATCGGTACGTAGGGCAAATCATCGCTACCCGTATGTACCAAGTCCTCGTTCTGTTCAGCCTCGCCAGTTCCGGCCTCTCTCTTCTTGCTGATATGTCTCCCACCACTCTTGAGGCGCAGCTTGTCCGCGGTGATAAGTTCCTCGCCCCTTGGCGGAGTCCATTTGCTGCTCTTCCAAGGCTTGATCTCGAGGAGGAACATAGTGTCAATCTCTTCCAAGGAGCGACCTGACGTCTCGGGCAAGCAGAAGTAGACAAAGAAAACAGCAAACAGATTGCATCCAGCAAAGACATATCCATATGCATAATTGATGTCGCCTGTGATGAAAGGCGTGAAGAAGGCGATGAGGCTGTAAAGTCGTTAGCAAAGATACTCGATAGAATAGTTCTGGCATAGGACGCACAAGTTGAAAAGCCAGTTGCTAGCGGCGCAAAGAGCAATGCACTGCGAGCGATATCGCGAGGGGTAGATCTCAGCGGTCACAGCCCAAGCCATCTATGAAAGATTGTTAGCTTACGTGGGCCTGCACAGATCAAAGATAGCAAGAGGTTCCACAGCTGGATCATCCCAGGAGACGAGTACTCACCGGGCCCCATGTGGAGGCAAACGCCGCAATAAAAAGACAGGAGAAAATGATCATCACGTAGCCGATCGTCTGGTTATTTGTACCATCGTTGTCCTGAAGGGCAAATTGACCCAAAGAAGCAAAGATCATGAAACACATAAACATCCAGGCGGCTCCTATCATGAGGCATTTGCGGCGTCCGAACTTTTCGACAAAGTAAAGTCCGGGGAAAGTCGTGCCAACATTGACGGCGCCTGTGGTTTGGTTAGCAAGACGGAACCCGCAAATAGTGGGTGTTGGGCTTACCAAGGATGATCTGGGTAACATAAGAGTTCGACAGACCCACGGACGCGAAGACCGTCGTCCCATAATAGAAGAAGTAGTTGGCACCGGTGAGCTGCTGCAGGGCCTGGATGATACACCCCAAGATGACCCGGTAGAGCATCCTCGGACCTGTGAAGATCTCCCAGATCGGATGATCTCCACCCTCGATTTCCATTTGCAGCTTTTCTTGCATTTCCACCAGCTGCTCTTTGACTACCCGGTGCCTTTCGGACACTCCATGGAACTTGGCAATGCTTGTGGTGGCAGGATCAATCCTATCATTGCGATAGTCGTGACGGGGAGTTTCTGGGAAGAACAAAATACCAACCCCCAAGACTATCGCAAACAGAAAGCCGATACCCATGGGGATCCGCCACGACGCTGTGTTGTTGATGGTTTCAGTTCCGAAGTTGATCAAATTTGCGATAAGGATACCGATGGTGATGAAAAGCTTGAGGTCGCCTGTTAGCACACATTGATAAACGTTTCCAGGATTCAACACAGTACCTGATAACAACACACAATAGCTCCGCGCACGTGGCGAGGGCTACTTTCTCCTTGGTATGCCGGAACCATCACTGAGAGACCTCCAATGGCCAGTCCAGCGATGATACGGCCAATCATGACTTCGTACCAATGACCTGAGCTTGAGCCGATCTGCACAGCAACGCCAATGCAGAAGATTATTGTCCAGAAGCAAATCGAATATTTACGACCAATGGCCGGGATGTTGGCAACTGGGCCGGAAACCAGAGCACCTATCAGAGTGCCGATAGACAACTATTCTCTCGTCAACATTGGAAGAGTAGGAAATGGATGGTCGCAATGCTCACCATGCCAACTATCAACCCCGATCGAACATTGCTGAAGCCTAGGGGATTTTTTTGGTCTGCAAAATTACGAAGAAAATCTTGCATTTCCAAAAAGCCCGAAATCTGGCCGGTGTCATAACCAAAGCAGAGGCCTCCAAACGAGACCAGGACGGCCATGAAGAAAGTCCTCAAGGTGAGGAACGGCACCTTGGATTCATCGTCAAAAGGACCCTTTTCTGTCTCGACGTCGACGGTATCTCCATTCTGAGTGAATGAAGACCGTACCGAGTCTCCACGTCGAGAAGTCGAGGGGTTCTTCTGGAAGAACCGTTTGATCGCCATGAACGATAGGGATAAGCTATTATTGGGGGCCTCTGGTGTAGTTCTGGCCTAGCACATATGCGGTAGAAGGTTTCGTCGACAGAAATGAAGCCCCTTACCTTATGTACCAAGACGAAGGCAATGTTCTCAGTCTTGGGCGCGAGAAGCCAACGTCATTACTAGCCGGACGTTGTGGCATGGTAGCATTGGCGGCAAAGCTTGGGGGTCCAGGAACAGCGGTAGCAGACTTGTGTTTGAGAAGCCCACCGTGGTCCACACAGCGTGACAGCCCAACCATGGCCAGAGATTCACAGATTCTGCAACTTCGACGTCATGCGTGCGAAAGCCTTGCCAGACACGTGCACCACAAGGCTTTGAATTTTGCCTCCACCACCACCCCGAGGAGGCAAAAGTCGGATTCTCGAGGTGCGCGGCATCTGTGTGGTTGCTCTTGTATAGAAGCCTGGTTCTCTTTCTTTTGGTCTGGTCTTCACATTATCTGTTGGCGGTAACAATCAGGAACACATGCCATCCCACGACCATTGAGAACTTGCTCGGACCTTGTCGAGCTGGAAGAAAATTCCTGTGTGGGAACTTACACGGTTTTGGTGACGGGTCGATGACGTCGCTGACACATAGAATCTGGCAGGCCAACGCGATTGAGATCCACTTTCTTGGGCATCAGGATCGCAATTTGCCGTCCACCGCTTCAGCAGCTCAATCATTGTTCGCAGTATCTGATCGACAGGGCTATGCTCGTCTGATGATCTACACTCCAACACTCCAAGCGCCGGAGCCTCATCGCAATTCGTAGCCGGGTGAAGCCGAAGCTTATCGTTCCACCACAGCACAACACACAGGATCTGTGGTCGATGGAAGAGCTGAATATCATTGCCCAAGCAGCAACATGTGCCATTGACCATTGGTGCCTGTGGGTAGCATGAGGGATGTTGGAATCCATTTCCACTCCATAGCGACCTCCCGTAGGTAGAAGGTCGTCGTGTTATCACACCAGTAGCACGCCTAAATGTCCAGCACGGTCAGGTATCGGTTACCGAAAACATCCTTCCTCTCGCCATATATCAGATGGGTTTCTGTCGACCATACACCCATTTCGCTCTGATCGTCCATACACTCGCGATCACACTGCCGTTTCGCTCAGTTGGATTGTCTTTTCTTGGCTTGGGACAAGAGTAATGCTTCCGAAGCTGTTAAGCGTATTGCTGAAGCTCGAATGAAAGCGGTTGAAATGCGTCAAGTCCTCCTCTCTGTAGCGTAGATTTTACAGGGTATTCGGCTATTGAAGCGGCATGGGTGGGCAGGTCCATGCCCGCCGCAAAGCGCCTGCGAGCCAGAGAGCTTCTTCCAAAGAACAGTAACAGTCAAGTGCCGTTCTTATTCTCGAGGTTGACTCTCCTTCAGCTTTTGCAGGGCTGCTGAACCTCGATAGGCTTCGAGCACACTTTCGTTCTCGGTCCGCGGCGTGCCAGTCTCTTCCCTCTGGTCTGCGCCCAGCGGCTTCGCTTTCTTCTCTGTGAGAAACTTCGACTCTTGTTTGGCATCTGCTCTGGCATCTCTGAAAAGCTCATAGCCTTTTGTGCCTTCGACGGGGTCCAATAAACCGTGTCTGCGCAAGCTCTCACGGCGCATGTCAAGCTGGCCGCCGTCGGCTTCTCGATGTAGTTTCGCGTTCCGTTTTGCGGCTCGTATAGAGGTAATTGCGTAGGTATAGAGAAGGCCGGCCATAATTACTGCCGCGATAGGCGCGGTCACGGTCTGCAGGGCAGGATCAGCTTGGGAGGAACGGGGAATCGATCATATGCTGATGCGAATGAACGTACTCGCGGGTTCCAAACGGAGCCCTTTGGTTTCACGATACGAGCCATTACTCAAGTTGACCTTTGCGATGACTTATTGGTGGCTAGAGCTCTGAGGTCAACAGATCGAGGCCAACACGAAACAGCAAGAACTTGAAGCTGGCAAACAAGCAGATTCTTTTGGTGCAGAACGTGTGCATGATTTAGGCGAGGACGGGTTTGGCTCTGGGCCATTTCTCCGCATTTCACAAAAGCTCACACCAGTGGGAGCCAGCGAGCCAGCAAGGTACCTACCTAGGTAGTAATAGTAGTAGACCAAGGACCCAAAGGGGCCAAGGGGCGCCTGAAGTCGGCTCGCTGGCTGTCGCCACAACCTTGAAGTTTACATCAGCATCTGTGAATGTCGGAAGTAGATGTCCCAAATGGTGTATTTGTTATGGTCTGCAGGGGAGAGGTGGCTAATAGTATAACAGTGCTGAGGGGTGCCAGTACAGTCCTTAGCTAGGTAGCTAGTAAGTGGTAGGCAGCAGACGCCTAAGTGGCATGAGAACTACTATCATTCAAGTTGCCTGTGCATTGCAGCCAGACAGCACCTGGGCACTGTTCACTACTACTACCTACTTAGGTACCTAGGTACGAGGTACTATTGCTTCTGCGTGCAAGTTTTATCGCGCATGACGGTTCAAGTTCCGTAAGATGATTCCGCCATTGCGGTCGGCCTCACGGTGCTCCAAAACACCGCAAACACCACTTCTCACCTTCCTCTTCCAAGTCAACCATGGTCCCAATCCCAATCTAGAGATTATTCCTCGTCGAACAGAGCCACCAGTGCTACGACCCCAATGGACACTGACATCTGATAAGACCTTCCCCCTTCCCCACAGAAGACGCCCGGGTTGGTGCCGGTTACCAGCACAGCAGAAAGAGGCAGGAGAAATACTCGGTACAGTAACCAGTTGAAGAACAAGGAACAAAGAGCAGGGATCTGACGTGGGCGGCTTTGCTGACCTCATCGCCGCGCATCGTTTCCTTCGACCATCGCCCACCCAGCGCCCAAGCATCGAATCACCATCTAATCAGCGGATCAGCTAGGAAACCTGTAGCCAGCACCTATGCACTCTATCGACAAATCAAGGCAGATCTAATCAAATCGAAGCCTAGTGAGCCTGGCCAGACACCACAGACCTGCAGTCTTGGGTCATTGATTGCCTGGGACTCCCACCCCAAAAGGACACGGCCACTGCTTCCGTCGCGTGATCTCCTCCCCTCTAGAAGGGAGTCGAAGGTTGACTTGCTGCTTCTCTAGTACGCACGAATAGGCACCTTGCTGCGAGCCGAGCGCGAAAAACCAGGCACCGCTGGCGACAAGATATCGTGGCTGTGTACCATCGCTTTCTCGCTCTTTGTCAGGGTCCGGCAGGCACATCACACATTATCACTCAAGACTTGCCGCTTCCCATAACAAGTTTCACGAAAGTCTCTCGAAAGTTTCCCTTAAACTCCAATTCTGTCACCTCTCTCTACAAAATCCATATTCCTCTCACATTTTCCAGAACCCTCACCTATACCTCCAGCATTGAAATCAATCGATATCTCACTCTGCTCTCTCTCGGCGCAAACCCCTCATCTTGTCCCCTGTCAAGACCTGACCACCAACCTTGAACTGTGCTACGAAATCAGCGCACGAGAGCTTATTCTTCAGGCGACCGCCTCTGCGACGACAAATACAAGTCAGCTTCTCTCCCTCCTTCTCCGGACAGTTTGTTCTGTCTACGCTTTGATCAAAGCCTACCCTATCTATCGGAACTGCCGAACCCCACCCTTCTCCAATCGCGGCGAGATACCCCGAGGCAGTCATCCTTACAAACGTGAAGGAAGTCCGCCACCATGACATCCCTGATCTTTGGCTCGATTTGGCTGGGCCACAAGGGTATCGTACAGCATAAACGCGAAAAGCAGCGGCAGAAAAACTATGAAAGATGGGAAGGCCTCCGTGACGAGTATGACGAACAACGGAAAATAAACAGGGAGTCGAGATCTCTCGACATCCAACGCACCGGGTCAGTCGTGGACTATGACAAACCCATCTTGACTCTCCGCGATCAACAAGAAGCGAACGATGCCCGTACGAGCTGGCGGCCTCAGGAAGCATGGGAGGATGTCCCCGAGAGGAGGGCCAGTGTTGAAGTCACATCTGGTTCGGGCTTGAGACCGCTGCCCACTCATAAAACGGGGTCCACTTGGGATGAAGGGTTGCCGCAACCCTTGAGAGTGAGCAGGCGCAATTGGGACGACTATCAAACACCGGTGAGCAGGAGCAGCAGTCTCAGAAACGCCAGCGGCCCAGGTACACCTCGTGACGGTAACTCCAGCAATGCCCCGTCGGTCCACAAACAGTCTCCTCGGCTGGACGCGCCCGCCCCTGCTAGCACCACTGCCTCTCATGCACATGCTTCCAGGAGCGCTAGCATGCCTGCGGAGATGCTGCAGCATGAGACCGTTGAACCGATTGAGCATGCAACCCCCGGCGGGCGCATGGCAGAGTTGATTGAAATGAGCGTCCCTCAACAGCCAGCGCCGTACACTGGCCAGGCGCCACAAACGTATGCCTCCTACCAGCCTCAGCCTTACTTGGCACCGGCACCGGCGCCCGTTGCTCGACCCGCCGATGGAAGTATGCCGGAATGGTGGAACAGGTCCTGAGAGAGGTTCATGGGGCCTTGAAGAGCTGAATTTGATTCAGAGACATGGGAACATGGGAGGAAGCGAGGGGGATCATTCGCACCCTTGCTATCCTTATTCACACCCTCAGTCACCTTACGACACTTCAATATATGGTTGTCTATTATCGGCTATCACTGTCCACTCTCAGTCCTCAGCGACGGCGTTTCTGTCCCGGATACCTAGAACTTTGATGATAAAAGCATCGAGTGGTATGGTCTAGTGTGAAATCTCATGGAAGGCAGACAAAAATGGAGGCCACTCCGGAAACTCCAAATACTAGATTTTCCCTTTATTACGAGACGGTTCCATCCGGAGAAGGACGGAGAGCGAACAGCGGCGAGGGCTAACTCTGGGAGAAGAAGACACGGACCGACCAGAAGATGGATTCACTTTGGTCTGATTTGGGGGGCTGATATATGGAGTATCTCTGGTTTGAATCTGTGGAGATATGGAGACAGGTCAGAACAGGGCAGAATATCTATTTAGGCAGAATTGCTTGGTTACTGTTGTGGTATTTGCATCTTTATTGAAGACCTCAGATATTCTTCTTTCCCGTATCCTTAACCCTTCCAGAGAGAAGACCAAGAAGGCTATAGATGGGAGTAAATACCCAGGTACCTAGGTGAGCTCCACCAGAGATTCTAACTTGTTGCTTGATAGACGATATTTGGTGGTTCTTTGCGTTCTCTGTGTGCGTGTGTTCTTATATAGCTACATACGTTCCTAACTATTTAATATACCTTCGTTTCATCAGTGCCTAGGTACCTACCTAGGTACCTATGCACCCTGAGCTCCGTCGGTGGTACCAAGGTATTTAGTAATTGATACGGAGTATTAAGTACCTACCAGGTAGGTAACCTCGTAGAATTGGGATCTTCCCTTCCCTCCCGCCCCCGAAAGCTTTCTTCCCGCAATCTCCTCACCTCTTGGGATCGTGTTCATCCCTGCATACATACCCTACCTTAGGTACAGTAGGTATAGGTATTTTCATGTTCATGGCCATATTCATGTCCATGCCCATATTCATGTTCATAACCTACCTAGGTATATATGTGTCCATATCCTCACTATGATACCTAATTAGTCCTCCATAGGTACTCCGTGCTCCGTAAGAGTATTACACAATGCGTCCATCGCATTTTGCGGCAATAGGGGACTGCACCTGGTTTAAAGAGAGAGAGAGAGAGATTGACAACGGGAGAATTTTGACTTTTTGGCTTGCGTGATTTCTACACGGAAAAGGCCTCCTCCCTTACACGCAGGCATGCCCGCTCGCCCGCTCTCATTTCCTCTGGCGGTCTCAAATTGGTCCGCCACGTGTATGCAATGAGCACACACAGTTCAGGGCCTCCGCTCCATCACTCTTCGCCGAATTTCATAAAGGTAACATGCGTTCCCGCCATCCGGATGATATACGCGCATCATACCCGCCCAAGGTAAGCAAGATAGTTCTGGTGGAGGAAGATCCCCGTTCCTCCCGGGAAATATCAATTCCTTGTTTTGCTGGAGTCTCCCTGCATCTGGAAGAATGGAATCCCGAACTCTTAAAACAAGAAGCTTGAGTCTGTTCTATGCGGCGTTTCCGGGTTTCTCTTCTGTATCAATGTGCTGTATACGAAGATGTGATCAGCAAATGAACTCTCGTACTTTCACGAAGACATAAATCAACCATGAAAACTGGTTGGAATGGGCCAGAGAGCCAGAACGGCGACAACAGAGAAGGGGCTGATCCAACATAGGACATGAGAGTTGGAGAACGCTGAGGTACTTACCCAAACGACATAGTTCGGCAATCCTACAACCTGATATCCTGCCCGTTTGGCCATCTTCGCGAAACCCTCAGTCTCGGCTTGGTTTTCAAAAGCGTAGCAGGGGAAGTTAATCCCTAGATCCAAATGTCAGCACAGGCATGTCACACCACACATTCGTGTTTCTGGATTGCAGGGTGTATAGTCCAAATACTCACCAGATCGATGGACATCGGCCTTGACCAAAATATTAACTCCACCAATACCATCCAATTCAATCTCTTCATCTTTGTTGTTTCTCCAATCGCCCATCCTGGCCATGTACGTTCTTCCGGTATCGTATTCCTTATACCCTTCTGCGAGCACAACGTCTTTATCGAGCGAAGCAGCGAGTCGACGGCCCTTGTCGGATTCGATCCAGCTATTGTAGTCGAAGCGCCCTTCGATGTCACGTCCGTTTTCGTATCGGTGGAACCAGATATCTGTTCAGCGAGCATTAGACAAGTCCTGTCATTTTGGATAAAGGCAAAGGTCATACTTGGGACCAAAACATCTCGATCATGGGCAACAAAGTCCTCAATGATCTTCTTGGGTGAATCTACGATATCAACATCGCGCCAGTACACCCAACTGTGTTCGGGCTTCAACGCCGCTGAGAGCAAATAATTCCTTGCTCTTCCCATTGCCTTTCTTCGCGGGCCCTGGGCGGCGAATCCATGTCTCGATTCCACGCTCATGTCGAGGTTCGAGCCAAAATCCTTTTCGACAATGAGCACGCTGTGGAAGGGGATTTTGTCGGTCCTCTGTTGGATGCGATTCAGCTCGGAGGCTAATACTGCAAGGGTGTCATCGACAGAGTCGCCAACAAGGAAAGCCAGATCGATTAGGTCGTGCGGATACGTGAGTTCGGAAAGCAAGTCAAAGTACTTGATGAGGTAGGGGGCGGCGTCGCGGAGAGGTGTGAGGATAAGAATGCGTTCGCGGTTGCTGAGTGCTCGCGGCGTGGAGACAATGGGGTTGAGATCGATACGGTTGATGGTGCTGGCGTTGACTTCATAAGGTTCGTGGTGGTTGAAGAGGACGGGCGTCTGAAGGTGTTGGTTCCAGGCGACCATTTCATTATTCGACATTTGCGTGGGAGGCTTTGAGGGGCCGAAGCAATAGAAACTAGCAAGGTCACATAATGTCAGTCACCCGGTCTTTCATCTCAAGTTTGAAGGCATCCCGTACTTTGACATCTGTTGTGTAGACACGGTTATCCCCCTCCATAATAAGACAATCAAGCCCGTGAGGGCAACTGCGACCAGAAATCGGGTCCGGGTCAAGAACATTATTACGGCTTTCCAAGGGGGCAGCCTGGCTTTGGCGGACTTCCAGGTCACGCCGCCTTTGGGAAGAAGCATTTTGTGAAGGTCAGGTTATTGTACAAGAGAGAATCGAATGGGCTGTGGAATGAAGGCCAAGAAAGGGAGAGGAAGGGATGGCGTGGCAGTCCGGAGGGAGGTGACAAGCTCCTCGCTAGGAGGACGTCGTTGTTGTCGCGGCCAGATTGAATTCGGTGCTGCTGATTGCGATGAACGAAACGAGCGGAATGGCCTTGCGCATCAAGGCCCGACGGAGAAGGGTCGAAGGTGTAGGAGGAGGGTAGGAGATAGCAGGCTGAGGGTGCGATTGGGACGACGGCTGACGCAGCGCGACTCGGGCCGGAATCAAGGGTTGCAAAAGGAGTTCTGAGCGGCTGAAGCCAATACTGGCAGAGTGTGAAGGAGAGCTGGAACTTGACAGACTCGGATGCAAGGGATGGTGGTTGCGGCAGTGGAGTGGTGGTTGAGAAATGCGGACATCAATCTGGACCTCTCTGTCTCTATCTGATCCTTTTTTCCCCAGCACCTGCAATTAGCCTCAGCGGCCTCTTTGTACCTAAGGGCTAAGGGCTTAGGACTCACTAGAGTCGCTACCACCGCGCGAACCTGCGGAAGGGCCCCGATTAGGCTTAGCTCACTCCCTAGCCATTTCCGACCCCCGATATCAATTGGCACATGTGCGGGCACGTGGTTGCATATATACCTCCTGGTACCTACTACCGTTCGCCTAGTACCGGTACTAATACTAACACCCGCGAAGGTTCGATAATACAGTTGCCTACCTAGGTATATATCCAGACCTTGATAATACTACATTTTGCATCATCGTCATACCATCATCCCCGTCAGACGAGCCTTGAATACAATGCCGGTGGATTGCCCCCATGGCAATCAACACCCAAGGCTATGCTTCACCAGATACTGGGCCATGTGCGCCTTTAGTCTCGCTCCCTGTCATCCCGCGTCCTCTTGCGCCCAACATACCCCGGCGGGGAGGGAACTGTCTCGTAGGAGGAGTCACATTGGCTTGGGCTTCGTCGAGCACTATCCAGTAAGTCTTGCTGTCGGATCAGGGCCTGTAATAGCAACTGCACCACCATTTCCGCTTGTTTGCGTCGGTCATTGACCGTCTGCACTACTCTTCCTGCCATTTCATGGGCGTATATGGCTGTCCAGAGCTGATCGTCTTTGCCGGGGCCTTTGCCTGATTGGATTCTGGTTTTCTTCTCAGCCCTTGCGTGCTCTGCGCCACATTCTGCCGCCAAATCGGGGCATCGACGATGACTTTCCATTTGAGACTCTCGATGGCGGTCTCGCCTGTCGTTTTCAGCAATTCGGTGTGCCTCGTCTGCTTCTTGTCTTCTCCTTTTTTTGGCCATCAATTCCGGATCGAGTTCCTCCATCCCTTGCGTCTCTCTAAGGGGCAGTTTCTTCATTGGTCTGCGCGGTTTCGATACGCGCTCGCCGTAGAGTTCCCGGCTCTCGTCGCGGCGGAAGAACCCGTCAACCAGTTCATCCAGGGATTTGCCAGAGATTCGTTCCTCTATGCGTTTGCTGAACTTGTTCGTTGGAGAGGTAGGCTTAAACCAGCCCTGATTGTACGCTGGCTTAATAGCAGGGTCATGTAGCAGCTCTTTAGCGTAATTAACCGCAGCCGCGAGCTTCGGTTCTGGCAGGTCAAGCAGTGTCCGGACATGTGCGATATCGCCGTCGCCGTCGCCGTCGACGTCGGCGTCGATACCAGAGTCCATCGAGCAGACGGATGAGCAGCTGCTGACCGTGAGTGGAGGGGTCAAAAGCTGTTCGTGGGCTCGAAAGCTGAAAGTAGACTCGTCTGTAACAGAATTGAGTGGTGCCAGAACTGGGCCATTGTAAGGCAGAGCACGGTTCAGAAGAAGTTGGTCAACGCTGAGCATAGGAAAGCTGTTAGAACGAGGCAGGTTGGAAGTCTGATTGAAGCCAAGTGGAGGCAGAGGCAAGAGTGGCGCTGCCGACTCCCTTGCCAGTATGTCGGTGATGCTGGGCAATACAGCCATTTTCTCAGATGCAGAGTCCTCTTGCTTTGTCTTCTTTGTGATGCTGTTGCCTGCCTGCATTTCGACAGTCAGATAGACGGAGACTGTGTAGATTAAGGGACTAACCATGGTTCCAGGGGATGTAGAGCTGAGAGAAATATGTTCAATGGTGAGCCAGCAGTGTATCAACTTGGTTGCGCCTCAACAACGTCCACGGAAGCACTACCAACGTGCAGCAAGACCTGAAACACGGAGAGAAGGTTCTGCGGCAAAGGGAGACGCATTTCAATGAACTCGAGCTACCAGATGGGCTGAATATGTACCTCAATACCCTCATACCCCTGGGCTGTTGGATTCTGCATCGTATGAAAAACATAGCGCATGAATCATCTCCACTCTGCTATTTGCTTTGCAAGCCGCGTCTCTGCCTCTTAGATGCACTCCGGCGATCAGAAATCCAAAAAGAGCTCAACATGCGCGCATAAGAGTTATCCTGTTTGAGCTAGACATCAGCGGGGAATCGCTAGATGCAAGCAATGACTGGGGGTACAGCAGGTTGTGATTGGGGAGACCAAACTGTCAAAAACCAACCCCGGGATGGTCTGTTCCATGAAAAGAAGGGCAGGACGTCTCCTTCTTAATCAGTCTGGTGTTGTGGAGTGCCGTAAAGCCCGAATTGGATCAAGAAGGGCTTGAGGCTGCTGCTGCGTTTGCCACACTAGCCAGTTTGATCCCTTGATCACCCAAAAGATAGACATGTGCAAGCTTCGTGACGGGGGTGTTCTCCCCATTCGCTTATCGACCAGAATTTCCATGGCAGTTGCCTGCGATCTCTCTTACCAGGGTCGCCCAGTTATGGGAGATCGGTCGTGAGTGTATGGTTCCAAGGAGCTCGGGCTTCCAGCCTTGTCTACAACGGAGCCAGTGAAAGAGAACCGCCTTCATCTGCAAAACGACCATGATTCATGTGATCGCACATCGCTGCTGGAGTCTCCTCAGATCGCCTTTCTCTCTCTTTTCTGATACGATGGGCTTCTCGATCGTGGCAAATGCCCGCAATCGAATGGGGACGAGGGTAATGGCTGAGCGACAATAGTGGATGGAATTCCCGGCTGCCAAGATTGGGAGCTGGGATTTCAGCTGTCAAAATGTGCCAGGTTGACCCTTGGGAACAGTACGAGGTTGGCTGAACCGTCTCAGGCTGCTGTCGGACCAGAGATTTTTGACAGCTGCCCTAGGCCGCCTTCGACCGCCCTTGACGGCTCGCCCGCGTCAAGGGGGCTGTCACGGGATGCCCCTTGTCCAAATGTTGCCAAAGCTCTGCGCAAGATACTACCCCAGAAAGCAGCAGCAGTCGACCTTCGTAATGTGTATTACATTGATATCATATGTGATGCATGTCCAGTACAGGATGTTGGAGTATATATAGCCGATATGGGGAAAAAAACTTTCCTTGTCTTGCGAAACCAGCCCATCGTCTTCTTAGCGTCAACCCATTTCCTCATCATTTGGAATTAATAAATGTTCAGATGTCAACTATTGTCGTATTGTGTCAAGCCCCGCCGGTTAGAAGATCCAGGATGAAGTCGCCCATCCGCGAATCATAGGCTGGAAGGTCATTCCCAACGGCCCACAGCCCGTGGCTACTCGTCGGCTCTCCCCTCTAGGAGTTTCCTTGATTCGTCCAGTCTTCTCCTGAGCACTTTTGCGGCACGCATTTCGTGCTTTCTTTCCGACCTCAGGATCTCATTGCAGACGCCCCCCACAGCCCGCAAGAGATCAAGGACGAGATCCTTGTCGACGGTGGAAAAGGTCACCGACCCAGGTCCTTCGCCAACCTTGAATTCGGGGTCTGCTAGTTTGATCAGACTCTCCATCAGGATCTCTGTATTTGCGGGATGATCAACTGGCGTCTCCTTGGGCGTTTTAGTCGCACCCCCGAAGGCTCTTGGGGTGGGAAAAGAGGCATGTGGTGAATGGACAGGAGGGGTCGGTATCCCGTTAGAAACGATACTCCCTTGCATCTGACTCTGTTGTGGGGATCTCATTTGACCTTGTCGAGCCCGTCCACTCATGGGAGGTGTCGGCCAGACAGCTGTATTTCCGCGTTTTGGACTCATTGGTGTTTGAGAAAACCCCGTCCCGTTGCCCCATGTGAGAATCTCGGTCGGCATCTCCTCGACCTCGTCTTCGCCACCGCCTGCCCCTTCTGTCGCCGTCGCAAAAGTGGCGACAGTTGAAACCGAGTCCACACTATTGCTTCGTGCGGCTTTCATCCAAGGTTTCGAGGGAGTGGCAAGCGGAGTGGGATTGGGCGGAGTCCCGGGTTTAAGGAAGGTCTCCTGAATTGGGGTGGGAGTGTTTGCGGCTTCTTCTGTGATTATTTCCTCATCGAGCTGAGTCTCCGCGTCATCTTCGTCTATCGTCGGGGTATCTTGGTTCATGCGTGTCGTTGTCACACTGCTGCAGTCACTCTCACTAGGAGTTTCACTTCTAATACCCGTCCCGGTGTAATTTCCCAACGCACTATGGAGGAACATGTTCTCATAGTCGAAAGCATCTAGCCTGTCTTCATGGCGTTCTGCAGCGCCTTCAGTAGTGAGCAGATGTTCGGGGATCTCGGGTACATCGGGCTCGAGGTCCTGCAAGCTCTCTTCCAGAACCTCATTGAGGTAAATTTGCTCTTCTTCCGAAGCTGCAATCGGTTCGTCATCGTCAAACTCTTGCGCCGCATCTTCATAAAGCGATTCTTGAACCAATGAATTTGGCTTTTCGAGAGGCGCCGGCTGCAGATGAATCGACTTGTGAAGACTTGGAGTGTTCTTGTCTGTCCTGGCTTCGCTAACAAAGCTATCTTTGGTTGCTGGGAGTTCGACGTTGAGTAGCGTTTGTGCCTGCGGCGTAACCGGTGCGGCATGTAAGTCTAGCGGCATCTTCTGTCGGGGTGGGCTCCATCCCATCCCAGCATTTGTGTTAATCGGGCTGCCTGCCTCTTTATACTCTGGGGCACTCGTGTACCACTGCTCTGGGCTCTGGGCACTCGCAAAGGGGCTGGGCGTTCTTATGCTCTGCATACTTTTTCTCCTCAAGCTGTCTGCCTGTGCTTTGTCCTTCAAGTCGGAAATTTTTGCCTGTAGATTCGACATCTGCTCTCGAATTTCTTTGGTAGACCGATTTGACATGGCCGATGAAGATCGAGCAAGAGCTGTGGGGGGACTGCTTGTGACCACCGAAATGTCTTCTTTCGACACGGCTGCCAGGGTATTGATGCCCAGGCCCCGCGGCGCTGACGCATCTGGGGTCGTCTTGGTTGTGCTTGGAGGGCTTTCTTCCTCCTTCAACACCCGCAAAGGCGAGTTGAAGCTGCGATTACTTGCCGGCGAATGTGGACCACCCCTAGCTGAGGGCGAATGAAGCAGCTGTTGGGGAGATTCTTGCCGGCGTCCATATTCCAAGGCGCTTGCAGACCTGATTTCGGGGATTATGGAAAGGCGCTTTAACCCAGAATTACCGCCCGTCGTATCACTGCCGCCTCTAGCGTGGGCCACTGAGTTGTTTCTGTTAACAAGATGAAGTGGTCTGGGTTTTCGCTGACTTGCACCGGCCAAAGAGATTGAGCGGTACAACCCACCCGCGGGCTGGTGGAATTCGTTTATATTCGGCGAGGACCTCGACGACAAAAGGATACTGTGACGTGCTTTGCTTAGATTATCCTCCATATGTGTCAGTCGCTTCCTGGCATGCTCAAGAATCCTCTCTGCTCGTTCGTTGAGCAAAGCCATCTCGTCTTCGGCGTTTGTCGTAATCATGCTATTTCTCTTGCTGTCAGCCTCCTCAATGTCTTCATCCGGGACCTTGGCCACATCCGCGGCCAGCCTCTCGTTCATGATCTTGGAGGTATCGAAGTCCTCCCAACTGCCCAGATCGGAGCCATTGCTGGAGCAGGATTGATTGCTTAACCTCCGGGCCGCCAGCGTTATCGGGCCCGCGGGAGACGGCGAAGGAGGACCTGATCTGAGCGGGCTCTCGGTCCTCCGACTTTTCTTCGACTTTGGGGTTTCCTCCTCTCCAATATCGCTCAGAGGCGCGCCGTGTTCGTAGCCATAGTAATTGGTATTTATAGGAGGAACGGCCCTCGAGGGCATTCTAATTGTTGTCGCGATTCCCAGCTCAACTCCGGGCTCAAGCTCGGCCGGAGATGAGCCCAGTGACACCGCAGAATCTGGACGGACGGATATGGGGGAAGAGTGTAGAATGGGCGAAGATGCGCGCGGACTGGGACTGGAGTTAAGATGGGGCTGATATGGCAATATCATGTCGGGATTGGTCAAAGTCGGCGACGGAGGCACTTCCTGTGTAAACAGGTCGTGAGGGATGGCGGGAGGGATAGGATGAGCGTGCGCATTCGCCATGGTGACCTAGGTCGAGTCGACGAGCCAGACGATTGACTCTGACCGAATGCGACAGCGCGGAAACGACGAGCTGCTGGAGTGAAAGACAGCCGCAAGTCGCAAGGGGGTCTTGTCAACGCATCCCTGCAGTCACGGGAGGTTCGAGGGAGGTCGTTGGGGGGATGTTGCGCAAGAGGCAGATTCTCAATGCGACGTTTGTGAGCCGAGTGGAAGTTCAACGGTGGAAGAGAGGTGCAGACGGAAAAAGAAACCTTGGAAACAGGATCTGCACACCAAAGCCCTACCCCCCGGGCTCGTCAGATTGTCGGACAAGGGGGTTTTGGCAAGTACAGAGTAGTGGCAGACAGATCAGTGAGAGCAGTGCATGAGTTTGACCAGGTTGTCGCCGAACCAGACATGGAGCAAGAGTGCGGGCTCCGGGATGGGGAGTTTTGATGGCGCACAGCAGCCAGGGCCAAGGGTGCCACAGAGCCCAAGGGGGAAAACGGAGTGGAAACAAGGCTCTAATAAGGCCCAGCTGCGATCATGACTGGCTGCCTCCCCTGCATCAGCGCCAACGGGGTTCCAACGACGCCAACGACGCCGAATCTTCAGCAACCCGCCCAACGGGAAGCCACCTGGAAACTGGCCAGTCGGGGGTTTCGTAGCCTGTCAGCTGCGCCCACTGCGCCCAGCACCCACCCAGAGCCTTGATGCGAAAATCTCCAAAACAGACGAGACCTTGATCGCTTGAACCTTCACTCACCTGACATGGCATCCCATCCACATTATTGCACATCCCACAGGCTGCACGTAAAGTAAGCGAGGCAATTTCGGCCCCACGTTCTCCCCATAGGCCATCGTCAAACTCGTCATTCTCGAAAGCAGGAGTAGGTAAGGCAAGGCAGAAGTCTCCATGACTGTCAACGACAGTAACCAGATGCTGACGCAGGCGACACCAGAGTACGAGTAGTTGTAAGTGAGAAAGAACGAGTGTCTGGATTCTTGGAGGCCCGGCAGTCCTGTTCATCAAGTGAGACTCCTGGATGCAAAGGGGCAAAACCACTCTCAGGAATGCCAGCCTTCGTCCTTGTTCCTGCCTCACCTTCCGATCTCGAAGCAGTCGCCCGCGTCCAGTTCGCAGCCTGCGCCTCCGACCATGGATTTCCTGTCGTCTTCCCAAAGGGAGCCACATTAACTTCCATCACCCACTATGTGCGTTCATACGAATATGACCTGGAGAACGACCCGACTTGCCACCTCATGGTGGTCAAGGAAGCCATGTCCGGCGAGATCGCGAGCTTTGCCGTCTGGCATTTCTTCCCTCCCAAAAGCCAAGAGGAGGTCGAGCAGGAAATGCTGATTCAAGAAGTTCCACTCCCCGACGACGCCAACAAGGAACTGGCGAATCGCTTGGTTCGTAATAGCATCAGGAAACGCCATGAAGTCGTTGCATCAGCTATCGGGACGGAAAAGCCCTATGCTTGTAAGTATTAGCCCCTCCTCCTGTCACTTTGCCGGCCAGTTCTTCTTCAGCAGGTCTGACTTGGTGGCAAGATCTCGCCGTGATAGGCACCAGTCCGAAATACCAGAAGCAAGGCGCTGCTTCTCTTCTGCTCCAATGGGGTCTGGAGCGTGCCGATGATCTAGAGCTGGCAGCCTACGTCGAAAGTGCTCCACCAGCGTTGCGACTCTACGAAAAGTATGGCTTCAAGGAAGTTTCCAAACTACCCCTAGAGATGTCACCGTGGAAAGATGGAGAATATTTGAATGTATGCATGGTTCGGCAGCCTTCAAGTTGAATATGTTTTAATCCCCAATGCCGTGGTCATGCCGTTTTGATCTTCACTGGCCTTCATTCCGCCCTTAATTTAGCCCTCACCATCAAGGGTCCCTGTTTCTCTCCTATTCCCACGCTCTCTACGATCAATTCCTCTGCAGGATCCAGGACTTCTAGTTCGAACCGGCGCCACAGAGCCGTCAATACTTTGACGATGCTCATCATCGCCACATTCCTGCCTATACATGCTCGATGACCAGCGCCGAAAGGTGCGAGATCATTGGGGGACAGTGGCTTTGCCGGATCAAGCCATCGTTCGGGCCTGAAGACGTCGTGGTCCATGCCCCAAACAGAGGCGTTGTGATGAATCACTTGGTTGACCATCGAAACATTGGTCTACAGAAGGGCCACATTAGCTTGAGGTCTCAACCTGACAAATTCTCGAAACCTACCCCAGGAGGAACATAGACACCTTCGATCACCACGCCTTCTGGATCACACACCGTACGCGGTAGCGGCATGGTGAAGACCGGGGAAATTCGGAAATTCTCCCGGATACAGGCCGTCGCATACGGCAGCTGCGCTTCCAATCCAGCATACGCCGGTAAGGAGTCGCCAGCCGTGTCTTCAAAGGGAACGCATGCAGTTATCTCTTTCGTGAGCTTGTCCGCCACGCTCTTATTATGCAACAGATGATAGAACAATAGAGTCAAGGTGCCCGAAGTCGTGTGTGATCCGGCGACCAGAAACGCAAATGCCTCTGAACTGACCGCCACCTCGTTCAAGCGCTCACCGGTCTCGGGGTCCTTTGCACGGATTAGCCTGGTCAGAATGCTGTGCTTGTCACTGATCTTTTCCCTGGCCATTTCGTGGGCGACGCATGCCGACGTCCTGTCTCTGAGCTGCTTCCTACTCTCCAGGAGATTTTGCAGCCACGGGAGCGGAATATAGTTTGCGAGTTTCATACTGTACGGCAGCAAGGAAGGGAGCATGCCGAAGAGACAGCCCAGGAAAATATGCTCGTTGATGGGTGGCAGCTGTGCGGGGTCTTGGGCGTCTTGAGACCCGAAATCAGTGTGGAAGACCAACTCGCCCATGACGTCGTAGGCATAGTATCCGATGAGATTCTTCAGATCAAACGGCTTGGAGCCCTGTGCGGCAATGGCGTTGATGAGGTTGTTGAGATGGCGATTGAAGATGGATTCCATCTGCGAAAGGGAAGCGATCGAGAAGCTGTGCGCCATCTGGCGACGTCTCTTTGCGTGGAGCTGTAGTATCATCATTAGCGTTTCTCCGGACAGGAAATGGCATTGGACACGCTCGAGGTGTTAGAACCCGCTGCTAATGCTACTAACATCTTCATCCCTTGTCCCAAACGAATTCGGATGGAACGTCGTGAACCCGTCGTACAGGTTACTCTTAATGAACCTCTTTGAGCCGCCCTTGTACACCTCGTCGAGGATCTCAACACCCTGGAAGCTCAGCTCGTTGGGCGCCACGCGCACCACCGGGCCGTACCTCTCGTGCACCTTCTCCATCGTGTCCGGCATGCGCTTGGTGCATAGGTGATAGACACGCCAGAGGTCCGTGTGCGCGGCCCAGAATGGGCCCGGGAATTTGCGGAGGGGGTGGAAGAATTGATTGCGTAGGAACGAGAAGAGAAGGAGGATGAATGGTAATACCAATATGAGAAGAAGGTAGAATGGGAGCATCTTTGTTTGTTTTAGCCGTCTTTTCTTCTTTTTGTGGCCCAGGGTGACGAGAGACAGATGGCGGTCTTGTGCTGAAGGGAGACCCGCGCAACAAAGGACCAGAAATGCTGGGACAGTAGTAGTAGAGGTATTCACTCGACAGGACAGCTCTAGATGGGGGCTTGATATAGGATCTGAGCAGGGTCTCACCTCAGGCACAGGACGTGTGTTCCCTCATCCGTCTTCCCCCTACCGAATGCTGAATGCTGACATGGTGGGCTTCCTGTACGTCAGTCGTGCAGTCTCGGTCCCAGCCTGTTCGTTCCCTCATTATGACCCGGGGCCTGGAAAAGAACATGCACGTTCCGTCCAGGTTAGAAAGGGTGAAGAGCAGCTGAGGCGGAATAGACGGCCGCTGTGTTCATCATGGAGAGCAAGAAATAATTTGCCAGGTACGAGACTTTGCTGCTGAGAAAAGAGGTTCCCGCCAGTCACCCACGATGTTGGTTGGAATATGGGGCCCCCTTGGTGGATGTGTGGGGAACGCACCATGTACCTAGGGACCTCGTATTATACTTTTTGAGATCTGATGCTCGGAACACAAGTCAAGGCTTGACGCTGGCATTCCGAGCTCGCTTTTGTCTCCAACATGGCATGCTTTGACCCTTCTGGCTTAGAGCAGTCCGAGTGGAGATGATCCTTTGCCCTGGAAAGCGTAACTCGACTCCAACTTCTGCGGTAGCCTTGTGATTCGCAATGCGCTGAGGTCCAACGACTCCGCGGGGTCCAAAGGTCTTTTTGAAGCCACACTTGACTACCTAGACTATTCAACTGACAACGCTGGCGCTTCAAAAGCACTGTCACTCAGGGATAGTCGCCGTTTAGCTCGAGCCTCATCACCACTATCAGTCAGGGACAATCGCCGTTTAGCTCGGGCTCCATCACCCTCCTGCGTAGAATCGCCATCTGGCACTGCTAGAGCTGCTGCAGAAACCGACCCCAATCCAGTGAAATCTTCCTCATGATGCAAAGTGGCTGGAGCCTTCCTCTGGCGTTCAGCTTTACAGTTGGCCTCATACCGAGAGGAGTAGAAGTCAGGATAATCCGTTAGCAATTCTTCGGCTTGTTGGACAGTCTGCATCATGGCGCTCTTCAATTTGACCGCCTCCCATCTGTCATCAGCCTGGATCTCCAGAAGCTTACTGATAGCTGTAAGGATGTCTTGAAATGCGGGCATTCCAGCACACCATACGTCTCTCAGCTCTGCCATAACTTCCACGACGACCGACTTCAACTTGTATTCAAACCCTCTTTGGGGTGTCCAGTATTTGTCCCAAAATGTATCGGTCCTGTTGTTGTCATCGGCAGCCGTGCAATTGAACCGTGCCGTGGAAAAGCCGCTTTCGCCGCTTTCGCTCGATTCGAAGAAGCGGAACATCCAGCACATCAACTCCAAGTATACACAGCCCAGAGCCCACATGTCAAAGGGCCGTGACACAACCCCCTTGCGGTCTTTGTCAGGTGCGTAATAAGTCAGTGTACCTTTCGTCTCTTCCGTCACCCTAGAATGTTCTCCGGGGTTCGCCGGTGGATTGAAGCTGCCCGACCCAAAATCGCCGACTTTGAATCTGGGGTGGGAGCCTGGGACTTTTTCGAAGACCAGAATATTCTCAGGTTTGATGTCATGGTGGCATCCCGAGAAAGCAAGAACCTTCGGGTCCGGGTCGCTCTTTGTCGGGTTCGTCACATTATGCACATCGTGAATGGCCAGAGCCAGTCCTTGGAGCTGCCGCAGAAACCACAGTATTTCGTGTTTCGTGAATGCCACGGGCTCCACATTTCGCATAAATGTCTTCAGATTATACCTGGCTGCTTCGTAAAGAATATAGTGGTCTTCTGACTGCGTCCAGCTCGTAATGTAAGGAACAATATAAGGATTCGGGTGGTCGGCGAGAATTTTAAGCATCATTATTTCTCGCCCAAACTGCACTGTACGTTCAGCGGGGAATTTTTTCAAGGCAAAAGAACACAATGGATCCTGGTAGACAAGGTCAACAACGACAAAAATGCAGCAAAGAGATAGATCATGGGATGCTTGACTTACTCCGGTCAGATAGTGGTGCGCAGAATCGATCGAAACCTCGTACACTGTGCCGGAAAATCCGTTCCCAAGTGACTTGAGTCCAGAATTTGGCAGAGTAGGACGCAACGGCATGACCTCGCCCTCTTCGAGCCTGTGGTATTGGAAATATTCCTCGACTTTCCTCACATAAAACCTGGCTTTGTCGCGCACAATCTCATTGACCTGGTCATTACAGTAGAATAGGCGACATTCAATAGGGCCATCGTCCCGTTGCCCCGGTAAATTATCGTCATCACACTTATGGACATCCAGAAGGTGATGCAGATAGGCCATGTTATGACCCACGAAGACGCAAGTGAGCAACAGTTTCAATGCCGGCCGCTGGATTATTTCGCGGACAAATTTCTCTCGACCAGCCGGATCCAGGTCGAGAGATTTGTCCAAGAAAACAAGATCATGCACCACCTCGTACCGTTGAAAGACCGCCTGATCCCGACGAGAGATGTACTCTTGGCCTCGATAGTTTCTCTTTTGCTTCTTGCCTAGCTCCGTCTTGATCATCCCACGAAACGTGCGGTTGCCTTTAACACCTGCGTCAGGTTCTGGCCTCAAGCGGGCATATCCAAATTCCCAGTAGATCTGCAAGGAGAACTTTCGGCGTGGATGATAGTGTATAAAGCCGCAGACAAGAGGAATTGCCTTGTCAGCCAATGTCAAAACCTCGGCATCTTCGAGAATGCAATGGTAATCAATAGTGAGCTCGGGCGAAGCACTGATTCGACACGAGCCGTGACGGTAGAACACTTCTTTGCCCTTCAGGGCTTCGCTTTTTTCACGGCGTTTGTCTATCATATCTGTTGGTAGAAGCTCTCCGTAGTTTTCCTCGTCAATCCAAGGGAATTGCCCGAAGTCGTTTTCGTCGTTCCAGTCGTCTCCTTGTCCGTCCCAAGTTAGCATCACCTTTACACGGATTTTGTGAGGCATAATCTCTTTCGTCAAGTCCTCTGTCACAACTGATGGGGCAGGGCTCCTCGAAGACGAAAGAAACTGCCCCGGCGTAAATCCTGGCCTAAGGAACGTAGACAGCGACGTCGGAGCTCTGTTATCTTCCAACACCGTGGGGAATGTTGGTCTGTGTAAGAGAAAGGTCGGCACCTCTGCGACCGGGGGTTTGGTTTCGTTTCCAGTAGTGTTTTGGATCATATTTGCTTCCTTCAGATCGGTGTGGCTTTCGGAGGGGCTGGAGAAATCATAAACAGCTTTGGGTGCTGTGGCCAGGCTTCTCTCGAATGGATGCGTCGATGAAACGAGAGTTCTATACGGACAAGGCTATATAATATGCGCAGAGCGCAAACGAGCAGCTTTTGAGCAAACTATTCCATGGGGAGGGGTCTCAAATCAAACCATGTCCTGAGGCTCTGCTTCCGCGGGACGAGCAATGGATTCATAAAGATGAGCTCGGTAGTGTAACTGGTTGCAGTGGGCGGAGCACACCACCGCTCAGGCACTGGCTCGTCGCGGATTGCCCTAAAGCTCTTTGAAGCACGGTGTTGGCGGAGCTCAACTGAGCCTAATGCATGCAAGAGACACCAGATAGCAGAGCCACCACCATGTCGGCGGGTATGTAGTCGCTGGGATATTCGAGACAAATGGCCGTGTCTGAAAGTCTGGCCCAATCAAATCGGCCCTGGCGGGCTGTGGTGTGAAGCAGGGGTCCGCACCTACGTATGAGCTGATGTTGCTGCAGCCCGACGTGTTCTAGAGTGACGCCTACCTAGCCTGACTGGAATCGACGATGTGTTTGTTCAGAGGCTTTCGAAGCCCTTTGTTGGCCCTGAGTTGAGCCTCGCAAAAGTTGTGTAGTGCCCAGATTCTGGTACGGGACTACGGACGCCCCTGTCGCTCATGACGACGTGGTCATCAGCAAGCAAGTAGATATCTCAGGACGATGGACGAAAGACATGAAATCAGACGTCCTCTGTAACAACAATTTCAGCTGACGGTTGGCGTAGCCACATCCTCGAGGCAGGAATCGAGATTCGCTCGAGGTGCTCGCAGACTGGACGACTTTAGCGAAGGTCGGTGCGGCTGAAAGGAAGAACTGTACCAGCGCATCCACTTCCTCCTGCCTGCTCTTCTCCCCGTGATTGTTGTTCACATCAGTCAGCCTCACTAGGCTGACAGGGTAGATCTCCACGTCCTAGTACCAAGCAACGGCTTCTGAGAGGAGGGGGCAAGCTGGGGGGGCAATTTGCGGGCACCGTGGTTGCGTTTTGGTGGCTGCAGGCGAAGAGCCTGATTGAGTGAGACCCTGAGACCGGTTTGTGAAATGGATGGATGGCATGAGCGCCTGTGGCGATTGCCGACTTGAAGGGGTTTGGTAGGCGTTGAAAAACCAAATTGCACCATGCACCACGGCGGCACAGCACCAGGATCTGCAAAAGTACTTCTGCTCCAGGCAGCGGCATGGTCTGCAAGACCGGCCGAGCGTATAGTCCTGACAGTGGGTGACTGTGATGTCCACAGTGTTGAGTCAGAAGGACAGCCGAAAAGGCTGGAGAATTGGTATATGACAGTGCCACGGCTGCCCTGCTTCGGCTCTGTGCAAGCAAATAATAGCAACCCACAGCCGCATTTGGCTCGCGCGACGTGGTGGCCAAAACACCCGAGACCGACTCATGCAGCATTCCACGCCACTCCACGCCTAGAGGGACCCTGCAGCCCTTGCTGGGAATAAAAGGTGATCACTGAGGCCATGTCTGCTGTCTCAGTACATTCGGCACCAAAACCTTCCCTCTTCTCAGCTCAGCATTATCCGCATCCGTTGATCAATTGCATGATGCCTATCTTGAAAGAGAAAAACTCTGTGCAGACATTCGACAGCCGCTATATCGAGAAGTCCAGGCTTGAGACTCTCTTGAGAACCTTTTATGATCAATCCGAATACAGCGTCCATCGTCAACTGAATAAATGGCGCGTAGAAGCACCACAGCCTCTTGACCAGGTATGTGGGTTCTTGCTGTTGAGCTTCTGAGGCATGTGTGCTGAACTAAACTATTGTAGACGCAGATTGCAGCACTCCGACGCTGACAACAATTACTTTCAATATCAACGATAGTCTCCGTTCTTTCCATGCGACATCGGTACTGAAGAACTGCCACGGTGGTGTTAGAGATATGTACAACTCGCCATTCGGCTACACTTTTTCCAGATGTGGCATTTGTATCCATAGCGATGATAGTAGGGTTATTCACAGATCAAAACGAGGCCAAAATCAAATCTTGGGGCTTTGGAACGAATATAGTCGACAGTTAATTGTCATCCACTAGACCGAATGCCGCTGCGTTGGTTACAAAAAACAGTGACTTGGGATCGAGAGACATGTTCACCTCAGTCTCCGATAGCCACTCTCGTGCAGAAGACATATTCCAAGAACGAACCCTTGCCTACCACAGCCCTGCCCAACCCCTGGGTCCTCAAATACCTCTATTTCAAAGTCTCATCTTCTTACCCTTTTTGTGTCTGCCATACAAGGGCGTTTGACGTGGTGGCTCTTTCTTCAAACTTCAAACAAACTCTTCCAACTTCATGCTAGTCTGCTACTGAATGCAACCTAACGATGGCCGCTGCGAACTAATTGCCGACCTCAGCTATACCCAGCCTCGAAATACGACAGAATCAGTCTCTGGCCTCCGCAATCCCGTCTACCCTGCAAGTAGTCTTGCAAAGCAGGACACGCCGCCTACAGCCCCAAATCAAATACCGGAGTTCGTTTATGCATCATGCACGTCTTCAACTCAGCTTCATGTGCCGCCCTAACCGGTGAGACCTCGAGTAAAATGAGCTGGACCTCTTGGAAGATCGAGTTCTGAAGCAAGGCGCTGCCTCGTGTGACAGATCACCTGTCGGCTGTCCTGCACAAGCGAAAAATAGGCTGCCTGGTCAAGTATCTGCCTCTCCAGTGCCAACCAACAGCTTCGCTTGTGCCGTTTGCCTGTTTCTATCCTCGTTTACCCCATACAAGAAATAGCACCAAAGAAATCGACTCACAGTCCTGATAAAGTCAGCCTTGCCGTTGCCTCCCATGAGCCTCATGCCCTACCATCATATCTCTTCCTCGCCTCCCAGGCAATGTTTCCACGACTCATTGTGATCTGTTCCCTCGAACGACCGAATCCTGCCTTACATTTTCCGCACACACTCCAGCCTATCCACCATGGCACCTTCACGCACGCATTCGTATGGCCCATCATTAGATGGCGGCTCTGGCAGTGGCAGCAATAGCATCAGCAGATCCTCCACCACTACCACTGTCACCTCAGACACGACCGCGAGCACCGCCTGGAGCGATATTTTGAGGCAGAACCCTCAGATAGTCTCAGACCGCTATGTCAAAAAGGAAAAGTTGAAGAAGCATCTCGACGCAACCTATGGGGAGGGGCAGTGTGCTGTCCATGTGAGTTGGTCCTTTTGTTTTTCCGTCCCCCTGTGACCACTTGAGGTGATCGCGAGCACTATTCCTGTACCATGTGGCGTGCCTCTTGACTGACGAGAATTTGCGCCGCCGTTGAGTAGTACAAATCTGGAAATTTCTACATCATTGCGCCTGATGTTCTGTCAGATGTGAGTATACATAAGCCCTTGACAGCGCGTCCTGCGCGATGTTTATTTGTTGGTTTCCTGCTTGTGTAAAGGATGAGGTTCACGAGCGCTGATATTTCACCGTGGTCTTCGATTGAAGGAAGTTTTGAAAGCGTGCGAATAAAAATGCTGCGAGGGAGGATTGCTAGTATCCGAAGTAGCAGTCGTTTGTGACAACAAACACCAGAAGGGACATTTTATTGCCGAGCATCATACATATCGTGATGTATCTGAACTTGGGATTTCGTTTCCATAATATTTCCCTCTTCAACCACAAATAGCATCACATTTTGCAGACGGAAATGCCATGCGGACGCTCTCCCAAAGTACCTAGAGTTGTACCTAGAGTTGTAATCGTAGACCTCCTAATCATATATCAAGCCACTTTGCAGGAACGACAGCGTTTCGTTGATCAAAGTTAGAAACAAGATTCAAAAGGAGTTTTCAATCGTATGGAGCGTCTGGTGATCGTAATTGATATAGTTGTCAACTTGATAGTCCTTTGCATGTTGTCTAGGTGGCTTGAAGCCTAGTAGAGGCCACCAGAATGGGTATCGCCGCTTGACCTTGATATGGGTCCAGGTCCTCCACGTATATACAGTGAGAAAGGTCAAAGGGATGGAGATGACGAACAGCAACCAGGAGTCCCGTGTAACGAAGATCCGGTCAGAAGCGGTGCCAACGAAAGACGTCGAAAAGAAGTTGGACACGACGGTGAAGGGCAGGTACACCATGGTCAAGATGGCCAACACGGTGACAGTCACTGCTTCCTCGGCGTTCTTTTCGGCAAGAACGGCCATTTTTTCGTTCAGCTTGCGCATGGCTTCACTCTCCCTCTTGGACTCTTGAGTCAAGCCTTGCAAAGCAAAGCTGCTGTTCAGTTCCAAGAAGGTCGACAGTAATTTCGTGACACTTTGCACGCGGGAATGTATATCATCCAGACGCATCAGATTCACATTGAGATGGCGCACGATCTCAGCAAACTGCCGCCGACGACTTTGCCAGCTTGATGCTGCATGCTCAGGCGTTTCCAAATAACAACTCTGAAGCTCTGCCAGCAGGAACTCCACATCGGCTCTTGTCGATCGAATGGCCAATCTGGCCGTTGAAATTTTCTTCTCCAGTATGAGCAAGGCCTGCCGTTCTTCGGCTTGGGGCAGAGGGACGGGACCAGAGTTGTCCGGTGAGGTGCCTAGGAGCTCCATTTCGTGTCGCTCAACCTCATGCACCAACGCAACAACATACGGTCTCCAATTACATGCCGCATAGGAGTATAGAGTGTGGAGTGTCCGCCATGGACATTGTGTTTCCTGCTCTGCAGATGCCCAAAGATCATCCAACAGCGCCTCGGTGGAGGTAGATAGCGCCACGAACAGCCAGACAGCCCGAGACCGTTGTTGGTCAAACCTCGAAAAGATGGCGGTCTGGCGAATTGACCATCCCTCACTTGGGGCCAGAGAAGAAACCCTGCCGTTCTCCTCCACAAAGCGGATGACTCCCATCGCCTCCCATTCTGAGAACTTGATCGTGCCTGGGGCTTCAAAATTGAAAGGCGGTGGCGCGATTTCCACTTCGTACAGTCGTCTTCCAAAGTATAAGATGTAGTCTCGAAATGTCTGGGGGATAGAGATCTCCTCGCACAAGTGACCAAAGAGTTCCGAGGAGATGGACAGCGCAGAGTAGGAATTCCGCTTCCGGATGAAGAAAACACACAGGCGGCGCGAGGTCTTAGTGTACTCTCTAAGAGCATCCAGAGTTCGCAAGGTTACCTTAGAGGTATGACCTATGTCGGCAGACGCCTGTGTCGCCGATTTGACGTGTGCTTCGTTGGAGGAACTCTCGATCTGGAGACGGTTGACACTCGAAGGATCCCCCGCCGGCGGAGTCTCTTGCCAGTCGCTTACAATAGTCGAGTCCACGGTTATATATGCCTCAATTCTCGAGTCCAGATCGTCCTTGTACAAAAACAGAGAGCCTCTCCTCTCCTCGAAGCGCTCCTCAGTCGCGAGGTTTCGAAACGCGCCCGCCATGGTGATAGTGAGCTGGCGCATCCACCATCCATCAAGATGCTAACATCGTCTATATATCTTCGACCATGTGAGCACGGCAATCAGATCAACTTGTGGAGTAAAAGGGGAGAAAGGAAAGCATCAGCGCTGAAAACATTGGCGATATATACGACAGGGATGTCACAGCCCACCGGTGAGGCTGGGCCGCAGGTTTGAGGAAGGCGACCAAGACTAAGTCATTGAGTGGCTGCCCAGCCGACTCTGCGACTGTGCAACGATGCGCTTGTGGTTCAGGTGGCTCGTTCGCAGGGCGCAGCAGCCTAGGCACAGAGGACCATGCAGGGGGATGTGACGAGAGGTTATTGGCACATCCTCGCCTCCAGCCTCACCGACCATCCAGAACACTGGGCACCAAGGCATATCCTTTGGGAAATTTCTAAGGCTGAACATGCAAAATTTTCTTTGAAGGGATTGGCTACTTCCAGTCTCCAAGAACGAGCTTGATGCCAGGCTGGAACAGATGGCTAGCCGACAGGTACAGAGTACACGGCTGTGGGCGAATTGCTGGAGCAATTTTGCTCGGTCTGCTGGTCGCCGGTGCTCAAAGATGCCCTAGACAATAGGGCTAGTGGGCACGGCTAACGATGACGTGAAGGCTCGGACTCAAGGAGCCTTCGCTCACCCTCCTGGACCGAACCCAAAGGCAATTAGGGAGCTCAGAGGTGTATCTGGAAGCGCCAAACTTCCGCACTCCACACCCCACAATCCGGCAAGCCGGTTGTATAAAAGTGTTCTTCAACTACAACTCTTACTCTGGCGAGCCCAATATTATCTCACCGTCGTTGCTTGCTGTTCATAAGTATCGCACGGGCTATTCGGGACAGGGACTACTGACTCAAGGATTGGAGCGAAGTATAACCTGTGCATCGACACACTACATCTGGTTTTAATGGAACCTCCCAAGAAGAAGGCCAGGCAGAGTGTTGCGAGACGGGCCCCTTACGCCGCTGCTGCATGCGATTATTGCCATGGACGTAAGCTGAAGTGCTCTGGGGATCGGCCCTGCCTTCGCTGCAAGAAACATGCCATCTCGTGCAGTTATCCTACTGCAAGGCCGGAGTCAAGTTCTGCAGTTCAGCACGGCGACGATCAGACGTAAGTCTCGTCAGAACACGCAAGAATTCGTTTCTACCATGGCAGGACCCTAACGCCAATAGGATCCCAGAGGCGCTTTACGCCAGCATCGAGGACTTGCAACGCAACCTGGACGACTTTAAAGCGCAACTTCGCGAAGCTACAGCTCCCGGGCAGCCCGGACCTGCCCATCCAAGCCCGCCAGAAATACTGCAGCTGCATCGTACTCCTGATATAAATGGGCGAGACGAAGCCGTGCCTGTGAAACGGCAGGCAGATCCAGACATTCCAGATGTATACGCTGGCCCTACCAGTTATACTTTTGGAATGGTCACAGCCGATGCAAGACTTTCCAACCTCACTCCATCCAGTAGGGAGTGTACTACGATCGATAGTCCGTCTCCTCCGCCTATCATTGGTCATGCGCTTCCAGAGTCAGTTGTTGAGACAGGTGAGGCGGGGGAAGCCCACAACGAAACCTCACTCGAGAAATTCACGCTAGAAGACGCCTTGCAGTGCTTGGACACGTTTCAAGCTGTGTTCGGAGTCCTCCACTCTCTGCCTCAGCTGGAGAAGATCAGGTTGAGTTTGCCTAGTCTTTTGCGGTCTGCCAAAAGATCACTCTGGAGCAGGCCCACCACTCCAGGGCACTGTGGCCTACTGGAGATGCTGAAGATCATTCTGGGAATCGCCTTGGGTGCACAGACTGGGGGTAGAACAAAGCTGTCAGACACCCTTTACCAGAGTGTCGAACCTACCATCGTTACTGCTGCCTTCCAGCGCTCTATCAGTCACGACTTTAGAGCCTTGCTGCTGCTCGTGGTATGGGGAAAACGTGCTCACAGGAAAGCTAATTGCTAATTGAACACCAGGCAATATATCACTTCGGTAATGAGGATCTGGTCCTTGGGTCTAGAGCCATCATGTATGCGGCACGTACAGCTGTTGAAGAGGGGCTCTATCGAATCGAAAAACTCTCGGCCATCGTCCCCGATGAAAAGGAACGCCAGGCGGTAATCCGGCAACTGTGGAGCTTGTTTGTACTGGACCGTCAGTTCAACTTCGCCGCTGGATTGCCGCATCATCTCAATGACAGTGACGTCGACCTGCCCACTCCTGTAGGGTTTCCTCAAATGCTCTGCTGAGAAAGTCTGCTAATGGGTTAAACACTAGGTGGATGATGGCTACCTCGCTGCAATGGTCAGCTACGTGATATTCGGAGCGCAAGCATGGAATTCACTGGTGAATCGAAGTATGCTGGCAAGTGGACAAGCTCCATCAAAAGATGCGATGAAGTTCTTCCACTACCAGGTCCATCAATGGCATCAGGACTTGGACCCTTCAGTGTGTTTCGATGCCGCAACAATCGAATCCGACGATCAAAGCTTCTTCACCTCCACATCTGGTGAAGTGGAGTTGTATCGCAAGACACTCCTGTATCTCCGCGCAAACCAGATTCAGATCCTTGTCCTCCGTCCCATACTCATATATCCTCAAACAGCTCGCAAAAATACTGCGCTAGTCATGGAAGCCATCAGCTTGGCCAAGAGGTCTATCAGGACGTTGAGGATCTTGGCCACAGATGTCTATTTTTATAGGACAAGGCAAGCACTCTTTAACCACTTCCTCTCCTCTGCATTAGCGGTCCTCTTCCTCGCAGCAGCATATGATGCAGAGGCGCGCGCGAATAAAGCTGTGACCGAGGACGATGCAGCCATATTTTTGGGGCAGTCGACGATGGAGCTTCAGCAAGGTCTCGATCTGATCGAATACCATCGCTCTCACTCGCAGTCGGCAGCCAGATTGTGGGCACGTTTCTACCACCCGAGACATCAGCTGATTCGACTGGGTATCTTACCAAGCGGTGCTGGAACAAGGTATCAACAAGATCAGCATCTCCACCAGGGCCCAACAAGAGCAGGTCGGAACGAAACGCCGGAACTGGAAGAGCGTCACCCAGATGGCATAGTCGCCGACGGAGACACTGAGCTAGGCGGAGAAGGAGATTTTGCTTCGCAATTGGACACGTCCAATTCCATAGGCTTTGATCCAGCGGATTTTGATCATGAGGATGGTCTGCTATGGCTGGATTGGTTTGATGGGGCGTTCATGGATTCCTCCGTCCCGTTTGGCATGCCAGGATGGATGTGACGGACTGGGGGATAGCTACGGCTGCCGAGCGTGGCATGCGGTGTCATAACGTGCGTAATGTACGCAAGTCAGACTCGAAACTCCAATCGCAGCCTCACTCGGCTTCGCAGCGATCTAGACGGCGTAAGCACCGAGACACTTCCCGTACAGGTATTTGAGGGAGGGTACGACAACAGGCCAAGACCTTGTGGCCACCCAAACCACCACCTGGGCACTTATCCTGGTAGACTCATTGGCCCGAGTTGCGTGTCAGAACTGGCTATCTTAAAGCCATTGCGTCCACCGGGTCCCCCATTTCATTCTCCACCGGGTCCAGAGTCGTCCTGTCCCCAACCAACTTCTCTCCAGACCACCAGGTACTCAGGCACAGAGATCTTCCGCCGCCCTCTCAGAAGAATAGCAGATCAGTCTTCGTATGGATCCGGCTCAGGAGGGTGACAAAGGAGATGAGGGATCTATGCTGGCAATAAAGGAGCCTTTCACAGACCCAGGCCCAAAGTAGAGACAGCGAGGAGCTCAACTGGCTGCCCAAGTAGCCACCCACCTAGGTAAGTACCTAGGTACCTAGCGAGCTAGGTAGGTAACCACGCACCACGGCGGTAGGGTCCGCGCCGTGAGCATAAAGCAGCAACAGGGTGGAGATAGCAAAAGACAGACTCGACGCTAAGTCCAAGTGCTAGAGCAGCGCGGGGCCCCTCATTATCAGGATTTGTGGTGTGTGGATTTGTCCTGCTGCTGCCACCTTCAACTTCGCTTCTCATCCATCTGGCAGCAGTCCCATCTCGCAGCCCCCATGTGGTGATAAACAGTGTTGCCTCAGTCTCATGATCCCCTGCAGGACAGACCTCCCAGCAGCCGTCTACATGTCGCTTCTCGACGCGGACGCAGCCATCTGTGGCCAATCCTGTACCCTTGTTCAGCTCGAGGTCGCAGCCCCCGGATCCGGTGCCATGCTGGCAGCCTGCAGGCAATTTGGGCCGATGCGTTCCAGGCTCCTGACAAATCTCACCGCCAATGATCTGCTCGCCTCTGCTGTCCTTGCGTCCTTCCGACGGATTTAGGAACAAAAGAACCACATTTCTCCAGTTGCTGATAAGGACTAATCCATCAGAAACAGATGGGAAAGCATGGTACCTCCTGCGCGCCGTCAGCTGGCTGAGCGCACGGAGCCGTAGCCTGCCGTTACCGACGCCTCACGGGCTTGCAAGAGACATCAAACCAAGGCACCACAGACCGCTGTCCCCGCCATCAACCCGCATTTCCCCAACTTCTTCCCCTGATTGATCCACCACACGCAGAACATTCCACCGGGACCCGCACGGCTTCCACAAATCATGGTCCTTCCTACGGTATGGTTCGGTGTTGATAGGGGCGAGCAGCCTGATGACCGCGCATAGGCGATGATCCGGCAGTTGGGAAGGCATGGCGACAGGAGCATTCCTTGCGGCCTCATCAAGTGCTTGATCGACCATTTAAGAGCTGTAGCCCTCCCTTCCCCAGCTGTCCCCGTCTCGCCAAGTTCTTGTGCATTGTTCCTCCGCAGTCATACGACTGTCCGTGGTAGACAAGCTCCGTTTGGACTTCGAGGCACTCCAGACTGCAGTACCCCTGTCATCCCATTGACCCCTGACTTGGATCCCTTCAAAATGGACGAGAAGGTGGCAAGGGCAAACCAAAGGGATGTGGCCCGTGATAGCGACCCGAAGAGAGAGGCCGTTGAAGAAATCGAGGGCGTCAACACCCTCAAAACCGTCGAGGTCGGCTTCTCAGCTGACGAAGTGGTGGTCGAGATTGACCACAAAGAACGGACTCGGATCCTGAGAAAGGTGGACTACCGCTTGATTCCCATCCTCGGCATCCTGTACCTGTGAGTGAATAGTCGGAAGGACATGGCATTCGTCCGCTGACCGCACTAACAGACTGGCATTCATCGATCGTGGGAACATCGGAAATGCTAAAATTGCCGGTCTCTACGATGACCTCCACCTCCATGGAATGCAATATAACACCGCCTTGACTTTGTTCTTCGTACCTTATGGCTTCTTTGAAGTACCCTCCAATATTGTGCTCAAGATACTACGCCCCTCGATCTGGATTTCCATCTTGATGTTCTGTTGGGGTAAGATGCTTGACTCTATTCTCATCTCTGCAGTGGCTGACCTGTCTAGGAACCGTGATGACTCTTATGGGCGTGGTTTCTACCTATAGGGGTCTTTTAGTGACACGATTCTTCCTCGGCGTGGCAGAGTCGGGCTTTTTCCCAGCAGCGACGTACCTGCTCACGATCTGGTGAGTAGACCAATCTCCGCACCAAGAGAAATTCGGGAAGAATATATTCTAACGTATCCAGGTACTTACGGTACGAGGTGCAACGCCGGATGGCTGTCTTCTACGCTGCTGCGTCGCTTTCCGGGGCGTTCTCCGGTTTGCTGGCCTACGGTATTCAGCACATGGACGGCGTCGCAGGCCTGGCAGGCTGGAAATGGATCTTCATTCTTGAAGGCCTAGTTCCTGTGGCTGGCTCGTTCGTCGTCTGGTTCGTGCTTCCAGACAATCCGGAGACGGCCAAATTCCTCACAAAGGAAGAGAAAGAATTCATCATCAACCGACTGGCTCTTGAGACGGGTTCTGGGCATGGTCGGGTGACGAATGCCGACCGTATTCGACTGCATCACATCATTGCTGCTTTCAAGGAATGGAAGATCTGGGGTGGTGTGGTTATATTCTGGGCCAACACCGTAGGTTCCTCCTCGTCGGCGGGGCCGAGTCTCGCGCTCCTCCACAACATATACTAACCATTGATTCTGCAGATTGGTGTCTACGGCTTCACCGCCACGGTCCCATCTGTGATTGAGGCCCTCGGATACACCTCAGCCAACGCTCAACTGATGACGATCCCGGTAGGTTCTCCTCAGGTCATTGGAAAGGCCTCCCGTCGCGGAGGGCCCTTGACATTCTAGTTCCCCCTCAAGACGGCCGAGGTCTAACTGGGGATTTACAGATTTACGTCTTCGCCATGATCATGACGCTCATATTTGCTTTCTGGTCGGACAGAGTCCAGCAACGAACCCCATTCATCATGGCCGGATTCAGCATTGCCGCAATCGGCTTCATCGGCGAGCTTGCGATCCCCCATCCCAGGCTGCCTGGTGTGACGTATTTCTTCCTCTTCCCGCTCGCCGCTGGCCTTTATTGCCCCTTCATCTGTCTCGTGTGCTTGATCGGGAACAATCTCGCTCCCAGCTCTAAGCGGGCAGTCGGCATGGCCCTACTCATCTCTGTCGTAAGTAGTCGTCCTCTCTGACCCCACCCCCAATTCTTGATATAGCGCTAATAAAATCAGGGCAACTTTGGAGGCATTGCCGGAAGTAATATCTACATTGCGTCTCAGGCGCCAAAATACCCGACCGGATTCGGGACCGGGTTGGGAATCTGCGTCACTGCCGTCATCATGGCCTACGTGCTGCGGCGAGCCTATAGACACGAAAACGCGAAGCGGGATGCCTTCATGGTGGGCAAGACCGACGAGGAGATCAAGGCTCAGTACACGGAGCAGGAACTGCTGGATCTCGGTGACAAGAGTCCCTTCTACCGCTACACTGTGTGAACACAGAACAGAGGGGCCACCTGCAGTGGGCGAAAACGACGGAGCGTAGTGATCGTGATAGGTAGGCTTGATGGAGTGCAGCAGCAAGAGAAATCAGGATGAACTTGTGTGCGCGGCTCGACATGGTTCATACTACTCAGCACTTCTATCTGCAATGATACATATGGTCCATCTCTGAATTATCCACGAGAAAAAGGGCGCCAAATAAGTATCCATTCTTCTCGACCGCATATAGGTCATGCTTGCGGACTGCCCCGGAATGCCATCGGACTATACATACGATCAAGTAATGCCTACCACTACCGCCACAGGGAACATTGGCGATCCACAATCGCCGACTCTACTCATAATGCCACGGGCTCCCCCAAGCCCCTGCGCTCTTACCGACCCATTCCGAGAAAGCTGAAAATCCGGATTTCGCTGCGAGATTTCATCTGGGTAGAGCGCCACAGCCTCAGCCGTCCAGCACTGCCACTGCGCCATGATCAAGAGTGGTGGTTCATGGAAGGGGAGCAGGCCGCACGCTCAGCGTGATTAGACGCATCATATCTGCTCGGGATTCTGGTGCATAGCACTTTTGAGTGGTGAGGACCGAGTACATACCTCGTGGAGTGAGCAGCGTCGTGGGTTATCAGTACCTACTAGTACCTAGGTAGTCAAACCGCGAACACAGCTTGACGGCTCGGAAAACCTGATCCGGCGCTAATAAGTTTGCCAGCGATAATCCATTAACCTTCACCTTTTCCGAGTCGGTACCTCTGTAAATACCAGGGAGCTAGTAGCTACTAGTTAGACCAACCATCGGATTCAAACAAGCAAGAAGAGAGAAGAAAGAAGAAAGAAAAGAAGTCAGGATGCGTCCATCGCCCGCACTGCGCCTGTCGAGCATCCAGCTCACGCTCTTCACACGCGCCAACTGCGGGCTCTGCGACGTGGCCAAAGCGCGCATTGGCGAGTTCATGAGCAGCAGCAGCAGCAACGCTAATAAGACCAAACAGCCCGCGCCTCGCGTCGTCAACTACACCGAAATCGACATCATGGACCCGGCGCAGACAAAGTGGCGGGAGGTCTATGAGTTCGATGTGCCCGTGCTACACGTCGACTACGCACAAACCCCCACGCTCGACGCGGCCAAGAAGCTCATGCACAGGTTTACGGCGCAGGAAGTTGAAAACGCGGTCGATGAGGTTGAGCAGCGAGGCTCGAGTTCCTGAGTCGCCGCAACTTTTCATTTTCCGGGAACTACCAGGACTGTCCGGCGAGTTTCTCCTTTACTTCTTGTCCTGCGTCACCATGTTCACCGCCCCGTATGCGGCGCCCTTGACTGCCTGGGCGGCCGCATGGCCATATGACCCCTTGGCCTTGGATAAGGACTCGGCCATGAATACCGGAACCGCAGTCATGTCGTTCACAACAGAGATCTGCAACACATGGTCAGCATTTTCACATCCACATTCACATCTCTACAAGGAGGGCAAGGCTTGTGACGGACCATCTGGAATCCCATGTCGGCATATTGTCGCGCCACCTCGCCCGAGGGGCAGTATATCCCTGACCACTTCCCGGCGGCTTGGGCGGCCTTCAGTATTCTCCCAATGGCCTCCTTCAGCTCCGGGCTAAAGTCTCCTTTGACCGGGTAGCCAATGTTGTTGCCCAAGTCCCACGGTCCGATGAAAAGCACATCAATACCATCCACCTTTGCGATTTCCTCGACCTAGTCAGCCAAAGAATGTCAGCCCTCTTGTCACAGCCAGCCAGAGCACTTATACGCACACAGTCCAAAGCCTCCTTGGTCTCGATCTGGACAATAGTCAAGAGATTCTCATTGGCGTTGTTCATGTAATCAAACCCAGACAGCTCGCCTTTGCTGTCGAACGCGCCCATGGAGAAGGGGCTGCCGAAACCTCTTTTGCCGTACGGCGGGAATTTTGCTGTCTGCACCAGCCTTCTCGCATCGTCGGCACTGTACAGCAAGGGCACGATGATGCCGTGCGCACCGGCGTCCAGGGCGCGCTTGACCATCCAGCCTTCGTTTGCGGGAATGCGCACGATGGGGCTCACGTTGCAAGAGGCGACGGCGTGGACGGATTCGTGCATCTCGTTGTCTGACCCAAGTATCATGCCTTGTTAGCCTCTCCAGGTGTAGGCTCTCCACTCAACTCACCTGCAATATTGCCATGCTCGCAATCAATACAGATCCAGTCAAAGCCTGCCCGGGCAATCGTCCGCGACAGGTGCGTGCCGGGGAGCATCTGCCACGCGCCGAACGAGAGGCCTGAGCCGGTACTGAGGGCTTTTCGCAGTGTGTTTGAATTCTTCATGATTGTAGCCATTTTGGTGCTGGGGAGGGGGCGAGAGAGGTCGAACGAAGGTGTTTTACAGGGAATGATGTGTCTATCGAAAGAAAGTGTCTGTAAATCGGAGCAGGAGCGGCAGCGGGATCGAGATGAGGAGTGTTGACGAGAGAGGAGTCGTCGAGGAGTACTCTGCAGGGTATGAGGGCCCTGCGCGCAGTGTATTGATGCAGTTCAAACGATTTAAGACCAGAGCCCAAGTGATTGCTATGAAGAATATCTAATTGAACAGTAAAAACATGACGAGAAAAAGATTTCAACCTGCACCCATCTACTAGGCACCTTCTTCGCTGTTCCCCCCATCTGATTCCAATGCCGTTGTCGGCCCTCCCCACCTTCTTCCTTTACGAACTTAAGGTACTCGGTCCTGCCTGCAGGCGGGCGTAGGGCGCAATGCATGACACGGTATGACGCCGAGGTGGGGGTGAGAGTTAGAGTGCCAAAGAGCCAGAGAGCCAGAGAAAGGGGGTTCGCGCGGGGGTTGGGTTCGGTGGGTGTTGAACCGAGGAGGCCAGACAGCTTCGTTACCTAAACTTGCCAGTAGTAAGCCCTGGACGCCCAGCTCGACAGCTGAGCTGGCCCCCCTTCTGCCCTTTCAGGGATTACCTAGGTAGGTAGGTAAATACCTAGGTACCACCAGGTACCTATGCTCACTCGCGCCCCTACGCAGAATCCGACGGTACGGATATCGGGACTTCCGTCGCTCTTTGGCTATACCAGGTAGGTACACCTTCTCACCAACCTGGAAGTCTTTCAGAGCTGCACAAACTCCGGACCCGGCACTATGCTTGAAATACTTGAACTCTTTCCACATTTACCATACTATATGTCCTTTATCTACAGTTAATACCCTAGCCTACCCAGTCCAACCGCTACAGCTTACTGCTGCCACTGGGCCTCTCCAAGGCCTGGGTGGCATTGCGGTAGTTCTTGACCAGCTGGCGAATGGCCAGGTCGAGCATGACATCCTCGCTGCCACCCGGGATACGTGCACCAGGTACCTCGCGGTAGATGCGCTCTGCGATCTCGCCCTGGCCTGTGCGCGTGTATCCGTTGCCGCCGAACAGGAGGACCGCCGTCTGGGCGCATTCGTTGAATACCATGCCGGCCTTTGCTTTCGCCAGCGCCGTCAACCCGCCGAGTTTTGCGTCCGCCTCGGCCTTGGTTAGCTGCGTCATCTGGTATAGGAACTGCTCGACCCAGGCCTGCATGGTCTCCAGCTCCGCGCCGGCTTTGGCTAGCCTGTGTCGCACGACGGGTTGCTCGATGAGGGCCTTGCCAAACGCCTCGCGCTTCATGACGTACTCGAACGCCGCCGACAGGGCCACGCGCGACTGCCGCGTCACGCTCACGGCGATGGTCAGCCGCTCGTGGTTGAAGTTGGTCATGACATAGCGCATGCCCATGCCTTCCTCGCCGATGAGGTTCTCCACAGGCACCTTGACGTCGTCCAGCTCGATGAAGGTCGTGCCGGCGCTGATCTGCCCGGCCACTTTCAGTCGACGCATCGTCACGCCCGGATAGCCTTTCAGCGGGCACACGATCATGCTCAGGCCAGCAGCGCCGGGGCCACCTGTGCGGACGGCCATTGCGGCGTAGTCTGACCAGAAGGCGTTGGTGATCCATTTCTATTCTTTCAATTAGCCCCGAACGCAACGCTCGCTGAAACATCTCGACAAGGGGAAAGTCGGGTATTAACCTTCTGTCCGTTGATAATGTAATGTTTTCCATCCGCGCTCTTCTTTGCCGTGGTGGCAATGTTGGCGACGTCGCTTCCCGCACCGGGCTCGGTGATGGCGATACAAGCTCGTTTCTTGCCCGGGAGCAGATCGAGGAGGAACTTTTCGTGCAGAGCTTTGCTTCCGAACTTGATGATGGCGGGGATACCTGCAGATGAAAACAACATGTCCCAAAAGTCAACATACGATTCGCCTCTGCGCACGCACTTCGTGTACCCGGGGATCAAATCGAAGAGCACCCACCAAATGCATGACCTGCCGTCATGGAGCCACCTGGCCCTCCGACGCCCGCACGTCCCATCTCGTCCAGGTAAATGCCCGTGTGCAGATAATCCCACTCTTCAATGGGTGTACCTAGGATGTCGTAGATGCCCACCCTGTGCAGCCACTCGACGGGCAGCGGCGCCGGCAAGTTGGGGATCAGCATGTTGTTTTTGCGGAACGTCTCGAACAGGTGGTCGGGGACCGTCTCCTCGCGCTCCCACTCCATGGCGAATGGGAGTAGGTGCTCCTCCAGAAACGCCCGGCACGCCTTCTGGAACCGCTTGTGCGTCTCCTTGTAGTACGGCGAGGGCATGCCCGCGAGCCAGGGCGGCTCCGAGAAGGGGATGATATTGTTACTCTTGACGGTCGACATCGTTGCTCTTGTTGTAATGTCAGAAGCGGGCCAGGCGAAGTAGCAGGAATCGCGATTGGAGGGAGGGAATGGATTTCAGGCAGGGATAGGTATATATCGTTCCCCTTACACGATAACAATTCAATCGAATGCCGGCGGGCCCCTGTAAGCGATCCAAAAACGAAAAGAAAGTATATACCTTTTACAGCTTCAAGGATCTCGAGAACTCAAGGGGACACATTGTGTAGTTCAGACGCCGATCCCCTCCAGAGATTTTATTGTATTGCGCATTTGGCGCCGCGTCGGCATCGAGGTACAATGGCCCTGAACAAGCTGACCGACTGCAGCCGACAGATGCCTCGGAAGTTTTGAAAGAGGCTTACGCAGTAATCAAGGGGGGGCCTCGTCTACACCCCGCAATGACCTATCAGAGTAGTGGGAGGCACGTGACGAGGCTGCGAGTCTGCATTGTCCTACGCACGCAGCACTATTCTTAACACGTCGAATGCAGAAACAGGGGGAGATGAGGAATAGAAGCTTCAAATGTCTTTGAATTCAAAATCAATGGCCCAGAGTAACCGCTATGTTTTAGCACCTGCGCCCAAGCTGACCGTACACCAAAGAATTCTGTACATGTCCGCATCCGTTCACCGACACCAGGAAGACAACCCATATCTGCAGAGGTTCCCCAACACCCATCCTTGTCTTACCCCTTCCACATTTCATCTCTTTCCCCACCCGACTAGTAGCCTGGATAAGCAGGCGCATCGACGCCGACAACCTCCCTGTTCATCCTCCTGGCCGTCGTCCTCATGGTAAAGGCAAAGTGAATTGCCCGCAGAATCTCCCTGAGATCCGGCACCGTCGCCCATGCCTTGATACCCAACACTCCACCGTAGTATTGGCCACCGGTCTCGTGTGCCATGTGCCGGTGCTGGTTGAACGAGTCATCGCTGCCGCTTCGACGGTTCAAAGCCTCCTGCGAAGACCTCGACTCGTCGATGTACTGCGGTGGAATCTCGGACAGCGGGAGCATGCGTGGCTTCGTGATGTCGTAGGGGGAAACGTCGTAGGAGTAGTGGAAGAAAATGGCAAAGGGCACCATCAGGATGCACGTGGTCATGGTGTCCAGGCCGAAGTTGACATCTGCGTAGGTCATGGTAGAGCTCTCCTTCAGTGCGCCGGTTGAGCGGAGAATCGTGAAAATGATCTAAGAGGCGGGAAATGGTGTTAGATAAAGCACAGCAAAAGTGGGCTCCGAGCCGGTGGAAGGTTGAACATACGTCTTGAAGGAATGACAAGCCGATGATGAGCTTGAAAGACAAAAACTTGGCCAGCGGCTTGTGGTGTTTCAAGTCCTTTTTCAGGGCATTGTAGAATCTGATGCACGATGTAACGGCCATGAAGATGGATATGTTGCCGATGATCGTCAGCTGCACACAGCAAAGTCAGACTGATTGACATTTCAATGTAAGGAGCTCGCCGCGAGCGGGATTGATAGATTCTTACCCAGATGTGGGAGAAGTGGATGTTACTGCTCTCCAGGCAGTACTTGTTGAAAGCTTGAGTGATATCGGTCATGACTGAAATCGCTAGAGATACAACAACGTATTGAAAAACGGAGACCCAAGCTTTCTGCACGGTCGTCAGTGAGTGTCTGGCTTGCCTGTATACTGCTTGGAATGTAAGCATGGACTTACCCTGTACCATTCCAACCCATTGCGCTGGGCATTATTTCCCTTCTCTTTAGCTCTGCGAGATTGAGGAACTTCAAACGCCGCGAAAAAGACGTCACGGAAATCCGGGCTCGGCGAGACGAACTCGCAGAGCAACAGGAAAAAGCTTCCCAGAGCGATGGCTTCCCAGAAATCCCGCCACGGGTCGAGGTACGGGTATGCATTTGGGAAAGCGATTCCAAGTAGCGAGAAGAGACTGTAGAACGGAGGTAGGAGACAGATTTTCAGGATCCTGCGATGGAAAGCGTCAGTCTCGGTATTCCCATCCGCAGGAAATCCACAGGAATAGCACTCACTTGCTCTGTTCGTTGGGTTTGCTGAAATGCGTCGCGTGTCTGGCCATGAGGACGAATATCGACAGACACACGAATGCAGTGCAACCGCCTGAGAGACACAGATTGAATTGTCTAAAAGAGAGGTTTCCAATAAATGGCTCTGGAGCATCTGAATCGCATTGTTAATGGAGAGATATTCCTTGCTCTGCTCGTCTTCAACATACCAGCTTGTAGAGGATTGGGCATGCTGCACACGTGGGAGTCCCCATTATCGTTATCGAATATTCCCATGATTGCAGATATCCTGTGAGAATGTTGTCCTTTTTCTCCAACACTTTCTGATAATTAATGGAACAGATGCTTCTGTGTCGTCTCGATTAAAGATGTCGGAGGAAACAAGAACAGGACTGCCAGACGGGCTTTATACCATCCATTGAAGTTGATCATCCTACTGATATGCATCAGAGGCTTTAGGCCAGGTTTGAGACTTTCAGGCCCTCCACGACTTTTTTCAGGCAAGTCCACGAGGTTGCCATAGCATTCGTGAGACCTTTTCTGTTGACAAGGGGCACTCCATATTGGCGGTCTCATGTCTGCAGATCGAATCGCGTCGCTTTCAAGTCTGTAGTATGTCATAGTTCGAGGCAATGCGTGTCTCAAGGCTTCAGGGACGACAGGCAGCAACTAATTATCGAGGGGATTTCCACCCTTCGGCAGCCACTGGCACTCGGCCCCGCGAGCTTCAGCCTTGTGGCGCAGCTCGAATTGGTTACCACAAATGGACAAGCGTAGATAGATGCATTCCACTGCCTCGTCTCGCTCATTTTGCTCAATCGGTGTCTCCGTACTCGGCAAATAGTGCGACCTTGGGGACTTTTGATAAGCGGGAGATGATCAACTGGCCCAGATTGTGGAATCGTCTATTCCGTAACTAGCCTTCTCTCCCTTTTGGCGAGCAGATGACTAGAGAAGTGCTTGAACCTCTACCATTTCCCGCCTTACATTGGTGATGAGGGTGAAAATCAGGTCAAGAACGCGGCCCTAATTCCCTTCTTTTGATGCTACCGTCAGAACGTGACCTTTGTCATTGAGTTTCAAGCCATAGCTGACTCCGCCGAGCCTGCGCCTCTGAAGTATACACTTCGAGTGCATTCCGCGAGGTGGAAAATGAATAAATGGTGTTCCCGGTCAGCTCAGATTGAGTGGGCTGTAGCCAGAAGTCTTTTCGAAGTGTGAAGACCAAATACATTGTGTTGTTGACCTCGTTTTCAGCATGCCGAACGTGGGGAGACCAAGCCGGGATTGCCATCTGTGCCGACAGCGGCGGGTGAAAGTGAGTACTGATTCGAACAACACGTGGCTGGACCTGCATTAATAAGTCACCCCAGTGTGACTTGGGCCAACCGGAATGCAATAGGTGCATACGCTTGGGGAGGAGCTGTCCAGGATATCGGGACGAGCTTGAGCTCATGTTCCGCGTCGAAAGCCCTACTTCATTCGCCCAGGGCGTCAACCGAGACCGCCGACGCAAAAGGCTCAGTCCATGGTGCAACTCAGGTCCTCGCGGGTCATCCTCGCAGCATGCACAACGTGAAGAGTCTGGGAAATGTTGCGAAAAGGACGATCCGCTGCCCTCAAGACTGCTTGATCCAGGTGATTCCGACAACCTGTACAATTGCGGCTGGAAGCTGACGCGGGTAGATGTTGTGATTTTCTCTGGCTGGTATATATTTCCCACGCGCCAGTTGGCAGAATGCTGGGACAACCATGCCTCTACGCTGGCATTCAGCAATATGACTTGTCCTCAGAAACATCAAATCACGACAGGATTGATCGACACCAATTTCCTGTCTTCCATGGTGTCAGAAGCAGGGCAAGACTCTCCCATCGTGCTAGCCTGCCGAGCCATTGGACATGCTTTCCTCACCAGCAAAGTGGACACGCCTGAAACGCGATCCAAGCGAGCGGCAACATACGGGCAAGCCTTGGAAGCAACAAATATGGCTCTCGAGGATCCAATCATGCAGACGCAAGACGAAACTCTTGCGTCTGTCTGGCTGTTAAGTCTTTATGAGGTAAGTATCGCCTCATGTCGTGCTTTGCGCAGTCCCACACCCACAGGATCCATGATTATATGGATGCATCTCGAAGATCCATTTGAATATTCCATAACAGACCGGCGCTGACCACACCATCTCAGCTCATTGTCTCACCAGGTAAGGGGCATCAACCCCTCGACTTTTCACCAAATACGTATGGAATCGGTTCTTGGATAGTTCATACTCAAGGCCTGGTGAGTTTGCTGCGGCTGCGTGGCACTTTGCATTTCTGCAGGCCGCTTGCGCGGGACTTGTTCTGGCTGATCTACAGTTCAGTGGTGAGTGATTGTTTCAATTTGTCGTCTTTGATTGCATGTTGCTAATCTAAATATTAGCTCGTCAGATGCTTCATCACAAACATGGCAAGCCCCTCAGAATCTTCGAGCTGGTTTCGGGAATTGGAAAAGGACCTGACTGAAGACGAACTGCCAACTCATCAACTCTGCGTGTATGGCCATCATGCGTCCACTTTCTGTGCGACTATCCGACAAGTCATTGACAAATGGACCACCGGTTCGGCCAGGGCAGCAGCAGAAATATTCGCCGAAGTGGAGGGCTTTGAGAGGAGAATGCAGCAGTTGTGGCACGTCACTTCCGGCAACCCCAGCGTTGAGACTGTTGAGATTTCTGACTCGAACATTCGGCTCCTCTGCTGCCGCACATATCTCCACGCCTTTCGACTGAAGCTCCAATTGACTCTGTTAGAGCTTTTGGGCAAAATGAGAACAGAGAGATGCGATGTGAGAGCAGGCACACTGCAGCATGAATTTCAGCTTAGAGTCGAGACTGTGCAAAGTGTGGCCGATGAAATCCTTGCGTGTGTTCCGCTGCTGCTGTCAACGAATACCGCCTCAGGAGGCTCCCCAAAACTAACACCAAGAGTTTGGAGGGACGGAGTCCGCTTACTCTGGCCGTTGCGGCTTGTGGCACTTTGGAGCGCGACCAGAGATGACCAGAAGAGGGCTGCGAAGATCATACTTCAACAAATAAGGGACGAGGTGGGAATCTACCCAGCTGGAGCGTTTCCCCCGTCTTTCTTAGCGGACATGGCTACAAAATGAGACTCAAGCCCGGGGGCTTAGCTAACATGTTCAAGAGCGGGCTGCGCCGTTGGTTACCGTTTCGCCACTGCTGCTGGGATCTTTGAGCCCTTCATCGGCGTCATCAGCATAGCTTCAAGTGACGTAGATATTCTGAGGCATCTTACCTAGATATGCAGCTGTGTGGGTACTAATGAGTAAGGCGTGACAAGCATTAGTCACAGCCGATGCTTGTCAGCCGGCGATGTTTGACTAGCGCATCTCGACAATAGACCCTGAAACGGAAATCGACGCGAACCAATCAATCCTGGTGAGGATGGCTGAGGTTGCACAAGGAGCATATCTAGTAGAGCATAGCCATCACGAATGACACCAGTGGCCGACCTCGGGGCCGAGTTCCATGCATAAACGCTACATCGGTTGCTAGAGGCCTCCGTTTCGTGGAGTGAGGCTGTTCTTTGACAATGCTCCCCTCCTGATTTGGCCTTCAGCAAGAACTCGTCCCTCGAGGTCAAGCTTGGCTCAAGCCCTTTGTCCAGACGTGGCTCTCCAACCTCGTTGTCCATTAACAGTATATAGTACATATCACGCAGCACGCATCTTCATATACTCATTACTGCAACTGGTGCAGTATTCGTCATACCAGCCTTTGAGGTCATCGCCAATGTCCGTATAGTTCTGCTCGAGGTCATCCAAGACCAGTCCCTCCACGATCTGACATCGTCGATGCTCATCCAGAACCCACTGCTCCCAAGCGGCCTGCATCACTTGTCTTTCAATGCTATTGACAACCCGCACCGCAACAAGGAGATCATGCCGTTGAGTCCCGAGTTGTTGACGCGTCTGCTGGACTTTTGCGGCTGGAGTCTGTCTCAGCCCGGCTTGAAAGTACTCCGGCTCGTTTTCATCATAGAAGACGCTATAGCAGACACTGGACTCTCGCGCCGGCAGATTTGCTTCCCGGCTGAGAATATCGTCCAAGTCACTGATATACACTGCCCGGCTCATCACGGTATTGGGCGAGATACCAAGCCGAGCCATGAAATTACCAGCCCTGCGTTCGTGCCACCAGTCAAGCGAGTCTCGATATGTATGCCAGCTATTGTACAGTGCTGAAAAAACAAGTGCCACCAAGATGAGTTTATTAGCAGACAGTGTTTTGGCAAACCATCTCAGGATGCTCAACAATGACTGCAGGAGAGTCCCCAAGGCACTCTCCGCCGTCGATGCAGCGCTCTGAGCCAATAGTCCAGTTAATGTTCGGGAAATGGGCTGTCTCCTCAATTCGATGCTGAGTGCCGATGCATCCACCAGAAGCTGTGTTGTTTCTGTTGAATGGCCGACTTGGCCAAAGATCTGAATCGCCTTTTTGGTGCGGCTGTGAAGGCCAAGCTTGCGAACTTGATCCGCCACCAGATCCGCGAGATCTTGAGAATCGAGTTCGAGGTCATACAGCGCCTGTCTCTCAACCACTCCTCCCAATATCCAGGCTGCGCGCCCCCACTCTACCTTGACAAAAACAGCGAGCTTGCATTTGGCCTTTGCAACATGAGTGATGACGATCTTGCTGACGAGGCGATGCTTGTTTTGGTAGGGGAGATGCCACGGGGTTCTCTTGTCAGTGACGACGTAGCATAAGTGATCGCTATTGACATCGATTGTTTGATAATCATGAACTTGCGCATACGATTCGTGGCCGAGCAGAGTTTTGGTGGGAGTATCGAACGTGAATTCTCTTCGAAGCCGTCCTTCTCCGACGCTTAACCACGGCCCTTGGGACACATTCTTTGCGCGTCTTTCATGTTGAAGCAGTTGCCACAAAGCGCTTTTATCCCCAAACATAACATGGAACAACGCTTTGGCGCTGATATCAAATTCTCTCTCGACCGCCAGCCGTAGATTCCCGGGGGGTGTATAATTCACAGGCTGAGCAGGCAGTTTAAACTTTGATTCCCTGCGCCCTAAATGGGTCTGATGAAGGGTACGATCAACCCTCAGTGGGCCCCGTAGTTCAGTCCCAACAGTGGACGCTCTGCCTCGATATCGCGGCCCACCAGTGTCAACCGGAGTATTTGGAGACACGTCCTCCCAGCTTTCCAGGCTGGGGCTCCTGTCAGGAGTCTCGGTCTCCATTTTGATCAGAGCCTTCATCAACCCCTCCAATTCGAGGGGCTCCTCGGAAGCATTGTTTCTTATCAAAAAGTTCAAGCGCCTTTGCAGAAGTCTCAAAGGTTCCAGAAATGTTTTGATTGTGATTCGTCGGCTACTGGCGTCGCTCGCAGCGTCCTTGAGGTGCAAGAAGATAAAGTCACAGTCTCTTCCGGGAGCAGCAGTGGCCTCATCAATGGATCCAAGAGGTACACTCGATGTGAGAACCAAGCCCAGATGGTTGCTGTAAAAATAGATATCCCTGGGAGTCACGTAGACTCGGCCCGGGAATTCTTGTTGCTCGCTGGGGTTCCAGGTTGCCCTGAAAACCATGACCAGTCTGTCGTCGCGTCTAACATTAGGAAAAAGAAGGCGGAACTGTGCGTCCTGAGACTTGAGCTGCAGAGGATAGTAGTTAGGGAAGTCTGGCACAAGACGCTCGTGATTAATCTGTTTCGAGGTGTCGCGATCCACGCTTATAGTGCTCCTGTGCTGTTTCTTACTTGGCGACGGCGTCCGGCTTCGGGTGGCCGTTTGAGGCACACTCAGATCAAGCTGCGGAATGTTATTTTGCAAGGCAACGGCCGAACGGGTAGGTGTAGATGATATTTTCGGAGGTGAAAACGATGCCTGAAGCGTCGGGCTTCGTTGCGCCAGGAGTTTGACTTCTGTCTTATCGTTCGGGTCAGTCCGTTCAAGTCGATTCAGAAAAGCTGTGCAGGAAGTCCCCCAGGTGTTGGCCAAAAGACCTGTTGGAAGCCCAGTCTTGTCCGGGGCAGGGCTCAAGCCACGCTCCCCTGTAATGATAACGGCTGACTTGCTCAAATTGGTAGGGGACGGTACCGAAGCCAAAGTCGAAGGAGCAAGACTGCTGGCAGGCATATCTCGAAGAGCCAAAGTAAAAGCACTTCGTGGTTTGGAGAACTCGCCCTCGGCACTTTGGAGCATGGGAATACTCGGACCAACAGGCATGGAACCATGAGTAGCGGCAATCAAGCTCGCAATGCCACCAGGGAGATTTGGCGTCGATGGGCTGGCAGACACCTGGGTCGGAGCTGGACTCTTCCGGTGGAGATCAAGCTTTGAAATTATGCGAGAGGCAGTGTCACGATGACCGCCATCATCCATAGCTGTTGACCTTCTAGGCAAGTCGACACTACTGTCGCGCCCATGTTCGGTCCCCGGAATTGGCAGGGTGTTGGTCTTTTCCAGGGCAGAGATATCGTCTCCAACGGTACCCGGTTCTGTCGACCCAAGGATAAAAGTGCCAAACTCGGGAATGGGTGGCGCACTTATTGCAAAGGCGGCACCAGCTTGAATGTTCCCGCTGCCCGAAGTCAAGCTGCGAAAACCCTCTGCATCGTTGACTGCCATGGACTTGGCAACGTGAAAAGCGTCAATCCACTCCACCAACTCTGACTGGGTTTCTGCTTGGAGGAGGATCGTGTTTTTGTTCGTCTTGAGCTCAAAACAGAAGCGACGTTCTTCTGCAGGCGCGGGGCGGACATTACAGAGTAGAACACCGATTCTCTCACTCTCTTCGACGCCTCCTGCTCTCGTGCCTTGCAGCAACCAGCCAAACACTCCATTGCGGACGAATGCCCACCTCTTTACCCAGACAGTCCGAGTGGGTTTCCCACTATAGGTTCGGAGGAACAGCCAGCCTTGCTTCTCGCCAGTTTTGGAGGGGGGCTTTTTGGGCGAGCTTTGAAGGGTCGAGGTGCTGGCGCTATGGCCATGACCAGAAAATTGAGGGACGGTCGACAAGGTGTAGTCCTCCAATTCTCGTGAGGGACGGGTTTCGAGTTCGGCCGCATCCTCCAGCTGTTTCTTCGCAGCCAGGAGCTCCTTGCGAAAGGCTTTTTCATTAGCCTCCAATTCCGACAGCCATCCCTTGATTCTCTGCATCTCGTCGGCGCTCCGTTGAAAAGTCGCGGTTGTGTTGTCGCGCGAGAGACGCATCTCACGCCATTGGTCAAAGAAGATCTTGACCAGGAGCTTATCCAGTGCAAAGCGAAACTGCGGAGCCATGCTGGAGAAGTCCATTATGGCTTTGATGTAGAGTTTGCGGGCCTCGTGCAGCTGGAAAGCCTCCTCCCTCAGCGACGAAGGTTCTTTCGATTTACCCAGTCCAGCATATTTGCCTTGGAGATGTTCAAAGGTTTTCTGGGTAGCTTCAACAGCTCGGCGAGCATCTTTGAACGGTCGCAAGTCGTTCTGGAGGAATTGCCTTATGGGATCAATGACCATGATAGATAATCTCTTGACAACTGCGATCATGCTCATCCAATAGTCTTTGGCACCATCTGCGAACTTCTTCATAGCCAAAACGCTGTAGTCATGATCCAACATCGACTCGGAGATGTTGGTGGGGAGGACGGCGTGGGCGATGAAGTTGTTGAGGACATTTTCTAGGGTCAAGGATTCGGAAACGAGTCTGTTGGAGGCTTTGGCATAGTCGTCGAGCCATTTCTCCAGGAGGTCGACTTGCTCTCCGTAGTGGACAACGGTGGCGCGGGCGGTGGGCGAATCGATCGCCGCTTCCTTCAAACCGACAGGAATCAAATTGATCAGTCTTCCGACATCGTCGACAGGTGGCGTTGCCTGCGCCATTGTCAAAGTGCGAACAGATGTGGGCAGAACCTAGAGCGGTTGTGGTGGGAGTCTGGGGTGAATCATGCGTTAAGCCACATCTGTGCGGCAGCGCCCCTTACAGAGAGCGTACAGCAAGGCAGCGAGCACAATTCAGGGTAGAGACAGTGAGGTAGAGTGAATTGAGCCAGGAGCAGAGTGCAATGAACAATGGGCTGGAGAAGTATGAAGTAGTAGGTCATGGATACATTTCGCGTCTCGACGGAATTGAAGTCGCGAAATCATGATTTGGAGATCGCAGTTTGGAGTTCCGAGTACGCAGTGCCTACTAGGTATCTCGCTATCCCGCTGGCGGCTGCGGAGCTCATGCACACCTTGGAACCCAACAGTCTTCCCTGTACCGAGCTCGCCGACCGCCAACGCCCTCTGTTCACCTGCCTACTACTGGTAGCCATCCCACTGTCTTAGATGCCTGTACGCCTCTCCGTGAGTCATTTCTGCCAATTAACTGTTTTGTGGAGAGCTAGGCCGGGAAAAGAGTGACAGCTAATTACATATTACTGGAGCTCAAGTGCGACAACCTCACTAGAAAGCTTTCATCCTGCCATCATTTCCCTCTGCTTTCTTTTCTGCATTATTCCGCTTCTTGACTTTCGCAATCACCTCATATTAGCATGGCGAGTATCTTCGCAAGGTGTGATGCTGTACCTGTTCAATGCGCTGACACTCTGATGTTGCCAAAATATTCACCTACTACCAGGCGACTCTGGGTGGTCGCACTGGATTGACAAGGATACGTCTCCTGCGATGAGCCTGCTGTCATGCTGCTCCGATGTCGAAGCAGTTGTCAAAGAGCTCACTAATATCTCCGTCTTCCATCAAACGTCTAACGACTCCATCAGGTGAGTTGAGCAATACCGGTACCAAAGTGCCACCCAGGCACTTTGGAAACTTTGTAAGCTTGGTGGTGGCTGCCTAGCTGCCTACGTGCCAGGCGTGGCTTGGGCTGAAACACTCATTGTACAGACCTGCCAATTGTCCTCGACGGGGTTCGGCATTAATATAGATCTAGCAGCGCCTCGTCTCAAAATCAAGCGCAGACATCCAGTTCGACCATGTCATGATACACCTAGCTGAATGGCTGTCACGTTCCTCGAAGTCTTGCGTTGGATCATAGTTGGCATTTTCGCTCCGACCCTAGTCTTCAGTGCCATCTATGTCATTTGGCGGGCTGGCTTCACTGCTTCTTTAGCATTTATCATTGGCCTCCGCTGGCTCAGAGGACCGGCTTTGTGGCTGACAGATGCGTTCGCCTTCGTTCCGTCAAAAGTCACAAGCAGTATCCGATCCTTAATCCGTCGCAAACCACCGAAGAATCTCAAGAGACGACATTTTCTGACCCGGTTTCCAAAGCAAGACGAGTTTCCTTCGACGATCCTAAACGATAAACAGACCAACCTCGAAAACCTTTTCGCTTCATATGGTCGTTACCTCAACCTGCACGCAGATGTTGCTGAAACCAATGCGACGCTATTTCGCATCCGGAAGTGGCTGCGTACCTGCGAATGGTATCACAAAAGCGACGACAACAAACTCCCACAATGCACACCGCTACATGGAAGCGATCACGGCGCCCCAGTCTGGCTCATTGACATTGAGCAGTGCTGTCTAGTTCCTTACGAGCACTCGTTTCGGTACATCGCTCTGAGTTATGTGTGGGGCAAGATCGAAACTGCAAAGACGTTGCGATCCAACCTTGATGCCCTGCAGCAGCCCCGGTCTCTCCTTGGACCAACCTCAGTTGTGCAATTGCCCACTACTGTTCGAGACGCTGTCTTCTTGACAGGATACCTCGGACTTCGTTATCTGTGGTGTGATCGACTTTGCATCGTACAGGATGATCCAACCTCGAAGCATTCGCAGGTGCGACAGATGGCTGAGATCTACGCTCGGGCTTACTGCACCATTGTTGCCTTGGACAACTCAAGTGCCGAGTCGGGCTTGCATGGAATCCCAAACATCTGCGCTAGTCATCGACACAGAGAGAACGGAGATATGGACCTGGAGAAAGCTGTTTGGCCATCGAGAGCCTGGACCTGGCAGGAAGAGTTGTTCTCTGTCAGGATCATCTGGATGTCTGCCAGCCAGGTTAGCTGGCAGTGTTCATGTATGCCGTCCTCGGCTTGCAACAGGGGAAAGCACGGTCAGCATCACAATGCCCAAAAGCGAACCCTTCCCGACATCTCGGACGAAGGCACATCCGTTCAGATTGGAGGCATGCTGTGCCCGCAACGCCCGTCGCTGAAGTTTTACACCACATTGGTACAAGACTATAGCCAGCGACACGTCCATGAGAATCATCCAGAAGACATCTTCCATGCCTTTTCCAGTATTCAAGTCGTCCTTTCCAGAACCTACCCGGGTGATTTCATTCAATGTATACCTGCATGTTTCTTCGCCCCATGCTTGCTGTGGAGCCCACGACAGGACGGTCTCTGCAGGCGGATGATCAAGGACGAGGTGGGTAGCGTAATGTCCGCAAGTTGGTCATGGGTTGACTGGTCGGGTCCAGTCGATTTCCAGCGCATGACGGCTGATCCATACATGGAGTTATGCCAGTGTGTTGTCTCTTGGTCTGTCAGTGAATCAATCACTCCAGAGAGTGTGACTGTCGTAAGGGCAGCGGCAGAAGCTTGGAAAGACCACAAAGAGTTTACTGCGTTCGAGAATGGGATGAAGTCCGTGGCGTACGCACCACAGCCATGTCTTCCACCAGCCGCTATTGACAATCCCGTGCAAGGAACAACATTTTGTGAGCCGCGTTCGACCTCTGGGGACTGCGAGACGGCAGCGCCAATTTCACATCTAGGGACTCACGGCGTCTTCCTACATGGTCGTGTGTTGTATGGACAATTTCGGGTCGACGAAAAGGACTATATCACTGGCCAGGGCATCCGTCTGGAGTCCTGTACGACAGGCAAATTCGCTGGCGTGCTCGGACGCTGTAGTCCACGTCTTGGCGCCAACAAAGTCATCAACTTCATTGCGATTTCGCGTGGTGAGATGAAGATCAAGCATCAACGGTTCGTGGAGACAACGCCTTCAGAAGCTCCAGCTGTTCTTCAGAATCGATATGGACAAACCTTCGAATATCGCAAGGAAGACCTCCCAGAAGAATATCACGTCTCTGCAAAGATAAGTACGGGAGCTTGTGGTCATGCATCATGCACTCGACTCGAGGGATTGGAGCTTGATCGTCTGTATAGTCCGAAGGAGGTCTATGAGTTTTATGATGCCATGTGGGTAGACTGGGAAAATGGCGTCGCTTACAGGCGAGGCCTTGCACGGATCGCCAAGGACGTCTGGGAGCTCGAAACATTGGGCTGGATAGATGTCACGCTGGGATAGAATCCTATGGCTTGTGGAATCGTTTTCATTCTGCTGGTAAATCTGCTCTCTCGGTGCTTGATGATGGAGACTTCCACTTTTAAGAAGCGGGGGAAAACCAGAGCATGCTTTGTTTCACAAAGAAATAGAAGCTGCATGCCTACGTATAGCAAATAAGCATAGGCCATCAATGGGCCAAAAAGCTGCTACTTTTATCGTGCGCTTGAAGTATCCGCACCTCGAGTATCAATTGCGCCCCCAGGACCAGAGGGAACTAGGTCTCTCCGTATTGATATATAGTCTTGGATCAAGCTACTAGAGACAATGGTGCTATTCAAGAAGCAATGTGCTGATAATAGGGACTTTGGGATAAGGAGTCTTCGTGGCAGCCTTGTTGCAGGGCCAGCAGGACAAACCAGATGCGGAGATTCACGCCAAGATTCCATCGGGTGGCATGCGGAGAAATTTTTCGAGAATCTTAAGGCCAGCCCGACACAATCAACCGCTACATTAGTATAATTTCTGTTCTCCTGACCATACCTGCATCCTAGAACATGGCCCGTGAATTGCTAAGCAGCGACTCGTCCGACAGCGAAGATGGAGGCGCCGATGTCCCACCCAGTGACGAACTCAAGGTCAATGAGGCATATGCCCGCCGCTTCGAACACAACAAGAAACGAGAGGAATTGCAGAGATGTACAAATCCTTCTCCGTCTTGATGATGGGAATATGGTTAAGCTGACACTTTCTTCATAGTAGAAGAAAAACTCGGCAAATCCTCCACGTCCCGAAAACGTAAACGCGGCGACAACGAATCTCTTGACGGTGACGACAAAGGTACTGACTCGGACGATGACTCGACCAGTGAGTCCGAAGATGAGGGGGAGTTGGTGACGGAAGCTCTTGACTCGGAGATCATGGCCACACTCAACGCAATCCGCTCGAAAGACCCCCGCGTTTACGACCAGTCTGTCACGTTCTATACCAACGACGACGATGAGGAAGAGGCAATTGCGAAGGCAAGGAAGGAGAAACCTATGCACTTGCAGGACTACCACAGGCAAAATCTACTGAAGGGTGATGCGGGAGTGGAAGAGGAAGACACTGTGCCTTTGACGTACAACCAAGAGCAAGAGCAGCTAAAGAAATCCATCATTGGAGAAATCAACGCAGCCGCGGAGGAGGACGACGACGAAGAAGAAGATGAGGGCGAGGATAAGTTCCTCATTGCGAAGAGAAAGGAGAAGTCGGCCAAAGCCGACGTTGTTTTGGACGTTGACAACGCAGACAAAGATCCTGAAACTTTCTTGTCAAACTTCATGGCCTCGCGCGCTTGGGCGGCTCCCGACCCTTCTAATCTCCACCCTTTTGAGTCGGACGATGACGAAGAAGACAAAAGAGCAGACGAGTTTGAAGAGGCATACAATCTGCGATTTGAGGATCCTGAAAAATCGAACGAGACGCTACGCTCTCATGCGAGAGACTTGGCTGCCAAATACTCTGTTCGGAGACAAGAGGCGAACCCCCGACAAAAGAAGCGAGAAGCCGAGAAGGCAAAGAGAGAAGCTGAAAAGCAGCTGCGAAAAGAAGAGAAAGCCCGTCTCCGCAAGTTGAAAATTGAGGAGCTTGAAGAGAAGGTGCGCAGGATTAAGCGGGCCGCTGGTATTAAAACCCAGGATATTCGGCCCGAGGATTGGTCACATCTGGTTGACGACGACTGGGACGACGCTAAATGGGAGGAGGAAATGCGCAAGCGTTTTGGCGATGAGTACTACGCTGAGGAAGACCTTGCGAGCGAGGACGAGACACATGGGAGGAAACGGAAACCTCGCAAGCCCAAATTTGACGACGACCTTGACATCAAGGACATAGTGCCTGATTTCGATGGAGGTGATAAGGCGGACTTCAGTTTGACCGATGAAGACGCTCCTCCGAAGAAGGCGAAGAAAGGAAAGAAGTCTGTCCAAGAGGACAAGCGGGACACAAAGAAAGAACGGCGAATAATTGAACAACTGGTGACCGACCAACTACAACTGGAGCTGGATGCATCTCTACCAAACAAGAAGACCGGTGGCTTCACATACCGTGAGACATCGCCCAAGAGTTTTGGCCTTACTGCAAGGGACATCCTGCTAGCTGACGACAAGCAACTGAATGAATTTGTGGGGTTGAAGAAACTGGCATCATTCCGCGACCCGGAGAAGAAGCGCAAGGACACGAAGAACCTGGGGAAGAAAGCACGGTTGAGGAAGTGGCGGTTGGAGACCTTTGGCAACGAAGAAGGACTGCAAGCCAGCAATCTGATTCCTGCGCGGCCTGAGGTCCGGGAAGACAGGGCTGAGGAAGATGAAGCTGGAGTAGACATCAGAACAGAGGGAACGAAGAAAAAGAAGAGAAGAAGGAACAAGAAGTCGAAGACAGAGGTTGATACAGTTGTCTGAACAATATTGTGGAGATGTTATGGGGAATCTCGAATGTCTGGACCTCGGGAGGAAAAGGGGATCACACTTAGCCCAGGCCGAAAGGAATGCTTCTCAGCCTTGCCTCCATTTCTTGCAATGGCTATAGATCGGCTTCACATGCTCCTGGCTGAATCCCTCACTTCTCGGTCATCGAGCCCCTGTATGCCATTATCCGGGAGGGTCCCCTTTCAAAAAGTCTCCTATCCAAGGCACAAAACATCGCCCTCAGAGAGAGATATTACAAAATGTCAGCTCTTATTCGTGTTCAAGAGCCTCATGTGGCCGGGTTAATCTTCACCGAAGATCTCTGGAGAAGCTGTGGATCGTCGAGGGAGCAAGACTGCTTCGCGGCAAAATGGGCGGAAGAATGGGCACGACTGAGAGAATTTGTTTAAGCAGCCGAAGGTGCCGTCCAGTGGCTGGCCAGGGCTTGACACCCTTCCCCCGGGCCAGCGCGATAGGGGCCACGGGCGAGCCGGTTGCTGTGCAGTGAGCGGTCCTTTTTTTTCGCTCAGCGGAGACAAATTTTTGATTGCGGACGATAATTGCCCGGGGCGGACGGCGCTGAGATTTCGCTGGTGGCTCGGGAAAAGTGCCACACCCAGTGCCCACTGCCGCCCACTGCTGCCCACCAGCAGCTTCTCATATTGACGGTTATGCTGAGAGAGATCCGGCCCTTACCGCTTCGGGTTTAGCACCAATCGAGCTCCCAATCCCTTTGAAAAATACCTGTCCGCTTCTAAACTTCCTCCATCTCTCTCTTTCGCATCTTCGCATCTTTTTTTTGCGTCCAACCCATCACTTTCTTCCTTTCTCTCCTCTCAATCATAGTCCTCGGTTCTTCATAACCGCCGTCAAGATGGCCAAAGGGTTAGTCTACGCTCCATCCGCTGTCAATTCGTGCCCTTGTGCAGCTGCTCCTGTTACCCGGCGGCCTCCCTGAGCTGCACGGGCAGCATCCGAGCCAACCCTGAGCCAAATTCAGACGGACACAAAGCTGACTTGTTGTCTTCTAGAGACGTGGATCAAGGGGCCAAGACGATATTCGGCATGCCCGGTAAGGCTTCACCGTCGTTGATGTCGACGTCTAGGACTCGAAGAGCTCCCTGGCGCTCAGCTCGACGACCCGATGATTTGAAGCCACGATCAACAGGAACTGACTTTGGACCCCAGGATTCGTGGTCGACTTTTTGATGGGTGGTGTTTCTGCCGCTGTCTCGGTGAGTAGCGCTCCAGTTCTAGGAGTAGTCGAAGGGGAAAATGAAACTGACAAATTTTTCCAGAAAACTGCCGCCGCCCCCATTGAGCGTGTCAAGCTTTTGATCCAAAATCAGGTATGTTCTACCTGCTCCATACCATGCAACACATCTACATGACACCTGCAAAACTCCTTCCCACATCCGAAAGATTTTGGTCCACCACACCTTGAAAAATGCTCTTATCAAAAATACTCAATGCGATGATAACACCACGACGAGCCACGGAATGAGCGCAAAGACTTACGATGACGTTTAGGATGAAATGCTCAAAGCCGGTCGTCTTGACCGCAAGTACAATGGTATCATTGACTGCTTCAGCCGAACCATGAAGAGCGAAGGTGTCATGGCTCTGTGGAGAGGTAACACTGCCAACGTTATCCGATACTTCCCTACCCAGGCGCTCAACTTCGCCTTCCGTGACACCTACAAGTCGATGTTCGCCTTCAAGAAGGAGCGTGATGGATACTGGAAGTGGATGGCCGGTAACTTGGCCTCTGGTGGTGCTGCCGGTGCCACTTCCCTCCTCTTCGTCTACTCCCTCGATTATGCTCGGTATGTCTCGTGCCTCTATCTTACTACCTGTGGCTGTCTGCTCATTCAATCTCGCACAGTACCCGTCTTGCCAACGATGCCAAATCCGCTGCCAAGGGTGGTGGTGGCCGTCAATTCAACGGTCTTCTCGATGTCTACCGCAAGACCCTGGCCTCCGATGGTATTGCCGGTCTCTACCGTGGTTTCGGTCCTTCGGTTCTTGGTATCATCGTCTACCGTGGTCTGTACTTCGGCATGTACGACTCTATCAAGCCCGTTCTCTTGGTCGGTCCTCTCGAGGGTAACTTCTTGGCCTCTTTCTTGCTCGGCTGGGGTGTCACCACTGGTGCCGGTATCGCTTCCTACCCTCTTGATACCATCCGTCGTCGCATGATGATGACGTCCGGTGAGGTAAGTTTATCAATTCTCACATTCCTCTGGGATCCGCGAATTTGTCTAACCGCACTGCGCAGGCCGTCAAGTACAAGAGCTCGTTCGATGCTGCCCAGAAGATCATGGCTGCTGAGGGTATCCGATCCTTCTTCAAGGGTGCTGGTGCCAACATTCTCCGTGGTGTTGCTGGTGCCGGTGTGCTCTCCATCTACGACCGTATGTCTCAATTCTGTTCTTGTGATATATCTCGTGCTAACAAACCTGACAGAGGTCCAACTTCTCATGTTCGGCAAGAAGTTCAAGGGCGGTTCTGGCTAAGCGCCTCGTCACTTGATTGCGACGATTCCGACAAGCGACTGTTCCAATCGCATCAAATGGTGTAACCGGGGAAGCATGGGGTAATAGCGCGCCTTCAGTTGGGAGGCTCAAAAGGTGGTGCGAGACTGTACGATGACATGGTGAGAGGTTCGCCGGAGCAGCCAGCAGGGTGGGCGGACCGAGTCGAGAGAGACACGAAACACATTTTGCAAATAGAGACGACACAAACGGGGGATTGACGGAGGAAAATGGCCACGTTGAACCTTCGTTGGGGGTTTTGTTCACAATATGCAATGGGGTTTCTTGCTTTACACAGCATCCTTTCGTTTTCCTCCTTCCACTCCGGTCTGCTAATTGTACCTTACTGCCTCGGCCTTTGTGTTTGCAAAATCATCTCACTTTTGCTCCATCTGCCAGCTTTTCGGGCTATGTCTGATTCTTTTGTTTCTTTCGATCCCTCTTTATCCACACCCGGCACCCACCCGACAATTCCCCTGGCAGGATTGATTTCCTTGCAGGTCAGCAAGCGTGTTTGTTGGTTCGCTTGCGAGCTGTAGTACAATACTATTGATCCGGTCCACCAATCGAGAGAAGCCCTTCATCTACCAATCTCCCTCTCTCTCTCTCCATCTCTAAGCTGCCACCATCCCACAGTCAACAGTCTTCTTCTTTCAGTTTGAGTATCCCTCTCACAGAAAAGGGGAAAGTAAGGAGTGATTGGCAGGTGTTTTGTGTTGGTCCTCAATTGATGCGTCTACGAGTACATTAGATACCCTGCTCGCCAGGTGCTCATGCTGATCCTGGTACGGAGAGGACTAAGTAATACAAGCCGATTCTTTGTTGCCCGGCAAAACTCCCAGTACTCGGTACTCGCAACAGGAACAAGAGACTGTATCCATACCACCGATCCCAGTTCCGCCATGCACATAGGCTTTTGTGCGAGAAAATCCTGCCATTCGCAAAATCATTCCGGGCCCCCCAAGCGCCTTCATCCTATTTGTACTTCCCCATAGGGTGTCGACCCATTCAAACCATGCAACCACTCTTGTCTCGATCGGAAGAGAGACCTCGTGCACCCGCAACTAAGGGATGCTTTTGCGGGGCTTTGCTTTTGCCTTGGCTCTTTAGGTATCATCCTCCCCATTGATATGCTTCCAGATCTGCCTTTCCGTCTCGCTCAGCCTTTTCCCCGCGGCTTTCGCCCACGACATGGCTGTCTGCACCACCGTGCCATTCGAGTCACCACCATTCTGCGAGCCAAAGCTCCATTCGCCGTCCAATATGCCGCCTCTTTTGGAGTATGAAAGTGGGGATAGTGAGGCGCGGTAGTCGTTCTCTTGGCATGATTCGACGGGTTTGTCGTCAAAGGAGCTGTGGTGGTCCTGTTGATAGCCCGGGGGGTGGGAGAGGTCCTGGGGTTGTGGGTAGCTACTGTGGCTGGGGCCCGTGGCGGTCGAGGTCACGCCTGCGGGTGGTATGGAACGCGTAGGCGTGTACGACGTGTAGACGGCCGACGACGGGGATTGCATGGGCAGCGGGCGGGAGTGTGTTGGGGTCTGTGCCTGTACAGGGACAGCTGTTTGGCGCTGTGGTGATGCGTGCGGTGGCATCCATTGTTGATGGTTGGGGATTTCTAGGGGCCGTGGTGGAAGGGGTGCGCTGGGGGTGGGTGAAAAGGGACTGGCGGAAGGTGAAGGTACCGCGCCTGGTTGCGGCGGTGGAGGACTGTTGTCGGACGTGGCGGTTGTGTTGGTTGAAGTGGCTGTCGGTTCGTACCTATTGTTGTAGGTACTCGCTAATGTGTTGGTCGGTTGCGGAACTGCTGGTGCGCCAGGTCGCGCAGGCTGCTGCAAGAGCGAGAGACCGGATGGCTCTGTGGAAGTCGGCCGCTGCCCTTCATCGTCTAAAGGCGTATAGCGAGCCGCCGCAGCGCTGGGTGAGGACGCGCCGAAAGGATTGGAGGCGGAGTTGGCGTTTATTGGCGAGGCGGTATGGACTGGTATTGGGGCCATTGCTGCAGGGCGCTGCAGGCGACGCGGTGGTATGTATTCCCCTGTTCCTAGAGTTGTGGGATCAGGCGTCCTCTTGTCTTTGAGGCGAGAGAATGAAGGAGATCAGGTGGCAGAAAGAAATAGTAAAGAAGTGACAAAGTACAAACTAGTATACTCTTTCTCGTCTTTTGTAGCTGAGACGTTTGACCGACTGTGCGTTTGTGCTCGAATGTTCAAGGGATGTATTCGTGAAGGGCTGGCGTCATCGAAGGACGAACGACGGGTGGAACGATCAATGACGACTCCCTTGAACCTCGAATACCAACATCACTAACCGCGCAACGGGGTACGCGTTGCAGAGATGGAGATGACCTTTAACGAGAGTAAGTGGAACAAAGGGTCTTTGTCCAAGGCATGCGCACGATCTTTGATTCGACACCTTTCCCGTACAATATGCAGGTAGTTCCCGGAAAGGGCTTCCTCTATCTGTGACAAACGCTTCTGTTTTCAGTAACTGTACACAGAGGCTGAACCTCAGCGAATCCAAAAGCAGGAGGATATGGTGACACAAAGAATGCGGAGGCCGTTTACGGTGAGCGAGCGACTAAAGAGACTAAAGAGCGACGCGGAGGCCGGGGACGTGCCAAGCCGGCCAACTCTATTGCCTGCCAAGGCTGCCAAGACGTGCTTCCGGCAGCTGGTTGTGATTGGCTGTGCGCACACTGCATGACTCGGAGCATGGGAGGCGCCCGGAAAATTCCTATACTAGTGCAGTCACTTTGATCCGTCGATCCAGAGCGACAAGGACGAGCACATGCACGAGTTCACCACAATTCCTTCGCGAACAGGCCGAGTGCTATGCGCGCCTTACTGCGACTCATCTCTACTACTGTCACCCGTTGTCACTCACTCCAATTTGGGGCTGTGATCTGTACATGATTAGTACCGAGTACAGGGTTACAGGGTTACCAGGCTTCCAGGCGTCTCCTCCAACCATCTGACAGCGTCACGACTGCTCCCCCGAAGCCACCGCGTGCTTGATTGGTGTCCCTTGATTCGCTCATCCGGCCAGGCGCATCTCAACTCGGTTCATGCACTCTCTGCGCCAACTGGTCCCTTGTGCTATCGTACGAACACACGGTCTTGTGAGCCCTAAAACGAAAGCCTGACGTCTGGGCCAACCCTGGTACCGAAAATTTCGACATTGGGAGCCAGCACTACCAGCTCGCATCAAAACACATCCAACTCACTGAAGGAACCCTTCCACCGTTCTAGCCTCGCCTTGAACGGCCTTCTCCCACCGCTCCTTGCATCGCCCAATGTCACATATACCGCCTCCTCGACCGTCGCAGAGTGGTCCTTCTATTCGCTAACACACCTGGAAAAAGTACCATCGCCAGCCACGCGGGGGCCACCCAGGAAAGAGCCTTGCCAGGGTCGACTCTATTCGTATTAGTGGCATTCAGGTCTTCCTTTTTATACCCTCTCACCACCAAACATGTAAAGTTCTCTTTGATTCCTCTCATACCTGGCACTAATCCGATCAGGAAATTCGGCAAGCAGATCCAACGCCAGCAGTTGGATCTTCCTGAATATGCGGCCAGTTTTCTCAATTACAAGGCCCTCAAAAGGGTGTGACAAAGCTTATGTATTCCTTGAGAGAAGGCTCTGCTCACCATGTCCTCCAGCTCATCAAGCAACTCAGTGCTACCCCTACCATTAGTGCCCAAGGAGGTCCCACCACTCTCGACGCACAGGCCGCTCTCAGGGCGAATAAAGAAGTTTTCTTTTTTCGGCTGGTGGGCGCATAATCATCTCCCGTACTTTCGCACCCTCTCTGATGCCAGTTGTAGGAACGTGAGATAGAAAAAGTCAACGTCTTTTATCTCCAGAAAGAGGCAGAGGTATAGAAAACCTTTCTCATTGCAAACTGGCCTCTGACCTGGCCCAGTTTTCGCTTCGTCTCAAAACATTGCTTGATAAGAAAAGAGTGATTCAAGCAAGAATAGCTGCGAGCTCGAGACTCTCTGCCAGCTTCGCCACCTTGGTCGAGGGTTTCCAACAATTTGACAATGATCTCAACAAACTTCAAGTGTGAAAGAGTGTGTCCTTGAGAGGGTACCTGTTGGCTGACGTGCTGCAGCAATTTGTTGAAGTCAACGAAACCGCAATTTCAAAAATTCTGAAGAAGGTCTGTTTGACCTCTCACTTATTTTGCGTCAGGGACTGATATCTTGTAGTGGGACAAAACGTCAAAGGTGGTCCACCATCTGCAACCACACCTCTGAGATGAGCTGACACCAGTGACAGTCAAGAACGAAAGAGATCTACCTCCAACGAGCCGTCGAAATCCAACCGTGCTTCAATCGCGATGTACTGCGCGACCTCGCAGACCGAGCAACAACGGCAAGACTCGATTTGGAGGCATGGGCTGAGGGTGAAAACATTCAGTATGAGGTATCTAGGCAACAAGATCGCATGATTGGACAACGTGTGGGCACGGAAGAAAGCGACATCGATATTCAAATCCTTCAGGCCTCAGCCGCAGGTAACACTGCCGCCCTACGCGAATGGTTTGCGAGATTGGGCACCTCTCCAGACGCACGCGATCGTTTCACCAGAATATTCCTTGCGACAATCTCTGAAGCACCCGACGATTCTTTGAACTTATTCCTACACTCAGACCTTGTCGATATTCATGCCGAGGATGACATCAACGAACGGAATTGTCTACACGAAGCTGCAATCTATGGCAAAGACATTGCATTGGACTATGGTCTCAGCCATGGAGTTGACCTTACGCGTTTGGATGTATACGGCAGGGTACCATTGCACTATGCATGCTTGAGAGGACGCCTTGCAATGGTCGAGAAATTGTTGGCAGCAGGGCCGAACACTATCGACATGAAAGATCATGACAACTTTACGCCGTTGATCCACAGCATTGTGCGGCACCGAGTCGATTGTGTTCGCCTTCTCCTTGCCAACAACGCGAGAATCGACCCACAATCTGACGCGGATCACATTCCCTTGAACTTGGCCTGTCAACATGGATCTATCGAAGTTGCAGCTCTGCTGTTGGAAAGAAACGCAAAACTTCTTCCTGACGCAGAGGGTCTTTTCCCCCAACATCTCGTCGCCCGATCGAGCGAAAAAGCCGATCTTCTTCTTCTGTTACGGCAGCATGGGGCGGATCTAAATCAGCGCGACAAGTTGTACCAATGGACGCCACTTTTCCATGCAGCAAGCGAGGGTCGAGTCGAGTGCTTGCGGGCGCTGCTTGAAAACAGTGCTGATCCCGAGGCACTGGACGAAAAGGGCCTCACAGCAATGTATTATGCAACATGGGAAGGTAATTTGGAATGCATGGAACTTCTTTGGGCGCAAAGCAGCCACCATCGCGCCGAACGCAGATCTTCCACTATGTTGGGCGCCGTGGTCCCTCCCCACAGCCAGATGTTGGCTATGGAGATCACGCCGGAAGAGCCTACAGGAGCCGATGCCGATGGTATACCTGATCTATCCCTGCCGCCACCCATCATCCCTCTGCGCCGCTATGGACACAACTTCCTCGACACGAAAACCTTCATCGCCCTCAACTTTGACCGGACGTCGAAAGCCATACAATTTTTCAACGAAGCAAGGTATCCTGCCGCCCGCTTGACCATTTCTTCGAAAACGTCCGACCTCATTCCTCGTAATCTAATGCTGCCTATACAGGAGGACGCTAGGTCAGTCTACTTTCAAGTGGACAACCTCAGCACTTTCTCTGTGGATTTCGAGATCTACCCAACCTTCGGATCCAAAGTGATAGCCAAGTCAGTCGCCCTTCCTGACGTTTTTCGGGCGATCGAAAGCAGCGCTGGCACCTGCTGTCTTCCACTATTTGACCCCAGACTCCGGTCAGTGGGCCAGATACAGTTCGATTTCCAAGTCATCAAGCCGTACAATGGTACACCACTTGAGATCACGCAATTCGCCCCGTACTGGAAAGCTACAAGCGCTCTAGACGATCACAGCGGACTAGTTACAGGCTCAAGTCTCTCTGGAGATTACCTCAGACTAACAATACAGCTTACCAGGGACGGTGTTCCAGTGAGCTACCCATCTTATTTCGTGACGTACAACAACCTCGACGTCTCGCTGTGTCAGCTCAAGTATGAGGTACTCATGAGACTTGGCTTGACGAGTGGTCTTCTCAACAGTGACGGGACACCGACACTGGAGAGTGTGGATATCATTGAATGGCGAGATCGACTTTCTGGCTCGGTCTTCGCCCTCCGAGAGATTCTGGCCGCAGTACCGGCACATATCAACCTCAACCTGCACATTCTATATCCAACCAACCATGAAGATATCAATCTGGGAGTCTATTCCAACATTGACATTAACACCTTCGCCGATGCAATTCTGACCGAAGTCTTCGATCATGCCAGAGCCTTACGCGCACAAGGCCCAGATCTGACTCGATCTATCGTATTCTCTTCATTCAACAGCAATATCTGCACTGCCCTGAACTGGAAGCAGCCAAACTTCCCTGTCTTACTCTGCAACGATTTGGGCGGTGTGCAGAGCTCGTACCATTCATCTGCGAATATACTCCAACCTGCCTCCCGACGAGGCACTTCGATTAAAGAGTCTGCGCGCTTGGCACAGCTGAACAACTTTATGGGGTTGACTTGCTCGGCACGGATTTTACAGATGGTGCCTGCTTTGACAGAGACTATCAAGCAAGCAGGGCTGGTGCTTGTATCCGATGCCTCGGCGGATGACGATAATGGGGGCCAACAGCAATCTCATTTGCAGGGACAATCGCAGAGCTCGGGATTCGCGATGATACCGGATGGCGTGAACGGGGTTATGAAGACGAACGGCGTTCTACGATTCAACGAAACGGTCGACATGTGAGAAACATGCTTGATAGAAGCGGACTCAAAGAAGGCTCAAGGTTACTCACAGCGATTGATGACTTTATTAACGAAAACAATGGGGACACGGACCCTCATGTAGCGGATGGGGAGAAAAACAAAAAGACATCCGAAGGAAGGGCGGTGTTCTGAAGTGATTTGCATTGCGGCTGGGGTATGGACTGGCGGGGTTGTGTAGGGATCATGGTTTCATCATCGTATAGGTGAGATGGGGCATTGAATAGACACAGTCACTGAATTGCAGACGAGCTCAAGCGATGTGCAGGTTGTGTTTTCACATGGGGTGTATTGGGATAAAGGGAGTGGCCCAGCACCGGCATGTGTAAGCATCAAATCCCAGTGGCAATAACCCAGAGTAGGTGGAAGCACGCGGGTCTCGAAATCCACCAAATCTGTTGTCTATTGCCCAATTCGAATACTCGTGATATTAATAAGCGCAGCTTCGATTTTGCCCATGGGTGGCCGAATCTAGGTGTGAATCTGGCTGCAAGGCTGGCCAGATGCAACTTGAAATATGTATATATCCCAGACTTTAGTCATTCGAGGAACCTCTTGCTAGTTTCTTTCCTAGGATGTTATTATTTTCTCGTCTCTCATCGCCCGAATGCAGCCACGCCATGCCAAAGTCTGAGAGTGCTGTCATTCGGGGGGAGGAGATCGACTATGAAGACCACCTAGCACGCCTTGCCAACCACGAAGATCGTTCGCACAGCCGCCTCCAAGCAATCCGCAAGAACCCCTGGGCATTCGCCTGGTGCCTGTACGCTGTGTGGACGATCCTGGTCGTCGCCGTCGAAGACCAGGCCTCGTACAATGTGCTGAGCATTCCGCAGTTCAGGAAGGACTTTGGCTCGTCCTTCGCGGGCAACTATGTCCTCGCGGCCTCGTGGCAGTCGGCTTTCAGCGGCGCGCCAATTGCAACGTATGTTTTCTCATCGCACCCTGTCACTATGACCTGCCTTTTCATATCTATATGGGAGAAACCAATTGACTGATCACGGTGGCGTGTAGTCGAGTTATCGGAGCGTTGGCTACGGGTCAAATAGCCGACTACATCGGCCGTCGCAACACCCTCATCCTCGCCCTCGCCCTTTCCTTGGCTTCGGTGACCATGGAATTTGTGGCCACAAGCAAAGCGCTTTTCTTGACCGGGAAGCTGTTAAATGGATTGGCCGTCGCCTCGATCGAGTCTGTCAGCGGCACCTACATTGGCGAGGCATGGCTTACCCTCTCGTCCCATCTGCCCTTTCTCCGACATTATCTCCTAACAGAAGGCACAGATTGCACCTCTGGCTCTCCGCGGTCTATCTACCGTCCTGATGGCCTTCTCGGCCGGAGCCGGTTCCTTGACTGTGGCCCTCATCATCAACGGTACAGGGTCCTATACCAGTAGGTGGGCCTACAGGGCGGTCTTCTGTAGCCAGTTCGGCTTCGCTGGCATTGCCGCTGCTTTCGTCTGGTTTATGCCCGAGTAAGCCGCTCCAAAGCCGTTCATTCTGACCAGCTGCTGATGAAAAATTACTACGCTCCAGGTCGCCGTGGTGGCTTTTGAGCAAGGGCCAAGAAGACAAAGCATTGAAATCACTGCGCCGCCTCGGCTATTCCAAGTCGGATGGGGAAGATGCGAAACGTCTCGCGAGCATCCGAGTCACGCTGGAGGAAATCCGCAGCGAGACCGAGGGGGTCACTTACTTTGAGTTGTTCCGCAAGTCGAACCTCCGCAGGACAATCGTGGCCATTGCGCCTCTCTCGTAGGTTTCGTCTGAGCTCGCCCTTTTTGGATGGATGGAGAGGTAACACTTCTGCTGACTCGAGGTTCTAGGGTAGAGATTTTCGTCGGCGCCATCTTCACGGGCCTGTATTCGACCTACTACGCTCAGTTGGCGGGCTACAGCACAGACATGTCCTTCCGACTCCTCGTCACGCAGCAGGTTCTGGCAATGGTGGGCAGTGTCATGGCGTGTTACCTAGTCGAAAGGGTCGGACGCCGCAACTTGACAGTCTACGGCACTCTGGCTCTGACGATCCTGCTCTGGATCATGGGAGGGTTGGCCGTCGGGGGCAGCCGCAATGAGCTGAGAGGCGCAATCGCAATGGTGCAGCTCTACTCGTGGTTGTACAGCCTCACCATCGGGTCGACGGCGTACACCTTCCTGACCGAAGTGGCCACGGCGCGGCTGCGAGTCAAGACCATGGCCGTCGGCCTCGCGACACAGAGCTGCTTCGGGCTCATCTGGAGCTTCGTGCTGCCCTACCTCTTCAACCCGGACGAGGCGAACCTGGGCGGGAAAGTAGGCTTTATCTTTGGCGGCTTCTCCATCCCTTGCTTCGTTCTCCTCTGGTGGTACCAGCCCGAGACGGCGCGGCGGTCTTACGAGGAACTCGACGAGATGTTCGTTAAGAAGATCCCCGCGCGCCACTTCAAGACGTACAAGACCGAGGTGGAGATGAAAGCGGAAGCGTTGTCGAGGAGGGAAGAGGAGGCGCCTCCGAAGGAGGAGCAGCAGCAGCAGCATGTCCAATAACCCGAAATGGCTCTCAGTTGGCGGCAAGGAGCAGGTAATTTGGGACCGAACAGCACATGATGGATTAATGACTCTGGCTATCGGATTAGATGATCGGATTTGAACGAAATTAGGAATAAAAGGAAAGTCGTCAAGTCACCAGGCTTGCGGAAGCAGGGGAGAAGAGATTCTACCTTTTTCCTTGTTTGGCAGGATAGATATAGCAGAGGTAATTACTAATTGAGTGCAATGATCCCAGTGATCGAATCTGGAACATGACCGCTTTTTTCCTCTGCCCTCGTCGTCATCGTGTGACGAATCGTATTTACACCGACCCACCCTCTCCTCTGCATCGAAGCCAACCAAGCCTGAATTCACCAGGTACCTTTCCGAGCTCTCTCTCCAGCAGCTAGCCAAGTAGCTGAAAGAACTACACCTGCACCAACCCGACCCCAATACCAACCCAGAGTCCCGCGCCCGCAGCGAACGCAGCGCCCCAACCCGGCCCCCTGAGGCGCCAGATATGGTAGACGTCGACGACACAGAGAACCATGCCGGAGAGGATGAGGGTGCCCATGTCGCGCAGTTTGCCGTCGGCGCCGAACTTGGCCAGCGCGATGCCGATGCTCAGGTCCCGCGCGCCCAGCAGGGCCATCGAGGTCGTCACCGCCGCGGCGTGGTTGGCCACGTCGGCGTTGGCGTGCTCCGGCGGCGCCGTGCTGCTCTTGGTCGGGTTGGCGTTGGAGCCTGGGGGCGCCGCCGAGCTCGCGCTCCCCAGCCGCGCCGACGAGTGCGGGTACAGCCCGAACGACTTGCCCGCCAGCACGGGGCAGGTGATCGCGAACGTCCCCAGGCCCATGTACGTCGCCGCCACGGTCAGGCCGAGCGCGCGCCACGTCGAGGCGGAGATGTTGGTGTCCATTTTGTTTGTTTCTTTTCTTGCGTTTGTCTTGTTGAGCGGAGCGGAACCTGGTATATTTGTCAAAGAGGGGTTTTAGACTGGGTTTTGATGGTCAAGGAAATTGGGGTTCCTTGCGATTTGATCAATCAGGCCTCGATGATCCAGAGTCTCCGGACAAATCAATCTGTGGACGATGTCTTTGGTCTCTCTGATGGAATGTGCTGGGATTTGATTTGACTTTGAGGGGGACGGCTTGTTCACCAGCGACAGCAGGAATACGTCAGTGGACGGATGGTCTTTTTCATGCATGCAGTGGTTGCATCATCACCATCAGCATAAAACGGCCTCGGGTGCTTGGGCACTGCGCCAAATACGAATACGGAAACACAGACGGAGACGGAGGACATGGACTTGAGATTGTGATCACGATTATCCTACTTTAAGTAGCTATAGACACCCTCTCGACTTATTTGATTGTCTCGCATTTGTTTTTGTGACAGCACCTGCAGTCGTGGCCTTGATTGCGGCTTTGGCGAGGCGACACACCGGAATTGTCCCAGATCTCTGTCAACATCGACGCCCGCACCGTATCCAGCTCCCGACCGGTATTCCTCTGTTGTTGGCTCTCCCTTGCTACCGTCCACTGATTCAAGCTCAAATTGAGAGGCAATACTCGTTATTGATTCAGTGTCCAGGGGACTCCAGATATCAAGGTTTGGTGGGTGGATATCCTTCACGTTTGCGACCTACTCCCGGGCGTCCCTCTCTATTTTGCATGATGCCATGATCCATGGCATCGAGACGGCCACCACATTGTTGTATATATAATATGTGGACGCTTGAATCGACAGACGAAGGTACTTCGAAAGGGGAAACTTTTTTGGTCGTCCTCCGTGTTTGCGACTTCAGCTTCCGACTCTATGTCGGAGAAGAATCCATGATTTCGAACACTGACACTGTCAGGACTCGCGGTGCAGCGAGGAGTTGACTGACACCCCTTCGGCGCTCTCTGAGCCTTTGGTTCTTCTTTAGTTGCGTTTGATCTCCTTTCCAACATTGGCTTTTCCTTACGCCGCGATTCCGAGTCCACAACCTGAGGATGCCATTAAGAACATCCAAATACATCGTGACATGAGAGTAACATAACTTGTCTTGCAATAGCTTATGCTCATCTTCGTGCAAGGCATATGGGTCGAGCCTCCAGGCTTTGGCGGCGGCGACATAGTGGACACAGTGACTGGCATATTCGGAAGGGGCCAGACTCGGAGGAATAGATGATTTGGGTCGCCAGGTGGTCGAGCCCCCATGCATTTCAGATTCAGCATGTTGAGGCGTGGCCAAGCGGTTTCAACCGAGAATGTTTTGCAAGCTGATGACTGGCTCCATAGCAGCCGTAGTCGTCGAAATTGATCGTCAGCTGTTCCAAATATCGCGCAAGCGGTGAGTGCATCTCGGAGACGTCCCGGACAACCTTCGTATCTTTTGTGGAATGGTTTGACGGTTACAGAGGTCGGAGACTGATTTTCTTCAACAGCTTAGCCCGCCTCATTGTGGACATTGGAAACAAGTATCAGGCCTCCTCAGTGACGGTGTTGGTCGGCTGTTCTCGAGTCCTCGGGTATAATGCAAATATCAAGTATGTCAACATAGATGACTCTCTTTTCGTTGTTGACGTCCCCAAGAAGCCGATAGAAGCCTTCAATTGTATCGACTTGGAAACTCAATAGTGTCTCACGCATATCTCTTTCGGGTATATTGCTGTCGTCTGCTCGACTTGGGCGAATCTTCCTTCGTCGTCACAGGAGGCTTCGCACGCTTGAAGCACTGTGTACAGTTCCATGGGCATTGTCCGGGTCCTCAACTTCTGTCATGTCCGCCTCTGAGATGCTGATTGTGGCACAAGCAACAGAAGCAGACCGACGAGCAGTGTACAACGTGAATTCTGCAATCGAGGCCAGGGAGCTGAGATTTCTGGAAAGAGGGCTCGAAAGAACTCGAGGCCGTGGTGGTGTTGCTGCCATGTTGTTCCTGCGGGAGGAGGCACGGCTGTGTCCGACGTTGTGCTTGGAGTGGGTCCCTTGGAAGCCCCCGTAAGAACACACAGGCGAGTTGTTGCAGGAGGGCGAGGGCACGGAGCAGAGGTTCAGTTCCGCGTCCTGGGTTCTAGGGTTGTCCTGCAAGATTGTCCTGGGAGTCGGGACATTGTTAGGGTCGATGTGCCAATGATTTATATACATGTTGTTTTGCTTCTGGTCTGCGCTATCGTGAGTTTCTGTATTTGTTCCCCAAGAATGTCTCGGCAAACCAGGAAGCTGTCGCACGGCGTTGTGTTGATTGTCTTTGTAGGGCTCCTCGAGACTGGCAATGCATGTAGCCACGCTGTGAGCGGGGTTTGCCGCATAGGTGCATCCTTTTGTGACGATGAAGCCACCCATCAAGCTGGTCAAGTCTGCTTCTGACCATTCATCTTGGGAGGCATCTAATTGATGGACAGGTAGGGGCTAGTCCAAGTCTTTGAGCAACTTTGGAGTAGTCGGACTCGTTGTTGGCCCACGAAAACGGTCCTCCTGTAACTGGTAGGGAATCGAGGGGGAGGTGACTGTTGGCGCAAAACATGAGTCATGGTTTCGGAGAAATGAATTGATGTCAAATGCTGCATTGGTTGTTCCCAGATATCCGTCGCTGATATCTTTCTGATGCAGCGGTCACGTTGCGTTGATCTGTCGGTACTGGAAGATAGAGCGACCGTGGTGCTAGTTTATGCGCATGGAGCAATAATTTGGGGAGAATTTGCTCGCTTTCAGGCAGAGGTGGCAAGCTTCTCGAGTGCGAGCTTTATTCGTGGAAGGTGTCGAAGAATGTCGTCGTAGAGGGGAAGACCAATCTGTGTGTGGCCTCTTCTCCATTGTCGATTGCGGAGTGTTGAGGAAATATGTACAATCTAGTGTACACCGCTGAGAGAATATGCCATGTACAAAAAGGAAAACGTGCATATAACATGTTCAAGCAGGAGCAGCATGCCAACTATAACAAGTATAGCTCATCTCGACTTGGAAAACAATTCATAATTGATCTGGAAAACAGGAGAAAAGAAAGTTGGAGGAATTGCGGATTTGCAGAGGAGGAAGGAGGTATTTATAGTCTGGGGAAGAGGCCTCCGCGAGACCCAACCATGGTGATACACAGTGAATTGAGTCCGCGGTGCACCAGTGCGGGTCATTGACTCATTTTCAATTAACTGAAGGGTTCATTTGTTTGACAAACTGTGCCGGATTGTCGCGGAAGAGAGACAGTCATGAACAGCATAAAGTGAGCGAGAACAGAAAGGAATGTAACAGTTGAACAATACATTACCTCCGCATGAACTGTACTTTCATTCACTGCCCCCAATCATATTCGCATTGGAGAGAGCGAAGTCTCTCGCAGAAGCATCGAGGTAGTGAAACATCCGACGCGCAACAAGATGATTTGTAAGTCCTGTGTTTCAGCTTTCATGAATCACGCTGACAATGTACTTCTCGCCTTCCTCCCCAGTTGCAGTCACAACAAGCTGGTGTCCTTCAACATCTTCCTCCCTGTGGCCCACCCCGACTTCCTCTTTGTAGTCTTTGTACCAGTCCTGTTTGCGGTCGCCACTCACCAATTCATGCCGGGCAGCAGCCACAGCCGCCTGTCGGGACAAATGTATTCCCCTGATTTCCGTATGTGTAGACCCATCGGCAGCCTGGACGGTGCAAAGAACATAGAAAAGATTATCCTCTACTCTCCCATCACCCGGCTTGGAGCGGACGCCCAGAGAATTTGGCGTGGTTTCGATTTCAACGTCATGAACCTCGTCCCCCTTCCGGGCGTGGACAACAACGTTTTCCCCATGCTTCCATGCTGATGAAGGTTGGGTGATGTCATTCGTCGCATAGTCGCCCAGAGAGTCGCGAGACAAACCCTCATCCTCAAGGCGGCGAAGTGCAACCTTCTGAGCTGAATCGAGGTCGGTGTAAGTCCCGCAAATTTCGGTACGGACGATAGGAGGCGATCCAGGTTCCACGGTTGTCCGTTTGATGTGGAACAGGTCAGGAACAAGGGAAGGGCGTCGCTGCATGCTGGATCTGACAGCTTTCCAATATGGGTTTCTGAGACAATTCCTTTGAAGTCGCGATTGAAAGGGAAACAACGAGGAACCAAAAACCGAAGCAAATACCCCTCTTTCAACTCATGACCTTACCTGTTAACTCTCATTAAAAGAGAGGGGTAGCAGGTACTGCACAAGTGCACAAACCCGAACATTGATGGTACTGAGCACAGACTGACTGGATCTTGTGACAATGAAAGTCCCCGAGCCGTCAAACGAGGAGTTGCAGGCGCCAACCCCGCAAATAACAATGGAAACTGTTGGATGATGCAGGGCCATGAATACGAGGTTGGCAGTGGCCAGTCGGATGTAAAGAGAGTTCGGACACGCAAGACTGGTGAAAGGATGGCTGGATGTTTTGGGATGATTGACGCTGCCAGGCATTGTTCCATACCAGCTACTAATACCTACTAAGTATTAAATATTAAGTATTAAGTATCCTTGAGGTCGTCAAAAGGAGAGAGCTGGTGTGGGTCTGATAGTCCGTCTCTGATTGGTCGAGACCCCAACCACTGATGTTGGACATTTCAATTCGCAGTTGAACTCGAGCTTCAAAGTCGAACATACACCTTGAACTCTTCGGCGCATTCCATTTGAGCCCAAAACCACACCATTTTCCTCTCGTACTGACGTTGTGCGCGTCCTTCAACATGCCACCAACCGTGCCTAGATTCGTGGCCGTCCCACTCCCACCTCCTTTCCTCCTTCCTCGATCGCTCCTCCGAAAATCCTTAAACGGCTCTCAGAGAAGATGCATGGGCATTCGCTCAATAGACCGACAGCCAAAACACAACCCATACAATGTCGTCCCAGGCATTAGACCACTTCTTTCCACGCCTGCCGCAGCCTTCGAACGAAAATTGAGATCAGACACGCTTCCTCTGCGGTCAGGAGCTCTAGCAATCAAGAAAGGCATGACCGCGGTATATGATGTCGAATCTGGAAAGAGAATACCCTGCACAGTGCTACAACTGGATCGAAACCAGGTGGTTAGCCACAAGACGCGGAGAAGACATGGATACTATGCCGTCTGCGTTGGCAGCGGCACAATCAACCCCAAGAATGTGGTCAAGCCCATGCTCGGCCATTACTCCGTCCAGGGCGTAAGCCCCAAAAGATATCAACGCGAATTCCGGGTTCGAGGGCCAGAGGGATTGCTACCGGTGGGCGAAGAGATTCGAGCCGACTGGTTCATGGCCGGACAGTTTGTGGACACTCGGTCGAATTGCAAGGGCAAGGGATTCGCTGGCCCGATGAAGAGATGGGGTTTCAAAGGCCAGCCGCGAAGTCACGGTCACTCTCTCAGCCATAGATCGCATGGTTCAGTGGGTCCGAGTCAAGGAGGTGGTAGTCGTGTATATCCCGGCAAGAAGATGGCCGGAAATATGGGTGGCCAGAGGAATACAGTGCAGAATTTGAAGGTTTTGCAGGCGGATGCGGAGAATGGGATTGTCGTTGTACATGGTGAGTGACTGTTCCGCTGCTGCTACAAGGTGACTCGTCATGCTAACAAATCGCCGGCAGGAGCCGTGAGTGGTCCTAAAGGATGTCTGGTCATGATCCAGGACGCGTTAAAGAAGCCTTGGCCGGAAGTCCCACAGCTCCCGAAACCCTCCAAGGTTGAAAAGCCAGTGGTGGAGGCAGAGCCTGCGAAGATTCCTGCATAATAGAGCCATACATGGCATTGAGCCCAATTGTATCATTACGCCGAGGCGACCAGGCCTGTCAATATTTCAAACTTTGGGTATAAAGAGTCATGCCTATTTCATTATGCGCCCATTTCCACGCGTTGAAGAAAACACACCGTATCCCACCATCGTACAAAAATGTTATCGGACATCCTTTGTGGTAGAGCCGCCCTGGGCACTTGTCTACCAAATAAAATCAAGCTCCCCTATACTCGTACCTCAGGCCTTCCAATTCAGCCAATCCCGCATGAACCTCGGACATACTTCTCCTCGTTATGAAGACCATTGCAAAAATGAGGCCCGGAAGCAGTAAAAACAGCCACAGACCCTCCGGGACGTCATGTCGCGAGCGATAACCCATTGACGCAATGAACAGCAGCGCGTCAATGAATGCGTTGAGGTAAGGCAGGTATTGATTGATGGGACTCTCGCTGGACGTTAAGAGGAAGGCCCCTTGAGAGACTCCCGTGCCGTGCGCCTGTCGCTGTCGTGTGGTGGAGGAGGTGGTGCGTGTAGGGCCGGAGGAGAGAGATCCAATCGGGGTCGATGTCGGGATCATGTACATGATATAGGCACTGGAGGCGAGTGAGGTGATGCTCAACAGGCACAGAAACGCCATGGCTCTCGACGTCGACCTCGAGAGGTACCACATGAATGGCAGGGTGACGACGAGTGGCAGGCCTGTAAACACCATGGTGTAGATGGCATTCGTGGAAGTCTCCGAGGCCTGGAGATTCTGGAGGAGGTGTTCTTGTTCTGTTCGATATTTTTGTATAAGAAACAACATTTGTCAGGATATTTATTGGTGGGGAACCCCCCGGGTCAAACACCGATCTCCCTCTGCTGGAAAATGACGTGAAATGCAAAAGCTTGGAAAGGATTCCTGGCACTCCGGGTTCCCAAGGAACAGGGGGGCATCTTATGAATGGTTCTCTGCTCTCTGTGCCAGAAAAAAAAACGTACCTTCTTCGTCCATTTCTTCGTGCGACATGTCCTCATCATCTTCGGAAGGATACTTGAATGTTTTCCGAAGTCTTGCGGTGCTCATCATGCTAATCTGGATGCGGCCAAGGGAAGAAGGCCGGAGACCTGATGCTTCGTGGTCTACGTCCAGCTACCCCCGAAAGCAACACCAGAGACGTGCGATGAGAGATCCAGATGTTGTGTCATATGATCTCATGGATAGTCAGTTGTCCAAAATGGAAGCCTTGAAGTCGTTGGACGAAGCAGCACGCGGAGAAACTTGGCTCCGGCAAGCTGCCAAGGCGCTAACCTCTTGCGGTCTCATTGGACATCCCCAAGACCCATACCGAGTATTACCGAGTATTACCGCCGACATGAGAATCAACGGCGCTTGATTCTGCTCTGTACTACCTCGTACACGGCACCTTTCTGCGAGTTGCAAATGCCAGAGCAACGGGTAAAATGCACGCCCCACATGGAGCACATTCACGCATGTAATACGTCGTCATCTTCAACAAATTCTACGTCAAGGGGCAGAAGTCGCTGTAGCATGGCTTGAGCAGCCTCATTGTACATACGGGTCCATTGTGCATAGCCTGACCTCTGCAGCGACCCACAAACTTGGCCTCAAGATGCCCAAATCTTCGCGTGCATTTGCTTCGCGTCCGTAGCTATTTCCTCAGGGTCGCCAGGCCAGGGCTGTGTGTATATGCCGCCTAGAGGTGGCGGCGAAAGTACGTAAATCCTGAGTATGTTTCCTTCTGGCCGCTCTCGACAAACTCGACCATCGATCTAGCAACGGTTGTAGGTATGATTCTGGGTAAAGAAGAAGAGTAGCTGGTAAGGCACTCCTTTCGCGCCAGGATCGTCTGCGTTTTGGAAGAAGTGATTGTACCCGGGATAGGTCGATGCCATGGTAACAGTCCTAGGGTACTACTTTCGGCCCACAACCCGATTAATTACGCACGCCTCGATACGGATTTGTGCATCCGTAGTCGGATTTCTCTTCGCCACTGTGGGGACCGCTTTTTCGGTGTCCAAGCACCGTTATCAAAAGAAACTTTCCGAGAAAAATTTCGGAATAAGGCTCGATAGATCCTTGGGGAGAGGGGAGGAAGGAGAGGAAGGAGAGGAAGGAGAGGAAGGAAAGGAAGGGAAGTGGGGAGAGGGAAGAGAGATTGGGCTGGAGGGCGGGAGGCGGGCCTTGTCACACTCTTGTCACATCCGTGTCGAGTTAGTCCCAGGTGATTAACATTGTTATGTGACCACTGACGAGACGAGGCTTTTTGTGGCTGACTCGCTCGCGTCCAGAACCCTACTGAGTAGGTAGTATTCACCCATGTCAAGGCTGATGTCTTTCGTCGGCTCCACCTTGACAACACACAGGATACGAGTGCAAGTCCCACTTGCCGGCGCCGTTTTGCGATCGACAATTTAGCTTTTTGTGTTAGAGAATCCTTTATCCGTACTCGTACGAGTGGTTGTAGTGCGCTCTTGTCGAAAAGGGGCGCTCAGCCTAGCGGCCTGCTGAGCTTTTTTGCCTTTTTGCTTTTCTTTCCAGAAGATTATGGCGTCAAACCTTGATTTATCTAAACGTCGAAGCTGCAGGAGGCGAGTAGATGCCTTGTCCCGCCACGAGGGCTCTTGTCGGGTTCGTTGGTGAGCCCAGTTGCAGACTGACCGCCTCGTAGTTTCAAAATGTTAGAAGGCCCGTACCTGGGCTGTCAGGAATCTTGCTCTGCCTGCCTGGAAGTGGCGCAGTAGACGGGGAGCAGGCAGGGGCGCGTCCTTTGCATGCCTCGACCGGCCTTTTTGCGTTAGGGGCGTGAACGCCCGGCTTTAGCCAGTACATGATGCTGCAGGCGACTCTCAACAACATGTAATAACACGAAGCTAAGTCTATTACGGATGATCCGTGACGAAAAGCTGACTCCGCCCTAGCTGACGTTCCAGGCCCCTACCATGGGGTGGTTGCTGTAGGTACTTGAAGACCAGGGAGCTCGCTAGTCAAAAAGGAGGCATCAACCCCTGGTGACGGGCGTTTCCTTGTATCTCTCTGGATTTGTGCGATGATGGATAGCCCAATATCATTGGTCTCATCTCCATGTGGTTTCTGATTCCCCGGTATGCAAATTGCTGTGTCCTCGTCGTACGAGATCCGGTATATCGATACCGCGTAGCTTCAGATGTCCTCGAGAAGCATGTTTGGGGCCGTATTCGATCCGGTATTCTGGTATCCTATATTGATTCCTATCAAAAAAATTGCAACGGCCTCCTTAGGAAGTGATGCGTACTCTCAATCAGCATGGCCACAGTGCATGTGCAGGATATATATGTGTGCAGAATGAACTTGGTTGGCTTTTACCCCTCCCAATCTCCCCTTCAAGCGACTGGTACCGTCCTTTCTTCTCATATCGTGGCCAGGAAGCGCAGTGTCCAATTCCCCAACAGTCAGCTCGTATTTTGTCAAGAGGGCGAACAGGGCATTGAACAGACCATTGACCTGATCGTATAACATGAGAATCACGCTCGAGGCCATTCTCGGCATCATAACTATCTTGATCATGTGCGCCCCGTTCGTGTGGCGACTCTTGCGCAACAAGCAACTATCCAGAGACAGCATCCGTGCCCAGCAACAGCTTCAACATCCCGGGTATCTACCCTTCATCCCCTGTCCCTATGTCACTGGCAGCCAACCACAATCATCACATAGGCGGCTTCGATATGCGAGCTCAGAATGGTTCCACCATCATGCCCAACTATCCGCACTAGAGGCTGGAATGCTGTACACTACCGTAAGAACAAAGTTATTGTCTCCCATAGAGAGCGCGCTCTGGACTAACGGACAAGCATTGAAATAGAGAAGCACGCGCCTCGAAGAGAATATCATCCTTTGCTCAAGCTTTTGACCACACCGAAACACCGATTGGGGAATATATGCATGAAAGAGAGGTGACGTTGCTGCTGGAACTCTTTGAAGAGGATGCGTGTTGGTTGGGTCTTGACTGGGGGACAATGCTGTGCTCGCCGTTCCTGCATCGTAGACTGTGAAGCGAAGTTGATACCGGCAGTGGCAGTCGCAAGCCACAGCAGAGCCCTAAGTCAATGGTGGAGGAACATCCCTTCATGGCACCATCAACTCAGAGCTGCGGTGGAAGGCACCGTGAGGCAACAGTCTTCATGGGTCGTCCATGAAAAGTTCAATAATTGTCGAGACAAACTTGTTGACTCCATTCATCGTCTTCTCGTATGATGTTTACCACGGGAACAACGCATGTCCTTCCAGTCTCCTGCCAACCATGATTTCGATAACACTCAGTGACGGAAGAGTATCTTGGACCTTGCCGCTGGCCCGTAAAATGCCAAAGTGACTCGTGAGCAGAGCGTTGCCTGCCTCGTGCTGTTTAATCCATGCCGGAAATGCTTCTCTGCTTTCATCTAGGCTTCATTTGGCTTTCAACGCCATCGAAAAGCTCCCTCCAGTAGCCACACAGTGTCCATTACCACTTCATACCAGAACCCCATCTAACTCTTGTGAGAATAACTTGAAGTTGCTGTCTGACGACCCTTGGCGAAGCACAGCAAAGACAATTTCCTCCCACCAACCGCCCGAGAACTCTGGTTCCTGGAGCACTTCAGACCAGAGGCGAGCCACTTCCTTTGGTGGATTTTGGAAAGCTCCGCAGCCAAACGCACCAAGTACGATCTTGCGGTGTCTGTTCTTGATGGCGGTCCGAAGGATAACGCGCATTTTATCCCTCATCATCTCGCGGTCTTCTCGCCTGGCGTAGAACTTACTCGTGTCCTGGTTGGTCACGGCCGGGCTGTGACCTAGACTAGGTTGAAAGACGGCCGCAGCGCTGACGACACTGATGACCGGCAACTTTCTCGGGTCTTGGCAATCAAGAAGTTTATGGCCATTTGCAAGACTGTCTCTGATCACGAGGACAGTAGGAGAGTAGATGGCGGCTTTGTCTGGGATTGGGTAGAAGCGCAGTTTGAGAGTGAAATGCAGAGAGGTGCGGTAGCAAAGGGCTTCTTCTTGAGCCAGGGCACCATTTTTGAATCCTCCACCTGCGCGAATCGCATTTGCCATGTTCAGAACACAGACCGACTTTTGTGCTGGACCGTGACTGAGTTGGAGGGCGGCGTCAATTGTGTCGCTGCTGATGACCCGGATTTTTGTCTTTGGCAGCCTAGGACAGAAGCTCTGATCGAGGGGTGTGGCAGCGTCTTTTTCATAAAGGTAGCCATCTGGATTTGCATCCGGGCGTGTCAGGAGGAGACCAGGGAGGACTGAGATTGTTTCTTTAGCGATTTTCACTAGTTGGTCTCTGTCTTGAGCCTTGGGGGTTGTTGGTGGACGCGTTTGCAGCTTTCCTGCCGAAGAAAAGCTTAGTATGCCCTGACGGAAGCGCAAAATGGGGTCCTTGCCGCCGGACATACTGTGAGGTTTATTCATTGTGGTACCTCTGAAGGTTGATGTTGTTTGCGAGTGAGGACGCGGGGAAATCGACCATGCAAAGCCAAAAAGGTTGGCAGGAAGTCAAAACAATGGAGCTTGACGCGAGGCTGAAAAGTCTCATTTTCCGACCTCACGCCGCTTTAATGCGGTGCTTCATTCGTGACTACCATGAAATCAGTGGGCTAATGAGAAGGCTATGGATGGAGAGATCTGCATTCAGTGCATGCGTTAGATGTACAATGAATGAACCATTTAGACCTGCTTACGACAAGGACAGACCTGGTTGGTAGAACTCACCATGGATGAAAGCAATAGGTGTGATCACGATGGCAGTAAGAACTTGGATAACTTCGCGCTTTGTCTGTAACGCCCTTGAGAGCATTATCACACGAAGCGACAACATCATCCATCAAAGGTGCACAACTGTGACATTACCAACGCTGTCTTTGTCTCCTGCTTTGGCAGCTTTGGCGATCCCCGCTTTGGAATTCGATTTCCGGACCCAGCTAGAACAATTCAACGGTAGGTCCAGACTCCCAATGCATGTCAACCACTCCTTAGCCTTTTCATCGAGGCTTCGTCAGGAGGTGCCAAAGAAGCCTTCCACAGTTCGTGCACTGGCGAGCTATGGTGGAAGTCTCAAAACCTAAGATGACAACAGCCTGTCGCGTTGGTCTTTCTACCTTGCAGCGCTGGTGGGTAAATCTCGATAGTAGTAACTGAGTAATCAGGGTTCCACTTCTATAATCAAGAAATGTATATTATATATTATTGCGGACGCTGGTGGGTGCTGGGTGGGTAGGCAGATGAGGAGTCAATAGGGGCAAAGTACTCGGTAAAGAATTAGATTCCCTCTTCCCAAATTAGCAGGATTTCCGAGCGGCATGCCCCATGTCTAAGGCCCCTAGCGGATCTACCGTACCTCGCATAACGGAGAGATTGACCACGAGAAGCGATCATCACCACCTCCAAGCTACAATCGAAAAAGAGAAGGTGAAGACACAGGGCTAGATCACAGCGAAGGATTTCCTCGGCATAACCTACCCGTTCCCAGGTGAAATCTGTGTGCGTTGTGCTTTAGAGATGGATCCGGACGAAACGATGACCACATCCACCTCCTCCTCACCATCCGCCCTCCACGACACCATCGACGCCGACGAAGGGTTCGAAGACGACAACCTCTACCCCGATGACATGAACAACGACAACGACGGAGACCATTCCCAGAGCGACCGCCCTCACACTCCTGCAAACGACCACCTCAACGCAGCCGCGCCAGGCGAGCTGTCCCCACCGCGGTCGCAGAGGCAAAGCCAAAGTGAAGACTTACAGCAGCAGCCCACATCGCGAGCAATGGCCAACGGCACGGCGACGCGCAGCTCGGCAAGAGTCGCAGCCATGCAAGGGAAGTCTGATGCAGAAGCACAAGCGCAGGCAACTGCAATGTCCGACGATCGAGACGGCCGCGGCAAGCCCGGCTGGGCATGGCGCAGCAAAAAGGCTCAAGAGGATAGGCAGCGCGCGTGGGAAAACATTGTCGATCGGGATTTCAGCCTCAAAGAATTTGGCGATGTCATGTTGCAGGGCAAGGCACAGGTATCTGGATAATGGTCATGTGGTACGAAAATCGTCAAATGGACGATATGCCGGAAATGCTGCATTGAGCGTGGAGATACGGTTTACCCTGCTTTTTACTTGCATGGCGAAGGCGCACAAACTGAGGGATATGGCATCCGTATGGAGGGCATTAGTAGATAATGTCTATGGGAGGTACAAGGATTCATGACACCTCGATTCTAAAGCGAGGCTACCGAGCATCTTCCATTGCGACTGCACTGTATGCTTGACTGGGCTGAGATACACTTATCTTGTGCCATGTCTTTGACTTCATACCTTACTATCTCACCCACCTTGACGAATTCGCTTCAGAATAAGACTCGGAGCAGGAGAGAAATGGGACACTGTGACGTCACACGGTTCAACCCTGGACAGGACCACCAATTCCTCGATATAGGTACCTCCCTAGGTACCTAGGTAACTATCGCTGAGTCCCCCAAGCCTCATTTCGTGCACGTACTCCTCCTTTCTGGTCTCTATAATGGCCCCTGCTACGGGAGGAGTCGCTCCGCCCCCAGAATCGGAGAGCCATAGGTCGATCCCATACGACATCAAGGACGATACGATACGTCCCCCACAACGACACGCCTTGCTTCACATCCCAGACTCATACGAGGCCGGCGTCCCGTGCCCGCTAATAGTCGCGCTGCACGGGAAAGGCCAACCAGCCAAAGAATTCGAATACCACACTCAACTCTCCAATGCGGCGTTCAATGCGGACTCTATCGTGGTGTACCCCGAGGGCGTCGATCTACAATGGACAGGCGACCCTGAGGCGCCGCCTCGAGATGAAGTGGATGACATCCGGTTCATCGACGTGCTGATCGACCACGTCATGCGCGACTACACTGTCGACGCCACGCGGGTCTACGTCGCAGGGTTTAGTAACGGAGGAGGACTCGCTGCACTGCTGGCGTGCGACCCGAGGGCGTCCGCCGGTATCGCCGCGTTCGCTATGGCTTCGGCCGCGGTTTACCGGGACGAGGCGCTCAAGGAGCCGCTGTTCAGCACATGCCGCCCTTCGCGGCTACCTGTTCCCATTCTCGAGTTCCACGGCGACGCGGACCCCGTGATCCACTATGAGGGCAAAACCACACCGGACGGGCCGACGTACGACGTCTACGAGTGGCTCCAAGGCTGGGCGAAGAGGAACGGATGCGTTGACCTGGAGGGCAAGCGCGTCTTCCTGCACGGCGGCAAGGTGGAGAAGATTGTCTGGAGTACCCCAGGCAAAGGCGACCACAGCGAGCAGCATGTGGAGAATGTGGTCGAGCATTACAAAATCGCCGGCTTCGGCCACGGGTGGCCGTCAAGATATCCGCTGAACAACGACAGCCAAGAACGACACGGTCCAACGTACTTTGACGCAACCCCGCTTGTGATGGAGTTCTTTCGGAGATTCAAGCGTGCTTAAGCGTAGAGCATTGTAATAGAAGAGCAAGGCTGCAGTAGACAGGTGATATTCATGCCATGTAATAATGATCCCTATTGAGCGGGCAGCTAGTGTGGGCGTTCGTCCTAATGTCTCAAGTCCAGGAAGTATCTCAGCATCCAAAATCCCCGAGCCGCGTATTCCAATTGATCAGTCGTCAGGACTGGCGGAACCGACGGACGAAGGAAGCCATATTCTTCACCACTGCTTTCGACAACTGTCCGGGGAGTTTGAAAGGCTTTGCGCAAAGATTTTCCTCGGGATATTCAGCGGCGTCGGTCCATTGATCTTCGGGAATTGCAGCGGCTAAATCTTCAAAACAATGACCGCGCGACTCACCAAACGCCCAGGCCAGCTCCTGGGGTGAGCATCTCTTACCCTGGATGCTCTCCGGCATCTTTCTGTCGTTGATCTCTTCCGTCCGAGCTTTTCGGTCGGCTCCCAGATCCAGCAAGGTCCTGACAAGCTCGAAATGGCCATTTGAGGTGGCTAGATGCAAAGGAGTCCAACCTCTGGAGTCTTGGAGTTCACGTGCAGCACTCGAACCGAGTTTCTTTTCGTATGCCCTGAAGAGAGTGGCAAAATTCTCGTGGATGCCGTACTTGGCCACAAAATGCAGCGGCGTCCAGCCAAAATCAGAATCAGGTTCAAAGGCATCGACCCCGTAGTCCATCAGCAGTTGCAAGTCAGCTGGGTCGGCGAAGATTGCCGCACGGTGCATGAGGCTCCAGCCATGATTGTCTACGTGTTTATGGTGTAACAGGTGAAATTCTTCGCCTCTGGCGCGTAACATGGTGATGAACTCGGCTGCTGGGGGATGTCGGAAGCCTTCTGCCATGTCCCATGGCCACAAATAGTATAGCGGGGACCAGTTGTGGAGAGTAGAATAATCGAGGGAAGCCCCATAGGACAGAAGTGTCCTGCATATCTCCAGTTGTCTGTGCTTAAGTGCCCAACACAGTGGAGACGTCTGTTTGACGCCGAAGGCTCGGTCTACGAGCGCCGCTTGAGCAAGGAGTAGTTTAACAGCGTCATGTCGACCATATTGGATTGCGAGACACAAAGCTGTGATCCCTTCCGCAGTGGTGTCAAATGGAGAAGCCTTTCGCAGAACAAGAAGTTGCTGCATCCTCACAACATCCCCCTCTTTAGAAGCCCTCAGGAATTCATGTTCTGGAGACACCTCATGCGAATACAGAAGGCGACCTTTGCTGAGTAAAGCTTCCAGCCAGCCTCGCCAGGCCAGACGATGCACAGCACTTGCCATGTACATGAGAAGCTGGGGCAAATTCTGCGTCGTACCATGGCGAGCAGGTACGACCCTGAGAAGCGGAATTGAATCGACAATCCACGACAAGTTGCCATGCAGATTGAAAACACGGTATGTCTTTTGCAAGATCCAGATCCCAGCATACGAGCAATAGTGGAGAGGAAATGTAACAAGAGAACCATTCTCTTTTGTGACGACCCACTTCTTCGCTTCGGTGACTGTTGTTTCCGTTTCTTGAGGGTCTGGGAATGCTTCTAAACGCGGTAGCTGATCGTGGACCAGCCCGTTCGCCGTCTGTGCGGCAAGCCTGCATGAAGATATAAGCTCTTCTCTTTTCAACTCATAAAGCCCCTTACAGTTGTATATGCAAAAGAGATCCAGCCATTGAGATCTCTCCTTCCGCTTCTGACGCTAGTCTTTCGAATACCTCTCTGTCACCTGTCAACCAACGCAAGCAACTTATCTTAGAGCGCTTCGTGAGTGCTTTGGGTAGTGATTCTGACAACAAAACGCTCGCCCTAGCTGGGTCCGGAACAAATTGTCTGTACTCCTCTGGAAGGTTGCTGTAGAAGAGCGACAGGGTTTCGTGGTTATTGTGTAGCCTTTCCAAACGTGCTGCCGCTCGATCGAGGTCATCCGGGACACGCTGCAATCCGCGGTAGAAACGTACGAGCTTCATACTACCTCCCAGTAAGGGCGCAATCGAGAATGCGAGACCCAAAGGCTCCATGCTGGTAGATTGAAAGCCGACAAAAGCTGTTTGCACGCTCAAAGAATCGAGGTAATCGAGTGGTGAACAAAGTCAGGCTGCGTCACTTGCCCGGGAGATGTTCTCCTTTAAACACATCATAAGTTGGGCTGCAGACTTCTCGCTCTCCATCTATTACTCTCACTGTGCCCTGGAGTCGGGACAGCCGGATTGTCAAGAATGAGGCTGTGACATTGATTCGGCGTCATCCCTGCTGTTCCCAACCAATCCACGATCGCTCAAGCAATGCAGGTCGACCGCCTCAGAGACACAAAACCACTGCAGACATTGCCCACACACACCGGCAGAAATGCGTACTGGTGAGTGCATGATGCGCGAATGAGCTTTGAAGACAGCGTGCAGCGTGACACTCAGTATCTTTTGGCAAGGCGTCGAATTCGACCAGGGTTCAAGCGATATGAAACGGCCACGTTGATGCGCAGGCCACGCTCACGGGATCGGGCGCACCTAGATTAGCCAGCAGTTTTCAAGCCGCATGACATAGCTATCCCCCAAAGAGGGTGTCTGCAATTGAGACCAAACTACTGAGTGTTGGTTGAGAAATGAGGTTGCTTGCAATAGACGAAATTCCCCACAGACTGATCAGTAAATTCGCGCCGCAAGAACTTTTCTTATTGCGAGAGCACCTCTTGGGAGTGCGAGTCCACAGGTGATCTTCTGAACCAACAAAGAAACGGCTGGACAAATCGTGCTTCTGCTGGAGGCTAAGGCCGCAGATGGGATGCGGAACATGAGTGATATGTACCTAGGTGGTCATTATTTCGCCGTAGGCTTCTGCGGAGACTACGGCAGATCATTAGACCTCGAACATGGGGTTGGCGTGACTCGGCGAGTCGGGTTGGCGTGAACTTGGGTTGGCGAGAACCCGGCGACTGCAGTTGGTGAGAACTACTTGGTCCCTGCCTCCACATGTAGGGCTTCGTCTACAAGCAGAAGGACACTGAGCTAGGTACATAGTCCTTCATACAATGTAACCACTTTGGGCCACTTATGCCTGTGGGGCCTATGGTGTTTCCGCTATTGCACGCTTCAGTGATCTGTCTTGCTAAGGCTCATCTACGTCTCTATCTCATTGTCGTCGGAACAGAGTGCGACGTTTGCTGCAGGTCAGACTTTCTGGAAACCCATCGAGACGGACCAGATGATTACAAGAGGGTCGAGCCAGCTATAACGCTCCCCGGCGCAAAGGTCCAGCACGGCATTGAGCAAGTTAGAGTCGAGCGCGGCGACCAAAAGAATTGCTTCGCTCCCAAAAAGCGACCATCGTCCTCCGAAGACGACCAATCGCGGCGTAGGGGTTCAAAAAGGAGGCTTCGAGGGCCGCTAATCTCAAAGCAAGTTGGAAACCTTGCTCTAAGATTATGTGTGGTAAATCGAGCAGCCCTCGGAGGAGGCCATCCTGTGTACTAATTTCCCAGCCCGGACAGGCGCACACGGTCCGAACTCCCCGGTGGTCCCCCGCTACTTGCTAACGCAGACTATAACCGCCAATATGCCAGCATCGGGGGATACGAGCGGTACATTGTTCCATGATGCGCCACGGGCCAAACTCGATTCCAGGCCAGACGACCCATTGTCGATCGACTTGACGGTATGCATTCCTACAATACTATTGGTCACGCAACAACCACCAGCTTGGTGTTTGGATGACATGTGTGCTATATGCAAAAGCCACTGACTATTTAACTTCAGCCACTTTCTGCATTGAGGCCTTCTTGTCTCGCGGGAGTAGGCAATGGTGAAGCCGTCATCGGGGAATCCTACATAAGTCACAAAATGCCTCTCGATGAAAGCGGGAGGGTACTTTTTGCCCTTGCGAATCCCCCCAAAACCCGGAACCAAAAAGAAACTTTCCGACGGAACCATGGCGATCATGCAGCTTGCAGTCCTTGTCGACTTCGGCTCCACTTTGTGGATGTGGGCTAACGGGTTTGAGGACGCTCAGCCAAAGAATAATGTGTGACCGTGATAGCCTGGTCAAAGCGCCAGGCAGCTATCACTATGGCACAAATCGAAATCGACACAGAATACCAGCTTCGACGCCGTGAAAATCTCCCAACAAAACTTTAATTCCTGGTTTTACATGCAGGACTTCTCTAACTTGTCAAGCTGCACGAGTAACGGGACTCCTTTCATGGCCTGTCTGCTTGAGGTGGGGAATCTAGCTCGACCTTTCGAGGCCCACAAGTTACAATGCTGGTTCTACTCGAGTCGTCTTTCTTCCACAATCTTTTTCCTTCTCTCATGGGTTCCTGACTTCGCAGGCAATGCGGATTCCAACCAAAGGTTCGACCGCCTTTTGGACATTTCAGAAGTATGGTTTAAATACGTTAAACTCGCCATGTCGTTCCTGAAGCTTTCCAATCCCTTGTTGTGCCTTTCCCGTGAGAATCTCACGCTCGCTCACTCCTCACTCTTCTTGTGCGAACTCCACCGCTGGCAGTGAGACGCTGTTGCAACCAAAGTTCACCATATCACAGCATGGATGCCAGCTTCGAACCTCTCTTCAGCGTTGGCAGCCCTGCACAGAGCTTTCTTCCCCCAAAATTGACTGCGCAAACTCTAAACCTGAGTACTGGCCTCTATGGGGATACTGTCGACCTCAAAGGTGAGAAGACACATATCAGTATCCGCGGCCACAATCTGACCTTGCTCAGTCGCCAAAGAGCATCCCAGCAAATTCACAAACCCATGGATCCTCGCCGCCAGTGGAAGAAAGCAAGAGCCTCCACTCTTGCGCAAGAAGCTTCTCTTTGATCCGTGTGGGCCGTCGTCTCTCGCTACAGCGATTTACAGCCAAGCAAAGACAATCAAGTTTGGAATGATCTTATCCGACAGACTCAGCGTCCGAACCTTGGTGGGGTCAGACCACAGCATGAGCAAAAGAGTCGGTCACGAGACACATGCGGGTAATATGGCGTTTGTCGTCAGTGCACTGAGCAAAGACCATGTTGACAGACGAGCACCACCAAAGCTGATGATGGGAAAGGAACCCCAACCGGACATATACAAGCCGGACGTGGTTGACGTTTCGCAGGGTATGCATTGGACGTTCCGAGGAGAAAGAGGAGCTGAAAAACAGGAACCGCCGCCCCCGATCAAGGATGGAAGCAACCCAAAGCAGGGGCAACAGTCAAGCAAGAGTCCAAGGGCAAACAAAGCCATTGGCGCCATCAAGGAGACCAAGCAGAAGTAATGGTAATGTCACCCTGTAAGGGGCGTTGCTTGAAGAATGGCATTCGGCTCGACTTGCCGGTGCAAGGTGATCAGATCTGTCAGTCGCGCTTCAACAAAGATGATTTCCACGGCAGTTGGCTGTGTGTTTATTTCTGTTTGACGAATTATAACCGTAACCAGTCAGACGTTTCCTGACTCGGCCAGTATCCGTGTCAGAGGGTTCCTGATACTACCGGTATCCTTGGTGGGCGCTAAAAATCGCGTCAGCGCCAGGTATAGGTATTTCGAGAGACATATTTCAACATGATGTCAGGCCACATTTCCAATGTTATCCACTAGACTCTATCTACTTACCTGTACAACTTATTGTGTAGCCAGTGGGTAAATCCCAGTAGTACAGTAATTGATTGGAAAGGGGGCCTTAAGCACAACAAAAATGCTTACGAATAGATAATTAGGACACGAAGCAAAAACCCGCATGCGGACGGACGATGCCTAAAGTGCTCGAAGCCAGTGCGTCCATCCGCCCTCGTAGGCTCCGTTTTCCTTCTTCCCTGTGACGTGCGGCAACTTCTCCTTCCCCTTCTCTTTACATCCAGCATAACGTACGCAACGCCGCTGCAAAAGGTTCCAGGACCATTTCGTAGCCCTGTCTGGGCCTACTCGTGAGCCTACAAAATTCGTGGTACTTCAGGCTTCAAGGACTGCGAGTAGGAGCCTTACCGAAGTCCTTCGCTAAGGAAGAACTGGGAAGTTCACAACTTCACAACGGAGCAAGGAGGTGCCAATTTAGTGTCAGGGATAGCAGATAGAGTGTACTCGGTACTCCTAGGGGATGAATTACAAAGACGAGCACAATTCTACGACTAAGTCCTGAGAGGGGAGTTTCCGGATTGAAATGGTTTTGGGGGGCCAGGCGTGCAGTATCCTTAGGTATCCACGACTTAAACACTCGGCCCGCTATTTTGTTCGCCTGGGCGAATCAAACAAAATAGCAGGCCTGGCGGGTCTAACGCTCGGCTGTCTCCCAGAAGAAGAAGACTCTCCACTCCTGTCTGGTTTTTGGACTAGGAGACAGTCCTGGATACTAAACAGGGTCGTGGATGTTGAGCAAGGGCCATTGAAGGCCTCGCAGGATAAATTGATTCATAACACGTCGAACACCGACCTCTAAGGTTATGGCGGGGAGTGATAAGACAAAGTACCACGTACGCCGTATATTTGACATGCGGGGCGCCCCAGCCGTATATCCCCAGCAGAGAACCTTCGACTGTAATACACAGGGACGGATTATACGAGTTAGCAGGACTGGTCGAAAAACTACCTAGGTAGAGGTGGGATGTGATTTCAACTATTATTCAAATCCGAAGCGGGCAAAGCATCCAGGCACAGATTTGGGGAAGACTTGCGCATCGTTATAATGTGAAACAGCGCTCGTGAGGATACAGCCCAACAAAAAAGTGCCCAAGGAGCAGCATTGTTTGATGCTGGAGTCCCATGGCGAAAGTGAGGGCGGTCAAGGGATTCAAACAGGAGAGGTTCGCATATGACCATGCAGGGCAAGGGCAGGGGTCCCAAGAGTTACGAATGGAGAAGAGGAGTCCGATGTTTGTCCGTTATGATGCCTTTCATTTATTTGAATTCTATCCGGGGGTATCATAGCCGCGGGGTGCCCGCGAGAAGAATCTCACTGTTCAATGCCTGTCTCGTAGGTTAGAGCGAAACACCGAACAAAAGGACGTAACCAGAACCGGATCCCATGACTTTTCCCATCCTTCGATTTATCGAATGCCTTCACTCCCTCATTCATTTCTTTCCTACTGCCGGTGCCAACCCCGGTACGTTCGAGTATCTCTCATCTCTCTCCGTCTTGAAGAGAACCTGGCACCAAAACTCCTTCGCATCCGCATCCCACCAAGTCCAATATCTCCCTTCCCTCCTGTCCACCTCCCTGCTCTGCAACTTGAACCCGCACGTCTCGTACGGCTCGGCAGCCACCAGCAGGTACTGGTAATCCCGGTCCGGATCCTCCACTTTCTGTTCAAACGCACTCATGAATCGGACGCGCGGTTGCACGTTGGGCGCGATCTCCGGGTACAGCAGTTGAAATAGCAGGCCCACCTGTCTCGTGAGGGGATCTCTGATCTTTGTGATCTTATACCCCGGACGCCCGATCTTGACCATATTTTTGCGCACTTGCACACCCATCATCCCCCCGGCGCCCATCAGGTTTCCATCCTTTTGCATCTCCTTCTGTTCCCGCGCGGCACGTCTGGCCAGGTTTGTCTGGTGTTTCCGGCCCTGAGTGTGGGCGAGATAAGAGCCATCGTTCTGGTGGACTGTAAGACATAGTCTGCATTCGAAGGAGCCGACGTGGTTCTTGAAGAAGTAAGGGTCTTTGTCCAAGTCGATGGTTTCGAGGGCGAGCTTCCGCAGCCGTTCACGACGATCGGCGTTTGTTGCGGAGTGCGAGGCTACACCACCACCTCCGAACTTGGAGCCCGCACGATTTTGATAGTCCATCTTGGCAATATCGTGGTGTTGTAGATTTAGCGGTCGGACAAGAAGCGGTCGACTCGCGGGTGGCGGTTGCACGCCAAAGAGGTTGGCGCAGGAGAAAGTCTAGGCGCTTTGCGGATCGAACGCAGACTCGACGTCGAAGTGGTGGCAGAGATGCGAACAAAGCTGTGGAAGCGCACAAGGTGAAGAATACCCGGGATGTTTCAGGGTAGACACACTCTAGAGGGATGTGATGGGAGGGAGGGGAGATGAGCGAGAGAACAATGTTAAAGTCGCAAAGTTCGAGCAGGCAAGAAGATCGAGCTAAGAATTTCACTCGCTCAGCCTCGTCCTTCTCCGCAAATCTCCCACAAGGCTGAATAATTAATTCCGCTCCACTACTGAGCCCACTTGCCCACTACACTTCGTCCCCCAACATACAGCTCCCGAGGAGGTTTGGAACATCTCACATCCTCCAGAAGAAACATCTTCTCTCTGCAACAATGTCAGAGTCATTCTATACCTCGTCGCCAGTTGGGGCTGTGCCGCCTGCTGTACCTATATCGCCAGCGCCTCCGACATCACCAACCAGCGCAGTTGGTGCACCACCTCCCCCTCCTCCACCAAAACCCATATCTCATCTCTCTCAAAGTGCCGACCCCAGCCGCTCTGGAACACCGATTCTTTCGTCAGCATCCATTACCGCTCCTGCCCCAGCTGTGCCCAACAAAGTAGACTCTCCTCGACCGCAACCACCACTCCCAATCGAACAGCATCCGACAGGCTCCCCAGTTCCCGGATTCCAGTCACATCAGTCGATACCACCTCAAGAGCCCTACCAACCCATTCCTCCACCGTCCATTTCCGAACGCTGGCTACCAACCAACGTCGCTAATAAACCTCTCAATGAACTCCAGCCGCTGCTCAACAACCCCTCCCTCGTCGCCAGCCTAGCCTCCCAGCACCCCTCTTACGCTTCCTCGCTCACCCCAATGGAAAGGGCCATCCAGCAGAACGTTCAGCTCGCCCAACAAGTTGCTCATCTTGAGAGTCAACTTCGTGCCCTGCGTGACGACACGGCTCAGTTGCTACTGAACCATACGAGTCTGCAAACTCAGTGGCGCAGGAAACAGACTGAGATGGACGATGCTTTGGCGCCTTGGGGTCCAAGACAGATGTATCAGCGGCTGGCATCGAGTATAAATGAGCAGGAAGCAGTCTTGAAGGCTATGCAAGAGAGTTTCCTTGAGGGTGGGACTGATGACGACGCTTATTATGGAGGCACCAACGATGGCAAGGCAAGTGAGAAGGAAGTCACTGAGTGGGTAAGGAGGATAAGAGAAGGTGCCACGACATTGGAAAAGAGAAGAGAGATGCGAGCACGGTGGGACGAAGGAAGAGTGGGAGGTTGGAGGTGATGATTACTTCTCATTGCCTAACAATAATGCCTGGAGACTAATGAATGCGGAATGCTCATGCCCGGACGTCCCTCCAATCCCTCACATAGCGACGGCATATTGAAGCCGAGTCGCTTACAGAGCAAAAGCCAACCCAAGGCACACCACAGCCCCAACGATGCTCGAACCAAATGCCAGTTGCATGTCGGCGGTGGATCCTTGTCCAATTTGAGCTTTTTGTCCATAAACGGTCCGAGACGCCGAGGCAGCATAGCTTGATTCAGCGGCAGCGTGGGTAGACGCAGACGCAGCCAACCTTGATTGCTCCCATGCGCTGGTTTGCAATTGTCCGTCCTCTTCTTCGCTTGCCCACTTGGACTTTTCCTCCGCCGCTCTTGACATCCTTCTGGCATAGTCCGACTCGGAAGCCGCCGACAGAGAGGCAGATGCGATGAGGTCCTTGTAATACTGAACAGATGCTACCCAGTTGTCAAGACTTTGCCTTTCTGGGTCATTTGTTGTGTCCTTGATGACATAGCCGGTCATGGTGGGTGGAGGGGTGATGGTGGCGTAGTAGTTGGTGACGCTCGCAGGCAGCCTGGCAAACCACTGCGGCTTCGAGCCACCGGAGAATACATTGGCCAGAGACTCGGCAGCATCGGGATTGTTGAGCATTGCGTTTCTGACTTCAGCCGGGATGGCTGCCTGGATCTCGTCACTGATCCTTGCATCCTGTCGGGTCTCGAGGGGAACTTCATCAACTGCGTTCGAGTCGACCAGGATGCTCAAGGTGGGTTCCACATCGTCTGGGGATCGTTGAGAGAGCTCAGGGTCGAAGGGCGAGCCGCCGCCGTCCTGGCGAGCCTGCAATTTGACCTCAGGCAGACACTCTTTAGGGGTGATGACGCACTCTGCACCAAGGACACACTCCCCGGAATTTGTATCCGCAGCACAGGCAAGAAAGCTGATCATTGAGTCCTCACAATCATCGCGATTGATGGTGAAGCACAGGTCCGTGTCTGTGGCCCTCTTTCGAAGCTCATCAGGGAGATTGGGAAGGGCTAGGATGTCCTGAGTGAAAAGCGGACTGCGGATTTGGTTGTTGTCCAGGCCGTCATCGACGAGTTTGCTATTCTGGTCGGAGAGAAAAGATGCGGAACCACAAGCCAGGATGGCGGAGAGGAAGACGACTTTGTTCTGCATCTTGAGTGCCGGGCTGATGAGCAGCGGTGTGATTGAAAGGGAGACTTAGCGTCTGGTTGGTGTGGAGTGAAGAGATAGAGACAGGATGAATGGATACAGCTGCTAAGAGGCGGCACGAGCCCAGCTCAAGCGTCGACGCTTGGAAAATGAATGATGTTGGGATGGGAGCGATGTGAAGAAGAGAGAGATTGCAGACACATAAGACAAGCTTAAGAGGGAGTCAAACAACGTGGGAGGCACCTTCCTGTTGAACTGCGCTCTTTCCAGGCCTCGAACGTTGGATCCCATCGTGGGCAGTGGCCGTGAACAAGCAACCACGAGAGGATGACGCAAGTATCAAGCCTCAAGGAGGGTGAGAACTCACGCAAGCTGAGAGGCATTGACAGAACAGAAAGACACGATGTGCAGTTCAACGCCCCGCTGAGTCTTCTTACAGACACATTGACTGAGAGTGGATGATAACCCCTATTCTTCTCGGTCATTCGGTCATCTCGGTCACTCGCTCTACAAGGCTGTCAGCTCGCGGCGTCTCAGCCGAGTTAGATATATCGGCCTGCAAAGACCGACGACCGAAAAGCGAAGGGGCGTTGAAGTCGCGAGAAAAGGAGCGTCAGAGTCGAGACACAGGAATAAGGCAATCATCATTCCACGTTATATGAGCTGCGGTCTCTTCAGTTGGACCTGGACCACCAAGTGTCAAATTCTGTCGCTGACATTTGCGCGCCTTCTGATTGGCTGGCTAGAGACCGTTGGGAGTTCCTTCACCGCAGAAAGTACCACACGGCGACCCTTCGAATCTCAAATCCTCATAAGCACATAAGACAAACAGAACATCGATAGGCCCTTCTTCCAAACCCCTTCAGCAACCTGTTCAGATCGACTGCTCAGACCACGAATCGAACATTTTGTCCCGCCCTTCCAAACAGCGAAAAATCCGTGCTGACGGGGACTCTGCAACAGCATGGCACCTGAGAAGTGGTACTCTGAGATGATTCTCAATTCAAAGCCCCCAGGCCAGGGAAGGGAGACACTTCCCACGGCAGCAGACCTCGAAGCCAACCGGCCGCTTTTTTCCAGGGCGTCCACCCTTCAAGGAAATCCACGTGATCAGACGGCATCCATTCTCCTTTCAGACAAAAGCTCGCAACGACCCCGAAGATGGTTTTGGCCTGATTGGGATTTCCGAATCAACGCGCGAGTCGTATCTGATGCGATTCTGGGTCTTTCGGATGGACTCACCGTCCCATTTGCTCTCACTGCCGGTCTGACAGCGCTGGGCGACACCAGAGTGGTCATCCTTGGAGGGCTGGCAGAGCTGATCGCGGGAGCAATATCAATGGGGCTTGGAGGATATGTCGGTGCCAAAAGCGAAATGTACGTCGAAACATGAATTCACAGCACCGTTACCGCAGACACTGACCTCAGATAGTGAATCTTTTAACGCCACCGACCGCACCTGTAATCAACTTCTCCTGCACGAACGGCAAGCCGCAAGAGACTTTGTCCAGGAGTATTTCCAACAGTTTGGACTGTCGGCAGAAGAGACGAAACGAGTGGCCGATCACATGGAAGGGTCACCTCTCATGCTCAAAGACTTCCTCATGCGGAACCATTTTCAAGCATCCACGCCAGACACGGGTCGACCGTATCTGTCAGCACTCACGCTGGGCATCAGTTATTTCATCGGCGGTTTCATTCCATTGATACCATACTTCATCGTTGCACGGAATAACGTTCTGGCCGGATTGTGGTGGAGCATTGCACTTATGGCAGTCGTGCTGCTGATCTTTGGATATGTCAAGACGGGAGTCGTTCGGGGTTGGGCTGGAAGGGAAAACTACCAGGCTTGCACGGGAGGAGCGTTGCAAATGTTGGTGGTGGGTGTTATCGCCGCTGGAGCAGCAGTGTGTCTGGTGCGATTGATCAGTGGAGAATGAACAGGAACCTAGAAGAGCTTTTGCCTTCTAGGTGGTTTCCATGCGCGTACACATGGTCCTGCCTTGCTATTCGACGAGATGAAAAAGTCAGATTGATCCTAAGGACTTGTTGGCCCGTGCATAGTCTATGGTGGTCGAATGATACGAGGTCTGCTGGGGAACGGTCGGTCGCCGCCGACTGGCTCTTACCACGGTAGACGGTATGAGCTACACAGTAGTAACTCGGTAGTAACTCAGTAGTAACTCAGTAGTAACTCAGTAGTATAACGGGTGTGGGCCCTCTGATAGAGTTTTTCCAGCAACGTGGTGAGTTGGGTTATCCGTCTATACCAGTTAGTTGACCTCGGCAAAAAAGGACTACTTTGGTGTGAAGGACACAGGCACCCTCAATGGCACCCTGGGATGATGGAGGAATTGCCATGAGTGATGTCGGTGGCGGAAGCGACCACAGTCACAGTCACGGTGGGTAAAGGCGAGAGAGAGGCGAGAGAAAAGTAAGAAGAGAGCGAGAATTCGGATCCTGCCCACTTCGCCCACGCCGCCCACGCCCGTCACTCTCCCACTTTTCCCCTCGGCTGCCCACTCCTCTTCCTCTCGCATATTCCTTTTCCCCTCCTCCAGTTCACTCTTCTACTGTCCTCGCTACCAGCTATTCTGCTCTTTGCACACCTTCCTTATGGCCCAACTAACTTTCTCACTATCCTCGAAGCGAGCTATTCTTGCTGTATCTCTATTCGCTCTACCAAAAAAACCCAATGTCTAGGTTGGCTCGGACCCTCGTGGGCGGCAACACATCCAGTACAAGATACTCCTTGCTCACGCACTCGGTGATTGGGAAACCAAACCTGACCACAGTTCCATACCTCCAATTGATTCGAGTCAACTGCCGGCCATAACTTCACTTGATCCATCTAGGTTCCCGAGTCCTCCATTGCTGAATCAGTCCATTGAATCGCCGTTTTCTCGCCCCAAGCTCTGTTCGGCCGGAAACCGCTTCCCTCTGCTCGTGACAAGAGATACGCTGCAAGATTAGTAGAGACCGGACATGCTTGAGATGTTCAGAACAGGAAGTACCTGTCTATCCGTTCGACCCATCCTTTCGGCCAAGGTGCGACTATTGATTTTCCAGTATGCAAGACTACGGTACTCCGTAAGTGCCCGCATTTCTATACTCCCAGCCTCCTCTTTTGATTCTGGCCCTAGTCATTTGTGGCTTGCGAGCTGCCTCTATCTTTTTCTCTTGTTCAAATGGAATGGCATCAATGGCTTCCTTACTCGGGTCCATCGGCCCAAGGATTCTTGACCTCTCGTCTATTGATGTCTCATCCTCTTGAGCACTGCTGTCATTCCAGTCGGAGCCATGCCTCCCTGCATCTCAACCTTGGTCGATCTCACCACCCTTGCTTGAGAATTTGCTTTTTGCCGTTCCCGGCTCGCTTTTCCAGCGACCGGGCTTGCTCTACAACGCACCGCTGGTTGCGCTCAGGATCCGCTCAACGTTGAGGATTTTTGAGCCAGTCGATGCCAGGAAGCATTGCGACTCGTCCAATCGGCCCTTCTCCCGCCACTGGAAAGTCTGCACGTTCCGGCATATACAGTATGAGTTTTCTGATAGAGGGACAGACTGATTTTCTTAGCGTTGTGAAGCTTTTGATCAACATCACTCTTGCGACAAGCGTCCTGGAGGTCTGAACAAAATCAAGGTCTGCAGCAACCGTCCGATAATGACAGACCTTCAACATGCCGTGTTACACAGATGCCATGCCACTGACCGATAGTCCAACAACCACGGGATGGGGTGTCATCGACTGGGGCGAGATCACTCGTTTGACATTTTCCTAACACCAAACATTCTATCCTAATTTTTTTTTTCTCTCGTTGCGCTTTGGGTTTCCACGGTCACTATGCCCCACTCAAAGATGATGGACAGTTGATTGGGAGCATTTCGCTCATTCCTAGTGTAATCCGGATGTCTGGCCAAACTAGGCTATCGCCTCTTGCAATAACCATGATGTATACTACGCGCAGTTGAGAGCCACGAGCCAGGAATCCTAGGATCAAATATACTTTAGCGTCAGGAACCAAAGAGCAAGCAACCCTGGCTTTTGACCAACTGGACGACCGAACCAAAGGGACAACGGACAACATGCAGAATGAAGGATCCATTCTCACCAGCAAGTCCAACACATGGTACCTTAGCGAACATCTTTACCGGATTGAGGACTCTTAACTGAACTGGGGATATTTTGTACCTGCAACCACTCAGTGCCACCTGTATGCACGGCTGACGTCTTGGTATAGGATATGCGCGAATCTGTCATACTGGGAACCGCTGGCAGCTTGCAAAAATTTTCTGTGGACACCCGGCGGTCTCGTATCCCTTACAGGGAAAGGAATCTTGGATTGCCAGCGACCTGCCCTGCAAAGAGCTGTAAGGCGCAGGCCAAGGAATTGACACGTCTGGTCTGAGGTCTTCTGGTCGCACCAGATACAACCAGCGCATCAGTATTCAGGCGCAGTGGTCGAGACACCAACTTGGTTTCCCTGAGTCGCTAGCCCACCGATTATCCGCTTCCGCCTACACGTGGGCAACTGCAAGCGAGGAACAACAAACCGGGACGGTGGGAAGATGGTGTGTTGGGGATTTCCCGTGCCTGAACCTACCTTCCTTCTGCTTAGCTTTACCGGCTCCCACTGCGGGATTTTTCGGCGACCTCTCTGACGGCTTCCAATCGGTGCTCTTTGGTACCTGACAAGGTGGACGGGGCCTGGAAGGGTGTTTAGACTCCACACCGGAGCGCACCCGAGCGGGTCCTCCAACCAGGATATGCCAAGTTGGGTCCTTCGTGGCTTGCATTAGACCAGGTACCACCTGGGTGCCACCCAACCTTCCTGTTTGCGCTCGGCCTCCTATTCGATGGTCATATTCAGGAATCAGCGAAAATCCAACAGCGCCATCCACTTCACCGCCAGGGGAATGGCCCATGGCGCCGGCAATCACTGTTTCAAAGCATTTCCGGTCTAGGCGGGTTATGCTTTTTGCACTCCCTTTCTCAGTTCTGAAAAATACCAGGATCTTGAACTGACTCCGTAGGGGCCCATTTTGGTCTGTCCGTGGCGGACAGCGCCAACGCACCTGCGAAAATCTCTGAACGAAGGGAAGAGGGTCCCTTGTCCTGTGGGACTGGAGGCGCTGAAGCCCGCACTCCTTATGGCTCCTCGAGGTTTGTTGTTGATGTGAACGTGGAGTCGAGGTTGATGTGAAAGTCAACTACTTAAACCGCGTCCTCCCCTCTGTTGTGTGATTTCCTGTTTGCGCAATATCTTGTCAATCCTTACAACATCTCCTTCTCTGACAGCCTCGAGCAGGTCTCCAATCAGCATCATTCCTTAGCTGAAAAGACCCTTTGTCGACAAGAACATATTCAAGGACCCCTCCTTTTTGTCCAAGACACGACACTCCAGTAACCCGACTATCCCTTGCCTACTACAGGTATATCACGATCAAAATGCAATTCAAGAACGTTGTCGCTGGCGCAGCCGTGCTGCTTGCCTCTGCCTCTGCTGTTCTGGCAGTGGGATCTGCCACCGTTGTCAACAACTGCGGGTATCCCGTCTACTATGCGGCTGTTGGAGGAAGTTCCAACCCAAGCATGCAACTGCTCGAAGGAAGCTATAGCCAGGCCTACACGGAAGAGGGCGTTGGCATCTCCATTAAGCTTTCCCCAAATGACACCACTTCTGGACCGATCTCGCAATTCGAGTTCACCTGGGCCAACGGCAAGATCTCGTACGACCTCTCCAACATCAACGGCTACCCCTTCTCTGCTGGTGGCATGGAGATCGTTCCTTCGATGCAGAACGACCCTAACAACCCAACCTGTGTCGTCGTCGACTGCCCTGCGGGTGAATCTGTCTGCACCGCCGCCTACAATGCGCCTGATGACACTCGCACCATGGTCTGCGACCAAGACTCCAACCTTGTCTTGACCATCTGCCCCGGCGGATCGAGCAAGCGCAGCGTTTCCGTCAGCGAAGGGAACGTGTACTACCGCGTCCATGCTCGTCATATGCCCAAGAAGGCATAGACGGCCAACGTCGAGCAATCTAAAGCCACCAGCATATTGCCACTTGTAAAGTTTTCCAGGACTTTTTGCGCAGCTAGCTCTGCCGCCCTCTACCGAATTCACACTGCCTGCAAATACGCTCTTTTACGGTATCATCCATGAGTCGACACATGGACATATCAATGCCCCTGCAGGTTTAGTACCCGATCTCGACGATCATGATCCATCTTCACTTTTTTGTCCCGGCGACAGGTCTCCCGTGGAATATTGGAAAACACCATTTGGCAATATGCATGGCTACGAAGCAACAAGTAAACAAACTCACGAATATGCGAATCACGTCATGACATGACTGATGATCAGCAGCGGCGATGGTGGACAATGGTGGCTGGCGTTGTAAACTTTCTTTCCTTTTTGGATCTTCTGGGCAATAGTCTTCCTGACTGGCTCGCGGTATTATCGACATGGCATTGAGGTTCCTTGATCTGGCATATATCTGCAACAAAACAGGGATGTCATGGTCGGACTCATCGCATGTGCAGATGGTGGGAGGAAAAAACTATTGTTATAGAACATGGATACATCCCAACAGATCATCGAGTATTTCAGCAACGACCTCAGGACGTTTGCTGTCTACGAGAAATCTACACGGGTATAGTGCATGAATGTTTATAGACTTCACTTCTTGGATACCAATTATATAGGGAAACATAAAATGGACAAACGAGGAATACATGACTCCGATCAGTACCATTCTTCGCTTTCGTGGAATTGTTTTTGGTGGCCGTTGACGTTGGACTATTGGCATGGAACGGCACGACGACGGTGGTAGTAGTGATGGTGATTGATTGAAGATGACGACGATGCACCTTGTGGCGTTTTGGCGGCGCTCACTAACCTTGACCCCTTTTTAGCGGCAAGCCACAAATCCAATGACCCCCTTTCATCAAGCCAGAAAAGAAAAAAGCCATCCGTGGGAACGGGAAAAGTCAACCTGTTAGCGCCCCTCGCACGCACCCTTTCCCCTGCGTTGGGTTGGGGCCGGTGGGCCATGCCGCCCCAAGGAAGCCCGGATCAACCGTTTTCTTCAAAACTCGCCTCGTTTTTTTTGTTTTTCGCTTCCCGTTTGCCGGCCGTCAAGCTTTTCGGCTGCCCGACTTAGTTCCCTTGCATTGGGAGGGGGGGGCGCTTCCTTGTTGCTATTTTATCAAAAGGGGGCTGATCAATGATCGTCAGGAACAGGACTTTGACGCCAGCACTTTGAAACCGGGTGGCTTGTTCCAGGACGAGGGTAACGAGGGAGTCTAAGCTAGGCTGCCCGGTTGATGGCAAACGGCTACGGCCTATGTACCGGGAGTACCTAGGTACCTATGGGTATTTAGAATACGAGTATCTTACTCGTGCAGGGGGTAGCCGCCATGCATAGGTACATATCCAAGGCACAGCGGGCCATTTCCCCGCCCTGGTGGATGACTGGGTCAGCGAAGAAGGGGAGCGGTTAACAGCCACCCACATGAAACATGAAACGATGATGTTCTTTAATTTATCGAGCAACAACAACAACAAAACAAGGGACCCCATCATCACCCAGCCAGTCCCCGGCTGAAGGAAAATTAGGCTTTCGTCATCACCACTCTTGGGGGCCTCGGACACTTTGGCCTCCATCGGAGATACAGAAGGTGGAGAGTATGGGGATCTTCAAGACGTGCTGTACTCGTACGGAGTCCTTCGTAAGCCATGGATATTATCAGCAAACAAACAATGTTCCATGTGTCAGGGAGCAAACTTCGTACCGAGTTCTTTCTGCCTGGCCGAAAGGAAGCAGAATGTCGTTCCTGAAAAGGCTGAGACGTGGTGTGTTTCTGAAACTCGGCTCTTTTGGGCCAAGATCTAAGGAGTCCCGGTCCCCGCATTCGTTGTTACAGATCACACACAAACTCGCCCATGGGTGCCAGCGATGTGGGATTGGAGCACGAGTACGGGTAAGAGACCTTGGATCTTGACATCGGGTACTCATATGTCGGGTTAGGGGACCGGCCAGGTCTTGGTCTGTACCTATTGTCTGATCCTGCTACCGACGGGTCTGTTTCTCATCCCCGTGGAGGTGAACAATGCAGAGAGCCAAACAAAAACAACCAAATAGATACGAATCATTCATCATGGCATTTGCATGGATATCCATGCCCCCTGGTCTGAGACATTCATATCCACCCCAGCAGGCATATCCCTGTCATACATCCGCCGGGCAAGGCTGACAGGCTCAGCTTCACATGGTGCTCGAACGGAGAGGTCCCGGGGGACCGGGTCCATTAATTAATATGCCTGGGCCCCAACCTGGACTTGGTAGATAGAGGTGGAGGTGGACTTGGTCTGGCTCAATTGGATCCTTCAGCCTTACTCTGAGCTACCTGCAAACAATCCCCACCGGTGTCTGGAAACCTTTTGCTAGGACGCAACTCGTCCTCGCACGCAAAGTCCTGCTTCCTTGAATCCTGTAAGAGACAGCTTCTACACCTTGCCCCATGTCATGCCGAGCCTCTGGAACCAGGCGAACCACGAGGCAGTCTCGACGTCGGGAAAGGTCGATTGCCAAAAGGCCGCGAAGGACCCTGTGCAATAATCAACGTCAGAAGAGAAAAGTGCTTGTGATTTTCGAATATTCTGAGTATGGGTAGGTATGAGGAGGTAGCTAGGTAGAGCTGCTTGCGAGTACGGGTAGGGGTAGTGGCATAATCATGTACCCGAGCTCGAGCTCGAGCACACACTCACCTCCAACTGGTCCGCGCGCTCCGAACCCCAAGGCTTCGATGGCCCATGGAGCAAGGTAGACGAGGATCCCAATGGCGACGACGGTAAGGATCGCCGCGGTGAGGACCGGATGTTCTCTCACAAAGTCACGGCCGATGGCGTAGGCTTTGTCGTATGCTTCCTGGATCGCGCCACCCATGGCCTTCCCTGCCTGCAGCGCGGCAATCAGACCGTCCAGCACGCGCTTTGCCAGCCCTTCATACCAGCCGTTTGTGTGCACGATGTCGTTGAGACGGTCCTGAAGGTCTCGACCAGGCTTCTCGGCTGTGAAGAGGACGGAGAGAATCGAGGCTGCAAGCTGCTTCTCGTCGTCGTCGGTGGCGGCGGTGGGGGGGTGGACTTGTCGGTGCAGGTTGTTGGCTTCTTTGGTGTCCGTGTAGTAATCAGGTGATAGCTTGTCGCCGTCAGCTCCTCCGAAGCATTCAAGAATCGATCTGAAAAAGTCCATGGTGGAAAATGGAAACTGTGCCCTCTTGAGGCTCTTGATGTTTATGGCAATGATTTCTCAGATAGGACGGTGTTGAGGTAGTAGCCAGAAGGGAAACTGCTCAGAGATAAAATGTCCAGCGCAGTTGATGGATAAATGAGGCTGGCATCCCAGGCCGCAGCGTTGACATGTCTGCCTTGCTGCCTACAGCCGCATTGCCTGTACCGGGGGGCCGTTGTTACACAAGCGGCTGAAAGCCCTCCAATAGCATCAAGCCACGAGCTTTGATCACACTTGGTGATATATTTATGTAGGCATGTCGACATCTCTGGCCCGTGATACTCTTGTCCATTCCATGTTTGCCTTGGGCATATCAGTTGGAGGCTAGTGGATGTGTCCATTGAACATGGCGACATCCAGTTCATTTGCAGTAAGGCTACCAGAACTCATCACGTAAGCAAGGCTGTGACCCTCACGTGACGCCTCCCGCCAGCGCAACACTTTTCGCCCTAAAAGTTGCTTCCGCCTTCCACATCTAACGTTTTGTCATGCACACGCCTCTTGGACTATCAACCTCCTCCAGAGACCCAAATACCTTACTGTTTTCCTGCTTCTACATCAATCTCCCACACTCGAACGACCCAAACAATGTCTTCCAGCCAAGCCTACCAACTTCCCACCCAATCCAGCGCCTTCGCGACCGGCTACGCTGCAGGCGAAGCATCCAACGGTCCTCTGGTCCAGTATGTGTGCGGCGAGTGCAACACGAAAGTGAGTCTGGGAAGAGGCGACGTCATCCGATGCAGCATGTGTGGGCACAGAGTGCTTTACAAGGAGAGAACGAAGCGGTATGTCATGCGCCCTTTCCAATCCTGAAAAGTGGCTGGTCGCATGGTGTATGGACTCGTTGCTGACGACGAGATACAGGATGGTGCAGTTTGAGGCTCGATAAACGATGACCATCCACGTCCTGCCGATAGCTACGCAGACATGACCGGACCGCAGGGTCGTGAGGGACGATGCAGACGCAATGCAAAATGGTTTTCGTGATGATGGTTCTTTGCATAGCCCAGGCGTTATTAGGATGGCTTCGCAGGCAGGTGGCACCGCTCAACCGGAACGATAGATATGCGCAAAGAAGATACAGAATGATGAATACCCAACGAGCCCCTTCCAGACGAGATGGCATACAGATGACATTATATTTTTGGCAGCTTCCGTTCTATGCTCGGTTGGTGAAATCTATGAACTTTTCGAATTCTTTCAGGGCTCTTCCACTTGCTATGCACCATCTGGCCTTCTTGACGCCTTCCTTCCATCTTCCGCCCGCCGGCCCTCGCTCCGTGATGACCTCGCCACTTTCGCAGGAATCAGCATCACAAACACCGCTCACGACCAACAATGCCGCAATATTCATTAGCACAAAGTGCAGGATCGGGTCGTCGGGAGGTCGTTCGTTGCGCAGAATGCTCATCAAAACAGCAGCATTTTGCCTTGGCAATCCTCCACCGCCAACCTGCGACAATGGGTGTGCAGGTAAACCAAAGTCGGCGGGCTCAAGCTCGAACCTCTCCACCTTCGAAATGTATTTGGGTGGCGGCTCGTCGTCACTGGTGTCATCCTCCTCTTCTTCATCCCGATCGCCCCTGTAATCTGGATTCTCGGATTCTCTTAGCAACCAGCAATTCGTTTTGCCCGCACAACTTATCTCGTCGAGATCTTCCTGCCCGCAAACCACGAGCGCCTTGGTCGCACCAGACAATTGCAGCGCCTGTGCAAAGACGGGACCCAGCTCTTGATAGGCGACACCCACTACTCGTGCTTCAATATGCGCCTCCACAGGGTTGGCAAGCGGCCCCATCAAATTGAAGATTGTCCTCAGTCCAAGTTCTCTTCGCACGGTTGCGGCATATTTCATGCCGGGGTGGAAATTCGGGGCATAAAGGAATGTGTAATTCGTATGCTCGTACGCCTCGGGCAACAGCGCCGCACTCAGCGCTTCTATCTTGGGCGCTTTGGGTAAAATTGCATTCAGCACATCTGCCGATCCAGACATGGAGGTCTGCGCCCTATTCCCGTGCTTCGCCATTAACAGTATTGGCGACGCGATGATGGACGCCGTGGTCGAGATATTGAAAGTCGAGTGTGAATCTCCACCGGTCCCCACGATATCGCACAGTCCACCCCTGTAACTGCCCAGGGCTATACCATCACGCTTCCTCTTTCGCACGACTTCTCTCAACTTGTGTTTATCCACTTGCACCGCGGCGTCGCGCATGCTTTGTGCGCATTTTGCAATCACATCCGGATGTCGATCTTTGCCCGTCGAATGTAAGAGCGTGAGCAGGGCGGCGAGCTGCGTGGGGTTCAACTGGTTGTCGAACGTGCGGGAGAAGGCCAGCGCAATGTCTTCAGCCTTGACGTTGTTGTCCAGAGGAGGCGGAGCGGACAGCTTCTTAAGCAGCGGGGCTATCGAGACGTACTTGGGCGGAGAGTCGGCCATTGTTCAGTATGGCATAGACAGAGAGACACGCCGGAAAGAATAAACGGACTTACAAGCGCTATTTGCGCTGCAGGATCATGAGTCAAAAGCGCATGTGGTTGCGGGGCACAAATTGTTTCTCCTCGAGCTCTGCTGTGGAGAAACTGCGCCATCACTTGAAACCCCTGATTGCTTGGCAAGGAAGGCAAGAAGGGACTCAGCCTCGTTCAGCCTTGTCAAGCTTCGTGGCCACCATATTCGATGCCACTTGTTGCTTCAGCATGCATCTGAAAATCCTTATTGTTGGACTCCATGCTATCTCGTAGGCTTCGCCGAGTTCGTATATCCAACGCTGCATGCCCACCTCCTCACTCCGTTCACGAACCTGGGCCCCGGGTGCAGAATGTGGTGCTGATGTCGGACTCGTCTCACAGCCTGGGTTACCTCTAGCCAACGAGGCACTCCTCACACGACGCAAGAATTCCTGCGAGAAGCTCCTCCAGTGCGGATTCACCAACAAGGTATTCTGCCGAAAGAACGACTCTGACTCGGATACAGCATCTCCTGCAATACTCCGCACGAGGCTGAACTACGCCTTCTCCGGAAGTTATCCTGTGCTGCCCGCCTGCGGAGGGCCTCGGCGGAATCCCTCTACCTTCCAGGTTGTATTGGAGTACTCTGTATCCCCACACATCCTCAATCAATCACGATGGCTCTTCCTGAGTCTAGTCCTCTCCATATTTCACGGCTATCTATGCCGCACAGCCGAGTTGTATGCTGCAATTGCACCCGCGGCTTTAGTGAGAGAGCGTAGGTTCCTTCTCGTGCAGAACTGTTTCATGAGCAGACTTCTGCCAACGACAGATCAGCTCATCTCAGTTTAACACCCTTGTCTAAAACTTACATCTAGACACCGAAGTCGACTGATGATTTGTCCTTTTGTGTTCGACTCTTAGAAACAGCTTCTGCATGGATATATACAATGCCGTATCTGGCGGAGGAACACTACCCAATTCCGGGAACAGATTTGCTAACGTGGATGTTTGACCACCGCGGTCCATACGATGAAGACAAGCCGGTATGAGTAAAGGCCACTGGCTCTGTCCTTGCTACTGGTGGTGCAGTTCATTTGCTCACAGTTCATTCCAGGTATACATCGATGCATCAAACCCTTCGCGATCGATATCCTGCCGGCAGGCTCGCAAGCTGGTCCGCGAGCTTGCAGCCGGACTCCATGGTATTGGCCTGAAGAAAGGGGATTGTGTCTGTGTCATGGCTTTCAACGATGTATGCTTTGCTGCATGGTTCTACCTTTCCCCTTCTTTCTGCTCGTCAAATTGCCCTCAAACACTTCACTTTTTTGGCATCATTTATCCTGCGATTGGTAGCAGCTGCTAAACAACGATTGCAGATCTATTACTCTATGGTCTTCCTCGGGATAATCGCCGCTGGTGGAATCTTCTCTGGTGTAAACCCTTCGTATACCCCCTTCGAGCTGGCCCACGCCATTCGTACCGCAGACGTTACGCATCTGATCGTCGAGCCTGAGTTTCTTCCCAAAGCACTACTTGCGACAAGAGAATGTTCTATTCCTGCATCGAATGTTTTCGCCTTCGACGTTCTGAACCAGGACATTCCACAACATCTGGGAGTCCAAAGTTGGACCGTGCTGCTGCAGAGTGGTCAGAAGGACTGGGAACGGTTTGACGATGAAGAACGCAGCAAAGAGACTATTGTCGCCAGGCTGTTCAGTAGTGGGACGACGGGGATGCCAAAGGCGTTAGGCATCTCGGTCTGGAATCTTGTGAGTTGGCTGCGATTGTTCCGCGAGAAAGCCGTTGATGCTGATTAGGCTTCAGGTTGCCCAACACATTGTGGTGATGGAAGTTAGGCCTCGGCCGTACGAGGTTAGCAGGAGCAATTTTCTCCATGTCTCGATACTGACTATGCTCAGCCTCGTCGTCTTATCTCAAACCCGCTTTTCCATGTGTCACAAGTGCCGCGAGTCCATACAAGCGCGATTAAATCCGGGATCCCAACACACATTATGCGTCGCTTCGAGCTCGAGACGTGGCTTTCCAACATTTCCAGGTATAACATCACCGAAGTGAACATCGTCCCCATGATGGTCATAAGCCTTCTGACATCTGGCCATCTCGACTCCGGGAAATACTCGTTGAAGGCACTTCGAAATGCTTGGTGTGGCTCAGCACCTCTGGACAAGAGCCTTCAGTTTCGCTTTAAGAAGTATCTGCGGCCTGATACCCCCTTCAACCAAGCCTGGGGAATGAGCGAGACCACGTGCTTAGCGATGTGGTTCTACTACCCAGAGCAGGACTCTACCGGAAGCGTTGGCAGACTGTTGCCCAACTGTGACGCCAAGGTCGTCGACGAAGATGGCAATGACGTTACCGATCTCAAGGGATCGGATGGATTGAACCTCAGAGGCGAACTGTGCATTCGAGGTCCTATCATTGTCAAGGGATATTACAAGAACGAAGAAGCGAATAAACGCGACTGGGATGAAGAGGGTTATTTCCATACAGGAGACATTGCCTATTGTGACTCGGAGACAAAGAAGTGGTATATCGTTGATCGCAAGAAGGTGTGTCCCTACCATGGTTATAACGTCTTGACGCTATCGTTCGGACGAAGAAGTGGCTGATCTCTCCTCTGGCAGGAACTTATCAAAGTCCGTGGGTTCCAAGTCGCACCCGCCGAACTCGAAGCTGTACTTCTTCTGCACCCCAACATCGTGGATTGCGCAGTCATTGGGGTACAAGCGGCGATCGACGAGTCGGAGCTCCCGCGAGCATACGTGGTGGTACGACCAGGCACGACCATCACGGAGGCTGAAATCAGAGAGTTCACCAAAGACAAGTTAGCACGGTACAAGCAGTTCGACGGTGGTATAAGATTTATAGACGAGGTGCCCAGGAACGCGAACGGTAAGATTCAGAAAGCGGAGCTGAGGGAGTTGGTCAAGAGGGAAATGGGTGCTAGACTGTGATGGAGGCAAAGGCCGGTCGTCAGTTTCTTTCTGCGCTTCTAGATATCAATAGAAAGCAAGAATCAGCGACTGCAAGATAATAAGATATGGGCGGAAAGTAGCCGCTTTATGGTCACCCCTATGACAAGGTGCTAACGGCAAAGGGCAAAGCGCGATATAGAGGCATGAGGTCATAAAAAGGGTCACGACGGACTGCCTGAGCTACCCTGACCGCCTCGGAGCTTGGAACTTTCACAGAATGAAATCTACTGACGTTAACCATGGTATACGGCCGATTAAACACACCAGGAGATCAATCTCCAAAGGGGTATTGGGATATCCCTAACCCTTTCTTGCAAATATCTGGGGAGATGGCAGGGAACTTCTAGCACCCTCTACGTCGAGACGCCTCAAACCCAGCGCCCCTCTTTCTCACCTCGGATCAGATGCCAAAGTATTCGAAAACTTTGAATTTAACAACCCTTGCGAGCAGCCAACGATCCGAGCCGCACAACCTTGATCTACATATCTAGCTCGCGTGAGATATCTTGTGGGATAAATCATGGAGAACAGCGAACGGGTCACCAGCCCCGAGGGAGCTTCGAGGGTGTCAACACGAGACACATCTCGTGTGCTCTCGAGAGACTACGCTGAGCAGAATCTGTCGAGATCGCCGTCTCAAAATCAGCCTCGTGCTAATTACACCGAGTTCAACTTTGGCCCAGCGACACTGCGTCATCGCATCAGTAGCCTAGGAACGAGTCAAAATCTAAGCCCGGGCCCAGCACGAGCTTGGGGAAGAGACTATGCCGAGTCCAGCAGAAGATCTGTTGCCATTGCTGCGCCTTCAGCACGAGGGGATGTCACTGACACTGCATCCCGCAAATTCTCCCTGGCAGGTCCACAACCCGTGGAAACTTTGGCCGCGAACCAACCATACATCGATCCGGGATATACACAACTCAACCCTGCTTATGATCAGCCAACGAATGTCCGGCCCGTATGGGGCTTGGCTAAACCTTTGCCTCGCGTGCTAAGACCTGGTATGGTTCCAGCAAAGGACGAACTTGAGCAGGAAGTCCAAGAAGAGGAAAGAGAGGTCCAGCAGCCAGCGACCGCAGATATTGAGGCTGGCAGAATCGAACCCTCCCTCAGGCCTGACAAGGTATCCTCCCAGTTAGACGCTATCCGACGGGAGAGAGAAATATCGTTATACCGCTCCTACCAAAACCAGTACCAAGAGTCGCCGGCATTTTCACCCTTTGGCGCCGGTCGAAGAACTTCAGATGCGCCGACTGAAACACCATACACCCGGATTCGACCGGAAGACACGATTGAGGAAGAAGTCGGCTCTGAGCCACAACAGGCAGAACAAGTCGAGCCGCCAGAACTGTCGTTGCCCGAAGCAGTGGCAAATGTCAAGCAAGCAAGGGAGGAAGAGGAATTGAAAGACGTACCCTACCAAGATGCAGTTCCTTTGGCAGCTTATCAAGCCGAAGACGAAGAGGTCCACAACCTGCATACATATTGGTCGATTATCCGGCTGCGCTTTCGAGAGCCGTTGGCCGAGCTCCTGGCAGTACGTCACCCTTCCGTTACATTTCTTCTCCTGTTGTGCTCGTAAATGTTACTTTGGAAATGCTGAAGATCAGAAAATCAATGAGCACATGCTAACGTTCGATTCCACTCCTTAGATCATGGTTCAGTACACACTCGGATTCAGCGCCAACCTGTCAATGACTGTATCACGTGGCACAGCTGGGGTCAACGATACAGGAGCCTGGGCATGGGGACTTGCGACTATGTTAGCCATCTATATCGCTGGCGGGATATCCGGCGCTCACCTGAACCCAGCAATATCACTGATGCTCTACATCTATCGGGGATTTCCGTTGCGCAAAATGCCTATGTATGTCGCGGCACAGATGCTCGGTGCTTTCCTTGCAGCTTTGATTGCCTTCGGCATCTTTCAACCCGGTCTCAACGCTCTAGAGCTATATTTGGCGCAAGAGCAACAACGTCTCCTAGTGGAAAAGGACTCAATTGAAGGCTGGAGGTCAGCTCCAGCGTTACCACATGCGTCAGCGGTATCAACGGTGGTGTTATCCAATTTTCTCACCTTCCCACGCGCTCTTTGGGTCAACAGCAGTACAGCATTTCTTGCCGAACTCATGGGTACAGCCATTTTGACTATCTCGGTGCTCGCGCTGGGCGATGACACCAATGCTCCTCCCGGGGCTGGAATGAACGCCTTCATAGTCGGCCTGCTGGTTACCGTCCTTGGTATGGCGTAAGTATCAGGCCTTTTTCTTGCTCCTTCTCCTCCCTGTCCGCTGATTTCTGTCTGGCGATGTCTTTCTGCCGATTGGGGAATTCCAAACTCCCTGAGCCAAGTGGGAATCAAGATGAGGCAGGAGCGGAATCAAAATGAAGGAACTCACATTAGCGCATTGGCTGACTTGTCAACGCACTTCCCTCTACAGATTCGGTTACATCACTGGTCTAGCCATGAATCCAGCCCGCGACTTCGGTCCCCGCCTTGCCATGCTCGTCCTCGGCTACGGCACCCCCAAAACCCTCTTCGCAGACGGCTACTGGTTCAAGGTGGCATGCTTAGGACCCATTATCGGTGCGATTTTGGGAGGTCTTCTTTATGACGCGGCAATATTCGTCGGCGGCGAAAGTCCTGTGAACTATCCCACGAGACGGATTCGACGGGCCGCGCGGAAGTGGAGGAAGCGGTGGAAAGCGAGGATGAACTTCAGACGTACAAAGCAAACAAAACGATGAGGCTTGTATGCCAAGGGATGGAGCTTTTTGCGCTGGAAATTTCAGTGAGATGCGGGCCATTTGTTGGCAGACAGACATGCCGATTGTGCATGCTGTAATGTGTTATCTAGCAGGTAATGGTATTGATATTGGGAGGCTGTGGTGTTCCAGGTCTGCAGGGGTCATCTGCCAAATTTAATTTGAGCATGAAATCTGGCTGATATGCAGCGTTCTCATTGTCATAATCAATATGGACCTGATCAATGCTTCGAGCTCCCTTTAAGATTGGATATTTGGACGGTAGAACAACGTCGACAGTGGAAAGGGAGAACCTAACGTTTCCGCGCGCCTATGGCCCGCAGTAATACGAGTCCCTCACGTGATGCGATTCAATAGCCGAGTCTTGGCGCGTCTCAGCTCCGATCCCCGAATATCAGACGGAGGATTGCTTCCAGGCGACAGGATAAGAGGCTTCCCTGGTTTACATCAATCTCAGTCGGCACTGTATTTCCCTGCATATTTACATCGATCTTGAACCACTCACTCCATTGCGGCTCAATTGTTGCCACGACCTAGTTGCTTAACAGTTGACTCCATCACCCTCTGATGTCCCGGGTGTGCAAATCCGACTTCAATCGCCAATGTTCTCGTCCGCCTTCAAATCCTTTACCTCGAATATAACATCCAACTATGAAGTGTCCAAATCTCCATCTGCGACTGTAGGGGTCTGGACCATCTTCGATGCCAAGAAGAAGAACAGTGGCACACAGGCGTCGATTTTCATTTTTGACAGGAAATCGCTCGATGTCACCAGCAGTGGGTTTGGAGCACGTGCTACCAGTGCCACGTCGGTCCGCAAGATCCAAGATGAAGTTGTCGAGCGCTTGAAGAAGGAAGCCAGCAGCCTGGCGCGCCTCCGCCATCCCTCTATTCTGCAACTGCTTGAACCCGTCGAAGAAACCCGCAGTGGAGGGTTGATGTTTGCAACAGAGCCGGTCTTGTGCTCCTTATCCGCTGCCCTTGCAAAGAAGGATCGGAGTGGGAATGGAAGGGGGAAGAGTATCTCGCGGTCTACGTCGAACGATGGAGCCACTTCTCGCGCACAGGACGACGTGGAAATCGACGAATTGGAAATCCAGAAGGGGCTGCTGCAGGTCGCGAAAGGGCTGGAGTTCCTACACGATTCTGCTAAGCTTGTCCACGGGAATTTGACCCCAGACGCCATCATGATTAATGCCAAGTCAGACTGGAAGATCTCCGGACTCGGCTTTGCTGGGCCGCCGGACGGAGCAGAAGGACACCAACCTGTCCCTCAAATTTCTCTCTCTGAAGTGCTCCACCACGACTCTCGAATTCCTCGAACAGTTCAATTGGACCTCGACTATACTTCCCCTGATTTCGTGCTCGACTCAAACATCAACTTCTCGGCCGACATCTTTTCACTGGGTCTAGTTGTCCTCGCATGCTACAGACAGCCTCATAGGTCACCTATTGAAACCCATGGCAACCAGTCAACGTATAAAAGGATCTTCAGCAGCGCTTCCACTGTCCCAACCGGCGCTAACAACTATCTCTGCGACGACACCTTACCGCGCGAGTTGAATGTCACGTTACCGAGAATGTTAACCAGGCGACCAGCGCAGCGAATGACTGCCAGTGAGTTCCAGCAATCGCAGTACTTTGACAATATTTTGGTGAACACTATGAGATTTTTGGATGCATTTCCGGCAAAGACTCCTGCAGAGAAATCTCAATTCATGAAGGGCCTTGGTCGAGTCCTTCCTCAATTTCCGCCTTCGGTCCTGGGAAAGAAGATCCTTAGTGTTCTTCTGGACGAGATGAAGGACCGGGAATTGCTCCCACTCATCATGCAAAATATCTTTCTGATAGTCAAAGCTGTCCCTTTCAGCAAAGAGCTTGTCTCGGACAACATCCTGCCTCGGATGAGAGAGATATTCTTATCCAAATCGAAGTCTGAAGAACGGGATAGCGGGAAAGAGGCTGCTTTACTGGCAGTTCTCAACAACATTCAGCTCCTTGCCGAAAATTGCTCTGCGAAACAGTTCAAAGATGATGTCTTGCCCATTGTCCATGTAGCCATGGAGTCATCAACCCATTCAATCACCGATGCTGCATTACAGACATTACCGGTGGTGCTTCCTTTAATCGACTTCTCAACGGTCAAGCATGATCTGTTCCCCGTTGTGGCCAACGTTTTTAGCAAGACCAACAGCTTGACTATCAAGATTCGAGGTCTCGAGGCGCTTGGGGTACTTTGCGGCGTCTCAGCCAAACAGACGGAAAACAACATCGACGACTTTTCCGGGAAGGGTCATCCAGAAAAGCAGGACAAGAATGTTTCCAGCTTAGACAAGTTTACCATGCAAGAGAAGATCGTCCCTCTGTTGAAAGCAATCAAAACAAAAGAGCCAGCAGTGATGATGGCGGCTCTGAAAGTGTTCCGACAGATCGGGACCGTTGCAGACACTGATTTCTTAGCCATTGAGGTGATGCCTATCCTTTGGAATTTTGCTCTGGGCCCTCTGCTTGACCTTTCCCAGTTCAGCGCCTTTATGGATGTCATCAAGTCTCTCTCGAGCAAGATCGAGCGCGAACAGATTCGTAAATTGCAGGAGCTCTCTTCGAGTAGGACTTTAGAGTCGAGGACCACGCCCTCGTCACAGAAGCAGATTGGCAACGGCGTCCACCAAGCTAATCAGATCGGAAGCACAGAAGACGACTTCGAGAAACTCGTCCTCGGAGACAAGAACGTTGACAAGACGGATGTTTTTGCAGGTGCCCTTTCTGAGGGCCAAAAGTTGACCCCAAATCCGCCTTCCTTCTCATGGGCTCCGATGAGCGCTGCCGCCAGCACGAATGCATTGGCACACCAACTGTCTCCCTCGTTGCCCGTCCTTCAACCACAGCCTTTATCTCGCTCGATCACTCCGGATGTCAGTGCCTCGGCATTTCCAAGTCTTAAGCCTACCCAACCATCATCGACTTCTATTTGGGGAACATCTTCACCTTCACCGATATCTCTGCAGAATCAACATCAGGTGCTGCAACCGTCGAATTATCTCTCTAATCCTGCAAGCAGCATGTCTCCGCCGACTGCGACATCAAATACGACTTGGCAGCTTCCGCCGCCTCCTGTAGTGCAAGGGTCTCTTAATTCGGGATTTGCGCCCATGATAGCTCCGCCTCCTGCAGGTAACACCCAGAAGACTGCTTGGCCACAGCCAAACTACAACAATTTCGGCGTGTCCTCGCAGCCAGGGCCTAGATTCAGTGCGTCAATGAACGTGCTGCAGCCGCAAAGGACTCAGCAGCAAACGCCTCAACAGCAGAAAACAGGCCTGGACAAATACGAATCTCTGCTCTGACACCAAGCGCGCAGAGTAGCCGTGAAGTTGACTAGTCGCCTTGTGCCGCGATTGGTCAGATCCAGCCGGCAAATTAGTATATGATCGATGCACGCGAAGTTGGAAGGATGAGGCGATTCTCTCGTATAATCTTTGAACTGTCTTGAGAGGACCAGTGTGCCCACAGGATTGGCCAGAAACCACCTTCGCAAATTTGAGTTACAATCAACCCGCGTTGTGCAACAGATGACACAGTCCACTCGTACCGGCGGCGCAAGGGGTTTCGCAATGGCAATGCCTTTTGGTGGACGTTATGGAGAGACGGGCAGATTGTTCCTGACATGAAAACAACCAATGGCATTGTCGCTCAGGCCCCAAACCCATGTTTCTGTGGAGCCCGCGGGCCGGCAAGAAGCTGAATCGAAGCCTTTCCCTTCGGAGCATTGCTCGGCTGCTTTACGCGAGGCCAATCGACCACGCACGAGCTCTTGTCTAGAATATCTGATTAACCCCATCTGGCCTTTCGATTCATATACTCCCATAGATGTCGAACATTCCCGTCGAAAGTGGCTTTACATCATGACAAGGCCAAGGAATTCCATCTACCTTGGCACCCTGACAACTTCAGCCCGTCGCCAGAAGTTCTTCTGTCCTCGTATTTGGGTGATTGCGAGGCCAGTGGAGCTAACCTTTTCGGAGCCATGGGACTTCGAGTATTAAAGCTCGCTCGTGCTCGCGCGAACGTGGTGAGCTTGGTATTTGTGTTTCCAGCAACACCAGCTCCTTCTGCCTAGTCAATCACCTCGACCTCCTTTTCACCTGTGCAGTTATGAAGTGGTCACTCTTGTCCGCTGCTCTCGCAGCCCTGACCTTCGCCAGCACGTCGTCGGCAATCTCCATCCTGCTGAATAACGATGACGGCTTCGGGAGTGCCCAGATCCGAGAATTCTACCGCTTGTTGAAGGAGAGCGGGCACGAAGTCGTCATGGTAGCCCCCGCCGACAACGAAAGTGGCCAAGGTGGTCGATCCGTCTTCACCAACAACAAGTCGCTCGCCGTCAACTCGGAGTTCAACCTCATCCCCGCCGGTGCACCGTCGCTGGGCCGTGATCCCAACGACGCCGACATCTGGTATTACAACTGCACGCCAGCTGCGTGCACCTTTGTGGCGCTCGACTACGTGCTCCCCACCTTTTACAACAACCGATCCATTGACCTGTTCGTGGCGGGACCCAACTTCGGCCTCAACCAGGGCTACTTTTTGTACACTCTCTCCGGAACCATTGGTGAGATTTTTCTCCCTTTTATAGTCTGCAAGAGATCGTCCATAACTTACCAATGCCCCCCCTCTCTCCCTCTCCGCCTACAGGTGCTACATATGCTGCCATCGGGCGTAACATCCCGGGAATCGCCTTCTCCGGAGGCAACAGCGAGCAGCGATCGTACACCTGGATCAACAAAACCACAGCCTCTGGCTACCCCGACCCAGCCACGATTCAAGCCCAGCTGGCCACCAATCTCGTCAACCAGCTCGTCAAGGGCTCCCGGTCTGGCAAGCCTCTTCTGCCTCTCGGCTACGGGCTCAAGTAAGCTGCTGCTTTTTCCAAACCCCCCAAATAGAACCACCCCCACCCCCGCCCCAATCATTAAAGCCATTCTTTTTTTTTTGGTTCCCCTTTACTAAAAAGGCTGATGCCCAGCGTCAACACCCCGGTCATCACATCGCTGACCAACGACTCGTGCGTCAACCCGCCCTTCATCCAGACGCGGCTCGGCGGCGGCGCCACGACCGACAAGGCCGTCTACAACGCAACCACGGGCCTCTTCACGTACGCGAACCTGATCACCGACGGCAACAACGTGTGCATCAACGGCAACTGCGCTTTACCCGGTGAGACCCCCGTCGTGGACAACGGCTGCTACGGCGCCGTGTCCGTCTTCTCCATCGACTACGATGCTCCCCAGGGCCCGGCACAGCATGGCATCCGCGCGGCGTTGCAGCCGTTGGTGGCGTACGAGAATCCCGATGCGAAGATGTTGGTGAAGGCGCGGGACTCCATGAGCAGTAAGTCTTAGATTTCATCACCCCTTTTAAGAGTCAGGAAGAGCGTGGCCGGTGACGGGGTCCAAACTCCTTCTCGGCTTTGATTGTACTTTCAAAGGCTTGCTCGCTGACCTGTGTGTATGTATAGGAGAGGAAGCTGCTGCGCGACACCCTCTTCGACAGGCATGAGCACAGACGTTGTCCTTGAAAGAATAGCATCAGCAGGGACGAGGGGCCGTGAGGGTATAATTACATGTTGGGCGCGCACCGCAATCCGAAACAGCGAAACTGCTATCCCCTTTGGCAACACCCCTCCCATCGTGCTTCTCGGGCCCAAGAAACGACAGTTGTATGTATACATCGCGGCAAAGGAACTGTATATACTTGACGATGATTTTTTTTTCTCTCCTAATGATACAATATACTATTGAGCGAAGAGAGACTGTACCTTTTTGAAACTTCCAGCGGGCTTGATGGCAATTGGGCTTCGAGACGGTGCCGTGTCAAGGGTTAATCGATAGGGCCGGATCTTTTGTCCAATTCCGGGGGTCGGGAGCGGAGATCCACCCACTACCTCCTATAACATAGGGCGTAGCATGACGCTTGATGCATATCCCAGCTGGGTAGATCATGGGGTTGTTATGTCTATTCGATGGGAATCAGCGCGATCGTGGGGAGTACCCCGTGAGTAAACACCCTATGACATATCTAGCGCTGCCATCCTTGACAGAGACAAACTTGTGATATTACCTGACGAAAGAGAGCAAAAAAGCTCGGACGAGCTTTCGAGGTACTCTCTTCCTTTGTGGTAAGAAGAGTTGTCACATCGCAAGTCCAGATCCCTGGATTCCGAACAGAGGGAGAGAAAAAGCCGACCACGACGACAACTCTCGCGGGATAACCAACAGAGCTCTCGAGTGGTCTTTCATACCGTCTTGGCTGTTGCGAGGAGGCTTGGGGGTCGCAAGTATGGCCCGGCTGTGGGAGTTTGTAAGTGTGTCCTTACTTTTTGGAAGGGGAATGGTTATGGCCAAAACTATGGTCCACATAGTATTCGTTTCGTGAATCATAAAGCTCCATGGTCGCATCAGCAACTTTTGCCCCTCGCAGGCTGAAGATGGGCCGATCAAAGGACCTCTGAAGACTGATTTCGAGAATTGGGGCCAGGTCATGATCGATACGATGACAGTGGAGGCATTCAAGGGCAATCCAACACCGGTCTTCGAGCTTGACCCAGAAGAATACAGGGAGTGGCCGCCTAAGCCGGTTCTGCAGACCATTGCAAGGTATGACCAACCCGAGATGAAGGCTTGGAGTTTGAGCCAGAGCTGAAACCCTGGAAACCCCAGGGAACTGAATCAATCCTACACTGTTTTCATCAAGCGCGTCGAAGAAGGCCGTGACGGGCATGTGAAATACCTGATTCGATCGTTCACGCCGGAAAAAGAAGAGCTTTTCTGTGGACACGGCATCATGGGGGCAGCGATCGTGCTGAGTGAACAGCTCGCACCCGGTTGGAGACAATTGATCTTTGAGACGATCTGTGGGATCAGAGTCGACGGCTACACGCGAGACGCTTCATCGTTGGATGGCAATCTCGGGGACATCTGGACGGTGAAGCTTGAGCTGCCTGCTGAGCCGGTCATAGAGTGGTTCGACGGAGACGTGAAGCTTCGGGAAACCATCGCGAAGAGCCTCGGCGTCGACGTACCCGAGATTCTGGCACTGGGAAGGAATGCTTTGATGGATCTGGTGATCGAGGTGAGCGAAGAGGTCGACTTCTCTGCGGCAAGCATGACTGTCGATGCCGTGGGGTTGATGAATGCTTCTCCTCGCGGGACAAGAAGCCAGGTCATCACCAGCAAGGGAGGTCGATACGGGGTCGACTTCGCAAAGCGCGTGTTCGCATATGGATGTGAAGGTGAGTGTAGTCCATAGGTTCGGGGCGACTCCTAACATGCTTCCAGATCAAGCGACCGGATCAACCCATTGTGTTTTGATACCGTACTGGGCTTCCCGATTGAACAAGTCGGCTATGAAGGTGAAGCAAGTCTCTGAGCGCACAGGGGTGGTTGACGTGCAAACCAGTACGTACAGGGACGGGTGTGTAGCGGTGATTGGATCGGGAGTAAAGGTCCTGGAGGGCAAGATAGTGGTTCCTCACCACTGACCATCCGAGAAAGGGCGTTGAGTCTGTAGCCCAGGTCAAGATCGGCCATCATCATCACAGTCACATCATTTATCATAAGAATGCACGAGGGTGCCTGGTAAGTCTCTAAGAGAGATTCATCGAGGTCGTTCGGGGGACTATGAAGTACTCCGGGCTATGAGAGACCGACGCCGGTTATTGGCGGAAAGTCGGCGCCAAGCCCCGAGCTCCGATGTCGCGGCCAGAATTTCGAGATACAAAGACGGAGAGAGAGGGAGACGGAGACGGAGACGCTGTTCTCAATCTCGGTACCTCGTACAGCTGATTCTCAGCGCCCTTCGACATCTCCTCTCCCCGTCTCCCTGACTCACGCTCTGCCTTGCACCTGGCTACTTCCTCCAAGTACAGCTTCTTCCTCGATATCTAGACCACCGCCCTCGTCCCCCCCTGCTGTCGATGATCCCCGAACAATAACAGGCCATGTCACTCCCTCGGCTACTCCGCACTCCCTGCGCACGCGCTCTCACCTCATCCACATTCAAGTCGGATTCAATACGGCTACTGCCCTCGTATAGACTATTTTCAACATCTCTAGCGCGCCAACGGTCTCTGGCTGCGGAGGATGACATCTACTCCAAGCTTCCGGGCATCGACCCGTCCAAGTTAGAGGTCACAAAGACCATCACCCCCAAAGAGCTGGTACCGAATAAAGATCTTGTATTCGGGAGGACTTTTACCGGTATGGCTCTCACTTTCGACGACACATTGGTTTATTGACCGCAATCAGACCACATGCTGTCCATTGAATGGACGGCGTCGCAGGGCTGGCTGCCCCCTCGAATAACGCCCTACCAAAACCTCTCACTAGATCCCGCAACCTGCGTGTTCCATTACGCCTTCGAATGCTTCGAGGGCATGAAAGCATACAAGTGCCTCAAAGATAACTCTCTGCGACTGTTCAGACCGGAAAAGAACATGGAGCGCATGAACAAGTCTGCCGCCCGCATCGCGCTCCCTACTTTCGAAGGCGACAAGCTTATAGACCTGATCGGCAAGCTGTGCGTGTTGGACGAACGCTTCATCTCGGCTGAGAAGGGATACTCACTATATATCCGACCGACACTGATCGGGACGCAAAGAACGCTGGGTGTTGGACCACCGGGCTCTGCGCTGCTGTACGTCATTGCCTCCCCAGTCGGACCGTACTATCCCACGGGTTTCAAAGCCATCTCGCTAGAGGCCACCGACTACGCTGTTCGCTCTTGGCCAGGCGGCGTGGGCGACAAGAAACTGGGCGCCAACTACGCGCCCTGCATCGTCCCGCAACTGAAGGCAGCGAAAAAAGGTCTGCACCAGAATCTCTGGCTCTTCGGGCCCGAAGAATACATCACCGAGGTCGGCACGATGAATCTCTTCGTCTGCATCAAGAACAAAGAGACTGGCCAAAAGGAACTGCTGACCGCGCCGCTGGACGGGACCATCTTGGAAGGCGTGACGCGCGACTCGGTGCTCGCGTTGGCCCGAGAGCGTCTCGAGCCCGAAGGTTGGAACGTCGCCGAACGGTACGTCAAGATGCAAGACTTGGCCGAAGCCGAGAGCGAAGGAAGGCTGATTGAGGTGTTTGGCGCGGGCACCGCCGCCATCGTGGCCCCCGTGCGCAACATCGCCTGGAAGGACCGCGTGCTGCACTGCGGGCTGAAACCCAATGAAGAGGCCGGTGAGGTGGCGAGCCGCATGAAGAGCTGGATCGAGGGCATCCAATATGGCGACGAGGAGCATCCCTGGAGCTATAAGATTCCCGCCTGAGGAGATGGAGATGAATCTGATTTGGCCGGCGTACTGTATAGGATAAAAGAGAGAGAGTGTGTGTGATATGGCGACAGTGAAAAGAGATCCTTTTTTCCCCCATTTCTTTTCGACCGCATTTTTGGGTTTCCAATTCGTTTCAATTGATTCTTTCCCTCCCGTTTATTTCTTCCTTCCTTTCCTTACCGCATTGCATTCCGAGGGGGAGCAGGCTGGAGACTGTTCCTCGTATCCTCTGTTATCCTGACATATCCTGCCCGTTTCTCCCCTGTCTTATCCTGTCCATCCACCCTGTAATGCTGTAAATTCTCTAGTGTATCTTCTCGCATGGCATTCTTTTCGGGATGATGTCTACATGTGGGGAAGAGTCGCGTTTCAGGAACTCCGATCTGAACATAGGCATAGAGAGAGATATATATATAGATATAGATATAGATATAGATACAGACATATACCATGTCCAATTTCAGATCTCTGATGCCCGTATATCGCGGAACAGTGCGTGAGCTTTTCTATATTCCTCAAGATGTGGAAAACACACTAACCCGCCAATATCATGAAATACATACCTGCCCCATATTTGTCATAGCAGAGAGGGGGTCGGGAACAAAACGTGTCGCCCAGCCTAGGCTATCCTAGGATGGTCTCATGAACTCAGCAAATCTCGCACGCTCATGCCTTTGCCTCGATCTTTACTGTCGTCTCTCATCCCAGCCACCGCGGGAGCAGGCACGTTGCCTTGGACGGCGTCCGACCGACCACCACCTCTCCACTCGTTGGTCAACATCATCAAAGCCGCACTGGCCGTGGCCTCGGCGGTTCCCGAAGCGTCACTCATGCCGCCTGGGGACTTGCTCCCGCCCTCGCGCTCGCGTTGGATCGCCGCGCTGTAATGTGGTGGCAGTTGTAAGGACGCCACCGCCGGGTGAGGCAGTGGGAGGTTCATGGCGGCTTTCGGTGAAGGCAGCGGTTGCATATTCGGACTCGGGTTGGACACCGACCCGGAAGAGCTGCCTGAGGGGTTGACTGTTGCCCATGAAGACGCGGGGGTGTTCAGCACCCCACTACTGCCAGACTTCCCGACGCTGCTGTTGGTTTGCGTGCGCGCTAGATCCGGGGAGAAATGGATCGAGTTGAACGCGGGCGAGAGCAGCGTTGGAGTCGGCGTCGCGGACGAGATGATACCTCCACCCGAGTGCACTGAGATCGAAGGGGAGGCCGTGAAGGATTGGACACCGGCGGGCAAGAGGGGCCTCTTCCTCAAGCCGCCGGCCTCGTCCATTGCTCCTTGCGATTGGCTGTGAATGTGAGGAGACGGATACGCTGAAGAACCGCTCAACGAGGCAACCGAAGATTTGCGCGAATCTCGCAATGCCCATTCGCTCCCGGCCACGGCGCCGCTGGGTCGATGATTTCGGATCCTTGCCGGAGGACCCGTGGGAGCAGGCACGTCGTCGACAGCCTCGTCTTGTTCCTCATCCTCGTCTTGCTCGTCTTCTTCTTCGTCCATGTCTTCGTCCTCACCGGGCGGGTCATCCGTCTGCATCCTTGAACCTGTGGAAGTCCTCACTTTGCCGCCCAGCTTCGCATTTTCCTCCTTGAGCTGCGCCACGCATCCCTCGAGATACCGTACATATTCGATCCCGGCTTGCAGGATGGCGAGTTTGTGCATCTCCACCCCTTCACATGCGGGTATCATGTCCTTTAGGACCCCAAACTCTTCATTCATTTTACTCCGCCTGCGACGCTCAATGATGCTATGGGCGGTCTTGCGGGCAATTTTCCTGCCCGCGGCGCTTGTGGCGGAGGGTTGTTTCCGCTTCGTATTCGTGGCGGTGGCATTGGAGGATGCACCTCCGGACGAGGTTGCGGATGCTTTGTTGGAGGGGGCGGAGGTGGTCGAGGTTGCGGCCGAAGTGGGAGGTACGTAGCTGGCGTCACTGGCGGGGGAGGAGTTGTTTGTGGCCTGAGATTTGGGTTTCATCTGGATGATCTTGCGGGCTCGACTTGGAGGAGGGGGGAGAGCGTAGGAATTGGAAGCGCCGCCGTTGGTACTCGTAGATTCGGCGGTTGACTTGACCACCCCTGAAGACGTTCTTTTGTGCCGCGGACTTGCAGTAAGCGGTTTGTCTTGGGGAGAGATTGGAGGGGTGCTTTGCGTGAGCGCCGTGGTGTTTGTGGCGTCTCGTGCGTGCGACGACTTTCCGCTCTGGTGGTTCTGGGATTGTGCGTCGGATGACCGAATTGCTGGCGGCGGTAGGGTGAAGATGGATTCCATATCTGAGGCCTGAAACGCCTTCAAGTTTTCCAGCGCTCTCAGGTCAGATGAGCCGGTTGGAGTGGGCGGCGGTCTCGGCCGTGGCATAGTTGACAATCAAAAGGGTCGAATGGAGGGCCGTCAATCAGGAATGAATGGAAGAGTCTATCAGTTCTGGACAAAGCAAGGACAATCTTCCGGTCGTAGAGAACGTCAAGGAAGAGCGAGCCAGGCTTCTCAGACTGAGGCACGCGAGGAGTCGTATATGCGGGCTCTGGGAGAAGGTTCAAATGTTTCACAGCGGAACTGAAGCAGCTATGATTCTGCTAGAAGAGAAGTCTTAGGATAAAACACAGGGCATGATGAGCGAGCGAAAGAGAAACGAGGGGGTAGAAAAAGGCGACGACAAGAGCAGCCGTCAGACCTCAGCGTAAGGGGAGAGAGACGTTGGGAGGACAGGGAATAGAGGGACTCCAGGGAATACCACTACCACCAGCAGCTTGGAAAAATTAAGGACGAAGTGTTTGCAAGATGCAATTCGGAAACGCAGAGACGTCGAGATGGACGGATGTGGGCACGTGTATCAAGCACAGTTGCAAGTAGTGAGCACACGACACCCATGGACGACCCTCGTGTGGTGGCCGTGATAGGTGATAGGAGCAGAGCAAACCAGGCTTAACCAGGCTTAACCGGCCTAGTGGTGGCCCTCAGTTGTGCTCACTGCCCTCGTGCGTGGTGGGCGGAACGGTCAGTGGCTGCTCAGGTATCTCTGTGAGGGAGGGAGGGAGGGGGGAAGAGGCAGGAAATGGACCCCGGTTTGGCTTTGCCTGGGGGTGATTTTGAGATTCGGCGGCGCTGAAGCTGAGGGCGGCAAAGGAGAGCAAACGAGGGCAAACGAGGGCAAAACATGGTGGTGAGAGCAGCTTGGATAGGAAAAAACACGCTGCACGTTCTAGTACAGGTCAATGTGATTGGGTCCTGGCCACCCATTTCTCGCCATTCAAGGCCTTGTCCCCGCTAAACACCAGATACGGAGCAGAGGCACGCTGCATGTGATCGCCGGGATCCGGCTCCCTGATCCTCCAATATCAAGGGACGCAATGCAACAACAATAATGCAGAGCAGTGTGAATGTCAGTGTGAACGTCAGGATGCATAGTTATTGTTGGGGGTATCTTGTTTTGGCACTTTTTTTTGGGACTATAAACTAATGTGCAACAACGGTATAAAACACACGGTCATTGCTTTTACCGCGCAGCTGATGAATGCTGTTCATGCCGCGGGCTTTTTGGCTCCATTGCTCACGCTGTGCAACGCCGGTCGCTTGAAATGCACCTTCAATGGCTCCCAAGAATGCGCATTGTATGTCTAATTGCAATGTTAGCTGTGGCTCATAGTGTGGCATCGTGTGGCATCAGGACCGCAACTCACCTCTTGCACCTTCTGGCACGTCTTCAATCCCCACTCGGTAACGCCAACCATCAAGCAACTTTCAAACATGAATGCCATGCTGCCCTCGCCTACTTTTTGAGGCGGCAAATCCATCGTCGACGCTTTTTCAAACGTCTGCATGTCGGGTCCATGCCCGCTCATCGTGTTATGTAAACTCGCTCCCGCGGGCTGGAATCCTCCCTTACCAGCCCCCTTGGCGTCATAGTTGCCCATGATCAACCCCATGAACTCGGACATGGTGTTGCGATGGTACCACGGAGGCCGGAAGGTGTTTTCGGCCACCAGCCATCGAGGCGGGAAGATCACAAAATCCACAACGGCCGTACCCGCTCCATGAGGATGTGATGGCGCAGACAGCACGGTGAAGATGGACGGGTCAGGATGATCGTACGAGATGCTGCCCACAGGGTTGAACCGACCCAAGTCGTACTTGTAAGGATAGTAAGTCCCGTGCCAGCCGACAATATCAAATGGGGTGTGAGACTGTTTGGCCGAGAAGAGGTTACCACCAAATTTGCCGTACAGCGTCCACTCGGTGTTTTCGTAGTCCTCGACAAAGTCGGCCACTGGTGTCTGGAAGTCGCGTGCATTGGCCAGGCCATTGGAACCAATAGGGCCCAGCTCGGGCAATTTGAAGTGGCCTTGGTACAATTCACAAATGTACCCTCGCGCGGGTTCGTTGTTATGCAATGTAACGTGGTATCGAATTCCCCGCGGAATGACGCAAATTTCATTTGGCCGCACCAGCATCTTGCCAAATTCGGTTCGGATGTCAAGCACCCCATGTTGTGGAACAATCAAGAAATCGCCGTCCGCGCTGTAGAATGCCGTCTTCTCCGGCATGCTGCTGCCACAGGCGTAAATGTAGATGCCCAGGCCTTGCTTCATAGTCGGATCTCCTGCACCCGCCACCAGGTGCAGGGAATGGATCCATGACACTTCTCGATCGAAATCGAAGGGATCCCATCGCAGTTGATTCGGGATCGCATTGAAATGGGTGCCAAAACTGGGAGTGGGAGAGATGAGGGACTGCGACGAGGAGGTAGGTACCGGCTGGAAGTTCTGGTGGCTAGCAGAGGGAAGGATTCTGTACAGCCATGTCTGCTGGTTTTCGTCTCGGGGCGCAGTAAACGCCGTGCCCGACAACTTCTCGTTGTACAGGCCGTACGGGCATTTTTGAGGAGAGTTCGCCGCTACGGGCAGCGTGCCTTGAATTGCTTCACTCCTGAAAACCACAGTGTCAGCCCGAGGTAGACAGAAAAGGTAACAAACGCCGAAATCCATACTCTTTGTATCCCCCGAACCCATTCAGATATTCGTACGTGTCGGTCACAGCGAATTGGGTTACAGGCATCGTCGATGGCTTGTTCGTCGGTAAAGGTATTCACGTTGCGGACTGGAAAGAGAGGAAAACCAAACGTTAGTGAGAACTCCAACTCGTGTCAAGGCTGGAGAAGGTGGAGGGAAATATAAGAGCGAGCCTGACGGGGAGGGCTGAGGAGAGCACGGAATGGGACTTACTGGTGAGGGGCGTCTTGTACTTGATGTTGATGTCCTTGTTTTCTCGGTGCCTTTCGATGGCCGATTGTAGACGTTTGAGGCCCTGCATGAAGGGCAGTATTGATGGGTGATTACCTGTGAGGAAGATTGGTATGCTGGTCAGAGAGGAGAGTGCGGAATGCTGTGAAGAAGCGAGGGACTGATTCCGTGGGGAGGAATATGAATGAAATGCAAACGGCCCAAAAACAGACTCCAGCCTGACAATGGGATGCGAAGCGCAGAAGTGGATACCGCCCCAAGACAATAGTGCAGGAGCGCTAGGGCCGAGTTTCGCGAACATGCGAGGGATGCGATGGGGGGGCGGCCACGAGAAAAGAGACCATGATGAACAGGGGTGGGAGACTCGCGAAAACGACATGGCGGTCCCCGGCAGACCGCGAACCCGAGCTGAAGCTTCAGATGCTACAAGGAGGTGTGCTGGTCGCGCTTGTCTGGTTGGACGGGCATCCCCGCAGGGGGCACACCTGCACCTCGCAGCTCTCCAAGTCACCAAATCCATGATGCTCACAACCGGTCAAACACGAGGACGGGCGAGAAAATTCGCTGCAACAGCCCAAGATTAGGTTAGAAGGCACCTGAGGGCAAAGGCACGGACAAAGTGGGATGGCATTCCGAGATAGGAATCGGGGCTGGCAGGGCGGCTGTGAATGGATGAGATCAAGCTACTGGGCCCCAAAACAGGGCATGAATGGACATGGATGGCGGAATGAGGCGTAAGTTTTTCTTTTGGGCTTGGGGCTCGGGTTCGAAGGGGCCCTCGACTCCTCGAGCAGTGCGGGATGTCTGCGTCGCAGCAAGTTTAGCAGCCACTTTTAGGCGCAACTGGGCGGGCCTAGTGGCTGTTGTGGGCAGTGGGGCGATCGGCAGGGCGAATTGAGACGCCCAGACAACATTCCGATTCCAAGCCAATGTCCCAATTTCCTGCCTCCTGTGCCGACTTTCCCGCTAAACAGCCCACCCACTGGCTGGTTTTTGTGCTCAGTGATGCTTGGGGGGAATGCATGCATGTGCATGCACCCCTCACCACCCAGCGACGCAGCCTCTAAGCGAGGGGTGTGAGAGTGAGAGAGAGAAGGGAAGAAAGTTGGGGGTGGTCTTGTGTGAGCTGATGTCTTCTGATCAATGCACAAGGAAAGTAGACTCGTAGGATGGCAGGAAGGCATAGGAGGGTGCAGAAATTGGCTCGCCTGAGAGGTTGTTGCTGTTTCGGTGTCGGCTGCGCAGAGCATGCGCCCTCGTTTCAGAATCAGAATGACACCGGCGCTCAACCGGTTGTAAGATGCTGATGCTCCTGCGGGCGTGGCTGGCGGGCGCTGGTCATCGGTGGTTATTCTGGGCGCTCTGGGACAAAACATCTGGGCAGTCGGGCACATCGGGCACTGGGGCGACAATCTGCCTGATGATCGGCGGTGGGTGCGCCTGTGCCATCCGTGCCATGGCTTTTCTTTGGCTCTTGGAGAGCAGCGCAAACCTGCCCGTGCTACCCCATTGCGGGTACGTTTAGGCTTTGAAAGGTTCGAGAGGTTGCCCCTGTCAGCGGTCATTGCAACCCCAAGACGGCCACAGTCAACCGCTTCTCCAACTCAATCCCAAGACAACTGGCCTGCCACTCAACTGCCACCATCCTGCCGCGATGACGCCAGTTGATCGTCGCTCTCTGGATCGCCGTCGTCATTGTACTCTCGGTACTTTCTGGTGTTCTCGAGTGTTCACGGCCGGCCCAGAGCACGTTGTCGGCACGGGCGGAACCACCGACGATCACAAGCATGGGAAAATAGCCTGAAATCTCAACTTGTCTCCCAAGAGTCCCTGTTCCTCAAACAAACTGCCGATGGCTCGTATCCTGCGGAAAATGTCGAATTCTCTAGAAGAACTCGACAACGAATGATTCAAGAGGTGGCGAAACCCAATCACAGGGCACGAGCAGCTCTGTCGGAGAACAGCTGGGCTTGTTGCTCCTCCTCATGGGCAAGGAGGCAAGTTTCGCCGGCTCGGGCGGCTGGCTCGTACAACCCCTCCAGGGTTCGTCCTCAGAGATTTCCCCCATGCCAATGTCCGCGTCGCAAATGTTCAGGCTCAGCGGAATGCCGCCGAGAAACATCCCAGGGAGGAAACAGAGCTACGGCCAATCATCAGGTTTGTCATGAGGGTCCTTGATGTCAGCGGTACCGGAGTTGCAACCGGACGGTGGCACAAAATCGACCACCATACCGAGCATTTTTGCCCTTATCAACCTGGAAATCTGCATTGGTAGTGGGTATCTCCCAAGTAGGAAATACTTTGAACGCACCGTTGCACAAGTCACAAATATGCTGACCTTGCGCGTAAAGAGAAACACATGATTGGCAAGCGTCTGAACAAGAACGAGAGCTAACTTACCCTGCGGGTTCGCGATCCTGTCCCTCTTCCATTGCTCCAAGAAGTCGAGCGCCACCTGGATCTTTGTGTTGCGTTGCCACCATGGGACATATTGCGTGGCATATGGACGTGGCCTCGACATCATGGGACGTCTGATTGGAGGATTTGCAGTATTGGGAGCCTTGCTATGTAAGCGGTATAAACCCAGAGCCTCTGCCCCCTTTAACTATTGCCGCCCGCGCCGAGAGGGTGAATGATGAGATCGGAATATTCGGACCTGAACGTGTTCGTTATGCCCGGCTGGTGGTTCGGACCAGGGTACCTAGGATTCCGAAGGAAGATGATTTGAAGCTTTCGTCCCAAAACTCAACCTATACACACGTCGAACGGGCTTTTGGACGGCCGAGATCTCGGCTTGATGATGCTTCGAGGTGATGAGCAATGACCCGGGCGGATATCAAGTTTCCACAAAACAAGAGAGGGAGCATATAACAGCTGACGCAATCCATTTGGACTCGGGGCTTGATTGTGCACGGTTTGTGAAGAAACGCACAAGACTAATACTATTTGTAGAGTAAGCGCTCAAGGGCCCTCAAATCATCTGGTACCTCCCAAAGAAATTGAAAAAAAAACCGGTCCTCAAGAGGATTGAGAATTCAAGCTTCGGTCCAAGTTTGGTTCCACGAACGAGAAGGACCTACCTAGAAACCAAATATTTCGGGGGTCCTATATGCCTACCACCGGACTGACAACTTAAAAAAACAAAAACTGAAGTGTCTTCAACGCGGAACTTTTGTAGAATTCTTTTCCAGCTAAGAAGTTAAACTCCCTGAGGGTGAAAAGGGGCTGGAAATGCACAATTTTGCAGAACTAGGCCACGGAATATAGAGAACAAATAGTTAACCCTTGGGAGAAGGGGAGAGAACAAGGCTCAAACCCCCTTAGCGAATAGTCCGTTTTCTCCTTAAGATGACACCATAATAGCTCGTGGATAAATCTCGTCGGAAAAAAAGACGACATCAAAAATGCTTCAAATCGAGCTTTGTTCTCGAATAATAATCAACTGGGCCAGCAGGCCCCAAACCGGGAGGGAACCACCCAGCCTGACAAATAACAGCTGCAATGCAATGCACATTCACATTTCAAAACCTCATTTCATTTTCCTCGTCACCATCGTGGTTCATGCCCCTTTTTTTCTTTCTCTAAAGATCCTTGGTCCGCTCATCACTCGCACGGATCCATCTCTCCAGAGCCTCCTTGTTCCGGACCCGGAAGCCCACCTTGAACGGTTTGGGTTCCGTGGTGAGGGCGGTTGGGATGCTGTTGCACTCGATGGCGTCGAGGACGGGCCAGTCCTTGGGGTCCTGGGCCTGCACAAACTCAAAGGCCACAATCATGCGCAAAAACGCCGTGTAGATCTCGCGGTTCGCCAGGTGCGAGCCCACGCACATTCTGCTGCCCGCGCCGTAGCCGTAGTGGGGTGTTCCACTGCCCTCTTGGTCGTCCAGGTATCGCTCCGGGATGAATTTGGCGGGGTCCTTGAAGTGCGTCTCGTCATAGTCGGCCGCCCAGGCGTTCATGTAGAAGACGCTCCCCGCGGGGATGGTGACGTCGTTGTACTTGATGTCCTTGATGCTGGTTCGCGGCAGGCAGATGGGGATCACGGTCCAGAAACGGAGGATCTCCTTTGTCAGAGCCGTGATGTAGGGCACCTTTTCCTCAACCAGGCATTTCTCCCACGCCTCGCCGTCCGTGGGATACACTTTCATAATTTCTTCATAGGCCCTTTTCTGGATGTGCTGGCCCTCCGGAGAGGCAAGGTATCCAAGACCCATAATCATGTTGCCGGGCACGGTGTCAATGCCGGCCGAGACCATAGTCAAGCAAATGGACTTCAGTTCTGCTTCGTTCAGCGTCTCCTCGGGATCCTTGATGATGTTGCCGGTAATGCAAGGTCTGTCGGTACCGTTCGCAATGCGCTCCTTGAGCATGTTCAAGAAGGTGGTGAGATACTTGTCTCGACGCTCTCGGTATTCTGCAGCCGATTTGTTCTGGCGAGAAATGAACGGCAGTCGCAGCAGAGGAATGTAGTCTTGCCAGTTGTTGGATGTGCTACGGAAGTTCGACACCACTCGTTCGACGTGGACAACTGGGCACAAATTGTCAGCTTTGCGATTCACGTCTAGAATTCGTTTTCAAAATACACTCACCTTCCCTGAGCAGTTCTTGATCAATTCCTCCGTCGATCCGGATCCCATAGTTCAACGTCAAGCTGGTATTGAGGGCAAACCGATGGAAGTACTTTCTCGGATCCAAATCTAGCGTGCCATTCATCGAATCCTTGTACATGTCCTTGATGGCAACACAACTCTCCAAGTCAATGAAGGGCATGTAGCTCTGCACGGCGGGTTTATTCAACGCCGTGGCCGCCACCTTGCGACGTTTCTTGCAGGATTCATCCCAGGGCGACGTTCCGATGGTGAAGCCCTGGCTGCTCGAGACGACGCTGTGGAAGGTGTACAACGTGGGCCTGGAGATCAGAGAGGATTGGTTGGTGATCCAGAAGTGCTTGACGGAATCGAACGTGTTGGCGAAGATGATGCGGCGGTTGCCCAGGCGGGTCTGGAAGACGGGCCAGCCATATTCCTTTGCCCACCGAGCGGTGACACGCGCGTGGTCCTGGCCGAGTTGGAGCAGGTTTCCAAACAGTGGGACACCCGGGATCTCAGGTAGGCCTTTGATCTTGGGCTGGTCGGTCGAGTTCAAGTAGCGGATCAGGAAGTAGCCCAGCGCGAGGAAGAGGAAGGAGAGAGTTGCGGGTGATAGAGCCACAATCATCTTGGTCGTCGTCCAGGGTATAGTCCTAACAGGTCGGCACCCTTTCGATGTAAAAGAGAAGGATATCAAATCCGGCGCTAGCGTTGACACCCCTAGAGGAAAGCGGTTGAAGCTACTGATGAGCTGAAAGTGAAGAAATGGAGACAGATCACTCGAAATGTAGAGGACGGTCTCTCTCAATTATATCCTTGTGGCACACCGCCAGCAGTGGTTGTACTCGAATGAGGCGTGCTGGACCAAACTCGGACACAAACCCCCTCTTGTAGAGCGCTTACCTGCGGTAGAGACCATCTATCCAGCTTGTCTCACCAAGGGTCGACAGCGGGAGGGGTCATCCGCGCTCAGCAGCAAAGGTGGAGAAGACGACGGGCTAGGGAGTCTCAAGCATTGACCAAGGCATCCGTGAGCGGAACGAAGCCGCTTAATCGTCATTGTATCGACCACGTTCGAGTGGCCAATAGGTGCGGGATGTCTGGGGGGAAGGAGGAGACGATGGAATACGGGAAGAATCCGGGGAATGGCCATTGAAACAATCGCGAGCATTCTTCCTAGTACTTAGCTAGGTAATCTGTGTATACCGATTGGATTACACTATCACGCTCTCGATAATAACTCCACGTGGAGTAAGTCCTTTACGAGCAGAGCGGAATTACGTGGTTGCGAGATACTTTTGATTTCCCTCTCTCCTCCCCTACTAATTCATCGTCTAATTGTAGTGTGCCATTATGGTGCCTTGTGAACTGCTAATGGCACGGCTATGCGGCTTAGATCTTGGGCGCAGGCAGGATCTTACCCGAACACTCTCCGAAGCCGACAAGTCCAGATTCCTCTGTGCCGCAGACTCCGTACATTGTAATGGTGTCTCCGTCGTCCAAGAACTTCCGCTCCACTCCTCCGTTCAACTTGACACTTTCTTTCCCGCCCTTGGTGATCTCGAGCATACTTCCTTCCGTGCCTGGCTCGGTGCCGCTGATTGTGCCAGACCCGAGAAGATCACCGACCGCCATAGGGCATCCGCCTATCGAGTGATGAGCCAGCATCTGCGGAAATGAGAAGAGAAGATTGCGGCCATTAGAATTCAAGATTGTAGTCGTCGATCCGCTCTCAGCTATTGCATGCCTTCGAGTTAGTCTCCAACCGTACTTTGAGAACAGCGCTTGTCGTGTCAGACTTACGTGTGATATCAACCTGCAATCGAATGTCATACACATTCTTCTCCTCTTTCTCCTGCAGATATGGCAGCAACTCCGTCTCATTCGAGATGCCCTTGCATCGAAACGGCTCCAATGCATCGGTCAGCACCACCCACGGGCTGATGGTGGAGCCAAAGTTCTTAGCTAAGAATGGTCCCAACGGGACGTACTCCCAAGCTTGGATATCTCGGGCAGACCAGTCATTGAGCAGCACGAATCCAAAGATATGATCTGCGGCCTCAGATATGGGGATGTTGGTGCCCATTTTGTTGCCCTTGCAGAGGAAAGCGCCGAGCTCCAGTTCGATATCAAGTCTCCTGCAAGGGCTGAATACGGGTTTCTTGACGGTTGCGGCGGGGTTCTCCAGGATCTGGCCATTGGGCCTTGTAATTGGAGTACCCGAGACGACCACAGACGAGGCTCGACCATGGTATCCCACGGGTAAATGCGTATAGTTTGGTTGCAGGGCGTTATCAGGTCCACGAAAAAGGCAACCAACATTGAAGGCATGGTTCTTGCCGGCGTAGAAGTCCGTATAATCACCAATGTGCATTGGCATGTGCATCTCGACTTGCTCCTTGGGGATTAGGCATTTTTCTTGCAAGGATTTGTTGCTTTGTAAGACGTCCGGAAGAGATGTGTTGTCAACAAAGACATCTTGGAGGTATTTCCTCACTGAGCGATGGACCGGTCTTCCCAACGCCGCGAAGTCGTTCAGGGTTGACTTGGAGAAACACGAGACGTCAAATCCGAGCGAAGAGAACGCCCCCGACGCTGCGAATTCCTGCAGGTCCAGGCAGTGTTCGCCGATGGCCACAGCTGGCCGTGGAGTGGGCTTAGATGCTGTAGAAATGATGCCGAAGGGTAAATTGGTCAAAGAGAAATGGCTCGACTTTGGGATTGGAAACCATGATTTGAGAGATGCCATCTTGATTGTCTGTGTCTTTGTCTTTTCTTACCAGCTTGGAGTTATCCAGTTGCACACTTCTTGTCAGAGATCAACTCTCCTCTTGTTCAGTGGATTATTTCCCTATAAGTCCCGTGTACAGAGAAGGAGAAAAAGATGTCAGAAGCGGGCAGCTCGGAGCCAATTCCGTCGTTGGTGCCAGGGTCGCGGCTTCGCATACACTTTTGTGTCCCAGCAGCCGATTCGCTATTTAACCTGCCAGTCCCAGGGGGCTTGGGTGGCTAGAGTTGATCCATAGGGACGTTGTGTATCAAGGACCTCGTCTGCTCGTGTGGGTGCCAGCCTTGATGCTGACTACCTTATGTTGATTGTTCTGTGATGATTTTGAGGCGCCATCTGCCCTCGAACGGCGGGGAAATTGCAGGCGGCAAACAACTTTTCAGGTTACCGGCAAGGACTCCATAGCATGCAATGGCTTCAACTTACTTTGAGCTCCTTCGACCACCACGGACAGTGCTCTGGAGACATTCTAGGGTCCCTTAGTGGTGCCTCGTCGTACAAGAGGCTGGAGTCGAGGGGAGGCAGCGAGCCAAGTCCAAGAAGAAATACAGGGGCGCAGTTTGACAAGCCAAAAAACTAGTCCTCGTCGGTTCTCGGTACTTTGGCCAGTATCTGAGCAACTCAGGCAGACTCGCCAAGTTCATACCACAGACAACACAGACATAATGGACGGCGAATGAAGATGCCCTTATCCGCCTTACACACCTACACACCTACAGACCTGGTGCCATCAGTGCAGACTGACATACCGAATCTGATCAACGGCTCGACTTCCCAATCAGACCATGACGACATTGGCCGGAGATTCTTTCGCTGGAAATCCATTGACAAGGGAATCATGTCAAAACGAGTCCAAAAATCTCATCAGACTTGGTATAAAAGGTAAGCGATTCAGGTGATACAAAGTACCTCTTGTGATAATAAGACCCCCCACCTCGTTGCTGCTTTCTCTCCTGTCTTGCTGCTGCCAGAATGTCCAAGACACCATCGACGTATGCGACGCCAAAATGGTGGAAAGAAGCCGTCATCTATCAGATCTACCCGTCGTCCTTCCAGGACACCAACGGCGACGGCTGGGGCGACGTCAAGGGCATCACATCTCGCCTAGACTACCTGAAGGAGTTGGGCATTGACATCGTGTGGACGTCGCCGATTTACAAATCCCCCCAGGCCGACATGGGCTATGACATTGCAGACTACAAGGTCATCGACCCCATCTACGGCTCCCTCGAGGACGTGGACAATCTGATCGCCGAGCTGAAAAAGAGAGACATGAAGCTCATGATGGACCTCGTGGTCAACCACACGTCCAACATGCACCCTTGGTTTCTGGAATCTCGCTCATCAAAGACCAACCCGAAGAGACACTGGTATATCTGGAAACCGCCCAAATCAGTCAGCGACGCCGGCGTGCCGGAACCGCCCAACAACTGGGCCCAGATCTTGGGCGAAGCAAACTCGGCGTGGACCTACGACACCGAGACGGGGGAATACTACCTTTCCATCTTCACGCCCGAACAGCCCGACCTGAATTGGGAGAACCCGGACGTGCGCGAGGCCGTGTGGGACGTGATGCGGTTCTGGCTCGACCGGGGCGTCGCGGGCTTCAGACAAGACGTCATCAACATGATCAGCAAGGTCCCAACATACCCGGACGCCCCCGTGGTGCTCGACCCTCTGACGCACAAGTACCAACCGGGGACGCAGTTCTTCGTCAACGGGCCCAAGCTGCACGACTACCTGCGCGAAATGAACCGCGAGGTGCTCTCCAAGTACGACGCCATCACCGTGGGCGAAATGCCGGGCGTGTCGGACGAAGACGAGATCCTCCGGACCGTGGGCGCCGAGGCGGGCGAGCTCAACATGATCTTCATCTTCGACGTGGTCGACATTGACAAGCCCAACGTGCGGATGGCGCTGAAACCCTGGGACGTCAAGGAGCTCAAGTCGATCATCACGCGGTGGCAGCGGTGCATGATCGAGCGGGACGGGTGGAATTCGGTCTTTATCGAGAACCACGACAACCCGCGCAGCGTGACGCGGTACACGGACGACAGCGACCGCCTGCGCGACAAGGGCGCCAAGCTGCTGGCCCTCATGCAGACCACCTTGGGGGGTACTTTATTCGTGTACCAGGGCGAGGAGATCGGGATGCGCAACGCGCCCCGCGAATGGGACATTGCACAAGAATACAAGGACATCGAGACCATCAACTACTGGAAAAAGGCCCAACAGATCTACAAGGACGACCCGGACAAGCTCGAGCACGCCCGCAAAGTCATCCACCTCAAAGCCCGCGACCACGCGCGCACGCCCTTCCAGTGGAACCGGTCCGACAACGCGGGCTTCTGCCGCGCCGGGGTGAAGCCCTGGATGCGCGTCATGGACGACTTCAAGGACGGCATCAACGCCGAAGACCAGATGAGCCGTGACAACAGCGACGACGAGCTCTCGACCTGGCAATTCTGGCAACGCGGCATCCGCGAGCGCAAAACCCACGCCGACGCGTTCGTCTACGGCGACTACCACGAACTGGATCCCGACCATCCCGACGTGCTGGCCTACATCAGGACCAGCACCAACCCGCGTGGGGATCGGTGGTTGGTGGTGCTGAACTTCTCCGGCAAGGACGTCGACTGGACACTGCCCGAATCTCTGTCAGTCGAGTCCTGGGTCTGCGGCACGTATACAAAGGGCAAACCTGAAAAACCGCGCGAGGGAAAGATCCCGCTGAGGCCGTGGGAAGGGCTTTTGGCGAAATGCCAAGATCTGAGGCAGTAAAGGCTTGAGTGCCAGAGGGCGGGATTTAGAGAATTAGATGGATGGGGAAATGGGACAGATAGATAGATAGATAGACAGAGACCAGACCGACCGAACCGAACCGATCTCGGGCTCGTTTCTGAAAGTGCTGGATCATGAATGTGAATAGAATGTTGTTCCCTCCATGAATCTCTGCCACCCGTCAACAGTTTACTATCCCGCTTGCCACTCTGGGCCCTTCCCACATACCTAACGTATCAACAGACAGCTCGACGCAAATTCGACAAAACCGTTGAATATCTTGCAAAAAGGAACAGTTCCGCTCTTTGGTGAACCTGCTGGTCTAATCCGGAGAGAAGGCCCAATTCATGGGGGATTGATGTTTGGGACCAGAGCGCGAAAATACATCGGATCCTGGTGCATGGGTCTCGACCGTTATGTTGTTCCCTCAGCGTTCCCACTCGCTTGATATGTAAGAGTCCTGGAGACACAAGCGGCGGCGTAAGGTGTGATTGACCGTTTTGGGTGCTGGTGTGCTCGTCGTGTAGAAGATGGATCCCGGCAATATGTTTCGGTACGAAGGTCGACCTCATTTTGGGATCGGGCTGCAGCATTGGAACATGTTACACAAAGGTTTTTGTTTTTGGGCAACCGCCATTCCAAATCCATGGATCTTCAGCAGGGAGGGCCAGTCTCCAGGTACACTGTTAGTGTAATGGGCAGGGCGATAGGAGGGATACCCTTGGCCGGGTAACATCCTTGCATTCCTCTTCCGAGTCTCCTGTTCCTGTCCTTCTATATTTTCCATCGGAGGGATTCTCACATCACCAACGGCAGAACTGCAGAGCAGCCCTTCCAGTTCTTACGAGCGGTCTCGTGCGTTTCTCGCTTGACGATCAGGACGGGAGCAAGAGGGTCGGAATGGTGCATCTTGACCGGGGATCCTGTTCCAAATCTCTGCAAGGCCCCGGGACAATTGCGCATCTCATCAAAACTCTTCCACACTCGTAGACCCCTGTCGTTCGCAACTGACTCCAGTCAGTCCCAAAAGAGCGTTTAGGAGTAACGAGAGGCAGTCGGACCAGATGGTGAATAGCATGATTGGTTGAACGAGCTTCCATATCCGGGCAGCGGCTTTCTTCCGTGCTCATCGTGGCGGATCCCGCACTGCTTTTTGTTCCCCCAAGTTTCCAACAAGGACCTTCTTCCAGCATGATCTGCATGACCCCGGTTTCAGAACCGATGAGCTAGTGAGGACATGGCTGAAAGACGCGCCGAGAAACCACTTGTATGTTGTTGGTAAAGGTTGCCATGGGCCCGGACCGATAACCTGGCCTTCATCTCGGGAGGAAACCGTGGGACAACTACACCGGTCTTTTTCCATACTTGGCGCGGGTACTGCTGCCATTCAGTCCCTCCTCACTGACAGACGATCGACAAGGAATGTGGCCATAGATGTCGAAGACAAGGAAGAATAGCTCGCTTGGGGAGCATGTCCAGACCCTGGCTCCATTGCCTGCCAGAGGGACTCTTCCTCTTAACCAACCAGATTCGGTCCCTGTGCTTATGAAAAGGTGCTATTGAATGCGAGCAGAATCCCAACATAGCTCCCTTCCCCCACAGCTCCATGCAACCCCAGGTCTGGGGAATATTGACTGGACGCCACAGCGCGGAATCAACTCATGGAGTTGCTCGCTCGTCCTCCAACTTCGCGGTCTGCTAGCGCAATCAACGTCCATCAATTTCCAGCGTGGGAACCTGGTGGATAGGGTGTGGCATAAAGGGCGACCTGCGCCCGTGAAAATCTGGACTGGCTCCAGCTTCGAGACTCGGTGTTTGTCTGTCTTAGCATCCTGATCTGAAGTTGATTGCTCATCTCTTCTCTTTGTCCTCTTGTTTGTCTCCCGTGGGTCGGTGAGCAATCAATCGCCATGGCGGAAACGATGGTCGACAAATCCGAGATCAAGGATGTTCCTGTCGCCCAAGAAATGCACGAAGTCATCAGCCTGAGTACCAAAGGCGAGGCCCAGGAGATCGATAGAGCTCTGGAAAAGAAAGTGCTTCTCAAGACCGACATCAATCTTGTCCCCATCCTCTTCCTCCTCTTTCTCTGCGCGTTTATCGACCGGTATGTGCGTTCCACACCCTCGTCACGATCCCCCAATTGACCACTCGTCCGGCAGCATCAACATCGGCAATGCTCGCATCCAGGGCTTGGAGAAAGATCTCAACATGGCTGGTCAGGACTATAACATCGCGCTGTTCATGTTCTTCATCTTGTATATTCTCCTGGAAGTCCCTTGCAACCTTATTCTGAAAAGAGTGCGCCCATCCATCTTCATCTCGTCCATCATGCTTGGTTGGGGAATTGTCACCGTCTGCCAAGGGGTCACTCAATCCTTTGCCGGCCTGGTTGTCTGTCGAGTCATTATAGGCGCATTGGAGGCCGGGTTCTTCCCTGGCTGCCTCTATCTGATCTCAATGTTAGTCTCCCAAGACCACCCACAGCATCTTGCCGTGTCAAGAGGCGGTACATTCGAACTGAGCTGATAGACAACAGGTTTTACAAGCGCCACGAACTGCAATGGAGGTTCAACCTTTTCTTTTCTGCCTCTATCATTGCGGGCGCTTTCAGTGGCCTTCTGGCGTACGCAATTGCTCATATGGATGGAATCGCTGGATACAGTGGTTGGAGATGGATCTTCATCCTAGAAGGTCTCTTCACCATACTGGTGGCCTTCGCTTCATTCTTCGTTGTCCCAGATTGGCCCGAGACTGCAAAGTTCCTGAAGCCGGCCGAGCGGGAACTCCTTGTTCGTCGACTGGCAATGGATGTTGAAGGTGCCAATATGAGCCATTGGAATAAGAAGACCGCCAAACGCGTCTTCAGCGACGTCAAGATCTATCTCGGGTCAGTCATAGTCTGAACGCGTTCCTTGTGCCTGGAGAGAGGAAGACTGACATTAGCCAGCATTGCAATGTATCTCGGCATTGTCACCACCAGCTACAGTGGCGCCTTCTTTACTCCTACCATTCTCAAACAGCTTGGATGGACTTCAATCCGTGCCCAGGTCATGTCTATCCCTATCTTCGTCTTTGCCATGGTTTGTGCTTTGACGTGTGCGGTTGCAAGCGACAGGCTTCGCCATCGCTTTGGTTTCATCCTAGCTGGCTGCCTCGTGGCCACCATTGGCTATGCCATCTTATTGAATATGCACCAGTAAATATCCCCTGACCCGCGAACAACCGTCATATTGTCCCCTTTCCCATGCTATCTCACTGTTGAGAGACGCTCGAATGCTAACGACAAACTAGCGTAAGCGTCGGAGCTAGATATTTCGCCTTGTACGCTGTTGTCAGTGGCGGATATATTGCTCAGCCAATTACACTTGTGTGGCTGAACAACAACGTCTCCGGTCACTACAAGCGTAGTGTCAGTGCCGCAATGATGGTCGGATTTGGCAACTGCGGCGGCATTGTTGCGTCGTAAGTCAGCTGGGCCCCGCTGAGAGCGTGACTGACGATCAGCTAGAAACATGTTTGTGACAAGTCAAGCACCTGAATACCCGCTTGGATATGGTTTGGGACTGGGGCTGGTCTGGCTATGCGTCCTTAGCGCAGTTCTCTTCTTCTTCTACGTCAGGAGAGAGAACAAATTGAGAGACCAAGGCCGACGCGATGACAGGTATAATTTGCCAGACGACGAAAAGAACAACCTCGGAGACGACCATCCAGGATTCCGCTTCACCTATTGATGCTGATTAGGAAGGTTGCCGGCATTGCAGCGGTTCTGCTTCGTGGGACCAAATGCAGGACTAAGCTTGACTCTTTGTGGACTGGAGGGGGCGACCCAAGAGCGATTTGATCAGAGGACCGTTAGAAGGACATTCGAAGTCCACAGATTGAACAGACTAGATGTGTAAGAACCCCAGGGTTCCCTAGGTGTTTGAAGTTTTGAAGACTGAGTGTCGAGTTGCCGAAGGAGAGCGTCTCGTAGGCTCCGGGTGACCCATCGATCTGCTTCCAAGAAAGGTGGGAAGGCATTCGAGAAAAGGGCGATATGTGGCGAGAACATACCAACAGTTTGTCCAAAGCCCATCATTGGAACCGAGGTATAGGGAAGTGAGAACATCTTCATTGAATTGCTGGTTAATGTTCAATATTGCACGTAAAAAGCACGGACTTCACATACTCTTTTGTCCAAGCTGGCCCTCCATAACGTATTTCATCATGGGGAGCGGATGAATCTCACTTCGGCCGGCGCAGTCCTCGTGGCAAGAGACAGGCTTTGAGAGGCCCTTCTGCTCTTCGATCTGTCCCGGTAGGAATAATCGTATTTTGAGGCGCGTCAATTCGAGCTGAAGCTTTTTGCAAGCAAACGTCCGAGTTTTCAAAAATCACACATGTTTCGTTGTCCCAATAACGTCGCCTCTGACTTTATCCCAGTCAATGCTTTTGTCCAACTCTTCGTCCACTAGCCCCACGATTGTGATGTTGTCGCCTCTCACCAGGTACAAGCCATGGCTGACCTGGGAGCTCGGTTCGGGATCATCTGCTGGCCGGATGATACGCTCGACCGTGTCGTTGAGAACAATGTTGGTGACTTGATCACAGGAGAGCAGGGTTCCGACGAGGGTTCGCCCGTCGACTGTAATGACCAACACTTTTTCTGACGCGGGGAAGTGTCAGCGTAAGGATATGGGAATGTGGTGGATTGGATTGGTTTGGAGTGGGCAGACACGTACTGTCAATGTAGGGCTGGAGGGACATGACGAGAATCGGTCAGCCAAGGTAGTCGCGGGCACGGAGAATATGTCGGAGAGAGAGAAATGGAAGGAAAGGGTAAGGTGCCCGGACAGTGACTGCGTGAGTGGTGGATGGGAAGAGTCAATTCAATTCAACAGGCCATTCTCTATGGTGGAGGAGAGTGGGAGAGAAACTTCTCGGGCAAGGCAAAAGTTCAGCCTGGTGCAGCCTTGTCGTGGCTGGTTGGCCAACCACAATACTCATCCATTCGGCGACTCCAAGGCACATTCCGCCACTCTTCGTCATGTGTAATACCCAGGTAATGATCCCTCCAGCCCCTTGAAATCGTAGAGTACAGGACTGTTCTGCTTCCTCCATAGCTTCCTGCAGGATATCATGGCAAGGACAACAAATACTACGTGACCTGCCGACAACTACGGGAGCATAAGCCGTCGGAGCAGACCACTTTTCACACAAACCATGGCTGCAATGGAAGAGACTTCTTCCCCGAGTCTGGAATCACTGCTTTCGTTGTGGCCTGTTGCCTTCACGTTAAGCCAACATCTGCCGGTGGGCGATCTCATTACTCTGGCTCGGCTGAACGTTGTACTGCGAGCTGTGCTTCACGGCTTCGAAACACCAGACATCACTTCAGTGCCAGAGCACCCTAGTCTTGTTCGGCCAGAACTGAACATCGGCCGTCATGGAACACCTTCCTGGCAACGCCTCAAAGACCGCTCCCCTTTCGAATGCTCTTCCCGGATCCACACGAAGGGCCCGGAACCAAAGCCTTGTCGGTACTGCTCGAGACCCATTTGCGATGCTTGCATTGTCCGATCCTCTTTCGCCCGAGGCCATGAAAATACATTCCAGAACAGGGTCCGGCATCTCTGCAAGAAATGCTGGAGCTCGGGAAATCCAAGCAGAGCGCAACGATTCCCACTTGATGGCCCTTCAGAGTCGACGTCGAAGAGGAAATGGTATGACCCTGAAGACAGTACAAGAGACTACTGCATCTGTGCCCTAAAGGACGATGGATGGCTCTGTATCGAGTGTAAGGACTCCCAAAACTGGGAGGCCATATCCTCCGCCGATACCGAGTGCCATGGTCAAGACTGTAAAGAACCTCTTGACGCAGAGGACAAGGACCGAAGACGAATCTGCCTCTGGTGCCACAAAGGCTTACCCAGGCAAATTGGGGGTACGACTCGATACCACTGGAACCAAAAGATGATCGAAGCAAGGGCTCGAAATGCTGCGTCGCGTCAGGCAGACCTGGAGGAGTACAACCGGAGACGGTTGAAATTGATGAGGATGTCACGCCGAGAGATGCGAGGCGATGAGGCTGTCAAGGGCGATCCAGAGGCCGATCTCCCACAATTTGTCAGGCATCTTGACACCATAAACTATCGGAGCTATATGTCCGAGTCGGCGGCGCCGAGCGGCGACGCCGTGTACGACTCCAAGAGAGGCTACTGGAGGTACAACAGGGAGTTCCTCTTAGAGATGAGAAGCCGGTGTGGAGGGGTCCCCGTACCCAGACAACTGAACGCTCCTGGCAATACCGATGGCGGCCGCCTGCGCTTCGCTCGGACCAATGCAGAAAAGGCGGAAGACTTCTCGTCCCTTGCACAGGCGGTTCCTCACTTGTCAGAGGAGCGCCGAACACAGTGGTGCACACTCAAAGTTATTGTCCTCGAACATCTCCTTGTGGAAAGACTTAGCTATCAGGCCACGCAACAGATCATCCTTGATGAGTATGGGTTTGACGCTGGGGTGGACGAGTATCACAACGTGATGCGCGTCTGGAACACTCAGGACGCAATCAAAGAGCATCGAAGGAATTCGCTTGATCAAGAAGGTGAAGAAGCCATCAAGAGCAAAGTTCACACCCTCGCTGAGCGGGTGCATGAGGTCATCGATGGGGACAGAGTTCTTGTCGGGGAAGAAGGTGTGAGGCTCCAGATCTTGCCAGAGTCTCCAGAGGCTGAACCCCCGGGCGATTATAAGCTACCGAGTTGGCAGAGAGTTGGCGGCACCAGCGCGCATCAGGTCCAACGCTCTTCTGACCTGGATGATGAAGCCGAGTCCGCCCTGAAGATGAAGATGAGGCAAGACCGAAAATCGTCGCCAGCTCAAGCGGACGCCCACGCATCATCTTCGCAGGCGCAGTCAAGTTCACTGCCGGCCCCTGAGCCCTCAAATGATGTGCAAGCCGAAGGACCACTTCTTGACCGGTCATTTGACGATGAGGTTGGCTCGCTGCCACACCATGAGGAGGATGATCATGACGAACCCCCGCCATATACTGCTGACGGGTGGGTGTGGCCTTAGGAAGGGAGCCAGTCGAACAAGTTCAGAGGCGGGTCGAAAATGCCTGCGTAGCTCGCCATGCTGGAGACTGGTTTCGCTGAGGATCCCGGGGCTGGCTTCTGGACGAAGTACTGCTCTCAAAGCATCGTTGTCACGCATGTACAGATGTGGTAGAACACAGTCAAGCCCGCTTCAGGCTGGCTTTATACGTGGACGTCAGTTGCAACGACCAATTACACAGCGGAGACGTCAATAAGATGAATTTATATAAAGGCTTGAGCATTTTTATATCCTCTCACCCTCAGCCCTGCTAGTTATTCACAACCTCAAAAGCGCCAGCTTACCGCCTCCTGCATTGCAATTCTCGTTCAACAGACCCAACTCGCTCAATTTCCGAGCCTCCACAGGCATATGACAGTAGACACGGACACCTCTGCACATTTCGGGCCCCCTCGCTCGCGATCTGGGCACATCGTTGATCTGTACAAGCCCATTTTGCACCGGAGAAGTGGCCCAATACCAAGCTTCAGCCACCTTCTACCAGAGCTGGTTGGACTTTGACAGACAAGCGGAATGCTCGACCAAATAACCATACATGCCTTCCTGCCAATTCGGCCCACTGGTCATTGGGACGCGAATTAAACCTCCACATGACTTTGCCCAGCTTTGATGCTCCAGCCTCGTCGTTGCGATGCCATCATAACCCTATACTGCAAACGAGGCCTTTGTGCCTCGCCAGTACAGCCACTGCTCGTTTCATCGTTCGTTTTCCGTCGACAACACTAATTCGGGCGGACCTCAGAAGACAGGAGATCCGACTATTCTTGGCCGAAGCCAAGCGTTTCTTCCACTGCGGTGGATAGTTTGCCTTGAAGAGCCTCGTAGGTCTTGTACGGCGGGAGATCGAGGCGATTGAAGCTAGTTTTGAGTTAGCGGATTCACTCAGTGTCTCAGGAACAACGGAAGAGAGCAAAACATACCAAGTATGACTCTTCGGTAGCGCGTTAATCTCACCCGCTTTTTCGATCGTGAACCTTCTGGGGCCATCGCTGCCCTGCAAATCCTTGAATCCATTGACAGGAATGCGACTCGTGCCTGTGGCGAATTGCAGCAGTCGAGATTTTTGCTCGGCATCCCATGATCGGATCACCTTCCAGAAGTTCTGGATCACTTCGTCTTGCTCCTGGTATCCGCGGTAGTCTGTGTGTTTCTTCCAGTCGTCTACATCAATGTCGGCGATACCGCCAATCAAGAGCTCGAGTTCGCGCTCGTCAAAGACATTCACAAGATCAGCTGGGATCAGTTCATTGAAGCCCGTGATGAAGGCGTTGAATTGTTCTTCGACTCGCTTCTGGATCTTCCACTCTGTGAGGAGCCTAGATAAAGTTTAGAATTTTCACCTTACGCTTGGGTTTGATACTCACTCGACATATTCTCTCTTGTTCTCGTTCGTGACTGGGAGGTCTCTGCCACCAGGTTTCAGGTCAATCGTCTTTGTTTCGCCGAACTGTTCGTCCTCAATTGAGAAGGTTTGATCAAGGACGTCGGTGATATCGTTTTCAAGCATCCACGTCAAGTTCTTGTGGTATTCTTCATCCACGCCCTCCATATCGTTGATGGTGACCTTCTTTCTTAGCATCATCTTGTAAAATGCTCCAATGAAGAAGGAATCTAGGAATCGACGATGGAAGATGGCAAGACCAACAACTCGCCCGATGAATTTGAAGTAGTTAAGGTGTTCTGGGTTGATACCGGAATGAGGATTGATTTGCAGCGTATAGTTGTCGTGCGCCGAGTACTCGAACAGACAGTAGAATGGGTTGAACATTTCATGTGAAAGGAGGAAGAAGAACTCGCTAGTGAAACATTAGCAATTTGGCGGACAGACACTTCGAGGGGCTTGGTCCCATACCGAGAAAGACCACCATAATCCAGACCGTCTTCTCCGTCGAACTTGATCATTAGTCGCTTCTTAAGATCGGTCGCGCTTTGGCGCATGATTTCAGCATACGAGTCCTCAAAAATAGCGCCTCGGCGGACTTTGATGTGGCACTGGCCAGAGAGAATCCTCAAAGCAGGTTGCGACCGGAAATAGATCAGCTTCCGCCTGAAGTCACGCTTGTATTGCGGCACGCCCTGATCCAAAGATGAGGGCAATCTGGGATCGTCCCATGTCGTGGTCTTGGTATTGTGGTCCACGAAATAGACACGGGCGGTGTTGGTCAATCGCATTTCCCATCCACTGGGCAATGGTCCCAATTGCGAAACCGGCTGCTGTTGGATAGTAGTGTTGTTCCCGGATGGGTTATTGCCGTACATTCTTATGTACTGTTGCCTTCTAGGATCAACCCAGGTTGTGGTTCGAGTATTGTGGTCAACAAAATAAGCTCGCCCTTCGGGAGTGTGCCTCTGTTCCCAGCCAGCAGGAAGTTCGCCAGTCCCGGCAGTCGTTGCCCCTGTAGCCATCATTGACACCGCGTTCGGTTGCTGAGGTGATCCTCGAGACTCCTGCAAGTTAGGGGAGTTTGCCCCCGTACGGTCCTCTGGCAGCATACGGTTTTGATGGCGGGCACGTTCCATCTGCATATTAGCCTCGACACGGTTGCGTGCTTCGGTCTCGCTCATGTGGTTGGAAGGCCTGGTCCAGGTCGTGGTTCTGGTGTTATGATCAACATAGTAAGTCCGGCCCAGATTGTCTTCTCTCCGCTCCCATCCAGCTGGCAGACGGCCTTGGCTATCTTCAAAGGAGCTGAAGCCTCCAGATCTGCCGGCCCCAGCACCGGCACCGGCACCGAGACCGCTGGCCGGGGGTTGCGTACTAGTTCCATTTACTGCAGTGTTAGATGATCTTGCTTCGCCTGAGCCAGACGTAGCAGTTCGCGACGCCGGACTTCTAGACCGAACGGGCAACGCCTGATTGACATTGGTGCTGCTTCCGGTATACGGGTTCGAGCCGTTCACACTGGAAGCAGTGCTCGGGGGAGGCCGATTTTGCTGAGGTGGCGGGCTGGAGAGATTGGTAGATAGATTGACGATCAATTTCCCGTGGACGACGAGGTTGTCAGTGGACTTCTTAAGATCCCGAGTAAGCATTTCTGGTCGAGGTTTAGTATGTGTTCTTAACGTGGGAGAAGCTGCCGAACGTACCGTCTCCTCCCATTTCTAGGTCGATGACATCGCCGATGCGGATATTGATGACACCAAGGAAGCCCTGATCCTTCTTTTTGAACTTCTTTTGGTCGAAGATTTGAATCGCCAGTATGCTATCCTCTGTGACTCTCCTAGAAGATGGTGAATATTTTGTGCCAGCAATCAATGGCCACGCTTCCACTCACATGTCAAAGACTTCGTTCCAGTAGGGATTCAATGTTTTCCTGATGACTGAAGTGGTCTTTGTTTGTTCTCCCGAAATGGTTGCGACAGCAAAAGGGTCGGGGAATCCTGAATTCTCTCAGTAACCACAGCCTTGCTTATCGATATACCATTACTCACTGAAGACATCTCTTTTGTACAGGCCATCAGCCGCGATGACTGGATAGGGTTAGTTTGACCGAACGAGTGAGCGAAGGTTAGGAACAGAGTTCATACTTGTGACTCGCAGATTAGGCTCTCTGTGACATCGCAGTTAGCATCTCCTGGCAATCGTGGGTATAGAGGGACACGTACGCCGGCAGGTTTGCTTCAGGCATCTTGGTTATTCAACCACTGGGAAGCGCCCCAGACTCGTAGCCTGCGGACAGCTCTCGTGCGGCGCGGCGGGGTAACTTGGAAGAAGGATCTGATACAAAAAGGACAATCCCAGCAAAAACTGGCTCGACGGTGACAATGGCGATATGTGTGAGATCAAAGGTAATTGATGGACTTTGATGTCCACAGGGGTCGCAGGACGTCGCCCTGATCGTATTCGCAAGTGACTTAATGGGTGAATGAGCGGCGGGTTTGGAGAGGCAAACGAGGCGCAGCTCGACAGAGTGTGAGGCGCTAAGAGGTTTGCGGAAGAGGACGGGCAACGACACAACTCCACACTCGCTCAAGTCATGATTGCATAATAGCTGAAAGGGCGTAATTACCAATGATGCCACTGTTGCAATAGCAGCATCTACCGCAGTCGCGATGGTGTCTTCAACGGTGCTGTTAATCTGAGGCAGAGCGAAGGTCACCGGTCGATAACACTGAGGGTGGGACGGAGATTCAAGTCGCAGGCTTCCAAGGTCTTGGTGGCTCGGTGGGTGGATTTTGACCGGGACAAGGCACTGGGAGCCTGGGACGAGGCCAAAAGAAGGCCAGCTTACATCATACCGGGCCACCGTCAAAATTCGAGGTCCGGGCATTTTATATATTAAAACACAATATGCACAACTGCATCTTACTAGTAGGACGAGGAATGATCCCGCTCATCAGGACCAAATCCTCATGTCATTATTAATCTCCAAATTGTCCCAGTTGTAGAGTGATTTGGTTTACAGTGGCAGTGACGTTCTTGGACCTCTGCTCATATTGATTCCATAAATCTTACACAAGGCTTCACGCCGGGTCGCCGTCCAATATCAAATTCGAGAGCCCAAGTATCCATGAGCCATTTATTCCTGCATGCCTTGTGAGCCCGATGGCAGGTCGCGATTAACTGATGCTCGATCACAACATGCCGGAAAAGCTCAGCATCAGTACTGCTTGCAGTCCTTGTTGTCTCCACCGTGGACTCTTTGGCCCGGAGCAGTGTCGCGTGCCTTGTCGTGGAGAACTTGGTTGAAGCCGGAGTAAGAGTTTTCGCAATCTTCTCTCAATACGGGGCATATCCACGGCCACGCCCTCTGAAGCCGCCTCTAGGGGCACCACGTGGAGCACCATAGCCACCGCCAGCGAATCCCCCGTACCCTCCACCGAAGCCTCCTCGTGCGCCAAATCCGCCGCCTCGAGCACCACGTGCTGGGCCTCCTCTTCCTCTGCCTCGAGTCATGCCCGGAAGGTTTGTACGCTTTGGCACAACCTGAACCGTCTTGTCAGTGCCATCTTCACAGACCAAGCAGAACCCGTTACTGACCTTGAGATTGCGGCCACGGAAGACGCTTTCATTCAGCACCAATGCTTGAGCCACCAGTCCTGGGTCTGAGAATTCCACATATGCATACCTGCGCGATAGTTCCATTAGCAATCCATCTCTTGCCAGGCAGCATGAAATGATTTTTTGTCTTTTGAGAGTCTTGAAAGAATAGCATCCAGCTCTTGAACAAGCCTTATGCATGATAGTGCTTGGAGGTTTATTTTAGACCCACCCCTTTGGATGACCGGTAAACTTGTCCAGGAGGATGGTGACTCTGTTTATCGACCCTGGCCCGCTGGCGAAGTGTGCTTGGATCTCTTCGGGAGTCGCGCCGTAGTCTACGTTGCCGACAAAGATGCTACGAGCGTCCACATCTTCCCGGTCTTCCCTAGGTGTATTCTCCGAGGATTGTTCAAGGTGGCTTTGCATCTCGCGCAATTTAGCGGCTTCCGACTCCATCTCGGCGACGCGCCTCTTCATAGCTGCGATTTCTTCCTGTGACCACATGTGAGCACGAGATCATATGAACGCAGGAAGGCGCGGTAGCCAGGAGGCAGTCCTTACTTCTTCCTCACCACCATCTTCCTGGCTCTCTTTGTGTTCATCTTTGATATCATGTTCGTCAGGCATAATGGTCGGTGGAGTAAATGTAAACGTGATGTGTCCAAGGCAAGTCAAAGGGATCTTGTGCACGGCTTGGCCGAGAGGATTCTCTTATTTGTCGAATAAGTTGGACGAAAGGGTCAAACGAAATGGGGGGTGGTTCTGGTGATTGCAGAGGTAGATCGGTTGTTCCGCGGACAACAAAGAAGTTCGCGTCGTGAATGAAGTGAGGCTGACCTGAAGGCTGAGAATGTAGTGACGGCTTAACGACTGTTCGCAGCAGTAACATACGCGAACAGACCTCGAAAGCCCCATTTGAGAGCCGCAGTTTGGTCCCTGCCAAGCCAACGGAAAACCTCGCCGCCGGTGTCGCCGCTATAAGGCGTCGCTGGGGATGAAGGCCCCGTGACTGGCGCTTGTCTCCGGCTTGTCCCCGGCTCGTCTCCGGCTTGGCATCAGGATTCGTTGATAAGTGCCGATGCATAGGTATATAAAGTCCATTTCTCTGCGACCAAACTCCTCCTTCCCCCTCAGCAGAAGATCTATTCAACGCTGTCAAGAGTTGGTCGACCGGGACATGACAAGCGAGAAAGATGGGGGAATCTCAGCCCTGAGCACCTTTCTCGGCCAGGAGCAGCCTGCCCCAGCGACTAACCATGCATCAGTCCCCAATTTCCAGCATACTACGCGGGATTTCACCTCGACTTGCAGGATTATAGGGTGCTTTTTCATTTTCTTCGTCACTTGGGGTGTCGCCTCCTCATTCAGTGCATACCAGGCCTTTTACCAGAAGGACCTGTTGGCCTCCCATACACCCTCCGTCATATCATGGATTGGCACGGTGCAGGTGTCCCTGATGGGCCTGACGGGGATCATCTCTGGGGCTCTCTATGACCGAGGCTATATTCGAACGTTGTTGATTGTCGGTGGCACATTGGTCACGTTTGGATTCATGATGCTCAGCCTGGCAAAGGAATACTATCAGGTCATTTTGGCCCAGGGCGTCTGCATTGGATTCGGTGAGTACATACCAGACCACCAGTATTTCGGCGTTGGCGTTCGAACTAACCCTAGCTTATCATTAGGCAACGGAATGCTGTACATACCCTCGATAGCTGTCATCAGTCAGACCTTCACCGCCAAGCAACGACCACTTGCGATCGGGGGATCATCGTCTGGAGCAGCCATCGGCGGCATTGTCCTGCCCATCATGTTCCGTCACTTACAGCCTCAGATCGGCTTTGGATGGACCAATCGCATCTTTGGCTTCATCCTCCTCGGCATGGTCATAGCCACGTTCTTCCTGCTCCGCCCCGACCCAACGCATAGGCGGCGCAAGGGACAATTATTCGACCCCTCGGCCCTCAAGGAGCCACCGTTCGTCGTTCTCTTGGTCGGCTTGTTCTTTGTCTTCCTAGGATATTGGATCCCGCTGATTTACATTACACCATACGCCCAGTTCTCCATCAAAACGAACGTCTCGTACGCATTTTATCTGCTGGCCATTCTGAACGCGGGGAGCTTCGCAGGCCGGATCCTCCCTGCCTTCGTCGCACACAAACTCGGCCCGGCCTTTGTCCTATCAGCCGGCAGTGTCAGTCTCGGAATACTGATCTTGGCCTGGATCGGGATCCACGACGTTGCCGGCGTCACCATCTGGGCTATCTTGGTGGGCTTCATGGCTGGCATTACGGTGGCGATCCCCGCCGCCGTTGTGCCCCTGCTCTCACCAACACCAAGCGTGGTGGGGGCAAGGACCGGAATGGCGTGGTCTGGCTCTGCCTTCGCAGGCTTGATTGGTGGGCCCATTGCTGGTGCCCTTGTCAACACGACGACGGACGATTACGCACGCGGTCAAGCCTTTGGCGGCGCGGTCAGTTTATTCGGCGGCTTGCTGCTAATATACCCTGCAGTCACCATTGCGAGGGGGAACAAGCGCTATCAAAAACCCAAACCACCGATGCATGATATCGAGATTACTTCTCCACCGGTGGTCGGCGACAACGTGGCATCCGCGTGAAAGAGCTGAACGCTCACAATGCCTTTCCAGACAGCTCATCACGAGCCAGCTGATATATATGTATTTCAATCTGTTCATATCCGCGCACATAGAGATGACTTTCTTGTCCCAAATCCGGACCGGAAAGATAGAGACAAAGATAGATATAGATATATATGTAATCTCAATGTCTGTACAATCATACACGTCTCATGCCTCATGTCTCAACCCCTCGCTTACACTCACTTCCCTTCTCCTCAAACCTTAGCCATCCACCGCCAGCGCCAGCCCAAGCAGGCCCAGCGACTCAGTATGAACGTGCCCATCGCCACGCCAGCAACGACACACATGAACCCCACCATAACCTCTGGACCGGCGGCCTCGACCAGCTCCCCGCTAATGGGAATACAGACGAGGGCCGCAAGACTGCCGATGAAATAGGACGTCCCGTAAAACCGTCCAAACTGATCCGCCTCGCAGAGTTGGCCAATGCATGCCGGGGTAAGCGCCATCCACGAGCCGGTGCCGAAGCCGAAGAGCGCGACGAAGATGTAGAGCGCGACCAGGGAGGTGTGGCCTAGCGGGAGCCAGACCGCGAGCATGAGGATCAAGGTGAAGAGGATCATGAAGAGGAGAGTGTTGAAGCGGCCCACGTAGTCGGATACATAACCTGGGATGATCCGGCCGAAACAGGACGAGGCATTGAGGACTGATATGATATAAAATCCTGTATCGGGGGGAAACTTGTCGCCGTAGTTCGCGTAGGTTGGGAGTATGCCTAGGGCACCAAACAAAACAATTTCGAACCCAAAGACGCTGATCGTCAAGAAAGTGAATTTCAAATCCCCAAACAATCCCAGCGATATGATGGCCTGCTTCCGCGCTTCAGGCGATGGCGGCAAACGTGGTTTCATCAACACATTCGCAATAACCAAGCAACCGAGGAACAGAAATCCTAGGATACGCATAGACCACGCATATCCGTAGTTAGGAAGCGTGGTCCTTAGGATCAGGGGAATTGTGACGCCGCCGAAGCTCGATCCCACCATTGCTATGCCATGCGCGAGCCCTCTTTTCCGCTTAAACCAGTGGCTCACCACAGCCAAACTGGTTGTAGTCAATGTCGCCCCTGCAATTCCACCCAGGAATCCAAGGCAGAGTAGAAACTGCCAATACTTTTTACACTCTGCCAACAAAAACAACATGATCACGTAACTCGTACTTCCCAACAATGCGATCCACCGTGGTCCGTATCGGTCAAAGAGAGGTCCGACCCAGATACCCAGTCCTAGAGCCAGGTACACAAAGACTGAAGGAATCCAGCCGATGTCGCGGGACGTGTAGGTGGAGAGTTGGTGCATTTGAAGGTATTCTTGGATTGTACCGATTGACACCATAAAGCCAAAGGAAGCAAAGAGCGCAAGGAAAGCACCAGTCAAGACAAGCCAAGCCTGAAGGCCACCTTCAGGGAAAGTGTTGTTTGGTCCATGGCCTGGGCCTGGCTCGTCGATATCCAACGCGATAATCTGTTGCTCAGCATCGCTGGAGGCATAAGGTTCTTTCTGGATGTCGAGGACAATTGGTGTTTTGGCCTCGGAACTGGTATGGTTCGGTACTGTGTCACCCTCGGCAGGGGATACCACATCTTGCCGTCCATGGTTGTCAGATTCTACCTGCTGAATGACAGGGAGTGAGGCGGTGTCCATCGGGGTCCTGATGGGGCGTCAACTCCTGCAATAGCAGCTCAGAGCGAAGCAGGAAGCAGGCGCCCTCTGCAGACCTTTGAATATAGCAGACTCCCGATCGTCATCACGCCCTTCGACTCCTCGACCGAAATTTTGTAGGTACAACCAAGAGGATGTGGGGAATATAAGTGGAGAGAGAAAGCATTACCAAGCCGCACTTCTCCGTCGCCAAAGCATCGCGAGAATCTCCACATCGATCTTACCCTAGGCAACGTGCCGCACGTATCCCGTTGCAGTACCGCAATTAGAGTGCTGCTTTTCACCAGCACGTCTGTACGGTGCAGGAGGCCACAGAGATCGGGAGCGTGCCTCGTCAAGTGTTATTCAGTGATCAAAACCACAGCGAAATCGTTGCACTCGTTTTCGCGGCTCAGACTTGCCTTTTGTTCACCTTCATGGGTCGACTCGGCGGTTACAGTCGCATCCTGGGGGACCGCTGCATCCAGCTCAAGTCTATTAGACCTCAGAAGTATCTGTGAGTTGTCATCATAGCCGCTCCATCGAAATCCATTCTTTTCCTTGGGATGAAACTGGTCATTTGGCTGCCGGCGCTTTTCAGTGTCGCAGTGCTGCCATGAAGATCAGCTTCCACTGACTAGAACGTCTGTCCCCTTTGTCCTTCCTTTACCAACATCCATCTTTGCAGTTCTGGCGCCGAATTGAATGGCCCTCTTCCTTTCTGAAGCAACTCTCCGCATGCCTAGCTTCCACATGGCTAACCTCAACAACATCTTCGACGGTTCAAGATCTTCAGGCTTTTCGACCGGGCGGGCTTCCTCATAATGCTTGGGGATTCTTTTTGACGACCTGAACCCACATTTTTCCCACACCGGAAGGTCCAGAGAGAACCTCACGAAATCTTCGTCTAGATAGGGGTAACGCACCTCTTTACCCCAGTGACTCAGGACACGGTCATCCCGACCGAGGTTGCGAGATCCAATCCGATTGAAATCTAGCTCGAGTTCGTCGGTCAAGTCGACAAATCCGCCCCGGGAAAATGCTGCAGCATGTCGCGAGTATCCTGCGTATAGCTCATCTGCACCCAGGCCGGAAAGAAGAACTCGAGCATGGGAGGTATAAGGTTCTGTGATTGACTGCTGCTCTTTTGCGTTTTTGGACAAACCCCCGGCCCCCTCTGCGGCAAAGAACAGTGCCATGGTGATAGATAAGTCCATCTCCGTCTTGTGAGGCTGCATCAGTCGTTGAATGTCGGCTTTACAAGCTTGTGACTGCGTATAAGGCACGTCAACTGCCACAAATCTCCAGTTTCGGTCCGGGCATACTTCGCAAAGTTCTTTGAAGCTAGAGCGGCCCGTGACCCTGTCAGGGCAGAGCTCATAGGGTGAATCTGCGATGTTGTTCTTGGCAGCTATGGACCGTGGATTTTCAAATGCCACATTCAACAGATCTATAGCTTCTGATTTGGGTAGAAGATCATGGGCTAAGCGGGCGAGCAGTGTACAGTCCAAGCCTCCCGAGAAGAGTATGGCAACTTTCGTGGAATCTGGCATAGCCTGGCGGTGATGATTCGGGATGTCCAAGAGTCTTAGTTCAAGGGCAGCAGTCAACAACTCCAGGAAGTTATCAACACTTTTGGAAGTCGGCATCGACTCGAGAAGCTCCACTTGAACAGCCTTGTTGATCACAGGAGACTTGCTTTGCCATGGAAGTTCGCCACGCATGATTTGACCGTGCGCCAAAGAGATGGAATGGATTTTGTCAGTGGACACCTCTTCGCACAGTACATCACCAGGTGTAATGCCGAGACTACACAGCGTCAGTGTATTCTCATCGCCACGACTAGTGAGCAAAGAGCGGCGTCCTAGCCGGTCTCTGCCGTAGAAGATGGTTGAATGAGTAGCATCATAGAAGACAAATGCAAAAGGCCCGGCTATGCTTGTCAGCACTTGAGCAATCCGCTGCTGGTATTCACCGCTTTCAGTCGACTGAGAGGCATGCAAGAGAAGATCAAAGATTTGTGCCGAGTCATTTCCTTCGACTCTGACTCCGTCCACTTTCCATGCCTCGCCATTCCAGCAGAGGATGGATCCTGAAGTACGATCCTGTAAGGGTTGGACCCGTACCGAATCTCCTCGTAGTGCTAGGACAGATGAGACAAACGTCAGGTGCAGATCGTCCGACGGCGAAAAAGGAAGTCTGACATCCAATTCTTTGTAGCTGTCGGGCCCACGCGCGTTGAGCTCAATCGCAGTATGAGAATCAGGCAGGATCGCACGGTATCTTGCAACCGAAAAGAAGATGCCGCACATAGGGCGGGAGCAGCAGATGGTGCTCGTTGAGATACTAGGTAGCTGTGCACTAGACTTGGAGTGAGAGAGCAGGAAAAGGAGATAATCATGGACAAGAAACTGTAAGAGTGACACTGCCACCGCCAGCGCGCGACCGACCTCGCCAAGATATACAGAAGTTTGACCAATCATGAAGCAGGACACGCTGGCCAATAATAAGCTGGCTGTAGTGGATCCATGTCGAGTGCCCACCGTGCCATCCACGTTCGGCTGGTTTGGCTGGCAACCCAGCTGCACTGCTGCATCATTCCGCTGGGCATCTGCTGGGGGGAAACTCAAACTGCGCTGGCGGCCTTGCAGTATCTCCGATATTATGCAGGGCTGCTGTTGTCATAATCCTTGAGGAAGGGGGATCTTTTAAGTACTCGGTACAACGAGTGTCCTCGACCTTCTGCTTGAAATTATTCGCTCCACTCCTTTCGACGACGTCCTGCTCTCTCGCTGAAGTGGCCGACCTTCTCCTCCCGTCGCGTGACGCCTCGTCAGCCTGCCCATCCTTCATCATGAACCAACACTAGATCGGCGATCCTACAAGCCTTGAAACCGCCAACTTGAAACCATGCCACAGATTCTCTAAACCCGTCAACGCCATATCTGAGATAGTTGTCAATGTCACCTAACAGCAATCATGCAGCAATGGACGCCAGCGAGAAAGCCGTTTCGTCGGAAACTACCTCGTCCGACCTGATCGACCTGGAACCAGAAGCGAGCGACGTTGCTACTGAGCACAAGGTCTCCCAAGATGGACTCTCAGAAAAAGGAAAGGATCCAGAATTGGACGTGACAGACAGGTTACCAGCTCTCAGAATCGGCGAAGTCAAACCTGAGAGCAACCATGAGTCTCCGCCGAAAGTCCTTCCCTCCACGCCTCCTCCACCTGAGCCGCCGGCTGCCAGTGAAAAGCCGTACCTCGATCCTACACCCAAAACTCCAGCCATCTCGAGGCACCCATCTATGAGAACATCAGTGGAAGAATATGACGAGAAGGACCCGGCCTATAACCAAGAATTACAGGACAATACTGTGCAAACGCCTTTCCAGAAGCCCAACAGTGACCCTGATGTGGAATCAACATCAGAAATACAAAGCATTATAGATCAGTTCGATGATGCCTCGGCGGCCCCTTCAAAGGAGTCAATCATGTCTCCTCGGCACGAAATGGCCGGGCCAATTCTAGGATCGGGTGGCAGTTTTCCACCCAGAAGGTCCAGCCTGGAACATCTACGATCAAGAGATATGGACACGTTAGCATCGCCGGTGATACCCCATCATTCAGAAAAGCCTCTGCCCTCACCGCCTTCGGGTGTCCTCAATAATGATACAGGTCCACTGAGAAGCCCCCCGATCAGAAGCCCAACACAGGCTTCGTCACCTTCGCTTCCAATGCAGCCACCACCTCCCGAACCTGAGCCCGAATTGCCATTTGACTTCCATCGATTCTTGGAGCAGCTCCGACATAAATCCGCCGACCCAGTGGCCAAGTTTTTACGCTCCTTCTTGACAGAGTTTGGAAAGAAGCAATGGATGGTCCATGAACAGGTCAAAATCATCGGCGATTTTTTGGCCTTCATCACGAACAAAATGGCCCTCTGTGAGGTATGGCGAGAAGTTTCAGATAACGAGTTCGACAATGCCAAAGAGGGCATGGAAAAGCTCGTGATGAACAGGTTATATTCGCAAACATTTTCTCCAGCAATCCCACCTTCTCCTCCGGTCGCGCGATCGCGGTCCAGAGGAAGAAGGAAAGAATTAGAAAAGTCCCAGGGACCGGGCAGACGCGGTCAGCATCAGGAAGATGTCGAACGAGACGAGATTCTTGCCCAGAAGATTCGGATTTACAGTTGGGTGCGAGAGGAGCATCTCGATATAGCGCCCGTCGGTCCGAACGGAGAAAGGTTTCTTAGACTGGCCCAGCAGGAACTCCTCAAAATCAAGGGGTATCGAGCGCCTAGGGACAAAGTCATCTGCGTCTTGAACTGCTGCAAGGTTATTTTTGGCCTGTTGAAAAACGCAAAGAGCTCCGACACTTCGGCAGATTCATTTGTGCCCCTCCTAATTTACGTTGTCCTTCAAGCGAACCCAGAGAACCTCGTGTCGAACATACAATACATCCTTCGATTCAGGAATCAGGACAAGCTTGGAGGCGAGGCGGGTTACTACCTGTCCTCCCTGTCGGGAGCAATCCAATTTATCGAAAGTCTGGATCGGACGACCTTGACAGTTAGTGACGAGGAATTTGAACGCAACGTTGAGAATGCCGTAGCAGCAATCGCAGAGCAGAATCGTCAGGCTGAACAATTCAGCCCACGGGCCTCGACCATTGCCGAAAAGTCATCACTTGCGGAGCCAGAGCTTACACCACGGAACTCAATGGATGTGACGTCCACCAGCCCTATTCGACGAGATCCTAACCGGCAGTATAGCACCTCAGGAGACGGCTCCGATGACAGCGTGGCAGGTCTTTTGCGGACCATTCAAAAACCTCTCTCCACGATCGGCCGAATATTCTCGGACCAGGACTCATCATCCCAAGAACGCAGGCCGAGTCCAGCGCCGCCTCAAGCGGCTCCGAGGCTGAATCCGAACATGTTCCAGCCACCGCCACTAGCTCAGGGCGGCGCAGGCGCAGGCGCAGTCCCGTCTTACAACGCCGAAGAAGCTGCGGCGAGACAGGCAAGCGCGGAAGCCGCGGAAGCTCGACGGATCTCCCGAGCCGAACACAGGACTGTGGTCGAGACCCTGTGTGGCATGTTTCCGAACCTGGACAAAGAGGTGATTGACGACGTGGTGCGGCAAAAAGAGGGCAGAGTGGGACTTGCGGTTGACGCATGTTTGGCCCTGACAGCTGGGAGTTGAGCCTGAGGACTGCTACGAGAGATCAGCAAAAGCTTCCGACGAGGAGAAATCACAAACCCCCTATGTGAAGAGAAAAGCCGCCAAAGAGTGGGCGACCTCGGGAGACGATAGAGTATGAATCTACCTCCTCTGTGCTAGTAAGTCTTCTTGGGCAGGCGTCCTGCTGTAGGGTTAACGATATAGCCTAGATGGGCCCGCAAATTTTCACCCCGCTTATATAGCGCCATCGTAACGTACTGCGAAGGGACCATATCTTCATGCTCAGCAAGATTGGCGGAAACAGTAGCGTCATCTATCCAGATGGGCCATATCACCCAATAGTTACACGGTTCGTTGTTTGAGCGTATGGAGCTATTTATCGAAAAGACTTTGCGAGAGAATTCGGGTTCATATCTTCTCGAAGTCGAGATGGGCGAGGAGAGCGATCTGCTTGTTTTTTCCCGGCCAACGTGGCCTCCAGTCTCTCACATCCTTCTCCAAAATGGCCTTATCGAGCAGGCCGAGTGACTTCTTTGTTCAAGTGATCAAGGCCAGTTTCATGAGCCACTGTCGTCGAAGAGAGTATGAGGTCGACCCTTTCGAAGTTGCCGTTTGGAGACTGGGTAGAATCCGAGTCAAGTGATATCCGAAGGATGAGACCTAGTAGAACAGATAGCCCCATTTCGCCGAGAACTCTTTCCCAATCTTCCAAGCCTTGGGATCCCAAGGCGCAGCACCGGGATCCAGGGTAAAGCTCGTCAAGCAGAACAAATCGGCGATGAACTCCTCTTCGTCAATGATGCTCATCAGAGTGATCAGATTGTCTCTCATCTTCGGGAAGGGGAACCGGTCAATCCACGACGGGTGGTTGGTGGTGAGTTGCAAAGCTGTAGGACGCAATGACTCGGGGATATCGGGTCCAGCAGGGTTGGATTTGGCGGGCGGCACAGCGAGGGCACACGATATCCCCATCTTTCCGAAACATGCGGTGGTCCCCCGTCAGCCCTCACTTGGCACGAAAAGAAACCCTTTGGCAGACCTTCAAGAAGGGCGGGCCTCGGGGAAAGCCAATGTCTCTTGATAACAGCGACTTACCATTGCACCGTTCTGATACAGAGCAGCATAGATAGACCCGTAGAGGGAACTGGCTATACAGGAATCAGGCTTGCTCGTGGGTACAATGACCTGATACAAGGCGGGAGATCGAGGCACGTTGGGTGCAAGGCAGAGCGACCCGGCTAGGCTGTGGCTGCTTTGAGCGTCTGGCGATACGCCCTCGACAGACTTCTTGGCCTCTGCCAGGCGTTTTCCTGTGGTCCGGCGATCCGTCAGTCTCGATGTCGAACACTCATAGGCCGGAATGGGTGGTTAGCTGGGAGTTGTTACTGACTCCTTGCTCGTTGGGCTAGTCTGTCTTGGATCTGCTTCCTCTTTCGGGGATCCTGGACGCCATACCAGTTGTCGTCTTCAGCCCGTGCTCTTCCCATAGTGTGCGACAAGTCGCTGGAGTGCAGACAGATTTCCTAATCAGTGCACGTTATGCCCGGCACCCACCGGGAACAGGGGCGTTGGGAAATGGGATGATCAGAAAATAGGATGAACACTGAGGATCTGGCTTCCGTCTCTAGTGCTTGGCCTGTGGGTGATAGCTTTAGAGGAAGACTAAGTCGTCCAGTGGAGAGACGGATGCTGCAGAGCTGATCTGAACCATGGCATTGAGATGGGAACAAGTTGTGTGCGAGGTATGGTGAGGTCTGTTGTGAAGCCGGGGAATTACTAAGTCAGTGGGGGACTTGCCATTTGGTGCCTGGATGGCGCCTAAATTCTGACCTGTACCTACGCTTCTTCCCACGAGCCTTCTGACATTGGTAATAAGTTGAACATTATTTACAGTCCGAGGACGGGAGTAACGACACGCTGTGAAGTCGACGACACTGTGATCAATCTCAGCTGAAAAGTCCTGGCTGAAATTCTCAAGAGAAAGACCCCTAAATGACTCCTCAACGGGACTGGCAATCAATGCTCCCATCTGCCTCCAGAGCAACCTCCCCTGCACCCTCGTCCCAGATCGTGTGCCTCGCGAAATCCAAGGGCGAAAAGAAGGCTATCACCAGGCAAGGCCCACGCTTTTCTGGACTCCGGAGAACAGTGCGTTTATAACGAGGCTGCTGAGGGGAGAGGACACTGAAAATCTGGGGATTGAGGCTGCTCTTGCTATTCTCTCCGATGCAGCCTGGACACGTGCGGCCATGGTCGGATCCGAAGCACATACTATGTACGTCGTCGTACAGCCTGGCACCCACCTGGCACCCAGCCTGGTGCCCTGTAGCCCTGGGGTGGCGCGGTTGGGGGTGGGGGTCATCAGGCTCGACCGGACCCAAGCTGAAGCAATATTGGGTGGATCGCCGCGGCGTTTCGCAAGGGCTTAGGGCTTGCAGCTTGCCGCTGCCTAGACGACTGCAGGCACGACGGGCGGGCTCAAACCATTATTGAACCGTGAGCACGCAAAGAGAAAGTCAATCTAGATCGACCCTCAGGACGTCAGGTGCAGCATTGACTTTGCGCAGAGACTATTCGAGACGAGAGGGCGTCCAGTCCCTGCCAGAGCTAGGGATCGCGATGGCCACTGCCAATCCTGTCGATACGAGCCTCGAGCAAAACTGATCCAACTCCTTCAACGGGAAATCCCTTTGGACCGCATTGCCCTTGATTCTGGTTTGGTATCTATCTTGCTTTTGAGGGCTCCTGGGCTCTCGTGACGTGACACTGGCACTGTTGCCACCCCCGGACGCAGACTCCTCAAACGTCCTCCCCAGATGGGTTCCATGAGGAAGACGGCGTTTTTGAGTTGTGCCTATTCAAGGGTTGGACGGGGATTTACGGAGTCTCCATGTCTTGGGGTGGAAATAGACAGGGCCCCCGAACCAACGCCGCTATGTTGCTTTTGCAAATTCCTTTCCCCTTGTTTGTCCACCGCTCCGGATTCCCTGAATTTATTCCTTTGCCTCATTCGTCAGCTTACCGTCACTAAGTTCGAGTTGGTTACCAGCAGTGCCAACGTAAGGGATCTCTTAGGGCCCTTGCTCAGTCAGTGCCCATCTGACGTGGAGCAGTTCGCCTCCAGTTTTGATCAAGACGAGCCTGCCCTGGAATAATTGGTCCATGCAGGTTCCTCTGCTCTTCCGATGCTTATGGTCCTCTAGCCAACGCCTGGTGATGCACCACTTCAAGCTCTATTTCCGACTCGGGCCGAATGGTAATGCACACAGGCTGAGCCAAGCAACCCTTGTTTACGGCCGGTGGGAATGAGCAGACTTAGGTGATTGTTGAAACCCTAACGACGGCAACCGGGATGAGGACAGCCTCTAGTCCGCTAGTTTGGACTTCCTGCTATAAACCCTTTTCCGCCCCCCTCTTCTATTCCTCCCCCCAGAGCATTGGAATACTTGCCGTCTCCCCTATCCGAAATATACTGCTCTTGTCTAGAATTGGGTCTTTCCCAACGTCAACGCAGATCCATTCGTTGGAAGCCTATATCTCGAGCCATTCCGAGCATCATGTCTTTTGTTGACCTTCTCTTTCCCCAGAAAGAGCTGGAGGCTCTAGGAAACAAGTGGCACGAACCAGCTCCCAAGAGGAGAAGGCTGGATGCGGGGAGCTTTGGGAATGTCCAGGTCAAGAGGGAGTCTTTGGGAGGCCAGCGTAAACAATGCAGTGAGCCAACCCTAGAACAACGCCGTCATCGGCTTTCGACACCGGCACCAATCCAATATGGACGACCGTCAGCGTCGTTTGAGCGGATGAATGTGCGTGGCACCAAGAGGTCCAACTCGGAATCTCAACCAGTCAGCTGTACTCCAAACATGCAGAAACAGACGACGAAGACCAAGTCCTGCGTACCGAGCTTCATCGAGCCGTCCATCATGAGGAACTACCTTCAACATCTCCATCCCAAGGATCGCCATCGCTACACTGCAGTCAATGAACCAAAGCCAGGATCGAAACCGAGAGAGAGCAACCTCCGCATGTCACCGCCCAGTTTGATTGAGGACTCTCCGCCTTCTCCAGCATCTCTCATTGCCGATACGTCGTCGTCTCCTGCTTCCAGCGACAGTTGCCCTACCCCTGCGGCTGTTTGCGAGCAGTTCCGCTCCGGGCCATTTGGGCACATCTTTGATGGGATGCGCCTGACCGACAATGAGCGAGATCTGATGGAAGATCTCCTGAATCCATCTACCACGCTTGCCGAGGACCAGCCGCACGGCCAGACGCTTAGCCAGACGGGCCCGAAACTCGAACTTGCACCCGAAGACTACTTGGAGATTGACGAGGCATTGCTACAAAATATATTTCATCCGTTCGGAAAGCATATAAACCAGCCGTTTGACTTTGCAGTCAACAAGTCTACCAACGTTGATGAAGAGAATGATGTGCATTCGTCAGGTCTGAGCCCGGCAGCTGAGGAGGTGGCAGAGGCAGTGGAAGACAACCCTACAAGCCACAGGGGGATCGTGGTGTACGACTACAATGCCCTCAGCGTTGACGACTTCTTCGATTTGGATGAGGCATCCTCGAGCTAGAACTTGGGTCGCCGAAAGATTGTGTTTACCGGGGTTTTTGATATCGGGGGATTTGATGGGATTTCAGCATCCAATTCTCACATGCTGGTCTATAATATCTGTAGTGCTAAAGAGCCCAAAAGTAACCGGATGTCTGTCTTCGGACCGAATGATACCATATGATAATCACAGAATGAATCCCTCCCTGCCCTTTCTTTCACATGCCTTGCCCTTTCTCGTCCGGCGGATTTCCTTGATTGGTGGTGCCTTCCCATCGCGATCCTGCCGAGATGCCTTCTATCCACAGAATCATTCCAGCGCTTTCTTCAATGCCCGAGGATTCAATCTACTCTATGATTAATGTCCCAAGGCTTCTGGAACAAATGATAGGGTAAACAGACTTCGCTTCTCGGTGAACAGATGGTACGGTGCTTCTTCCGCCTGCCTCGTGAGATCGGTCGGCTGTAGCTCAGCCTCCCCCTGAAATGATCGGAAGGTGAACCTGGTGGCTGTCAGCACTGACATGTGCAAGTTGCATGGCACATCTTTGAGCCATAGGTAGTCCAGTTGAAGGTGCGCTCCAACGTGGGAACTTTCACCCAAGAAAATTCCTTGGGCCTGGACCAAAAGAATACGTGCTCAATTCCTACACCTGAGATTCCCCTGGTGTAGTCAGAAGTCTGCGGGCTGCCACCGTTCGCACCACAGAGGTTGAGCCTAAAGAATTGGGGCAGCGTAGGCGCTAAACAGTGCCCGGATATGATACCCACGGGGACTCGATGGGCACTAAACAGCCACCTAAGGAGATAGGCAGGGGTCACCAGGATCAAGGCCGTAAAGCCGTAAGGAACCGCTCGAAGCCGTTGACAGCGCAACTCACCCCACACCGCCACCTCGCTGCCATCTACAAGCGTCGAGGCCCTTCCTCTCACACTGCCTGACCATCATTCTCAGCGTCGAGTCTGACAGTGACTAACGACTGCAATATGATTACAGAAATATCCCAGCTCCCTACCGAATCTGGCGACGACAGGGGCAAAAGATCCTTGAGGCACGTTGAGATGGCCGTATCTCGTATGGTGAGCCAACTGTCTAGGCCCGGAAAGGATCGAGGACAGCTAGTACGACACAGCAACACGAACGACTAGGCTTTGCCCCGGATTCATAATCGAAATTATGACGAAGGGGTGCTTGCGAAGGAAGTCTAATTGTGCACACGAACTGGTGCCCCCGGAATGCAAGGGACGTCCAAAAGGCGAGGGAATGGGCGTCCAAGCCATACCCTAGGTAATCATCAGCATCAGCAGCAGCAGCATCATCACGATCAGCTATTTCCACCGGAAGCCACAACAGTTGGATATGTTCCTGTTCAAGGCACAGCCCACCATCTCATATAGCCGCGGCTACTTGGAATCCTCTCTGCTGATGCACAAAGATGTTATAGTACTCGGTAGAGTCCAATCCGCCTGCCTGGAAACTAATTTCACTGTGGCACCACTAACCATCCAGGCAGCGTGTTCTGGTCATACCTAAGATGATAGCCTCGGATCCGACCTCAGAACCACCACCCATCGTAAGGGCGTGCCGACCTGCAGACAAATCGCCGAGGCCGCCCAGCGAACCTCTCGACGAAAATGGATACGAGGACTCGCTATGCAGGATGGCCACTAACAAAACCCATCGCCGTGGTTGGTTACAACCAACCGATCCCATGGACCATGACACAATAGCGTCTTGCTTACCCTTGAGCTCGAGCCGTGGCTATTGCTCGACAAATCGCTGAGCTGCGCTTTCCATTGCGTCCGCCGCTCTGCCGCACACCCCCCTGGTCTGTTTAGATTTCTTCCAGACATTTTTTTCTTCACCACTGACTACCACCGCCAAAGATTGCATAGCGACAAGCCCAGGGACGGGAAGACGGAAGGAAAGGGTTGGAGAATTATGCAACGATCCTGCCCTTCCGAGCCTTCGCGTGGCTTGAGCAAGCTTGCCGCGGTGCCGTGCTCGTGTTGTTCAACAATACATGAGACCAGGGGTCTTTACCTCCCACCCCGAAAGAGTAGTTCGGCGCTTCCATCGTCCTCAAAAATGCGGGGTGACGCAGGTAGGGGGAGAGAGGGACTGTCCCTTCCTGTTGGTGTATTTCCCAAGTCTTTCAGAAGGAATGGCACACAAAGTTTGTCAGTCGTGGAGGTAGCTCGGTAGTCAGTCCACTCTTGAGGCTGGCCCTGGGCCTGTTTTTAACTCCAGTTCGACCCTCAAGCCAAGGAGGGACGGGGGAGGATTGCGGAGTAATTAGATGCATAGCAAACCCACACTAAATCTATTTATATGGCATGTACAAGAACCACCTGAATAGTACCTAAATGGTTACGATCAGTAGTAGTGGACCTGTAGTCCCCTGCAGATGACTGATACAATCTTGTATCCGTAGAGGCAGAAAAGAAAAACAGAAAAAAGATGCAAATGCTCTCAAGGCGCCGTTTTGTAGTGAGCCCGCCCGCCGATTTCTCCCATGATCCATCCCCTACTAACTCGGGCCTTTGTACCTAGCTAATTGCCTAGCTACCTAGCTACCTAGGAATATACACAAGTAATGTACCTAGGTACTCCGGTCACCGTTTCCTCCGGTAACTATCGTATTTGTGTACCTAGGTAGTTAGCATAATGAACAAGTAACAGTACCGAGATCTCCTGGGTGCTCCTAGGTGACGTGGGGAAGGGAAGGACGATGGTACGGAGGAATCTATATGCGTTTGAGACGGAGGACCCTAGTTACCCAGGTATCCAAGCACGCCCTCGCCCGGGCCCTCGAGGCCCCGTACATACCGATTGTACCTACCTAGGTATGGAGAGACTGATCAGGGGCTCCACAGCCTCGCTGCCTCGCTTGCCGGATGCCAACGAGGCTCCGCGCCCCCCTTGCCGCTCTTGTCCTCTCTCCCTACTTAGGTATGCCCTGTCCTGTCCTCCCTCGTGCCGGCGAGATGTCCGAGCCACATGGCGCCCAGTGTACGAACAGCCAAATTGATTACAATCACTCCGGTAGATACTAGAGACTATTAGATGGACAAACGGTGACCAGCACCTCTCCATACTCTTTGATCTGTGCGCGATTCATCAGGAGCTCGGCTCCATCTGCTTCGCTTCATCTCCATTATTGGTCCTCTATGTACGGAGTACAAACCTGATCATTGACCCACATCCATGTTTGTACCTTCTAATGTCCTCCAAAGTCGTTGTCCGTTGTTGCTCGTCAAAACAAACCGGTCCCTACTTACACAATTCCACAACACGTGACTCTCAGCCCGGCTTCTAACCATACCGATCGTCCCACGTCCCGTGTCTCCTGGCCGTCGTCCTCCTCGCCACCGTGACCTCAACCTGACCTTGCCCAGATCCCGGACCCTGGCTTTGGCCTGAACCAGGCCTTGAGCCTGCCACGCTGGTATTGCTGTTTGGGTTTCGGCTTTGACTGATACTGCTAGAGTGTGCATGCCTGGCCTCTCTCCTGGCTCTCTGCTCCGACACAGGTGTCGATGTCACAGGCGTGCTTCCACCACTGCTTTGTCCTTGATATGTTCTCGAAGCGGTCGTCGAGGTCGAGTCTTTCTCCGTTGATGCCCTGGCTGACCCAACAATGCTCTCTCGTGTACTTTGTCTCGACAGACGATGATGTCCGACTATCGCTGTGGGTGCGGTCGACTGGCGAGGAAGCCTGCTCTTATTGACTGTCATCTCAGTCACAACACTAGCTGTGTTTGCCCTTGTGAGGCTGGGCATGACAAACGCTGGAGAGTTCTCGCGCACATACGTTGACCCATCGCGACTGGCGGGCCGCATCACGCTCGTGCCATTGACATACACGCCATTGCGCTGTCGGCGCGGCGTCTGCGCCACGGGAGGATCATACATGTTCATGCTGGCCCGCTCGGAACGGCCTAGCTGAGGAGAAGTGGGCATACTCATTTGCCGGTCGAGGAGATGAGGTGGAGTCGTGGAGCTGGTGCGTCGTTGGAAGCCTGGGTGCTTTCTTCGAGCTCCGTTTGTTGCTGAACTACCACCCTGTCCGCTTTTGATGCTCACGTTGTCAGTCTCCTCGCACGATCGAATGAGCTCGCTGGCCATGCTGCGGACAAGCACCGCAGAGTCAGAATACGAAAGTTCTCGGATCACATCGTAAAGGCCGTACTGGTCGAGGAGGAAACAGCCTTCTTCTGTCGAGTCGCAGATGCTCCCGATGATACGAAGCAGGTTCAGACGGATCGCGGGTTTGTTGTGACCCAGCTTTTGGCCCAAGGTATCGAAAAGCTGCGAGCTCCTCGCCATAGACGCCGCAAGAGGTGGCGACAGCCGAAGCAACTTCTGGAGAGGCTCCAGAAGGTTTTCAAACGAGGTTGATTTGCTGCTAGTCAGCGCTGCCACGATAGCAGAGATGAAATTCTGATTCTCCAACAAATGATCTTCGACTCGGGCGGTCTCTTCTTGAAGCCAGGTGAAGATTGCGTCCAAAGCTGTCACCTGCCAGTAGGGATCCGACAGCAACGAGACATAGAATGCAAGACCCTTGTTCTGCCAAAGCTCCCGGCGGGCAGCCCTGGTGGAATGGGCCATGTCACAGAGAATTGGCAGCGCAAACTCTTTGACAGGCGTCTTCTCCTGCTTGACGATTTTGATGAGGATCGGAATGATCCCGACGAGCGCTGCATCTTCTTGACGTCTCTTCGAGAGACGGCAAAGGTTGTATATGGTGTTCAGTATCTGATTTGACATCTCCCTAAAATGCGGCTTGCTCATGTTGTTACTGAGGAGTTCAGATAAAACGTCAATAGCGTTCGAGTTGTGAAGCGCATCCAACGTAGTCGACAACATTGACAAGTTCTTGATGAATTTCAACATGGTGACCTGGTGTGCTGGGGCCATTCGCTTGAGATTCTTCAGGACCCGGTGTAAGACTGTTCGTTCGGCGACCAGCTCCTTGACATAATTCTCCGCTTGAGAGAAGACGAAGAAGATGCTAGCGATGCGACCTTCGCACAAGTCTGCGAGCTCTTTCTGGTCTCCAGAATCCGAGGGCTCCATCAGGACGCGGTTCAGGACGAGCGACAGCGGCTCTAAAACCGAATTCCGAGATAATATTCTGCAGAAATCGTTCTTTGGAGTCGAGCCTTGCAGTTCAAAGACACTCCAGATACCATTAACTCCAATCAGGACCAATTCTCGATCATCGTCATAGTCGTCTTCAAGAAAGTCGACCAGAACTGTTAAACCCCCAGCGCTGACGAACATCTGGAGAATGAGGGTGGACGTTTGATACATCTGCCGTACGAAAGCTGCAGCTTCAAGACGTATCTCCCGAGGAAATTTCTTTGACGCGAATTTGTTGATCTTTGGGATTCCTCCGACAAAACATAGGTTCTCCTGGACCTCTTCATCATTGAAAATGATGGTATTGACAATCTTGAGAAGATTGAGGACAATGTCTAGGCGCATACAGTCTTCTAGAATTTCCAGAATCGGTAAAAGACCATGCGCGCTGATGATGACGCTTTTTGTGTCCGAGAAGAGGTCGAAGAAATTCATCAAGTCTTCAGAGATCTGTAACAATGCATCGTCGTCCTGCATGACTTTCAACTGCCCCACGAGAGCCTCCACGTCTGTTCGTAGCCGTGCGTGCTTGTCTCGGGCAATGTTCGACTCCAGGTCAACTTCCGGGAGGCCTTCTTCGAGTTGTGCAAAAGGGTCATCTTCATCTTCAGCATCCGGAAGCCATGATAGATTTGAGATCTTCGAGTTTAGCATTAGCTCAGAGCCATCTTCGCTCTCAGCTCTCTCGAAAACTGCAGGTGTATGTGCAAAGACGTCGGAAAAATCCTCATCTTGCTCGCTCTCAGCAAAACGTTGGATTTCGATGGAAGATCGTGTCCTTCGCATAGACAGTTTGTTTCTGGGGGCCGGATGCCTCTTGAGACTTCCCCCTGTCTTGGGCGGTCTCATACTCTGCATTAAATCGATGACACTGGGTGAATCTAGAATCTTTGAAGGTGCCTCACTCTGCAGCCGCATCAATCCAAGTTTGGTGTCCAAAGCAAGTTCATTCCCTTGGACGATGTCGGAGAAATCCTCGACAGAACTCTCCCGGTAACGTCGTGTTGGGGGTTCATCTTGTTGTACTTTTGGCTGAGGTGGTTTGCTCTTGGAAAGATTCGTTGTCTGACGAGCGGAAGGCAAGGAAGCTTTGCGAGGCATCGGTGCCGGCTTTGCTCTTGATTTAAGAGGCACTTCAGACTTGTGCCTCGCGTGACGAACCTCTGGCCTCTTTGCTGGCGCAGTGGTTGCAAGTCGGACAGTTTTATTCGCATCCGCCTCGGCCGGCGAAGGAGCTTTTAATGTTGAATCCTTATCCTCGATCGCCTCATTTTCTTTTCCCAAAGCACTCTCTATTGAGGCGAAAGCCTTCAATCTTTCAGAAGACAACATGCCCCCAAAGTTATCGTGAGGTCTCAGATGCGGCAATTGGAAAGTGCTTGGGGAAATAGCCGTTGCGAAGTCATCGTCCCAGTTGTCCTCGTCTTCGAGGGAGCGGAACCTAGCTGTGCTGTCATCTTTATGGAGGGGCATGGGGGATTTGGCTTGAGATTTGTTAGGACGAAGCTTGTCCCTTGCCTCAGGTACTGGACTGGCAGTTGAAGCGTTCGAGTTCTTTCTTATCGAGCTGCCATTCGGCGAATCCTTAAGAGCTTCGTTCCACTCTTGGACACTCTTTATTGCCTCGTCATATTCAGTGGGTTTCTTCGGCTTTTCTGAGTTGGTCCTTCTGGCATTCACTATCCACGGATGCTTTAGTAGCTTCTTGGCCGATACTCTCAGATTTGGGTCTTTTTGAAAACATTGCATTAAGAAGTCCAGAACGGCAGGCGATGCGCCTTGCGGCAGGGGTGGATGGTCATCATTCACGATGCGGAACAGAGCAGGCATCGGTTGAAGGTTGTGGTATGGCGGTTTTCCATCGAGCAATTCGATTACGGTGCAACCCAGGCTCCATATATCCGAAGCGGTTGTTGCGCCTGTCAACTCGATCACTTCGGGGGCCATCCAATAGGGAGTTCCAACGACGCTGGATTCGTGTAGACCTGTGGTGCGGCTTGCCACTCCAAAATCTGCAAGCTTGACCAGTCCTTGCTTAGTGGTAAGAATGTTGGCACCCTTGATATCGCGGTGGATGACGCCCTGGTCGTGCAGATAGACCAGGCCTTGGAGCACTTGGGACATATAGAGAGCCACCAGATTCTCGGGGAACCGACCGAAATTCTTGGAGATGGAATGCAGAGACCCGTTTTCACAATATTCGAGGATGATGTTGAGGGTTTCGGGGGTCTTGACGAATCCATTGTACTTGACAATGTTGGGGTGATCAAGATTCTTCAGCAGGTCAATCTCCAACATAATGACCCTCAGTTCACTTTTGGGAAGATCCGCAAGCTTGATCTGCTTGACAGCAACAGTCTCTCCCGTGCCCCAATTCAATGCCCGGTAAACAGAGCCAAAAGCGCCTTTACCCAAGCAATCACCCAGTTGGTAGTCTTTCAGCTCGGCCACATCCTGTGCCTTGGTCTTCTCTTTCTCCTCTCTCTTGGTCGGGCTGGAAGGAGGCTTGGGCGTTTTGGTGACCTTGAGGCCCAAGCCATCGACTGCTCTAGTAGTAGGGACATCTTCTGGAGGATCGGCGGTACGAGCAGGCATCTTGATATCAACGGCAACAAGAAAAGAAGGGAGAAGTTAAAAGGGCAAGGCGGCCTTGCCCTCTTGCATTGTCCGTTGGTCCAACTGCAGGCTGGTTGGCGAGAATAAGTGATTGGTAGCTGGTAGAAGGGCCAACGCAGGAAGCCGGGCACTGGTTTTGGACTGCAACTCGTGGCTGCGGCATCAAGGGTGGTATAGGGATGGCCCGTGGCTCGTTCTCCGAAGCGGTATTCTGGCAATGGCTCTGTCACAGACAAGATAACCGTGGACAGTCATCAAAGAGCGTTGATTGAAGACATTGAGCATCAAACAAACAAGTCAGTCAATGCGGAAGGCACGAGATTGGATCGGGCTGCCAGATGAGGTCGCCAGTGGTCGGCGTACTAGCCTGCTAGCCCTAGTGAGCCCTCGCTTGTAAGTGTGTGTTGCAGGTTGCAGGGCGATCCGCGGCCGCTAACTAGTAACTGGGACCAACTACCCACTTTGCCTTCAGGGACGCGTCAATTGTATTCGCAGCACGCGACTTTCTCCCCAAGGTACCCGCCTCGTCAATCTAGATACAGCACTGTACATCCGCCAAATGGCGGTCACTGTTCCTTTATGCAAGTATTGTCTGCAGTCATCTCTGACCGCTGATCTGATGGCCATTACTTGAGTGGGTTGGCTACTGCTACATCATAAACTGAGGAGAAGATCCCTTGGTGCACTTTCACCAACAAGTTACAGATCGCCATGTGGCGCGAACTGCCAGCACACACCGTCGCCCACTACTGTCAAGTCGATCGAGACATGCCTCCCTATCCAAACAGTCGGTCCATGATGCTAAATTTGTCCACAACCGGATGTCTGACACCGCCCAACCCAGCAGCCAGAATGCCTTTGGCTGCATATCGAAGGGAATAACTCAGGAAACAGACAACCCAAGCATACCCGAGAGCTCTAGTTTTCCCTGTACAATGTCAAATCTATTTCCTGCATCTGACACAAAGAGGAAGCAAACACCTACATGTGTCCTTCAAGCCCGCCTTCTTGCCCAGATATATGACGAGGTCTTCAAACGTGATTGCAAACGGCTGGATCATGAAGAAGTAAAATTGGCACCACCCGAGGCAAGAGTAGGGACAATTGAGGGCACCAGCATGATGAATAAGAGCCGACATGAAGAAAGCATTGTATAGCTGCAAATACCGTGAGGCTAGAGTCCCGCTTTTAACTCTCGACAGTTGTAGAAGACGCTTGTTTCCACTCTCAAATATCCGACGAAGAAATTGATGCCTCGAGAGCTGATAAGACACCGGTGATTCGACATGGGGACCTCACTCACCAACAGCAACCCCATATATTCCTCACAGTGTAGCCCTTTTTAATGAATGAGCCGAACATCGGAGGCCACGATTGGGGCGTATAGAGTCCGGAACCGACAGCGATCGCCGCTCCCAGATAGTAGCCGAAGGCCATTGAAAATCCACTTTGGAAGGCAGAAGACCACCCAAGAAGAGTCTGTTGCCAGAGTGGGATGGTGAAGAGATCGAAGTCAGGAGCGGTCCCATCTCCCCAATCAGACCAACGTGTACACCACTGGTTGACATCCATGTAGAGGAATGCGTATGAGGCTCTGACAGCTTGCTCTAGGACGAATCGACTGCATCAATTAGACGAGTTGAGCTACCAATATGTGGCTCTGCACCTGCGAGAGATGTCTCTGGGGACTTCGTCAACATTCTTGACGCGCCAATTCCAACCAATTCCACGCGCTGTTGTGAAAAGGTGTAAACCCCAGCGACATTTTTGCCAGATGGTCATCTTTTCTATGTCCTCTGCGGTCTCCATTGTACCATCCGACTTTACTCGGCGGAATGCCTGCTCAGCATTATGCAACACTTCAAAGTCGATGCATCGGACCAAAATCAGGGAGACATTGACGGCAGTTAGATAGTCCTCTTCAGGTCTTCCGCTAGTGTGCCGTCGCAGGTTCAACATGACCCATGGGATCAGAGATATGGGGATCGTCTTGCGAAGCTGTCCTGGTGGAAGTAGCAAGGTAGTAATGCCAATGACTCCGGCTCCGATCACGCTTGGACCGCCAGGTTGGATGGGGCGATCTGGAGGAGGAAACCATTTTGGATCCATCGATGAGATGAAAGTGCAGGAGGACACAGAGGAAGAAGAGAGAAAAGAGGCCAAAGAAACATGACTTATCTCCAAGAGCCGATCACAATTGACCTTTAAACGAGCAGAATGCGAATACGAGGGATCTCCTGCCACGACTCGGCTTGCCAAAGGTTGGTATAGGCGCACGCATCAGTCTATCATTTTTCTGTCAACGAGAACATCGGCTGAACCAGTGACCATATCAGATAGCAATGAAACGAGTGAGAGAAACCCGAAGAGTCCTTGGTTGACGATAAGTAAAAGCAGGAGACACCAAAGATGAGGGTTCAGGAGACGTGCTTCTCAAACATATCCGTGTGCCAAGTCCTTTGTGTTGACGCAAGGCGCCTCTGCAGTGGTGCCTACCTTACTAGCGAGCCAGGTAGTTATGGCGCCCACAGGTGCCTATGGCGCCTCCAGAGCCTGGAGACACAACCCTAGCGCCTACCCCAGCCACTCGCTTAGGGATTTCATTGCCGTTGCCCTCTTCAGTCTGCCTCACCAAAATTATTGACTGGCCGTAAGTCTGCCTTCTCGGCGCAGCCTTTCCCCCCCGGATACTTGCTGACTGGCTCGCCCAAGACATTCAACTCACTCCTTTCTCTTTTATCATCAGCTCGCAAAACAATCCATCTCAAATCCACTCTTCGACTTGTCCGTCTCATCCACTTCTCCACTCCTTTTCAATTGTTTGTTACATCTTCTTGCTTTATTGTTGTTTGTTCCGACTCTCCTCTCCCATCCTTTACCTCACTCTACCTGTACGCCTGCTACACGTCCGATTGCGACAACCATGGGTTTACCGTGAGTTTGCCCTCAATTTTCTCCCACCCCCACCCCTTTTGGCATCTCGCCGCGCCTGCGCGCGCGCCGTGTCAGCATCATTGTTTTTTCATATCCATCCCCGGCAAGCTCATTTGCTAACCAATATGCTTTCATTAGTATGTTCCAAGAGCCTGACGAGGTTGCTGCCGAGCAAGCCGCTGCAAAACTCGATCAAATCGCAGCCGCAGGACGATCGAGTATCCGCCGCGAGTCCACCGTCCGACCAGGCCGATTTGCTGCTAGTCGTCGCGCTGCCATCGAACGAGTACGAGAAGAGGTAGAAGAACGCCGCCGCCGCCGCCGTGAGGCTGCCGAGGAAACAAACAGCTCTTCCCACCCACAGTCTCAACGGGAGCCACCCCGGGAAGATCAGGGATTAGAAGCCGAGATGGAGCGCATGCGGTCGGTCAGGATGAGGCAGCGAAGTCATATGAGTGCCATTGAGCGGGTGCTTGCCAGGAGAGGCAATACCGACTCAGAACACCGGAGTGATATGGATGTCGCACCCTTGAGCCGACCACGCGGCGAGCCCGATAGAGGAACACTAGACGACCTTGCTTCGCGTGGTGTCGTCTTCGACCCTCTTGAGTCCGAGGCTGAGGAGGCCAATCCTCGACCCCTTCCACGCCCGTTAAGAGAGTCCGGCTTGAGATTCGAAATGGGCTTGATACCAGAGCCTGAGTCAGAACCCTCCAGGCGCCCTCGATTTTCTGTTACTCGTTCGAGAAGAGTCGCCAGCCCGTCCGGAAGCAGAAGACCGCCCTGGTCATTCTCAGTCCACCCTCCCACTCTATCCGCCGATCCGGAGGACGAGGAAAACGAAAATGGATACCGAGCTACTTCACAATCTCGGGGATTGGAGCAACCCCACGGAGATACTGCGATCAGCACTCCCCCCTCAGAAGGCCTCGAAGCTGCATATCCACCCTTGCGACGTGTCAATCATATTTCGCCTCGCCCGCTGGGCGAGTCAAGACCAAGGGTTGACGGACTTGGGGACCGCTTGCGTAGTCCAAGCCCCATGTCTGATGGGCCAGTGGAGGAGAACTGGGAACCGCTCTTGGACACAATAACAACAGGCCGCTCAAGTACAGCGACTTCCTTTTTATCGTCGGGGTCGAACTCCAGGACTGGCTCGAACCAATCGTCTCAGGCAACGACTGCTACGACCAGCTTTGGCGAGATAGGCGGGGACGATTCGTGCGACTTGGATCTTCCCTCGGGCATTACTGAAGAGGATGTCCGGGAAATACGTGCGCGACACGGAAGGTTACCCAGAAGTACTTCCGCTCGTCTGGGAAGACCCGACACGCGGAACAGCCTGGTGTTTGAGTCGTCGAATCAGAGCGATCCTTCAAGGATAAATGAGAGGGTTCTCGAATTGGAAATGCTCGGAGTTATTCTCGATCGGATGCAGAGGAGAGAAGAGATCCCGGATGACTTGTGGGCCGCCGTTGGTCTGTCGCCAGATATTGTAAGAGGGACCCCCTTTGATCTAGCCAGACAATATGCCTGAGAAATGGCTCAATCGAGAGGGAAAGGCCGCCGGCACCCGCCACCCTTGGATAAGAACAATAAATCTTGTCAGTCTGACAATACGAGCGGACAAGCCAGTGCAGCCTCGTTCCTTTGCAGATGACACAAACGACCAGATATTTCATAGCGGTCGTGGGAAGCGATTTTCTCCAGGCAAAGCAGAACGTCCTTTCACGTGGACACGATGCTGCGGATATTTTTCTAATTCAAACCGGCGCCTTGTCAGGATGCGACCGGAAAAGGTGTTTTTGACGACAGCTGGACGCACTTATTGGATGTATGTCACGCTATGGAAAAGAGACGCTTGGAGGCTGGGGTTAGGAACCAATGGCAGTATCAGATTTAACTCCCTAAGTACGCTGACGATGGGATTCAATGACTGGGACCAAAATGTACTTGCAGGATTATGCCATGGCTGGACCGGAGCATTCTGCTTAATAAATCATGTATTTCTTGACGAGGGTTTATATTGGTCAGCGTATGCGACCGCAAAAGAAAAGTGAAGAACGGGCAACCTTGATTGATTTCGAAACATCCGGTCACTTTTTTGTATGCTGTACTCCGATCGCTCGTTCTTCATAGGCGGGATGGAAGCATCTCGTGCTCCAGCCCACAACCCGCTCGGAGAGGTACCAGGCTGCGCAACGGCATATTGGGAAGAGAACTTCATTCACGATCCTCCCTCGTGCCAAACACGATGACTTGACCTTCCGTCCGTTGCGTGCATCGCCAAAAAGGATCTGTTCACCTTCCCATAAACTGCTTCGTGGCCATTTCCAATGGGCGAATTTGGAAACGGTTTTCACATGCCAACCCCGTCCGCAGCCAGCAGAGCAATGCTGTCCATCCTAGTCATCCTTTCCTTCCTCATTTCTTCACCGTCCTTTTCCCGGTCCTCGTCGTCGCCGTCTCCTTCTTCCCCCTGCAACTGGCCGTCGACGTTCCTGACCTCCTCGCTGCGCCAGGTCTCATCCTCGACGCTGGGCACAATCTCCTGAACGGGTAACCGCTTCTCCAGAACCTCCTTGGCGTTGCTCATGTCGGATTTTTGTGTGCGGTCGAGGCTCTCTTCGAAGGAAGTCGAGAGTCCCGCCGCAAAGTTGCGCTTCGCGACCCGTTGCGTGGCCCGGGGTATGTCGACGTCGACGAACCACGTCTCGTCCATCAACTCGTGGGCTTCCCTCCACCCATCTTCGTCCAGGGCCGTGTACAGGCCTTCAAAGAGGATGATGCGAGCCGTGGGCGGGATGGCGATGTCGTTCGCCACGGGGTCCTTGACGGCGTGGTCGAAGCTGGGTGCGTAGATGGTCGACGTCTCCGGGCTGATGGGTCTGCGCACTTGCTCCACCAACTTCACATAGCTGTGCGGGTCAAACGTGAACGCCGCACCACGGCGGAAGACGGCTTCCTCGGCGTTGGGCATCTCGCTGAGCTGCTTGCGGGTCAAGTGGTAGCCGTCGAGCGGGACGACAAAGGCGATGTCGGGACCCGAGCGGTTGGGACTGTTGGGGAACCGCTTGTGATAATGGTTGTGGTGAGTTTTGTTCAGCCCTGCACAGACAGATGCCGCGAGTGTGGTTTTGCCGCTGCCTGGGATGCCCGAAATGGCGATCAGGAGCCGTTGCGAGCCGTCGCATTTCTGGAACTTTTCTGAGATCCGGACTGTCAATACTAGGGAGCGAGGTATTGAGAAACGACTGTTTGTCTTACCCCAGGTCTGATCAACAAGGCGTTGAATGTGGGACTCCATGACCCCTAATAACGAGGTTCCTCGCTCGCTTTATACCCGGGTTTGAATGTTGACTATGTAATATCGCGGTCGACCTCATACGCTCAGATTATGTCTCCTACCTGTCGATAGATTTTGCGTGAAAAGCCGAGCTATGATAAAGCTATATCATTGCAATTGCATAATATGAAGCGAGGCTTTCTTATCAAGAGTCCCTCAAGCAGGCCAAGTGGATAACATCCGTCATACTCGTATCTGGCTGGCGAAACAAGGCCCGACCCCAGGTCTCAAACTATCCAGGTGGCTTGAGAAGCGCAGGCCTCGGAGGCGACGGCAAGCCTTGGCCTAAAGGGTAGTAAGTCGGTGAGGTTTTCCAGAATCTCTGACCTGTTCTAAATGGATATTGCAAACAGCTGTTTGAACGTGTCTGGTGGAGATTTGGTTTGATAATCGAAAGAGGGCCGTGAGATCCGCGGAGCTGGAAGTACATTACTCCGGAAGTTGTCACGTGAAACCCACATTCATTGACCTAGCCGTTTGCGTCCCTGTCCAATCGACGATCATGCCATCAAAACTGCGCGTTCGCCATCCACCCCCGGACTTCCTGGTTCTGTGCAAAGGGGGATCGTCTTTTTATCCATTTTTCTTCCTGCGCCGCCAAACACACCTGGACCAACGTCTTTCACATATTCCCTCACTTCTTTCCACTCCTTCCGGCTTGTTTCCTACTAACCAACAGCATTGCCATTCTTTCTCAGTCACTCTTTTCACGATACGATACCCCCCCCTTGTTTACTTTCTCTGCCACTCGTTCAGCGCGCTCTTGAACGTCCTTTTTCAATTACGAAAGTCACCACCAACCACCTACACACCTGGCAGCTCCGTACCACGCGTCAAACTACCCACCACACCACCGACGAACGCAGCTGATCTAGACACCCTTGATCAGAATACAAAAAAGCAAAAGAATCCACACCATGAAGACCTCACTTCTGCTTCAGTTTGTCGCTCTAGCTGTCCGCGTCGTCCTGGCAGATATCCCTCCGGCATGCCTTCTCAGCGCAGTCAACACACAAGACCAACCGGGCAACCTCTCGTCCATTTGTGGGAATGAGGCGACCGACGTGCAAAAGGCGATTGCTAGCATGTGCAGCGGCAACGCCGTGTCGGTGGCACAGTCCGCGTTCATTTCGACTTGCTCTGTTGCGGGTTCTTCAGTCGGTAGGTTGTTTCCATCAATTGGGTAGACAGCCCCATTCTTGATGAGTTGGTTCACTAACGTGGTGCTTGTTTTCTGCACAGCTCCCTACACAGCATCGTCTTCTTCAAACAAAACAAGTCACACCTCAACCGCGGCCGGCACGTTCGTCTACACCACCGCTGTCTACAACTCCGACTGCAGCTGTACCACGACGATCGTCACCTCCGCTACCACCGGCGCCGCTGTCTCGACTGGTCTCGCAAGCGCCACGCCTACAGGTGGCAGCAGTGGTGCTTCCGGGTCTAATTCAGCAGGGGGCACATCAGCGACCGGCAACGCCGCCGCAGACAACAAGCAAGTGGGAAGCTTTGTCGCCGCTGTTATCGCCATTGCCGGTGTTGTTGCAGTCTTGTAAACCGGGGCCGGAGTTTTTCATTTTTTGGGCAGCGATTTCCATCCCCACGGCGGGTAAAAAAAGGCAGCGAGCACTTTGGGAGACATAATGAGAATTTTTCTTGTTCCATCATGTTGCACGAACTACCCAGCTGCGTGTCAGAGTACTTATGACATCCGAGACGGAACACTTCCTCAGGCATTTTCGAACTTGGGATTCCGTGTTTCCCAATCGGCATCTGGCCCTCATTAATACCCGAAATCTCTACGGCTGGAGGAGGAGAAGAGAGGAGGAAAGGACCAGGTTTAAACATCAGCGTCATACATAAGATGCGGGCCTAGTTAATCAGATGAACAGAAGATCAGATCAGATCACAAGACAGTTGGCATTGCTGGCCGGAGCCTTTTGTTGGTAACAAAGCCCACTTTTCTGACTCTCACATGTTTCTATCAAAAAGACCCAGCCACTAATGGAAAGCCAAATGTACCTCGTACAGGTCTAAAATTCTGTCTTTTCATCTCTTTCTGGTTCGTCTTTGGACGTCCCTCTCGCTTCTCGAGGGTGAAACAATGAGCCTCTCTTTTGTCGGAACCATCACCCCCAAAAGCCAATACACGTTTTTTCCAGGCGTTTACAGATAGCGTCCTGTCCCAGAATCCATTCCACCTCTGGCCCCTCGGCATGTCATGCCTTTAGCGGATACACATGTCCTCCCTCCTCGGACCGGTGCCGATCCATTTAATCGGTACTCCGACCTCTTGCTCGATGAACCCGACATACTCCCTCGCCTGGTCAGGCAGGTCTTCGAATCTCGTGCAGCCAGTGGTCTTAGTCAACCACCCCTTGAAGGTCTTGTACTCGATCTCCATTTCCTCCATCATATCCAGATCCGCGGGAAAACCGGGTAGTGTCTTGCCGTTGACCTTGTACGCCGTGGCCACGCGGATTTCCTCAAAGCCATCCAGGACGTCGAGCTTGGTCAGGTTGAGTTGTGTGTAGCAGTTCACGGCCGCCGAGTACTTGACCAGGACGAGGTCGAACCAGCCACAGCGCCGCTTGCGGCCCGTCGTGACGCCCCATTCGCGGCCGACCTGTTGGAGCCGCTCGCCGTATTCGGCGTCCTTGGGAGAGATTTCGCGGCTGAGCTCGGTGGGGAAAGGGCCGGCGCCGACGCGGGTGGTGTACGCTTTTACCACGCCGACGATGTTGCTTCCCGGCGCTGAGAGAGATTGAGGAGAGAGGCCTGCAAGACCGGTGAAGACGCCGCCCAGGCCGGTATTGCTGGACGTGACGTAAGGATATGTGCCATGATCTATGTCCAGAAGGAGTGCATTGGCACCCTCGATCAAGACGTTGGGCTGGCGAGCACCAGCGCCGTTCGAGTTCGCTGTGGCCATGCCCTTGGTTCCGACGGCCTGTGCCAGCAAGGGCGTCTGGTCGACGACGTATTGCTGAAGCTCTTCCCGATATCCGCGCAACTTCTGGATTTCCTCTTCCAGGCTGTAACCCTGCAGTGCCGCGTCGCCGTACAATTTGCGGTAGTTGGCTTCCAGGTCCCGCAGGCGCCTCTCCCACCGCTGTTGTTCGTTGACGAGCATCCAAAAAGTCACGCCTCTCCGGGCGACCTTGTCGCTGTAGCATGGGCCGATGCCCTTGCGAGTGGTGCCAATCACGTTCTTGCCGCCGTCGACGTTCTTGGATTTGTCTTCGGAGATGCCATCCACGACGCCGTGCAAGTCAAAGCATACGTGAGCACGGTCTGAGATCAGAATGCGCTCCCGCACGCCCACCAGGCCTTTCTCTTCCAGCGCCTTGAGTTCTTTGAAAAAGCTGGGGATGTGCACGACACAGCCGGTGCCGATGAGATTTATTTTGCAGGAAGGATTGATGAGGCCAGAGGGGAGGATGTGGAAGTCGTAGGTCACATCGTGGACCACAATGGTATGGCCCGCATTGTTGCCCCCGGCGGCACGGCAGACGAGATCAGCAGAGGTAGCGAGGATGTCGACGAGCTTGCCTTTGCCTTCGTCGCCCCATTGCGAGCCCAGCACGAGAGTGACTGGCATGATGGACAAGTGATTGACTGTTGGGGTGGCTTGAGGGAGGAGGAGTGTTGGAGGGAGTGTAGACCGAAACCGGAGCAAGCGGAGGGAGACGAAGTGAGAGGAGAATTGAGTCTGGATGTGCTTGTGCTTGAAGCTTTGGACAAGAAGGCAGCTCCCTTGATCCTCAGGTGGATATTTCTGTCATTGTCCGAGGTTTCTGACCTCCAGATACAGAGACATATTGTGGTGCTGGAGCAGATACCGACTAGAAGTTGCTTAATTGACTCAGTCACGGATTTTCATGGTGGGGTTTGGGGAAGAGGAAAAGATTCTTCGGAACTGGCACTGCAAAGTCTTCTTGGGTCGCGGTGGGGGTGTTGCACTGTTGGGGGGTTGTTCATGCAAACGCCTTGCACCGCCGCCATGGAGGAAAAAGCAAATTGGCTCGTCATGGTCATAGTCTCGTTCCAATTTGTTCGCTTCTTGTTTACACCTTTTGTTCCGAAGAGAGTCTATCGCATTCACCTGCCCCCGCAGATTCGCTTCATTACACGCAGTGGATGCCCCCTCCGATACATTTCGCTTTGTCGAGTGTGAGAACTATCCAGACATAGGCCTCACTCCATGGGATGGTACCTGCAAATTGCCCACGGTTTGTTCCGGTTCCAGACAAGTATAGACTTTTACAATCACCGCAACAAGAGAGATTCCATGTGATGTTGCGTCCCAATGCTTCCTGATTCCTTTGTCCAGCTTCAGTCCCGAGACATTCGCTAGAGCGTGGCTTGCTCTGATAACTTACGTTCCAGGCTGAGATCGAGACATCTCTTCGCTCTCCTTTGTTGCTCTTCCCAATCTTGATTGACCTCGTCTCAACTCCCACCCAGCGAGCATTGTCTTGAAGGGACAGGTGTCTCAGGGCACAATGGACAGCACAGCCTTTTCTCGCCTGTCAATTGGCATCGGAAGCAATCACCAAAAAACATAATGCATCAAACTCCTCAATCAGTGTCGCCAGATGGGAGGAAGGACATAGATATAAACCAGGACAGCCGAAACGACAAGTCAGATCTTTCTTCATACCCGCAGACAACAACCATCTCAGCTCAACAGTCACCTAGCTCTCCCATCGACCAAACTCTACTCCAGCCTCAAAAAGCCCCTTTGCACCCTTGTGCTCAAAAGCATCGAATAAATTTTCCCGACATCTCTCTTTATACAAGGACAGACCTAAATCTCCAACCCCGCAAAAGAAAAACATGGACGTCTTCACCAGAATCGCTTCGGGAATCTACATGCGCCAACCTCGTCGAGGAGAAGACCATCACCGTCGACCAGCCGAGCAGCACGACCACGGTGCCCGCTTCGTCGGCATAAGGCTGCGAGACCTGAGCGACGAAGAACTCTACCGCAAGATCGCCCACGCCAACGACCGCGTGGCGGCAGCCAAGACGAGGTACGAATCCCTGTGCCAGCAACGCCGCGCGCTAGAAGAACAAGCCCGACGGCTGGGCAAGGAGATGGACAGCACTGAGAGGGAGTTGAACTATTGGCGAGTCTGGCGAAGCGATTGTCTGGACGAGCAGAAGGCCAGGGAGAGGTACCAGGAGGAGGAGGAGAGACGGAGACGGCGGGAAGGCAGGGAGAGTTTTCGTCGCGGCTGGTGAGGAGGGGCAGACCAAGCAAGACACGATAGGGAGCTCTCTTTTTTGGATCAAGGGAAACGGTTCGCAAAGAGGCAAGGACAGGAAAATGGTGCGATAACAACTGGTTGATGTCGGTGGAACGGAGACACCTCGTGTTCTGATAGAATGTGGCACACAGATGCATGGCAGGAATTAGATCTCAGTTTAAAAAGAAATAAAAGGTAGTACTATCATCCATTCATACCCGCGTTTTAGGGGTCTCCGGTTTCCATAAAGCCTCTGAAATATGCCTCGTTGCAAACATTCCCTAGGTCGGATGAGGCGAAAGTGCCCTCCAAGAAAGAAACACAAAACAACCATCCTCGTCTACCCAAACTCCCAGAGACCCGCATGTCATTCTCATCTTGTTGTTTACCCCTTTTTCTATCCCTGTACAGCCCCCCCTCTGTCCAAAAGGCCGTGTCAAATAGTTCATTGCCATTGATACCCGGACGCCATCCGTCATGAATACCACAATAAAGAAAGTCCTTCCCAAATCGTAGCTCCAGCTAAAGAGTCTCGTGAAAGAAGAAAAAGAAATGAGGAGATATTAAGTTAAAAGTCAGAACTTCTCGCCTGCCATTCCCTTAGGCATCACAGGTCTCGCATCATGCTCGAACCCGTCAGGATCTCGAATGGCGAGCCCAGATCTCGATGTATAGTGAAATCCGTCTTCGGAAGGCTGACTTGGTCTCCTAGCATCGCCATCTCGGCGGGCAGACGACTCCCAGCGGTGTTCTCGACCCTCGCCACTGGACTCGCTTTCGAAGCTGCCGCGAGCACGGTATACCGGATCTAGTTCCGCTGGCATCGGGAATTGGGATATTGGGGATTGCGCGGCTTGAGCAGCAAGGAGGGTTTGGGAATTCGAACGAGAATGCAAATCCCCAGCGTTGTCCTTGCCAGGGCGTTTTAGTATGGCGGAGGCATCCTTGGAGATTCGACGTAGCATGTTGATCCTGGGCTTGGGTGTGGCAGGGAGAGGAAAGCTGGAGATGAGATTAGGCGATGTGCTGAATGATGGGGATTGCGGTGAGGCAATCACGGGTGTGGATGTCGATGCTGGCATGTTCTCGAAGTTGAAGGGCTCCATCTCGTTCAGCTTCAAGCTCAAATGCGTCGCACTGTCGGGAACCAATGTCGGTGCTAGACTTGAAATAGTAGCAGCTTCCGATGCCTTCCGCTCATTTTCAGGTCTGTCAGGTCTCGGAGGGGTCATTTGCAAGGCTGCACCCGAGGCAGGTGGTGCTGGCGGTCCTAGTGGTACTTGCGGAGTCGGATGCAAAATCGATTTGACAACGAAGGCAACGCAGATGACAATGCCCAAGCCACCGAGACCCACGCCCATGAACCAGCCACCACGAATGCCGTCAAGCGGATCACGTCCCTGGTTGTTCACGTGAACTTCGACGGTAGAGGCAAGACCAAGACCGAGAGAAATGGAGTAGTTGACGACCGTACTGATGAGACTCCCTGCGACACCTTGTTGTTGGGGGGGAAAGAAGTTGGACATGACCAATGTGGCAGCCGGAAAGGACATATCCATGCCAAAAGGCATGACAACAAGGCTGGCAAACGTCCAGCTCCAGTAGGTTGACTTGTCGATGTTCGAGTCGACCGCCAAAAGGAGCGGGCCGAAAGTGAATGCCACCAAAGCCCAGAATAGAGTCCAGGAAGGGCGACATGCCCGCATCATCCAAGCCGTCAGCACTGAGGCAATCAGGGCGACAGGCACGATTGGCAGGACTTGCAGTGCAGCCTCAAGAGGAGCATCATGTTTGATTCCTAGGAGAAATCTCCAAAGGAACCATGTCCAGATTCCAAACGTGGCCCATCCACAAGCCACAGCGCCAAGGACGAACCCGACATCTGCCTTGAGCATTTTGAAAGGCACCAGTGGTTGTACGGCGATTTTGAGCTCGGTGATGACAAAAAAGGCAATGAGCAAGAGGCCGATAATAAGCAACATGAAGATGTACTGAGTGCTCCATCCCGAAGCAGGAGCAGAGACAAGAGAAACTTGGACGCAAACAAGGCCGCCAACACCAGTGACGGCTCCAAGCCAGTCCATATCCCGCAATTTCTCCTTGACTGGTAGCATCTGCTTTGGACTCGGTGGCGGAGAGACCAGGATGACCCATGCTGCAGCGGCCAGAAAAGACGATACGACGGCGAGGGTATAGAAGCTCCACCACCAGGTTGCAAACCTGGTGAATAGAGCTCCAAAGATCATTCCCAGGTAGGCTCCGACCGGTGCACATAGACCGAAAAGAGTGAAGGAGAGGATTTTCTTTTTTGACCCTGGAGGATAGGTCCGGCCTAGGAGTGCTAGGCCATTTGGCACCATCATACTCGCACCGATCCCCTGGAAACCTCGAGCCACGAAGAATAATTCGTAGCCAACATAGTGACTTAACCCGGCCACGACACTCCATAGACTGAGGAAGGAATAGCCAATCACAACCATCGTCTTATGCCCAAATATGTCACCAAGTCGTCCTCCGATCAGAATGAAAGTTCCGAAGGACAGTGCGTACGCGGCGACGAGCCATGGCAGTACCGAAGCATTTGTGATGGAAAAGGATTGAGCAAGGTCTCGGCTGACTGGAAAGACCGTTGTCAAGGTGGATTGAGGAATAAGTTGAAGGAATGCCACCATTACGTTGAAGAGAATCTCTTGTTGTTTCGACATGCGCGTGCATAGCCATCCGCCCGGAGGTCCAGGAGGTCCAGGAGGTGGTCCAGCAGGCGGCCCAGTGGGTGGCCCTGCTGGCGATGGTCCATTTGAAGGGGGAGCTTTCTCCATATCGATAGGAAATCTGGCCATGTTGCCGTTGCGAGTTGTTGGTCTGGAAGGAATGCTTATCCTCAAGCTATTGAAAATGGCTTTGGAAGTCATAATGGACAATATAACGATTGTTGGATTTCATGAAAAAGAAAATCGAGCGCGCGGGCAACGAGAATGCAAGGCCCGAGTCGTCACACAATCCTAGCAAATGGCTGAGAAGGAACCTGAAGGAAGGGATACACGACTATAAAGTGGTGTACATGACCCAAATGGGGGCTGCGTCCCAGGGGAAATGCATCGCGATATCCCGCTGGCCTCGAGCATCGGCGCCGACTTACCGTTGGTTATAACCTAATCCAAGTCGCTTTTTCTTGGGAGCTGCATCCATAGCATCTTACCTCAATATCGTCGTGAACCTTGCAGAGATGTTGGGGTTGTGCAGTGGCATCGGAGGTGGGGACTTTCCGGAAGTCTTGCGCAAAAAGCATATTCGTATAACATGGGTTGTCCAAAGCCACCGAAAAACGCCACTTTGGAGCCTTCAGACCAAGATGCGGAGCGTGGATTGGAGGTTTCCAAGGTCGCCAGGCGCCTGTGTCGTTCATGGCCGATCCGCTGAGAGCCAAGAATGTTTGTTTCTCAGCGCCCCTTGCAGAGGATCTTCTTTGCAATGACGATCTCCCGCCCTATTCAAAGTTACCAAGGAGTCGGCGGACACGGTAGCCGACGCAGCTCCGTAGGGAGGTACCCAAGGTAAACAAGAACAATGATGACAATGAAGATCACTGACTGCCGGATTCGGACATATCCTGTTTTTGACGCAGAGCAAAGGAGAAGAAGTGCTCGTAGAAGATCCAAGATGATAGAGACAAGGGTATCTGGTACAAACCCCGGCACCACCGGCTATCTATGAAGATGCTGTGCGACGCAGCAAGCGGCGTCGGCCACAGAGCCAAGACGGGCTGCACGAGTAGGCGATGCTGAAGGCAACATGACGCGATATCAGGCTGAAACGACGTACCACAGCAACCAAGAAGGCGTCATTGGGCAAGCGAGCAAAAACGTGCATCTTCGCACTGGCGAGGGACGAACTGGCTTGACTGGCAATGTTGGTAGCTTCCGAGCCAAGGAGATTTGATCCAAGGTTCGGAAATTGCAACCGACTGTTGCTCCTTTATCAAGTGCCAAGACCAGCGTGATATGAGCCTCAATTTCCGCCCTTTGTCTCCTGCCTCACCAATCCTCCCCCGCAACGCGTTGAGATGCCCATCGAGCGCGTCTCTAGAGTCTAGCCGGCTATCAGGATCCTCGCTGCATGACCAAGATTCCAAAATGCACATGTCTCCGCACGGAGGTAGTAGAGGCCGATTACTCTCTTGAAAATGGACGTGCCTGGGGTCGCCCTCGTGCAACAATCCAGCTTCTGGACCGGGAAAACTGGGGCCTAGCATCTGCTGCATTCAATCAGTCCGAGACATGGGGACATAGACCTGACTTCGAGTACGGAAATAGCGCCCGAAGTACAACCCTCAACATCAGTATCGCCCTATCCATATGGGAAGACCCGGTAAAGGACCTGAGCGCGTGTCCCACCGGAGGGTGGTGGCCTAGCATATGGACGGAGGCTATACCTGCAATCCAGTGTGAACGCAGATTACCGAATCCACATCTCCTTTACGAGAGCAGCACATCATACACCAGCCCCTAACCTTCATGCGCCCAGGCAATCCATACAGTTGAGCAATGTCCCTTTCTGCAATGCAGCTGGTCTGTTGTCAGCTGAAGACAACTATTTGATTCCTCACCTGCGTGTTGTGTCGGGGACTCGTTGGAACCAAAATACGCCCAACTTGAGGTTATACAGCTTCCAATATTGCATGCTACTGACTCTTTCAACCTCTTGCATCTTCTGTGTTTGCCTTTGACACGGCGGAACGGTCGTCATGCAGCAAAAAACCCAAGGCAGAAGAGCACGGGAGGTTTCACAAGGCCGATTTTCGACTGACTTGAGTCACTTCACTACAAGCTACATGTTTTCATTTGGGTTTCTACAACATTCGCCCGGTATACAATGCCTGGAGGCCTGTCACTGGTACAACCGGACGGGACCCAATGGATATCAGAGACATGAATGGCTCGTGTTGTGATGGGAGACTTTCCCTTTGAAGCAGAACCCCGGCTCTTGGCTCACTCTCCCTGTGCTGGATTGAGACCTGGTCTAGTACTTTTGATGATCATGACACTGGTACACAACTGACGGTCAATCGGCTTCTCCGACCCGCCTCAACAATGCGTGCACCGACTCAAAGGCCTTCTTTGCAAAAGGTCCCATGTCGTCCCCATACTTCTCCGGGCCCTTGCCATCGAATACTTCCACTGACACCCAGCTTCTGAACCCCGTCTTGAACACAGCCCTGGTGAAGTCTTCCACGGGCAAATACCCACCATCGTATGGCAGCGGCCGATAATCGTGGCTCCACTGCCCCCTAGGCCTCAGCCCGCTGTCGTCTGCTTTGTCGTCCAACGGCGGCTCCATCCTGTATGCGTCTGAGATTTGCAGCAAGAATATCTTGTTCGCAGGGACTGTCTTCGAGAGCTCTTCACAGCTGCTCTTCCATCTCTTGTCCAACTCTTCTGTGCTGACGTCTTCAATCCGTCCAGATTTCGTCGTCGGGCTGCCCCATTCTCCTCCTGCGCTCTGGAAAGTGTCGAGGCACAACCCCAGATTGGGTCGGTCGGCCTTTTTGACGATTTCCCAGACATCCTTCCACGCCGGAGCGTGAGTGGCCCAGCACCAGTTTTCGTATGCAATCCGAAGCCCTTTCTCGGCAAAAATATCTGCAAGCTCTGTCAGGTCGGATGCCAGGTCGTCAAAGCTAGATGAGATGCCCTCAGCATCGGATGACCCAATCTATGCTTGTGGTCAATACTGCGATGTTGCATTCCCGGCGAACAGCAACGCAGAGGTTGCGTACCTGAAGCATATCTGTGCCAGCTGCCTCCATTATGCTCATCCATCCTTTGGCCCGGTCGAAAGCATCTTTTCTTTCCTCGCTACCTTTGGGCCAACCCTCAAAGTTGGCAAATGGCTGCAACATCAAGACCTTCAGGCCTTCTTTCTCGCACAGTTTTGCGATCTCTGCTGCGACGGACCGAAGCGTTTTGTAATCCTTTGGATCAATCTCGGCCTTGCTCTCGGAGATCTCTTGACCGTACGTGAGGATGTCGGGCATTGAAAGCTCGATGGCGTCAAATCCAGCAGCGGCAAGAGTCTTCAACTTGGCCGGAAGCGTATGCTTAGAATTGTCGTGGCCTATGGAGCACGAGGCATAACAGATTGGAATCTCCTTGCCTTTGAAATCCGCCATGATACTTGCAATGAAGCTTCCTGTGAGTGGTGCGTTTCCCTTGTGGCTTTCAAATTTACTGGCCTTTTGCGTACAGTTGAATCAAAATAACTGCAATCTTGCCTTTGTTTCTGATTATACGATATGACTTGGAGGTTTATACCAGGCCCAAGATATCGTCTACATTTCGTCACTTTTTCCAATTCGGCGGATGTCCAGCCGAGTCCGGAATTAAATACCTGTATCCACCACTTTGTCTCAAATCTCAGATGACGTCAATATACGCGTGGGAAAGAAATACTTGACTTACTTCACCTTCAGCTCACACGCATGCATCTTGCCGGTTTGCCTGTTCTGTGTGACCTGTTGTTCATGGGCTAATGACAAACTGCCTCTTCATCGGGTCTTCCATTCAGAAAACCGACAGTGTGGTCCTGCCCCTTGACGAATACAGTTTCTATCAAAAGTTTGGGACACTCAAACAGACACCATGGGTCAAGACGATAGCCCAGAGTTCAAGAAGGTGGGTGAAGTGGAGGGGGCTTTGCGTCCACCCCAACAAGCTCATTAGGGGCCGATCCGTCAAAAAGGTACGCATGCTGACCGACTGATTCAGCTTGGCATGATTGGTGTGGGGAGCATGGGTGGCATGATGTCTTTGTTATACGCCGAGCATGGTGTTGAGGTTCATTACTTCGATCCAAGTATGAGCTCTCCATATTGATCTTATCAGCCTCGTTTGCGCTAATGGCAGCTGAACAGGCGAGGAAAACGTCAAACAACTGCAAGAGCACGCCGAATCTATCCATGAGGAAAACCGAATTGTACACCAGAAGGACTACAAAGAGCTCTGCGAAAGCATTTCATCCCCAGACTCACCCAAGCTTTTCGTCTTCAGTATCCCCCACGGATCAGTCGGGGACAAGACGGTTGAAAGTCTGCGTCCATATCTTCAGGCAGGCGACATTATACTCGACTGCTCAAACGAAGACTGGCGAAACACCGAGCGACGACAGAAGGACCTCGAACCTGATGGCATCCACTATATCGGCTGCGGAGTCAGCGGCGGGTACCAGAGCGCCAGACACGGTCCCTCCATGTCTCCCGGAGGCGACGCCGAGACTTTGAAGAAGATCATCCCGTTCCTCGAGCGAGTCGCCGCGAAGGACAAGCAGGGTCGCCCGTGTACCACATGCATCGGGCCGGGGGGTAGCGGGCATTACGTCAAGATGGTCCACAATGGCATTGAGCAAGGCATGATGTCGGCCATCGCCGAAGTCTGGTTCATTATGAACAAATGCCTGAAGATGCCATACGAAACGATTGCCGACACGTTCGAGTCGTGGAATGACAGCGGTCCGCTCCGAGACAACTTCCTGGTGGCGATCGGCGCGGACATCAACCGCACCAAAGACGGGGAAGGGAAGTTCGTCCTGGCCAGTGTCTTGGACAAAGTCGTCCAGGACGTCGACAACTCCGAAGGCACGGGCGTCTGGACCTGCGAGGAGACGGTCCGTCTCCACGTCCCCTCACCCACCATCGTCAGCGCACACCTGTTCCGGCTCGCCTCGGCCGACGTGGCCAAGCGGGCGCGCGTCAACAAGGCGTTCAAGGGCGGCGCGGCACAGCCGCAAACCATCAAGTTGGAGGTGCCGCACGAGAAGTCCCTGCCGTCGTTCATCGAGGACCTGAAGCTCTCGCTGTACGGGGCATTCCTGTGCGCGTTCGTCCAGGGGCTCAGCCTCATCCGGGCCAAGGACCGCGAGTCGGGCTGGAACCTGGACTACCGGATGATACTCCAGATCTGGCGGGGCGGATGCATCATCCAAAGCGACGGCATCTCGGACCTGCTCGACAGCGTCCTCTCACAATCCAGCACCACGCCCGCCGACGTCGTCGACGAGCTTCTCGCACAAGAAACCCTCGCATCGGAGCTGACGACCTGTCTCGCCCCGCTCAAGAACGTGGTCCTCAAATCCCTCGCGGCCGACGCCTACATCCCTTCCCTGTCCGCCACGCTCGAGTACATCAAATACTCAGGCTCGACCGAGCTGCCCACGCAGTTCATGGAGGCCGAGCTCGACTATTTCGGCGCCCACAGCTTCGACCTCAAGTCCGAGGCGCCGGGCAAACCGCTCAAGGGCTCCCATCACTACGAGTGGAAGCCGCCCCGCGGCATCTTTGGCGACAAGTTGGACGGGACGAAATAGGAAAAAAAAAATTAGCTGGTCTGAGAGTTTTCTTCCTTTCTGGACGAGGAAATACAGGCAGACTGAGGTTTTTTCAAAGTTTTGTCTATTGTACAGTGGTTTCTTTTACTTTAATATCTCTTGAGGCTTCCCAGACCAAAAAAGGCCAGCTCTAGGGCACATGGTTCCATGAGACGAGATTCTACCAGAAATGTAATCTTTTGTTACCATCCATGGACCACAGAAGCCCCCTCTAGCTCTATAGATGCCGAAGACAGGGAAGCAACATTTTCAACTTACATTATAACTCACCCGACTGGTGCCTTTGCTCCTACTAATCTTCCTCACGCCGACCTTGCCACACAGATCCGTCGTGTCCACGTGCGTGCCACCACAGGGGTAGACCTCTGCGCCGACGATCCTGACGACTCTGTATTTCTCGCCGGGCGCCAATTTGACACCACCTTGGTCTTCGCCCGGCGGGATCAGGCGCTCGAGGCCTTCCCTCTTGAAATCCTCCGGGTCCCAGAATTCAATCTCCACGGGCATGGCTCGGGAGACGTACTCGTCGACGCGGGTTTGGATGGGCTCCTTCCACTTCCCCTCGATGAGCCCCTGGAACTCGCAGGCGGCCGAGTCCGGGAAGTGCGAGGCCTTGAGCTCGTCAAAGTTTGCAATCTCCCTCTCGAGCAGGTGCCGCACCGCCGCGCCGAGCACGTGGCCCGCCGTGTGCAGGCGCGAGTACAGCAGTCGTTTCTCCACGTCGATGGCCTGCGTGACGGGCGCGTCGTCCACGGAAAACGTCCGCGCCGGGTCCGCGAAGACGCCCAGGTGGAGGACCACGCCGTCGTTGACGACGTCCATGCGCACGGCCGAGACGTCGAACCTGGCGCCGTTGGCGGATGTCGATGTGATGGAGCCCGTGTCGGACGGCTGGCCGCCGCCTTGCGGGTGGAAGATGGTTTCGGCCGTCGTCACCACGAGGGAATTCTCCTCGTCCGGGACGGCCTTGAAAAGCTGCCGGCTGGCTTCCGCGAGTTGTTGGAAAGGTGTGATGGATGTGACCTGTGTAGAAAGCGTGTAGAGTTTTGCATTGCGTTGGTAGCTAAGGACTGTTCGGGCGAGAGGTGTCGACATCTTTTGGTATGCTGGAGGAAAAGATCTCGCCCGTGGTTGACGGATGATAACTGTATTACAGTGTGAATCGAGTCGAGATACCCGCTCTTGATGGAATCTATGTGCGCTTTGGTGACCTTTTTCTAGGCGTGGGTGGCTGACAAATTTTCCTTTTTATGACTCCTTACCTGCGAAGAGGAAGCCGATGTCTATTGTATTTGAGATGCTGTACAGAATATAGAACTGGGAAGGGTTAGGAAACAAATAGAAAAGAAGTTATCACAGGGCGTTGGGAAAACTGTGGCACCTGCCTGAATGGGCAGTGCGGTGGAGACAAGGTCCGTGTCTATAAACAATATGGCCAGGCTGCACCAGCATGCTCTAATGGTCCCTTACAAAAGACGCAGCACTACTCTCGACTTGAAAGGTGTCTCTTTGCTTCTTCTATGATGTCGTGTCCAACAAGCCACTGGACCAGCGCCGGATGTGGAAACTTTTGAGTCATGTCTTCTGCCGGGATGACCAGAGGACTGTCCTCTTGCAACTGCTTCTCTAACATGGCTTTCTGGGCCCTCCATATACGGTCTCTTGCTTCCTGCATTGGTCCATCTGGCAGAGCAAAAGTGGTCGCGTTTTCACGCGAGATCTCCTGTATGCGTTCGCACCGGGCTTTGCGGAGGTACTCATAGTCTTTTGCGGCTCTTGGAAGATCAGCTATCCCTTTGCAAGTTGCCACGCAAAGACCAAGAACTTCGGCGTCCTCGAGCGATGTAGCTGCACCCATGGCGGCATGTGGCGCCATAGCATGACAAGCATCTCCCACAAGAATGACACGTCCATTTGGACTTGACCACGTAGGCAGCGGCGGGAGTTCGGCTAGTACCCACTTGGCGCAGCTTTCCACGGTATCGAGTACTGCGTGAACAGTGTCATTGAAATCACTGAACACCTGGCGCATCTCCGAGACATCGCCTGGCTCATTGTACTTGCCCAACGGAGCGTCGCCAAGGTCGGGGATTGTCATAACCAAGTTGTAAAACTTACCCTTGGCGATTGGGTAAGATATAATGTGCTTGAATTGACCAGCCCAAGCCTGTTGACTCTGGTTGTCTACCAGAGCAGCGGTAACAGGATTTTTGAGCATTTCCTCACGGGGCACCAAGGCTCGATAGCAGTAATTCTCCGTTCTCCGGGGAACTACGTCCACCAAGCCAGGAATTGAGCGTCGAGTTCTTGAGTGTATACCATCGGCCCCAATAATCAAATCTGCGCGCAGCGACCTCCCACTCTCCAAGGTCACCTCAACCTCTTCGGCATCAACGGCAACGACCTTTTGCCCGAACTCGATCTTGGCGCCGCTGGCTGTAGCGGCTTCCGCAAGAATCTTCTGGTAGTCGACTCGATGAACAAGCCAGTGAGGAGAGCCCCTCAACCGCGTAGAATAGTTCTTGACATTGGTGGGCATGAGACCGATAAGTCCGTTGTTATCATATCGTCTGATCTCCATGAAGTCCGGACTCGTTGCCACCGCCTCAAAGTGTTCCCGCAATCCCCAGTTGCCGAGGATGCGAGATGCAGCTGCAGAGCATTGAACACCAGCACCGGCTTCGGTGAGAATCGGACTGCTTTCAAGAATCAGAATTTCGTGTTTTGTCTTCTGAGAAAGACTGATAGCTGTTGCAAGACCAGCGATCCCGGTGCCAATGATGATTATCTGAAATGAAGCCATTTCCCTCGGTGTTCACGTAGGGTATGAGATGTTCTCGAGCACTGCAAACACGGTAAGAAGGTTGACGGTGCGCACGTCGCGTTTCTGATATGTTAGCTTGTCAAAGAAGTGTCGGATGCAACATGTTTCCAACTTTTGAACTCCGCGTAAGAGACAGGAGACAGGCGGTGATGCTGTGACTTGGAGATGAAGCACTTTCCTGCCTAGACACGGACGGATCTTAGGCACCTGAACTAATGCATACCTGGCATGTGCTATCGCTCACAATTCACTCGCTTAAAGCATGATTGAGGCCTGCCGCTGTTCAACAAGTCTTGGGTCATTACACAAGGACAGCCCCGACCGGGCCCATTTGGTTGGATTTGACATGCAAATTGGGACGACAACAGTGAAAAGGAGGCTCGATAGGGCTGGCATACTATTACTGTAGTAGATGGGAGCGCCATGGCGGGAAAGGAGGTCGCCATGGCGCGTTTGTTGCGATTGAAGTCAAGCTGCCGGTAGAAGTAGGTCTGCCGAGTTTGGCGCTGCCAGTGTCGCGCAATCCCAACTCCCGGCTTCGTTCTGGGCGAGTCTTGACACGGTATGGTTTTATGGGTAGTGATCTCTGCTCAATTATTGTCTGGATAATACTTCACTTTGTTTGATTCTGTTGGTCAGAGTCGCCTCACCCTACCCTCATCTACAGTCATGGAGCAGGAGCCCGAGACCCCAGCGTCTGGGTCGCCCTTGTCAGATATCGACTCCGATGAATTTCCTGAAGACGTCAAATTCCACCGCAGATCGCGTTCTCATTCACGGGACTCTACTATCTCTGCCTCAGACGACGAAACTGCATCCGCTATGAGCGCTACGGCAGCAGCCCTCGATATGCCTCCCGCCAAACGTCGAAAGACTGGTGCTTCAAGCTACGATCATGCCACCCCCCAGTCCGCTTCCACCGTCATCCCCCCTCGCTCGCCAACAGGCTCAATATCAAGCGACTCTTCCGGCTCGGTGCCAACTTCGCCTTCCTTTGCCAACCTGGGTCCGACCCATCCCTTGTCGACCGCGTATGCGGCGGCCCAAGCCAACCCTGAAAATCCAGAGTTGGCAGACTACGTTCAAGTGACAAAGTGTCTATGGGACGGTTGTACCGATCAAGAGCAAGGCAACATGGACAACCTGGTCGCTCATATAAACGACGCTCACATCGTGCCACGCCAGAAGAAGTACTACTGCGAGTGGGAAGGTTGCGCTCGCAAGGGCCAGCCGCACACGAGTGCTTACGCATTGAAGGCTCACATGAGAAGCCATACCAAGGAAAAGCCTTTCATGTGTGCTCTGCCTGAGTGCGACCGCAGCTTTACTAGATCTGATGCTCTTGCAAAGCATATGCGTACGGTCCACGAGACCGAGGCTTTGCGCCCTAGCGATCCAGTGCCCAGAGGCCACACTGGCGGCATTTCGAACGGAGGATCTGGTCTTCCGATCAAAAGGCTGAAGCTGACAATGGGGGGCAAGACGAATGGTGACAAAAAGGCTACTCTAGTCGGCGATTTGCCCTCGCTACCGACCCGGTACACGGTTTCCATGATGGGAATCGACCCTGATGATGTTGCAATGGCGGACGATGATGGATCAGAAGAGCTCGTTGACGCAGTAGACGTGGATAGTGTTCCGATGTCTCTGCCTCTTCCTTCAGACTACTACCCGACCGATATTTGGGATGACATGGACGAGTACGAGCGCAGTCTTCCCCCCTCACAATGGTTCCGGCTCTTGCGTCGACAAATACATTGGGCTGAACAAGAAGGCCGAGATCTACAGCAAGAACTAGAAGATCTACGGGCGACAACGGAAGATGCCAAGGGGAACCCCATCAGAAGGGGCACGGGAGACGAAAAGGGAGCCGATGAGAACAGGAGAATAGAGTGGCAGCGGTCGGAGGAGCTATTGGACGCAGTCTTGCGGGCTGAAGTCGGACAAGTTTTGGCGATGTTCACTGATGAGCAGGTGGACGATGATCGAAATCCGTGGGAATTGCTCAAAGGGCTGGAGGCGCTTACAACCACGACGACCTCGGCGGCTTCAGTGGCATAAGCGATTGACGAGGCGGCTCCTCGATGCACAAGTAGATAGCATTGGCAGATCTCCCCAAATTGTGAGAGATCGTGTGATCACGAATTCAAATCGGACCCTGCACTTAGATGGGGTCGATAATCTCTTCCGCTGCGAGGTTCTTTCCACTAGTTAACAGTGCTATTCTCGACAAACCCGAATACGTGAATCCCCATTAAGGGGAGTACTTGGGACGCCACGGTCGGCAACGGGTAATCCGAGGTTCAAGCCATGAAAGGTACCTAGTACACCCCATTGGGCAATAACGAGCAGCATGCTTCTCCGAGGACCTCAACGTGCAGAATTTCCGGAAACCTGGTCGTCCAGGGAAGAGACCACGTATCACCAGTAGGGCTGAAGCACACAGACCTAAACACATACCTAAACACACAGGGGTCTGTAAATGCATACCTGATCGTGTTCAAACTTTCCAAGGGGGCTACCCGACGGGAAAGGGACTTGGTGGTAGAAGTGCTATCACTATCAACTACGAGGTACTCGTCCCTATGAGCACATATTGTAGACCGGGGCACCGGGGGAGGATTACTCGTAGGATGTCAGAACTCAAACAGGGATTCGGGGAGACGGGCACGACTGCGATAGGAGGGTTTAAAAAAAGCCTCGCGGGTTGCACTGCCAGTGCAGCATTGAAGATGGAAAATGGGAGATGTTACCCTTTCTTTGGGAAGTTCCGCGGTTGGCGAAGGGTTTGCACGGAAAGCTTGGATGGGATGACGATGATTACGGGCGTTACGGCACAGAGAAGGAATGGAGGATGATGGGGGACGATGGACTTTTGGCACTATATTTCACGGAGCTGCTGCTGAAAGGACCAATGTGTCATGAAGGGGAGAGAAGATGTGTCAATTGGGGTTGTTGAGTGTGGAAAATTCACATTCGGGTGAGCAACTCGACATGGATGAATTTCCCACATTCAAGTGCACTAGCCACAGCCAGTACCACCAGCCTTGCTTCGAGAATCAGCCTCGTGTGAAAAGGCCCCCTTTTTTCCGTGGGTCTCCGGCGCACAAAAGAGAGTGGCTTTGGCTGTTTCCCTGTCCATAGATACATACCTTGGTAGGTATTATCCCCCTAAAATCCAAGCGTGGGCGGAAACAATCCAGATGAGACGATTATTGAGAAATGAGATGGCCACGTCTCCACTGTATGCATGATTGCGCAGAGCCTCAGTTCGTGTGAGTCACGCATGCAGATTCACTGCAACCCAAGAGGCGGGCTGTTTCAACAGCAGCGTCGCGGTGGGGAGCAAATTCCCTCTCAATGGAGATGCTGGGGTTAGCACGCCAGCTGTCCAGATGACCAACCCTCAATGGGTGGGAGAGGGTCAGGGTGAATTATAGGGTATGAACTGGTCCGTGGGGACGCTCCGAAGGGCATTCAGGCGTCAACGGGTAATGCTTCGTACGTTTTCAATCTTGCGACATTCAAGTTGCCAAAGGGCGCGGACTCGATTGGTGCCATGCAGGGTATAGCCTAACGCGGAGCACTTTGGTCGGCACTGGCATCCCAAAGGTCTCAGTCGGCAGTGCGAACCACAAGCGGAAATCGCTGTAGGATCGCCGGCTGCGAACCAGCTTGGGGTGGAGCCAGTCCAATCACGGCGGCCTTGGTGTTAATGGGCATGCAATGCACTTTTGTACGCGGTAGCCAGTAGGACGAGTATCTACAGAGCATGAGCCTCGAGCACAGGCATTGGCTCCAGTTTGGGGGCTTCATTGCAGTCATTTATGCACCAAGGATCGTGTTTCACCCTGGAAAACGAGATATTTGTGTCTTCTCAAAGTGTGCGGCCCGCCACCAGCACTACCTTACGCTCGGGAGCAGTTGGTTTGAGGGGGATAAATTGAGTTGCAACTAAGCAGGACAATTGATCCTGGTTGTCTGCCTTGTGGCTAGCCAAAAGCGAGCAGTGCCGCACGGGTCCTGGTCAGCAGCGGACCAGTTCCACAGGCCACTTTATGTAGAGCTTTTGTGCGGACGAAATACTCGATATGCAGTAATCCCATCTTTTTGTGATACTCGTACCTAGATTCCAAAGTATGTGAAGGCGGGGAAATGAGTTTGTTCCTAAGATAGTGTTTCCATGAGATGGTCAAACAACCGATACAGGGGCAAAATCTGTCCCTTCTTCACGCTCAATTTCACAGTTACGAGCAACGTCCACATGGAAGGCTCTTTTGATGAATTATGAGTCATTTGGTAGAGGCCACAGATAGGCCGGCACCAGCGGGGACCTGTCGAGGCTCGCCGTTGGCTGCATCCCCCTCTAGTGTGGCCGATGTAGCCCGGGGTCGCATTTAGTGGCGTCAAGGCTGACCAAAACCTCCACGGATTGCACCCATTGGGCACCAGAGCGAGCACCACAGCGGCCCCAAGGGATGCCCAGTAGGAGTGGGATGCCCAGAGCTGCCCAGGCTGCACCTCCCGCTCAACCACTTCTGAATAATTATTATAATCGTGCCTTGCCCCCTTGTGGATGCCTGGACCTTCTTCCTCTTCTTCTCTCTCTCTCTCTTCACCCATCCAACCATCATTCATCACTACAACATCAACAACGATACCACTGCGACTCACAGGAAATGGAGTCCTTCTGATCGTCTTCGGCTTCACTTCTTATCTCGCTCAGGCAAGATAGGATCAGTCACCATACCCGTCACTGCTCCACTTAACTCTCAACTCACCCCTCGTCCACAGTCTCCTTCTGGAGTACCTGTGAACATCCGGCAGGACCTCGTCTTCGCTCCAAGCGTAACGACTTCTCTTCCTCCAACCGCAACCATTCCCGCGTTGGACTTCACATCCTTCACCACGGATCATCCGCAAACATGGCGTTCCCCAACCCCAAGTACATCAACTGCATCGTCGCAGAACCAACAGCAGCACAACTTCAATCAGGACTTTCAGCTCTTCGCCGCTCCGGAGACCCCTCTCAGGATCTCTCCTCAAGCCTCGCGTGCGCAGGCGATATCGAGTACAGCCCCTAATAGCCAACGGATAGCCCAGACTCGGCATCTCTCCATCAACAGCAGGGTCTCTCCAGTTCAGTCTATCTCGTCTCCATCTCACGGGCATCTCTACTCGTCACCCAATCACCGGTCTTTTCCCAGTCTAGCATTGCAAAACCAATCCACTCAAGAGAAATACCTGCGCCAGCTTGCTCATTTGCAGCGTCTGCCGCCTGTCCCTGCTTTTGACTCAACAACAACTGTTCCTCGTAGAAACTACTCGGTCCCTCACATCCCACAAGGTACTTACGATCTCCGTCCGATCCCACGGACGAAGTCACTAACTGTGTCAGGCAATATGGCTACCGCCTTTGATTCGATGTATCTCCCGGGAGGCGATTTCAGCGCCTCCCACGACGACTTCTTGGACCTCGAGCCCACCTTCCAGTCCAATCACTTCACCACCGTCAACTCTGGAGTGACGGATGGCACTATTTCACCCACCGACTTGTTCAAGGACGACGCAATGATCATGTCGGCCCCGCCATCCGCCGCTTTTCCTAACTTGAGCACTCCGGACTCGAGCTTCTTGGAGTCTCCTGCTATGGCTAGCAGTGGTCTGAATACATCCCCACTGGAAGATGGGGAACTCGATGCCACTTTGAACTTCGCCGAACTCGACGGCATGATGCCACTCTTTCCTCCGAACGGCATGGATCAGTTCGCCTGCCAGCCTATGGCTCCCGAACTTTTCCCCAAGTCAGCCTCCAGCGCTGTGATGTCTCGGACGGCTTCCGCAGCGCCAGAGACTGGTATGGTACGACAGAAGTCCTCACCTGGACGACCGCCGTCTCAGCCATACCATACGCGCAAGCGCTCGGAAACGCACGGTGTCTCCAAAGCATCCAAGCCCCGCAAGAACTTGCCTGAAATCAAAATCGACAGTGATGATGACAAGGAGACAGCTAAGAGGAAGAAGAACACTGCCGCCGCCCGAAAGTCTCGTCAGCGGAAGCAAGAACACGCCGAGGCGGCCGAAGCTGAGATTCAACGTCTCAGGGCCATTGTTTACCGTCTCGGAGGTGACCCTGACGCGGAGAATCAATGAGCGGGTCTCTGAAAGTGTACGACGGTTGTTGATGGGTGGCAGAATTCTAGGGTGCACCCGAGAAGCCTCCGCTTTGAACGGCTGTTGGATTTTTTTTGCAAATGCAATCGGACGACAATTGAAGCTGTGACTACCACTTTGGTAGTTGCCGACACAGCAGCATGACGCTTGGGGTTGGGGGTTATATTAGGCTGAAGCCAGGAGGGCTGCCTCCCCTAAACCGCCACGTCGCCCTTGTTTTCTTTCCATGTTTATGATCTTTCGGGGTCACACAGCGATCATTGGGGTTGATGAGCTCCGCCCGACGGGGTGGCTCAGGCTTCCCTTGTTACCAATATCGCTACGATTTCTTATTACCGATGACAGTCTGGTGTCTTTCGAAGAAGGCGTAACAGCAGACTTTGAATGGTCCTGACGGCTTGTCATTGATTCTTCTGGCTTGTGCTGAGTTTTATTGGCGACAGCGACGAAACGGCTTTCTGACCGTCTCCTCTTTCAATCTCGATACTGCAAAAAAAGGGATTTTCCTGTGCTGCGGCGTCTTTTGAAGGGGATTGACTCGAGGCCTGTTTCACGTTCGTGTCTTGATGTTTTCTTCAACGCATGAACCATCACGGATGGAACCCATGCTTAGCAGCGTGGGTTGAACGGGGATGTGTTCGTCCACTCCTTTTATATAGTCTGATCAGATCTGCAGGGCTTTCTATTCAAGGGGCCTTTGCACAGCCTTCCATTCTTCTCTGAGAAGATGGAGTTATGAAATGCAACTCAGTCACTTTACTTGATTCAATTGTCCATTCTTTTCTCTTACCCATTCTGTCCTTTACATAACACGCCCGTCATTTCTGCAGTTGACACATGAACGGAGTACCTTCTGACATGCCGTCACCAAAGTAGCCTCGTTCCTGTCAAAGCAGCCTCGTTATCGTCACAAAGTTACGCGAGTATAATTTATGGTATGGTAAGGTAGGGTAAGGTAAGTAAGTACTAGGTACAGAGTGGTAGCAGCACTCCAAGCGAATTCCCGTTCCAAGTACGAGGTCCCGAGTACAGCGTTTCATCACAGTACAGCAGGTGTCGTGGGTGACATAAGTAAGATACGTATATGCCATCTTAGAATTGTCACATTGGCTGGCTGGCTGGGTACATCGCTGGCTGGTGCCATTCCTTGGAGTCTGAGAACATGCAACAGGTTCACTGCACCGTAATCGTGTTGCAATTTCATGTATTAACTATTACTATCCTAACGCTTGGTTCTGCTTTGCATGGTTCACTGGCTAGGTGTTCTGTTGTCTGTCTTGTTCCTGCTTTGCAATAATGATTCCTGGCCACATTGTCCGCCAGTCTTGATCCAATCTGTCGATTTCACTCAAAACTGTGAACAGGAACATGGCCACAAAATGTGCTCCACAAGATTTCACGCAGTGTCCCGTGTCGCCGAGGGACAGGTCGAACTGATAAGCCTCCCTTTCCCTCGCGATGGTATGCCTGTTTTCCTTGCCTTCTTTTCCACCAACAACTTGCTTTCGGGGGTATCTCTTCTCGTAAGGACAAGAACGTGCCTAAGTGGGGTATCTGTACTCAAAGCACAAAACCAAGAAACAAATCCACAATAACTCAAAAAAGACAATCGATTTCGATCTAGTAGTGCGAGGGGTATCCTGAAAGAGAGGAATGCATAACAAAAGGAGTGGTGTCCGAGTTTGTCGTCAATGGGTCGAATAGACCTGGGTATCTCAAAAGATCGATGTGCAAAACAGGACGGACTGATGGAGATCCAACCGTGTCACGCTACCTCGAAACCACGAGGCCAGAGAGACGAGAAGGGCTTCGAGGAGGTACCGCCGGAGGAGTGCTGTAAGTCTTCTCGTCCCACCACTTCTCGAATTCAACTGGACTAGACGCTCGAGACAGTCGAGATGGATGTGATAGAGATGTGCGTGGAGTCTTGTCTCTGGCCTCGTCGGACCTTCAAGCAGTTGCCTTGACCTCTGGGACCGTCGCAGCCACAGGTTCGGGCGTGGACTGAATGGGCTCAGAGACAGGCTCGGCGGGCTTGGTCTCTGCAGCTTCTGCAGCAACAGCCGGGGTCTCGGAGACAGGGGCTTCAGGCGCACTGGTAGGGGCGGCGGCAGGCTCAGCAGGAGTCTTTTCCTTCGGTCCCTCAGACTTGATCGCTTTGCTAGCGCGACGGACAAGCTGACCGATGAATTTGCCACCAGGAAGAGGAGATTTTTCCCGCTTGGGCTCAGCGACAGTATCCTCGGCTTCGGCGGTGTCTTGTTGCTTCTTGTTGAAGAAAAGCGAGGTGCGGCGCTTGTTGTCGCGAGCAGGGCGCTCTTCGGTAGCGGGTGTAGTCTCGGCGGCAGCTTCGGTGGGAGCAGCAGGTTCTGTTGGCTCGGTGCTGGCGGCGGCAACAGGGTCCTTCGCAATAGCTTCGGCAGCCTTGTCCTCCTTGGTCTCCTCTTTGGTCTCCTTCTTGCCTTCAAGCTTAGCTTCAGTCTTCTTGATGAAACCGATGAAGCCGCCCTTCTTCTCCGTCTTGGGGGCAGCAGAGCTTTCTCCGGCAGCTGCAGGCTCTTCGACTGGAGGGGTGGTGACGGTGTCGACCGGGGCAGTCACAGCTGCAGTATCAATGGGTTTGTTCTCAATGGGCTCCTCGATCTTGGGAGCTGTCTCAGAGACTGGAGGAACATCGCTGCTCGCCGTAGCATCCTTTTCGGATTTCTCAGTGGTTGGGCTTGCGACGCGGTTTCTGAAGAGGCTGCCAAAGACAGAGCCACGCTTGTTCTTCTTCTCGGTCGGGGTCACCTCCTCTTTCTCCTCTTTCTTGTCAGAAGCGACAGGCGCAGCTGGTTCTTAGTTTCGTTAGAAAACAACTACATGATCGTAATTCGAAAACACTTACCAGCAGTGGCCAAGGAGGCTTCAGCTGCCTCTGGGGTCTCCTTGGTGTCATCCTTAGCAGGGACTTCTGGCTTCTCTTCCTTCTTCTCGGCGTGCTCTTCCTTCTTGCTAAGAAGGGTTCCGAAGATGCTACCACGCTTTCGCGACTGAGAACGCTCAGCAGCAGGTTTTGTTACCTCATCTGCGTCACTAGAAGGAGCACCAGCATCTGCGGTGGTAGCAGCAGCAGCGGCAGTAGATGCGTCCACGGACTTCTTCGGTTCTTTGGACTTGGAGCGGGAAGCCTTGACAGCCGCTGCGGCAGGAACAAATGCGGGTTTGGCTAGGGCTGCATTAGCTTGCCGTCAAGCATGGAGACGATGGTACTGCGCAAACAGGGGTGTATATCAACCTACCATATTCCTCAACGTTCTTCTTGTAGCTCTCACTACCAGTGATCTCCTCTTTCAGGCTCTTTGCCTCTTCAATTGCCTTCTCAACGCCAGCAACCCAGCTGTCACGTTCCTTGGCCGAGGACGCCTCAAAGCGATGGACATGAGCACCAGCCTTGAAGGAGAATTGGAGGCCTTCCTTGATGACGTTGGAAGCATCGGACTAGCGGGAATTGTTAATGCATGTAATACCGCTTGAAACACGTTTTTAACATACCAGGTTGATAATACCAGCAGGGGTTGCCTTGTCCTCGACACGCTTGGAGTAGAAGAGCAAACCCTTTCCGGTCTCACGTGCCCACGCAGCGTCGGAATGTTTTGTGTCCGCCTTCTCAGACCTCATGAAATTGGTCAGGGACTCGGCGGTGGTTGGCTCTTCTTGGAACCAGAAGTAATGTTTGCTGAAGATGAATTTCCTGCAACCGACAAGTCAGTCCTTTTCTGTCACTTTACGTTGCTCCCCTGGCCAGCCGACATACTTGAAGAAAGTGGGCTCCTTGTATCCCAGCACGCCCTCCGAAGCAGGGATAATCTCGGTAGCTGGCTCATCCTTTTTGACCTCCTCCGTTGCAGCAGCAGGCTCTTCAGCGGGAACAGGGGCAGCCTCAGTGGTCTCGGCGGGAGGAGCAGCAGCCTCCGTGGGTTCGGCCGTGGTCTCTGGTTGTTCGGCGACGACCTTGGTAGGCTCGACGACCGGAGTCTCCTCGACGGGCTTGGGAGCTTCGACAGACATGTTGCTGGATTGGAATGGAAGTGTGTTACGCGTATGAGATATGGAGGAGTTTGTTCAAGAAGGCAACAACTTGAAGAAGGAAGGAAGTGTCGAGAAGAATACTTGAGACCGAGAATAAGTCCTCTGCAGAAACAAGTGGATCTCGAGGGTCTGGTCCAAGGGAGAAATTGACAATGGCAATCAAGGACCACAAGGCTTTGGGCCGGCAGTCACGTTTCAGGGAAGGGATTGAGGAAGAAGGAGATTTGAAGAAGACCAATTTTGTATGAGAAGCAGGAAGGGATTGGTTTCCAGGAAAGATGAAGGGAGCGAGATTGACAGTGGGCAGGCAAGACGAGTGGTGTGAGATGGGGTGCGTCTAGTTTTTGTCTTTGGTCTTTTATCTCTCCAGTTCGATTTGTTTGGGGCTGGCACTGCTGGTAACGGGCTCTGTGGCTCTCTTGGGCGGCTCCAGTCACGCAGGCTGCGCAGGGCACCCAAGGGCGTTTAGCGGGCAAGGAGATTTGAAGGCGCCCCTAGGCAACGCGCTAACACGCCCAACTCCACCTGTGCTTGCCTTGAACAAACACTAGCGCGCCCGGCCCAGGTTGCTGTGAATAATTTGGTGGAGAAACCTGTAGCCTTTCAAGCCCCTCCACGCTAGCCTTGGTAGCCTGGCCTGCAGGCCTGCAGTGCGAAATAGCCCTAGCACTGACCCTGCGGGTTGCCCTCGCCATTTCTGCTGCCGCCCACATGTCTCCCAGGAAACAAAATCACAATTAACGTCCTTCCGATAAATCGATTCACGACGGGTTTTCATTAGTTGCATCGCCTCGATGTACGAGTAGGGACTGGTATGCGCCCAGAGCTCACTCAGAGCACCGCCGTCTACCGCCGGTCGAGGAAAGTTTCACCACTGCAGTCAGCAGTTAGGAGGACCATTGACATGGCTTTCGCAACAGAAGTCCACGCCTCTTTTCTGACGCCAAGGGGGCCTCCTGCAGCAGCCTCAGGCTGGCACACCGAGTCACGGCTGTATCTTGCGGAACTTTGTGTGAAGGGCGTTGCGAGACCCTTGCAGGTGACAAGGCACGTATTGACAAGATGCCATAATGAGTCCCGCCACAAGGAGCACCCACACATCGATAAACTTCCTACCATTCCGTGAGAAGAGATCTATTCGGCCCATGGAACGAGAAAGAACCCGCCAAGGAACCCACGATATCATATTTCCCTCACGACTTTCACTGCTCTCACCCCCCTCTTCAAGAGAATGCACAAGAGGAGCTAAGGAGCGGGCACTGCGTGTGTGACTCAAGATAGGATCTCCGATGGCCATGGACTCTGAGAGAAACAAGATATCACCATATCAGTAGTGGTAACAAAAAAGGCCGTTGGTCATGCGACCATCAACTGGCCACCTGCAGAAATGACGTGCCTCGTGCGTTTGTCACATGCCCATCGACGAATCCCAGGAATAGTTCTCGCGTCGGTGGCCGATCAGACAACCCTGTGTGATCATATAATCGGCAGCCTGCAGTCCATGACTACTGTAAGAACTGTTCCCTTTTCTGCCCCATCAGCAGGAACCTGACAACGGGGATTGGTAGCGGATGATTCTTGTAGAAGGTTCTTACTCCTCGTCTCCGTCCATGCCGAGAATCCGAGGGATACGAGGTATACCGTGGCTTTTGGCGGGTGTCAGTCTCCGAAGGTATTAACCCACCAGTCGCGTAAAGGCGCATCAGCTCGCTCTGCGCGCCAGACGCAGTATCACAAAGCGCCAGGCACCCAGGCGAGACCGCAACTTCATCTATCAATCATGGCTACTAGAGCAGGAATGGCCCCTATGCTGTCCTGCCACATTCTTTTACCGCCGCCATGATTCACGCACGATAGGAGCCCCTCTCATTGAAGCAGGTTGTCATATCCACGGCTATCTTCTTCCCGGATAATTGCGACAACGCGTTAATATTGCTGCAACGCGGACCCTCTTTGGTGGTGTCGATCCTGATAATATCATGGGGGAAGGCCCTCTTCCAGATCACCAATCAATCGACCTGGCGGGGTTGTAGGTACTAGGTAGGCCGGTTAATCGTAGGCTGGCTCTCCAGTCGTGCACACCCGTGGACCGTGGTAGGTCTCTGCAATTTCGAAACCCATCCGGACCCCTGAGGAAGGAACGGCGCGAATTGGGGGTCCATGCCGTAGCAGCTCCCACCAACCCCTCAAGCGCGGACCCAGGTCCAAACCTGAAACAGGCTGGGTACGAGAACAGTGGATAGACGGAGCACCGTACCAGCACTGGTTTACTACCGGTACATACCTAAGTAATAGTATTTTGAATGCACCCCCAATCAGCACATGCACAGTTTGGCTTACCCTGCGAGTACGAATATACAACTCCTAGGTATGTAGGTAACAGTGCCAGTCTCCCAAAGTTCTTCCCAACACACTCACTCTCTGTCGCCGAAGAGTCCGACTCCTAATCCCAGGGGTATATATATCAACGCGTCGAGTGCAGGTACAGTACGGTTACCAGACGCATCCATCGAGGGGTTAACCCTTCGGAAAAAAGCCAGCAACTCCTTTTCCCATTTTTTTACCGACCAAAAGATTCGAGACACACCCGATCCTCAAATTGCGCCTTAAAAACGAACCTGCAGAACATGTCCGTCCTCCCCAGCCCAAGCCTTAGTTAGTAGTTGGTCCAAGCTGAGACTTTGTCGCTCGCTCAGAGCCCACTTGTGCGGCGGACTGCCACGATTCATGAAGTGTGTGAAAAAAAATAAATAATTTGGGTGAGGAGCCCGGGCCCACGTCCCCATCAGGTCAAACCTAGGTAGGTACTGCGTATGTATGGGCCATGGCCCGCTACGAGTAGGTCCGTCGCGCATCTAACCGATGAGGATCAGGGTCGTGAGGGTCTCACTACTAATTACTCCATACAGCGGGGGGTCGCGCGCTCGTTAGTACGATTACGAGTAGTACAGAGTCGAGGACTCATAGTAAAGGCGCCACAGCGCACCCGTGCGGCTCAAGGGGAGAGACATTATTACTCGGTAGGTGCCTAGTATTCATCCAGCGTCACCGGATCGAAATCAACATCGAAAGAGCAACAACCGAGGCCAGTGCCATGTTACCGTTCGGTAAGAAGCACCAATCTTTTCATCACCTCGGTCAAAAGGTCGAGGGAAACGCAAAGCAGTGGTGATGGGAACTATACATGCAGAGACCTCCATACCATGCAACTTTTTTGATGCGCAGTGCCCATTCAATAGCTCCCTCTGTCATCAATGAGCTGCTCATATTGAGCCTTCCGTACCGCCAAATAAACCCAGACAGGAGCATATCGAGCACTGTCTCGACCAACGCCAAAATGACCATCTTTTGTACTGTGTAGAGATTTTCGATATCTGTCGCATTTGAAACAATGTACTGTCGACCTGGAGTGGTTTCAAAAACAGGGAAGCCATTTGTGGTTCGATGCATACCACCAGCGCCATTCGCTTCAAACAAACAACCGTGCGAGGCTGCTCGTTTCCCAACACTGAATGATTTTTGTCTTCCTTTCCATCCAAACTGCCAATCCAAATATGTACCAGGGAAGCCTCGCTTAGCAAATCACGAAGTCGCCTTCTTCAGCCCGCTGTCGTCAGAACGTAAGAAGTTACAGTGTCCATCCTTTCCTTGGTCAACTTCAAACTGATCACGAGAAACTCTTGGGCCACATCCGGATCTCGTGTCTGCATATCTTGCCACCGCGTGGCATCTAGTCTCCAAGTAACACAGTCTTTTTCTGCCACCATCGTAGCAGTCCGCGGTGTTTGAGAGAAAAAGGGCAGCTCCCCGCATGGGCGCCCAGACACGATCAGCTCCGAGTACCTGCCCTGTGGCCAGTCGTAATCGCAGCGCAGAATGCCCTCTTCAAGCATGTAGAAGCCGTTCGGAGGATCTCCGACCTTGAACAACACAGAGCCTTTCGGGTATACGACCCTCTCAAAGTATTTCATGGCACGGTACCAAAAATCCTCATTCTTGTCGGAGAGATCCGCAAAGATTTGCAGCAACAAGGGGAGAGGTTGCTTGAAAGATTGCCACTTGGCTAAGCTGGACGTGTCCTCGTCCAGAGTAGTCTGAGCAACTTGATGGAGATGATTTCGTCTCGGGGAGCTGCCCATGAATTCTGCCTTGTACGAGGACGAAAGCTCTTGAGGCCGAGTTCGAGGCACGTCAAGGTGCCCTCCTATCCGTCTTGGGCGACGCTGCTCTTGTTGGCGATACAGGGCGGTCAACAATTCGTTCTCGCAGTGCTCCAGTGCCACATTTAGATCTGGGAAGATCTCGACATTTGAATCTGCTGCAAACAGACCCACGTTACGAAGAGCTTGTCCAATCTCTCCATCAACATCCAAGCTGCTCACGATAAGCTCGACTCCGCGCTTCTGCAGAAGACGGTTGATTCTGGTGAAAGCCTCTGCGGCAGAGAAATCAATGCCGCTGATCTGAGCCATGTCCAAGATGAGGAACCTCAGAGGACGGTCCCTAAAGGCATCTTCCTCCAGAAGAGCTCGAATTTGCTTCTCAACCCCGACAATCGTCCCAAAGAACAGATACCCTGCCAGTCTGAGTAGAAAGATCTGTTTGCCGGTCTCTCGGAGAAATTTGAGCTGAACTGGCGGTCGTCGGACGAGAGACTTGGCAACTTGCCCGGAGTATGTGGCTCTTATGGCAGTCCTTCGCGACGTCTGCACAACAAAACTCAAAGCAGCAAGCAAAATGCCAACCAGGATCCCAATCACGAAATCCCACACCCCCATCGTGACGACAATGATCAGGATGGTGGCATATTCAAGCTTGTGGACTTTGCCCCACGTTCCGACCAGAGCTTCATCCAGCAACTCTATGCCCAGCAGAAAAATCAGGGCTCCAACAACCATAATGGGGATGAAACCGATAATAGCCGGGCCAGCCAAGAGAATGCCGACGGTGCAGGCTGCCAACAGGAGTCCTGCGAGACGGTCATTGCCACCACTGTCCATGAAGAGAAGACTGTTGGTATACACAAGATAGTTTTGCACACTTCCGAAGAGACCACTGACGCAATTCGAGATACCGTGCGCAACCAGCTCACGATCGACGCTCAGGTTATCCTCGCCAGTAGAGATACCCAGAGCGGGCACGTTGATCGGGACATGCAGGATGCCGAAAAAAGTCAGAGCAAACATGGCCGGGATGGTATCCGCGAGAGCTCCCCAATGGACCGCGTTGAAGTCGTACAGCGTGTAGAAATGGTACCAGGGGTTTCCGGCCGGAGGTGGATCAAAAACCCAGCCTCCAGTGTGCAGCGTGTCCATTGAAATGCCCAATGCGGACTTGAAGAAGTAGAAAATTGCAGCGACCGAGAGGAAGTAGCCGCCAACCAGCAGGTTTGATTTCACAAAGCGTTGTACAATGAGTAAAGTGATGGCCAGCAATAATGGGACGGTCCACAAGGCGATTGTGTCACTCCGGAACAGCTGTTTGAGGGTGTCAAGGTTGTACTCCAGATTACCAGGCAACCGAGCGGATACTTCGATGCCGGTAGCAACAAGGAACCAGCCAACGCCTCCAATGCAGCCAATAAGAATGTGACGCGGGAAAAAACCAATCAACGACCCTAGCTTGCAAGCTCCCATGAGGAAGAACACCACTCCAGTCAGGACAGAACTGATGGCGAAGGACAGTATCGTGGTGGCAAGGACAGCCTTGGGGTTCTGATCCCCAACCTTCTGGAGGATCGTAAAGGCCATCTTATGGAAAAAGGGGACAACCTCAATCATTTCGGACCCAATGCCGCCTCTGAAGATTGAGCCACCAGAAGAATAGACGACCTGGGCTACAATAGTGCTGACATAGAACATGGCAATCCCGTCCGATCCAAGACCTTCGAAAATTTCGTTTCCCAAAGGAAACAAGATCATGCCGTAGGAGAGAGCATCAAGGATGTTTAGGAGCAACCCTAGAAACACGGCTGGAAGCAGACTGACGGGGTGGACGATGGCTTCCCGGTATATGGCACGGGCACTCCACGTCTTGGGGTGTGAGAGTGTGTAACAGCATGACCGCACTCTTCTCGCAGAGGCTTTGCATTTCTGGATAATACCACCCTTGTCCGAGTCAAACTGCCGCTCAACGTCCGCATAATGGCCATACTTTGTGGAGTCTACCCGCCGGTTACCAATGAGGGCTGTATACTCATCTGGCTGACTAGCCTCCGGCCTGCTCGACGACGCTGGACGATGGGGTGCTGCCTTGTCGATACCGTTCGGGTATTGGTGACGGTCTTCCTCCTCTTGGCCCGTAGAACTTTGTATCATTGCAGTCAACTCAGAGACGGTTGGATCACCAGGATGCTCGTGGTCCGAACCTGCTGGAGTTACTGGTTCGGAAACTTCCTCGATGACTTCAGGGTAACCATCATCGGAAGCAGCTGAGGAAGTCGGGGGAGAGGTTCCAAGGTGGGAGGCAGTATCGGAAAGAGCAAACGCAGCAAGCTCCGCAGTCTGGTCTCTGAGGCCAGCGGAAGAAGAATACTGAGCTGGATCTAGCTGGCCATGGAAAGAACGGACGTAGAAAGACCTTGCAGGAGTTCTCTCTGCGGCCTGGCTGGATGAAGATGCGGCTCGAGGGCGTTCGATCCAGGGACGGTCGGAAACGGCCAAAGGATTGTCTTCCTCGATGACCTGCTCACTGTGAGATCTCTTCAAGGGAGAGCTGGGCATCGGAGCTGGGCGGCTCTTTGTGAAGTTGGCACTATGGCGAGCATGCTGTTTGCTCGAGGAGGAGGAGGTCGTCGACATTTTGGCTGTTTATGGGGATATCATGTTGTCCCGCACTTCACATGCAAAACTCCACTACTAGTGCCCGGCTCTTTCCAGCGGATAACACGTACAAGAGGGCTGGGCCTGAGGAAAGGCACTATGCTTACTCGCGAGTACTAGTCCGCAGCCTGTAGTCCTCCCTCGTGTGACGCGAGACGGTCCGGGAATGAGGAATATAGAGCGGGACAAATAAGGTCGACCCGAGGGTAGGAGGTGGACAGAGTGAGCAAGATGCAGTGCTTGTCGACGCAAGCTCGCTCCTCGTGTTACAGGTGGACGTAGCTGTGTGGATTCCTGTGGACTTGACTCGGGTGTGGCCTTGCAGGCTTGTCCTTGGGCAACTTAATCCATCATACTGCGTAACCATGTCAGCTGCTGAAAGTAAAAAATTTTCTCTCTCCAAAAATTTCCTTCTTACTCGTACAAGGCGGTGGAGACGGGAGGCAAGAGGGCATGGCGGGGCTGAAGACGAGGATCAAGGCGTCGGTTCAGGGAGGTTTCGAAGCTAGTGGCGGAAAGGTGATGAAGTCGTGAAGAATTTGATGTCGTTTGTAGAGAACCCAATCTCAAAGGAGCCAGCAACTTTGCAGCTAGACTATCTTATCGGCCCACTGAGAATTTTCAGAATCCGTCGAGGCCGTGAGGAGTCAAAAGCAAAAGCCCTGGACGCCAACGAATAATAGTAGAAAAGAGCACCCCGGGCCATGATGGGCTATCAGTGGGCGAGGCGGCCCATTCCCCGCCATCACTGGCACAGGCTATTGGATGCTCGACTACCCCTGTAGGTAGGTGCCTAGGTAGGTAAACCCCCCTCCTTGTGCCTGGGCGGGCAGCCCCTCTTTAACGGTCAAAGTTCAATAGGTGCTGGAGGGGGTTGTATGCACATCATTTGTCTGTCATGGTCCTCACCTGACCTCACTGGCCAACGTCTTCCAACCTCGCCTATGCAGAATGAAAGGACCGGACTAGAATCAACACATCTATACTCTTCTCGTCACCCCGAGGTACGCATATTGTGACACCGGGCAAACACCTTCACCAGCTCCAACTTGACGTGAGAAAAGTCATATCGAGTTAGGCTTCCCTCCTCTAAATCTCCGCCCGCTCCCGTCAATGCTTCAAACCTTCGAGCCAAACCACCAACCTCTTCTTGATGATCACTCCCACAAGCCGTCCGCTCCCCTCTTCGGTGACGCACAAATGCCTGACGCCTAGCTTGCTGAACATCTCCACCACAAATTCCATCGGTGCTTTGGCACAGATCGTCAATGGTGTCCGGTCTATAAACTGCGACAGGTCAAGCTCCCCTTCGTGCTCCACTTGTACTTCTGCACTAGCCACAGCAGGCAGAAGACGAACAACGCAGCCTGCCGGGAACGTCTGGCCCAGAGTCTCTAACCCGAACTCGAGTTCTCCTTGTGCGAGGTAGCCCTGTAGCATCGCTTTTTGGACAAGGACAAGCCCAGCGTCCATAAGACCCCGGCGGCGCAGCAGCTGCAGCTTCTCCGTCAGTAAAACACGGGGGACAATGCCGTTGTCAGGAACGTCCACCGTGATCTCGCGCATAGTCTGGGGAGGAGGAATTAGCTCCTCAACAAGATGGGCATCCTGCTGAACTAGCTTCATGCTGCTATCCAGGTCAAGGAAGGGATGCCCTAGGACGGTCTGTGCAAGATCATACACGCCCTCGTGCTCAAGAGCATCTGCCACCCATTTGGCAACCATGATACCGATCATGTTTGGCACGATGAACTCTAGCTCGCCTGTCAACTCGAACATGATGACCGCCAGCGAAATAGTCATTCGACTGACTCCAGCCAGAAAGGAACCGGCACCTACCATGGCGAAGATGCCAGGGGAGATAGAGTGCCGCAAGAAAGGCAGTTGGCCGATAAGCCTGCCGAAAAAGGCTCCGCCGTCAAGAGCGGGGATGATGATTCCCGAAGGGACCTTGATACCAAATGTTATAGTCGTCAGGACCAGCTTAACAAGCGTTCCGTACGCGAGCCAGCCCAAATACTTTGGCGAGGGTAAATCGGACCCTTCCTGCACGCAGACGTAAGATGTCCGTGAGCTTTCGTTGCAGTCGACCAGAAGATTCTTGATGATGACGTCGCCGGGTTCTCGAGCCAGAGGGTTGGGATATTGCAAAAGCGCCGTGGCGAGAACAACCAAAAACACCTCGAAAACCGGATAGTTCTTGATGATGCTGTATTTCCGAAACCTGCGAGACCAGAAGAAATTGGCCTTGCAAAAGATGCCTCCAAAGACTCCCCCCGCAGCACCCAAGACCACGAATACAATGTAATGATAGGGTCGATACGTAGTGCCGTAGTTGGTCTCAAAGAGCACAAGCTTACCGGTTCCCGTCGGATTGAGAGCTTTGAGTGTCATGCCGGCGAAGAGAGAGCATATAAATGCGCGCCAAAGCACTTTCCGCGGAAAGTATGTTGAGATTTCTTCGTAAGCAAACAGGACGCCACCAATAGGGGCGCCGAACGCGACCGAAAGGCCACTCGAGCAACCAGCAGCAAGAAGCTCTCGCAGCTTCCGACCATTCTCTCGATACTTGCGAAATCGGACTCCCACCAGGTATGCGACACAGGTGGAAATGTGGACGAAAGGGCCTTCCTTGCCCAAACACATGCCTGTCGACACGGCGAAAACAGACCCAACGGCCTTTACCACCAGAACGTTGAGGTCAAGAAAATGTGGAATGACAAAGCCGGATAGAATGGTCTTGATCTCGGGAATGCCACTCCCGGCGGCCATGTAGATTGACTTGCCAGCTGCTGTAGGCTTCAAGGTTTCGCGCTTCGCTTGATCGCTGTTTTTCTGCATTGGTCCACTGTCTCCAACGCCTGGAGCAGTTGCCGGAAGGGCTCTTCTGGTTGTCAAGGTGACTGTTCCACTGATAATTCCGAAGAGCAAGGCGAATCCCAGGTAGATTCCAAACCCATGCCAGTAATTCTCCGTCCAGTACTTCCAGTCGGAGCAGGTTGTACCCGTATCGGCGAGAGGCGTCAATGGGGATTTGGACGTACAGCAGAGCTCTTTACTGGCGAACGGATTGCTCCGGCAATATCCTGTCTTCCAGTCGCTGACGGTGGCAACGGCAATGTCCACGAGGAAAGCCACGCATGCCGTTAGAGTGCCAATAATTGCCGCTGCAATCCAGCCCTCACAGGAGTCGAAAAGCGCCATGAGTCCATTTCGGATACCTTTGCCGCTGTGTACGGCGCGGTATCTGTACGAGTCTTTGACCTGTGGAAAGGTCAGTTTCAGTCGGTCAACGGCGATGAAAGACTCTTACCAAATCATGGAGCCAGTCAATCGTCGTATAGTCATTGTAGGGCAGCCGTTCACCCACGGCGGTGTCGCCCAGCGCCTGCTCTTCTTTGCTGATGTGGGAAGAAACAATTGAAGCAGCGTCTGCTTCTCCAGCCAGGGAGTTCAACCTCCTGTCATGAGGGAGGAGATGTGTCCTTTCATCCAATTGCTCCTCATCCGCAGCCATATTTGTTGACGGAGCAGCATCGACGCTGCAGAAAGCTCCAGCCTCCCAGAGCGGACATGTTGACCGATGTCACACACAGGCTCTATCAAGAGCTATGACGCCGTGACCTGGAGATACGAAGCTGAGATCTGCATCTCCGGGGAACGACCAGATCTCAAGGGAGACCACTTAGAAGAGTAGATTCTGGGAAGTCCTGATAAGGTCGGTGCTGGTAAGTGATGCCCAGGACAAAAGGGCTGTAGATAAGGCTACGTCAAGATAAGGCACGCTGCAATCGCCTCCTCGGGGCGAAATCCACCGCAACACGTGATTCCGTCCGGTATACCTGCGATTTGCACGCCTAGCGAGCTAGGCACCCACTAGGCACCCACTAGGTACTCATAGAGCTGATGACGCAGCAAGACTAAACCAAGTTGGTATGAGAGGGGTACGAGGGGTCGAGGTGTGCTCGAGGTGCTGTAGCCACGGGGTAAACGGAGTATTAGACGGAGTATCTTGCTGGCATTGCATCGGAGCCGCCCAGTGTCTCTTCGTCAGGACATGCAGAAGTGACACTATCATGCCTCGCATCGCCTGACAAACTGCAGTAGTAGTTGGAGTATATCCCTCGCCTATTCTCTGGAAGAAGGAAGCATCAGAGCGGAGCAACCTGTTACGACGCAGCGCAACGGTCGCGAATGCATGCAGATGCACAGTTGAAGCAGGGCTAGACTGCATTGGTAAAAGGCCCAAACCAGACCCTTGAGCCCGCCCCTTCACTCGTGAGGGGTTCTGATAAATCGCCTCCCCGAGGATGATGGGAAAGGCAGAAGCAATAACCACCACCAAATAATGTCGGAACTCTCCCTTACGGATTGACTCATACTCGTTCATCGTTTTGGCTTACTGCATGCACCAGGGTCTGGGCTAGGTGATTGGACCAAAGGTTACCGGAGGAATTCCGAGTGTCCTGTCGTCCTCTGTGATGGTCCAGAACTTCACAACACCGGAGAAAGGAGTCCATGCTCGTACAGCATCGGCCGGCCGCAGCTGGCAAATTTTTCCGTCCATGTAGTTGAAAGTAGGTGCTTGGTAGCGCGACATTAAGGCAGTCTAAGCCTGGTGAGCCCACCAGCCCACCAGCTTTGGCACCACCGGCCCTAATGCTGCACCAGCTGCAGAGATCAGTGAATGGCCGCTACAAGGAAATGTGCTCGCGTGCTTTCTTTTACTCTCTCTTACCTGTTCCGTCTAGCCGAAAGTCAATCCGGTCCATCGGCGATTTGTGTCTGGTTGAGGGTCATTGTCAACCAAGGCTTCTGTGACGCCCCAGCGTATTCTTACTCATGATCCAGCGGAGCAGTGAACATAGCATGTATTTCATGTCAAAAGCAAAGTTACGGCCGTGGCAAGAATGAGTGAGGCTAGACGTAAGGCCTCTGTAGAACCCATGGCCCATCCAACACCGCCCGCTCAAGCCGAACAGAAACACGAGCAGAATACCCGTCCCATCCTGTCCTTGACACCCTTCATGCTTGCAAACATATAAACAGGATAAGTGCAAAGCCAATAACAAAGGCAGCGCTCAAGCCGCCGATCAGACCCCAAACAAAACTACGGCGCAGTTGCCCCTCGTGCACTATCAACAGCGAATCCGAGTCGGATGATTCGACGGAGGCAGTTTCTTCATCATACAATAATGGTGTCGTCTCGCTTGCAGGCTTGGCCCCTCCATTTAGAGACTTCAGCGGCCACCAGGACTTCAAGGTGGCCCACGCTTGGGACATCACTGGGAAAGCAGGCTCGTTGGGATCCACGTAGATTGCGTAGGAATCCTGAGGATTGACATCGGAGTCGCCATCGTCAAACTCATTCCAGTATCTCCCTTGAGACGCAGCCGGCTCAGGGACGACAATCCGTGCTCGCTTCCGTGATTTTCTGCTCGACGGGGATTTCACCTCGGCAGGCGAAGTCACTGTCTCAGTGGCTCGAGCTTCATTGGACGTAATAGAGGACTGTCCATGGGTAGCTGTAGAGAAGAGACTGTCTGCATGGCCTTCACTTGAGGATGGGCCCGAGGACGTCCCACTCATATCGCTTGCGCTGACCCTGAGTCGATTGGCGGTTTTGAGCCTAAAGTAGTGGCTGTTCTCACCAACAGTGGGAAGGGGCAGCTTGGTGATGTCCTTTTCCAGTAGCGATTGCCAAGATGGCGAGGGGAGATCTGTCTGAACGGTGCGAATGGCCATGTCTTCGAGGGTAAAATCGTAAACTCGGTACACCAAATGCGAGTCGTCCAATGCGCGTACGACGGCAGGTGTCCGTGCGAATTCCCAACGGATATGCAAGGTGGCATGTGGGAAGGTGTTACTGGGCTGGAGCAAAGGTTGTACCTCCCCGAGGTGGTGCATGTCCACCGCACCAAAAGTGATCGAGGTGTCGAGGGTCGCCCAATTCGCGACGTCGGCAGTGTTGGTCATACCAGAGTAACGCGTACGATGTGTTTGTACTTCGGCCAATGGTTTGACATCCCGGTGCTCAACGAGATATCGCTGAATGGTGGTCGCTTCTCTTGAACCACTGGAAAGACGCGAGTCCCGGTCTAAAGCAACGCCAAGGTCTTCGCGGTCGAGGATAAGGGCCCTTTCACCGGATGAGGTGGGTGAGAGCCCGGCGAGAGTGACCGCGGCGTCTTTATCGCGGGTCCAGTATGCGCTCAAGGCTATCTTCGAGGGCCTAGCAGAGCTTTGGTCTTTGACGAACCTCTGGGCATTGTCAAAGAAGACCATATGAGTGAGACTACTATTGGAGGCACTAAAAGATGTGTATCTCGGCGACTTCAGTGATCCATCTGAGCTCGTGCGTGAAGGGGTAGGAGCGAGAGAGTCATCCTTCTTCATGTGTCTCTGGACCAGGGCACGGGCCTCATCGAGGTTATCTGGATGGATCCAGTAGAAGGCGCTGCCGGCGGCCTCGCCATATGGAACCGTCATGATGGCGGCATCAAACGCCGACGGGGCCTGGTTGAGAGCACTATTGATTTTGGCGATAGGGGACCGCAGGCTGGACGCCGAAGTTCTGGTTTGCTGTTGAACGGTGGATTGTTCTTGTTGATGCCTTGGAAGCGGTGGGGTGGCCATTTTGTCGGCCAGGATGGCTGTCTGTTCAGCCAGTTCTTGAAGATAATCCGAATAGTCGGTCTGCAGTTGGTTGGAGGAGAAGACCTCGACATCCATGCGAGTTTGCAATGTGGTCGAACCTGTCCATTTCGTGTACTTCTTGAGGATCTTGCGGAAAGCGATCTTCTGTGCCGAAGCGAAGCGCGCGACCTTTTGGATGAGGTCCCCAAGCTCTTCGCATTCCTGGGTGAGTCTTCGATACTTGCGACCGCGGGCACTGGCGACAGCATTGCCTTCCAGAGCCTTCTCGTCGGCAAATGTCCGGAGCATTGCAATCTGCTTTTTGAGAGAGCTCAGTCTTCGGTCAATTTCTCCCCGCTTCATCCGCAGAAACAGAGTGACGTTGTCATACTGGTCTCGCAAGTGATCGAGCAAGACCTTGTCTGTTTCCTCCCATCGACTTCTGCCTTGCACGGGGATTTCCACCGGGCCGGTCAGATTGGCGGATGTCCGCTGTTTGATGAGCTGCTTCATGCCATTGTAGTTGAAGTTGTATGGCGCCCATTGGGGGACCGACCTCTGATAGAAGTTGTCACCGAATTTCATGGCGACTACCGACGCTCAAGTCTGGGGGGGAGAACCACCGAGCACTCTATGACGATCCTCACGACGAGGTGAGTATGTGGCTGCAGGAATAGCTCCGAGGTGGCAGTTGGAGCACATATATTTTCTTCCCTTTTCAAATGACCCGGGCTGATTGTTTCATGGTAGGATGGAGGTGAGATGGAGACCGGCGGTCAATGGATTGGGGCGGGGTACCAATGGGAAATAAATTGAACGTAAATGTTTTAGCACGAGCAAACGAGAAAGGCAAAATTATTATTTCCTGCACCGAGTCCAGTACTGGATAGCCGCTTGCCTGGTCAGTAATGGTAGGTAGAGAGAGAGAGAGTTGCCAGGAATCAAAGTGGCTTGGTCCCCAACAATGATAACCTTGCGAGTTGGGGCACAGCTGGCTGGCTTGGGCCCTTGGCTCGCTGGGTTCCCGCCATCCCCACCTGTATAACTGTGCAGGCGCCGTGGATCCCTAGGCTCCGCCCCTCAGCGTCTGTTCACGAAACAGGTAGGAGCAAACTGCCAGGACTGAGATAAAGTTCCGTCAAATGCTCGACTAGCATCGAGCCCAAGTTGTCATGACTGAAAAACCACAATAGCACCTAGTAGCACCTATTCAAGCATATCCGGAATGTTTCACTGACTGGCATGACCCGGCTTCATCCATGTCCAGCTGTGTCAGTCGGACACTTGGCGGTCGGTTTCACTTCAATTTGGACATTGATTCCGGACTGTGCCGTACGAGCAACGAACGAGACTAGGTACTAGGTATGTGAGGAAGCCTTCCAGGACCAGTCACAACACTCGGCACTAACTGCAAGCTGGGCGCCGTTACATTATTCGCACTGTGATGCTCAATTGCCAGTTGCCTATTGCCCCTCGTGCGAGAGCCCGCTTGCATCTGTGCCTTCGATTGGCTATGTTAAGGGGGGACAAGTACTTTTTTCTCTCTTTCCTTCTTGCCTCGTACTGGATCAACTGCACTAAGCAAGTATCTACCTGGTAAGCGGGCAAATTGGTATTGGAGAAGTAAAAAACTTTTTCGAAGCGACATGCATGGGACCCAGCCACGCAATGATTTCACACCATGTGAAAGAATGGAAAGAATGGAGATCCGCAGAAACCCATTCAGGCCACCTCCTCCTCTCCCCTCCTCCGCACTGACCTCATCCAACATTGTGCTGCTCGAGATACCGCCAGAGCGTGTCAAAAGCCAAAAAGAATCATGTCGTATTTCTTGTGTCGGCGGATGACCGAGTGCTGAGTGCGACTAAAGGAGTGCCTACCTACGCGTGTGTGTTTCCAAGGCCCAAGTGGCTGGGAAGATGATAACTGAAACTTTATCCACAGCCTTTGATTTCTTCAGCTGCAGCTCTTAACGGAGTAGTCCGTACTAAGCCCACAAGAGGAAAAGCCCTGTAGACGCTCTGTAATAACGCCGCTAGAGATGAGCTGCAGAAAGCCTCGGGGCACCAAACAGAATACCAGGGATGTTTACGCAGAACATACCTCCCCTGTACCTCGTAGACTCGGTAGTGCCAGCGACCTTCTTTGCCCGACTCGTCCAGGTATGTCCCGCCGGACGCCCGGGTGCCCGTGGAGTGCCTACGAGCAAATCAATAATTAAAACTTGCGCACTACAAGCATTGTGCGACGCCTCCACTCATACCTCGCACTCTACTTCGAACAAATTTTCCCACACTTTTACGCAATACCCAGACTTCTCCACCCATTTCATACCTAGGGAGGTACCTAGGGTTGTGTACCACCGCCCATCTGCACCTAAACCTTAAAACCTATCTAGCCATTTGCCTTTCGCGGCTCTTGCCGCATATGAAAAAAAAAATATTTGCTTCACGATCTGACGGCAAACCACAGTACCGAGTACCCAGAAACGGTGTCCTAAGTGTGCGGAGTGCCTTTTAGTATTCTTGCAGCCTTGCGGACATGTAGTGGCTGGCGGCGCTGCCTGTCATAATTGTTGTTGCTGCGATAGACAACACAATGGCTGACTCTGGTGGGCTTGTCACCACACTATCGACTTCGACCCAGTCCTTCCTCCAACCTTCATCCTCTCTCCACTCCGAGGTCTTGGCCTATGTGAAAACGATTCTGGACCCTCTGGCTGCCAATGTCGCAGCTGCGCAGAAGTCGAGGCGAGACGTCAACAGGAAAAAGAGAAAGCGGAGTGATGTTGAGCGAGAAGAGGAGGTTTTGCAGTTGCGTCAAGTTTATACGGATGGCCTCGGGGTAAAGCAGGTATGGGAGCAGACGAGAAGGATCTTGGATGCTTCTTGTAAAGAGACAGAGAGGGACATTGCTCTTCACAAAACTCGAGTGCAGCCAGAGTCGCAGGAGCAGATCGCTAGCAATGGCCACGACACGGATGAAGTTGAGGCTTCGCATGGGTCAGAAGATGAGGATGAAGATGAGGTGTTCGACGACGAGGACATGCAGGACGACGTGCTAGAGGACGAGGACCTCGATGAAGAGGACAGTGCAGAAGAGTTTGATGATCTCGAAGATGTTGAGGATGCCGGGACGGGAGATTCTACGTCTGAAGCCGATCAAGAGGATCCCGGAACATATGTGCAAGACCCAAATGGTCTCAACGATGGCTTTTTCTCCATCGACGACTTCAACAAGCAGACCCAATTTCTCGAGCAGCAGGATGTTCGCGGTGAAGACGACAATCCGAGCGATGAGGATGAGATCGATTGGGATGCAGACCCCTTAACCATGGCTTTCCACAAACCGAAGGCGACTTCTGCCAGCCAAGACAGGGAAGGAAAAGGCCTTTCGGATGTTGAAGAAGAATCAGACGAAGAAGACGGCCCAACGTTTGGGGACGCCGACCTCAATGCCGAAGATACCGACGACGATATGATGAGCCAGGGCGAGGAAGCTCTCGACGCCGGCGTCGACGGCCTGCAAAACACCAATGAGGTTCGCTACTCCGATTTTTTCGCGCCTCCGCCCAAGAAATTATCAAAGACAACGCGGATGCGGGCATTACCGAAGACTCAACCGACTAAGCGACCCCAAGCCCCTGATGAGGACTTCGAGGGCGATATGCAGCGAGCAATTTCAGATGTTCGACGTGACCTTCTTGAGTCAGAGGAAGAAGATTCTGACTTGGAATCCGGAAGTGATATGGAAGGCGTGAGAAGGTCAAACCAGAACATGTCTACGCATGAGAAGCAGCGAGCAGCCATCGCAGCTGAAATCCGCCGCCTTGAGGCAGCCAACGTGGCTAAAAGAGACTGGACACTCTCGGGAGAAGCACGCGCTGCAGACCGCCCACTCAACTCTCTGATCGAAGAAGATCTAGAGTTCGAACGAGTTGGTAAGCCTGTGCCCGTAGTCACCGCCGAAGTTTCGGAAGGCATCGAACAATTGATCAAACGACGCATTTTGGCTCGGGAATTTGACGAGGTTGTTCGCCGCCATCCTGACAGTCTGGGCGCCGCCAACCAAACGCGCAGAGGCCGAGTGGAACTTGATGACACGAAGCCGCAGTCTGGCCTTGCAGAAATTTATGAGCAAGACCATCTCCGTGCTACAGATCCAGGCTACGTCGACAGGAGGTCCGCGGCGACGAAGAAACAGCACGAAGAGATCTCAAGGCTGTGGAAAGAGGTGTCAAGTCAACTGGATCTCCTGAGCAATCTACATTTCAAGCCCAAGCGGGTGGAAGTTGAGATCAAAACAGTTGAAGACAAACCCACCATCAGCATGGAGGATGCAAGGCCAGTTGGAATGGGTATCAACGCGGAAGAAAGCATGCTTGCACCTCAGGAGGTGTATCGACCTGGCGAAGAGACGAAGAACAGGGGCAATCTGGTTGTTCGCAAAGGGGGCGCAAGTGTAAGCAAAGAGGAAATGACACGAGAAGAGAAATTGCGCAAGAGAAGAAGGGAGAAGGAGCGGATGAAGAAAGCACAAGGAAATACATTGACTTCAGGGTTTGGTACAAGTGCCAGAGGTAGAGACGGCGGCGTCAAGAAGTCGAAAGCAAAAACCAAAGAGCAAGAAAAGGCGGACATCTTGTCTGAGCTCCGCAAAGGCAACGTCAAGGTTGTTGGAAAGAAGGGAGAATTGCAAGACCTCGGCGGCAAGAAAGGGAGCAGGGGAGGGATCCCTGCTGGCGGCGCATTGGCAGGAGGAGCCTTGAAGTTGTAGTTTTTGCTCCCGCATGAGTGAGTTGGTGCTCGTGATGCTGGTCATCCATCACTGATATACCAAGCACCCTATCCAATATACACCTAGGAACCCAGAGTACTTTCCCCCCCACCGCAAAAATGGAGTGCGGGTCATGTCCGGCAAACCAATGTCACTTTCACACCTCGCGGACAATATCATCAACCTTATTAGACTTGCACTGATGCGGCGTACGGACCCTAATCTTTGACTTGGTTTACGTTGGAGCAGTTCTTGTACGATTTCCTTCAAATATGGGTATAGAAGAGCAGAAAGAAGAGCGAGAAGTGCTCGAGTCGATTTTCCCGGACGAGATCACAGGTGCGCACTCCCAATTGACAACAAAGATATATGGACAGAGTGCCTAATACCGGCCTTCATTTTAGACCTCTCAGACTCGTCATATCGGATATCCATAACACTAGACCTCCCCAGCGAGGGACACGACGAAACACTTGACCCTCCGGTCCTCCTGCTCAACGTCACCTATCCAGAAGCCTACCCTGATGTTGGTCCTCATTTAGACATTACATCGCCTCCCAATGCCCCCAAGCATCCGCAACTCGACATCGCCGAGGACAAGGCGCAACTGCTCGACGCTCTACAGCCCACGATAGAGGACTCGCTCGGAATGGCCATGGTGTTCACACTGGTCACCACTCTCAAAGAAGCCGCAGAGGTGTTGATTTCCGACCGGATTCGGCAGGCGGAAGAAGTCAAGGAGGTCGAGGCCCGACAGAAGGAAGAGGCGGAGAACCGCAAGTTCCACGGCACCTTGGTCAACAGGGAAAGATTCCTGGAATGGCGGGAGAAGTTTCGCAAGGAGATGGAGGAGAGGGAGCGCAGGGCGCGCGAGGAAGAGGAGGCCGAGGATAGGAAGAAGAAGGGCGGCAAGGTCGAGGAGAAGAGATTGACAGGGAAGCAGCTGTGGGAGAGGGGTCTGGCTGGGAAGGGTGACGAGGAAGACATTGACGGAGAGGATGCTGTCGCGGCCGTTGAGAAGCTCAAGGTGGACGGCTGAGCGATCTCTTGCATTTAGAAGAGGAAGAGGGTCGGTATCTTATCACCTTTGACTGCTCAGAAGGGGGACAACTGGAAGGCTATGAACGACTCTATGACGGTCCCAAGGATACACAAGCTGGTGAATGCTAGCTTCCATTTCTGTCTACACCAAAGGATTGAAAATACCTTCTACGGAAAGGGTTCAGCTCATCGGCCGTATAACCAGCGCTGGTTGTCGAAATTCCCTCTCGACTAACACACCCGGCAATTTGTACCTCTGAATCGAAGGTCCAAGGCAGTCTCTCATACACCAACAATCTCCGGCTCCACTTGTTGAATCTCTGGATACACTCGTGTTTCAGTTTGAGGTGCCGATGCGTCGGTATGGTGGTGACTTCTTCCTCGCCGAATTCGTTCTCATTCGCGCTCGGCATCCAGAACGCGATGCGGCCCCTATCAACCAGCGTTCTGGCGGCGAAGTCAAGGATGTCGTCAAGCATGCGCGTGAAGGAATAGGGCTTCTTTGGCGGTATGTATCCAGGCAGCGTATGCGCCGGGACACCGTTGATCAAAACTTCTGTCAGCGGGTTGGAAGTCTCCGAATGACTGGAGCCTTCGCTGTTCATATCGGCTGTCTCCATACGACTTTGCCTCGACTTCGTTCCAAGCACCTTCAACCCTTCACGCACGCCATACGGAGGATCACAAACAATTCCATCCAGCCACCGGCCATCGGTCGACTTGAGCACAGTCGTAGCGCAGCGAAACGGTGTGTTCGTCAAATCAGAAGTCAGACAGTCTCCGAACAAATGCGTCAAATCGTACTTTTGAAAGTTTGCTCCGACCCCCTGATCCAGCCCGAGACCTTTGCCGCGGAAACTGCGGCCATCGATGTCTGATCCTAGAACGACAGCTCCTAGCTCTGCAGCGGCAATCATGAAGCCTCCCGTGCCCACAAAAGGGTCCAGGAAAAGTTTCCCAGGGCTTGCCAGGGCCATGTTTGCGGTCAGCAGCGCCAACTCTGCGTCCATCGAGGTTGTCGATATGTACGGCCTCTTTTTGAGGTCATGCTTCTCCTTTAGCCAGCGACATGAATCGCCAATCTTGCGGGCGAGGAACACTCTTCTCAGACTTGTGCCTGCTATCTTGTCGATGGCCGCCTCAGAGGCTGGCGCGTTTCCTTGGGTTTCGCTCGACAAGGTCAAAGGAAGCCACTCTTCCAGGACGGCGAACTCCACTTCCGGGTGCTTCATCTTGATCTTGCCCTGGAGATCAAGGTATCGAAATGAGTTGATGATCTGTCTCTGTTGGTCGACGTCCCTCGTGCTACAGTAAGAATCCACCGAGAACTTGAACGATACATGGCGATAACGGTCCCAGAGGTGGTGACTCCTCCGTTCCACATCCGCGTGAAGTTCATCATAATCCCGCCCCTGTCCCCATATCTCGTAAATGGACTTTGAGAGGATGGAGCGGCTTTCAAAATTCCTGATTCTCGCCTCGAGGCTCTCGAAAGAGCCGTCATCCACCGCTCTTAGACCATTTTCTTCCCCATCATGTGTATCGACGGCAGGAGCAAACCTCACCACACAAAACGGTGAAGTCTCGGAATAGGAAACGATCTCATAGGGCAGTCCAGCAAGCGTCGAAAGCGCCTCGATCTCAGGCCGTCGGAAACTTTCATGTGCCTGGACAAACCGAATGAGGTATTCCATGATGAGGTCCAGTGATCAAATGATAAATTATCGCCATGGACGCTACCAGAATAGACTGCAGCCTGACCGGTAAAGGAGCCGAAGTTGAGGCAATGCAGTGTACGAGGCAGGCTGAGATGATTCCAAGTTGTTCATCCGGTTGAAAAATCCTACAAGGCAGAATTTGGCCGCACTCCGTCCGACTGTGGATTTGAGTCACGTCGAAAATAGGTGCGTTCCAAGTTGTCTGACTGAAAGGGCTCCTTGTCATTTTTCAGTCATTTGAGATATATATGGCCTGGTGGCCTGTCATTATATTAATATGACGATACTCGTAAGCCGTAAACATTCTGTCAGGCAAACCGTGTGACTCAACCTCGGATGACACTTCTGATATCCCTTCTTGGCAGACTGTATATCTATCAGCCTTGAGCATTCCTTATAAAACGCAATCGCTACTGTCCCACCCACTCTTATATCTCCATCCTTTGCATTCTGTTGCGTCTGAGTGTGTTTGTGTGCATGTATAGAATATACACGGGCCGCTTATAGATTTCCCTTATCTCCTTTATAGCATCAGCGTATCTTTTACGAGATAGTCCATCCCTCCTCAAAACACTTCTAAAAGCAATGTCCGACGATGTCCCCCGCCTCATCCACGAATCTCGATCCCACTCGTCGTCCCAGCCAAACCGGGACCGGGACTTCTCGTCGTCCTGCCCCTTCTGCGCCATTGGGAGCACCTACTCCCCTCTGCCACCTCTGTCCTCACCGGAGACTATGGCCAAGGCCCTCGACCCGGAACAGCTCGACCCGCCATCCTTCGTGCTCTACTCGAGCGAGCACGTCATTGCCTTTTTGGACATTATGCCCCTGACGAGGGGGCACGTGTTGGTGGCACCGCGGAAACATCGTGTCAAGGTCGGGGATTTGAGTCCCGGCGAGGGCGCAGAGGTATGTACCGAGTATTTTTTTTGTTTGGAGACTACCCGTCGAATTGAACATTGCCCCGAGCCGTCTTGATGGCCATCTTCATCGTACTTGGGAGCCATGGTTTATATATAATGGGGTGCTTTTTTCGGGGATCTATTCCCGTCCATGGGGAATCTTGCAGCCCTGCTTTGATTTCGACCTGTTCACACGACGGTTTCAGGGTGGGCTAAGGTTCACATTGAACATTCACAGATTGGGAGAGTCCTGCCCCTGCTCGCGCGATCGGTCATCAAGGCTGTTCTCCCCGACATCCCGCACGAGAGTGCCGACTATAACGTCGTGCAGAACAATGGTGAGCCCGTTGCCCGAATCCCCCCCTTTTCTGACTGTTCCATCCCTTCAATTTATCACCCCAATCCGAAAAACTGAGACATTTCCCCATCTCTCCCTCATTTCTAGGCCCCGGCGCCGCTCAAGTAGTGCCGCACGTACACTTCCACATTGTCCCCCGCCCCCCTTTGAACTACACCTATCCCCAAGTTAGAAGCGGCCCAGCAGCGTCGTCCTCGTCGGCGAAGAAATACCAACCCAACCGCCAACCCTCGGGCCGTCAAGCCGCGGCCATCCTGTTTGGGAGGGGCATGCGCGAGGATCTCGACTACGATGACGCCGCGCTTCTGGTGGAGGATATGAGGGCGGCGATCAGGGAGGAGTGGGAGAAGAGCCTTGGGACCTCGAGGGAAGAAAGAGGACGGGCGGCGAATGCAGAGACGGTGGAGGGGACGTCGGGTTCGGGAGGCCCGAGCAGTGCTGGGGGAAGCGAAAAGGGAGACGGAAATGGTAGACGTCTGGCCTGGAAAGTCTGACAAGATCTGTCTCTCGCCAGAGCTCTGTGTCCTCGTCCCAATTGCGGGACCCCTTGATTTCCAGCCTTGGATCCCCTTGAAGGACATGCACAAATCGACTCGACTGGACCGTTTCAGAATCGACATCCTTGCTCACAAACCACCAAAATGTGGCCTACCGAGATCTTTGCCTCAGATGTAAGGCTCGCACATGCTGGGGGATTGAGATCTGGATTTCAATAGTCAGGGCTTTGCCGAAACCGCTTCAGCAGACCTGATAGACCGACACTGGCGAACCTCACCCTACAACGGTCGGCAGGCTTTGATCCCGACTGTCTTTTTCCGTAAATCGGATCAGATAGTCGTTCGAAAACAACCGCCAGTGTGCTCAATATGCGTGTCTCGAAGCAATTCGGCATGTCCCCTTCCTCCTCCCCCCATCCGCTGCGAGGTTGTCTTCGACCAATACCACAGGATTGAGTGATGATATGTCATGTTCATCAGCCGGCCATCCGACGAGTTCAAACGAAGCCTGCCCATAAAGCCCACATCATCTGTTCGTCTCCCTGCGTCCCTGCTGTCTGATTCCCTACAAACTGGGGCGCTGTTTCTTCGTCCCAAACGCGTGGCAATCAAGCCGTTTAGTTCGCAAACAAAACCAACATGCCCACCCACCACGAACAAGACCATCCCCGTTCTCCTCGCATATAAAGACCATGGCTCCTACGCCATGGATATGTGCCTCAGATCTGCATAGTCACAAAAGCCCGACACCCACCAAGATAAACCCTGCCCCCGCCCCTGAGACTCCAGCTGCCAGACAAAACACATTTCTTTCCAACTTTTCCAATCTTCTGTTTCCCCTTTCTCGCTCCACATAGGTAAACTCTCCCGTCGGGCGATGAACATGGACGACGACCGAGTATCCCGCTCCGACCTCCAGCAGCACCACACACGACTGCCCGTGAGCATCCAAGTCGAACTCGACCCGCAAGCGCGCGTGGGCGTGCAGGTGCAGGTATCCGTCGTCCATCGGCGCAGCGCGCATCATCAACCACGTGCAGACACGGGGTCTGCTGCATCAACACAAACAACTCCAGGCTCTCTACCACCTGCAGGCCGCCGCGCCCGTGCGTCGTCGTCGTCGTCGTCGTCTTTAACCGATCCTGAACCTGCAGGCAGATGCACCGGCAGCGGCAGCGGCGCCAGCAGCACATCTGACGAGCAAGTGGGGACAGCTTCAGCATCCCACCGGGCGCAGACTCAGAATTGGAATCAAGACCAACGTGAAGGTCAATCTGGCCCAGACCCGGGTGACTATCAAGCCCTCGCCATGGCCCAATTCGAAGCCGAACTCCGCGCTGCTGCCGCTGCCGCTGCCGCCACCGCCGGCAAAGGACGCTTTTCAGATCCCACAGCGTGATTCCCTTTGTGATCGAGGACGCCAACTCGTAATCGGGGAGGAGTGAATGAAGCGTTGGATGGATGATGGGGATGAAAAGGTGGAGGTGGAATAGGTGGTTCTATCCCAAGAAAAGAAAAGTCGCTTCGCTTCCCTTGCTTTACCTTGCCTGGATTTGACACTGTAGGAGTATGAGTAGAATCGCAATGGTATCGGACGCAGTCAAAGCGTCGTGCAATCGACGGCGCCTGGGTTGCTTTTGACAGACTCCAGCAATAAACAATCGATCGCTATCACCAAGTCAGAGTCAAAGCGTTAGAGGATGTACAAAGGGAGGCAACAACGGAAGATCTCAAGTGCAGCCAAACCGTGCGAGGGAGTCAACGATCGACCAGGAAAGTTGTCAATGCAAATACAGTTGCAATTCTGATAGCCATGACGGCCTGACGTATCTAGGACCTTGACCCAGAAACCATGAGATACAGGCATGGACAAAGAACACGCCACCGCTGCCGCTCGATAAATCCAAAGAGCACAACCCAGTTTTCACCTCGTTTCGTATCCAGCCCCTTTCTCTCAGTCACGACCTCCTAGTTTCGGCCGATGCAAGGAATTCAACTCAAACAACTCAATGCACGCAAGAGACAGATGTCAACCTTGTAGAGTCTCCTTTTCAATAAGCAATAAACGCCATGTTCGCCTGCCTCGCCAGTCAATCAAGCCCCTGTCCATAACGCAAACCTATCCACAGGTCGAACGCCCTTGCAGTGTCACAACAAAAGTTGGAAAAATGCACCAACGGAGATTATTTTCCCAAGTTCTTAGTTGAGAAAATACTTGTCATCGCTCAATGCCAGGTACGCCGGTGAGAGTTCGCTGTGACTGGAGGTTTGCTGTGTGTGGTCAGAAGTGTTTCGGTTTTATCGATATGATGGTAATGATGCTGGATGCTAATCTATGTGCCGATATCGTTTTCAATCGTCGTGGTGATGGAGACATGCAAAGCATAGCCCTTTGAAGAGGGCTGCCCGAAAATTCGTCGTGTACGACCTCCCAGAAAGATCAAGCCCAAAGGATCTTGCGTCGTATTGATGGCAAGTTGACAAGCTATTGTTCAATCTTGGCATCGGGGAGTGTCAAGCCACCAGTTCGGCGGCTGGCACCATAGTCCTTAGCCCATTTCCTGGCCAAAATTGATGCTAATCCCACATTAGCATCAGCTCGACGGCGACTTGCGTACAGAACCTGGACTTACCCTTGAGGAACTTCTTGGACGCATACTTCTTGAACAGCGCTTCATGTGCAACCGGGGCTTCGAGATAGCTGATCATGAGGTCGAAGACGGGCAAGATCTCCTCCTCGTTGTAGCCAGCGAACTTGGTCAACGTCGCGTCCTGGAAATAATTAGAAAGAGATTCAGAATCGACAGCATTGGAGCACATACCCATCCACCACGCTCGAGTATCGTGCGAGCAAGGTACATGGCGGCAGCCGCAATATGGCTCTGCTTGTATTCCAAGAATCGGTGGTCCACCAGACTGATTTCCATCAAATACTTTCCCAGTGTGCGAGTCTGAATGTCGTAGTTATCGGCCTTTGAGATTCTTCTCAGGAAGTTCATGGGGTTGGGATAGCTGAGATCGTATTTGAGTGTCGACAAGGTGTACCTCTCAGCACTCAGAACCTCTTCAATTGTGAAGCCATCGTCGGCGACGTGAACGAAGTTGCCAACGTGAGGCGAAAGGACTTCTTCGTACTTGGAAGCGATGAACATAGCAGTAATGCCCACGAGCTGGAGCTTGTCGAGAGGGACAACCTTCTGGGAGAGAAAGCGATCGACAATGTTGACGGCCAGGAACAACGTTTCGGGCAGAAGCCTAAAGCGGGTATGCACCTCGATCAACCAGTCGACGAGGATGCCTCTCATCTTCCACTCGAGATCGTCTTGATGATCCATGTAGTTCGGGTTAGGCTGCGTGGTGTTTTCCAGGGCGAAGTAATATTCGAAGATCTCGCGGACGTATTCGGCGCACATGGAAGGGTCGTCCAAGTCTTCGGCATCCAGGTCGGCAACAATGTCAGAAATATCTTCAGTCTGAGCTTGGGCTTCTTCGACGGCTTCCTCGGTGCAGGACTTCTTGCGAGGAGGCTCGTCGACGTCAGGAGTGACATCTTTCGACGAAGGCGCGGTTGATGTGGAAGCTTGCGTCCGTCTCTTGCCAGTGTTTCCGAGGACACCAGAGCCACTCCCTGGTTTCTTGACTTCGGCCGAAGAGACTTTGGGTTTGGCATTGTTGTCTTTGACGCCGAGGGCGGCCCTGGAGGAGTTGGTTCGAGAGAGCTTCTGGACGCCGCCGGTTGCTGGCTGAGCGACCTTTGACTGCAATCCGACTTTGCTTGCCGTCGCCTTCTTCCCATCCAAAACCACATCTACACCTTTTGCAGCATTGGTCACGTCTCCTAGCGCACGGCGTCTGGTGGTTCCATTCAGTGTACCTCCTGCGGACTTCTTGGTTTGCAGAGGCTTCTTCGCAGCAGAGGTGGTGTCTTCGGTGCTGGCTAGACCGGCGGCTTTTGCTCGAGTCAGACGGGTGTTCTGAGCAACCGAGTTCTCATCGTTTTCGTTATTGACTACTCGTTGGCGAGTACGAGCCTGCCGGGAGGTTAGCGTTGAGTGAACGAGATGCATGGATGATAATATATCATATGGAGCAGGAAGACTCACGACAGGCATCTTGTTTGTTTGACGCCGTGATGGCGAGGACAGAGACAAAAGTAGAGGTCACGGGTAAAGGAGAGAAGCCTGAAGTGTTCGAGGCACGACTGAGGGATGCGAGTTCTAGACTGGATTAGCAACGGGTGCGAAAGAATCCAATATGATTGGGGAATGACGCACGAGCTTTTCTCGACGTGTCTGGACGAGTTGCAATCTCGACAGAAGGCTATGCAGTTTGATCGAAGGCGTCGTTGAGGATTCGCAGAGACACCACGTCGTTCTCGAATGAATTTTGATCCCAGTATGGTCTGCCGGTGTTGACGAGGCTGTTAGGGCGCGTTGTTGTCTGAGCAAGCCAACCCCGAGTGGCACGCGCAGGACGTGAGGATCGGTGGGAGCTGAAGGAAGACGGATGTCAGAGACAGTTGAGGGACAAACAAGATGCAGCTCGAAAGACAGAAGAGGATTTCTCAAAGGACAACATGTGGAAGTGTGTAGTGGTGGTGGTACAGGCACAACTACAGGTACAAGTACAAGTAGTAACAAGCTGATGGATGGAGGTTCAGAGGTCGCAGAGGTGCTTGGAGTAGCGCCGGTGGAGCTCCTGTTGTTTTTGCTTGGCACCAGATGATGGACGGGGCCGAATTTTGCAGGCGATGGAGCTACGGCGCGCGCGCTGGTGGGCGTCGCGGTGGCTCGGGTTTGAAGTTGGGTGCGGGGTGGAGTGTAACAACAGTTTGAGTTGAGCACTCGGCGAGTGTTGTGACCAGCTACCTGGGTACGTACCTTTTCTGTCCTGAATCCTCAAGAGCAAAATGTAAAGGAACTGTGATGCAGACCTGAAGATGTCGCGATCTAACCTCGTACCGAGTGCAAAAAGAAAAGTCAACAAATGAAAGCTCAATGGCGGAGTAAGAAGGACGAGTTAGGCGGGAGAAAAGTCATCTGTTGATGGGGGAACCTGAGGGAGCTGGGGCTGGGCCGCCGTTACTGCACGTAAGTCGCGCCTGGCGTTGTTTGGGCCGAAGCTGCAAAAGGCGCTTCCAACTCGCTGCTTCTGCTGCCACGGCAACCAGCTGGAGGCGACCTGAAGGCGACCTGAACAATAATAATTCGACTAGACTATCTCGGTCGACACTATCTGATAATTCACAACCACCAGCTTCACAAGCCCGCAGAAGAGCACCGACGTGTCCTATTACCTATGTACTCGTACGACTCAGATGAACTCGGCGTCTACCATGCATGGGAAGACTGTGCTGTACGAGTACTTGATACTACAAACTCACTGGAGCTTTCATATGTCGATGCGACTTCTCTTGATGCCATCCTTCCCGTACCCTGACTCTACTTCCCAGACGCAAAGTTGCGTTGAAACACAGCCTTGACATTCCCGTCCACAATGACTGCTCCTGGGACTTCTTTATGGTGGATCAATCTTCCATCTGTCTCACCTGACTCCCACTGGCCCAGAAGATCGTTGCTCTCCTTTGGCTTGACATCCGGCCTGGCCGTTCCTACCGTGATATGTGCGATTGCGTTGGCACTCCGCCACGAGGGTCCCTCAGCACCAGGATAGATGCGTACAACAAATGCCATGATCCGGTCGTCCCACACGACGCTTTCCAGCTTGACTCGTGCTTGCCCGAGAGTGGGCGCCAGTTCGTTCTTGTTCTTGAGATCTTTGCCAGCCATGGCTTTGCGATATTCTTCCTGATACATTTCCCACAATCTGGGATCTTGGCTAGCTGATGCCCGATGGATCAAGGTCACATGAAATTCATTCTGAAGGCGCCGCGACTGCTTCAACATGCGGTACATGCGGGCTTCTTCGGCCGAAGCATGCTCGAACATGGAGGCCAGAATGGATTCAATGTTCTTTGCCGGCACGGATATGCTGAAGTATTCAAGCTTGCCCATCAGTTGGTCTAACGTCAGTGGCTTTTCCTCTTGCGGGTTTGGCACGGTCGTTTTCTGCTTGTGAGCCCTCTCCCCATTCGTGGGCTTGCCAAACGAGAGATCGTGTTTAGTCGTGACTTCATTGCCCATTGCATATTCAATCGCGGCTTGCATGTCCTCATCACTGGGCATTTCTTCCGGCAGCAGTCCCGGGTAAGCGTTGTAAAGATGGGTGATGACTGTCTCCAGGTTCTCCAGAGAGGACGCGCAGACGTCCAAATCGATTACTTCGTCAAAGTCGGCATCCGGCAATGCGCTCCTGTCGCAGCCCTGAAAGCGATCCAAGAATCCTTCCATGATCCCAATAATCTCCTGTGGACTTTTGCTCCCTGCTCGAATAGTTTGATGGTTGTCTCCACGGTCCAGCACACGCTGGCGGGTGACTTTGCGAATGTCGTCGAGCATCCGGTCCTTGGGTTCGTGAACATAATGCAACGCCACAAATCTTGCATCCGGGACCACTTTGCTGACGTCTTCCATGATCTGCTGTCGCTCCCGGCGTTGATGGTTGTTACGGTCAGCAATCACCACTTTGTGGCTTGCCATGGCATTGACTACGCCAGCAGCGAATCGGGCTGGTCGACCTTTTTGTCCCTGGATATTGTCGTTCTGTACATGACCAAAATCGAAAAGTTTGACCAGCGCAGTTGCAACAGTAGTTTTACCACACCCGATCGAGGCGATGGGAACGAGGACGATGTCACTGAGAGAGGCATAATGCCCACCCCCGTCTCCGTCCGCTCGTTCTTTGGCAATGATGTCGGACCCCTTCTGACCGATCTCGGCAAGGAAACCATCACGCATTTTGATGATTCCGTGGTTCTTGTTGTACTCTTTGGCCAACGATGGATCTCTGGCTAGTTGCCGCCGTGCGTATTTCAAGTACTCCTCGGTAATCTTCTGGTGCTTCTTGTACTTGGGTGGTCTCCCGGAGATGATGGCTTTCGTGCATTCGCGCCATTGCCGGTACATCAGATAGGGCTCTTCAAATTTGTACTTGAAGAACCAGTCTGGTGCAAATGACCGATCCCTACTTCTCTTCTTGCACCTGACCACGAATCCTTCAGTGTCTCGCCCTTCCCAAGAGCCAGTCTCTGCGCATTTCTGGAGAAATTCTTTTACCTCATCAAGTGATTGGATCATCACATACTGTGCCTTTTTGAAGCCCCAGGTGTCGGCAAACTCGTGAACCTCTGAACCGGACAAAGTGACGAATTCAGGGACGTTGATGTTGATGCCATGGAGGTACAGCCCAGCCGCCTCTGGCGGGTACTCTAGGACGTGCTCTTCGAACGAGTCGTCACACAGCTCACCGACGGCCGTAGCATTCATGTCTCTCAGTGCTTTTGCTAGTTGCTGTGTGGTCTTGCCCACGCTTTCGACGTGTCTCTGAATCCATTTCTCCCCAACAGTGGCATGACTCTGGTCGACATCGTCTCGTGTACCTGTAGAGTGCTTGCTGCAAACTAGCAAAGTGCCGTCTTCGAGCCCGGACATGAAAATGATGCAACCGTTCTCTTTGACACTCAGCTCGTAGGGCCCAGCGGTGTCGTGCTCAATGTTGACCCATTTTGTTTCGGGGACCTCGTCGATGTTGAAGAATTTGTCATATCCTCGGATCGCGATCTCTGGAGTTCCGTCCGATCTCCTGGTTGTAAAGAGTCCACGAGCATAGGTAGGAAGGTCATCTCGCTTGTAGTCCCAGTCGTTGAAGCGCCAGGAGTCGACGGTGATGCCATGGGAGCCTTCAACCTGGAACGTTGCCTTTTTGCAGGAGAATCCCTTTTTGCCTTTTGGTCGTCCTTTCGTTTTCGCAGCTTCGAGGGTTTGGACTAGCTGAGTGATCCGGTGAGAATCCTGCGCCATCTTGGCAGCTAGGTACCGAATCGGTCACAGGGTGGATGTCTGGACGATTTGGACGGCTGAAGAACAGAACAGAGACCAAAAGGCTGAAAACACCCGCTGGCTGCAGGGAATGAGGCTGCAGAATTGGTGAGGCGTATCTGAGATGGACAAATCGAAGTAGGAAGGGTGTTGCCGGAAAATTAAGTCATGGGAATCACTTTTATTCCACACCAAGCAGGCACAACCCTCGATGCCTTGATTTATGACTCCAGATCCTCACTTTGGCCCCTACAGGAATTGAGTCATAAGAGTAGTACACAGGGAGTGGAATCCAGGAGGATGTACCGAGTACTCGGCAGATTTCAGCTCTGTTGTAATGTGGACTTGGAGAAATCCTAGTGGGCCGACAGAAGTGCTGCTTAGTGCTCAGCCTGATGATGGATGGGCACTTGAATCAGCCTTGCAGCCACAGCGCTGCTCGCTAGGATCGTTCCGCCACTCAGAGTTTTGCGGATCCAGCACAGTGACTCAATGGCTAATTACTGGCACCCAAATGGGTCTGCTGCCACTTCACTTTTCACAATCTTCACTTCGAACTCCCCCCGCGTCGTGGCCGTTGGCTAAACTCAACCAAGTCTGTGCCCTGTACAGCCCCAGCACCACCATCTGACTTCCCGTCAAGCACCATTGAGGTGAAGTACCCATGCTCCAAGAGCAGCCTTGAATTGTCGACGGCACTTCGTCCCCCTCTTCACGTCGACCATGTCGGCGGAGCTCAACCTAAATCCGTTTCTGCTCGCCGCAAACACCCCCGAGACAGACCCCCGCCTTTTGCCCTTACTTCGCTCCAGACCGGAGTTGGCATCGGCACAAGACGAACATGGTTATTCGCTTTTGCATGCTGCAGCCTCCTACAATCATGTGGATCTCTTACGAACACTGGTCAACGAGTTCAACGTGGACGTGAACTTGAAAGACGAGGATGGTGAAACATGCTTGTTCGTGGCTGAGACGGTGGAAGTTGCGAAGTGTCTAGTGGAGGAATTACACGTTGACATACGAGTACAAAATGACGAAGATATGACTGCGCTCGAGAAGTTCGAGTCAGAACAGGAATTTCCAGAAGTCGCAGAATACCTCCGCAGCCTGCTCTCACAAGATCCTGCTGCGGGAACCGCTTCTATCCGTCCTGGGCCGGTTCCAGATGGAGCTCAACCCCCTCCACGCCTGCCGCCCAATGTATCCATCAATATCGGCACCGAGACTGATGCGACGCCCGGAACACTTGAGCAAGAACCCGATCCCGAATTCAGGAGAAGAATAGAAGAGCTGGCAGCCAAGGAGAATTTTCACACGGCAGAAGGTCAGAGAGAACTGCGCGAGTTGATTACAGATGCAGTAAGAGACGTCGGCAACGAAGGCCGGGATGTTAGGAGACGTGTCGAATAATTGCAAGCGCATTGGACTTTTACAAGCCCGAGTCATGCAAGGCGACTTCTCACCCACATCCTGGGCTGCGTATGACACAGACGGGAACAAGCATAACCGGCTGTAGCCGAAGACATGTTTTCATGTCGCTACCAAGGAGTTTGCAGCACGAAGATCTGTGTCCCGCGCAGGATTCAGTCGTTCATCCACGCGGTGACTCGACTGGAGCCAAACCTAGCCGCCAACCGCAACCCGCTGCCTCCCATGGGAAAGTAGCTGACTAAGTACCACACCAAAGCCACGAGCTGCACAATCGATGAAAATAGAGTGAGAATCGTGGAGTGGAGCTGACGCGGTCATGTCAGCCATGTCTTGCAGCATCGCGAAAAGGCCTCGGATTACACTTACACCGACAGCAAAATAGATGGTCATGATAATGGAACCAAAGTAAGCGGCAGTGAATGGTAGACGAGGGCCTGAGAGCAAATGCGCTGCGTACTGTACCGGTCCCATCAAGAAGGCCCAAGAGGCCAGAAACATCATCGAGCCGACCGACCACCTATCACGACGCGTCAGCCACACGCACGACTTCATTTAGACACATGCACAAATTCAGGTTCTGATTGCGAAATAGACACCTCACAGGGGTCTTCCCAGATGTGGGCATCCATCCTCGATATAGAAAGGAGCTGACATCATCATGGGGTGTACGCGCTGTCACATGGCCCGTGGACCAACGCGTGGTGGTGTGAAGCAAATGCGGTGTGGGCTGGAATGGCTTGGGAGACTCACAGAATAGCGAATTTTCGTGGCTTGAGGGACAGTACTGGTAATAGCACGAAGCAGATAACAAAACATGCCAGCGCTGCAAGATTGCAGCCCCCGAAGATCAACAAACGGTCCCATCGGCTTACTGTACGGTCATAAATGTCAGTAAATCCTGTTGCCGCGGATTTGGGCTGTTCTGTATTCTCGGACGGGAGTCATGCGCGAAGCCAACATACATGCGAACCACCCCTCTTCTTCCTCTCTCCTCGTGGGCGCCGGTAGTGGTGCTCCAGGAGCCTCGTGTGTGGGCAATTGGACATAACCTTTGCTTCCAAACGGATTGAGTGACGAGATCCTGGACAGCAAGGGGTTTGACGACGAGGTATTGGGCGGGATGTCCGGGTCTCTTCTGGACCACCCCAAGGAATTCATGGATTCTCGAAAAGACGAGGACGCCATTCTAACCGGTCAACCGTCCTCAGTTCGGACTGCTCTGCCCGGACAGCGAATCCGTCTGTAATGGAGGTGACACCTCTCAGAACGTCGATCTGCCCACTCTTAGGTGTTTTGGTCCTCCAGACAGAGAGGCCCGGCTCTTTTGGAAGCTTCGAGCTTCTGTCCTGCCAGGCTGAAGGGAGACAAACACCAATTGGAGGAGCCACCAAGGTTGGAATGTCTTTTGACTTTAGCGCAGTTCGGGTTCTCGCTTGTGACCACTGACCAGACCCAACTCAAGGCGACTTCGCGGGATGACAGGACCGAAGTAGTCGTTAGAGTAATGCCGTGCAAGGACAATCCACTCTCGGGCGCATCGACTGAAGTCTTGGGTAGGGAACGCAAATGGGATAGGCACGATGGGCAAGGCCTTAGAGCAGGATTTTGCCGGCTGCCTGCAGAATGTCTTGCTTTGCAAGGTGACAGCCTCCGGAGTTCACCGAAGTGGCAGAAGGCAGAGAAAGGATTCGAGGCGGTCGATGGAGAGGATGGGGGAGGGAGGTGGGAACTGCAATAGCAGTGCACAGTGCGCAAGGGTATCAGTGCGGTCAAGGGCAAAAGTCTCGAAGAGGCCAGAGCGTTGAAGCCAAATGCAGAGAAAGCCCGGCCGTATCGAGCGGAAAGTTGGAGTGGGTGCGTAGTGGGTGAGCGACCAAGACAAAGTCCGACCGCAGATCCAGCGCTTGGGAAGCTGGGCTCGCTGGGAAGCTGCCACCGTGGCCCACCGTTGCGCTAAAAATGCACCAAAAGGCGATTTGGGCCAGGCATCCAATCACCGTACCATCCCCGTCCCCTCCATTTCACCCCCCTCGACTCGTATTACCCCCCTTTCTTGCTAGCTGGCGGTATTGCGTGCATATTGCACCAAGATTCACGCAGCTTAGAGCATGTTATGGCCGCGACAGGATCGCGAAGCTGGTCGTATTTCGGACAGTGGTCATCAGCCCAAGGTGGCAAGGGCAGCATGTCCGCCGCTAGACCAACAGCCCTACCTCCGTGGATTCAGTCTCTCAGCTTTTCATGGGCTTTGCATGGGCTTTGCAATTCTGGGAAAGCGTAAGGTTTTAGTAAGAACTACCGGTGCTGAAAAGAGGCCGGACAAGCCAGAAGCCAGAAGCCAGAGCCCAGAGCGCGAGCAGCCAGCGGTTCGTCCCATCCGCATGTTTTTTGCACCATGGGGCGCTATCTGCAACCTTGGCCATACCCGTCCCCATCAAGTCACTGATCCGCAGGAAAGCTTTTCCTAGCTTTTCCTCCGTGGTGCAACGGGCGCATCCGTAGCATCGCAACAACTGGAGAGAGAAGGCAGGCTGCATGAGCCATGCAGATCTACCATGCATGCTCAATGCAAAGCATGACAAGGTTGTAATATTGGCCAACGTCGAGCGCAAAAGGACGAACTTTAAGCAGTTTGCGGAGATCTGATCGCTCGGTGTCGCGTCGCACAGCATTCCAGGCGGGTGTACAGAGTGGTCTCCAACCCGGGCAACGTTGCAACAGAACGGGCTACTTTTTTTTGGGCCAAGGGTGGATGGAGCCGTGGGTGAGCATGGATGCGATTTTGGGAAGCAGTCATCTGCGAAGCAGTATGACTTTTCTGGAAATACCATGGTACGCACGTCGCAGCCTTGACGGCCCGTCTACGTGAGCAGGAGATTGTGGCTTGGCTGGTCGGAGTGATGTTGCTGGGGGGGCCACTTGACCTTGCTCACCATGATCTACTGATGTAATAGATGCCTCGATATACCAGTCATGCCGCCGGAGCGGACGGTGAAAGGGTGTATGTACATAGCCATGCGGGCAGAGGAGTGAACTTTGTCCCAGTCTCATGAGCCCCTCCCAACACAGACACCCGAGACAAGATCAAGTTGGCAAACATAACGGATATAGTCAAGGGGGGGTGGTCCCCCCTCTCTCTCCCTCGTCCCATGCCGCCTTGTCGCCTTCGAGGTGTGCGCAGCCAGTCACCCAGTACTCGGTAGACCGGAGGGGTTCACACCCATTCGGGGTCCACCCGTGTTGCTCATCCCGCTCATATCAGACCAGGGTCCAAGCCCTGCGGCAGGTATTTCGATTGGTCTTCCGGTTGTATCCGGCACCCTGCACGCCGCCTCATGTGGCTGCGCATGGATTCAAATGAGGAAGAATGGTGGAGTGCATACGCAACGGGAGTGGCAGCTGGAGGGCACCCGGAGGGCACCCAGGGTGCAAAGGGTAGCCTGTGCTGGGGGTGACTGGTTCTCGGGCAGCCAGCCTTGCATGCACATATAAAGAGATCGACTGATCCGGGTCGGACGTAGCGAGAAGTTATCGTCGGTTTAGATTGTCTCCCAGCACCTAGTGCAAATCAGTGCAAATCGGCTCAATAATTCGTTGGAGCGCATAGCGTGTCCTGCAGCTCGTTATTCCCTCTTCCATTTCCATCTCCATCTGCCTCGACCCGCCGCCTCTCCAAGGGGATCGTCCATTACCAGCTCCTCCCTGCTAGAGACATTAAGCACTCCTATCCCGACTGCAACAAGGTCGTACCGAAGTGACCATCAACCAGCCAACCTATCAAGTGTCAACCTTAACAGGACGCACAGTCCAATTGAATCGTGTTCGTGGCATGTGTGGTGGCCTCTTGAGTCAAAGACTTGACCTGTGCCGCCACTCAGTTCAGCCCCGCCCTGTGCCAAGGGCGAGCTTCGAGTCCAGATCGACTCGGAATTCCATTGGCAGAGTCGAATCGCGGTGACAGAGCTGGACAGTAGTGGACAGTGGACGGGCAGTGGGCAGTGGGCAGAGGGCAGCCACTCACCAGCTGTCCAACCTCCCAGCGCCGCCACTGTTGCCCTTCTGGTGCTTCGACTTCTCCGTCGTCGGTCGTCCTGCTCCTGGCCATCCGCTCACTACTCGGTCACGGCATCTCGGCCGCACTCAAAATTCACTTCCCCAAGGTGCAGTCTCTCTCACTGTCACTGCCACAACCCTTGCCTGACTGTACCCTCCCTCCATCCCTCCACACTGGCATCTAACAACCACACACCGCATCCCACCTTCAACCACAACCACAACCACAACAACCCCGGAGCCTCGACCATCCCAGACACTCTGTCCTGTTCCATTTTGCCTCTGCCGACCACGTTGATTACGACGACTTCTGACGTTGACGACATCTGAGCCTGCGCTACTTGTACCTGCAGCCCACGATCCCTTGATTGAGCGCACCTCCGACCGTCACTCATCTATCCCACGGCTACCCTCTGATAGCCCTTCAATTTCAACCCACGACCGCCATCTCGTCCAAATCTCCAGCACACTGCGCCATTTGCGCTCTCTATTCGCTTTGCGCTCCTCCAATCGTCCCCCTTCCCGCCTCAGTCGCTGCCCACCATATCATCAAGGCCACCCAGAAAGAGGCGGTATCAGCGATTTGAGTCAGATATCACACCCAAAAAACACACGCCAACGGAGAACACCCCTTGATCTATCTGCTGGTGTTCGAATTGGGTCAGTTTTTCTCGCTTCGGACCCTACGCTATTACGCAGAGTAGTGAATATCACTTACGACCACACCACGGAATAAGGCCGGACGACTGTGAATCATCGCTGACAGCGCATACTGCCGTCAGCCTCGTCCGTATCTTGCCTTGGAAATTTCTCGGCTCGGATGGTCACTACTTGACGGGGTGACAACCAAAGTCCATTCACTACCAGGATCACTGGAACGGGATCACCCTCGATACCCGTGCGTTGCCTTTCCCCACGACTGCTTAACCGAGTCAGCATCCCAATGGCTATAGCCGCTTGACAGCCACTTGGTTCCCTTTGTTTGCTGCTGAGTGACATCTGGGTGAAGCACGCGAGCTAAGCTCTTTTATTTTTATTGCCACCTCAACCCGACCGCAGTCCATCTCACTTTTTCCTTTGTTTCGGATCATGACACATTCTTCAGCCGGGATGCCCTATATCAAGAGCGAGCCCGATGAGTTCGGGAACAATCCTAACAGGTTCATGTCATCGGCCAACTATGGCAACTCTCAGGGCTATGGCAACCAGTTCAACAACCAACATGATGGCGGAAGCATCGATCCCTCAGAGCTGTCCATGTCCACCAACTATGGTAGCATGCCATACAACTATGGTGGAAACACCATACCTTCCAACTTTGCGGTGGGGCCTGCCTTCACTGATAACGAGTTGTTAGAGTCACTCGACTTCGGAAACAATAATGGCCAAGGCATGTTTGATGATTTCACAATGGCAAATCCACCCAACAGCAATAACAGAACTTCAGGTGCCGTCCAGATGGAACAGCCGAACCAGATACCAAACGTCTATTCTAGTACTCCGGACGGTCCTCCCATTCAGAGCCCATTCCTGGGGACTTTTGACTACAATCAATTCAGACCCATGGGCTCTCTTCCGAGTCACATGTCGCCTCATCAAGGCTCCCAGTTCGGAAAGCGTCCTAGCATCCAGGCGACAAACCGAAAGTCGTCCGATCAGAGAACCCCCTTGACGCCACGTACAGCTGCGATGGCGGGACTTCAGATCGGTACCCCAGAGTCGGCGAATCTTGCTAATGGTCGTCCCATCCGCGCTCCAAACGTCCAGAACCGACACGCTAAGACCTTGTCGGGACAGTACGACAGCACCCCTGGGAGCTTCCATTCATACCTAGATTCGCCGTTGTCTTCTCCCAGCAATGGCATCCATCATGCTGGCATCTCTGAAACTCTTGGATCCGGTCACCATGCCTCTCTGCCGGCCAAGGTTGATACCGGGCTGAGCACTAGCAATGCAGAGACTGCCGAGGCTAAAAAGCGAAGGAGGCGTGCGTCACACAATGCCGTTGAACGGAGACGGCGGGACAATATCAACGAACGCATCCACGACTTGTCCCATCTAGTGCCACAACATCGCCTGGAGGATGACAAGATCAAGAAACAGCTGCAGAGTACCGGACCAATGTCGCCCACTACTGGCGCTACGAGCATGAGCCCGCCAAATGCTAACAATGCTGCTACGTCGTTACTTGCAGGCGGAGCCGGTCGTCGCGCAGCCAGCACTGCGGGAAACATCACCATCGGACTACCGATCGAGGAGAAGGAGAAAGGTCCTAACAAGGGTGATATCCTCAATGGCGCGGTGGCATGGACTCGAGATCTCATGTGGGCATTGCATCAAAAGTACCAACAGGAAGACGAACTGCTCCAGTACATCCAGTCGCTGGGTGGTCAATGGCCATTCCAAGTAACGGACGACGAGAAGCGTATGCGCTCCGAGGTCATGGATGCCATGGAGAAAAATGATTCCAGCACATTTGCCTACTCCAGGACAGATGGTACTGGACTGCGGGTCCCTCGGCACACCAATGTCGCTGGTGATCGGATCCAGAACAACCCCAGCCTCAGTCCTCAAAGCAACTTCGAGCTAAGCCCTGGCTTCCACAGTGGCGGCAGCGGCACCAATAGTGGCAGCAATGGGGCTGGCCAAACACAATACTGGCATAGCGCTGGACATACAGGCATCAGCTTCAAGGAAGAAGACGAGTTCATGGACATGAATTGATGAAAGTGTCACGATCACGCCTCGAGTCGAATGCCATGTGAGCAAGAACGCGCGCAAGAGGCATAGCGTCGACAGTGTTCACTTTCAGCGCAAGATTCCCACAAAGGATGAATATTCCATCCTATATTGACAGTGGAGAAGTACATGAGGGCGAGGAAATACTGCGAGCTGATGGATTCGAGTCTGAGGCCCCTTGATTATCACTTGTTTTTAGGTATTTTGCCCAACGTTTGGGATGCGATCTTCCATGTACTTGCCGGATGGGATTTGTGGTTGTTTTCATTCACGTTGACTTTTGTTTTTGTTTCTGCCTGGATACCCCCTCGTTCTGACATTTCATCTTTTCCTTTGTTAAGCTGGCGCACAGTTGAGGGATTGGTTTTCAGTCAAGGGCAGAGGGCAGAGCCAGGCCTGGGACAGGACATGTATTGTAGGTAGACACAGAACATGCACGCCGTGATCTGATAGCATGGATCATGACTTGGTGGGGCCCCAGAGGGTAGGGAATGCATGATACTAGTAATACTCTGAATGAGCCCTGCCTACCTAGATACCTACCTACCTACCTAGTAGTCGCTTTCATCATCCATGGTTGAGTGCATGAACTGTGCCCTTTGTAAGTCCATCAGTTCCCGATCCGCAGCTTGGCCGGTCGCTTATCCGAGAGGCGGCGAGGCGGATATGCCTACCCACATGTCCGTTGTCGGGGCCTAGTGGCCTATTCGCAAACCGTTTCCCCTGATTTTCCCGCTTCTCCAACCGGAGGCACCAGAGGGAAGCAGACGACCAACCACTTTTTTCTTCGCCAAATTCCCCCAAAGTCGGAGTCGACGTTCCCCTGCGCCAAAAGAGAGAGCTATTATTTACTTTTGTTCGATTCCTCATCTGAAGCAGACATCGACTCTTTGCGGTGCTACTTTCAGCTGAGTCTTTCTGTCCCTCCCTCGGGCGTACTCTCCATTCCTCCCCTTCGAATCGCTGTGTCTCTCCAGTCCGCTCGCTCCTCTTGCGCTTACAGATCCCTTCGTCTCTGATTTGTCTTGAAGACCGGATACCGCACACACAATACCCTAGAAGCAAGATGACGGAAAAACCTCTGGGCTTCGGTTACCAGATTGGTGCCGGGGCTATTGCTGGCGTCTCTGAGGTAGGTTCAGAACCTAGAAGACGAGAAAAAACGAGGCGTTCCTTTTCAGAGCTCTCGCTAATCCAACTGTTTAGATCCTCATAATGTGAGTTGCCGTTGCGCATAGGGTGCACCGAAGACCAGAGCATGGCGACACCAGGAAGTCCCGTCCTTTTTCTAACTTCCTCTAACAGGTATCCTTTGGATGTAGTCAAGACCAGAGTGTAAGTCTAATCACCAGAGCACTCAGTTGGCGCAATGCAACATGCAGCTGACCACTTCCTGCTCCGCCAACAGGCAACTTCAAGGCAGAACGCCCGTCCCCGGTCAAGACTACTACACTGGCATGTTCGACTGTCTGCGCAAGATTGTCAAGAATGAAGGTCCCTCCCGGCTATATCGTGGTATCGGCGCGCCCATAATGATGGAGGCACCCAAGCGAGCGACAAAGTTCGCGGCGAATGACTCCTGGGGTGTATTTTACCGTAACCTCTTCGGCGTGGAAAAGGCCACTCAACCGCTCGCCATCCTCACGGGGGCAACAGCTGGCGCGACAGAGGCGTTCGTCGTCGTCCCCTTCGAACTCGTCAAGATCAGATTACAAGACCGCGCTTCGGCGGGAAGATATAACGGAATCCTGGACTGCGTTGTCAAGACGGTGAAGGCGGAGGGACCCTTGGCCCTCTACAACGGATTGGAATCAACCCTGTGGCGACACATCCTCTGGAACGCAGGCTACTTTGGCTGCATCTTCCAAGTCAAGTCGCTCATGCCCAAAGTCGACAAGGCGGAGCGTGGAAAGGCCATGCTCAACGACTTCATTTCCGGCACGATCGGTGGCACCGTCGGGACGATCCTCAACACCCCGATGGACGTGGTCAAGTCGCGGATCCAGAATTCGCCCAAAATCAGTGGAACGGTGCCCAAGTATAACTGGGCCTGGCCCGGTCTGGGCACGATCATGAAGGAGGAAGGCGGCGCGGCCCTGTATAAAGGATTCCTGCCGAAAGTGCTGAGACTGGGTCCCGGAGGCGGAGTCTTGCTTGTCGTCTATACCGGAGTCATGGACTGGTTCCGGAAGATGGGCGCTCAACCTATTGGCTGAGTGGTGAGCGTGAGTCGTGTGTGTGTGGGGGAAAGAGAGACGGAGATGCTCGCCATCTTTTTTTCTCATTCATCTCGGATTCTGAGGAGGGTTGAGCCTGCAAACAGACTTGAAAGGAACTTCCTGGATAACCCGGACCAAACAAGAAGAAGAAGGAGGAAAGTGGGGGAAAGATCTCGTCGGATAGCAAGCAGATAGAGAGGAGGGCTTTGAGCACTATTTTCCTGGTTTTCAGCGCCAAAATATGGGCAAAAGGGTCTCGGTGCGCATCAAGTTTCCATTCAGTCCTGGTCTACACGGTTTTCTTTTCGTTGTACCTCTTTTTTTCCCCTCGCATGGAAAAGATTCAGCTCGCAAAAGAAGACCAGGTCCTTGCTTGGCTTGTATTGGGGATAAGAGACAACAAGAGGGGCGGAATTTAACAGCGATAACCACTCCTTCAACCTCGTACTACAACATCCATTCTACCTAGTACCTTGTGTCTTTTGCTTCAATTGGGTTGGGGTTTCGTTCTGTTATTCAGTCACCAATTTCTGCTCTCTCATTGTTGAGTTCAAGCAGGCCTATGGAAAATACAGTACGCGGTCACAGAATTCATGTGCGGACGCGCACAACCCTGACGCGGTACACATCCAAACACAGGTCCAAGCGCGCGAGGTGCCAATGTCAACGCCGATGCATGGCCATGTTCATACCCAAGCGAACAATAAATGCCCTAGCCAATAACTCCACTTCGATATTCATGACATGAGCGACGCAACAAGCTCAGAAGGCCGTTCCGGCCAGCCAGAAACCACGATTCGATTTCACTTTGCGCGTCTGATGTACCATCTCGACCTCGTGCCTTCTTCGAGCTCGACAATGACTTTTGACGGTGATTGAGGCTGTGATGCTTTTTGTTCAGCTCGCTTATTGCCATGCTCGTGCCCGGTAGCGGTACCGTTGCTGCATCTCGAGTTGCTTTTGTTCGCGTCGTCCACGTTGGCGTCTCCATTTTCGCTTAACGTTTGTCTTGGGTTCTGTTTAACATCTGTCCCTGCGCATGTGGCGATCTCTTCGTCGTTTACTTTGACGACGAGGTCCCTGAAGGGTGGTGCTTTGGGAATACCTGTTTCATTCGCTTTCGGGCGTATCTGGAGAGATCCTTCGGATTTCGCGGGCGGCGAATTGGCATTGCTCTGCTTATGCTTGGCTTGCTCTTTATTGGTACTCGTCTTTTTTGTAAGCGGATCATTCGCGTTAGGGGACTTTCCAGTGGACCAGAGCCTCTCTTTCAACGCCTCTTCCCAGCCTGCCCGACGCGCGATTTCTTCCAAGACCAGGTCGCACTCGCCCAAAAGCTCAATGTCAACCTTGACCCCTTCGCGCTGGCAACGATCCTTACTGATCCATATCTGTGGCACCGTCACGGGGATATTGAGGAGCATTTCGTTCACAGGCTCGACTTTAAGAGACGTGCCGACAATAACGAGCAGGTCCACCTTGCTTTTATCGATTTTCAGTCGAGGAGCGTAAGAATCTGCTATATCCTCGCCGAAAAAGGTCATGTCTGGTTTGAGTAGGCCCTTGGGGAAATCGGTTTTCGCCGCCGAGTCTTCGGAGTCCGTGTCCTCGAATTCGTCCCGCTTGCGTTTCTTCTTGCCGCTGCGGCCGCGGTGCTTGCTGCCCGTTCTCGGTTTTGGACCTCCGTCAACCAGGGTGCATTTACAATAAGGCACTCCTCCCGCACGCACAACAGGCATGTACTTCCTGGCTGTCGTCCGTTTCCCACAGCTCATGCAGGTGGCAGTTGCCAATGTGCCATGACACTGGATCAATTTCGAGGGAGAGACACCAGCAGCTAGCTCTAGTCCATCGATGTTTTGGGTATAATTGGTCAGAAGCTTTCCTTTCGCTTGCAACAAAGAGATGAAGGCGTGCGTTAAACTGTATTTTGGAACCTGAGAAGCACATATGTCGTTGGCTGACTGGCTTGAATCGACCGCTCTGCCACCAGGCACAAGGCCCTGCATCTTGGGAAACACCTTTGCAGCTTGCTTGAAGAATTCTTCGGGGTCCATTTTGAAGTTGTCGATGTGGAAAAGTTCCTGTGGATCATCATAGACCGAATCAACGAGGAGGTTGTAAACACCGTTAGCAGAACGGAAATCAGGCACCCCTAGCGAAGTCGAGATGCCAGCGCCCGTCAAGATGATGATGTTTTTGGAAGATTTGAAGAGTGAGACGGCATGATCCAGCGTATAATACTGATTCAGGCGGGGCCGGATTTGTGGAACTCTCTTCGCGGGGGATGAAAGTCGTCGTGGTGGGAGGGATGACGCCCTGTCCATGTGTAGTTGATGGATACGGAGCAGCTTAGAAGGCGATGGTCGGTCGGGTGACGTGTCGAAGTAAGAGTTTCCATCTCGATGAGCGGGTGAGTGAGGTGCTGAGGTGGCCATGGTTGCACGATCAAACGGCCCCAGCAAACCGAGTGATTGAGAGGTGTTCAGTGTTGAGTCTGGAAGTTGGGCGTTTCAGGTCTTCGATTGCAACAATAAGAGATTCCGACACGCAACACCCAGACTTCGCATGGCGCTTGGTCATCTGGGTGAGGCTGAAGAGTCTGTTTGCCCGGGTTGGTTGTGGAAGCTGCAGATCTCGAAGGTTCGAAAGGGATACAATCGAGTCATGACTGTCAACCAGTCCACCGGCGTTCGTGGTCGGTAAGAAGCCAGAGCACTTTTCTCCTGGGGCGCATGCAAAATCTTTAAGACAGAGAGATCTTTGAGAGTTGCTGAGTGTGCCTGAGCTGACCAAAAAGGACGGCTCGACGGATACCGAGTAGGGGGCGGAGGCTGTGGTTTGAGCGTCTCCTGAGCCTTGAGGCTGTGCCGTCGTGCCGTTTTTCAAGAGAGCGATATGACATCATAGCGCAGCTGAGCACGTGCTCACGCTTCTTGACGCGCTTCCCGCATGAACGCGACTTGTGGCCGTTGTGCGTGTTTGTGCGTGTTTGTGTGAGTTGCGTCGACCTTTCCTCCGCCCTCCGCAATGCTCCACCACAACATTGAGGAATCTCGCAACCTTCCCACTCTCCCATCGCAGTCCATGACTGACACGAGAATTCCACTTCACCTAGCATTATGCCCTCCGCCCCGTCGGGCGTCTCATCCCAATCGAGAAGAAAGCTCAAAGCGTTTGCATTCGACGAAAGATTGCTGGCCGCAGACGAAGACAAGGAGAATCAATTGGATCAAAATCCTGTCCCAAAGTCCAACTCGATCGACCATGACCTTACCTGCCAGAACGACTTGCCCGAGCCTAGAGTCCCCCATACACCCGCAGTGCGCATTCCCATCGAAGACCTTATTGCAAATACCGAAGACGCATATAATTGCCTTCCACCGGTAGCTACACCGAAAGACCACGTTCTCTGGCAGACATACCCAGACAGCTCAGACGCCTCGGCAGCGGCTGGTGCTACGCAAAGGAGCAGAAAACGCGCTCACAGTTCTTCACCTTCCTCCTCACAACAACTCTCTGCGCACAAGGATGCCTTGAATCTTGATACCTTGAACAAGTCCCTACGCACTCCCAACAATGACCCCACGCAAGATCTATGGAACAGATACACAACCGCCAACGGATTGAAGAAAGATGCAAGAGAACCCACCTTGCCCCAATATGTTCATTTGCTTCCTTCATCCCCTCAGACACCGAGTACCACCAGTAAGGACAGCGCCTTAAGACGAACACACAGCTGCGGGGTCGAATGGCCGACGTCAATAGCGAAGCGCAGAAGGGTAGAGACGACCCAGCACCACAGCCGCACTAAAGAACTATTTGCTGCGTCCCGCAAGGAGATTCTGCGCCGTGAACTTTCCAATAATACTCGAGTTGGCCTTCTGCTTGACAGAATCCAAGAAAGTTTGACCAGGAGGGCTGACGCTACTCAGAGTCCCTCGAGCTCCTCTCCACTTCCAGACAGACGCTCGCAGGCATTTGTATCGCCAACCAAGCCCTCGGGCAGGACCAGACTGGAGTCCAGTGGTCCAGCAGGTTCACCTCACGCCCCTCAAATGGCTCAACCACAAACAGATGTGACCCCGTCCAAGGAATCGTCATCGTTTGAATTCAGCGATGATGGTCTCGATGTTGAAGCTTTCGAAAGTGTCGAACGGGCCCTTGAACAAGCCGAGGCGAAGGTTCAAATAAATCACATTGAGCCAGATCGCAATGGGGACGATTCGAGCACGCGATCTAGTGCTCAATATCACGGTGAAGTCGGATCCCTCCAGTTTAATGGATCCGAAGATCAAAGTGAGAGGCAGCGTAACGAGAACAAAGAGCTCCCGCAATCGGAGACTATTAGTACAGGATTTGATGAATTTATTAACGACGATGACGACGACGAAGAGTTGATGAACGAGATGCTTGATCTTGCTGCAAAGTATGATTCGCAGCCGCAGGCAGTGGCAGCAACGCAAGCCTTTGCGAAGCCAACTTCAGGAACCAATCCACAACCCAAGCATCTTGAAACGCTCGATGAGTTTGAAGACGCATTTGACGATGATGATGAGCTCTGGGAGGACATCGCAAATGCGACCTTTGGAAAAAACGGGACATCAGTCGCATCCAAGGACCATGTACGTTCTTCATAGATTTCAAGCTGATGACGCGCATGCTGATAGAGTAAATAGATATCAAATGACAATCGAGCCATCAAGCGTTATCTCGTGATGGAGGTCCTTGAGGGTGACTATGAGTACAAGCCCGGCCGTAAGAGACCTGAAAAGGTACGGATCCCCTTCCTTCGTTATCTCGCAGCACTGACGGGACCCAGATGCTTTCAGTCAAAGACGAGAGATCAAGCATGTGCTATATTATCCTGTTACGAGAATCATGGTACGATACCAGATGTACCAAAGGATCTTACGTTCACCTCATCGGTAAATTTGATCGCACGGGCCAATGCATCGTCAATGACGCAGACAATATGGTCATTATCCATCCCGATCATCTCATTTCCTCAACTGTTGTCGGAGATTCCTTTACCTGTATGCGGCGTGCCGTGCTCCAAGACAGGGTAAAAGCGACCAGCGCAGCAAGTCAGCCTCAGGTCTACGGCCACATCTTGCACGAAGTATTCGGACATGCTATGCGCATAAATAAATGGGACATACAATCCTTCCGAGAGATCATCGACAAGATTCTTCCGTCTTACATCGAGTCGCTGTACGAGATCGGCGTTCGACTGCAGGACGCAACTGAGTATCTTCTAGGAAAGACGCCGGAACTGATGGCATGGGCTAGTGTCTTTGTTGGCGATACTCTGTGTGCGGATGCTCTCATCCGTGACCGGAACGGCCTTCTTGTTCCCGCCACCATTAATAAGCTGCTCGAAGTCGAAGAACATATCTGGTCGCCTATGTACGGTCTCAAAGGCAACATCGACGCCACAGTCCAAGCACAGATGAAGTTACCGAATGAACGATCAGCCAGGACTCTGCTAGTGCCCTTCGAGCTGAAGACCGGTAAGAAGGACAATGTGGAGCAGCACCGTGTCCAAACAGCGCTCTATACTCTGCTTTTGTCAGACAGATACGATATCAATGTGACTTGCGGCGTGCTCTACTACTTGGAGACTTCCAAAACATACAGGGTTGAAGGCGTTAGGAACGAGATACGCCATATGATCATCCAACGAAACGAGTTGGCGTGCTATGTTCACGACAAGTTAGCTTTGCCACCCATGATCAAGAAGCAACACCTCTGCAAAAGCTGTTATTCAAAGGCCGCCTGTTTCACATACCATAAGCTGTCCGAAAATGGCACCGCAGAGACCAGTGGTCTGGGAGAGAAGTTCAACGAAGTTGTCGACCACCTGTCACCGGCCCATCAATCCTTCTTCAAGAAGTGGGACGATTTGCTCACGAAGGAAGAGCGTGATAGCATGAAATTCCGCCGCGAGCTTTGGACAATGTTGAGCTCGGAGCGAGAGACACTTGGGCGTTGCTTCTCAGAAGTAGTCATTCAGCCTGGATCAGCCCTTGAAAATCGCGAAGGCTCCAAGATCAACCGATTCGAGTACACCTTTATCAAGCACATGCACCGCCCCGGCTTCTCTTTTAGAGACTCACAGATCACCACTGGAGAGCCAATCGTCATATCGGATGAGGAAGGACATTTCAACTTTGCAGCCGGTTTTGTCACCAATGTACAGCCTACTAGGGTCGTGGTAGTGGTGGACCGGAGACTTGAACGCGCACAAAAGAAGTTGACAGGCTTCGACCCCGTTACCAACCAAGTATTCTCTGGTCATATCGATGTGGCTTACGACGGCAACTCCCAGTCTTCGCAACCTGACGAACCCATCCTCTACCGAATCGACAAGGATGAGTTTGCCAACGGCATGGCCACGGCAAGGAACAACATCCTTCGAATGATGGAAAAGGACCTCTGGCGAGCTCGAGAGCTTCGCCAGTTGATCATAGAGAACAAGCGTCCAGAGTTCAAGGTCACTTCAACCGCCTACACGCTATCCGGACCCGCGTCACAACAGAATCTCAACGTCGATCAGCAACGAGCCATTGAGAAAGTGATGAGTGCCACAGATTATGCCCTCGTACTCGGTATGCCAGGCACGGGAAAAACCACAACCATCGCTCACATCATCCGCGCCCTTGTGTCTCAAGGCAAATCAGTCCTTCTTGCATCGTACACACATACTGCCGTGGACAATATTCTGTTAAAAATCAAGGACGAAAACATCCCTGTGCTGCGGATTGGAGCAGTCAACAAGGTGCATCCCGCGGTGCAGTCGTTTGCCGACATCTCAGGGATTCCCAAACGCACAATTGAAGAGCTCCACGTCTCCTGGCACGAAAGTAAAGTCGTGGCGACTACTTGCCTCGGTGTCAACCATGGCATTTTTAATGCCCGGACATTCGACTACTGCATCGTGGACGAAGCCTCTCAAATCACGTTGCCGGTGTGCTTAGGACCAATTCGCATGGCCAGAACTTTTATCCTCGTGGGTGACCACTACCAGCTACCACCCCTGGTCCAAAATAAACAGGCTCTGGAGGGTGGCCTAGACGTAAGTCTCTTCAAACTCTTGTCTGATGCGCAGCCAGATTCCGTGGTCAACCTGGAACACCAGTACCGTATGGCACAGGACATCATGCTCCTGTCTAAGGAACTCGTCTACTCAGGTCGGATCAAATGTGGCAGTGAAGCCGTTGCCAGACGAATGCTTGAAATCTCAGACCTTGACGGTGGGATGGCTAAGCATCATTTCACTGCTTCTTCGCTGGCAGGGGCAAGCAATCACAGTACACAGACTATCTGCCTGGCCAGCTCGAGCTGCTGGCTTCGATGCGCGCTCTCACCATCCTCTCGCTGCCTCTTCCTCAACACTGACGGCATCACACCCAGAGGTACGTCACGAGAAACCGTGGCAGGTGCTCGAATTACCAACACAATCGAATCGATCCTCACCGCGCAGCTGGTCACCGCCTTAATCCACTCTGGCGTCGCACCCAATTCCATCGGCGTGATCACGTTCTACCGTTCCCAACTTGCACTCTTGAGGACGGACGTGAAAGCACTCGCCGGCTCTGTTGCGTCCAGCGAGGTGGAAATGCATACCGCAGATAAATATCAAGGGCGAGACAAGGAGGTCGTGATATTGAGTTGCGTGCGAAGTAATGAGAACAGCCATGTCGGAGACCTTCTCAAAGATTGGCGAAGGGTTAATGTTGCAGTCACGAGGGCAAGGAGCAAGCTATTGCTTATTGGGAGTAGGAGCACTTTGGGTGGGAGTGGTGTGCCTATCTTGGAAGGGTTGACAAGGATTATGGAAGAAAAGGGATGGACACTAGAGTTGCCGGGTGAAGCTTGTGAGATGCATTACTTCGAGAGTGCGATCACTCAGGCCAATAACGGTAATACGCAAAAGCACAGTGCTCCGGAACTCGTTGGCGCGGAGGAAGCGAGGAGTTCAGCTTTAGCACCATCAGCAACGACGCAAAAAAGATCGATTCGGCAGATGAGCGAGAATAACCACAGCAATATGGGTCCCGAGAAGAAGCAGAAGCGAAGCCACTTCAGAAAGCCGGATACGGTTGTGAGAGGAACTGCACTGGTTGGCCGCTCTGAAGGCGGCCTGGGGAAGTTCTTGGATAAACGACCTCTCACGAGGGATGTTTTACATGAGCTCGCTGACGAATACATTGACAACGTGGTTCGCGACGGTTGTCAGAACGACTTGGACAAAGAGAACATCTATTTGGATACAGATATGGATATGGACATGGAAGCAGATTTTGACTCTGCGGATTTTGGAGTATACTGAATGTACCTAGGTAGGCAAGCCAGATGCTTGGAGGTGGTGGAGTCCAGAACTGTTATTCGGACACTGGCTCAACTTGGACTTGGGCTACTGAGGAGAAGGCTTCCCGAAATTTGGAGCGACATAATAAAGGGTTGGATAAGAGCAACATGATGGACATGGCGTCTTTGTCTGGGTATGGACAAGGCTCTGTTTGGACATCGCCGTGAAGAGATGCTACTCAGCCAGGAATATATACAGACAGGGTGGACTGCGCAAAGAGCCTAGGATCAACAACTGTGGGACAGTTCCATGTTGGATACATGCTGTACTGGACGTGGAGAAGAGTGTCTTAGAGATACTTACGAACTTTGTATCCTGTCGAGGCTGAATGTCGCTCCTCAGCCTCGTATGGCTGCAGCCTGGTCCACGCCACGCTAGACTCATTTTGGAAATCGCGTTTCTCTCGCAGCCTCGACCTCCTCAAACCCGAGGCTCCCACCTCCCTTGCAATTGTTCGACTCGGGATTCATTTCTACGGCTAGATTTGAACGTTCAATTTTCTGTACTAGGACTGCTGCATGGGTTGATGTTCCCTAGAGTCTCGATTGCATCATGCTGTCAAAGCGATATACCTCCAGGTAACTTGGGGATAACCGACGTGTGAGAATATGGCCGACAATGAAGCCTATATTGGGCAACGCCGCAGCTACGGGGGTGCACTATGTACTGTACGATATCTTGGGCCTCTCCCCAATACGAAAGGCGAATGGCTGGGGATCGAATGGGATGATCCGAGCCGTGGGAAACACAACGGACAACACGAAGGTCAACAGATTTTCCAATGTCTGTCATCGTCCGCGACAGCTGCCTCTTTTTTGAGGCCTTCCCGCAGTCCAGACCCGGAGCGAACGCTCCTTGAGGCGATCAAATTCAAATATGCGCCTGTCAACAATCTAGGGCCAAATGCCTCCGTCGCCCACCCAGCGGACGAAATGATCGAGATATCCGGAAAGGTCGTGGAAGAAGTCGGATTCGAACGGATTCAGAAGCAATTATCGGTCCTAGCCGACCTCAAGATTGTCCTTGTCGACGAGTTAGTGGTTTCCGGTATCGCTCGGCGTGGCGCTTCCACTCAGCAAGTGCACGATGCACAGCTCGAACTCGAACGCACGTGCCCGAACATTGTTGAACTAGACCTGGGTTGGAATATCATCGAAACCTGGCAAGACGTTGTGAACATGTGTGCTCCATTTCGGAAATTGAAGATCATGAAAGCGGGCGGACTGCGCTTGAGGGTCTTCGAAGCCGACTCTTTGCAGGAGCCTCATCCTTTTCAGAAAGTCGAGGAGTTGTATCTCAACGAGTGTCTTCTCACCCCCAGACAGGTTCTCGACATCCTCTTTCCCAAAGGACAATGTGGCTTTCCTTCGCTCAAGACTCTATCCCTGTCCCTGAACGAGCTGGATTGCTTTGCGATAAACAGCGCAACGGAAGCGGCACAATGTCCTGCTTTGACTACGTTAATTCTCGACAATAACCGATTTGCGGACCTGTCCTCTTTACCCACCCTCTTGGCTTTGTTCCCCAACCTCAAGGCACTGTCGTTCCAGGGAAACATCATATCTAACCTTGGTCTTGACGTTCCTGGCTCCTCCGGTTCATCCAGCTTCTTGGCCCTCGAGACCCTGAATCTGGCCAACAACAAGATCCGCGACTACGCATTCGTCAACCGTCTTCCAGGCCTATTCCCCAACCTCACCTCGCTGCGCATATCGCGGAATCCACTATACGAACCGTCCAACTCTTCAGACGAGTCGCATCAACGACAGGCTCAAAGCACGATTTCGGACTCTACACCATACTACTTGACCCTGGCGCGGATCCCCAACCTAAAATCCCTAAACTATACGACAATCACGCCACGAGACAGGGAAGAAGGCGAGATCTACTACCTTTCGGTCGCGGAAAAGGAACTACGACCCCTCCTGCAAGGTCCAAACGTGGTCAAGCAGCCTCCAGACCGCCAAGTGCCTGAAACGCCATCATCATCATCAAGTCTTTCACCTCAAGAGACGATCGAACTAGCCCGCAGAACCCACCCACTCTACTCCACGCTCTGCGAAAAGTACGACCGCGACGACATCATCGTCCGCTATCTCCAGCAACAACAACAAAAATCGTCGACGGAACCCTCTTCACACCTGTCCCAGCAGCAGCACAAGTCAGAACTTGACGCCTACGCTCCCGGTACTCTGGGCTCCCGCCTCGTAGATGCCTATTTCTACATCCCTCCTCCCAGTACTCACGCATTTACCTCAGCCTCCGCGTCGTGTCCGGAGCCATTCCACCGCTTTCTCCCAACCACAATATCCGTGTACCTCCTGAAATCCCTCTTGGCCCGGCACTTTGGCCTCCCGCCGCTCCGGTTCAGATTGGTCTACGAGTCGCCTGAGTACGACCCCGCCGAGCCCATCACCAGCACGAGAAATCCAGCTGCGGGAACCACCGGCGACGGCGGGCAGAATGCGTGGGAGGCGTGGGGGGATTGGGATGTGGACGAAGACGAGGACGATGATCATGATGATCATGGCAACGAGAGCAGCGCCAGCGCCAAGGCCAACGCCGGCAATGGTGATAGTGGCGGGCAAGAGCTAGATCAAAGGAACTATACAAGCCACAGGCCGTTCGATGGAGAAGCCCAATCTACTACCACCACGACAATGGCGTCTTCCAACATGCCCATGTACATCACGCACCAGGGCAACCGGTTCAAGAAGCGCGAGACCGAGATCCTCGACGGGATGCGGCCCTGGGGGGATTTTCTGGACCTGGATGATAATGGTCGCGATGACCATGGTCACGATCACGGTCACGGTCATGATCTGCTGCGTCTGGGAGGAGCTGTAGCTGCCGCCGCCCACAGCAGGAGGAGAAGGGAGGTCAAGGTCCGTGTTGAACCTCATGGTGCCGTAGGATAGAAAACCAATTGATCCAAAAAAAATATATCTGGGGGCAGAAAGCTCCTGATGCTTTTTTAACAAATTGTTTTTGATTCCGGTTTTGTACAGTGGTAGTAGTAGAGTAGATGGACGGTAGCTTGCTTGGAGACTAGACCAATGCAAAAGCCAATTATTCGCACAATCGATCTTCAACCAAGACCTCCCGCGTGCTGTGCCTCAATCATCGTCCAAGTTGCCGATAATGACTTTCTCGTTCCTCAAATCCACCACCTCCCTCACCCTCGCCTTCTCCTGGCCCCGACCGATCCTCTCCGCTCTCGCCGCCTCCTCCGGATCCAGCTGGAACTTTCTCATCCGCGAACCTATCCTTTCGTCAAGAACCATGTCACGGGTCCAGATGGGCTCGTAGAACTCGTCATCGTTCTCCTTGCGGGGTTTGCGCACGGATTTGTGCCATTTCGGTTCTTCTTGGATCAGGAGTGATTGCTGTTCCCACGCTGTCTGGTTCTGTGGGAAGGAGGAAGAGGCGTCGGATTCAGGTGATCTGGTAGCCACAGGGTCCGCGTCAAGATCTGATTGATCCGCGGAGAATGCTGTGGTCGATGAAGGATTTTGCTCGTACGGTCTGCTTGCGGCAAGGACAATGGCTGCTGTCTCGCGACCAATTTGATCCGCCAGATATCGACGTGTGAGGAAGTTGTATATCCTCTGAGGAGTCTTGAGGAAGCCTAAGAGATGCTGTTGGTGGATTGGTTGGGACGGTTCCAATATGCTTGGAGTATGGGGCGATAAGCTGGCGGATGGGTATTTTTCGACAGAGAGGTATGCCGGTGGCGGGTATGGCTTTTTCTTTTCCTCCTCTTTCTTCTCTTCCTCACTTGCTTTCTTTTCGGAGTCGGGTTTGGACATCTCGGGGCTTTCTGTGGCTTCCGGGGAATTATCTGTTTGAACTGCGATGGGAGGATGTGGAGACAAGGGTTCAAGTTCGGGGGTGGAGAGAGGTTCAGGCGGTGGTGGAGGTTCGTCTACTGGCCCTAGCCAGCCCTCATGAAGTCCTCTTATGTATTCTTTCCAAGTGTGTCTTCCAAGGACTAGATCGCCGCGCACTCCAGGCTCTGGCACAATCTGCATCTTATCCCGAATCATATCTATCGCTGCTTCGGTATCCATCTCTGGCTCCGTTGAGTTAGGCCCCTTTTCGCCTTTTTTCCGCCGTAGCCTGCGTATTTGTTCTGCTGTTCCATATCGGACGTCCCCTTCCTTCCGACCTTCGATCACGTCGTAATCGATTGCCGCAGCGACTAATACGGGTTTGACGTAGTCTTTGAAATACTGTCGTGAAGGTCTAATGCCGTCACCTGGAGGAGCAGACAGAAAGACAGTCAACTTGCGGGGCATCTGGTTGGCTGGAAGAGGCTCTTGGGCGATATGGGCGACCAAGTCGCACCATTTCTTTTGAGCTTTCTTCTTTTCCCTTCTGTCGTAGACAACAGCTGCAGTCCAGGAGCCGACGATGGTCAGGAAGATCATCCAATTCCGCGAAGGCAATCTCAGTCGGAGGTTGGGCATCCCTGTTGCATGTCAGGCGAAATTGTTAGATAGTGGCAGCTGAGAGGACTGACCCATCATCCGAAGAGCGGGATTTTGTTTTGGGGGCTTGGGAGCCTCATATTTCGCACCCTGAGGCAAGCCATCTGTCTTGGGAGGGTCTGAGCTGTCGGCCATGGTATTGATGGCGCTCCGGCCTCAGGCTTGTTGAAAGGAAGGTAGTGCAATTGCTCAGAGAGATCATGCGCGTGCATGCGTTCGCCCAGAAAAAAAAGTGACCGTCGGATATGCTGCTCCGACAATGAGGTCTGATTGGACTCGGGATACCTGCCTCTGGAACTTGGTCGTGCCATATCTTTCTCCTTTACTAGTAGAGGAGCCGGAGTGAAATGGTGAATCGTGGAACCCTTTACCGCTCATCCCAAACACCGGGAGTAACAGCGTCCACACTTCTTAGCCATTGTGGAAAAAGGAACATCTCTGCTCCTTGACTTCATACAGTCCCATAAATAGGCCCACTGTCGGACGAAGGAGTTGGGCAAAGCATACCAGGAGACTTCCACCCGAGACACTGGTTACCTTGGATGTCTTCCGCTTGTCCGTCTGCTCCGAATTGATTGTGTGCCTGAACTCTGTGCGCATATGATGGCAGATTCCCATTTCATCCGACAAGCTGTGCAAGATAGGAACCGAATGACAAGCGAGGGGTGTGACCACGCGAGCAGCCATCTGGCATTCTTGCAAAGGGATGTCAGCCCAGGGTAGGAGGCTGAGAACCAATCGCATGTTTGTGCCTGGCGATGTAGTCGTATCTGCTGTGCAATTGGGACGCAGGCGTGAAGCATAACCCCAGTCGATGCTTAAGACTCTCAGGAGTCTCTTTAAGCTTGCCTCTAGTGCAGCGGCAGCCTCCAGTGCCTCCAGTACCTCCAGTGGGCACTCGCCCCTAATTGTTAGGCGTAGTACCGCGTAGCCTGTTTCCCACCCTTGCCATTAACCGATCTCCATGCATGCACACTGCACCCTATTTTTGCGCACCCATTTCCCATGCACCTCCTTCCCTTCTATGCCCTCTTCAACCTTGCTCTTGTCCTTTCCTCTGGAAAAGTCAAGGTAGTCCCCTCTCCTTGTCTAGTCGTTCCTTAGCTTGTCGCCTGAGCAGTGATCTGGGACTCTTTTCAATCGCCGCGGCAACGGAGTTCAAAGACGGACAGGACTACACCGACTGCTGTCGCTCTAGGGGTTTGTCTGCGCCTTCTTTGGTGTAAGGAGATTCCAGTCTTCTGACTCGCGACCTTCAAAGGCATCTGCGACTAAAGAGAATACCTCCAACAAGATTGGCCAGAGTCGCAGTCCAGCAAACCCCCCTTGTCCCCCCTTGCTCTCGCTTCTTGATCAGCAGCAACAATGGACCACGACAACAACCGTCTTCGACTGAACTTTCAGTTCGACAACCAGCATAACTTTGATGCAGCCAATGCTCGAATGTATCCCACCACTCCGTCCACCTTTCCTCAGCCGATCTATGGCACTCAACAGCAGGATTATGCCACTGGTCTCGTGTCCCCAAATCCCAACACGAACACCGGCTATTTCTTGAATCAACAATACCCTCCTCAGTCGCACCAGGCTCAGTATCAGCAGCAATATCAGTACCAACCACAGGGTGGTCTCCAATCCCCTCAACCTGCCTACCAAGCGAACTCGCGACCCTACATGGCGAACAACAATGATGCAACAAGCGGTCTCATTCAACAGTTTTCGAACCAAGATTTAGGGGCTACACCACGTGTCAACACCAACCGCACTCCGTCACCTGCCATGTCACGTCCTCGGACAGCCGGTGAAGCCAGACAAGTCCAGAATCCCTACCAAAGTCATCTGGCGCCTCCTATGCCAAGGCCATCGCCAAAGCCTGAAGAGGAGGAACAGCCGAACCCGCGCAGATACTCAGACAATGTCATTAAGCGGGGGACAGCTGCTAAGCAATTGGTCAACAGTTTCTTTCAAGAGAACATTGAGCGAGCCAGGGATAGGAATAGTCGTGCGAAGGAGCTGGAGGCGCTGCTCAAGAACCCGACCGTTGGCGATCTTGAGAAGCAAAAGGAAATGAACACGCTCGCGCAGAAAGAGGCACGCTTCCTGCGTTTCATCCGAACGCGAGAAGTGCCTTCGAATTTCACGACCATCAAGGTCATTGGCAAAGGAGCATTTGGAGAGGTCAAACTCGTGCAACGCAAGACCGACGGGAAGATCTACGCTTTGAAGTCTCTGATAAAGTCGGAAATGTTCAAAAAGGATCAACTGGCCCACGTCCGCGCAGAGCGGGATATCCTGGCAGATTCCAAAGACAACCCGTGGCTAGTTAAGCTGCATGCTTCGTTCCAGGACAACACGTACTTGTACATGCTGATGGAATTCTTGCCCGGTGGTGATCTGATGACTATGCTGATCAAGTACGAAATCTTCTCGGAAGATATCACGCGGTTCTACATGGCCGAGATTGTCATGGCTATTGAAGCTGTGCACAAGCTTGGTTTTCTTCATCGGTAAGAGCGCCCACATCAAACTCGAGAGGATCAAGCTCACGGCGGTTCCAGTGACATCAAGCCAGACAACATCCTCCTGGATAGAGGCGGTCATATCAAGTTGACTGATTTTGGTCTCTCTACTGGTGGTCGTAAACAGCACGAGAACTCGTACTACCAAGCACTGCTCAAGGCTGGAGCCAACGACAAGTCAGGAAACCGAAACTCGATGGCCTTGAACGAGCAGATCAATCTGACGGTCAGCAACCGGGGCCTGGTGAATACTTGGAGGAAATCGCGTCGTCACATGGCGTACTCGACGGTGGGAACTCCGGATTACATTGCCCCTGAGATTTTCCTCGGTCAAGGTTACACGTATTTGTGCGACTGGTGGTCTGTGGGTGCCATCATGTTTGAGTGCTTGGTCGGTTGGCCACCCTTCTGCGCCGAAGACACACACGACACCTATCGCAAGATTGTCAACTGGCGGGAATCCTTGTATTTCCCAGATGAACTGGTTTTGGGTCGAGATGCCGAAGACATGATTCGAAGGTATGTGAGATGACTGGGATTACGTTTTCTGGTACTGATTCACACGGATAGTTTCCTCTGTGACGCCAATGATCGATTGGGCAAAGAAGGAGGAGCACATGACGGCGCATCATCCATCAAGAAACATCCTTTCTTCCGAGGAGTGGTGTGGGATCAATTGCGAAAGATCCGAGCACCGTTCGAACCAAAGCTGTCATCCAACATCGACGTAAGCTACTTCCCCATTGACGAGATTCCTCAGGAGGACAACAGCGCAATGCATCGGGCACATGCCAAGCAGATCTCGCCGGAACAAGACGCTGAAATGAGCTTGCCGTTCATTGGATACACGTACAAAGCATTCACTGCGTTCCAAAACTCATAGAGAAGACGCCGCGGCTTGCCAAGGGAGAACGAGAAGAAAGAGGACGAGGGGTGTATGGGAATACCACATCTCTAGCATGAATGTCGATGATAGAATGCATGTGGCGCCGGCGTGTCGGGGGCTCAAAATCGTTCAAGATACACGTGTCAAAGCGAAGTTGCTGGTCACTCGAGCAGGCGTATCCTGGTTGGGAGATGGGAGAAAGACGAGCATTTCATGGCTATGAACCACATTTACCCAACCCCCGCAGGGTTGTATTGGTCTACAGAGATGGTGCTATCAATGCACTCTCCTTTTCTTTGTTACAGCGGTTAGCATACCTGGTATCTTAGCCACAATCTAATTGATTGAAAGGACTACACGTAGCTTGTCTCTTGTCTTAGTTGCACAGAGCACCAGCTTAGCGATGCAGGCTCGCTACGATACCAGATTAGTACCAGCCATTCTACCTAGGTAGGCTTTGGTGCAAACGAGGTACCGACGTAGCACCAGCTAGACACCCATCAGGATGTATGTAACACATATACCTAGGTAGATACCTGGTACCTACCTAGGTACCTAGGTACCTAGATACCTCTTAGATGTACTAGTATGGAGCTGACGAATGACGTCATACGGTCTCTCTTTGGATTCAGCTCATCCAGCGTTCTGTTGTTGGTGCGAGTTCCTTGTGCTTTTTGCCAGTGAGCCAACACGAAAAAGACTCAATATCAGCCCGTGTCTTGACCTCAACGACATCTATCTCCGGAATGGATGTGAGTGGTAGCCCTGGTTTACCCCACCACCATACTGCCTGCTGACCTGGGCACATTTGACAGGTGTTTTATGCGTACACGTATGGCACAGCACTATGGCTCGGGATGCAAGCTGTACCGCTGGTTGTCATGCCCAAGTTGATAATCATGATGCTGGCAGAAGATGGACATCAGACCTCAGGTAAGATGGTACCGTCCAAGCCCTTGTCATGCACGGCTGCATCTGGGATCCTTGCCGGGTACGAGCCATTCTGACGACCCTCGGACCCCGAACAAAAACAGATGTCGAAATCTATCTGAGTCGATCGCTGGGCTTTGCCCTAATTTTGGTTGCGTTAATCGCCATGTTCTTTACGGGGACAATCCCGCTATCATCGAGCATAAGTGAGCCGGTCAGCTTGGAGGACGACGATCCGAAGGCTCCCTACGCCAGGCCGATAGTACAAATAACCACCTTGTTCCACAGCCTGAGCATGGTGTATTGCTACATGCGATATGTCAACTACGCACAATCGGCGTACATGCTCGGAGCTCTGGGGTACGGAATATTGGCAAGCGTGGGAATATGGAGTGTGATATTTGGGAGTACGGAGGCCCGGCGCTCGAAGAGGACAGGTGCAGATAAGCGAATGTCGGGATTTCCCTTCAAGAACTCACAGGCTTATGACAAGAGAAAGGACAGGAAGATGGGGTGAAGGTTGGATTCCGACGCATGCAGAGCAGAGATACGAGGTAGCGCATGCGGTGTCACGCCCTGATTCCTCGGGAGAGCATTGAGCGAAACACCATTGTTGAAATGAGACCCGGTGAATATCTCAGGCAAGGGTCCGGGCTTTGAATAATACGACTCTGACCGAGTTCGCCGTACCTAGTACCTAGGTAGCTAGGTAATATATTGCCCTGTCAAGTAGTGGGGAGACTGGATATGTGCTCGTCGAGTCGTGTATCCCCGAGGCTGACTAAGTCGTACTTTAAAATGACACGGTGGTGACTGCTAATTATCATTAATGACAGTCCAACTTGAAATGACCAGATTCGGCAGCCGCTGCAAATTTCTTCGCCCTCAGCCCTCGACCCTCTGCCCACCTCCTTCTGACACGCCGCTTTATCATCCCATCTGCGCACCCACGCACCCTCAACTCGTCCATCAATTCCCCCTTCAACAATGGAGGCCGACACCCTCCAAACATTCGCCGCGGCGGTTCAACAACAATTCCCAGCCTTTAGCAACGAGCATGACAGCGCCTCGCAAGATGCCGCTGCCGCCGCTGGATATGCCCCTGCCGATTCCCTCAACGCCAACTCTCACAACCAATCCTATCCCATAATCCTGCCACCACTCCCAGCGCCGAATAGCTCTCCGAACGTCCAGACTCGAAAACAAAGCAACAATCTGAGAAATACAGCCAGTCCGAGTGCGAATGCCGCTATGCGCAGCCCCCAACAGACGCGCTCCGGCGTATCGGTCCAGACACGAGCCGCCCAGAACGCAGCTTCAACCACCCCTTCTCACAACGGCAGCAACGCCTCGAATACGACTGCCCAGATACAAGCGTCACATATGAGCCAGCAGTCGGATGACCTGCAAGGGCAGCAAGACTCGGCGCAAGACCAGAAGCAGAATGGCTTCGTCTTCAGAAACTCTTCATCTGCATATCCGAATGGCACTCCCACGCCCACTCGGTCCTTGTCTAAACAGTCACAAGTCTACACTACACCGCATGGCGTGGTTCAAACTGATCCCTGGGTGTCTCATTACCAATCCCCGCCCTCCACCCATGAAGTCAATGGTGCCTCCAACGCCAACAGTAACAACGACAATGCAGAAGCAGATCCTGCTGTTGCGGCCAACCCTTTCAGCGACACCTTCCCTCTGGTGCCTGAGCCACCAAACCTTGAAGAGTGGCGCAACAAACTCTTCAACATCACGGAAACATTGGTGTTGTCAGAAGAAGAGTTCCTTACTTACTTTCCCCATGTTGACAACGTCTACTCCCACCGCTCCACTCAGAAGTACAAACGCAAGGCTTTCGTCAGTCACTACTGGGACTGTCGACTCAAGGGTCGCCCTAGTGGGACCCCGAAGAGCGATGATCCCAACAAGAAAAAGCGCAAGCGCCAGGCTCGGGAGCGAGATCTTTGCGATGTCAAAATCAAAATCACCGAGTACTTCAGTGCTGAGGAGGCAAGGAAGATGGGCTTGACGGGTGGGAACGACATGAATGGCGTCGATGCCGGTGCTAATGTTCATGGTACGATGGCGGGCGAAATGGGCACTTTTGGAGGCGTGGACAACAGCGAACTGACTATCGTCCTGGAGGACGGCAGTCACGGTCTAAGCGGTGTTGGCCATCTCACCGGCGGCGGCACCAGTGTTTCTCATAACACTACCAACCCTATTGATCCAAATTTTGGATTGCTTGAACTTCCCCGTCCTCTACCCCAGGGCCACCCGGGCGCTGACGGAAAGCGATGGTACACGATTCAACGTGTCCGAGGGAATCCCGGTGGCGGAGCTGTCAAAGACTCCAGCAAGCGTGACAGTAACGTGAACGGCGACGTCGAAGACGAAATCGATCAATCAGTGTTGGATCCCAATTTGAATGCCGACTTGGACCATAAGCATACGCTTGAAGAAAGTGATCGCATTAAGAAAAACAGCGTGCAAAGATGGATTTTGAAGGAGGAAAAGGAGAAGAAGCGGTTGAGTGTAAGTGTTCCTTCCAAAGCTCCTTATCGTTCCAGCATCTCTACTGTGCCGTATCCCCAGCAAGTCTCCCCTCTCTCCCCTTCAATACTATGAAGAGATCCGTTTACATCTCGTCATACTCGTTCAGTCTTCTGGGCCCGAATAATCATGCCTCACTAGAAACTCCCCGTCCCAGGATCCTCCAATCAATCTACATCCAACGAGTCGGTGTCCCCTTCCTTCCGGGCTTCAGGAATGGCTTTCTTTACAGCCCGCTCCCACGCCGCCCCGGTCCCAACAAAGATAACTTTCTTCGCCAATTCGTTCTGCCCATTCGCCCAACGCATCTGGATCGCCCTAGAAATCAAGGGTGTCCCATATCAGATGGTGGAAATAATGCCTGCCACGGTCGACACTTACAGGCCACCAGAGATGCTGGAGGTAAACCCTGAAGGACATATCCCGTGTATCAGGCACGGAAATTGGGGCGTTTGGGAAAGCGGTGTTGTTCTGGAGTACCTCGAAGACCTTGCTATGGGGCATTCCCTACTGCCACTAGGGAACCCGCAACTGCGAGCACACTGTCGCCTGTGGACAGACCATATCAACCGCAAGATCCTTCCAAGCTTTTACAGCTTGCTACTTACGCCGCCTCCCTCGCCAAGTGCCGAACAATCGATGGGTTTGGACGGAATGCAGGTCGACGCACAAGTCACTAACACAGCGTCAGCCGCGCAACATAGCATGCTCGTCGCCACATTACAGAAGAACATCACGGCGTTGGTCAACGCCAGCCATGCCACGGGGCCGTTCTTCCTGGGCAACGAAATTGGATTTGTCGACGTGGTGTTTGCACCCTGGATCATCCGACTGTCCCGCGTCTTGAGCTATTACCGCAACTTTCCCCGACCGGAAGTTGGCACGCGCTGGAGACAGTGGGTCGATGCTATAGAAGCGGACGATCGGGTCAGGCGGACCGTCAGTGATGAAAACTCATACCATGGAGTGTACAGAGGTGTGGGTGAGGATGGATGGTGCGCGAAGGATCAGCATAAGCCCATTGTGGAGATCCAGTATGCGAGGAAAGTCGTTGCGCAGGAGGGCTTTGGCTTAGGCGGTGATGTCTGGGGGCGTTTGCCGGAAGAGGAAGCCGTCCACAACCCCGACGGTGTTGGACAGACTCTATCATGAACATCCATGCGGTACGGAAGACCTGCGACGAGGGATTTGCGATAGCGAGCATCAAATGTCCAACGAGCTGAATATGTCACGTGATATACCATTGGGTGACAGGGGTATCAAGCAATTGAGATCGTGTGCAAAATGCTGGAGGCTGTGGGGTGGTTGATCGTTCCATGAGCTCCAATGCATGGTCAATTGAGCGCTCGTGCAGTCGGACTGGGAACGGGCATTTGAGAATATAGCCTGACACAAAATCGACGACTGCACTTTCTTCTCTCATGAGACTTGGAAGTGCATCTCTCACAATCAATCAATCAACCAAGTATGTCATAGATCCAGTCATATGAAATCTGTCCCTTTTTTTTTTTGAAAAAAAAAAAACCAAAGAATAACCAAGACACTCTACCGGTGTCTACCTAATATCTACATACATATAAGCCCCATTTCGAGGCAATTGACGCCGGGTTGAATAATCCACTCCTCCACGAAGGCATATGTGTACCTAGCCTCGCGAGGTATACTAAGTGGTACGAGGTACATACAGGTCACGAAAATAGGTCCGATCCCCAACCGGGGGGGG